CTACTAGTCCTCTAAGCCTACTAGTAGGTTAGAGTTAGTAGATAGGTAGTAATACTTAAAAATAAAAGAGTTATATTTTATTATATAGAAAGAAGTGTATTATTAGTCTTTATATAGCTACCTAATTTTTACTACTAGCTAACGCTAAATATATAACTAGTATTACTTTCTACCTCTTTTTCTTTAAGGCTTTATACTTATATTTAGTATTAGCTTAAAACTACCTATTCTAATTTAGTATTAGCTTAAAACTTTTTATTCTAATTTAGTATTAGCTTAAAACTTTCTAATTAAGATTAGCTCTATCTAACTATCTTTAGATATAAAATATTAAATAACTCTTTAAAATTAAGAGATATTATATTAAAACTTTTATAAAAGAAAGTATAGAGTAGAATATATATAATAGTAGTAGTGTAGTATTATAAATCTAAGTTTTAACTATAATATTATTACTATTAGACCTCTGTTTATGTTTTAATTTTTGCTATATCCTACTAAATTTTAGAGGTATCTATAACCTAAAGGGGTATAATATAGCTATAGTAAAAATTATATATAAAGGTAAGTTAATATATTATATTATAGTAAAGTTAAAATATAAAACTTTTAACTAAAGAGAGGCTTATATAATAGGCTAGGCCTAGTAAAACTTTAGTAAGTAAAGCCTTAAAACTTAGCTACCTTAACTACTAATACCTACCTATAGCTAGTTTACTAGAAATAGCTAGTATACTACTAAAAGAACTATAAGTAGAGGAAAACTAGTACTATAGATTCTTAGTAAATTTATCTAATTTATACTAGTAACTACTCTTAGAGTTAGCTTCTTATAATTTCTAATCTTAAGATTTATTAACTTATATATAGAAAAGAATAGAGTTCTATCTTAATAATATACTTATTATACTATATATTAGATATAATAGCTACTTATTAAAGCTTAAGTAAGTAATATAAGCTCTAATTATTATAGTATATATAAATAAAGACTTTAAAATAAAAGATTTTACTAGTATATAAGTAAAGTTAAATAATTTAAGTAATAATATATAATAAATTTTTTTTCTTATAATTATAATAATAAAGTATACTAATTAGAAAGATAGATATATAAAGTAAAATATAGTATAGTAACTATACTTTAATATCTAATCTATTAATTTTTAGCTTATAAGTATACTAGTAGAGTTAGGTCTTTCTTTATAAGTTATATATAGTATATCTATATATTTAAAAGTTCTATATATTATAACTTAGCTCTAAAATTAAGTTCTTATAGAGTATAAATTTAGAACTAAATTATAGTTTATAATAGGTTTTAATAAAATCTTAGAATAAATAGTAATATCTAGTATAAAAATTAAAGAGTCTATACTAAGTTAAGATAAAATATAGCTATCTAACAGAGCTACTTTTATCTATACTTTAACTTACTAGTAGTAGCCTTATCTTAACATAACTGCGCTCTACTGTGCTAACGTACAGCAAGAACTAATTAATTTAGTTCGCTTAAACTTACCCTTTTCCGGCAATGCGTAAAACGATTTATCAACCCCTACTTCGTCCAGCATTGACAATCTACCGATCACCGACACGACTGCAAATTGGCCCGCGTACAATTAATAGTCACCTCAGATTTTTACCGCACCATTGACAGACGGCACTGTAATGCGCAGCGGTGCCACGACTGTAACACCGAAAAACGTCTACATGACTCGACCGGAACAAAAGACGATAGCAATGGTCCAAGGTGTGCCAATGGCGTAGGGTTGTGGCTATGTAGGAGGTGCCAATATGGGCCACTTCGGCGGAGTTTACGGCAACTTCAGTTTCTTCAATACGGCGCTGTTGGAGATGCCCGTACCCCACGTTCACTTGCCAATCAGCGGCAATGAAACTAAAGAAAACATTGTCAAATGGATGTTCCAATTTGATGCCACAGTGCTACTATCGAATCCAAGCACGGCACGGTCGATCGCGGACCAGTTGACCAGGGAGGGCAAGACCATGGAAAGTGTGCGGCTGATTTCATATACGGGAGAGTCATTCACGAAGGGCTTGCGGGCCGCGTACAAGAAAGCGTTCCCCAATGCCGTGGCCTACCCCAGTCTCTATGGTAGCATTGACGCCGGGCCTATTGGCATTCCGCCACACCCATACCAAGGAGGTGATGACGACGTGGCGCCGACATATAAGGTCCTCGCGCCTCTACTCGTGATGGAAATCATGGACGAGAATGGCAAGCCCATCAAGGAGAACGACCAGAAGGGTTCTATTGTTGTTACGCACCTCATCAGACGCCTACAACCCATGATACGTTATCCCACCGGCGACATTGCCAGCTGGGCCGACTACTCCAACGAGATCTTCCAGCTGCACGGCCGTGACTCAGTGGGCCTTAAGATTATCAATACTCATCTTCCGATTGCAGTGCTGCGCGAAACAATTGAGGAGTCTCTCGGTGAGGGTGTGTCACAGGGTTCGCAATTTGTAGTGCGCCGCTCGAATGGGTCTGATGCACAAGAGCTCACGATCCGCATTGTGGCCAAGGAGCCCGCCAACGCGGACAGTGTCCGCGAGAAAATCAATACTAAGTTTTGTCAGATCAGTGCAAAGTGGGCGGAACATCAGAAGAATGGTTACATTGCGCTATTGCAAGTCGAGTGGATTTCAGTAGATCAACTACAGCTAAAGGGTTCGGGCAAAGTCAGTGATATCTTAGAAGAAAGGTTCTAGATTGATGCCGTAGTAGTATACGATGTTGAAGGAGACCTGAGAGGGGATAAGGTGGGGGAAAAGCATATTGCGCAAAAGTTTGGGGTTTTCAGAGTGGGAGGTAGAGTACATCCATGAAAAAGCACTGTATAATCGAATACGAATTGTTCAGAATCTTGAAAGGGTCTCTCATGATTGTTCATTGTAAAGCTCCAAATGCCTGCATATATTTATTGGAGCACGCACGCCCCTATCGAACTAAAATATGCAGTCGTTTTTACTTATAGTTAGTAACGCCCCAGCTTTGAGTTCTCAAGTAGTCCTGAACAGTAAGGTAAAAAACTAGCATTACTCCGATGAATTTTTCCGCGTTATGCCCACCCGAAATTAGCGGCCAAGGACATTATATGTCATGTACAGCGCAGTAAATATGCCACCATAGGAAAGGTCGGAGTAAGCTTAACACAGAAAATTGATCGGAGTGCTCGCCTGATGACCACCTCGCTAACACTCCGAGCTCCGAGGCGGTGTGTAGCGAGAGCAGCAGCCCCATTAATAACAAGCCATGAACGGAAAGGTCAGGAACTAGGATTAGTAAGGACGAGTATATCAAATTGAATATACGCGCTACGCAAAGTCAACGACCTTTGCACTAATACGGTCCTTGAAATTGTTCAACTCAATCTCCTTCTACATTCACCTCTATTACAAGCGACGATCCCTCTCACTCCACTCCAAATCTCCCCAATTTGGGGATCAGATCGCCATGGTCGAACTTCAGAAGGAGCAAGCCAGAACTCTATCGGACGAAGAGAAGCAGCAAGATTCAAAACCGGCAGCCACGGACAGACAGCACGATACAGATTCATCAGGTGGGCCTCAAGCAAGTTCGGACAAGATACCGTCGGACCTGGAAAGGACTCTTGTTACCTGGAACGGCCCAGAAGATCCTCTTAACCCTAGGAACTGGCCTCGGGGTCGCAAATGGCGTGCCCTTATAGCTGTCTCTGGCTTTGTTCTTATGAGCCCGCTCTCTACCACCATTGTTGCCCCATCGTTGGAGGTGATCGCCCAAGAACTCAACATCACCAACGCAATTCAGAAAGTTCTAGTTCTTTCAATCTTTTTGCTCGGATTTGGAATCGGTCCACTTTTTATTGGACCACTATCAGAGATCTTTGGCCGAATTCGCGTGCTGCAGCTGTTCAATGCCATGTATCTAGCGTTCAACACTGGTTGTGGTTTCGCAAAAACCAAGGAGCAACTCATCGTGCTACGCTTTCTGTCTGGTCTATTCGGCAGTGCTTCTGTGGGCGTGAGTTGAAATCTGAGAATCTTAACGCTGGATCATATCTTGCTGACGCTAGTCCTCTCCTGGTCAGATCGGTGCAGGTACTATTGGCGACATGTTCGATGCCTCGGAACGTGGCAAAGCCATGGCTGTCTACAGCGTCGCCCCTTTGGTTGGTCCGACCATCGGACCCATCGCAGGTGGTTTTCTCACGGAATACGCCTCGTGGCGGTGGTCCTTCTGGCTTGCTTCTATTATCAACGCCTTTGTACAGATTTGGGGCTTCTTTTTCCTCGAGGAGACTTACAGCCCGACTATTCTCCAACAGAAGAAGCAACACTTAGAGCAGGAAGGAAAAACCAATCTGTACACGGAGCATGATCTTGGCTCCAAACGCGAAGTCGCCAAGGTTAACATGGTTCGACCGCTGAAGTTGCTTGCCACGCAACCTGTTGTTCAGGTACTCGCGATATATCAAGGATACCTGTACGGTAACATCTACATCATTTATGCGTACTTCCCAAACTTGTGGACGGGACAATATCACCAGCGGGTAAGCATTGCCTCGCTCAACTATTTGTCGCTAGGAATCGGTACTGTGTTCGCAGCCGAAGCTACCACGCATATAAATGATCGAATCTACAAATTCTTCAAAGCACGCAACAACGGCGAAGGTCGCCCAGAGTTTCGAGTGCCAATCATGATACCGGCAACTGTCTTACTTGCGGTTGGGTTGTTCTGGTATGGGTATGTCAATTTAACAAACCCCCTTTTCAGAGAGCGCAAACGTCCGTTATGCTTACATTGAGATATCAGATGGAGCGCTCAGACTCATATGCATTGGATCATGCCGAATATTGGCATTGCTATCTTCACCGCGGCCGCTTACGCGTGCACGATTTCCAACAATACTTACATTGTAGACACTTACGGGCGCTATTCTGCTAGCGGTCTAGCTGCGATCTCCCTTCTAAGATGTCTCGCTGGATTTGCATTCCCTATGTTCTCATCGTATATGTAAGGCGACTATCTTGACTAGTTTGTATGTATCGTGAAGCTAAAGTGCAATGTTAGGTATGATGCGCTAGACTATGGTTGGACAAACAGCATGCTTGGGTTCATCGCATTAGGCATCGGCTTGCCGGCGGTGTTATTACTTTGGCGATACGGAAGGCTCTTGAGACAAAAGAGCCCTTACTGTGCGATTAAGGAATAGGTTCTAACGTGTAATAGGGGATCTGGAAGGTTTACTACATTCGTAAAGCAAATAGCACGGTATATTCTATTGGGTTCCTTGGTTTAAGCTCAGCTGTGCAAGCAACCGTCAGCCTATTGCTCATCAACGCAAAGAGTAAAAGGCAATATCGCGCACGGAATCTTATCCATTGGTGTATTATAAATCTTTCAAGTGAATATCGTTAACGCTAGGCTACCTCGGGGCCCTATGAGTCACGCTTACCCTCTATATAAAGTTTTCTTGTTCTCAGGTTCCATGGGAGGCGAATACAGTGTCTCAATGAGCTAACATTGAACATATTAGCAAGTTATTGAAATTTAATGGTAAACCTGTATGACTAAAGCCCGCCCATTCATCTATTCTCCAGTCGCTTCCCAGGTTTGAACTCGCAACGTCTAGTTTTTCTGCGACCTGTCAGCAGGTGCACTGTTGCTTAATTGTGTAATGTGTATGACTTGTATTGCTAACCTACCCAATGCAACAAATATAACATCTGCGATCTTCGGGTTCTGGCCTATCTCTTGCAAGAATCTTGTCGCTGCAGGGGCCAAGCCAAGTTGACCAAAAACAAACCTAACGCCTAGCAATGAGAAAGGTTAATTACACTATCAGTAAGTTAACATTTGCATAATGATATTCTAAGCCTACATTTTCTAGAGAGTCCAGACGCTTTCAGCTCATCGCCACACTCCGCGATAGCGTCTACAAACATCGACCGTAGTTCCAGCTCAGGCATACCGTCCGTGATGACGGAAATGAGTAGTGGTCTCTTGAGGTTTTTGGGCAAATTGCTGTAGACTAACGGCTCGAGGATCTTTCTCCTCAGATTCGTGCCGATCGGAGTGTCACCACCAAGCTTCAGCGGCGCGATTACGGCGCCTAGCTCTTCGAATTCGAGGCTGTTGGAATCTGGTATCTTTTAGTTGGTGTAACGCAAGTGAATATTCTCATCCTCAGGCAGGAATCGGGTGGTGACTCGAGCGATCCTGTTGATGAGTCTGCTCTCCGAACACTTACTACAGTACAGCACTTGCTGATACACACTTACGAGGGCCGTTTTGGTGAAGAGTTCCTTGCCACAAATCGGGTCTTCGGCTAGGCCTGCAGCTTTCCCTGCCAGCTCCTCGATGAATTTAGGGTTTTTCAGGAAGGATCTCTCCGCAGACGTGTTTTGGATGTATTTCTTAACGTTCGGAACATATTCAGCTCTGGTTTTTGGTTTGGGTATAGCGATTGATACGCTGAGAAACGATTAGTATGCTAATTACTTGTTGAAAGCAGGCTACGAGAGGGCCTACTTTGAAGAGAATCACCACGAGCTGCGGCGCATCAAGAAGACCTGGAACATAGACAATCTCTTCGAATGGCCTCAGGGCATTCGGCTTCCGAAAGGTGCAATTGACGACGAGTCAAAAGATGTGGACCCAGACGATAATCGCGGTTGACTGATAACATCGCGAGAGGTTTGTGAGACAAGATGAACTGGCAACATAAAGTAATTAGCGATCTTAATGCAGAAAGCAAAACTCTTTAAGCGATGGGTTTTTAACATAGAAAGTTGTTCTCTAGGCTGAGATCACAAAGGTTTGCATTTTCTCGCGCAGTTATCAACCGATGAACGTAATTATGAAAAGATAAATGAGCAAATAGATGACCCATACATTTGTTCAGGCCTCCTGCATTCATACAAACATCCTAGTTCCATGTTCACCACACGCTGAAATGATCGAACTGCTATATCGATTCGAAGTCTCGAGTAAACTATTCCTATCGTCTATCCGAGCTCATATGTCTTGTCCAGGAGCTCCGAGGAGTGTTTCTAATAAGAGGAGTTATGGTCCCAATGAGCATCGATGCCAGGGAGGGGGTCAGCGGTCTTGGGCTCGTCATGCAGTCGTGGAATCCACATTGCCTTTGGTCGAAAGGGGGGTGTGGAGAACCGGAAAACGGCTACCGACCTCCCAAGAATGTAGTAACCATCACTCGCGTGTATAGATCCGGGATAATGATATGTGACCATGACACGATCACCCTGTGTTATAGTCTCAGGGTTTGCATAGCATAGAGGGGGCAACCTCAGACTCAGTTCCAAGTGCCGAGGGTCTAAACTCGTCACGGTAAACATTGAATGGAGCAAGACGTACTCCACCCCAGTCCAATTGAACAACCCTAGCGACGATAAGCCTACATGCGTTCGAAGTCACTTCGCTGAGTCGCAAAAGAGAACAGGAACATCATAAAGACAACGACAGGTAATACCCTTAAACGGATCCGGTGGTGTAGGACGACCCATTCCCAGCTCGTGATACAGTCAGGAGTCGCATGCTGGGTCCTTAGCCTTCTGGCAGACTCAGAATTGGTTTTAGTTCATTGACGGGTGGTGAACGTACGAACACCCTCCTCTCTCGCGATGTTGCTGCGTACTCTTGTCTTTTTCCCCTTTGTGTTTTCGAAAGTGAGGCACAGCCAACAAACAAAATAGTATGTGTACCGTATGTCGAAGGAAAATGGTGGCTTTGCAATGTAATGCTTAGTTCTGCAAGTGGGCTCCTGTCAGTTTCCAAGGACAATGGAACGCTCGTCAAGACATGTGAAGATATTTCCTATATCTGATAGATATGTTACTTGGAAGATAAACGTTGGAACTACATATATCTTAAGAACTTCATTGAACTGGTTGCAGCATAAACTATATCTCTACTGTTTTATTGATGTTTCTAAGCGCTAGAATTAAAACTTCTTTTTCTACACAGATTAGCTATTTCTTTTTACATCAGAATCTGAGCTCGCCTACCAATGCATGATTAGATTTTGATGTAACAATTGTAATCTTGAATGTAGGTTGGACAAGACGTAGACAATAACCAGGAATTAGTTCTCATCTAGATCCGGAAGCGGTGCGAGGGGGTAATGGCGGCGGCGAAGGCTCGAGACTAGAGTCAACCTGACTTGGCCTGTGTTTGATTCTGCTCCACAACTCTTTAATGGAGTCAACATCATGCTTCACAGAGTCGCTATCCTCTTTCTGGTCTTCCACCTCGAACCTGGACCTTAATTTTGCTACCATCAGATCTCGCGCCATCTTTGGTGAAACAAGGCGCAGTTCTTCGTCCAACTTCGCCTGGCTGATGACTTTGCCATTGCAAAGATCTTGGACCATAGCCCCAGCAAGGTGCTGACAGTTGTTTGAGGTCACCTTGTAGCGTTGGTTTGCGGCTATGAAAGCCTGACCTAGTTCACTATTAGCGTACAGTTGTGTGGTGTGATGCGATCGGTGAAAAGCCGCCGAAGACATACCATGTTCTTGAATCTCCTCATGTTTCTTTGTAGTCTCGCCGACGTAATAACAAGAACTCCACGACGCAATGAAGTCGTCTGTGACTTCATACACCCGAAAATAGTTTTTTCCCAGCATCGCGAGCTCCAACTGGTCGCTCATCAAGTCATACGTATAACTGACCCCAAGCCCGCGATTGATGACGCACACCGCCCAATGGCTAACACTGTTCATGCTCATACCGACATGCTTGCCCAGAAGTTCATACGATCTTCTGGAAAGTTCGAATTTTCCATAAGCAATTGGAGTGGTTATCAGGAATACCGCGCTGTAGGTCGCTTGAGGTTGGCAGACTAGCGGTGTCATCTCGGCAGCTGAATCACCCGCGACTTTCGCTGCAATCCGCTGGAGGTCATCATTCTTCTCGCGAACGGCTGCTGCCAGCTGCTCGTCTGCAACTGCTGTCGATTGGCGGTTCTTTCTTTCCTGCCTGCGACAGTCTTCGTCAGTACGTTCACGTGATGAAGAACAGTGCGTGTACCATTTCTGTGTGACGGATTTGTAGGCAGCTCCGCCAGCCTTGGTCAACTGTGCAAAAGTCTCGGACCCCATTTACCGTTGTGTGAATGCATGAGAAGAGCATGAGAACGAAATAGTGTTGGCGTTGCAATACGTGGCTGAGGAACTTCCAAGGTTGGCGGCATGACGCAGGCGGAAGGGGCTAAACTCTATATGTCCTTAGGCCGCGGGGCTAATGGAATTCCCTGCTCGAACACACCACAACACATGAGTATTAAACGTGCAAAAAATGACTCATTCACTAGTCAAGATCTGCACTGTGTGAGAGCATATAAATACACTTCAATAATGAGCTCCTCCGCAGGTACAATGAACGCAATCTTCTCTAAAAAAATTGTCTTGAAAATAAACGTCTCACAACAAAAACATCGTTAACACATCAAGACAGAAACGATTCACATGTCTTATCAGTCCTCAAGATTGCTCAGCGTCCTATCCGTTGTGCGTCTCACTTCGACGGTGGACACTTCCATCTTAACTCGCTTGACTACCTGCCAGTAATCGAATCACGTCTAGGAGGCTCGCCACCAAGCCCCGAGTTGCGACTGACAGTCATGTAAGGTAGCTCTCTGCTGCTGCTTAGCATTTCATCTCCAACCTGTCAGACGCGGACGTTTACCTCTTTCCCTGCTACCAGTATTGCGACGGCGACTATAGCAGAATAGTATAATGATGAGCAGTTGAAGAGTAGCTTGAACGATGTTCACTGAAAGAGCAGCAGCTGCCATTAAACGTTGTTCTGGAGCAAATGAGGTATTAGTGGTACTGGTCGAGACGATGAAGAGGAGGTGGCAGTGTACCGGAATGTTCTTGCATTTTTGAATCTCGAAAATTGTGCTGTTATTAGGTCCCCTGGATATGAGCCAGCTTTATACGCCTCACCCATAGAATATTTCGTTTCCAAACACCTCGACTTTCCCGTCAAGCACCCTATTCATATTTTTGCGTTTCCTACCTACACAGACGACAGTATTATCTGTGCTGATCATCGTGAGTAACCTTACCTACACTGTACCACAAGGGCGATCAATCGTAATCGGTCCTGAATTCTTTGTTGAGGTATGTTTTATTGCGTTTGCATTATTTGAAGGCTTCAGGCCGAAAGTTGGCTGCGAGATCGTTTCCTAAAGCGTAGCCTCGGGTGTTTGATAGGTTCTCGATTATTTGCGTTTCGTAATCGGTGCAGCCAAGCGTCAGCTGTAATCTTAACAATACCCCCCTGTCACTGGTCGAATATTATTTCGTTTCGTCGACCTCAGGCAAACGCGGTGCATTGTTTACTGTTTAAGAGTAACATTCATGGATGTTTTGCTGCTCACCCAAACTTATTGCATATCGCAACTAACAACTCTTGACATTGCTAACAACCTCAGCAGCATAATCGCCTTAGAACTGCTGAGTTAGGCGTATGCGAGATAGAAACTCTCGCTGAGAACTTTATGGCGTTGCCCTTTACTAACACGTCGATTAATAACAAGGTACCGAAAATTACGGTTACGTCATGCCAGAAGAAGAAAAGAGGTAGACCGAAAATTTACTTAGCACCATGGACAAAGAAGCTTCTGCTGCTCCGCATGTGTGGATTGGATCTGAACTACACACTCCAGATTCTCAGAATTCAAAGCGACGACCAGTTCGCACCAAAGTAGGTTGAATGTACTCTAGTTCCTATGATATCCAAGTTCATTTAATTGATTTCGATTAGGGATCGAAGGGTTCAGCAGCTTATACGCCAATTTCTTTCAGACAACAACCAGCGATTCCGCCCCCCCAGCAAGCTGGATGCACGCAGAAATGCGGCTTTTATTAGAGCAGCCTTGAAGCGAGATGCAACGTCAGACACCCACAAAGACACGTCAGCTTCCGAATCTTACGGGCTGGGTCACTCAAGCAATGACCCATTTCCCCCAGATGCAGTGTTAGACTTGGACAACACTCCTGCGCCGACTGAGTCCAACCCGGTACCGAAAATCGAGACATGCCGGCCAAGATCATCGAGTACATTGGAAGATGAGATTGGACCATCAACAACCTACGTTTGTGAAGACCCGGAGCAGCTTTCTTTTGGTAACATAACTCCCTCGGACCCGACAGATGAGTCCCTTGACAACGATGGTAGCGAGATCTCCCTGAAGAGTCAGCGAAGCAAGATCCGTCAAGTCCTAAGGCAGACTAGTTTCAGCTCATCAGTCATGTCTGATCTGATCAGCCTCATGAACAAGCGATGGTCTATCAGTACTTTTACGCCATCGGACCGCGGTTCCGTCTCGGCCGCATCCATTGTGGAGACTGGAAGGACTATAAGAGGGGAGCAGGTTGCTCAAGTGATCAGATTACGGCAGCGAATGATTGAGCAAGCAAACACTGCGTTGATCCAAACTTGTTGTTCGAACGATTCCGCATGCATTCGCCAGTTTGTGGATGGACTTATCACACGGAGATATGATCCCTTCCTCACGGACCCATGCTCGGAAGTGCTTCATGCTGAACTGCATCAATGCTTGTCTGAACCGATGCAGCCTGGTCTGGACCCTTACGGAAACAGCGCACTTTTCTTCGCCGCTAGATCGGGAGCGCCTGCCGGTGTCATTCTCCCGTTGATCGATACAGTGGCTGACGTCAACGCCGTCAACGCTGATGGTCAGACTTTTCTATTCTTCCTAGATCCTCGGGGATTTCAACACAGACCTTGGACACTCACAAAGCAACAAATCAAGACTCTGGTGTCCAGAAGACACACAGGAATCTACGACTTGAATGGCATTTATTGAAACTGTTTGGTAGACGAAACTCATGAATCGCAATTCGAGTGTCTCGTACGATGTTTGGAACGACTAAATTTCAATTTTGATCGTTCAGACAACCATGGGAGAAACTTCCTTTTCTTCCTATGTTCGTCGCCGTCATTCGACTTGAAGTGGCTATCTCGCTTGATGCGACGATATCCGGAGTGGAAAAACAGGGTAGAGCGGATGTCACAAATGCGTGACTCCACAGGGGTATTCCTGATCGACTTTTTGGCTCACCATCCTGATTACAACGAAATGAGTGAGAACACACGATCCCTATTCCGCCCACGCTTTGTCCACAGATCAGGCTACGTCCAGCCTTTCGGGATCTTGTCAAACGAGGATGAGCTAGGGAGAACACCGTTTCACGTATTCATACAGACCGACTTCCTTTACACGTCAGTCTTGAACGATTTGTCGTTACCGCTCGATACGGTCGCTTTCGATGTCAACAGATATGATTGCCGCGGTCGCACTCCTATCATGGGTTTCCTACAGCAAGCCGTTGAACATAACCTTGGTAACGATTTCATCAACACCAAAATGCAACTGATGATAAACTGGGGTGCCAACGTTAATTCCTGCTCCCGAGGTGGTAGTACCATACTTCAGTTTGCTGCCAAAAAGGCTCTGCCAAAGCTATTGGACATGCTGCTTGCAACCAGCGGTATTCAAGTGGACCACTGCGACAACGAAGGGAATAGCGCTTTGGACTACGCAGCCCACACCCTTCGACGCTCACAGAGTATGAAAGCAACTGCTATACTCACCGCTCGTTCTCTGAAGTCTATCACAAGCCTATTGGGTGTAATGTCCAATCGTTTTGGCAGAACTCGTGCTTCGCAGACACGCAGCTTTAGCAAGCGTTCTCTGGAGACACTGGTAAAGCTGAAGATTCATCGCCAAAAGTAAACTGCTCGGAGGGGAAAAGAAAAGGCCTGAGCAAAGCCCAAATCTTGGGTTCTCAGTATCGCGTCCTCATTCTGGAGACATTGCCCGAGCATATCGAGACCCAAGGAATCTTCTCCGTTTGTGCCATGGATACAAACTTGACATTGGTGAATACACACGATGAGAACAACAATCAAACAGAAGATTTGTAAAACTCATGGCAAGACCCAAGCCAGGAAAACCTCTCGCGGGTTTGACTTGGTTAGATCAGTCAATGGATGTACGCTCTTGATGATATATTGGTGATGTGTAAGGTATTGGTGCACCAAGGTGTTGAGGTATAACATTTACGCTATGTTATGGCACTAGCTAGTTCTCTGTCACTCGTTCCTATGCTGCTTTCTCATCTACCAATAAACCTGAAGACAAGCCAGCACATGGACGAAGAAACAAGAACTGAAACGCATGTTGAAAATTCCACTATATGCTGGTAAAGTTTTGCCGTAAATATGGTTTGGCGTTGTGTTCCTATAGTATGCAAGACGAAGACTGTGATGGGTGATGTTTTCAGAGATATGAAAACAATGAGTATTGATCAACCCGGCATCGAAGATGTACTCCGGACTTTACGATCTAAAGTTGAGAGCTTTCAGATCTTGAGCTCGAGCCTTCAATGTCCCGCCGAAGCTAGACTTGACAACGAAGAAGCGAGAAACTGGACGAGTTTTCAAGATCGCGCTGCAGATCAATACGATGTGGATCCTGTCAGCTCGCGATTTCCTCAAGCCGACAAGACGCTTGTTGAAAAGTTAGGAATGTCTAATTGAAACCGATATATGTGTTAAAGTGTATTTATATGCTCTCACACAGTGCAGATTTTGACCAGTCGATGAGTCATTTTTGCATGTTCAATAATATGCACGTCCAGAATCAACGCCAGTGTATTTAAGAGAACATGAATACTCCTTCAACATATTCGGCAGGATCCGAGTTCCATGACTCCGGTATTGGAAGCTCAGTTCTAGCTCAATCGATGCCCGCTTCGAAAGGTGGACCGGCCCCGCATCGAGCTCTGTCATCTAGTGTCGTATCTAGTAGGGCAGGAGTTAGCCATAAACACCTTCCAACCCTCCCAGAAACAGCTCGATCTGGTGAACCGTTCACATGCGAAGTATGCGACCGACTCGTCTAATTACGACGAACGAAAGAATGGAAGTAAGTATATTACACCTTCTGATTGCATATCTTGTATTGCATATCTTGTATTGCATAGTTCCTCCTAACTACATTACAGCAAGCATGTCTTTCGAGACATCTGTGCATACACTTTCATTTTGACCACTGCTCTCTCACAGGTGCGTTGTTCCAAGACCGTGAGCCTATGACAAGTCATTTGGAATCGCAACACGGAATCGGACAGAACACTACAAGCCAAGCCTGTCCACTTTGTCTCGAAGAGATTTCGGGCGGACGAGACCTTATCATCCTTCATTTTGCTCGTCACTCCGAGGAGATTGCCCTTGCAATATTTCCAGAGTCTGACCACGAATCTGATCAATCCGAGAGCGATGCAGAAGAAGCTGTAGCATTCGATGTCACGCCAGCTAGCTCCGCAGAGAGCTCCGCAGAGAGTTTCCTCCCGTACTTGTGGTTAAACACATATGGTTGCACATATCCTTGGTGTTATGAGCGGCTTGGCACGAGGTCAGATTGGGGATAACACGAAAACTTGCAACACTCTCGACTTGGAGAATATCGCTGCGGACTATACGATGGGACTCACGCAGTGAATTCTCAGACGCAGTCTATTACAGATTCTCAACCAAAGACCATCTGGCGTGGTATCTTGCCAGGATATCATTGGGAGGCTGACGAAGACTCAAAGGTAACGGGCTATAATGCCATAATAGGAGAATCCATGATCACTTGATATACTACGCTGCTCGAAGAACGCCAGCCCACTAGGCAAGAAAAGGATGAACAATTCGGCGGAGAGTGGGCAGGCACTGGTCCACATGAATGACCTAATCTATAAATTATCTTCGCGCTGCAAGACTCGTTGGGAATTTGGTGTTTCCTCTGCCTTATCTCATTCAACGTTTCCTACGCTCTGTGTATGTATCAAATACATGAACCCGTGTGATTTGCATGGAACAAACAAGCTGCACGCATATTCAAGGCCAGTTTCGAAAGGGCAGGCAAAGGTTTGAGTGTTTTGGATTGACCATGATATGTAATGGGGTAGCACAGGCAACGCGAGCAACAATAGAGTAACGTTCTGGCCATACATATAGGCTTTCCTCCTACCCTTGTTGAGCTAGCCATGCTACGGTAAAAGGGCTCCACGACCAACCATCCCCGAACATCCACACCTATCGAACCCCATCTCCCTTCCCGCCCTCACGAAACCTCCACAGTCCTCGCAGCATCCTGATACTTCAACTTAACCTGCGGCGGCGACTCCCCCCTCGGCACCTCATCCACGCCCGCCGGCTCAACATAATCCTTATACCCATTAACCCTAAGCCTCAACTTCCGACTCTCCGCATACACCACCCTACGCATGCGATTCGTACTGCCGAGAGGCTGATGTTCCTTCAGCCCATGCCAACTGTTAACCGTAATCCTATCATCCCACCACGTCCGAAACTCCGGCAACCAGCTATCCTGCCTCTCAAACTCGAGGGTAGCAATCTGCTCAAACGGATATTTCTTAGGATCCCACTCGATGCCGATATCGTCCACGGGCTGCTCGGTCAGATCCTGCAGCAGCTGCGCGCAGAACGAGTAGCTCACTTTGTGCGCGAGGTGGAAGGCGCGCACGTTCTGCGAGATGATGTTGATGGGCTCGTTGTCGCCGATTTCCGTGTCCACGAGTTCGAGCTGCTCTTTGCCGAGGGGGAAGACGCCGTATTTCGCTACGTAGGCTCCGTGGCGGTACGCGGATTGTGAGTACTCTGGCATAGCGACCATGTTCTGGCGCGGGAGCTGGCCCCCCAGCGTCGCTACATCGGCATCCACGCGCTTGGCCTGCTCGTCCGCAAACGTCGGCAGATCATCCCAGTTGCGCTCCAGCGCATCGGCGATGTCGAATGTCGTCTGGGGGTCGCGCAGCTCGAGGACGGGGTAGTTGTTGAACGTCCAGTCCTGGGTCTTTTTGTCCTCGCCCCAGAGTTTCTCGCCCGAGATGCCGAACACTTTCATGCCTATGCCTCGGGGTGCGGGGATGTTGTCGGGCACGATTTTGGGTGTGAGGGATGAGTAGCGCATTATCACGTCGTAGGTGCCGGGTTGTGCGAACATGCCTTGCGCGAGGTGGGGTGGGAGGTCGGCGTGGACTGTGAATTTGCCTATTACGCACTGCGGGGGCGGTGTCAGTGTTTTGGTTTGCTGTGGGTAAGGGGTGTGTGACTTGTCTTGACTTACTCCTTGCGTCTTCAGATGTGTGCCGCGTAGACAATGCATATGTTCGTTGAAGTTCATCATTTGGAAACGATTGAATTGGTCGGAGACTGCCTGAATCTTCTCTTTCTCATCGGACGGGATGACTTCGACACCCTCTGCGTCCCATTTTATGTATGTGCCTGGTGCGGGCTTGTCTTGCCCACCAGCCTTGACAGTTCCGCTTGCGACTTTTCCATTGTGAATGTTCGCGATCTTGTGATGGCCCGCGGGGCATGTTATGATCTTCGTTCCACTCATGATTGTGGTATCTTAATCGAAAGTAGATCTTGTCGATGAAAGCCAGAGCGCGCGACGCCATCTTATGCAACTGTTCTGTCTCCCGGAACCAATGCTAGCCTCCATATCGCCGGCGGTCATGCTCCCCATTGTTTTGTCTCTAGACGTGATGTCCAGGGAAATGCGGGGTAGCGCGTGAAATGATTTCAGTTTCGAAGCACCGGCAGCGAACGTGTGGTCGGATGCAACTCCGGATGATGGTGTCCCACATCCGCTGCATGCACTACTCTGCCACCTTCCCCACGGGGATCCATCTGGCAGACATCTCTAGGAATGGAACGTGCTGCTTGTTTTCAGTCAGATTGCAGTTCGATGTGTGTGGCATCACACCTTGAGTAAGGACTTGGCATCGTGTACAAAGGATCTGCGCTGCATGACGATGATGTGGGGAGCCGACATAGAAGTAGTACCAACGACCCACCTCGAGTAGTACAACCGTGGATACCAGTATCTGACAGGCTTGAATATACGAACCTAAGATGTTTGTATAAACGTGGACCCTTGAACATGCTCAAAAAGTGACACATTAGCATGCAGCTCGTCCTTGCCACAATCTATTACTCCGTCGCCGCACATCTATTCGCCATGACAACCGCATCAGGACCCTATTCATCACCGAATATACTAGATCGCATCAAATCCGATGCGGTCCGCGATTCGATCGATCTAATCAGCCTCCCATTCTACGAAGAAGCCCTAGAATCCATCGCCGCACTCTCCGGTCACGTAATCGACATTCGTACCCTCAACTTCACAAACGCAACTCGAATCGACACGCACACGCACCCCATCCCCAACTGGTTCCGAGCTCTCGAGCCCCAAGCCGCGGGCCGCGAGACGCCCTCTTGGAGTGTAGATGGCCACTTACAGTTCATGGCCGAGCATAACATCGAACACTCTGTGTTGTGTATATCGACGCCACAAGCGAATGCATTCCCTAATGACGAGGCAGTGCTACGCAAGAAGAAAACAATTGCTCTTGCGCGCCTGCTCAATGAGTTCTCGGCGGAGCTGTGTCGGTTATACCCAAAGCGGTTCAGTTGGCTCGCCGTCACGCCGTTACCGCATGTCGAGGAGAGTGTGAGAGAGATACGGCATGCGCTTGAGAATTTGGGTGCGATAGGCGTCGGGGTCTTGACGAATCACGAGGGGCTGTATCCCGGCGAACAGGCGTTCGATGACGTGTGGCAGTTCCTACAAGATAGGGTTGCGGGTGGAAACGGTGGGAGGGAGGTTGTGTTCATTCATCCCACTGATCCGGTGATCAGGCTTGAAGATGGGCGGTTGGTGGGATCCAGACCATGTAAGTTGCTGCGTCTGCTGAGAATCCAACGGTCACTGATGGATATTGAGCACCTCTCCGCTCTGGCCTGGGTGAGTTCTACTTCGAAACAGCGCGAGCGATATCTAGCATCACGGCAGAAAAGACCGTCATCAAGTTCCCCAATCTGCACTGGCGGGTTTCACATGGGGCCGGCGCCTTCCCTGACATCTCTGAACGTTTCTTACTGGGATTCCCGGACGTATCCGACGAAGCGAAGAAAGCGTATAAGACACGGTTTTGGTATGATAGTGCGGGACCTGTCTTCCCAAACCAGGTCAAAGGGTTGACGGAAGGAATGCGGATCCCAACTAGCCAGTTGGTGTTTGGAACAGTAAGTCCTTCTACGATGTGCTAAACGACGTCATTTCACCAGCTCGTTTTCTCTTCAAGATGGAAATCTCACCATGCCGATGGTGCTGATATTGCGATAGGATTATCCATACGGGATCGGCTTCTGGGATGTGAACGCGAACATTGCCGGACTCTCAGAGGCCGACTTCCTATCCACCGAGGATAAGGAGAAGGTCTTTAGACAGAACGCAATGGAGTTGTGGCAAGGTCGACTAGGAACGTCTTGATCGGGAGTTCCGAGGGTGATTTCGAAAGTCGCCTCCCTTACTGTCAGTCAATACACGCAGGCCAATTCGATTATTAGTCATGAGCCACCTCCACGGAACGGCGTAGACAGGTGTCAAGACTGGACAATGGAGTGTATAATTGCCCTTGAAGCTGAGGAATTGGTTCCTGCAGGGACTTCTCAACGGGTTTAAGGGCTTGTAGGGAGATCAGTGACTGTATTATCACAGAGCTTAGGGAAGAGATGGACTCCCAATCGTAGGTAGGAGATACATTTGTAGAAAAAGCCTTTGTATAGAGCCATTCAGAAACCAGAATATACTACCAATTCCTTGTCAAGTTGCTCAAGGATTAAATAGGTGGTCATGTCAATTTCCCCAGCGAAAACTGATTCAAGTACAGCTTTCCATTCCAGATCTCTTGCCCTTGATCGTGCTTCGTAGTACTCCCTATCCTTGATGCTGTATCCTGACGCCCCCCAGTCGAGAATACCAGAGATCTTGCCGTCTTTGACGAGGATGTTATCCAGATGAAGGTCACCATGCGTGAAAACGATGGCCGTATCTTCAAGGGTCCCGACCTTGCTTAGTAGAGCTTCGTCTCTTTCGTCAAAGATCCCGAACGGCCTTGACATTTGTAGGGCTCTCCTAATCCCTGCGTTGTATTCGCTCCGTGTTCTATATGGACCATAGTTAATTTCGGACTTTTCGTACACGGGAAGGTGCTTGAAGAAAATATCTTGGCAAAGTTGTTCGCCGAGAGCACCGTAATACTCGCCTCGAAGTGCCCGCCATTCTTGAATGTAACCTCGTAGTTCTTGTGCTAGAGAAGCTCTGGCTTCCCATCCTAGATGTGACCAGACATCTGCCAGCGGTTGTCCCTCTAATTGCGACATCAATATGTACCCAGAATCTCCTCTTTCACCAACACGGTCGACCCTAGCGACGGGTACGGACGTTTGAGTGGCCAAAAGGCGCATCGCGTCCGCCTCTGACCGTGCGATGCCATGACCAATCTTCAAGATTTGTTTTGTATCGGGAAAAAGAATAATCCTAGGGCCAATCTTTTTCTCGAACATGTCCAACGCATTGTTAGGTAGCGTTATTTCATCAGCGAAATGCCGAATTGGACTGAAGTTTAGTCAGGAAAGGTAGACGAGATGAGATTTAGGCCTAAGATTATACTTATAATCAAGGAGTTCCTGTGGTAGTTCCATATTCGAGTAGATATCCGGATTGCAGAGAGAGCTAAGCTTGTTGCCCGCTTCAGCTATATCCTCCAGGATTGTGCAGAGGTAGGTAGGCTAGTCTCAAATAACTGGAAAGTGTTGCGACGTAGAAATGCTATCGCTTGAAACGGCTTGCTGTCAATGTATAGTACAGCCGCCGTCGTGGAGTTGGTGTTGTAGGGCGTTGCTCCTGGAGCGGCGAAGAAATTAAAAGCGAAAGGTATATCGCCGCGCAGGTTTTCGAGTGTGAGTCGCAAAGTGTAAGGCTTGCAATTAAGGAAACAGAACCGTCGACGTTTGGGGGGTGCGGACTTGAGCTGCGCAGGCGTAGCAGGTTAAGAGAAGCGTCGCGGCCTTTTGCGTTGGAAGTTCAGCTACTACCGTAAAATCCCTGCTCTTCCAGAACCTACTAACAGGGGATATATAAGGCTGCAATATTAGGATACACCAAGGAAATAAAAGAACTATAGTCGGGTTGGAAGTGCAAAATGTAACTCTCTAGATCGATGTAGTCATCTCAACGCAGCCTGTTTTCACCAGGCAAAACAGTATTAAACCCTAAAGATTTTACGACCCAGGCCAGCAAACCCATCTTGCAGAACCTTCCGACCGGCAAGTTGATTAGCAAACTGAAGTTTTTCCTGAAGCTTCCAGTCTTCGCGGCTACTGAGCGTGAAAAGCATGCCTGCGACAAAGGTATCCCCTGCGCCAACAGTGTCGACAAGTGACTGCTTCGTCTCTGGCTGCCAAGCATGGACACTCTCCCATTCCAGAACCCCGTGTGATGTGGTGCTTTTCTGAACGGCGGTAGCACCTCCAGCACCCCATGTACAGCACAAAAGCGCACCAGGTCTGGCACTCGAGATCTGTGACTCAAGGAAAGTAGTAGCGTTATCGTAACCATTACTGTCCGCCCATAGTCTCGAATAAAACACAACGTCTGCAAGACGAGCGACGTCAGCCATGCCTGTCCGCTCAGGCTTCTCGCATTCTACGCTGATCTTGAAGCTTGCAAATTCCTTCTTCGATCGCAGGTACTGGACGCACTCAAGCGTGACGTCTGGGATTCGGCCTTCGAAATGGAACCAGCCATGATTATCTGCAATGGCCATTCGCGAGGCCTGAGCTGTGAACTCGTTGGCAGTCATCTCTGGAAGTTCATTGATGCTGACAATTGTCCGCGAAAGATTTTGTTCGTTTTGAATGATGTAACTCGATGCAGCTTCCATGTGCCCCTCACGAAAGATACAAGAGTGATCGAGGTCTACTCTAGGAAGAGAGTCGCGAATCAGAGCCATTGTGATTGACTGTCTATCTGGGAGAACAGCGAGGAGATGAAGTTGAATCGCTTGAGGGTCTTGATCAGTTTCTAGACCCGGATCGTGCTCAAGCAGCTGTGCTAGCACCTCAAGTGTGTTACCGGTATTACCGCCCCGGCGACGTGTGAGTTTCTTTGCGCGTAGCTTCTGGTCTTCAATTGGGAAATGAGGCACGTTGAGGATTGTGTCGACATATATGGCTCCGATACAGATGATGTGTTTGTGGGCATTTTCCAAGATGGGAGCGGACATGATCTTCTGTGTCTTCCGGTACGTGATGGCGTTGAGGGTGTGGATTGATGGAGCAAGGGTTTTGGTCGCTGTGGTTGTGGTTGTGATTGTGGATATGGCTTACCTAAGCCCTCACTTACAAACTACTTGCAGATTTTGAGAGGGGAAAACAATTCTGTTCTCATAACTACAAGTTGAAGCTGTAATCCAGCTGACTGCAATTACCCCCGTCAATTATTGCTTCGCTTCGCTCGACGCGCCCTTGCCTCATGCATGGTTGCAAATGGTATCCGCTGCAGGGTCCATCATGATCCAGAGTGGGGCAGAGGGGGGAAGCTGGTCATGTGTATACATCATAGAGACACAGGCGGTGACTGAAGTCTGCGTGACGCTGTAAAGAGGCTGCCGAACTTGACTGAGAGATAGCTATCCGATGGTCACATGTAGGTGTGAGCTTCCCGAGCGAGAATGTAGGGTGATGTTTGTAGCCGCCGTGGTCTTGCAGTGGCGTGTCAAGCGTGCATGCAAAGGCACTTGTTGAAGTCGGGACGGCAGGTCTGATTGTTGGTGTGGTTGTTCAACAGCATGGTGGTCACCGTAGTTGTGGGATTCTAGATCTAACGGAGTGTACCCCGCCGATAACGTGTGGCGTGAATGCTGTCAGTCCTCCCGGGAGAGGCACGATGTGGGTAGAGGCGGCAGGCTAGACGCAAAAGGGGGATAATACAAAGATCTGGCCCCTGAGAACGGGTGGGCTGTGAGGGGAATCCTTGCAGGCGTTCGCTGGATGCCGATCAGCAAACACAGCTGACAGTCGCTTGTGATGGATACATAGGCAATGCATCAGCACACCACTTGCTGTCGCGTTGAAATTGTTGAATCTCCTCCCTCTGCACCCAAACGGCCCGTATGCGCATGAGAGTTATTACAGTACTACGCCATCCCCCAGCACCGACGCACGACCCATTCGCAAAACTCATTTCAAGCACAACACCCCTGTCCGCCCACCAACCACAAGGCTGCGCTTCTCCTTCCATTGTGGCTCCCGCGGTGCTGTCTTTGGTTCACTTGCAGCATGCTTTGACGGCTTTCTTTTTCTGTCCCGGAAACAAAGAGGCGGCGCACGGAACATTGTCTGGCGCTGTCAAAACAAGCTACCGCACCTTGACAAATAGCTCACGCACCGCTCGTCGCGCAGTCTGCCTACACCGTGTACGACGTAGTTCAGCTCCTTGGAAACATCGTTTTCGCGACTCGGAATTCGCCATTGTTGTGAACTCAGACACCCACTTCTGCCCTAACAATGGAGCCTGCACCTAGAATACTACCTGAGATCCCCCGGCGAATTCGCTCGCCCAACTCACAAAACGCCCAACCAACATATGGCTACCACAACACCTTCCACACCCATGCGCAATTGCCTGTAGGCTCTCCGCCCACATACGCCCGCGCGAGCGACCCCCAATCATTGCGACATCTAGAAGAGAAGGCGCGGAGGGAGACGGAGGCAGCACGTAGCGATGATCGACCGCCAGCATACACATGTTCGGTCGAGCTTGGGGGGATCATGGGCGTGCGGAAGGAGCTATCCTCGCCATTTCGCGTGTCAGGCCACCGGGAGTGGTACAACGCATACGTAGTGCTGCGAGGGACGCTGCTCAGCATCCACCGAGTCAAACACCCCAACATCCTCAGCAAGAACCGACGACCTTCACCAGGCCGACTCATAGTTTCATACTCGCTACAACATGCTGAGGTTGGCATGGCTTCTGATGTAAAAAAATCCGCACTAATACCAAAATCACCACTGGCGCATTTTGTGCCCGCTGCATCTCGACAAAAGGTGTTCGAGACAGACCCACATCTATTCGAACCCATCAGGGAACACGTGCTCCGTCTGCGCGTAGAGGCAGAGCAATTCCTGCTATGTGCGGATACCGAGGAGGAGATGCTGTCGTGGACAGAGGCGCTGTGCGCCGCAATCGACATCAGCCCACCCATCGAAGACCGAAGCGAGCCACGTTACCGTAGCCTGCCGAGGAGAAACAGACGACAGCGGGCCCTCGACGGTGGACAATACGCAGAGAATCTGGAAAGCCTATCGAGTGTCGAAGCAGGGAGACGCATCATTGCCGAGCAAGAACGCATCATCCGCCAACTCTACCCAAACCTGGCTGGCACGCGAGAGCCAGAAAACCCAGCTCCCGGGGCTGATGCCGAGACAGAAGACTTCGACGCTGAAGATGTGCGGTTCCCCACCCGCTCCTCAACAAGAGACGCGAGACCGCACTCTTCACAAGACGACGACGATGAGCGCCCATCAACCAGTCCCGCGGACCCGAAATCCACTCCCACCAACCAGCCCGACCCAGCGCAGACACTCCGGTACCGTCGCCGCTGTGCCCCCGTCCTACTCGCCACCTCACCCCGAGTAAGCGACGTAGTCTTCAGCGAAGGAATACGCATGCGCATCAGCGTGCGCGAGCAGACAATGACGGAATTCACATCGCACCCGCCGCGCTACGACGCGCACGGCTGGCCAAAAGCTAAACGCGCACCAAAGCACATCGCTATTCAGATCCCGACAACTGCAGCGACGTGCGAGACGGTGCCTACCCACAGCGATGCGCAGAGACCATCGTCGCCTGTAAGGGGTATGAGCGATGACTCGATTACTTCTATCTCGTTTGGAGAGGATCTGGCGCCCACGCGCTCCGAGCACGGGAGTGATGATATTGCGTTTGCGGCGCCGTCTGGGCCGCCGTCGCCGACGGGGTTGGCGCATAAGATGGATGCGGAGCGGCAGCTGGATGGGATGGGGAAGAGGCGGAATAGCGAGGGTGGGTTTGGTGCTGCTTTGGGTGTGGGGCTGCTTGTTTGAAGTGGTGTTGTTTGAATGTGCCTGTTAGATTTTCTATATGTTTGGGTTTTGAGTTTGATTTCGATGTCGATTTTTGCTTTTGGTGTCAGCGAGCGGGTCGGCTATCATCCAGCGAGGGCGTTTCTTTCGTTTGTTCCTGGAGCCTGATCATACATTCCCTTTGTACTTGTTTAGTCTGTTCTCGGCGCGCAGATACCCAGTCCTCTCAATGAAGAACAAAAGATGATCGACTGACTGACTGACTGACTGTCTTGCCTGGAATTCCACCTCATACCATCCATATCGTATCTTCATCCCCTTCCCCCTCCCCCAAAACGCCCCCCTACTTAATCCCCACGGCCCTAAGAAACTCCTCCTTCCTCCCCTCCCCCACAACCCTCACCGCCTCACTCATACTCTCCACCTCCCTCACCCCTCCCCCACCACCCATCTCCCACACCTCCCCCTCCTCATACCTAACCTGAAACGCCTGCCAATTCTGCCTCCTCAGCAACCCAACATGCTCATCCACCGCCCCGACAGGCCCAGTATACAAAATAACGCCCGGATACCCCGGTTTCGCGAGCCCGGAGATGGGGGATGGTGCGCCGAGGGCGAGTTTGCGTTTATTTGTGTTGAGCAGGTGGTGCAGCCAGATTATCACCGTCTTGCTCTCCGCGTTTCCTTGCGTTGGGGCTTCTATCTCTATCTCTTTCTCTCCATCCGCCGTGCTTTCCGCACGAGCAAGCACATCCCGAAACGCAGTGATCAGGATATCGAGGGCTTCCTCCCCGGGGACTATGCTGAGGCGCACGGCGTGGAATTGCTGCGTTACTAGCGCGCGGATGTCGGTTTTAAGCAGCGAGGTGGCGGTTATCAAGTCGGGGAGGGTGGTGGGGTAGGTGCTGGGGAGGCGGAGGTGCAGGGTTGCGGGGCCTTGGGTGTATTTTAGGTCGTTTGTTTGGGGGTTGTGGTGGATTTGGGAGGGGTAGATTGTGGTTAGGAGGGAGAGTTCTGTTGTTAGGCGGGTGGGCGAGGGGGAGGGGGAGGGGGATGGGGACATTGGGTGAGGATTTAGAGATGATTGGAGGTTTTGGCTTGAAGGTGACGCGGAATTGCTTGTTTTGTTTGTATGTGTGGATAGATTGTTTGGTGGTGAGTCTTGGATTGGTGATTAGTCAAGATACTTGATCAAACTACGATTTTCTGAACCTATGACGCAATTGAACAAAAAGACTAGATATTATGGATGAGGTTGGCGGGCCGCTTACTAGTAATACACAAAGCGCATTAGTTTGGTTGAGTCTGGCATTGACTTCCAGCTGTTGCAAGTTTTCGCTGCAGTCTAGTTCCGGTTCCAGGTATTTCGACTAGCTAACCGAGAGGGGAAATCATGGTGAGATCAAGGGCCCGTGCACGACTGTTGCTCTGGTGTTTAGTGTGTAGATAGCGAGTCCAGGCTGTAGAGATATGTGTGTAGTAAAGCCGTTGCAACGTCATGGTCTTTTTTATAGTTTGTGAATAGCCGTCTCGATGTGTTACTCTCCAAGTCGTCTCAGCCAGCCATCCCCGGAGTTACGAATGGCGATAAGCACAAACTTGACGACGAATGTTTGTGGAAACGACTGATTGGAAGCAACAAGGTGAGACACGCGTTGGTCCCGACGAGGAAGCGCTCACGGTGAGGCGTGTCGCGTGCAGTCAATCTGACAGGACGCTGCACGCGTGAAACTCTCGATCCATAAGAAGCCCTCTTTGGGTTAGAACACGGGACGCGCTTCTTCGTGCAGGAGTGCAGTTCGCCGAGAAAGGCCCACCCGTTCCGTGAACCTGATCGGAGCAATTCCCTCGTAGACTCCTTCTCCCTGCCCAAACACACATTCTGGTGGCATTGTATCACGTTCAAGCTGTGGTGTTTGTGCTACGTGAAGGTGTGTCGTGAGCCCTGACAAACCGAATCGAACCGCCTCTTCCGTTCAACACGCGTGAGATTAAGCAGCTTTCCGAGCTGGTGACGCCCGGTTGCCCTACGAATACGATTCCCGACACAACTACGACATTACCTCGACGTTGAGCCTCGCTTCTTCGCACCAAAGGGCCTGCAGGCGGTGGCTTAGTGCACGGCAAGATGAAGGCTGCTCCGCTGCTGGTCACCTGGCACCACGAGAACGCTCCCATATACTCGGCCCACTTCGAGCCCCATGGCAAGGGACGACTGGCGACGGCGGGCGGCGACAACAATGTGCGGGTATGTTGTCGCGAGGCGGGACGAGGTTGTGGCAGCTGCTGACGGACGTGCAACAGCTTTGGAACGTCGAGAGCAACGGCGAGGAGCGCAAGATCACCTATCTCTCCACCCTGGCCAAGCACACGCAGGCCGTGAATGTCGTCAGATGGTGTCCGCGAGGTGTGCCAATCCACACTCCACCCACACAAGCTGTGCTAACACCGCGCAGGTGAGATGCTCGCCAGCGCCGGCGACGACGGCAACGTGCTGCTCTGGGTCCCCGCCGAGAACCACACGGCGCACTCCAACTTCGAGGGCGGCGAGCTCGAGGACAAGGAGACGTGGCGCGTCAAGGCCATGTGTCGCTCCATTGGGTCCGAGATCTACGACCTGGCCTGGTCACCAGATGGCGTCTTCTTCATCACGGGCAGCATGGACAACATCGCCCGCATATACAATGCCCAGACGGGGAGCATCGTGCGCCAGATCGCCGAGCACAACCACTACGTCCAGGGCGTGGCTTGGGACCCCATGAACGAGTACATTGCGACTCAGTCGTCGGATAGATCCGTGCACATCTACACCCTGAAGACAAAGGACGGCCAGTTCTCGCTGGCCCAGCACAGCAAGGTCACCAAGATGGACTTGCCCGCTCGTCGTGTGTCCTCGAACAGCCCTGCGCCCCCTGACTTTGGCGGACGCGCTTCGTTTGTTGCCGACTCTGCAATGGGCATGGGCTCGCCAGTCCCTTCGATGCCTGGCACCCCACAGTCGCTGGCCCTGCCTACCATGCACCCGCCCCCGACATCACACAGCAGACGGTCATCCTTTAGCTCGGCGTCGATGCGTCGCTCAGCCTCTCCCTCTCCGTCCATGCCTCTGCCCGCTGTGATGCCCAACTCACCCAGTATCAGCAGCATCGGCACGTTTGGCGTCCGCAATGCCCCCATATATTTCAACGAGACACTCACATCGTTCTTCAGACGTCTTGCGTTTGCTCCAGACGGAAGTCTGCTCTTCACTCCAGCCGGCCAGTACAAGACACTGAACCCCTCCGTCGGCGAGGCGAAGCCAACCGAAGACATCAGCAACACCGTCTACATCTACACACGAGCTGGGCTGAACAAGCCGCCAGTTGCTTTCCTGCCGGGCCACAAGAAACCATCTGTCGCTGTTCGATGCTCGCCCATCTACTACACGCTCCGCCAGAACGCTCCACCCACAAAACAGATCACCATCGACACGTCGTTTCCAGGGGGCGATGAGCTTCTTTCCCTGCCAGACCCCATCCTGCCTTCGAGGCCACCACCCACATCGCACTCTTCCATGGACCCGCCACCACTGACGAGTGCACCATCTCCCTCGCCCAGCGTATCGGCTCCTTCGCCAATGCATGGTGATGGCGATACACCAGCTCCCACGGGCCCTCCTCCAGGCCCTGCGTCGGCATTCAGTCTTCCTTACCGCATGATCTATGCAGTCGCGACGCAGGATGCTATTCACGTGTATGATACTCAACAACAGAAGCCATTGTGCATTGTGAGCAACTTGCACTTTGCTACATTTACGGACATTACATGGTAAGGAGGACTTGTCTATTGGTATTGGCTGTGCTAACAATCTGCAGGTCGAATGACGGGGCCACGCTGCTGATGACATCCTCAGACGGATTTTGTTCTGCGGTGACGTTTGCATCCGGCGAGCTGGGAGAAAAGTACACAGGCCCATTAGCGATTCACAGCAGACCGCACCACACGCCCGCTGCCATCAACACAACCGCATCGCAATCCTCAAACCACTCCACTCCCGTCCAGACACCCACCACGACAAGCCACTCAGGCTCGACAAACGCCACGGCACAGCCAATGCAAAAACAACCCTCGGCAGGTTTCCCCGCATCGCTGAGCTCCTTCCCCGCCAGGCCCGGTAGTCCAACCAGAAGCAACTCCGTCTCCAGCATCGCCACCGTCTCGTCTTTCGCCCAGGGCGTAAGCGATCAGAGCACCATGAACGCTCCCACACCAGCCATGTCCTCCGTGCCCAGCTTAGCCGCTGCGAACTCGGGACCCGTCCCGATGCGCACACCGCCTCTCACACCCGCTCACAGGCAGAACAACACGACTGGGACGAGCAGCGGAGTGAAGGAAAGCGAGTCTGAACGCGAAGACGCTGCGCCTGGGGCTAAGAAGCGCGATCTTCACCCTGTTCCTGAGGCGGAAGATGGCAGGGAGAATAAGAAGAGGAGGATTGTGCCTACGCGTGTTGTTATGGAGAGCGAGAGTGGGGGTTTGGATGCGCGTGTGGAGGAGGATGCGACGATGGGTTGATTCTTCTGCGTAGTAGGAGGGTTTTACTTTTGAACTTTTTCGTTTTGGGCGGTCACCTTTGGGGTCTTTTCTCAGCACGGCGTTTGGGTGGTGGGGGTTAGCTTGTTGAGGCTTCCCCCGTGGATGGGAGTATGTGTGTATATGCTTTTTTTGCGGGTTCTGGGGTGGGGATGGGATGGAATGGGATGGGAGGGGAGGGGATTGTATGGGAAAGGGGAAAGGGAAAAGGACGGGATAGGTAGCTTTTATGGGGAATAGATGAATGGACATAGCTTAGATGGGGATTCTATGCTGGTGATTGAGTGGTCTGCTTGTGCGTCGGGAGGGGTTAGAGAAGGTGGGTTTTATTTAACAATAAGGCCGGTTTATGTCGAGCTGGAAAGTGCGTAGTTCAGCTACATCCCTCGATGTTGTCTTGGCGATGAACGATGGATTGTTGACGTTCTCTACGCCAGGTTTTTTTTGGGGGAGATCTTCAATCATGTAACTGCAGTCAAAATATAGGGACATGCCCCCATAGTGCTAGGTACTTTGTTGCTCTACCTACCCTCTACGACGATGACATCTGCCGAGACGAATCCGACACCACCCTTGCGCTCCAATCTAGGCAAAAACCCAGTTACCCAGAACCCAGTTCCCGCCTCGGTCCTATCAACCGATCTTTCCACCCTCGCAACAAATCTTACACCTTGATAACGCAGATTACCAACCACCCGCCAAGCCCCTCCGCCGACGCCAATCCCCCTCCCAAGCCACGCCATCACCCCTCCGCCCATACATCCCAGCACCATTCGGCCCTCTACCGCTAGTCTACCCCCAGCGCTCTTGGTACGGGCTGCGCGTCCAATCGCAGGGGAGGTGCGTGAGATGGGGGGTTTGGGTCGTGTGTGGTTCGGCGGTATGGCGGGGGGGGGATTGGATTGCCTTGTTGGGTATTAGGTGGGTTGGGATGGGATGGGGCCGGGGGTATATAAGGTGCGGTGTTTTGGGTTCGCTGTTTGTGGATTGACGAGTTGGTAGTGTGGGATTACTTTTGTTTGTTTGGTGATTGTTAGATATTGGATAAGTGTGTGATTCGCAAGCAGCGATTATCTAAGTGTTGAGAGAAGAACGAGAAAATGGACGGTATACTAGGACCGCGCGAGCGCATGGCGAAAGAGCACGGAACGGACGTCGAGCACGAAGCTGGCAGTATGCACGCCGCCAGCATAGAGAAAGGCGATATCTTGTCGTTGGAACACACAGATCCAGTTCTAAACGCAAAGATGCACCTCGTCAACAACGTCTGTCCCCCCAAAACCCATCCCCTCCCCTCCACCACAGCATAGCTAACAAACACCAACCCAGGCCATCGACGAAATCGGCTTCACACGCCACCAATGGAAACTCTTCATCCTAAACGGCTTCGGCTACGCCGTCGACTCTCTAATCCTGCTCATCCAATCCGTCATAAACCGGCAAGCCCAGCTCGAATTCAGACCCTCGTACAACAACGGGCTCGTCATCGCCGCATACGTCGGCATGCTAGCCGGCGCGCTGTTCTGGGGCCTGGGCGCGGATATCATCGGCCGCAAGATTGCGTTTAATTGGAGTCTGCTGATCTGCAGCGTGTTTGCGATTGTGGCTGGGGCGAGCCCGCGGTGGGAGGTTTTGGGGCTGTTTGTGTGTTTGAGTGCGTTTGGGGCCGGGGGGAATCTGGTGCTGGATACGGCGGTTTTTTTGGAGTATTTGCCGAGTGGGAGGCAGTGGATGTTGACGCTTATGGCGGCTTGGTGGGGTATGTTTGCGTCTTCCTTCTTTTTCGAGGTTTGGGGTTGGGAAGGGGGGGGGATGTGCATTGGTGGATGGATGGATGAATTGCTGACGTGACTTCAGGAATCGGTCAACTCATCGCTGGCTTCTTCGCCTGGGCTTTCCTCCCAAACTTCAGCTGCGATGATCCGCTTCTGTCCCCCGACGCGGGGCCTTGTACGCGCGCCAACAACCAAGGATGGCGCTACTTGTGGTACGCGTCAGGCGCGCTCGTCTTCGTAATGAGCATCGCGCGCATCACTGTAATCCGGCTGAAAGAAACGCCCAAGTTCCTCGTCGGCGAGGGCCGAGACGCAGAGTGCGTCGAGACACTGCAAACCATCGCCGCGAAATACAACCGCCCCTGTTCCCTCACCCTCGAACAGCTCACCGCGTGCGGCACCCTGCACCGCACGCAGCACACGGGACTCGCGCGCTTCGGCATCGGCGACATAACCATGCATCTCAAGGGGCTATTCAGCACGCGGAAGATTGGGCTCAGCACGAGTTTGATCTGGCTGTCCTGGACGCTAATCGGACTCGCCTACCCCCTGTACAACGTGTTCCTGCCCGCATACCTGGCAACCCGCGGCGCCGAGTTCGGCGACAGCAGCGCGTACACGACGTGGCGCAACTACACGCTGGTAAACTTCAGCGGGATCTGGGGCCCCGTGCTGGCGGGCTTCATGTGCCACACTGTGCTGGGGCGCAAGTATACGATGGTGATTGGGGCGCTGGTTACGATGGCGTTCTTCTTCGCGTTCACGCATGTGCGCACTGCGGATCAGAATATCGCGTTTAATTGCGTGATTAACTTCTGCTTGAATGTGTATTATGGCACGCTGTATGCGTATACGCCTGAGGTGCTGCCGAGTGCGCATCGGGGGACGGGGAATGGTGTGGCGATTGGGTGGAATCGCGTTATGGGGATACTGAGCGCTGTTATTGCGGATGTGGCGGATGTGAGTACTCTCTTTTTCGCTGTGTGTGTGTGTGTGTCTTTTTGTGTGTACTGACTTTGGCTAGACATCCACGCCCGTCCCGATCTACATCTGCGCGGCACTCTACGTGGTCATGGCGGCCATTGCGGCGATTTTCCCCTTCGAGCCGTATGGAAAGCGAAGCTCTTGAGACATGGTTTCTGCTTGGTGGAAGAATTAGATTCTGGGTGTTGGTGACATTGTGGAAGGCGAAGAAGTTTTAATGATCTGCGTTACTTGTTATTATTACCCTGTTCGTTGCGTGAATAAACTAGATGGATAGCAGCAGATATCCATATATGCGTGAGGTTGACGGGCCAACAAATGATCATACAGGCGTGTAATTGTACAATATTCTACAGAAGCCATGCAATTGTCTTCGTAACGTGATACACATACAACACACATGACGTGCCACTCATCTATATCTTTTAGCTTGAGAACTTCTATCGTCATGAACGCTCAACGTCAACTTTACTCCCACCGAGTCTCCTTCTTGAGCGGCTTGTCCCAGTCCTTGACGTGATCATTGATGACCTTTGCCGCCTGGTCAGCCGTGAAATTCCGCCCAATCGCCTCGACGAAATCGCCCTCTGGGTCTGTGGAGATTGTTAGTTTATAGTGTCAAGAACCATCTTCAAGCCAAACTCACCCATCAGGTAAAAGTAGATACTGTGATCAACGAGATAATCCTGACCCTCCTTGACCGTTTGCGGCGTGCTAAAGTAGACGCGGTACTTCTTGCACACATCCTTGATCTTGTCATACTCGCCCGTCAAGCCAATGAACTGCGGATGAAACTCCTTCAAGTACTCCTTCAAGACGGCGGGGTTGTCGCGCGCGGGATCGCACGTGATCATGATAGGGAGTAGGATGTTGCCCGATGCAGCGACGACTTTGTCGTACATAAGGGCCATTTTGTCGAGCTCGTCGGGACATATATCTGGGCAATGCGAGAAGCCGAAGTAGACCTAAATTCCAGTCAGCGTTCATTCACCAACTCCCTGCTTCTTCCATCCATCCATCCATTCAATCATGCGTCCCCACCAACACGACATGAACATACCAAAGCGTACTTCCCCTCCATATCCGCGCTCCCAAACGGCCGTCCATCCTGATCCACAAGCTCAAACGGCCCGCCAACCTTGGGCTTCCCAATCCCCTTCGTCTGCTCCGCAATGCGCTTCCTCGCCATACGCTCCTTCTCGTACGTGAAATACGCATACAGCCCCCCACCCGCGGCAATGAAGAAGATAGCAGCCGTGAGATTGAATGGCCCGCCACGATTGCGCGCACGGATTTGGTCGATGGTCTTGAGCTTCGGTCGGGGGGTTGTGTGGGAGAAGGCGCGGGTTTGGGACGCTGGCGGTGGTGGGCGGGCGGCACGAAGGCATGGTTGCGATGGGTGGGGGGCGACGCGGGTGGGGATCGAGCGTAGGGCGCGGGCTGCCCGGATGGCGTGTCTACATGGTGTGGACATGGTGAGTGCGGGGTTGGACGGCGGGTGGGCGTGTTTGGCGATGTGGTGGTGTTCGGGGACTTTTTTGGAGGTGCTTGAGCACGGGCCAGCGTCGGATGATGCGGTTGACGTCTTGATGTGTTGGGGGTGATGAATTCTTGACTCTCGCTTTTATTTTTGGATATTGATTTTAGGATAGAATCATATTGCAATTGTCGTTCAGACTGACTTCAAGAGCGTAACCTAGATGCCATCAGGCAAACATATTCGAGCAGGTCAAATCGTCTTGTAAGCCCATAAAAAAGTCTAATCCAAGCATCAATTCTCGATTATTAGTAAACGACAGCTGCTCAAAATCCACAGCTATTTAATCAACCTGCTATTGCAATATCTTCACCGAGCAGACAATTTCTCTGATTACTGTCAACTCTCTCACGCACGACATCGATATTTTATCTTACTGACGTTCCATCCCATCGCTCCTCTGCCTTGAGCAGCGTTCCATACATCGATTTTGTATTTCATTTCTTCTTCCCAGATTTGTACTTCAGCATGAAAGTAAGTTCTTCCGTACATGCATCTCGTCACTGTTCGATATGCGCCTCGACCTGCTCAATCCCAAGTCTTAGTATCTCACGCTCTTACATTTTCACGCTCCACTCTTCAATTAATTCGAATTAGAACTGGTTTACTACCTATATTCCCCAACTTCTCGCGTTTCGTCCTTACATGTGTGGGATACCAAAGAGTAACCCCCTCTTTAAGCGCGACAAGCGTAAATGTTCGCGGGAGTCAGACATGAAATGTATACATTAAAATCTAATCTAATCGCTAAGTCACAAAAACGCATCAATAAGAACCACCTCTACCTACAACAGGGCTACCTCAACCCGCAGCGAACTTACTCTTCCCCCTCAGTGTCTCACCAAACTTCCACAGCATAAACGGCGCAGGCACACCCAACGCCAACGCAATAAAGCCCAGCAGACTATTCCCCCACCCATACCCCAACGCATCAAACAGATACGTCGCAAAAAGCGGGAACCCGAACCCAGCCAACGACCTCAACACCGTCGCCGCCGCAATAGCACTAGCCGCATACCGCGTATACGAGTCAACAAGGTAAGTTTGTATACACTGAAACCCGATGATAACACCGCCGCAGAAAAGCGCAGCGCCGATATTAGGCATAATCCAATGCAGCTTAGCCTGCGCACTCCATCCGTACCAGAACAAGCCGGTGGGGACGAGCAGCGACGCGGGGATCATGATGGGGACGCGGAACTCTGGTTTGCCGACGCCGTTGTTGCGCTTCTTGAGGCGGCGGTAGAGCATGTCGTTGAGTGGGGCGGTGATCTGCGTTCCCAGGAAGAAGCCTAGGCCCATGGAGATGAAGTTCAGTGATCCGATGCCGACGCTCTCGCCGTACTGGTTCTCCCAGAGCCCGGGGAAGGTCGATAGCATGAGGTACATCAAGCCGTACAGGTAGGCCATGTAGGCTGCCAGGACCTGGACGATGGGCTGCGTGAAGAGGAGTTTGAAGGGGCGCTGCATGGCGATTTGGATGGTTTTGAGGAGGGTGCGGTCCGGGCTGTCGAATTCTGTGTGTAGTTCCGTGTTGCCGGTTTCTTTGCGTAGTTTGTCGCGTTTCCATGCGAGGAGCTTGGGGGCGTAGGTCTCTTGGAGGAAGAAGACGCCGAAGCATTGCACCATGGCTGTGAAGATGGTGGTGGAGTAGAAACACCACCGCCATGTTGTGTTCTCGCTGATGAAACCGCCAGCAATGGGTCCGATGGCTGGGCCAAGTAGTGGTGCGAGACTGTATATTGAAATTGCTTTTCCACGCTGCTCAGCATGGAAACAATCGCTAAGTACGCCCTGGTATTCAATGTTAGGGATACCTTGAGAAGCAAGAGGGTAGGAAGACACTTACACCACCAATAGCCAACGGCGCACTCCCACCCAAACCACTCAGAAATCGGAAAGCCATCAGCTGTCCCTTGTTCTGCGCGAACCCACACCCCAGGTTCCACGCTAAATAGAACAGATTCGACAGCTGCAGCACAAGCACACGCCCATAGACCTCTGACAGTGGCCCCAGGAACAACGGTCCGATCGCGTAAGCCAACACAAAGATGGACAGAGTCAGTTGCGCCTCGACTTCCTGTGTTATATGGAAATCTGCGCTAATAGACCGCAAAGCCGGAGAAATCATCGACGACGAGATGGGCGAGACGAGCGTAAAGCATGACACAATCAGCGTGGCCGCCCACTTCCTCTTCATACTCCAGTTCTTTGGATTCGCCGGGTCATCGGGAGAGTCCCATGATATCTATCTCTTGTCAGCAAACTTCCTTCATCAATCAAACATGTACTCTTTGCATACCAGGTTTGGATCCTTGACAGACTTCGCGCTCTTCTTTCTCTCCAACTTCGGCCCCGCTTCCACATCATGTTCATACGGAATCCCACCCCGGATCTCTTCATATGTCGTCTCCTCCCCATGTGTCGCCTCTTCCGTCTTCTCGTCTACGTCATCATCGCTCGTCTCGCTCTCCACTCCGCGTCGCTCAGTCTCAGTCTTGTGCAGCGACCGTGCATCGGTGTCGATATGCACGCCCTCCCCACCCTCGTGATGGTACACTGAGTGATCGTCCGGGAACTGATTCGACAGCAGGCGATGCATTGGCGGAGTAGACGGTCTACTTCTCGGGCGAGAACGGGAGCGTGCTCTCGATAGCGGGCGTCGGGCGTCGGATTGTGTGCGTTGGTTCTCCATGGCTCATGTATGTGTGTTCGAGTATCAAGGACGTGTCGTGCGTATAGTAGATGTCACGTTTGGCGTGTGACGATGCCGTATAATTCGATCCGGCGAAATAACTAGGTGCCCTCTTACTCAGTCCGAACGAACCTTTTCGAATTCAAAGCCAACTTTCACCAACAGGGCACCCGCTACCCTAAATACCCACAATCCACTTTATTTCGCCCCAACGGCGCGCTGCAAGTCTCGCCTCTACACACCGGCCCGGCTTTAGTACACCGTTTCAACGACGCAAAGTCCGTGTCGCGCGCCCCACAACGGATAAACACCGACGTTTGCATCGCAATCGGTCGGGACGTCGGCAGGGAGTAAGACCCGATCTGCTGGACATGCACTCGATGCGGTGTGATTTGCTGGACCTTTGGAGAACGGCGAGAAGTTAGCGTTGGGGAGGTTTTATTCCGATGGTATCCAGGTGAGGTTGCGTCATGTGTGTGGTTTTGCTTTTTATTTCCGGGATGCCCGGATGCTTGTTCGCGATAAGCTTGTTGTTGGTGTGAAAGGCTGGGCTGGGCATGCACCTTGCTGACAGAACTTAACCGTACACCCGACCACGAAAGTGAAGGACAACACAAACAACGAACTGTTAAGAGAAACTAGTTACTAAACATATCGGTATGATTTGGTAACTCATAGGAGCGAGATCTTTAGGACAGAAAGCCCTTTGTCGTTCAACATGCACGAAATCTCAACATCTTGTCCATTGCTGCTCACTTACTATCTGGAGTCCGTACAATTTCTGGGGTGTGGGGATTGTGCTGATTGAAGAACATGACTCCGTTCGTCTGTGCTGGTTTCACTTCGTACCCTCGCTTGAAGTACAAGCCTTTCCCCACGTCCCATGTCAATCTCCAACTCGATCATGGAGACGATTTCGACCACTCCGTCAGCGTCCTGATAGGCATGTACTCGAAGTGGAAACTATATCAAGCTGACTGTGTAATGCTACTCGTGCCTAATCTACTGCAAGTCTACATCACTATCCACTAGTACCATTGCTATCCTTACTACTCCCCCAGCCAGCCGAGAAAGGTTTATATACTCCGCATCAGCATCACCATCAGCACTTAGTATAACTCCACGTCAACCAGTAGGAAGTTCACACATACCGCCGGAAACCAAGCAGGACATCGATGAACGACATTCAGAGTATCGCAGGACGATGTCGTAATAGACACAAGATGACTGGTGAAAATCGAGGTCCATAGATAGGTAATCGACGATCAACAACCCCTCCGTGCTATCAACGTAAAGGTAGAAGCGGAGTAAACAGTCCCAACAGCCGTACGCCGTGATCCATCCTCTCTCCCAATCAATCAACCAGATATAAAAGTAAGAAGTACGCACTCTGCATTCCCGTAGCTCCTACAAGCCGCAGAACCATATTTATACAATTTACAGAAGAGTATGCTGGGTGGTATATACTGCTAAAAGTCTAAGATTAGTGTAGGAGTCTTGTGCTTAGACGTACTTGTCAAGCCGTTGCGAGATTCCACTACACGCGCCGTAATTCCTAGTATTTCGAGCAACCAAGAGCCGTGACATTCAAGCCAGGTAAGAAGCGGAGGGAAAAGTGCTGACAGACATACGGCATGATGCATCCTCGACAAGGTGGGAAGTTCGCCGTCAAACAAGTCCAAGCCCACACCTCTCTCAATATCAAACATCAAAGCAAACACCACGAGAATCAAGAACACCACAACCTGAAAGCATAAGAATAATTACTAAACCGCCCCTCTAATACACATTCGCCTTCCCCTTCCCCTCCAAATGCGGATTAGGATACGGATACGGATACGCATCCTCCTCCTCCGCGACAGGACTAACAGGATGCACCATGACACTCCCCTGCCCGTGCCCATACCACCCGCCAGCGCCCTGCACGCCCAGCCCGCCGGGCCCCATATCCCCAGGCGCGGCCTCGCCCCCAGTGCTATGATACGTCCCGCCCTCGAGCTCGTTGAACGCACGTGTGCGGGGCGTCATGGGCGTCTTGAAGCCCGGTGTGCGCGGCAATTGTTGTAGCTCCCACATGTGCTGCCATTGTTGCTCTGCGGTCATTTCGTTGTCGTACGGCGAGGCGGACCATTTTTCCTTCTCGGCTGCTTTTTCGGCGCGGGCGGCTGCTGCGGCGGAGCGTTGGGAGGCGGTGGGGTAGAGGGAGTAGAAGGAGAGGAGGAGGAAGAGGGTGTATATTGCGCTGGTGATTGTTAGCTTGTTGCTTGGGGTTTAGGGGATGGAGATGGGGATGGGGACGTACAGCATGATGATGCTTACTGCGAATGAGCTCTTGGCTTGCATGCAGTACTTTCGTATTGTGCCGTCGTCGACGATGTCGCAGTTCTTTGTGATGTACCATGGTGCGCCGTGGTTGGCGCGCGAGGGATCGATGGTGTCGGGCGCTGTCTGGATGTGGATTCCGTATGCCCATAGTGTGACGAGGGCGATGTGTAGCATGACGGAGAGGATGGGGTAGAAGACCTTGAGCAGCGCGAACGTGACTTTGACCAGCCAGAAGAACAAGCATACCACGCCGATTACAAGGTGGTATTGTGTGTTGCTAGGGCAGCATTAGTTTTGATTATTCCATGTTCAACGGTGTCACGACTTGGGGTTCCTCGACCGCGAATAGAAGTCAAACTCACAAATTACTCCACACCAGCGGGATCGATACAGGTCGATAGTTCGCATACGCATACACTATCGTATCAGGGTCGCTATTATACCCCATCTTCCCGCCCTCCTTCCAGAGAATCGTACGGTACAAATTCGGACTCGCGATACCGAATAGCGCCAAGTTTGCAACCGTAAAGGGAAGCTCGAAAGCGATGAGGAACCACACCATGCGTGGGAGCCGCCATTGTCGCGGAATGTAGATGCCCATGGTTGAAGAGATACGCGGACGAGCGTGTCGTCGAGATAGTCGAGATGACGCGGTGCGATGCGATCAGCTGCGCTGAGCTGAGGTGAGAATGTCGAGATAATCAAGGCTTACGACCCGTCGTCGTCGGCTCGTCGTTCAGTCGTCAGGGAAGTGGTTCAGTCACACATCAACCCACCAGACGCAAACCGGGGGCATCCCTCGCTCTTATTGAGCCGTCCATATCTGCGCGTGAGGGGGCGAGAGAGCGTCTGCAGGCGCTGAGTGGGCACATGCATCACCGCACTTGTAGAATGTGACTACCAATCAAAGCTGCAGCGCGGGCCGGGCCCTGAGTGAAGCTGGGAACTGAGTGTGCCTGGAATGGTGCCTAATACTGCCGTTTTAGGAAATACACTGGAAGGCTGAGCTAAGGGTGGGGCGCAGATTAGCCGTGCATGCTGAGGTGCGAGTCGCGTGGAGGTGGGGAGATGCAAAGGTCATGTTGGCGCTTAGAGGGTTTGTCGGTTGGTGGTGTTCATGCAGTGTCTGCAGTAGGAGGGACAGGGAGGATGTCAAGTGTTGGAGGACTGGGAAATGTGGGGTTCTTGATCGACGCGTGTCGGAGTTTGTATATTTTGCGGTCTTTATGGGCGCGTAATGTAGAGTTATAGTGTGAGCATCAGGATTCAATAGCGCTTAGTGAGATGCAATCGAATTGTGATAGCGTGATAAAAGATGCAACCGATGATGGTTACTGATCAAGTGTAAAAGCGCAAGGTAAACTGCGTTCTTTGGTGATTATGAAGATAGCAAAATAAACTAACAGGTTGTACAAAAACTGTGTGCTAGACGTAGACTGCTATAAATCTAGGCACACGACTTGTATATCAATCTTAGATGTAGTTGTTAAGGTGTTGGTAGATTTCGATGTAGATAGTTTCTGGCATTTTGATTGTCCGACAGAGCGTGAGATAGTTGTTTGGAAGCACGTGTTAGCAGTAGAATTCTGTGCTTGAATCCTGAATGATGTTGATGCATATGATGTCTATCTGAGCATATCCAATACCTATAGTAGAGGTCCCGGAGATTAGCACGCCAGTACAACGTTCGATCTAAGCCAACACAAGTGCCCATCTAAACACACGATTACCACCACTTCTCACACAGCACCCTCTCAGGAACAACATGTTCCTGCTCCTTCAAATACTTCACAATCTCATCCGTCATATCCGGCGGCCCACAGACGTAAAAACACGTACTCTTCGCCTCCTCCTTGGTCCCCACCGCACTGCTCAGCGCAATCTCATCGATGCGATGCGTCCATGCAACCACGGGTACCTCAGTATCGACATCGAGATTCGGCAGCGTGAGCGACATGAGCGGTTGTATGGGCTCGGTGTTATGTCTGTTCATAAGTGACCCGTCCCATGTGCCCGTAAAGTAGAGCTCGAGGCGGTCCTTTGTTGTCTCGGAGCGCGGTATGCGGAAGAGGTCCAGGAGTTGGGTGAGGTAGAGGACTTGCGTGGGGACAGTTTCGCGCGAGGGCACCTTTGTAGAGTAGAGGAGGCGGACTTGGAGGGAGGGGTAGTTTTGGTTGATGTAGGCGAGCATGGACATCATGGGGCTTGGGGGGGTTGTCAGCTGGTGTATACGTGTCGCGCTGGTTGTGGGACGACTCACTTGATGCCCACACCGCCTGCGATGAAGATGGCGCGCTTGATCTTGCTCAGGTCCAGCCCGGGTGGTGGCCAGACGAAGCTTCCGCCTACGCGCACGTTGACCTCTTGTCCCTGCACCTCCTCTTCCGGCCCCCATAGCCATTCCGCAGGTGGGTTGTTGGGGCTCTTCTGCACCGCCAGCTCGAAAAAGGGCGCGTGGTCGCGGTTCGACTGTGACAGGGCATCTCGTGGCGAGCTCGTGATGGTGAAGCCGCCCGCTTTCTCAACGCCAGGCACAAAGACGTCGAGCCATTGGCCGGGATGGAACTTGGCCTATCCATCAGCGCATGTCGCGAGCGGAGCTGGGGAAGGAGCCGGCAGCAGGCATACGTTGAAGCCGTTCTTGTCTTTGAGCGCGAACCTGAATGTCTTGATGCGGTTGTTGACTTCTGTTATGGTGTCGACGGTCGCGGCATGGAGGTCTTTTTCGCGCGGTTCAGTTGCGGTGCGTTCTTGGTGGCTTAAGATGGCTTTGGCGGACCGCGTCTGGGGCATGCTGCTTAGCGGCGCTCTGCGGACAAATGGGTATCTGGCGGGAAAAGTGTGGCGAAGAAGATGACGGGCGGATACGCGCATGGCAAGGCTCTTACAGTCAAGAAAAGCTATGCAAGTGGGCACAGTGGGGTATAGAGGGGCGTGCGGTTCCTTTGCGTGTCATGCATGTGAGGATCATCGGGACGTTTAAACTACGCCGAGCTAGTACGAGCCGCGGTTGATCGTGAATTGAAACCGTCCTTCATTCTCTGCATTCATTCGTTCTGAATATTCCTATATTCTCTGCTCTAACACGTCAAAATGTCTACTGAAGAAGGCTGGCACACGGTCGAGGATGGACAGAAGCTGTACACCAAGACGTGGAAGGTAAACGCGACACAATCTATGTATCATGCCACATGAAACTATACTTATCCTATCGACAGACGAACGGACCGGCCGTAGCTCGAGTAGCATTTATCCATGGATTTTCAGACGTAAGTTCATCTCGCTTTGGTTTTGGCAGGACTAGATACTAACATCGTCGTAACAGCATAGTAAGCGTTCATGAGTATCACACCACTCGAACGAGGTTCTAATATATGACAGTCGGCACTTATGGCGAGTTTTTCCCAACGTTAGCTTCTAGAGGAATCGAGGTTTACGGCTTCGATCAGAGGTGAGTAGAAATCCAATCTCACCCCGTAGACGTATACCGCATAGCTAACCGAGCACAGAGGATGGGGACGTTCAGTCACGAAGCCATCTGAGCGAGGTCATACAGGCCCCACGACGCGGGTTCTTGACGACATGACCTCCTTCCTGAAGACGCTGATCCCAAGTCCTGTCCCTCTATTTCTGATGGGACATTCCATGGGCGGAGGCGAAACTGTCTGTTACGCCGCCCAGGGACCAGCAGAGATCCGCAAGCACATTCGAGGCTACTTGCTTGAATCTCCCTTCATCGATTTCACCGAAGCGGGGAGGCCTTCCTTCGTTACAGCCTACGTGGGCCGCCTCGTCGGATACCTTTTGCCGCAGAGGCAGCTCACCAATAGGATCGATCCCAACCAAATCTCGCGTGATCCGGTCGCTAACCAACGATGCGCGGAAGACGAGCTATGCCATGGCACGGGGACATTGGAAGGACTGTCGGGGCTGATGGATCGAACCGCAGATTTGGCTGCTGGCAACATCGTGATTCCCGATGATGCTGGCGAGGGCGGAGTGACGAGGCTCTGGTTTGGTCACGGGACTAAGGACTTGCTGACCGACTATGCAGCGACCAAGCGGTTCGTCGAGGCGCTGCAGGTCAAGGACTTGGAGTTCAAGACATACGACGGGTGGTTCCATCAGTTGCACAGCGAGCCAGACGGCGACAAAGAGATCTTCTTCGACGATGTTGGAAAGTGGATATTGGCCCGGTCAACGGATCCTGTCCAGGAAGGTGCCAAGCCGAAGCTCTGATAGCAGGTACAAGCCTTCTTGGGAAGTAAACAAGCAAATAGATGAGCAACGTAATGCTCGTATACTTGGGACTGCTCGAGGGCCCTTTTTTAGCCGGGACGCGCGTGCACACATAGTGTGATGAGGCTTTGCTGGTGATGAAACGTATTGCTCAAGGCGTATCCAAACCTTACTCGAGTCGTGACGCGGCATGCGTTCTTGATCGAGTGGACGTGTATTCGTGTGCTCGTGTTGAAGAAGGGGAATAGCACGAATGGGTAGAGATGGACTCGTCTAGCCCCACCTGCTTAGCGGAACAAGCAGCGAGGTGACGCGGATACCGCGTGCAGTCACAGTCGGAATCTCAAAAGCAGACGTGGAGCTGGTATGCAGCACCAAAGTCAATTTGCACCCGCCGAGCCCCATGTTACGCCCCCGCAGAGATGGCACGTTGTCTGTCGTTGGCCAGCTACAACGCGTGTGCATGCCCTCCCCGTGTCCTCCAGCCTACTCAGCCCTGCACAAGTTTTCAACGGCCGCCTCAGCACGACCCTACCCCGACCAGGCGACGAGGCGCGGGTCTAGACAGTTACGCGTCCTCTTCACGTCGACGACTACAAAAGCCACGCGCCTGCCACGAGCAGCACCCCTTTCTCTCAACTGGGCCTCTACTGTGCACTGCATCCGCCACACTTCCCCTTCCACCATGACGACGACGACCACCCAGACGCAGACGCGCAGCCACGCCGGCCACTCGCACGGCCACCACCACCACAGCCACGACAACACCTTCCTGCTCTCCAAGAACAAAAAAGACGCCGGCGTGCGCATCACGCGGATCGGCCTGTATGTCAACCTGGGCATGGCGGTGAGCAAGGGGTTCGGGGGTTACGTCTTCAACAGCTCGGGTGAGTCGAGTCGCGCCCTCAGGGATGGACACCAGCTCACACACGCACAGCACTCACGGCCGACGCCATCCACAGCCTCAGCGACCTGGTTAGCGATGTCATGACGCTTGCGACGGTCGGGTGGTCGCTCAAGCCAGCATCCAGTCGCTTCCCCAGCGGCTACGGCAAGGTCGAGAGTCTAGGCTCGCTGGGTGTCAGTGGGATACTCCTGATTGGGGGCTTCATGATGGGCTGGTCGTCTCTGATCGCCTTGTTGCAGCAGTTCTTCCCCGAGGCCACCGAAATCGCATCGAGCTGGGGGCTACTGCCACACAGTCACGGACACAGCCACGGCGCTGACGACCTGGGTCCGAACATCAACGCTGCGTGGCTGGCGGCAGGGTCCATATTGGTCAAAGAGTGGCTGTATCGAGCGAGTAGGTGCAACCAATGCTGCTCTGAAGAGTCTACGCTAACTGCTGTCTAGCCCTGAAGGTCGCCATCGAGCGCAAATCGACTGTCCTCGCATCCAACGCCTACCACCACCGCGTCGACTCTCTGACCGCCTTCGTCGCCCTCCTCCTCATCGCCGGATCCAACGTGCTGAACAATGCTTCTTGGCTAGACCCTGTCGGCGGACTGGTCATCTCCCTCATGGTAGTGCAGGCCGGCTGGGGCAACACAAAATCCGCCCTCCTGGAACTAGCAGATGTCGGCGTGGAAGACGAGATGAAGGATAACGTCCGGAAAGCGGCGACCGAGGCCGTTGCCAACATCACCACCGCATCCGAACAGGTGAATGTGCGCCACGTTCAGGGTGTCAAGGCTGGACAAAACTTCCTCATGGACGTGGAGCTCGGCGTGCCAGGCTCATGGACAGTCGAGCAGACGCGCGGTGTGGAAGATCTAGTGCGAGAACGCGTCGGCGCCAAAGTACGTGGCGTGAAGAAGGTTCGCGTGCGATTCGTGACAAACTCTGCCGAGATGCCCGACTTCATGGACGAGTTCATCAGCGGCGACACGACTGCTATGTCAACTTCAGAGTCGGAGGACGAGCATGACCACGATCATGACCACGAGCACAAGCACAGTCAGAGCACAAATGGCGACGTGAGGAAGAGGTTATAGATTTGTAGGACACGATATACACAAGAGGGTTGGGTTGGCGCTCTGGAGTTGGAGAAGGAAATTCCCAGACAGTTGGTCTTGCTGTCACTTGCGTAACGATCTGAGCAAATACCATTTATCACTTTCGAACCTCATTTTCTTCCCCTTTCTGATGACATACCTGTTGCTCACCTCGGCAGACATTACAGCGAGGGCCGTATACCTTGGGCGGGGCTTGATCGTATTGAACCCTGGCAGTCGGGTACTGATCCAACTACGGACTCGCGTGATGCAGGGGCGAGCCGTGAATAGGTAAGTGCGCCCCAATTCTCCGACTTGAAGAACACGAGACGGTGTTTAGGCTGTATTTATCCATGTCTTGTGCCTTGTCCGATCCTCTCAGCTTCCTCCTGAGACCACCATCCTCATCTCGCGATTATGGCTGAACAATTCCTAGGCTTCGACCTGAGCACACAGCAACTCAAGGGTGAGGGCTACCCCGCCATAGCTACCCCACCAATTCATCCCCATCACATTACTGACGCGGTCGCGTCGCAGGCATCATCGTCGGCTCAGACCTGAAACTCATCCACGAAGCAAAAGTTGACTTCGACGCCGACTTTTCCAGATATGGCATCGAGAAGGGTGTGCTCACGAACCCTGCCGAGGGCGAGGTGTTCGCGCCCGTTGCTTTGTTTCTGGAAGCTATCGACCTCGTCTTGCAGCGGTTGAAGGATCAGGGTGCCGATTTCTCAAAAGTGCAAGGCATTTCCGGCGCGGGGATGCAGCATGGCACCGTGTTCTGGAGTCAAGATGCGGAGAAATTGCTGGGAGGGTTGGACGGTGGGAAGACGCTGCTGGAACAACTAGAGGGCGCATTTAGTCATCCGTTCAGCCCCAATTGGCAGGATGCGAGCACGCAGAAGCAGTGTGAGGCTTTCGACGCTGCGTTGGGAGATGCGAGGAAACTGGCTGAGGCTACGGGGAGCAAGGCCCATCATGTTCATCTCTCACATCTACCTTTCGGAGGCTGACTTGTACTGACATCGTGACAGCGCTTCAGTGGCCCTCAAATCCTCCGCTTTCACAACAAGCACCCTGATGTGTATAAAGCAACTTCTCGCATCTCTCTCGTGTCGTCCTTCCTCGCGTCCATTTTCCTGGGCAAAGTGGCTCCCATGGACATTTCAGATGTTTGTGGTGCCAATTTGTGGGATATCGAAAATGGCTGCTGGCAAGAGGACCTTCTCGCACTCGCCGCGGGAGGGAGCGAGGGCGTCCAAGATTTGACGTCGAAGCTGGGCGATGTTCCCCAGGACGGCGGTGCCAGCTTCGGCATTATCTCAACCTACTTCAGCAAGCGCTACGGCTTCCCTTCGTCGACTGAAATCATCGCCTTCACAGGAGACAACCCTTCCACTATGCTCGCTCTCCCGCTTCGCTCTTCAGACGCCATGGTGTCGCTGGGTACATCAACGACGTTCCTCATGTCAACCTCGCAGTACAAACCTGATCCCGCCTACCATTTCATGAACCACCCCACGACAGCAGGTCTCTACATGTTCATGCTCTGCTACAAAAACGGCGGTCTAGCACGCGAACACATCCGCGACGCAATCAACAAATCCACCACCTCCTCAGACGCCAAATCCTGGGAATCTTTCAACGACCTCGCAACCAGCACCCCCGTCCTCGGCCAAGACGCTCCCTCCGACCCCACGCGTCTCGCCCTGTACTTCCCGCGCCCAGAAATCGTTCCCAGCGTCAAAGCAGGAACATGGCGCTTCCTCTACGACACCAAAACTCACACCCTCTCCGACGCGAAACCAGACGACAAAACCTGGCCCCTCACAGCAGACGCAAGAGCAATCCTCGAATCCCAATTCCTCTCCCTCCGCCTGCGCTCCCAGTCCCTCGTCGAACCGCAAGGCGACCTCCCTGCGCAGCCGCGCCGCATCTACCTCGTCGGCGGCGGCGCCGTGAACCCCGCTATTGCCGAGCTCGCGGGCCAGGTCCTCGGCGGCAGCGACGGCGTGTACAAGCTGGAGATTGGCGGGAATGCGTGTGCACTTGGAGCGGCGTATAAGGCGGCGTGGGGTGTGCAAAGACGGAGCGGCGAAGGGTTTGAGGATTTCCTCGAGGAAAGGTGGAATGAGGAGGGGTTTGTGCAGAGGATTTGTGAGGGGTATCGTAAGGGCGTTTGGGAGAAGTATGGGGATGCGTTGGAGGGGTTTGCGCTCGTGGAGGGCAGGGCTGTGCGGGAGAAGGGCGAGGGGGTTGAGGGGAAGGAGGAGAGGAGGTGAGATGGAATATATGAGATTGTATGAGGGATGTGATGGGGAAGGAAATGGTGGGCGTGTTTGAGTTACTTTGTTGTTGGAAGAAATACGAGTACTTTTCCAAAACACAAAAGAACTTATCTTAAACTCCTACAAAAATTAAATTTGCTGTCGTACTGAAACTCGGATTCATGAGTGCTTCGTGGTAACGGCTTCAATAAATCGCAAGTCAAATTGCAGAAGAAGAATGGAGTTTACCCTTGCCATCGTTACGTCATTCAACAGAGCTCATGAAAGCTGTCCGCATATATACTCAACTACACGTACACCCACATATCCAAGAATTGAACATGGAGCTCGACCCAGCCGTAGCCACCCTCCTCAACCTAGAAGGCGAGAATGCCACTGTCTCCTCCGCCGGCGGAGGCGGCTGCAGTTCTGCATCGACCTTCAAGATAACATGTAAAAGCCGCGACACCAACAGCGAGAAGGCATTCTTCATGAAGACAGGGCAAGGCAAAGCCGCAGAGACTATGTTTGAAGGTACGCCGCCACAATTTCAACCAGCAAAAAACACCGTGTTGATATATAAACTGATAGCCCAAAAACAAAAGGCGAACACGCATCCCTAACCGCCCTCCACAACACCGTGCCCTCGCTCTGCCCAAAATCCTACGGCCACGGCCGCTTCGAAAACAACCCACAGACCTCCTTCCTAGTAACGCAATTCCTACACCGCGGATCCCACTCCCCATCGTCCAAAGCCCCCTCCCTAGCAGCCAAACTCGCAAAACTGCACACCACCCCCGCCCCAATCCCAGACGGACACGACAAACCCATGTTCGGCTTCCCCGTCCCAACATGTTGCGGCGACACCCCGCAGGACAACACCTACAAATCCACCTGGGCAGCCTTCTTCTCAGAAAACCGGCTACGCTTCATCCTACAGCGCGCCGAAGCAGCACACGGAACAGACGCCGAACTGCACGACCTGGTCGAAAAAACAGCCTCCACCGTCGTCCCGCGCTTACTATCCGACAACCACGTGAACAACGGGCACGGCATCACACCCGTCGTCGTGCACGGCGACCTGTGGAGCGGGAATGCGAGTGTCGGCGTGCTTGGCGAGGCGTCCAACGAGGCGGAAGATGTGGTGTTTGATGCGTCGGCGTGTTATGCGCATGGGGAGTTTGAGCTGGGGATTATGGGCATGTTTGGCGGGTTTGGGGGGGCGTTTTGGGAGGAGTATCATGCGTTGAGTGGGAGGATGGAACCGCGGGGGGAGTATGGGGATAGGGTTAGGCTTTATGAGGTTTATCATCAGTTGAATCATTATGCTATGTTTGGTGGGGGGTATCGAGGGGGGGCCGTGGGGATTATGAGGGCGTTGGTGGGGAGGTATGCGGTGTAGGAGTGTTTTTGGGGGATGGGACGGTGGTGGACATGGGGGAGTGTGCTTATTCGAGCGGTGGGAAAATAGGGGGTATCCATTACTTAATGTCGTGACGTTGCTTAATGTTGAAACAGCCTGGCACGTGGAACTCGGAAGAAAGAAGATCTGGGCTCGCAAGATCGTAAAGATATTCTTATATCTGGGACATATTAGACAGACGAGACATTTATGAAGTGTGACTAATTGCCATATATCAACGTTACCTATTTGCACTACATGCTTGTTGAGAACGAAAGAATATCCACGTATAAGGTTAATGCTAGGTAGTTTTTGAGAGTTATTATCGATCATATTCGTATCCTTGTAGCACTGTTCTTGATTTGTGTTATCGGTAAAATTCACTGGCACGCGTATGTGTAGTTGAATGTTGCGATTAACAACAATTGCTCAGTTTGGTAATATGTGTTACTGGATCAAGTTAAAAGAACTTAGGCTCATGACTCCGATGCGTCTATTAGCTTCAAAACAGCGATGAATTTGTTAGAAATTGATTCTAGCAACAGTATAGGAGACGTGCATGGAGAACCACAAAGAGGGCTTCGTACATCGGTGGGTCGGGGATCATGTCTGTTCCGCGTTCCTACCCCAGCTTCCCCGCAATCACCTACGGAACAAGTCATACCCAGAACAACCCGCAACACAGCGTATTCGATTTACCGGCCCAGGATGGAGATTCTAGCGATGCAGAGAGTGGTTGCTAGCAATTCTAGACTCTAAAACTGGCCAGCTCAAGGCAACGCGTCGCAAGCCGCGGCCGCGAGCACTACATGTAGCAAAGCGTTCCTCGTACTTGCAGTGCTTTTTCTTCTCATAATACGATTCTCCATATCAACACCCCTCGCTTGTTTAGTCTCATCATGTCGCATAAGCTGGATATCGTGATTGTTGGCGCAGGACTGTCGGGTCTTGCTGCTTCCATTCAATGTGCGCTTTCTGGACATTCGGTCACGGTGCTGGAAGGCGCGAAGGCACTCGCTGAAGTAAACCTACTTTCAACCGATGTGGAAAGCAATCATCTAACATCTACTAGGTCGGCGCTGGCCTTCAACTCACCCCCAATGCCACGCGACTCCTCCAGGAATGGGGCGTATACAGTGTCGTCCAGGATTCAGTCTGCGAACCCAAAACTGTCACAGTATACAACTACAAGGGCGAGGTTCTCGCACACGAGGACAACTTCGACGCCAATATTCGCCGCAAATACAACGCGCCGTTCTCGGACTGTCATCGCGTGGATCTTCAACAGGCGCTGGTCAAGCGGGCACAAGACCTGGGTGCCACAGTTGTACTGAGTGCAAAGGTGACAAGTATCGATTTCGGGTCCGCGACAGGAGACAGAGCTAAAGTCGTAGCTGGAGGAGATAAAGTTTACGAAGCAGACTTGGTCGTCGGAGCCGATGGCTTGTGGTCAACATGTCGGTCGACATTCCTTGGGCGGAAAGACCCACCGCTACCTACAGGTGATCTTGCATACAGGATTGTAATGAATGTCGATCAGATCAAGGATGAGAAGCTTCGGGATATGGTTCAGAAACCAGCTTGCCGATTCTGGGCCGGCCCAGATGCTCACGTGGTTGCATACAGTATGCGCGGGGGGAACACATACAACATCGTCCTGCTAGTACCTGATGATCTCGAAGAGGGAGTGGCGCGGACATCGGGAGACATTGATGAGATGAAGAAGTTGTTTGAAGGATGGGATCCAGTGTATGTGCCTATCCCCACTGGTTTCACAAGTAATATAGCACGGCATGAGCTCACATGTAGTAGGCTGACTCAGTTCCTCGGATGTGTCGATAAGGTTGACAAGTGGAAACTCATGCACCGGGAGGAACTCCCGTCGTGGATCAATCCTCAGAATAACCTCGCTCTGATCGGCGACTCGTGCCATCCCATGCTGCCCTACCTCGCCCAGGGCGCAAACTCGTCCATTGAGGACGGTGCCGTCCTCGGCCTGTTGCTGTCGCCGCAAAACTTCACAGCAAAATCGCAACTCCCCGACACCTTGCAGCTCTTTCAGAAACTGCGCAAGGAAAGGGGTGAGGGCATCGTGCGTGAGACGTTCAAGCAGAGGAAGGACTTCCACATGCGCAACGGCCCGGAACAAGAGGAGCGCGATCGCAGGATGCAGAGCATGCTAGGCGCAGAGCTCCAGGGCCCATTTCCTAGTCGCTGGACTTGTCCTGAAGTCCAGCCCTGGCTGTATGGGTACGATGCATTCAAGGAAGTCGAGGCGGCGGTTGCGGCAAGGACATGACGTCGTAGGTGAAGCCGAGGCAGTCGAGTTAATAGAACAGGGAAGCAATGGCGAAGGGTATTTATGACTCAAACAACATCCGGAGTGCTTTTTGTTGTCATGATTGATCGATTGATGTGATAGAGTTTGATGCTCGTTGCGCCAGTGGTCGTGAAACGAGCTACAGGCCGCAAAGCCGAGGTCGTTGCAGCGTCTGCATGGATCCTCGTTCCGGCCGTTCTCCGCATGTACAGTTGGTGGCCCCTGCAATATCTTAGTTTTGCGGGATGCGGAAGTAGATCTTGTCTAAGAACAGCACTATCTTTGATACTTCTTGCGAACGACCTATGATGGTGTATGCATTACACAGAACATAGACTAATCTGTTACATGCTAATCAATGGCGGATGACCTTACAATACTAATTACCGCAAGACATGTTGCCTGAACAATCAACACATGTACCTGTAACAGCAATTCATAGAAGGACATGGCGAGTCGTGCATCTGAGGCTGTGGCGGCGAAAGGTGGATCCTTAGTGGACCCTGCACATTGATCAGCCCCATGCCGAGCGAAAAAGCACTACACCCACGACACTGCAGCGGAGATTCTTGGCGACAGACCTCTCATCAAAGGCGACACCACCATAGCCAGAACAAGTAACACCGTCATGTTTCGAAATCCACCAGGCCTGGCCCTAAGTCGCCCTACCAGCAGCCACACAAACCATATCTGGGAATAACATGAATCAGCAACACCAGCAGTAGGTATGGTCAGGTATAAGTATACCCTCAATCACCGCCAGAAGTAAAAGCATCCAATTCAGCATCTCATCCATTCACTCCCGCCTTCCATCGTCGGCTTCCCTTCACTTTCGAATACTTTCTCTCGTTGTGCTGTGCACTTCCATTCGCTTTCTTCTTTCGACAAACAACTCAAACAATCAACATCTACTTTTTTATCATCTTCATCTACCTCGACCTACATTTCGATATATCCAAGATGAAGTACTCTTACGCAGCCTCCCAACTCATTGCCCTGGTCGGCATGACCAATGCTCTCCCCCACCCGCAGTTCAGCTTGCCCTCGGGCTCAGGCTCGAGCTTGGGATCGGGCCTGGGATCGGGCCTGGGATCGGGTCTGGGCAGTCTTCCCAGCGGTCTTCCTACCGGCGGCCTAGGAGGTCTGTCTAGTGGTGGTCTCTCCAGTGGTGGTCTCTCCAGTGGCGGTCTTGGAGGCAGTCTCCCCAGCGGTCTCCCTAGTCTCCCTAGCGGCGGTCTCTCCAGCGGCGGTCTCTCCAGCGGCGGTCTCTCCAGCGGCGGCCTCTCCAGCGGCGGTCTCTCCAGTGGCGGTCTCGGAAGTCTGCCCAGCGGTCTTTCCAGCGGCGGTCTTGGAGGCAGCCTTCCCAGTGGCGGTCTTCCCAGCGGTCTCCCGAGTTTCCCTAGCAGTGGTCTCGGAAGCGGTCTTTCTGGCCGCCAACTGGGAGGCAGCTTTCCAAGTGGCGGCCTTGGAGGTCTCTCTAGCGGCGGTCTCTCTAGCGGTGGTCTCGGAGGCCTGGGTTCTCTACCCAGCGGTACCACTGGAAGTGGTCTAGGAGGGGGTCTTGGTGCCCTTCCCAGCGGCCTTGGAGGTGGCCTTGGTTCCCTTCCCAGCAGCGGCCTCGGAAGCGGTCTCGGAAGCGGTCTCGGAAGCGGTCTCGGATCTCTGCCCAGCGGCGGCCTCGGAGGTGGCCTTGGATCTTTGCCCACTGGTGGTCTCGGAGGCGGTCTCGGATCTCTACCCACCGGTACCACTGGAGGCGGCCTTGGTGGTGGTCTCGGTTCCCTTCCCAGTGGACTTGGAGGCGGCCTCGGTTCCCTACCCAGCGGTATTGGAGGCGGACTCGGTTCTCTACCCGCCGGTGGCCTTGGAGGATCAGCATCCACCCTCGTACAGGTCACTGCGACACCAACCGCCGCCGCCGGCACTGTCCCAGCAGCGACTGCTACAGCCGCAGCCGGTACAGTCGGCAGCAACTGCACTCCCCAGGCTTCCTCAGGGGGTCTAGGCAGCACAGAGAACGGCATCACAGACAAGAACTGCTGCACAGACATGACCGTTATCTTCGCTCGCGGTACTGGAGAGATGGGTAACGTTGGAAGTGTTGCCGGACCGCCCATGTTCAAGGTCTTGAGAGAGAAGCTGGGCGCTACCCGAGTCACCGTTCAAGGTGTCGAGTACCCTGCTGACGCTGGCGTAAGTTCCTTACCACTCTCCACTGATGAAGATTTGTGATCACTAACAATATCTCAGGGCAACGCATCCATGGGTGGCACAGGTGGCACAGTCATGGCCCAGCTTGTTGCGACTGCGCTCTCTCAGTGCCCTAGCACCAAGATCATCCTCTCGGGCTACAGCCAGGGTGGCATGGTCGTTCACAACGCCTTCAGCAAGGGAGTCAAGGGTGCTCAGGTCGCTGGTGCGGTTGTCTTCGGTGACCCATTCAAGACCCAGGCTATGGGAGATCTCCCAGCCAGCCAGGTGCAGGAGTTCTGCGGAACAAGCGACTTTGTCTGCGGCGGTGGAGGCCAGGGCGGTGCTACTGGAAGCCACATCAGCTACGGCAGCTCCGCTACCGCCGCTGCTGACTTCGCGATCAAGGTTGCCGGTCTTTCTGCTTAAGCAAATGCTGCGACATGAGAACTAGATATGGATATGATAGTAGCACGTGTATTATAGCAATGAGTATCAGGAGACTCCTTTTGAAAAGGGCCATCGTTTCAATAAACTGCACTACGCATCAACACTGTCAGTGTGTGATCTAACCTACAGTTTATGCCCCGTCTTCTCAACCGCCCTCTTGTAGCCTTCCGTGTTCGTGCAAGTCTGCAACCACTCCTCTACCTTAGGCCAGTTCTTCCCCTGCGTGCCCAACTCCCTCGCCAAGATGAACTCCGCCGAGAACTGCATCATGACATCGGCTGCCGTCACATGATCTCCGCATAGGAACCGTCCACTTGATTTCGAGAGCTCGTCCTCGAGCCAGTTCAAGTCATTTTGGACATTGACCGACAGACCTTTCTCCATGGCTTCGAGAGTTCCTGCTGGTACATCTTTGGGCAGGTTCCAGCGCGTGTACAGAATAGCAATACCATGCAACGCAAATGTAGCTTCAGAAGCGTGGATCCATTGCAGCACTTTGGTGCGAGTTACCAGGTCTTTGGGGATGTATTTCGAGGCTTTGTCGTAGGTTTCGCAGAGATACCTGGCGTGGATCAATTGAAAAATCGCTTATAAACACTATTGTCTGTAGAAATCAAGACCTACTCGGTGATAGCGCCGCTTTCGCCGATCGTGAGGTCGCCGTCTTGGATTGTGGGGAATTTGCCCAGCGGGTTGCCAGATTGACGTTTGAAGTCGTCTGGTGCTTTGCCGGCGGGCGTGCGGCCGGTGGATTTCACGTTGTATTCAAGCCCGAGTTCTTCGAGGAGCCAGGCTGTGCGGATGCAGCGTGAAGCTTGGAGGAACCAAAGTGTGATTGGTGGCATGTTGATTGAGGGTTGCGTTGCTTGGCTATATCTTGGTGAAACGTGATGAAACAATAAGGAGAATGGTCAGAATACAGACATGATTTACATTTTGTAAACATTGCTGCATTTGCTATATTGGGCTGCGGAAATAATTCCGGCGGGGGAGGAGTCATGTAGTGCAAGCTTCCGGGTATGTTGTCCAATCATGCTAGTTCATTTGCACGGACAAAGTCGATGAATTTGTCAATGGACGCCTAGAACATTTGGTTGATGCTATTACCTGTTAACATGACGTCGCCGGTGTCTGTCACTTCATATATAGGAACGCCTCGAAAATCCATACATTGGGGAAGTCTTACTTCTTCGAAGCAATGAAGTCAGCATTAAGAATATCATCGCATAGATCGAGATGAGTAACTTACATGACCGACGATATCGATTTGCATCTACACTGTTAGCGGTCTGTGCCAGTCGTTTGACAACTGAATCGAAGATGAGTAGTATCGCTGGTCGTGTCTATATAGCTTCATGAATGTTTTTTGAGGAGGTAACCGTAGTACTCGAAGCTATCGCCGCCCCCCATAACTTCCATCTCAAGATCCCACTCGTTGTCGCGGTTGAGAATAGGTTTGACGAAGTGGGGTTGTCGGTACGTGATGTACAAGAAGAAGCCATCGTCTTTAAGCACACGGTGAACCTGACCTTGGAGTGAGCGATCTATGCTGGACCAATTGTACACTAAAATAAGTGGAAGGTTGAGGCGTTATACACTTACCTCAGACATGTATCTCCCACTATTGTCCATAACCTCACTCGGAGGACTCCATGGACTCCCAAAGATCATGGCATCAAGTGTGCCCTTGTCAAATGCGACGTCGATACTTTTCGACTCGAAGTCTTTCATGTCTCTCACGTCACCGTTCAGCCATTGTACACCCACTTCCTGTGCATGCCTCGACTTCATGAGATCGACCACAACAGTCGAGAAGTCAAGACATATTTGGTTTGCGTATCCTCTCTTCAGTAGGTCGTATGGGATCGTCTGAACTCATTCAGTACGTATAACATGATATGAGCGATTTTGCTGAACATACACTGTCTCCACTTCCAAGATGCAGTATTTTCGGCTGTGACTCTGCTTTTCGAATTGCGAACAGGTGTTTGGAGAAGAAAGGTTCCAATGACTCAAAGTCTCGGAACCATTCGTGCGTGGGTTTGGAACTGTCAGCCGCTTTCGCGTACCGCTCGTCCCAGAACGACGCATGGCCTAGAGCGGCGCCCTCGTCTGTTTTGGGCATGTCTGATGCTGGGTCGAGATGAGACGAATGTCGCACGGCCTGGCGCAGAATATTGTGAGCTGCGAGACGGGAAATTTAGGCGGGGTGCGTCCGTGCCCTGGCGATCCAGCAATACGAGGTGCAACCAAAAACAAGCACTACAAATTCATCAAGTCCGCTGGCTTTTCGAGACATTCTTGAAGTATCTGCCATGAGGTTGTCCTGCTCCCAACATGTGGAGCGGTTATCGCATGTTAGGCTCGTACCACGTCCTGGTAGCTTGCAGGGGTCGAGACCTCGGACGTCATGGCTTACGTGTGGGGTAGAGCAACAACACATTGCCTCGCCGAGGCTTGACAATCGTCTATCATTAACATTCTGTCAGTCCAAGCAGAGGCGCTCATCATAGTATTCGGGTTGAACCATATTACACAAGTTGCAAAACAAGCTATGGCGCTACCGGAGAAGCCTATCCTGTTCTACTACAAAGGTTCAGTATATTCTCAGAGAGTGCTGTGCTACCTATGGCTTCGCGGTATTGAATTCGATGAATGTGTAAGTATCATACAAGCATTCGCATTGGAGTTTACTCACACTACATCTCAGATCCAACCGCCTGTGATGCCGCGTCCGGATCTATCCTCACTTGACGTCGCATACAGGCGCATACCTCTTATGGCCATAGGTAAAGACGTTTATTGTGACTCACGTCTCATTATCTCAAAGCTGGAGTCTACATACCCCAACAGCACACTGGCACCAGCAACATCCGCCGATGCTGGTGTTAGAAAGCTTTTCGAGAGCTGGACGGTCGACGGCGGTATCTTCATCAACGCTGTCAAACTTATGCCTTACTGGACGCCAGGAAGTTTCCTATCGAATGAAGCGTTTGTCGACGATAGAGCGCAACTCAGTGGCCGGCGTATGACGGCTGAGCTGATGAAAGCCGGAAGGCCCAATGGATTGCAACATATACGACAGGCTCTGGATATGCTAGAGAACACTTTCCTTGCAGATGATCGAAAATGGATTTTGGACACGAAAGAGCCTAGTCTGGCTGATCTCGACGCTATATGGCCGTTCGCGTGGTTGATTTTGGACCAATTCATGAAGGGCGCTTTGTCGGAAGAGCACATCAACGAAACAATCTATCCAAAGACATACGCATGGGTGCGCCGCTTCATGGTTGAGGTGGAGAAGGGGAAAGGTCGTTCCCCAGAACCGAATACGCTAGATGGTAAAATCATGAGCAACAGAATATTGGGTTCTTCCACATCACCAGAGGTTACCACCTTCATCGTAAACGATCCCTTGATGGTTCAAGCTGGTGACGAAGTCGAGGTTTTTCCATCTGATTATGGTCAAAATAACAAGGACCGTGGTACTCTTGTTGGACTGACAACACACGAGGTCGTGATACGGAACAAAAAAGGTCTACATCTGCATTTTCCACGCTGGAACTACTGCATTGAAAAGCTCGCGCCCGACGTGTCGATCCCAGCATCGATCAGCAGCGTGGAAAAGGTCCCCAAAATGCGTCTGATCTACCACTATGCATCGCCATACACACGAAAAGTCTTCATGCTCGCTCACGAACTCGGTCTAGCAAAACATATCACGTTAGAAAAGGTCGTCGTTTGCCCGATCTCGTTTCCTGGTTGGAGCGATAACAATGACGATGTTGCCAAGTTCAACCCTCTGGCTAAGATCCCCTGTCTCGTATCTGACGACGTACCAGGTGGTATCTTTGACTCGCGCGTGATTTGCGAGTATTTGAGCAGTCTAGCTCCAATCAAACCCAAAAAAGATGCAAATTACTGGCAACTTCGCACTCTCCATGCCTGTGCGGACGGCATCTTGGACGCGTCTGTGCTCGTCACGTATGAGGAACGCATACGTAAAGAGCGTGGCTTATACTTTGATGAATGGGTTCAGGGTCAAGCACTGAAAATCTCACGCGCTTTAGACCGGTTCGAAAGCGCAGCAAACGAGGGTGTCCTTCCAGTTCCAGGGACCGGGCCTGCGTCGGTTGATGAGATTGCTGTAGCCGTAGCGTTGGTTGTGACAGAGAAGATGGGATATCTCGGTGTGAAGTGGAGGGAGGGAAGGCCGAAGTTGGTGGAGTGGATGAGCAAGTGGGAGGGTAGGGGGAGTTTCTTGGAAACTCCACCAAGCAAAGAGTGGACTATCAAAGAAGACGCAGGCGGGAGTTCCAAAATCTGAGTATCAGTGTTGTTGATGCCAACTAAGATGTTTCTATTTAGATTAGATATTCAAATATACAGTAGTCAAACTAGTCAATTGTAAGTTTGAACTCTGTATGATTATGAACAAGACATATGTAGGCAGCGAGCTTAGTTTGCAATAGGCAACACATTTGAAAGCAAAACAACAGTAGCTATCCAAAAGAGCTTCAAGTCCAGGACAGCCAAGCTCGAGGTCCAATCATTGCTTCTAGCCTGACTGCGTCTATTCATCGCAAAAACTTTGCATATCAATTGGATCAAGCCTCCGTCGATCGTCTCCAAAACCTTCCAACACGTCGAGCTTTTTGCTCTTCTGAGCTCCCTATCACACGTCCCTTGACTGGTTGTTTCATCTCACCAAGCTTGTAGTTCTGCAGGAAGAACGACAGTGGAAAGATAGGCGCAGCCGCAACAAGCGCACCGATCAGCAGCAGACGCATTGTCTCTTGGTACGCACGGTTGATTGCGATGCGTGCCGGAGAGCCGGCCGGGTAGGTTATATAGTCCGAAGACTTGGTGATGTCGCCATAGATAAGTGTGTAGTCTGCAGCCATGTCCTCTGGCAGATACTGTTGTAGCTTGTGAGGAATGTATGTGCTCCAGATTGCGCCAGAGATGGCTGATCCGACTGCGCCGCCAACTTCGAGAAGTGTGAGCCAGACGGTTGTGGCTGCGGCGACTTGTTGATGACTCGCACTCGCTTGAACACCAAGTTGAACCGGCACATTGAGGAAGCCACCGCCAACACCAATGGCAATTTGTGTACCGATAAGCGTGGCGGTTGTGGCATCTTCATTTCGGTAGCAAAGCATGATGCCCATGCCCATCAGGTATATGCAAGAACCAAAAGTAACATAGTATTTGTAGTGCCCAGTGTACTTAATGACAAGTGAAACGACGATTGAAGATACTGTTGAGCTGAATGAGAACACGCGGGTGATGTTGCCTGCGGTAGTGATGGATTTGTTCTGCACAATGAGTAGGTAAGAGTAGAAGTACGGGAACACACTCAAGTAGAAAGCCACTGTGCTCTTTATTAGCTCACATTATTGCCTGTACATGATATGCTTACTGAAGTAAAAGAACGCAATCAGAGTACCCGCGATGACTGTTCTGTTCCTGAAAAGATTTGGTGGGAAAAACGCCTTGGGCGCCAACTTCTTGCTAGTTTCCCAGAATGGAAATGCGATCAAGGTCACACCTCCAACAACAATCATGGCGATCATGCTAGGGTTTTTCCATTCGTGATCCGCGTTAGGTGCTAACTAGTCTCGAGTCAGCGTGTATTCTGTGTGTACTATGCATATTTACACTCACAGTGAGCGGCAACAATATCAGCGAAATGGCGGCAGCAAGTAACAGCAGGCCAAAGATATCCATGTCGAACCACAAATTCTTGAAGACCTCAAACACTGTATGACCCTTGAGTGAACTAGGAAAAGAATATCCAAGTCTTTTCGCTTTCTTCTGATTCATCCACAGACTCACAGCGAGTGGAACGTAGCAGATCGGCAAGACGATGGCCCAGATACCATAGCCCCAACGCCATGTCATGCTCGTCAAGATATTCTTGCCTACATTTGGGCCTGCCCATACAGTCCACAGGAACGGCACATCGAATAATGTAGAGTACAAGGCGCGGTTGAGTAAGTCAGTCGTGTCCGCCACGAAGATCTGTTGCAGGATCTGGAGGCCGTTGAAACCCGCAGCCCAAAAGATTTGCGCTGAAGCAAAAGTCTTAACGTTGTTCGAAGCTGCTTGCTGGATGTAGCCAATGGTGTACAAAAAGATCGTAAGCGTGAAGGACTCAAGTCGACCGAATACATCGGCAATTTTGCCCATGGGTGGCTTGATGACTGCGCTGACCACGCCTTGAATAACAGCGACAGTTGAAACGAGGGAGTGCTGCTGGAAAGCGCTGGTCGCATATGGTGTCATAAGACCAGTGACTTGGATCTCGAGAGATGTCACCTAGAGTCGTGGTACATTGTTAGAGTAATCATCGTAAGTAATCGGTACACAAATTATCACTTACATTAGCAATCAAAAGCAGACTGTTACGACTGTCAGTTCGAATTCCCACTGTTGCTAGAAACGCTTGACCTACGCTACATAAGCGATAATGAGGGATGCTTTGGTCCAACTTTTGCTCACGGCTTCGATACGTGTCACGCCAGTCTGAGATTCCGGGGTTCCATCCATCATATTGCTGGAATGGTTAGGTTCGCGATCTCGCTGGTTTATAGTGTCGCCCATATTGAAGGTCTTTCCTCCACTGGACTGACAATGGAAGGTTTTCAAGATCAGACGCTACTCAGTACAGCGGAGTTGACCGTATTTGTCCAATACCATACTCCAAAACAGCGGTTAGCACTAGGTAGACTAGGCGACGATTTGCGAGCCAAGTCTGACAGCAGTGACATGGCGGATGCTCCTCAGGCTGCCGAAACCTTGTCAGAGCCTTGACCACGGAGTCCTACATAAGAGCCGAGTCTGCCTTGCCCGAGTGCATCATTATTGTGGCGTTTGTTGAATAGTTTGACATGTACCCACCCGGGTGCATAGCATTTTTCTCTATCGTGAGCCCTTTACTTGCTACAAACCTTGATGAAGGCTTTGCGACCCTTGAAAGTGCCAAGGCACAGTTATTAGGTACACAAATGAAGCTGAAGCCATCGTTTAAAAGACCTCGTTCTTACGCTGAGGCTTTTTGGAAACTTATCGATTGGCTTTCCACCCCTGCATGCACCTGAGGCAGGGTGTGGATGGGAGAGGGCACCTGTGGATTTGGATATTCTGCTTCGGACATGGCTTGCATTTGACCGAAGATTTTCTTTTTGCTGCATGTGAAAGTTCTTTCGTCCGACCAGACTTGCGGCCAAGGCTGAAATTCGCAACCTGTGCAGAAGCATTGCATGGCTTAGTATGTACGAGGTCTGATTCGTCTAGTGGAGGTATCCATGCGCAAGACAAGCGAGGCAGATGGTCCTTCAAACCGATACAGCGCTTAACATTCACAGTGCATACTGTAGAGATGCACCAGCCGAATTGAACCGGCTCCAATAAACATCAACCTACAGGACTAACCTTGGCTTTGGTCCTCCAATATTGCATTGGCACTCGATAACGTCGCGTGGTGGGCCATCACGCATTACGGTGATTTTGGGAAATCGAAAGAGCCTGTTGCCGGTTGGCTCTACGATATGTTTTATGGGAGCCAATGGACTTGGTGTTTGGCACCTTTGGTACCCGCAACTCATTCACACGTGTGAAGGGGCTAGGTACGAGCACAAAGGAGACAAGGCTGAGCTACAATAATCATTCCTATTCCGGCAGCGCGTTTTGGGAAGATAGCACGTCAGTTGAACCAACCAACGACAGCCTGAACTTAACCGAGCCCTGCAGCCAACCTCTGAAACTTGGGGGCTGAGTCGTTCGTATCGCTGTGTTCGTCCTGCACCAAGGCAGGCAAGATAGAGCCCCAGCCATTAGCCGCAATGTCGCTCTTTTCCTTCTTCCTCCTTGTGCAAAGCACCTACCATGGACCTCCCAGCACAGGTTGTGTCGAAGGACGATCAGCGTGAAATCCAAGAGGCCTCGTTGAGCCATCAGATACCCCGCAAACCATTCGACAAGCATATCCATGAAACTGTTTACCTCGAGGTTGAGGAGCGGCTACGTGCCCGAGAACAGCTTCCCGGATACTCATCATGGAGCAAGAATATGCGCCTCTATACGCTATTGCGCATGCTGGGATACCAGGATGGGGATCAGGTCTTCCAAAAATTCGAAAACGAGAAGATTGGAGACTTTTGGTTGCCTTTGACCACCCACGTCTGGAAACAGCTGGCTTCGGGGCCCGGATTCGATCTACTAAAGCTCATGGATGCGCAGCGTCACGTCATGTCCGACTCAAAGCAGATGGATGAACACAACCTGCTCGTTCCCTTCTTCGAGCAACGATACATACCAGGTTCTCGGGCGCGATCTCATCGATACTTGGAGTACGCCAGATCTCACTTCGAAGATCTAGATGAGATAGGCAGGGGCAGCTCTGCGTGTGTGATACATGTGCGACATAAATTCTCGGGCAAGGAATTCGCATGCAAACGCTTTCCCCGAATGAAACATATCAGTAGACAACGGGACCAGCTGAAAGTATTCGAGCAAGAAGTCAAGATACTTCAGAGTATCAGACATCATCATATCGTCGGTCTGGTCGCGAGCTTCACGGATCTGGAAAGCTTCTCACTCATCCTGGATCCAATAGCTGATATCACACTCTCAAAGATGTTAAAACAAGATAAATCACTCTCAGACAAAGATATTGCTACCTTACGTTGCTCTTTCAACTGTCTTGCGACAGCCTTGACTTTCCTCCATGCAAATTCTGTGCGACATAAGGACATTAAGCCGAGCAACATCTTATTGAGTGAAGGACGTGTATTACTTTGCGATTTCGGTATCTCGCTCGAATGGACAGAGGGTGACAACGGTACCACTGAAGGGTGCTATCCGAGTTTCACACGTCGTTATGCCGCTCCCGAGGTTCTCCGTAGTGACGCCAGTCGAAACTCCAAAACTGACGTCTGGTCTCTCGGTTGCGTATTCCTTGAGATAGCAAGCGCCATTAAGGGGATCTCTTTCGATGATATCAATGTGGGTGAGTGTGTGGAGGGCAAGGGCTTGTCGTCAGCAGCGATGGGAGACTGGTTAATGAGTATAAGAAACGAACATGAGGATGCCATTGATGAATTACCAATAGGCTGGACACTTGCAATGGTATGTCACGGCGCCGGGAGATGAATCATGCACGCTCATAACTTGCAGGTCATGCACGATGCTCACGATCGTCCGGCAGCGAGTCACGTTGTCAGCAGAATCCATGAAAGTACCAGAAAACATGGTCTAACTGGCAAATTTCTTGCTTCTTGTTGCCGAAGATCCGGGTTTGACTCGCTCTCCGGGTCCTCCATATGTTCCGCTCGGACAAGTATTCCCTCATCGGAATCTCATGCACACACCGATTTTGCAGCTCCGCCACGAGACGTCTCTATACCCCGGTCATATCGACATCAACCATCCACTAGCCAAAGGAGCGAAGGCGTATCCATTCCAGGACGTAGCTCTAGTAATAGATCTACGCCTATACGGCTTTCTCGATCCCAAGTGCGGCAAAATAGCGGCGGTGGTGTCAGTATTTCCAATAATGCTATCCTCTCCTCGGCAAGAACATCAACCACTACACCTAGGACATCATTGGGCTCTGACTCAGCATACTATGAAACTCCTGTGATATCGGGCCTCGCGATCGAAGGATATTCGGATATAGCTGTCCTGGCGGCCCCGGCGTTGATTCACGGTTCCTCGAGCGTCTGTGGTATTCGCGACCACGAGAAACATCTCTTCGAAGAGCCTTGCGCATCGTTTACTATGAGAGAGTCTGCTACAATCCAGAAATCCTCACACTGCTGTAACAATCTTGAAAACATAGTTCAAGTGTTCGAAACACCTCGTGCAAGCATGAACGGCCGACGGTCTTTGACATCACCCGTTTGGAAAGTTACACGCAGATTGGTCTTAAGCAACACCACACCTCACAATCCGAGATGTTGCTACTCTTTCTGGCTTCCTCTCACCGATATTCGCTTCTCTCTGTGCGAAACAACAGTAACTCTACAATGGTCAGATTGCAACCAACCACAGCAAGGAAGCACATACGATCACCGTGAATACTGGAGCTGGGTATATGACCCTGTAAGACCTAACAATCAAATCACAGTCGTCTTTAATGACATGGTAAATGCTAGGGCTTTCTTAGATGTTATTCATCTCTCACAGGATGATGGGTCGACGCTCGACATATCTTCGTCGCAAAAAGTACGAATCTTGGATGGTATGAGACCTGACAACAAGGAAGGCGTCATAGGTTTGACACTTCACGAAGAGACTTTCTCTGAGTTGAAACTTGTTGTTGTCGGGCAACACATCGACTTCCGCATGGAGAGATCCTTAGATAATCGCAGCTTCGATGTGCGATTGAACAACGTATCCAAACCAACATATCATTCTGACCTTATTCACAACTCTGCTCGGAGCAGGAACAGAGCAGCTAGGTTCAGTGAGGCACTATTGATCCCAACTTCAGTTGCAGTATCGGCTCTGCTCGCTGCTGATTCTGAGTCGCCTGTACCACCGCCTTGTGAGTTTGCGCCAACCCCATATGAGTTATCCAGACTGACCTAGAATAGCTATTGCTACGATGTTCTACGGCCTCACGGGCTGGAGATTGCAATTTTTCGCTTCGGTTAAACAAGTAAAGTCTGAGAAGCATGCTCTAAGTATGAGTAAGAAGCGATACGGTGTGGCAGACGTTATGCTCTGGAGAAAGGATGTTGAGGATACAGTCTTAGCCCGTATAGCTATTCGACCTTCGGGTGAAGGCAGTGTCTGGATAAGTGGGAGAAGTAAGCCATCATCTTTACCGCGCTCAGTAGCAACGGAGTTAACAGTCACCACTCTAGTCAGTGCTTCATCATCTGTATTTTCGAGCTCCAAGGACGCATCTTGTTGGTTTGACATATTTGGCAAACAACACGGCCGTTTGCTCGATGTGTTCAACATGGCTGCTGTCAGTGAGCTCGCTCAGGATGACCCTTCTTCTGTAGATCCAACATTCGGATTCCAGTATGAATCCAGGCGTATTACACTGCACATTCAAGATCGCAAGCACCGACAGAAGTTTACCGAAGTGTTTGAAGAGCTTATACACGCTACCGCCAACAGCCCGCCAGCTTCAAACGCGATCGGAACTCTAGTCACCCGACCGAGACATGTTCTTCCTACACCTTTAGCTTAAAAACGTATTGTATATCAGCATCTATGATTCGCGGATGGGTTGTTCTACTCCTTGGTATGCATGGGTATTTTCTGTTAGTCGTTATCCTAATTAATCACATCTCAATAGTTTAAAATATTGAACTGTCACGTCGATCTGCTTTCGCACATGTAAGATTGTTGACTAATTTAGATGATACGTGCCTTGCTTTGTGTCAGCGAATACACGTTTTTGATGATCAATCACAACGATCATGTCGTGGACACCATATTGGATATGCCGTGGCTCACAATTCCACTCTTCGGAATGAATTTGAGACCCCCAGCTCTAACGGCGAAAGTATCCTACCCCGCAACGCACGCCTATCAAGTCTTTGGTAATATTATAACAAACCTACTGTGCGTGTACACCTCATACGTGTTCGACACATTTACACTTGTATAGAGCGGCTTATTCTAGTGTACTTCTGTGGGAACGGTAATGTGTCCGCCGTAGTGTGCTAATACCTCTTCACTGCCGTGAGTATCAGTGTAGAGTGAGTCATTCTTGCGCTTTCGTTGACCAGTACTACCACTTCTTACGCTTTTCATCTTGACGTTGTATGTTGTTCGTTCGTATACGGCATTCTGTGTGCCAAAACGGCTGCGAATGATGGCAGCGAAAGCGGGGGCACACCCGATGATGACAGCTGAAACAAGTATTTACGGGCTATGCAACACAGATTGGAGGGGGAAGAACGTACCCATCGAAGTCTCGATGACAGTCCACATCTGCAGCCACTTCGGATCTGGGGACTTTGGCACTCCATCTTTGACCCCTACCTGAACCACACGGAGAGTGGCGAACAACTTGATATGCGGTGCGATGTCAGTGTAAGTGTTGAACAGGGCGGTCATGCCCAAGAAGCACTTACAACGCATATCCAGCCACTGCCAAAGAGTACGAAAACACCAAGCTTCTGTGTTCTTGGCATCTGGAGATTCCAAGTCATGCGAAATGGGAGGAACATCACTGAAAATGTTAGCGCAGTCATGCTTCTGGAGCACTGGCATGAATACCTGAAATATCAGTCGCTACATCGACTGCGTATGCAAACCACAAGCTGAATTGCGCCCGTTTTTGTTCATTAGGCTTTGCGCATATACCTTCGTTGTATTTTGCCTCTTGATCGTCGCAGACGAGGATAGTACTCAAGGCACTTCCGATGTAAGACTTCGTAGCTGTCAGTGAAAGACATTCGTATGTTGCTTGTAACGTACCAAGATGCAGAACGCCAAAATTCCCCACCAGATGATGGTAAACTTGGATGGAGTTTGATCCAGTAGCCTACGGTATAAGGCCAATAGGGAGAGCTTCACCAAGGTGAGGGACGAGTAAAACAACAGTTGACCCGCTGTCAACCATCGGTAAACCATTCCTGCATCTTGAACTATAAAGGTATCCTCAAGTCAATTTCAGCCTGTTACGAATATGCTGAATCAGGGATACTCACGAATATCTGGATAAGGTGGGATCTCGCCTCTCTGCATACCCTCGGCACGGTACAGTGGGCCATTCTCCTTGAGATACATGACCCACATTGCAAGGTAGCATATGTAGGAGAGATAGCAGAAGAAGTCGTGCATCTCGAAGTTCCGCTTGGTAACGCGAATAAGAACGCGTGCGACAAAGACTAACGAGGTCAAAGCTAGCATGACTGTGTTTACACCTTCCAGCTGACCCCTGCTCATGGTAGCTGGAAGGTCCGTCTTATCCCAAGCCACATCTGATAAATCATCGGAACTCATAATGTGGAAGTGGTGTGCGTCTCAAAGGTCAGGTTTTAATGAGGGCTTGTGGTCAGGGTAGCGTTGTCTTTTATGTCTTTGGGAAGACGGCCGACTATTTACGGCGTGGGTTTTCGTCTTTGAAACACAAATGATAACACTTGATAGAGCGCTACAGCATAACCCGAAGAATTCTTATCCTTCTCACCCAGGCACAGACCCCTTTGTGTTACTGCGCAACCCTCATGCGGAGGTAAATGAAGACACAGAGATGTGATAAGAGATTAGCGTGTTGTTTGTTACATTCTATCAGCTATGTAAAGTAATTCTGCGCTGCTTTCAGGGTTAAATATTCAGAACTATTGTCTTTGACGCCAATGTGATTGTGGCGAGTGACATGTTGTGGGATCAGGGCGGGCGGAAAGCCTCATTTCGACGCCTGTCAGTTTCTACCAAAAGGAACAGGGTGATCTGCAACAATCTCCAAGTAGATATGCGCAGCAAAACGTTACTGGTGGAGTCACTATCACCAAGGACGCAGAGCTGAGTGAACTCACGTCTATTGACCATACATACGGGGTTTATCTTGCAGGCAGATCCCAAGATTCCAACTCAATATCATCTTGTTGCACAGAATTGCTGAGGTGCCGACCGCTCCACTGTCACTTGCTAACAACATTCATCAACAATACCAGGAGAACCTGCGTGAATGGGTCAACGCTAACACTTATTCGGATGCGGCGCAGTAAACCAACACCACACCAGCCCGCTGAAAATTGTGGTTCGTTGGAGTAGCTGGTTAACCAAGATCCTACAGGATTCTACAGGATGTCAGATATCACCTGTGCCAGAGCTGTAGAATCGTTCGATATCATGCGATCTTGTTAGGGAAGTGAGTCCGGTAGCAAACCCAACTTTTCCAGGAATGGAATTGTCTCGAAATTCACCTTCAACACGTTTGCCAGCAACAACTCTGTAATCCCAACCTTGGTTTCAATCCGTTCAGACTCAACAGTCGTAGACAGAAAGAAATTGTTGTGAAGCGTTTTGTCACCACATTCATAATATGACCAGCGGCCTTCGACCACCTTCTGTATAACGTTACGGAAGTTAGTGTTGGGTTAATCATCGGGAAACGGGATCGAACTTGGTTCCCGTCCACAGCCGAGCCGGTGGGGCTACGGTAATAATACGCTAATCCCGTTCTAGAAAGTCCTTAACCTGTCTTTGTCCCTCACGAGGCGACCGAGCCGCCATGAAATCCAATGAAATTGCCATGCATGTCCGAACAGGTTTCGCTGCAATTTCCTACCGCAGTCTCATGGGTGCTGACCCAGAGTCATGGTCGTTGTGACGAGGAGCGCTGGAGCACGGAAGGTTTAGTGTCTCGATCCTCTGCACGCTCCTCTAAAAGACGCGACAGGCACCGCGGTTTTAGTTGTTTAGCCACCTTCTGCATCTTTTGTCTCGGCAGGATCCAACAATGAGGGTCGCGCATATTATTTCAGTACCAGCCCTTGCGGCGAGTGTGGCAGCTCAAGCCAGTGGCACCATTTTCGAGCCGCAGGACTTCAACGTGACAGCGGCACTCGAAGACATTGGCGTCGACGTCTCAATACTACCTGAGGCACCCGCACTGAGTAAGAAGTCCTCGTTTACACCATGCTCGTTTGCTGTAAGTCCAACTTATCACGCGAAACGATTGAGATCGAGTGGGCTGACAACGAATTCAGTGTACTTCTTTGACAATTCTGTTCGGCCACGATCAAGTGTTGTCTGATGGAGAACCTGCGTACGAGTCCTTCACTGGAGCATACTGGTCTGCTCAGCAAGGCTTACTGAACCCATCGTGCGTGTTCAAGCCCGCAAAAACCGTAGACGTCTCAACATTGATATTGATTGCGCGACTATACCAATGTCCATTCGCTGTGAAAGGTGGTGGCCATGCGGCATGGGCCGGTGCATCTAGTATCGAAGACGGTATCACTATCTCTATGGAGAACTTCAACCAAGTCAAGGTATCTTCCAACAAACAGACTGTCGACATCGGCCCTGGCCTCCGATGGGTCGACGTCTACACTGCTGTTGAGAAGGACGGTCTTAGTGTGGTAGGAGGACGAGTAAGTTCACGCACATACTTCGTCCCAATCTTTCGCTGACCCCAGAGAAGATGGCCCCTGTTGGTGTACCTGGACTCATCCTTGGAGGAGGCATCTCGCATTTCTCGAATAAGCTTGGTTGGGCCTGTGATAACGTGGCAAGCTTTGATCTTGTTACTGCCTCGGGCCTCGCCATCAATGCCAGTCCGACATCCTATGCTGACCTGTATTGGGCCTTGAGAGGAGGAGGTAACAATTTTGGAATTGTGACCAATTTCAAGCTGGCCGCCTTCCCCCTAGGTCAGATGTGGGGAGGTCAGCGGGTTTATCTGGAAAACTCTTTCCCAAATGTTCTTGACGCAATCTACCAGTTCACCGTCACGGGATCGTCTAAGGATGTTGATGCTGCCCAGATTGTTGTATGTTCGCCTCAGACAGTTAATTTACATATAGATCAAGCTGACATTGCATAGACTTTCGCCAGTGCTCCTGGCATCGGGAAGGTCGCCTTCGCCAACTTACACTACGCAAAACCAGTTGCCAACGCGTCAGTCTTCGACAGCTGGAACAACATCACCGCTATCGATGACACCACTGGCCTTCGAACAATGTCGGGAATGGCCACCCTTCTCAACGAGGGGTCTCCCGCGCCTGGCGCTTACCAGACATGGTGGGGTGTTAGCCTGAAAATGGACAGACAACTGCTCCAATTCATCATCGACACCTTCTACGAACAGGAAACGACCATCGCAGACGTCGAGAAGATTCTTCTCATCATGGCCGTTCAGCCCATCACTGAAGGTGCATTGACGGCTATGCAGAAGCACGGAGGTAATGCTCTAGGTCTCGACCCGAAGAATGGCCCGTATTTCATCCTGAACTTCAATGCTGCCTGGAACAAAAAGGAGGACGAGCCTAGATTCCACGAGGTCATCTTCAATATTATCAAACTTGTGGAAGCCGAGGCGAAGAGACGGAATCTTGGCAACGACTTTGTCTACCTGAACTACGCATCCGAGTATCAAGATCCGATTGGCAGCTATGGAGCAGCTAACAAGCAGAGGTTAATCAGTATCTCGAAGAGATATGACCCAACACAGGTCTTTCAGTACCTTCAACCTGGTGGCTTCAAGTTGATTAAGGGAGCACCGAACCCAGATACGCCTTAGCAAAGGTTCTTTTGTGTAATCCCAGCATTTTATAGCATGATTGGATGTATTCGCGATCCCCAACAGTGCCAACCACCACGTCCCTGATCCCATGCGCACACATCGTAGATCTTCGTTATAGTTTGCTCGAATGGAGGCTCAAAAGCAGCCTTACGCCGGCTCTGTATGCATTATCTTGCCATCAACGGCTGAGACTAAGTTCGTCCAGGTAGATACATGCATGGTGTTGGAAGTCATGAACGTTATCCTCACACAGGCCCTACGGCCATAATGTCGCGTCTTCCAGAGTGGACGCAGTAGCTGTCATTGCGCCTAAGACGGTGTGACTCCAAACACCATTGCCAGGGAGATGGATTAAAAGACCATGTTACTAAGCACTGGACAAAATATCCTATGGTAGTGTCAGCCTCGGTGTGTAAAAAGCCCATCACAAGCTTCATGGTACCAGAGCGGCTATTAATATAGAAGGCTAGGATTGAGAAAGTCATTTCAGAATAAAAACCAGCTATTTGGTTTCAGCAGTTGACATGTATAAACAGGCCAAAATAGCAAACTTCTTGTGGAAAAGATGGGTATGGTAAGGTGCACTATCTCCTACTATGGAACTTAGAGTAACTTCACATCTGAGAATAATCATAACATATCCTTACTCCGTACTATAGCGCCTTTTTACGAGATTGGTGTGCCCAGCAAAATCATGCGCTCATAGATTCTTGAGCTGGAACTACCTGACGTCAAGACTCATCAATGCTACAAAGGCTACAACAACACAACTTACCCAACATAAAATTCCAATCCTACATAAAAAATGAGTGACATAACCCTCAAGCACGCCAGACTCGGCTCTATAAAGTGCCTCCTCGATTCCAGCCATCCGCTTGTCAAAATCTCAGGCCTGCCATACGGAACCATATCCCAACGATTCGCGCGTTCAGAGCTTCTGCAGGACTTTGCTTCCGCACCAAGTGAATTAAAAAAGAGATATAAAAACGGCGTTTTTGATGCAACAGCCCCCGGGCCATCCAGCATCCAGCCATGGGGTAGCGTGAAATCCGATGCATCCAACATCCCCCTCCCAACGGACAATCTGCCCGAAGACGAAGAACAATCAGAAAACTGTCTGAACGTGTCCATCACTCTACCCCAAGCTTGTCTCGATAGCGACCAAAACTTGCGTCGCGATGCAAAACTACCAGTCCTCGTATTCATCCATGGTGGTGCGTTTTTTCTCGGATCTGCAAAGAGACCATACTACGATGCAACGAATCTGATGCGTCATGCCATCCAGCGAGAAACACCAGTCGTCTTTGTAGGGATCAACTACCGTCTCGGTGCGCTTGGTTTCCTGCATTGTCCTGGCGCAGGGAATCTCGCACCAGAGAACAATGGACTACACGATCAGGACCTTGCTTTCGACTGGTTGCGCGAAAACATCGAAGATTTCGGCGGTGATGTTGGAAATGTGACTGTAATAGGACAAAGTGCCGGTGGAGAGAGTATATCCGTAAAGACGATGCGGAAACCGCTGTTCAAACGCGCGATCATGTTTTCTGGAACGCCGGTCACAATGCCGAGCATGACGCATGAGGAACATGGGGCGAACTTTTCCGAGCAGGCCGAGAAGCTGGGCATCCGTGTGAAGAACGATGACGGTGGGGATAGAGTTCCAGGGGAAGTGGCCAGAGAAATGATTGATATCGACGTGGGCAAGATTAGGGAGCTGGCTTGGGTTGGATTACCTTGCGCGAACAGTACATTCTTTCCCGTTGAGCGGCCGACTATGGAGTTGACGAAAAAGGGCAAATTGGCTCCGGAAGACTGGCAGAAGTGGGCGAAGCCTGTTGAGGCGCAGATTGTCGGATCCACTACCTACGACGGTGGGATATCGTACAACATGATGAGCAAAGACAAGAGCCGTAAAGAGCACGCCAAGAGCTTTGCACACATCGCGGAGGACGTTCTAGGCGCAAAGAGCGGGAAAGAGTTGTGCGAAATATACGGATTGACAAGCCATAACGATGATCCCGATGCCCTACAACGTATTTGTCTGTTCGAAAGCGACATTGGGTTCTTCGCTGCGGCATTGAGCGTCGCTGAAGGCGACTTGGTCGAAAACACATATTTCCAGGTCTTCGACCTTCCCAATCCGTTCCCTGGGCCTATCCGTGATCAAGGCGCTTTCGCAACGCACACGTTCGACATTGTAACATTACTTGGTGGCGTTCATGAAGATCGTTTACCAGAAACATACACACCTGTGGTTTCAGAGTGGCGTGACAGGATCCTGGACTTCGCGATCAAGGGGACACCGCCGTGTGCGAGATATATGGCTGGCAGAGAACGCAAGGCTTTGCTCGTGGATGAGCATGGTGTTGAGGAGGTGGAAAGTAAACGATATCTTGAAAACCATGAAAAAAGGCGTCAAAGGCTATTCGACCTAGCTGACCGGGTGGCGGGTGAAGCCGGACGTGATGTGTTATGGGTTGATGTATGTCGGCGGTTTTTGATGAAGGGCGAGTAGTCAGGAAGCTGGGGAGGAACATTGTTCGATTCCAAAGGAGGAAAATTCCCAGTGTACGGCGTTAAAACATGACTGGAAAACGGAGATCATGCACAGAAGTGGTTACCGTAACCAGGTATGCATAGAGCTCTCTTGCCATTGATGCAAGGCACTGATTACAGCTCTATTCTTCTAACAGGTATAGAGCAGCCTATTCCACTACCTAGACTATAACCCGATTGTGAAAGACGATGTCCTATCAAACTCACACTTTACGTGTTTTGATAAACTCGTTCCGCAACCATGGTATCCATACTCGTACCTAGGCCTGTGTCATGTTCGTACACTCGATCAATGCCAGTGGTAGTCGTCTCCCTGACCCCTCCTTGGCTCCATTGTGGAGTGACATCAAGGCCGTCCAAGATCTACCGCCTCTCATTTGACCTTCTTCGTAATCTCTTCAACTGGTCGATCACCCGCATCCGACTGCAATGCTACAAGTGTTACAAGACCCGACAAGGTCAACCACACATTGCCCCAGACGCCGATTCCCATTGAAGTGTTGTAGTGGCTGTCGAGCTTGTAGTGCTGATACGCGCCAAAGCCGGTTGTGATGTGATGGAACACTGTTGCAGCTACTACAGCTTTTGCGTAAGAGAGAGTATCGCTGGCGTATGAAGCACGAAGAGCTTTCGGTGCGTCTGCTGAATGGATCGCTTTCGAGGATGACGAGGAGAAGGGCACAGCATTGGTGAACGAGACCAGAATTAGGGCTAGGGTGATGAGACACCAGCCATCGTTGAAAACGTTGTAGATCTCGAGGTCATTCGGGGCGAGCTTGGCTTGCGATGGTGGACGGAACCCTGTTTGCGAAAGTCAATTCCTATATGTATCGATGAGAGCAGGAATGGGAAGAAAGACTTACAGCCTACGACCATGACAGGGTCATATATGCGGCATCCACCACGTAGACCGTACCAAAATGCCGTGCCATAGGCATAGGCATGGAACACCTGCTGGATGTTAGCTATCACCGCACTGCAGGAGCGGCGTGTACGCTTACAGCTGAATTGATAGAAGGCATGATGGTCAGTGGTCAATTTCCGAACTTGAGTATGAAACAACAGATGTACAGGTTGATTTATACGAACAACGAGATTCCGCTGTTGTTGTTTACTTTTGAACAATAGCAATCGACGTCATCTTTCGCAGTACATGAGCTGGATTTGTTTTGCGGGGCAGATGCTAGGTGGTATGTCCGATTATCCCGATCGTCCCGTCGTCCCGCAGTCGCATCTGGACTGGCGCTGTAGCTCCCCCACGTCACATACTGTAAAACACCTGCTCTTTCGAATACTGCTAAGCAAGGGTGACGGGTGAGCTAAATAAACGCTCCAATAAACACCCTAGTGTGGCACTTAGGCCAACATCAGAATCTACTAAAAGTTCTGCTGGCATAGCCTCCTACCACTACCCCGTTGAAAAAAGCTAGACAGTTTTGAAATGGATAACTACTGCGCAGGGTAGTGATAAACTTAAAACTGTCTAGCTTTTTTTGACGAGGTGGTGCTACTGATGAGAGAAATTATGAGCACGTGACTCTGGGCTTATCTGGCCCTTAGTTACTGCGCTGTAAGTGGGTAAGTAGGTCAAACGAGGCATTTAACTTTCTGCACTAGCTATAGCTTTTGAAAACCCTTGTCTAGCAGTATTCGAAAGAGCAGTAGTTTTACGATACGCCGCGGATCTCAAGTCCACAACTTCATCTTGTGTTATGCAAGCCGAACGTCATCGTGCTGATTTCAAATCCTGATCCTGTTCCTTGCTCCTCTAGATCCGTGTCTATAGCTTGGAACGCGACGTTTTATCGCACTGCTTACCGTAGAAATTGGGCTCAATGGATTAACGCTAGCTAGGGGGGCAGCTATACTAAATAGACGCTCTAATAAATACCCCTAAGTAGCACTTAAGCTAATATTAGAATCTACTAAAAATTTTGTTAGCCTAGTCTCTTAATTAGTTCTTAATCCTATATGTATAAAGCTCTCTAAACTTATCTAACTTTATTATATTTAACTAGCTATATAATAGGCCTCTTACCTAAGCTAAGCTATAAGCAGATACTTCTTACTAATATTAACACTAGCAACCTTACCTCTAACTATTCTAATAAGGTCTATAAGCAGTATAGTAATAAGTTAATAGAAAAGACGTTTAATAAGTAGGCCCTATATAAGTTACCTAACTACGTAAAAAGAACTTATATTATCTAAATAATTTAATAGAAGCTTAAGGTTATTTTCTACTTTATATACTATTAGCTTAAGGATAAGAACTATTATAATAGTAAGGTATAAAAGCAGTAGTACCTTAATAGATTAGAGTATAATAGCTAGTATAAACTACTAATACTCTTTAACGCTGCTAATTAGTTTAAAATCCTAATAACTACTGCCTATAATATATAGGTAATACGCTATATAATAGTAGTAGTAAGTAGAGGTAGTTATATTATAGTACTAATAACTAATTATAAAAGGTATTCTAAGGTTAAGCTTAAGTTATTTTAATAGTTTATTAAGTAGAGGTAAATAGAATAGAAAGTTTTATAGTACTAGTTCTATTAATAAAGGAAAATTATATTTAAAACATTATATAGCTAGGAACTTAATAAGAATAGGTAAGTTAATAATTATAATTATTATATAGAAAAAACAGGATTTACTAACTTTAAGTAGAAGCTATAGTTTTAATTTTTAAATAGCTAGTTTAACAGCTTTCTTTAAAGATAGAATATCTCCTAGTAATAACTTACTTACGCTAGCTAGTATCTCTTACTTTACTACCTTAAATTTATAAATTAATTTCTTTAGTTTATTTACTAGAACTTACTAGTCTAGATAAGTATTAGCTACTACTAGCGCTTCTAGCTATCTAATATTATTAATATAGATAAAGTACTAATTCTTTTTAAGTTCTTTAATAGGTATACTTACTATCTTAAAAAAGAATATATAGTTACTAGAAATATTACTAACTCTAGCTAGGCTAAGTACTAAGCTACTCTAGTATTATATATATTTACTAATAGTATACTAAGACTTAAGCTAAAGCTTATCTTTTATAGTATAGTAAGTAGTAAGCTTAATAAGAAGAAGTAAGTTAATTAGGACTTTTATATTACTATTAAGGTTAACCTAAGCGCGTATAATAATAAAAAACTCTTAGTTAAATAGTTAGATAAAGAACTATTTAATATATTAAAGAGATATAACAGCTTACTTATAATAGACTACACTACTTTCTATAAAATAGAAGTTATAAAGGTAAAACTTTAGAAGAAATATATTTATCTAGTAATAATACTAGGTAGATATACTAGACTACTTTAACTACTAGATATTAGTATAAATAAGTCCTTTAAGGCATTAATAAAGAAGAAGCTTAAGTTAATAATAGATAATAAAACCTTAGAGGAAACTTTAATAAAATAAATAATAATTTTAGTATGTTAGATTATAGTAATAAGGGCTATTACTAATACCTAGAATAACCTAAATAAGTAAAAAAAATAGCTTATTAAGAACTTTTTTATTTATACTAGCATTACTATTAGCTCTATTAGTACTAATAACTACTTAATTAAAATTAAAGACTTTATTAATAAGGTAGACTTTACTAGTTAGAAGATCTCTAAGGACTTAGTAAAGAACCTAGCTAACATTAAAATTAAGGAGCTTAATAATAATATATTTACTTACTTACTACTAAAGGATAAAAGTAAGATACTTACCTAGTAAGAAAAGAGTTATAAGTCTATATTAGTACCTAATTTAAAGCGCGTTATAAAGAGTAGACTTATACCTAGAGGTAGCTATATAAATAAAGCTTAGCTTATAGAGTAACTATTAGTAAAGGATACTAAAGGTTAGATTCTATTAAATTCTATTATTATTAATAGTACTAGGAATTCTCTTAGCTTACCTAAATTAGCAGAGTGTACAGAATAAGAAGAAAGAGAGAAGATAAAGTAGTAATTAAAGCTTAGAAAGAATTATAGTATAATTAAAATATTAAGATAGATATAGATATTAAGGTTATAGAGTTATTTAAATTATTTTAATAGACTTTAAAGTTTAAAGTTCTTAAAGTTTCTAGTACTACGCTAGTAACTTAGTATTACTTAATTAGGTTAAACGCTGCTATAATTTAGTACTACTTATTATACTAGTAAAGAATTAAGAGGATTTTAAAGCCTACCTTATAGTATTTATAACTATTACTTATATTTACTTTTTAATACTAAGCTTTATAAATTTACTAGCTGTATATGTATTTTTTTAAATACTTAGCTAAAACTTAAGACTTATAAAATATAGCTCTAATTATAGGTATAACCTTACTATTTAAATGCTACATTTTATACAGTACTAAGCAGCTAAGCTGTATATATAAGCTATACTACGTAACTAAGTTTATATTATACTTTAAAAATTAGGAAATACTTAAGTTAGATATATATTAACTTTAAATTTAAGCTTAAAATGTATATTTTAAGAGCTCTAGTATAGCTATTAAGCTAGGATTTAAATAGAATAATAATTATTTGTGTACAGCCTAGCTAGACGAGGCATTTAAGTATTTGTACTAGACTATAGTTCCTGATAATCCCAGCTAGCGTTAATCCATTGAGCCCAATTTCTACGGTACATATTTGCAATGTACGCATGCGGTGCAAGGCGTAAGGCGTGACGCAGACGTTAAAAAAAAGACTTCACTGGATTTTTAACTTATCTAATGCTACTGACCTAGGAAGAATAGCGTTGAAGAATAGGGAAGAAGAGGGGCTAAAAGAAACATCTTCCATCTCAAACAAAACGTTTTATTGACTTCCTGCAATACATGGATGGAGATATTGTCTAAGTAAGCCTATACCCTAACGCTATATCCTACCACCCTAACGTTGAATAATGCAAGAAGAAGCTAGAACAACGACTAAAGTATACAATAGACTGAAAAATTGTGCGCTTAGAAAAGCTCTAGACTTTACATTAGATGTTCTTGTCTGTTTGTTGCTTCACTCTCGTTGTGAGCTACAAAAAGGCAGATCTTCTTACTGCTGTTGGTAAGAGGTATACACTGTTGGTTGATACACTGCCTAAGATCGAACGTAGTGCGAACATGGTCTAGAACTGTAATCTGTCTTTGCTTGAAAGGCCATTAAATCAACATGCGAAAAAGCTCTGAAATATGACTTGAGCATTAAACGAACTGAAAACTGTGAACGCGAGGCCACTACCAAATAGACATCGAACAGGAACCGTCCCTATAGGGACTTCATCCTAGCGAGCACAGGTGCATGAAGGTCCGCTAGACGTTACACTACTCGAATCTATCCGACGCGGAGATGCGCACGCCTGTCACCGTATGTGAACATGTCTCTAGACGAGTACTTACACAGTAAGCAGTCTAGAAGCGTGGTGACGAGTCCGCGTATTGCTTTGTACTTTTTCGGCCCGTCTTAGGGCCTATCCTTGTGCTAAAATGTTGAACTCCACTGCCACATTTACACAGTTTATATCTACCAAGCCGCTACTACGAAAGAAAATCTCCGCAACCTGATCGTATAATGAGTCCTCGCCACTCTTGTAACATCAAGTACAAGAAGCCATCGTTAGACAGGAGCAGTTGCAGTCTAGGGGATTGCGCAAGAGCTGGTCAAGGCATTCAACGGCTATGGGTGTGAGGGCTGTTGTTTCTGTCGTTCTTAAGGAGCATTATTTCGACACAACATACACTTGGAGATGCTGAGCAAGTTTTACGTATACACAGTATCATTGCGGATGTTTTGGACGGTGACTTTGGCACCCCGATTTCCAACTAGTCCGGACTGATTCACGGACGGACTGATTCCGACGGGCTATGGAAAGTTACTATCAATCAGCTGACAGCTGTGTTCATCTGCATCGAAACCGAAGCCCGGAAATAAAGCCTGTGCATCACGAAAAGCTTTTTTCCAAGCTTGAGATGTCCGGGATGAGCTATATGTCAATACCATCAGTTCAAGTGTTAGAAACACTTGCTTGATTACTCTTGGCCCACATTGTGTGCTCGGTATTCAGCGCATAGCTTACCGGCATCCATAGACTTAACCTCCGAGCCTAACGAACAGTTCCTTATTGAACCCTTGATGGTACGTTACACTCTTGGCTATTCGTATGTCTCTTGGAAGTGTTACCAACCTCAAACGCCAAGTTTGCCCGATAGGGTTATTAGGCCGTGCAATTAAGGGGTGAAATACGGCCTGGCTCTAGAAGTTGGACTAAGTTTTGTCGTTAGAGTTTGAGTCACTTATGAAAGTGTACAAAGTCCCTCGCAATTCGCTCATCTTATCAATTGCCAGTCTTCTCGAGCCCGCCCAAACATCTCCAATTTTTCTTTCCCTAGTCTCCAACGATCCTACTAATCACAACAATTTCTCTATTACTCCATCATCGCCATCATGATTTCAAGTTGCATCTACGCAACAGCGTACGCCTTCGCCACCTCCTACGGCACTATTTACGACTTGTACCGCAACGGCTCGACCCCCCAGAAGGTCGCCGAAAACATAGCTTCCTACTACCGCGAACCCTACACCGCGTTCTTCATCGGCAACGTCGCCACCAATCAATCTTTCGCTGGCATCACCGACGCCACGCTTCAGGCATACAACTTCTTGGAAGACGCCGGCATCGGCAATGATATAACCACGGACAGCGTGAGAGTTGAACCGATTAGCAATGCAAGTGCGATCGTGTGGCTCACATGGCGCATCCACCCGAAAAATGATGTCGAAAGTTTCAGCTGGACCACGATGTATCACTACCGCAATGACGTTGATTTGCTTGCTGGAATTGAGGCACCGGGGGGTAATGGGACTCATGGGCTTGACGGAACAACGGTGCAGATGTCCAGCGAGGAGTGTATCGCAAGTGTTTCTGGGACAGGTGCAAGGCCGCCTGGTGGGTGGGAGTTCGGTGTAAGTGATGAGGAAATTGTTAAATTTTCGCAAAGGGTCCCGAACTACATTGACTCTTACGTTATGCCGCCATCGAAGAAGTCATGATGGGAACAATTGTGACATCGACTACGTAGGATTAGCATATCGGATTCACTTCATCCACTTCGCTCGATATAGACGACCAACGAAGTTGTTCAAACACTTAGACAGTATATTTCCCTCACATTCTCCTCGGCATGCGACAACAACATGATGGCAAGCCAAGTAAACCGTTTGATGTACACCTGGCATAGCTTCACTGAGAATTCGTCGAGTAGACACGCAAGAGCAGTGATCTTCTTTTGCCCAACAATGCCTCATCACTACGGAGAACGTTCCGTCTTCTTCGTCTCCGCGTGCTCTTCCTGACGTGTTTGAGGTTTTCCTTGGAGGAGCTGGCGCTATTCGATGTCTCACGCGGCAAGTTTGCTCTTGAGACCGTCGGTGCTATTAGCCATGATCTTCAGCTAGAGTGAGATCTTGAGGAGCTCCTACCTACGTTCCTCGTGGTCGTGGTGACTCTCAACATGCTTCTTCCCCTTCTGCTCCATGATCTGGGTGACACCCTCGAGACGTTCATGAATCCTACCCAGTTCGGCGCGGCAAGATTCGCGCTCAGAGATAATCCTGTCCCAAACCTCCATCAGAGAACCTCTCCGCTGGGACATACTGGCCATGAGATCCGTGAGAGCAAAAGCTCGCGCTCGGCTTGAACTGTGTGCTCGTCGAACAGTTGACTGAGGTTCTCCCGGGGCGGATCTGACAGCCCTGAGTCCCCGATTGCCTCACTCGCGTGGATCTGGCGCGAAGTTGATAGCCCCGAGTCAGCGATTTCGTCACTCCGGAGACGAAACGAAAAGAATCGATGGACAGTATGGGTATAGCCCGCGCTATCGATTGAGGGATTGCGTCAATTTTCTTCTTGTGTATCGGTACCGTTCCACTTACTCCAAGCACTTTCCATACATTCCACGATCGACCAGAACAGCATTCTGTTAAACAGTCGAATTGGCCGCTGAAGTTGAATGTCCAGCCAGAGAAGGATTTGGTGTTTTGGAGTGAAGAGCACCTCCAGAAATTGGCTAGATAACGGGAAGCTGTCGCCCTCTGGGTCGGGGTTTGCCAGACGCTTTACGGGATAATTGAGACATGCCATACCCACAAAATAAAAGATTGCTGTACAGAGTAACTCCTTCACCCACCACTTGAAGCCTTGTCTGGACATCCAGCCGTCTCGAGGTGGATGTGGTATCGTGAAGTGATAAAATATACAGTCTCTGCTTTCTTCGAAGTCCGGGTCGTGATTGGCTTGACTGATAGTATCGAAAAGTGAGCTCAGATTGAAGTGACTTTCTCGTCGGTGCGCCATCCAATAGAGCCGGTAGAACTCACATTCGGAGAGGATGAAGAATGCCATTGCGAAGTGGAGTGCGCACCTTTGAGCATCTATGCCACGATCTATGGTGGTGGTAGCGACGGTGAAATAGCTTTGAGCCCACATTGCGAGATGGCCAAGAGCAACAAGCATCATCGAAACCGGTACAGCGTAAGATTGGGGTAGACACGCTTCCGTACATTTCCCGAAGCGCCCGTTGACAATGTCGTCCATGATGTGAAGAATCGCGGTGGTGATAGGAAGAATTGCTATCCAGAGTAGCCGCATAGCAATGTTGGTGTCCTTGGAAGGTTGGATTTGAAAGACTGCCACCGATATGAGTGATTGAAGGCATTGTGTGGCAAAGCGAGCCTTTGTGGGTATTTTGGATAGTCTGCGAGACATGGTAAAATGGAGATTGCTTTCGAAACTCGTAAGTCGAAGCGTTGTAAGCCTAATGGTATGTCCTTGAGAAAGGCACCAGTATGTAAGGCCAGCTCTTCAGCTTTTATCTCTTTGCTGACTCATTGGGTTAGCGATTGGATAGCGGCTTATGGATAGTGAAATCGCGAACCATGGGTACCTGATGATTCATCTCAATAATGATGTAATGCTAGCCAGACATTCGATTGAACGTCAAGTCGGAAGTGCTCCGGTCGAGAATTGATGCTGGTAGCAGGGTGAAAATTCCCAGGTCTAGTCCGCCTTCGGTGAGCTTGCGGCTTAGTGAATGACATTGCGACGGAGAAAGCTTGTCGTGTTTGTTCGTTTCATCTTCCAACGACGGCGACTTGAGGAGATTGAATTGCAGAAAATCGCTGAGCTTTGAGTAACAGGGAATTGCGGAGTTTCGAGAGCAGGACTTATTGAGTTGCGAATAGCGAGAATTCGATGATCTTCAAACAGCAACGCTGTATTGAGCTTCAAGGAATAGGCACTTGATAAGCTCCAAGCGACGAAGGTGAAAAACAAAACTAAAGTGGGGTCAGCGTCTATTATTCAAGAATGACACCAACTTACTCACAATCGACTGAAGCCGTGAAGGAAAAATATGCAGGCTGAGATAAAACCGAAAAGCATTGCTTCTGATTTTTGCCCAAGCCCGCCCACCACCCAACCTCCCACGCCCCGTTAGGGTGCCGCGGGCAACCAGGGACCTCACCCCTCACCTACTCATTGTCTCCAACACCAACCGTTTGACCATGCTGACGGGATCCTGTACGTCCCCTACGGGAGCGTCCAAGGATTGTAGGTTATGTCGAACATGTCGGGCATCCGCGGAAAGTTGAGAGGCCGAGCCTCAGGATCAACTTGGACTTGACTTGCGCGGATGAGTTGGCGTTGGTTTTGATCCTCTCGAAACGTTTCGTGCCAGGACTTGTAGGGCTCGGCCAGCCAGTGGTATACGCCTAGGGCGAAGGCGCAGGCCAAGAACTTGACAAAGTGGCCCCACTGGCCGGGCAATGTTTCCGCCGTAGTCCAGACAACGTTTCCGAGAAGAAAGCCGAGTAGGGCTTTGAGGGCGTCCGGATGGACGAAAAGCAAGAAGAAGCTAAGAAGAGACGTAAAGATAGACATTTTAGTGAACGTGGCTTGCTTTCGTGAGGTATGGTAAAGAAGAGAAAAACAGAATTGGCGGGTGCAGCAATTGTTTTGTTTCGACAGTGCTCACTGTCGCACCTTCTGTTCATGATAATCCTCATGAGCATGAGCGAATGTGCAATTGCTGCATGGGAAGTAGTTGCTGCTTGATTCATAGCCACTAGTGACTTCAATACAGCAGCGACGGATTGGGCTTCGAAGAACAGGGGTTCTTTACAGAACCAGACTAAGAAAGTTTACAACAGTTCGCGTCAGGCGTATACGGCTATGATTTCAAGCGCGAAACTTTTACAATAACACAACTTGTAGTTGTCAAGCTGTTAGGAAAGCTTGCACACATTGAGCTCTAGTAGGTCTCACTCAACTGAGAACGAAGTTGGAAGTAAGCTGTGTTGTTCCCAGTACACAACGAAGCAAAAGTATAGGAATGAATGCTAGAAAAGAAACCTAACTGGCGCATACCAGTATTGATCGAGGCGCCCAGGTTCTGTATTCCTTTTGTATGTAGTTGTCAAGAAGTTGCAAGATTTGGCTGTGACTTACTTCTAACTTGGCAAAAAGGCTGCTATCATTTTGACCAGACGAGGTAATGATGGTGGAGAATACATGACCTATTCGCATATAGGGAACGCCAGACATGTGTTTAAACTAACGCCAGGCCCGCATGGCCGAGATATGATACAATTGAACAAGACTAAAGCACGGTCTTATCGACCCCGTGCAGTATCGCAACCTCACACCGATGTACATCTGACAGTGAACTTCCCATCTTGTGTTCCAGGTGTGCAGATGATAGGGCTCGAGCTCTCAAAAGTCAACTCAAAAGAACCGTTCTTTGTGCCAGAGAACTGGATATTGGCGCTTGCGTTCACCGAGTTGACACCAATTCCGGCACCGAGCTCGAGGGAATCTGGTTTGATGGTGTAGCCGCCACCCAATCCAAAGACGTCGGAGCCAGCTTGAAGCCCTCCTCCGTAGGAAACGTTGCTTGCCCAGTTTATGCCGCAGCCTGCATCTTGGGATTAGCTATTGCTTAAGAGGGTGTCGATAATATGGTTTTCGTACCAACACCAACTTCGCCAAAGGGAGCTAGAGTCCCTGCGGCCGCTACGTTTCCTATCCCACTAGTAGACGTAGCATTCTTGTTAAAGTCTGTGATCGCGATCCCGTCGCTTGTCTGGCGCTTTGGCAACATATATGCTGACGAGACACTGGCTAGAGCAAGGCAAGAAGAAACAAAGAGTTGGGGGAGCATTTTGGTTGCTGCTTGATGTGATTTTTGTGATGTAGAGAGATTTAAAGAGTGGCAGCAGTCAGGTATGCAACAATGACTTTAGCCCCCTGAGTTACATATATAGACGCTTCGGCCGTTCCTCGATGATTTTCTGTAGGTCAACAGGGTGTGGCCATCTCCTCGTGGCATTCGGTCCGCATATGAAAACACCAAGCCGCCATCTGCTTGGCTGAAGAGACGTAATTTTAGAGATGTCGTAGGTACGTGTTTCAACAACTATTGTGCATTGAATAACAATAGCTGAGGAGGCGGAACTACAAATTCCAAATCGAAGGCGTGAGGTATAACAGTGATGCTCAACGAGTTGAGTCTTGATCCAAATTCGGCCTAGGAAGAACAAAGATGAAGAACACAGCAAAACTTACATCTCACGTCGCCAAAAAGAAGAGGGACCGAAGTCATATACCACGACATGAATGATGTACTATCATGCCACGAGAACGCCTCCGTATTCTCCAGATCAACCCCAGTTTCAGGTCCCTCGAGAGATTCAATTGCGCAAACCCCAACCCATTCTACCTTCTATGCCCAACGAGGTGCCCAGCCAACGTGTCAGGCGCGAAGTGAGTGGATTTAGAGGCAGGAACTATCCAACAATGAGCATAAAAAAGTGAAGGATCACCCGGATGTCCATGTGCTCGTCTCGTCCCTCAATCCGGGGATCTGATGCTAAGCCCCATCGATCTTAGCGTCTTGGCTGTCCACGCGAGAAAAAAAGATAGATTTGCATGAATTTGCAAAAAGATATACATACAACAGCGGGGATTCGCTACTACTAGTCCGCCGGTACGTTGCTTAAATAGGGCTGAGCGAACGGGAAGCCTTGTTTTCAACGTCCTATGGTCGTATGTATCAGTACAGGACGCAAGACATCAATATAACGCCGATTGTGAACATAGATACTCGCACAATGCAACTGCCCTCAACTTCTACACACGTCCTCAGCCAAACACCAGTAACCCAAAACCCCAACAGCGAGATAATCAATCTTCCCACCCATTCACCTCCAGCTATCCCCACCACACTACGTCAAACAAGCACCACACGCCGCCGTCCCCCCCATCCTAACCGGCGCCCTCGTATCCACACGTCCCACATCCGCACTCCCTCCCCGCGCACCTCCCCCTCCGCCACTCCTTGGCCCAGCGTTTCCCCGCCCATGCATGCCCCCCTGATAACTGTCCGGCGCAGGCGCCACGGTCGCGGGCCGGTAGAAGGACGACGAGCCGGGCGCGCGGTGCGGCGAGTTGCGCGCGGCGGCCCAGGTGTCGAGGGAGAAGAGCGTTGTTAGGTAGAGGGCTAGGAAGGTGAGGAGGGGGGATGTTGTGGATGTTGGGGTTGGTTGTCTGGGGTGTGTTAGTGCGTGTGGCAGATAGGGAGGAACAGGGGGGATGTACTTTGGTGTAGACATGTTTGCGGGTGGGTGTGGGCTGTTTGGTGTTGTTGCTGTGTGTTATCGCGAGGACGTGATGCGATGTGATGCGCGCGTTGTTGCCTGATGGATGGTGGATGATGTGCAGGGATCTGGGGGACGCTAATGCAGGGACGGGTAACGGGTGCGCACGGACGGAAGTTTTCTTACCTCACTGCGTCGGTTTGCGGTTTGTCGATATCTGCTTTGTATCACTTTCTCTCACGTGTAGTTTGTTTATTTGTATCGCTATTTAAGCTGGGGTTGTTGTTTACAAAAGTGAACTAATCCATCTACGAGGATATCGTCTCTCTCAACAGACGAGCAATCATAGTCGAAGACGTGAACCGCCCAGCATGAAGGGCGTACAGGATATGGCAAGTACCATGCATCATGAAGCAGATCACAAAGCTAACCCCACCCAGAAGCGCAAACTCTCCTCCGTCGCCATCCACAAAAAAGGCGACGAAGAAGACGACAACAGCAGCCCATCCAAGAAGCTCCGCAGCTCAGCGCCCCCAGACGCCGACGTCGACACCTCCCGCCCAACCGCCCTATTCAAGCCCACCAAAGCGCGAGACTGGACCGTAAGCATCGCCCTCCCAGGAAGCTGGCTCCTCAACGCCAAAAAGCCCGACCACAAAACCATGCAAGTCGGTCGCATAGCGCGCGCCGCAGCCGTATTCTGCGTCGACGAAGTCATCGTATTCGACGACGACCCGGGCAACACAGCCCCAAGCTACATCTCGCCCAACTACCTGCGCAAAGCAAAGGGCAAGAAGACAAAGCAGGAGCTGCTCGATTCCATCCTGGAGGAAGACGAGCCGTGGCAGAATCCAGACCAGTTCTTGTACCATGTGCTGTCGTTTGCAGAGTGTCCGCCGCACCTGAGACACAACCACGAGGATCCCAGTCTGAGTATCTTCCAAGTGCACAAGAACCTCGAATGGGCCGGCTGTCTGCCTAGCATGGATATGCCGCACCATCTGCGCGGCCACGAATGGTGTCGATACCGCGAAGGCGTCGTCATCGGTCCCGCCCCCGCCCCCCCTTCATCATCATCAACCCCCAAATCCAAATCCAAAAAGACAAAGACCCCCGCCCCAGAACCCCAGCAACACGTCTACGTCCACTGCGGCCTGCCCCACCCCGTCCGCGTATCCGCCCCCGCCTCCGCCCCCATAGAACCCGGTATGCGCACAACCGTCCGCTTCACCACCCCCTCCGCCCCACCATCCTGGCCACACCTCTCGCAATCCGCCTGCGAATCCCTAGCAGCCACAGCCTGCGAGTCCAGCCTCCCACGCCAAGAAGCAGGCTACTACTGGGGCTACACGGTCCGCCGCGCCGCGTCCCTCAGCGCCGTCTTCTCCGAGTGCGAATTTCCCGACGGCTACGACTACACGATCGGCACGTCGGAGCGCGGCGTCGACGTGCGCGCCGTGTTGCCGGGCGGGGACCACGCCGCGCCCCAGAAGTTCAAGCACCTACTACTCGTGTTTGGCGGCGTGGCGGGACTGGAGCCCGCGGTTGCGAATGATGCAATGCTCGTGGAGAAGGGGCTTGGTAAGGCGACGGCGCATACGCTGTTTGATGCGTGGGTTAATCTCGTGCCTGGGCAGGGGAGTCGGACGATTCGGACGGAGGAGGCGGTGGAGTTTGGGCTTTGTGCGCTGAAGCCGTATGTGGATTCTATGTATGGGGGTGAGTAGGAGGTTTGGCGGTGGATGGGGAGGCGAGGGCGTGTTATTTTGGCTGGTGGGATTGCTGTGTACGGTGATGCATAGGGGGTATGTGGGTTGAGAAGGAAGAGGCAATTCCATACGATCCGCAATTCACTCAGCACCAACTTTCCATGACGCAAGAGCATATCATTTCCATTCCATTCCATACAACAACCTTTCGCGCCAAGCTACTCAGTGAGTTATCGAAAACACAAATCCACCACCCTATCATCCATCCATCCATCCATCTACACGCACATCCCCCATCACGCCCCCCGCCTCACATTCGTGCTCATAAGCGTGATTTTCTGTTTCTTCTTCTTCTTGCCACCAGGGGCCTGTTTCCTCGCCGCCGCCGCCGCCGAAGACTCGCCCTCCCCTACTTCACCGAGCGACATAGCCTGCGCCTGGGCAATCAAGTCTTCTTCCTGCAGGAGATCCTTCTCCCAGCCCTGGAGCCAGCCGTCGTCGCCGTCGTGGTCCAGCTGGGGTCCGAGATTAGGTGATGTGGAGGATATAGCAGCCGTGCCCCAGACGGTGCGCGCAGCCGATGGGCTTGTTGAAGGCGAGGCGAGCGACGCGAAGCCTTGGCCGCGACGCGTGGGCCACGGGGGTGAAGTCGACGTGCTGTCTCCATCTGCTGGGGGCGGAGCATCGGACACGCTGCTCGAAGCCAGGGGCTGGAAGTCATTTGCGGAGAATCTCTCCGATATGCTGGGGCGTTTCCTGCGCGCAGAGGCAAACTCGGCATATTCCATCTTCTCTGCGCGCTGGCGGGCTTTCTCCTCCCTGGTCTCTTTTTCTTGGTACTTTGTTCGTCTCTTTTCGATCTCGGGCTTGAAGCGTTCGAGGACTTCTGGCCCGACTGTGTCTGTCCAGTCGCATTCGAGGAAGTTTACTTCACAGCCATATGGCAGATGCGCTAGGTACTTTGTGCGCCTCCGTAGCTCATCGTCGACGACGTGGCCGGTTGAAACGCGTTCAACGCGGGGCAAGATAGTGGAAGGGAGCGAAGAAAAGTCGCCGAATGCAGCTTTCAGGATTCTGATGTCTAATGGTGATAGATAGTAGTGGAGGAGCGCCTGGTAGAAGTAGTACTCGGACGGTGTATTGTGATGCTCGTGTTGCTGCCGGTGTCGAATCTCAGCGAGTGTTGATTGAATGCCATGACTTGCTCTCGAAGAGTGGGACGACGTAGACATGGTTCTTTGCTGTTTCCCCTGACCAAGGCTGGATCTATCCGACGATCCGACGTCTGCCTCCGTACTAGGTTCCGTCGATGCCGAAGTAAGATCGTGGCCTGATCGAGCGGCGTGTTGCACCGTATACATATCGGGAGTACTTCCATCCTCGTGGTAGACAATCAGAGGTTTCTTGGCCTTTGGCTCAGCTGGTTTAGCAGGCATTTCGGGAGGGTTCCCAAGCCCTTTGAGGTTTTCTTTCGCCTCTTGAATGTTGCGAACCGCTTTCTTCATCCACTGCATGTTGTCCTCTCCAAACATGACTTCGTCTTCCTTGCCCTGTCGCTCCAACTCTTCAATCTCCGAGTCGTATTGTTCGAGCATGTAGTTCTCCCCGCCTCGCATGACTCGCGCGTAGTCCATGACCTCAGCAGCGAAATTCCAGGGAACGTCCTCGTCCTTACCCAAGGCGTCTGCACCGTCGCGAGGCATGGCCAGCGTACTTCCAGCTGGCCTCATTACCAGGCGGAGGACGACATCACCTCCTTCGCGTGGAGGGGCACCCTCCTGTCCCTCGTACCAGCGCACAGGCCTCGTCTCAGAGGTGTAAACAGTATCGAAGCACAATGGGCATTTCTTGGATCGCGCCCTCTTCTCAGGGGCCTTGCCGTCTTCTTCCGAGTGCATGTAGCGTATAAGACATGGCAGGCAGAATATATGGCCGCACTTGGCCATTCTAGGGGCTACCGGAGTTCCCAGACAGATGGGACAAGAAGCTTCCTGGGACACCGTTGACGCCAATATCTGCAAGACATTATTCCAGTCCAGGTGGATATCAGCATCAACGCTTTGCGCGCGGTAGTCGCCGCGCGGGTCGACAATGAAGCGGTAGTTGGCGTGTACATATCTGCATCCTGTCAGCCGTGATGCTCCACTGATAAGAAGCGCATCATGGATGGTGAAGAACTGCGACAACGCACCTTGCCTTGTCAGTGGCGTGATAGCCCGAGCCGAGGCCCCAGGTAGGATTTCGCCGGTAGTTCCTGCCCTGCGACTGGTGATAATTCTGGGGGCGCGGCGGCAGGCTAAAGTTCATAAGATGGGTTATGGACGTCTGCCCCTTCCGATTGTTGAAAGGACGCATGGCGAGCTAGACAGTCAGCGGACAGGACTCCCTCTGACGTGTGTCGCCCACTCACCGACTCGACAAGGGCATCCTCGTCGGTCTGTCGGAAGCGCTTCGAGCCCTTGTGCTGCTTCTTGCTCTGCTGGTTGTTTCGTGGCGCCGGCGCGGATCGAGTCGACGGCCCCGTTCCCAAAGTACCCCGCGGCTGGCCAAAGAAGCTGCTGGTGGAGATTGAAGGCGGCTGATTTTGGGCAGGCGACGCGGGTCCGGAAGAAACGTTGGCTTTGGAGGATGAGGCAACGGGCGGCGGGTTCGAGGACATGGTGTCGCCCACTCAAGGGTACGCGCTGATGACGATACAAGGGTCCAGGCTCGATGAGTCTTGCAGTCGTGCAATGGCGAGTGGGGAGAGAAGGTCAGGCAGCGAACGGGAGAGGGAGTCTGCAGACACTAGATTGCTTGGGTTTGCAGGCGTTTGGGTCCCCCAGAGGGATGGACTTGGAGAGTTGCATCGGAGTGGCGTCTCGTACTGGATGACGCTTCTCTCCGCGATCACGTGCGCGCTGAGTTCCGGCAGCTTCTACGCCGGCACGCACAGCCTCTGACTCTTGATGGAGTGAGAGGTGAATAAGCAAGGTGGGATGGAGTGAGTAATTGTGGACGTTTGTGAGCCAGGCAGTAGCCGGTGTGGTAGTCACAGTGGAAGCTGTTCGATTCAAGCAAGCTGTGCAGGCTGCAAAGTAGTGAATTTTGACACGAAGCCGTATTTTCTGATAATTAAAAGCATAGCTCTTCACTTCATCGTCGAATTCAAGAATCTAGTGCTCTGTCGTCTCCCTGATTGCTCGCCGTCGGACACTGAGTCTGTGACGTTTGGTGTGGCCCAAGCGCAGGGCTCGACGACGGACGACCTGACGTGCCATTGTGCCCTCTGCATTCTTTATTCACGCCGCCCCCGACCGCACGCAATCCTCGCGCCTCTCCCCCGCGGGCAGTCTTGCAGCGCTCATGTCGTGCTGATAGAATGACCCCGCGCCCTGCCAGCTGCCCCGCTGCCCTCCACCCACCGCCGGGCGTCGCGCGACCACCTCTCGCGAGCCAGCAATAAATCTCGCCAGCCCCCGCGCCACCTGCGCGCCGCCATCGCCGCTGAGCACGGGCACGAGCAGACAGAGCAGACCGAGCAGGAGCAGCACGCACCGCCGCCTGCACGTTGGCCGCGCGGTCTCTCTGGCCGGCGACCGACTGGAGGCGAGAGGGTGCCTGAGCCCATGATGCCAGGCCCGTACGTGCCGCCCACCGGGCCCTACCAGGGACGGAGGCAGGAGCACCAGTACCAGTACCACATGCCGCCGCAGACGCACTCGCCCGTCCACCACAACCCGTACGCGCAGTACCACCACGCCCAGCACTATGGCCATCCGCACGCCTACCCCCAGCACATGCCGCACATGCAGCCGCAATGGTACCCCTACCACCAGCCGCAGCAGCAGTACCCCATGCCGCCGCGCCAGTTCCAGCCCCAGCCCCACGCCTCGCCCGTCGTCGTCTCGTCGCACCCGCACCTGGCCGACCTGCCGCTGGTGAACCGCGCCATGGGCCACACGCCGCCCATTGTCCACTCGCGCACCCCGCCCGCCCCGCGCGTGCACACTCCCCAGCCGGTGCCCTCGACGTCCTCGGTGCACTCGCAGACGCAGGTGTCTGCCTCGACCCCGCTGACAAACACGACCACGACGCCCCCGCCCATCGCCGAGTCGAAGCCTGCACAGTCCACCCCGCCTCCGGCTGCACAGCCTGCGACGTTCAAGCCCTTCTACCCGCCCTTGCCGTGGCTGTCGGTGCCTGACGCAGAGTTTCCTCCCCGTGCCGCCACCCGGAGGAGACGACGACGCGATGCTGTGCCCGCGCAGGAGGAGGGACTAGCGTTGCCCTCGCGCGAGCAGGCTGTCCCGGAAGAGTCCTCGGCTGACGCTGAGCAAACCACAGACGGGGTGCAGACACCGACTGAGGAGCCAGAGGAGTCGCAGGCATCCACCGTTGCAGTGCCCTCGGACGCGGAGATTGACACCCCCTCGACGTCACACCCGCCGTCTGAGGCTGACCTCACCCACTCCACCACCCCGACTGCCGTGACCCCATCTGCTCAGACTTCACCCGCCGTGCCAAGACACACACGCAACACGACCAAGCCTGTTGTCCCGCTCATCCCCATCAAGCCCACCAAGCCCTCGACTGCAGCCTCGGCCACTCAGAAATCAGTCAAGTCTCCCCCTCCTACAGCAAATTCGCAGGATGCGCCAAAGGCAGAAGACACTCCAGCAGTCGCGCCAGAGGACACAGCCAGTGCTGACGAGGCGACCACGACGGCCCCGCCGGCCAAGCCTGCACCACCAAAGTCATGGGCAGAACTCTTGAGGGCAAAGAACGCTCCTGCGTCAGCTCAGCCACCGCCGCCCGCCACTGTATCAAATGGGGTTCCTGTTGCTGAAAACGGGCCCACCGTGCCAAAGAGCAATTCTCTCGCTGACGTTCTGGCGTCCTTCTCGGTTGATTCAGAGAAGAAGGTCTCGTTCCTTGAACCTCGCGGCCTCGTCAACACAGGCAATCTTTGCTACATGAATTCTGTACGTCAATAATCACACCATAATGCGAAAAACTAACGTCTCCAGATTCTGCAAGTCCTTCTTTTCTGCGTTCCTTTCTATGACTTTCTGGACCAGGTTGCCAGGCGCGCTGTGCACAGCTTCAAGTCCGAGACGCCTCTCGTAGATGCAATGTGAGTGTTGTAGATTGCTATCATCTTCACAACTAACAACCGCCAGGATCATGTTCATGCGCGATTTCAAAATGATCGATTCCGCAGCCTCGATCGACCAGCTTCGTCTGCGTTTGAAGGACAACGAGCTCGAGCGGTATGGCGATCCCCTGACGCCAGAGTACGTGTACGACGTGATCAAACGCCTCCCACGATTCGACAACATGAAGGTAAGTCACTCCAAAACATCCGCTTGTTCCTTCTAACATCACACAGCGAGGCCAGCAAGAGGATGCCGAAGAGTTCCTGGGCTTTCTGCTCGCCGGCCTGCATGACGAGTGCGCCAACCTGATCAAGAAGGACAAGTCAAATCATACTCAAGAAAGCCTGACCTCACCGACAACCGACCAACCGGACTCCACAGAGGGTGGCTGGCACGAAGTTGGATCGAAGCAGAAGGTGTCCGTCACTCAATCTTCCGGAACCATCGAGATCGAGACGCCCATCACCAAGATCTTTGGCGGCAAGCTCCGATCTGAGTACAAGAAGCCAGGAGAGAAACCTTCAGTCACACTCGAGCCATACCAACCACTACAACTGGACATTGGCGAACCCAACATCAACAACATCACAGACGCCTTGAAAAACTTGACACGCTTGGAGACACTAGACGGCGCAGCCCGTGGTGCCCGTGCCTCCACCAAGCAAGTCCACATCGAGAGCCTTCCTCCCGTCTTGATCCTCCACCTCAAACGATTCCACTACGACGAGAAGGGCCCCCAGAAGATCTGGAAGAAGGTCGGATACCCCCTCGAATTAGAAATTCCGAAGGAAATGTTCCCCCAGCACAAGCGAGGGTACTACCAGGCAAACGGAGGCTTCCCGCGATACAGGCTGATCGGCGTCGTTTACCACCACGGCAAAAACGCAAGCGGTGGGCACTACACAGTCGACATCCGCCGCCAAGAAGGCAAAGAGTGGATCCGCATGGACGACACCATCCTGCGTCGGATCCGCGCCGAGGACGTTGCCGAGGGCGGCGCCGAAGAGGATCCCAAGGTCCTGGCTGCCGCGCTCGAACAGCACAAGTCCGACGCAGGGAAGAGCAAGAACTTCTTTGCCCAGATCGACATGGAAGACGAGGAGGCCGACAAGGGCGGCTGGAACCAAGTCAACGGCGCGGAAAAACAGAAGGAAAACACGAAAAAGTGGGCTGGCGTCCTCAACGGATCGGCGACGCCTAACTCGGCTGGCAAGCGCACGCCGCTCCAGAAGGAAAACGTCCGCGACAACAAGGTCGCGTATATTCTTTTCTACCAGCACATGGAGTCATGAGGTGCGGGTGTTGAGGGGCAGCTCAGAAAGACTTGTGGAAGTGGGGGGGATGGTTTCGCGAACCTCGGACGGTAATCATACGACGTGGGGAAGAAAAAAAGTTTTTGAAGCATTTGCGTCGGGAACAAAAGTGATGGATGGATTGGAATGGGATGGAATGGGATGGGACGGATCGGGTCGGGACGGGACTAATGGGAGTCATCATCTCGGACTGTATGTACAGTGTGTGGGGTTCCATATTCAGATGTTTATCACGTAGGCTGGGTTGTGCGCTTTAACGGTTGGGATGGGCACCGAGCTGTGATGAATAGATACCCTGACTGGCGGAAAGAGGGATCGGATCGGGTGTCTAGGATATAGGGATCAAAATACGCATGTTTGTATGTATGTATGTATGTATCGACTACTGAGACGTTTTTGTTTTCATGCTTTGTTTGGGTGTGGTGTGGTGTGATTCTTTCGTCTACGTTGCGTTGCGTTGGCATGGTGGATGTAATGGTGGAATTTATGGAGTTTATGGGTTTATGTATGGGAACTTGGACCGTGCTCTACCTACATCCCACCTGCCCCTCCACCCCTCCACTCCACTCCACTCCACCCCCCCACCAAGAGCTCACGCATATTAAGCGCAAGCTATCCCCCAGCTAGACAGACGATTGAATTCCCAAACAACTCACACAACACCACCTTGTTAATTACACAGAACCCCAAAGAAGATCAATATGCTGATCCAGGAATCGCACAAAGACGTGCCTACGGTGGCGGGGGGTGATATGCGTTAGTACCTCCCAATCCCCATACCCATACCCAATTCCAATGTAATACCCATGACCATGACTATATCCTCCGGATCAGAAGTATGAGTTGGACATGAACTGACAAAAAAGTATAGGCATCTTCATGTTCCACCCCTCGATCCCGAATTACCCCAAAGCAAAGTTTCCAGGCGTAGTTGTTTTCTCGGAGATATACCAGGGTAAGCCTTTTGACAAACCTCCCTCCCATCAATCATTCCGATGATTCAATTTTTCCTCTCTCGACATCAATTCCTGCGAATCTATCACCTCATTGCATTCCATTCTATCTCGCCACATCCCCCCCCCCCTCTCTCTCTCTCTTAAAACCCCCCCATCTTCTTTGACCAACTTCTCACGCCCCCACCCACCCAGTAACCGGTCCCGTATGCCGCTTCGCCCGCCAAATCGCCTCGCAAGGCTACATCGTGGCCGCCCCCTCCTCGTACCACGAATTCACCGGTCCCTCCCCGCTCGCCTACGACGGGCCCGGCACAGACGCTGGAAACGAGTGGAAAATTGCGAAGAAAGTGTCTGCGTACGATGAAGACGCTACGCTTTCCATCGACGCGCTACTCGCGCTTGAGACGTGCAATGGGAGGGTGGGGGCTACTGGTGCGTTTACCCTTTCCCCCTGAATGGTAGAGTGGAGTGGAGTGGATTAGGGGTTTAACAGTGGAATAGGAATGTGCCTAGGCGGCCACCTGGCGTATAGATGCGCGCTCGACCCGCGCGTCGCAGCCGCTGTGTGCTATTTCGCGACGGATATCCACAGCTCGACACTCGGGCTGGGTAAGAGCGATGATTCGCTTGCGCGCGCGAGGGATATTAGGGGCGAACTTGTGATGATATTTGGGAAATTGGATAATCATGTCCCTGCTGAGGGGCGCGATTTGATTAGGAAGACGCTGCATGATAGTGGAGTCAATTTTTCGTTCTTTGAGAATGCGGGGGCGCAACGTGGGTCTCCCTTTTTCTGTTCTTTTCTGCGGTTCTGGGGGTTTGATTTGGATGTAAGGGAGGCTAATATGTGTGAATAGATGCATTTATCCGCGACGAACTTAGTAAGGGCCGCTACGACGCGGCGCTGAGTGGGGTGTGCTTTGAGATGCTCAAGGAGCTGTTTGGGCGCACACTGCGGTCTGATTTGGGGCCGAGGGATGGCAAGGCGGTGGAGGTTGAGGATATCTGTTGAGGGGTGATGGGTTATGGGTAGGGCGGGGGAGTAAAGGGGGGAGTGGGTGTGGAAAGGAGATAGAAGGACGTTGGAAACGAGAATATGACATGAGTGTTGGTGGTGCATGTACACCCCCAAACTCCTCCCTGCTTTTTAGCACAAATGTATGGCTGCTGTGTATCGTACCTGGGCTCATCTCATCTCGTCTCATCGATTCCCTTCTTTCGCTCATTTGTTGTTCTATCGTGTGCTGATGCGGGGTTTTGTGGACTGTTGTGGATTTCTCTGGACGATAGATCGATTACTTTGATAAGATGACGTGGCGGTTAAAAACATATTTCCAAAGTGTGATAGAGTGGAGTGGAATGCATCGATGAAAGTACGGTAGAAGAAGTGACCAAGCAGAACAGCGTCACAGACCAGACCAAACCAGATTGGAACAAGCAAGACGAGAAATCAGCGAGGACGAAGGAAGATACAAACTTCCAATCGACGAGACGCCGTGAAAATCTCAACTTTTGCCCCCTTTTTCATGTCGTGGGATCTGTAGAAAAAAGAAAAGGCGATTACTCACTTAATCACTCACTTATTCACTCACTTATTCACTCACTTATTCACTCACTCCCCAAGACAACGACATCCCCAGCCAGTCTCCATCATCTCCCACATCACCACACCCAAACCCTCATAAACACACCCATTCATTCCACTCATAATCTATTCCATCCAAGCTAAGCTATACACACCTCCACCTCCCCTCGCCCACAACCCCCCATATTTTTCCAAACCCCTCAACCTCACCCCCCCCCTTCACTACGCCACACTCCCCACCACCAACCCCGCAACCCCCTCCTCCTCACTCCTAACATCAATCTTCATAGTCACGCCCGTCTTAGCACTAAACGCCATCCGAACCATCGCCGCGACCTTCCCGCCCGTAACCGTCTTACCGTAGAGTTTAAGCGTATGTGTCGAAGCGGAGAGAGCGACGTCTGTGCCCTCGAGGGGTTGGAGGCTCAGTGTCTTTGTGAGCTGTTCTGTTGCGTCTGCGTTTGTGTTAGTAGGTCGAATTGCGTGATTTCTGGACATGATATTGACATACCTGATATACTCTTAATATTGCTCAATTGCAGTGTTTCCGTAGCCGAGTCGCCGTTGGCCTGCTCCCAGATGTTATCGAAGCTGCCGGCGTAAGCGGGGACGACGTAGTCCGCGCCATTGAGGTCCAGGTCCTCGACTTGGTATTCGTCTGGGTAGCCGTCGCCTTCTTCGGGTTCGCCTGTGCTGGGGTCGATTTCTTTACTTGTGAATTTGAGCATGTTTGTGAAGGTGGTGGCGATGAATTGCGACTCCGTCTCCAGACGCTTGAAGGATACGTAGACAGTTCCGGGCTCGTTTGTCGGCAGTTTTGGTGCTGGGATTATGAACTCTTCTTCGAGCTGCACGTCGCCGTCGTCTTCGGGTGTGACTACCATCTCAACGTCGGTGAGTACTGTGTCGGGCAGTGTGTTTTTGATGTCGTATTGGATGACGACGTGGTCTTTAAAGATGTGCTTGATGGCCGTGACGACGTATTCGGTCTCGGACTCTGTGAGCTCGATGACGTCGCTTGACTTGAGCACGCCGCCATGCGCTGCCAGTTCTGGAATCTTTTGCAGGTCCGCAGCATACTTCTGTGCAGCCGCCGCCCCAGATGCTGCAGCATCCGCACCAGCCTTTGATGGTGCCTTGGCAGCACTGGGAGCCTTGAGCGTCGGTGTAACGCCTTCGGTCTTCTTTGTGAGATCTGCGGCGTCTGCCTGTTCTCGGGAGACTGTCGGGATCTGGGTGATGTCGAAAGCGGTTTCAAAAGTATCGCGAGACCCGGAGCTGACATACAGGGCAAGCTGGTGCTCAAGAACGGGTAGAGAAAACATCGAGTCGTTGCGAATGAAGCTAATAGCCAAGTCATCATCCTGGTCCATCAAGCTGAGGTTCAAGGCCGCCCGATCTCGGACCTCGTCGTCCACATCGTCCAGGCATCGGGTGAGAAGGACGTGAACCGACTTCTTGATCTCGGGGTCTTTCTGGCCAACGCCGAACTTGGCCAATGCAGAGGTGGCTGCCGCACGAACAATAGCATTCTCCAAGACGACACGGTTGTAGATGTATCTGATGTACTTTGTAGGGTGTGGCGTTGAAGGACCTTCCCTCCCGAGTACGAAAAGGATCCTCACTGCCAGCTTGGTGAATTCGCAATCCTCAATGAACTCGCACAATGTGGCTAGCGCATCTTCCTTGGCCTCGGGGACGAATCGAATCAAGTCCATGATAGCCTCGACGACAGATCGTTTGAAGTCGTAGCCTCCCTCGTCGCGCAGGATGCCGCTGAGGAAAGCGAGGAAGCCAGACTGCTTGGCCTTGAACTTCAGAGCCAATGTGCGCACTGCCTCCACAATGGTGACCTTGAACTCGTCGGTGATCTCGGCCATGAAGCCAGTGATCTGTTTCATCAGCCTGTCGACAGACGACTCGTTGCCGGTCTTGAGCAGAGTGGTGATGGCGAAGGTGGCGATGCTGCGGTTCGAGTTTGTGATGAGCGATTCGATGTCCTGGTTGCACGATCGAACAGCGTCGGGCTTGAACGAGGCCATTTGCGACAGGATTCTGAGGGCAGCAAACTTTGTGACGGCGCGAGGCGAGGTGAGGAACAGCTGGAGGACGTGGACTGCCTGCACGAGCTCGGCGTCGGTCACGTCGCGCATGTCGCAGATGGCCTTTGCAGCCTCGAAGTTGACCATCTCCGACTTGTGGCGCAGCCAGCCGTCGAGCAGCTGCATCATGGGCTGTGTGTGTTGTCAGTGGTGGTGTATGCAGGCACGTGACGGGTAGTACCTTGCGGAGGTTGGGGTCCTCTTCAGCGAGCTTGGCTGCCAGACGGACCAGCAGGACGGTGGCAGCAGGGCTCTTGACGACGCCCTGTGCCGAGTACTGCTGGACCATCTTGACCAGGCTCATGCGATCGCCGGAGCGCATCTGGTACAGCAGGCCAATGGCGTGGTACTGTGTCATGTAGTTTGTGCTGGCCTGGAGTGCCGTGTGGGAGCCGCCGCCTCCCAGTCCGCCGAAGAAGCCACCGCCCGACTTGCTGCCTGAAGCAGCCTCTGCGGCCTCGGACTGCCACCTCCGCACGACATCCTTTGCGACGGGCAGCAGGTGGTACGACGAGACGAGGGCGGCCGAGGCGACGGACGGGTTCTTGTCGACGATGCACGTCTTGACGAGGCGCTCGATGGCCTGGACGGTCGAGGCGTCAATGACGCGGCACAGGGCGCGGATGGCGTTGGGGCGGTAGACGACGTCGCTGCCGACGGACGTGTCCTTCATGATGGACGACGTGACCATGATGACATCGTCGGCGGAACCGGCGAGCTCCTTGATGACCAGGTAGACCATCTGGCGCAGCGAGGCATCCTTGTTCTGGAAGAGCTTGGAGATGCCGAAGAAGAGGGTCGTGGCCTCCTGCCTCCCCCAGCTCTCGCCGGTGAAGAGCAGCAGGGCCAGCTTGGTCAATATCTGCCATGCTCAGCCCACGGTCACATGGAGGGGCGTCCCAACATACCACTCTGCACTTGCGCGGCGAAATGGGGCTCTGGTTGAAGACGCGCGCTGGACGGGCGGTCAGCTTCCCATACCGCCAGAATGCTCCCCCCTCCACCACTCCAGAAGTATACAGGCGGCCTACCTTCTTGGAAGACGGACGTCTTGTCAATCTGCGCCACCCCGCCGACGTCCTCGTGCTTCTTGTCCATGGTGGCTGCAGCACAGCTCCCGCGGCGGCTGCTCCGTCAAAAGTATCCCGCTCTTGCTGCGCCAAACGTGGCCTCTGGCGTGTGGGCGATGTGTGTGGACCCCGCGGGTGGTCGGGCGCGTGTGAGTTGGAGGGACGGGGTCGGGGCGTCGCAATGGCAGAGGAGTGTCGGGGTGCGGTGAATTGGCTACGTTGATGTTGGTTGCCCTCGCTCGGTCGAGTGCAGGGATGTCCCGAATGTGGGTTGCTGCTGCGTGTTTGGAATGTTTGCGGACGCTTGGCGAACCCTGCAGCAGCGCGGCCAGACACGGGAGTTCAACATTTTGACTCGACAGCGCCCTCGCCTTCCCTCCAGACCTCGCCTTTTCTCCCCCTCGACCTGCTCTCCACACACCATGGCCTCCTCGATACCTCGCTCCCGCTGCCTCTTCTCCGCCACCCCCCTCCACGCTCTCCCGCGCCCAAGAATACCACCACCGCAGTGCGCTCGGACCTTCGCCACTACCTCTGATCCCCCGCAACAGCCCCCCAAGTCCTCGCGGGCCCGCACCACATTCAGCGACACGCTCAACGCGGGTCCCTCCTTTGGCGACTTTGTAAGCCCAGACGCCCCGCTCGCCCCCGCCGAGGCCTACGAGATCAAAACCGCCCAGGTCGGGCCAGAAGGCCGCAAGAAGACCATCACCCGCCTGCCAGAGTGGCTGAAGACGCCCATACCCTCGAACCAGAACTACAAGAAGATTAAAAAGGACCTGCGAGGTCTGAACCTGCACACTGTCTGCGAGGAGGCCAAATGCCCAAACATCTCCGACTGCTGGGGCGGGAGCTCAAAGAGCGCGGCTACGGCTACAATCATGTTGATGGGCGATACATGTACGCGCGGATGTCGCTTCTGCTCGGTCAAGACGTCGAAAGCACCAGCGCCGCTCGATCCCCACGAACCTGAGAACACCGCCGAAGCACTACGGAGATGGGGGTTGGGCTACGTCGTGTTGACGGCCGTGGACCGAGACGACCTCGCAGACGGAGGAGCGCGACACGTCGCCGAGACCATCATGAAGATCAAGCAAAAGGCGCCGACGATGCTGGTTGAAGCGCTCGTGGGAGATCACGCCGGAGACCTCGAGATGGTGAAGCTAGTTGCGAACAGTGGCCTCGACGTGTTCGCCCACAACATCGAGACGGTCGAAGCCCTTACACCATTCGTCCGCGATCGACGAGCAAAGTTCCGCCAGAGTCTGGATGTTCTGCGCACGGCCAAGGAGACACAGCCAGAGCTCATCACCAAGACGAGCATCATGTTGGGGCTGGGCGAGACCGAGGATCAGCTATGGCATGCTTTGCGAGGTATGTCTGCCTCTTTGCTAAACACATAAATGGCCGTACTAACAACCACCCCAGAACTCCGCGCAAACAACGTCGACGTCGTGACGTTCGGCCAATACATGCGCCCCACAAAACGCCACATGGCCGTCCACAACTACGTCACCCCCGACCAATTCGAGACATGGCGTGTGAGAGCTCTCGAGCTGGGCTTCTTGTACTGCGCTTCCGGCCCGCTCGTGCGGTCGAGTTATAAGGCCGGCGAGGCGTTTATCGAGAACGTGCTCAAGAAGCGCAGGCTGGGGAATGCTGGGCAGGGAGAGGCTGCTGAAGTTATGGCTGAGCAGACGTTGTGAGGATTGCATGGATGGAGTTGGGTGCTGGTGTATGTTATGATATATGGGCTGGCGTTTGGGGCGTATCTATGCTAGATGGCTTAGTCTTTCTTGATTCACATATTCAACAATTTTGAAGTGCTTTCAACGCACCAATGCCATGGAGATGTTCTCCGTCTTGGCAGTTTTTCAAAGGGTTTTGTACAACTATGTGCTTCTTCTTTGCTTCTTGGTCACGTTCTGCTTCGTACACTGCAGAGTCTTGGACTTGCTTCTTCGATAGTAGCGAGAGGTAGGCGAACCCATGTTGGTTGGTTGGCTGGCTGGATGGGCCTTGGATGCTTGCTGGGGGCGGATATGTTCTATCACCTGGGAAACATTGACAACGATCAGGCGGGAGCAGGGTTCCAGTTCAAGTCCCCATGTGATACTCTTGTTTACATCATGTGTACAGTTGCGAGGTGAACCTCCTCGGACGTGCTCGCTTCCGGGCTAGATGGCGAGAGTAGCCGTCTGCCGGATCGTACCAACTTCTACCCTTGTCTTCTCAAATGTCTATACTGTTTGTGTATGTAAATTTACACATCTCGTGGAACCTGTACTCGATACCGTTGTTTACGACCTACTTACTGCTCCATCTACTAAGGTTTGATCTACCTACATCGCAGGCCATGAAGATATCTTGCTCGGGACCCAGTGTACTTCCATCCTCTTTTCATTTCTTTTCCGTCCAGATTCCTTTTCCGCCACACGCCGGTATGTTGCTTGCGCAACCGGTTTTTCTTTTGCTCGCGGATTATTTTGTATATAGGGTCTCTTGTAAGGGACATTACCGCGATATTACACAGTACACTCATCTTTACACTTTCTCCCCTCTTACGTTCAGCAGAAGTTGAACAGATCCCACCAAGAGAAAATTAAGCTGTGGACCTTTGTGAGATCGCAACTTCGCGACCAGCTTTCCTATTAATAAACTTTAATATCATCGCCTCCCTCTCTCAACCTCGAGCTGGACCTTTCTACCTACCTACCTATACTGTACGCACCTCGTACCTGCATTAGCGCCCAACGCCACCACACCAGCCACGTCACACAGCCCCAGCCACAGCCCCAGCCACAGCCCACCACCCGCACCCGCATCGCATCCCAGGTAGGTAAGGCAAGCCTCTCAACATGGACCTATGGACAGGAAATATCCTCCCCGTCGTCGTCCTATTCACGGCGCTATGCCGTGGAGTAGCCATCCCCCAGGCTGTTCCTCCCTATTACGTCACCAATCCACAATATCAATATCCAGGTAATGTGTCTGTCTCTGTCTCTGTTTCCCTCCCCGTCTCTTTCTTACTACCTTCTTCTAAGAGTTTGAGCACTTTTACCGAGTCGCAGATCTCGTCCGTTGCGCAGGATACACGGACTTCTTCCTTTTCGGCTTCGCAGGCTACTACGCTTAGTACTGTTTTTTCGCGGTCGACGACGGACTTTGGTTCGGAGACGAGTAGTTTGACTTTTGTCCAACCGTCGCATAGCTTTGCTGGGCTGCCGCCGTTGGGGAATATTCCTATTCTGCTGTCTACGAGTAGTGGCGCGAGTCAACAAAGTACGAGTAGTAGTACTACTTCGCAAGCTTTGAGTAGTGTTGTCAATTGGCAATCTACAAGTAGTAGCGCTGTATTGCAGTCTTCGAGTAGCGTTGATATCTCGCAACCTTCGAGCAGCAGCACAAGTCAACAAGCTACGAGTAGTAGCGTTACTTCACAGTTTTTGACTAGCAGCACCGTTTCACAGGCTTCGAGTAGCAGCGCTGTTTTGCTGTCTTCGAGCAATATTGCTATCTCAAGTATCAGCGTTACTTCACAACCTTCGAGTAGCAGCACTACTTTACAACCTACCAGTAGTTTTACCAGCTCGCAATCTTCAAACAGCGTACTTCTTCCACAGCCTACAAACAACATCCCTGCTCCCGACGTCCCGATGCCTCCTACTTCTGGATTCAGGAATGTTGCGTATTTTGTGAACTGGGTAAGATCACAAGTGGTTGAACACTCCAAGCTTAATATCTAACGGCGACTCAGGCAATCTACGCACGCAACTACAACCCGCAAGACCTGCCCGCTGAAGAGTTAACACATATTCTCTACGCTTTCGCCAACATACGACCCGAATCTGGCGAGGTCTATCTCACCGACACTTGGTCCGACACTGACAAGCACTACACCAACGATTCCTGGAACGACACCGGCAACAACGTTTACGGATGTGTTAAGCAGCTGTTCCTCCAAAAGAAGCGCAACCGCAAGCTAAAAGTGTTGCTCTCGATTGGAGGCTGGACGTACTCCGCCAATTTTGCCCAGCCAGCATCAACACCTCAGGGCAGAGCGAAGTTTGCAAGCAGTGCAGTCGAGCTCATGAAGAACCTTGGATTTGATGGTGAGTACCCACCCAACACATGCATCAAACCAACGCAGTATACTGACATAACCAGGCCTCGACATCGACTGGGAGTACCCCACAAACGAAGCCCAAGCAAACGACATGGTGGCTCTCCTCGCCGAAACCCGTCGCGCCCTCGACGCATACTCCGCCCAAAACGCAAACAACCAGCGTCTCCTCCTAACAGTCGCCTCGCCCGCAGGCCCCACAAACTACAACATCATGAAACTCGGCGCCATGGACCAATACCTCGACTTCTGGAACCTGATGGCCTACGACTACGCCGGCGCAGGCTTCTCCAACGTCGCCGGCCACCAAGCTAACGTGCAGACCTCCTCCAACGACCCAGGCAGCACGCCCTTCAGCACCGACCGCGCGGTCCGCGATTACATCTCCGCGGGCGTGCCGGCCTCGAAAATCGTCCTCGGCATGCCGCTCTACGGCCGCGGCTTCGCCAACACAGGAGGACCCGGCCAAGCGTTTTCCGGCGGCGGCCCGGGGACATGGGAGGCGGGCGTGTATGACTACAAGGTGCTTCCGCAGGCGGGTGCGCAGATCAACACCGACACTGGCATCATGGCGAGCTGGAGCTACGACGCTACCCAGCGCTTCATGATCACGTACGACACGCCGCAGATTGTCGCTGCGAAGACGCAGTATATTCGCCAGCGCGGGTTGGGCGGCGCTATGTACTGGGAGAGCTCGGGGGATAAGAAGGGGAGCGAGAGTTTGATCTCGACGGTGAGTCTTATCTTTACTTTTCTAGTGCGGTGTGAGTGCTGACGCAGACGCAGTTTGTCAACACTATCGGCGGCGTTGGCGCGCTCGATCAGAATCCTAATCTCCTTAGCTTTCCCGCCTCGAAGTACGATAATCTGCGTAATGGCATGCCGAGCAATTAGATGCGCGAGAAAATGAAGAATACGACGGATGATTTGATATGATATGATACGATATATAACCCCCTGAGGAAAACAACGACTCACGACGAATATTTACGCGGCCTTTTGTTTTGTCGTCTTGCTTGCTTGCTTGCACCCATACAGACCTCCCAAAGTCTCGCGCGGTAATGAATAGAATAAACAGGAGGGTGGAAGACGGCATGGGATTGAATTTTTGAGTTTCGAGATGAAGGCGTATAGACGCTGGAACTAATGCATGACCTCCTTTTCTCCACGTCCTTTGAGATGGATTCGTCTCCTGTCTTGTGTGTTGCCATGACCACGTGCTGAAAATTCTATCTTCCATTGGAAAAAAGGGGAGAAAGGAGAGTAAAAGGGCAGTGCAGATACTCATACTCATATTCATACTCATATACAGTATAGAAAAGAATCCAAAAATGTTTCTCCCCCTGGCTCATCAAGAATACCTCACATCCACATTATTGACCGACATCCTGCCTTTCCCCTTACCAATATACGCTTTTTCCGTCTCTACTGCACCCCCACTCACGCCATCAGATCCAGATCCAGAAGTAGAAGAAGGTGTAGAAGTAAAAACAGAAGTAGAAGTAGAACCAGAACCAGAACCAGACCCGGAGCTACGATTCCCGCCGTCAACCGAAGATGAGGACCCGGACCCGGACCCAGACCCAAACGCACGCTTCCTCTCCGTCGACGGCCCCGGGTCGCCGTTCCGCGCACCACGATCCAAACCAGCCTTACCAGACACCGCGGGCAAAGGCGGAGAGCGCGAGTCGAAGACCGACATATACGACGCGTTGTACGGATCCGTGACGGAGCACTCTGGCGGATTGTACTGCGCGGCCTTAGCCTGAGCCCTCGCATTCGCCTTAGCCTGCGCCTGCGCGACGAGATAGAGGCGAGTGTTCTCGTCGAGCGGGTGAGCGACGTGCTGATTGCCCGTCATGGGGATGCCCTCCTTAGTCATAGTCTCTACGCTCATGAGCACGGGGGAGTGCGCGGTGCTCGTCTGCGTTGTAGCAGCGGAGCTGCGTCGCGAGCGGGTGTCGTCCCACTCATGGGACGGGTAGATGTCCGCGCCCAGCATGCGGTTCAGGCGCATGTTCATGTCGTTTTTCTTGCGCTCTTCCTGCTCGACGTACGCGTGCCAGTATTGGATTAGCTCGTTGCGGAGGAGGCGGAAGGCGTCGACGTCTTCTTGCTCGCGGGCCACGCGCGCGCGGTGCAGGAAGCTGTTTCGCCCGCTTTTGCGCGTCACGTCGGCGTGGATGAGGGCGAGCTTGCTGTAGAAGTCCTTGAATGCTGTGAACATTGCGCGGATGGGCGAGTTTTTCACGACGGAGGAGGATGCGTTGGAGGATATGCGGTGTTCCCAGTCGGCGGTGTAGGCGTCGAATAGGGGCATGCCTGCGACGAGGACGGTTTTTTGTGTTGGCAGGGGAGGGACGGAGTATATTGAGGGGGAGCAGTGTGGCCGGTTCGAGGGGGAGCATTGTGTGCGTCGAGAACATCTTGTGCGCCGGATGTGGACCATGTGCGAGTCTGGTTTGCCGAAGAAAACACCTGCGAACCGTGGTTGGCGGACGTTTCGGAGCCGCTCGAATGGGCCTACGATCAGCTTCGTGTTGGTGAGAACTTGATCAAACGTCCACTCGAAGTCTGCTAGACACAGACGGACTTGTAGTTTGCACAGATTCCGCGCTTTCCCAAGGATGCCCGAGACAACAACACTCACGTAGTCTGTACTGCGTTAGTCAATGTGAATATGCTCCCTTAGGCTGACGGCATTGTACCTCGAATATCGTATATCTCGACTTCTTCATCCCAGGAAGAGTCGGCCGGCCGCATCCAACCGTGTGGCATCTGTGGAGTGATCCACGACTCCACCAAGATGTCAACGTTGTAGTTCTTGACCGCAGCCCAGTCAAAGGTTTTGAGGAACATATCTTTCCCATCTTCAGTCTCATCTACAGGTACGTGCGGACAGCCATCTGGCCTCCTAGGCTCCAACAGTCTTCTCCCGCACATGTACGTCCCATCCTTACGAACATCGATCTTGAACGCAATGATGCTGTAAAGCAAGCCCCTGACTTCTGCATGGATATGACGGTTGATCAAGAGTAGATCCACAAGAGGCATGGGAAACGCATCGTGATAGTGTTCGTAGAAAGCATATGGTGCCGCTTGCTGGAAATGCACGCAACGGGGGCGTGTGCTGCTTGACGCCGGGCCAGACGGAATAGCGAGAGAACCGTTTCGAGTTGCATCCTCCTTAGCATGATGGACACCAGCACTTGACGAGCCAATTGAGTCGGAGGGCAGCAGGTAGCGGAAGATCTCGTGACGGAGTTCAAGCGGGAGCTTCAAGAAGTAGCAGGGCATATCGGGATGGCCTTGATGCTCGGCGCAGAGCTCAAAGTATGGCGGTACCCATCTAAACAATACTGGGCATCTTTCTCCGTCGGGATGTCTGAACTGGCACCATCCGGTAAGGCTTTGTTGATCGCGATGAGTATGACAGGTGGGTAAAAACTTGGGACGGCAAGATGACTGTGATTTCTTTCCGATAACCGCGTTGCAGCGCAATTTGGTCTTCTTGTTATGGCCTGAGCACCTTCTTAAGAAACCTTCGGGATCGCCAGGGTCTACTGCTGTTGTGGCGAAATCACAGCCCGGAGGATGTTTCGTAGGAAAGGTCGGCATATGCAGGTCGAACTTAAGTATTGAAGTGTCGCCCATTGTTGTCGCGATGTCAGTCGCTATACAGTTTACAGTCTCTGAAAGTTTGGAGCTGAGTGATGTCAAACTGATGTCAAAAGTTTTCATTGAGCAAGTGTTGAAGGAGGGTTAACTTACCAGCCAATTAGAAACAGCAAAACGAGAGCAACAGACGGGCCAGAAAGACGAGAGAGAAAGATGTCAGGAGTTTATGGTCTCCTTTACGACAGTCTAATTCGATGTCTTATGGATTCCGTGTGGCCGGTCTCAAGTCAGCAAACATGCAGCCTCGCGGGTTCGTGTTGCGCAACAGTAAGTTTGCCACCATAGATATGATATACCGCAGAGGCCGCCAATAATCAATCGAGCAAGTGCCAGGCGCAGAAGGCCCAATCTGCCTTCTCACGCACTGCGTTTCGGAATGCAAATGTTTTGAGCGAAGTGCACTCGAAGGCCCTTCAGCTGCGTCGTCGTCGTCGGCGGCTCATCAGCTGATGGGAACCCCGCGTTCTGCACATAGTGGACGGCCTGTCAAAGGGGTTCGGCGAATGTATCCGCGGAATGGTTATCTCACCCAATAATCTGCACAAAGAATGATGTTGATGGAGGCTCAGAGCGGATCCACACTTAGCTCGAGGCACTACCCAGGACCTCGTATTTATTAATGCACTATCCTAGAACACACTCGTTGCGCGACTGCGTACACTGATACAACAACAAGCCCATAAGGCTAGCGACTTTGCAGATATAGGAGGAAACGCTCAAAGCAGCTATCTACAAACTTTAGGAGGACAGACTAGCCGTGTTGAGGTTGCACAGGCAGTTGCAGTGGGGTGGGGGCGCACAAGGTGATGCATCAATTAATACGCGCTCCTGGCTACGTCAATTGGTCTAAGCGTTCCTACTCTCGATGTCTGCAGGCGATCACTGCATACCGCAGTTCTTAGAGTCAGAACACAATCAGCAATAGTGTTTACCTAGAACGGGGCTCGCTATCTGCAGCCTTTGATGACATGGGAGGTTCTTTCCTCTCCTGCTTATACAAGGACCTGAAAGACTGAACGACATCTGTGGCGCTTCTCGAATAGACCGCTGATCGCACCCATGATCTCTGGGCATTGCTTGGTCACACCTACACCCGTACCGTCTTGCAAAGGCCTGCTGCAAGGTACCTAGACGGTTACTACAACCGGCTGAGTATGCTTCACCATGGCCGCAGCTGTAAGGTTTCTAATCTCACGCCATCGCTATCATGCTGACACTCGCCGTCCAGGACGACTCAACACCACGGACGCTCCGATACACGCCCATCGCCTACGGCAGCTTCGATCCGACCAGCGCCGCTCGCATCGACTCCGCTACTGAAAGCCCAATCAAGCAGCCACGACCTGGTTACAAATACGCGAATTCACATCGCATCATACCCCCGAGCATCAAAGGCCATGGACGCCTGATTGTTGCTCACCGCACGGTTCCATACTGGGGAGGCATACTTATCGTACTGGGTGCTTTTGTGTGGGCAGTATTGTGTGCAATCTTCCTGTATCCGCTGTTGAGCGGCCATCCCATTACGCGCAGACCGGACCATGAGCATAGGCATGGGCGTTGGGGGAGGGATTGAGGCATGTCTCGGGCCGATGCGGTCATGGAGTTTAGGTATCTTGGAGGTGACGGGCAGTGTCTGAGAGCGTCTTGTCATAAACAGAAAGTGTCAAAGGCAACGCATGTGCTTTGTTGGATCGTAGGGACCGTATTTAAGTAGTACAGAATGTACAAAGGGCGCGGAGCTTGCTACTTAAATACACCATTTGCTGTTCTTGCAACCTAGACTAGGATATGTTCCGATACTTCCAACACCCTGGACTCGCCAAAGGATAGCATGATCGAGCCAACACGCCGTTCGAGTGTCGGCGCGCAACACCCGAGCAGATTACTGCATTGGGAATAGGTGAAAGCCAACCTCGGCTTGAGTGAGAGGGTCGCAATTGCTTACCCTCTACAGCAACAATGTAACACTCATAACCACGGCAGGCCGCTGATAGCTAGTATTGTACTCTCTTCTGCCAATATTTTGCATCACACTGTATCATCCTCACCATCACGTCAACAGCCTCTGCCAACACAATGGCAACCGTCAAGCCCCAAACCACGCCTCCAAGCACCTCCCACGTCCTCCTCTCCTATCCCGCCAACCATGTCCTCCTCGTGACCATCAATCGTGAAAAGCAAATGAACAGCATCCCCTTCGCTGGGCACCGCGAAATGGGGCTTGTGTTCGACTGGTTCGACAAGGAACCCAACCTGCGTGTAGCTATCATCACAGGCGCGGGTAAGAGGAGCTTCTGCGCCGGCCAGGATCTGATCGAACTGGGCAAGATTAGGTCGGGGGTGATCAAGGCGGAGCCTGGCTCGTTTGGACACCCTGCGAGTGGTTTTGCGGGACTGAGTAGGAGGGCGGGGAAGAAACCGGTCATTGCTGCTGTGAATGGGTTTGCGCTTGGAGGGGGGTTTGAGATTGTGTTGGGATGGTATGTGTTCTTCGGAGATTTTTGCATTCGATCGAGGAGTTAAATGTGTTACTGACAACCTACTAGCGACTTGGTTGTAGCAGCACCACACGCTACATTTGGCCTGCCTGAAGCCCTTCGCGGTATCTTCGCTGCAGCCGGTGGCCCATCACGACTGGTCCGCAATGTTGGAATGCCCATTGCATCTGAGATAGCATTGACCGGTAAACCGATCACGGCACAGCGCGCCAAAGAGTTGAACCTGATCAACCGGATATCGCCGTCAGCAGAGACGGTAATTGATGACGCTGTGAAGCTGGCGAACGAGATTGCAGCTCTGTCTCCAGATGCAGCAATTGTGACGAGAGCTGCGTTGAGGGACTCATGGGAACATGCCAGCGTAGAGAGAGCTACACAGCTAACGTCCGAACGGTACAACGAGGCACTGCAGTCCGGCGAGAATGCAGTCGAGGGTTTAACGGCTTTTGCAGAGAAGAGGCAACCTAAGTGGAAGCCTTCGAAGTTGTAGAACGGATGAACACATAGCACTCTGTGAAAATCGTATGCATCACCTCAACCTCACAATTCAATCCATCTTGAGTTGCGACCTTCTTTTCTATACAGACGTCACCCCCGATCTGTGGAGTATATAACTTGCACAGCTCTTCGTCTCCACCACCCTTCTAGATCATGGTCAGGCGACGAATTTGTCTCGTCCAGAGGTGGCGAATCTCGGCAACCTTTATACCAAGCAGACGCAGTTCCTCAACACTCTAGCCAATGAACAATCTGTGAATTCCGCCTGCCAGGCATGTTGAATCCTGGGCGACGCGAGCATGCAGCCGACCTTGCCCCAGACCCCACTTCCCCGCATTTTGACACGCCCCGGCTCTGGAGCGGAACTAAGCGCACTTTGTTGTGGACCAACTTTAGCGGTGAATATAGCCTAAGATGTCCCCTAAAACGCAATTGACTCGACTCGACTCCGTCGACACTTGCTCGAGTCTCACAGAAACCGACAATCGACAAACGATTCGGCCATCGACTGATTTGACTGCATGAATTGCGACAATGGTGAACCGTACTTCCAGTGACGCCAACGCTACCCCGGTACCTGTTGCTCCTGTCGCCAAGCGCAAGCGACGTGCTTCCTGCTTGGGTGAACAGGAGCGCCGCGAACGTAAGCGAGCCATCGATAGGGAGGCTCAGAGATCACTCCGGGAGAAGACAAAGACACACATCGCCGAGCTAGAACGAACAATACAAATCCTACGGGATCAAGACCGCAATGGAGCGACGGCGAGCTTGCTTTCTGAAATTGACACTCTACGGACGGAAAATGAGCGGCTCAAGGATGTCATCGAGAGCGTGAAGAGTGTGATTGGAGGTGATGTCCTATCGAGGAACACGGCTCCACCAGCAACAAATGGGGGAGGTTCAGGAAACTCGCCTGTGGCGAGCAGTGCTGGTACGCATACATACTGAAAACATGCCTATGAATCGACGAACAGACGAGGCTCACCGACTGGTAGGTCAGCCATCCCCAAGACCACGGACTACCTCCTTCACCTGCGAGGCCAAGCCGCCGCAACTGACGGTCGATGATCTGTCGAATCCCTTCCATGTATACGATCAGAAACTAAACATAGCCGGGCCGCTCGATATTGATGGTATGACCATCATGGGAGATATGGAAGCACATCCGGCCTCCATTGCAGACCTTGGGTCTAACCTCGACATGAGCATCAACCTTGCGCCCGTTGAGAGGCCACCTAAAGATGATGATGTGGAAGAGCTGCCTTGGGGAGACGATCCAGCGACCGCTTCCTGGGCACCTATGATGGCCGAGGTGAGTTTCACAATAACTCCACACAAGAAAAAGCTAACATTCAATGATCCAAGATGTTTGGACTGAACTGGCGCAAACCCTCAAACCCTGTAGTCTTATATATCGGTGACCCCGAACCTCCATTGGTCCCCTCTCACTCCCCTATCACACCATGCGAGATATCAAGAAAGACCAACGAGCTGCTTGGGAAGGTGTTTTCGTACCGATCGACAGCAGGTGCCGGATCACTAGCCTTTCATAAAGGATACCACGCCGAAGTAGAGCTTCTGTACCTAGGCATCAAGGACGGCTGGTCTGCCACATATAACGAGTGGATGCAGAGTCCCACGCTCTCCATCTTAAAACAAGTCGACGAGCTGCTGTTCTGTGAGCTCCCAAAGGTGCAGAGATTGGCTGCCGCGTACAAGAACTTCAAGCTATTAAAGGTTGGTGACTCCACATCTCTCTCGATAGTGCCTAACGGACGCTGACTTGCAAACAGTACTATCTCAACGCAACGAAAGAAGAACTAGCCAAAGTCCCCGCCTGGCTTCGACCCGGGTATGTTCACCTCTCTCAAGACTCTCTCACAATCATTAATTCCTCTCCCGGCACAGCATCAGCCAGTCGCGCACCCAACACCCCATTGCAATCGACTTTTTCGCCTGGCCAACGCTACGAGACCGCCTCATCGAGATGCAAGATACATTCCTATACCGCCCGGACTTCTCGTACGATTACCGCAACTACCTGCGCTTCGAGTGGCCGTTCTCCTACGAAGACGCCTTCTACTTTGACGAGGCGTCTGCTACGCACTATCCCAGCCCCGTGTTCGAGAGGTATCATGGCGACTTGAAGAATTGGAGTGTTGCGCCGCAGTTCTTTACTCGGTTTCCGGAGATGTGGGGCGACATTGAGGGGGATCGGAAGAGGTTTTGTGAGGAAGTGTAGATGGTTTGGCCTAGGTGGGACGGTGTTCTCGGGTCATGTGAGGTTGTATTTCTGGACAGAAATTAGGTGCAGCGATGCGTATTTGTATAATCAGTGTGATATCCACTGCTCTTTAGAATGTCTGGCTTGAGTGGAAGCACAGTCGTCATGATATCTCTTTATTCTCACACTCTGCCTGAACGCAAGTAATAGTACTTTTGCCTCCTCTTCGTCACCATACTCAACGCCCTACACAACGAACGCCAACGTATTCTCCAGGCTGGCTGCGGAGAATTGTAAAGTCGATTCAAAGGCAAGTATCACAACCAACCAATAGGGTAACAAGGAAAGCCCGCGCCAAAGAAAAATGCGCTAACGCCGATGTTTCTGGAACCTCGGACGCTACGTACATTTGAGCTTCCACTTCGCTTCTTTTGCCGCAATACTCACCACATCCACATCCACATCCACTTTCACAACCCAACCCAACCCATCAACTCAACATCATGGCCCGCCAACGTGGAGGTTCAGCCCCTCGCCGCCCCGCGGCCGCCCCAGCGCGACCCGCGCCTGCGCCCGCAACCCAGCGCCACTCATCAACCGCCGCCGCTCCCCAGCAAAAGGCCGCTCCCCCCGCGCCAATGCAGCAGCAAGCAGCAGGCCCCACGCCCCAGGGCCCCGGACTCTTCGGCCAGATGGCCAGCACCGCTGCGTGAGTCCCCAATACCACCCCCATTCCATCCACACGAGCTAACCCCCCCAATAGCGGTGTCGCAGTAGGCTCCTCAATCGGCCACGCGGTCGGCGGCTGGTTCGGCGGCTCATCCGCACCTGCTGAGGCGTCGCCCCAATCTACCGACTTCTCGCAGCAGCATCAGGAGACTTCGTCGATGGCGCAGGGTGGCGCGTGTGCGACGGATGTGGGTAACTTCCGCAGGTGCATGGATGAGAACCAGGGCAATTTGACGATCTGCGGGTGGTACCTTGATCAGCTTAAGGCGTGTCAGGCGGCGGCTGGGCAGTACTAGAGATATATATATGTACTTAGAGTGGAGGGAGGATGTTTGAGGAGGCGGGATAGCTTTCCATACTTGTAAAACATGGTCGTTCCCAGAATGAAGAATGCGTGGCTTGTCTTGTAAAGGTTTTCCTTTTTGTCAGAAGTGGAAGGCGCGCTCGAGGCATCCGAAGCGAGCAAGATCTGCCATCTGAGGCGACTACGACAAAGTCTGTACCTATGCTCGCACACTCTACTCTTCCACTCACTCCTCTCCACTCCAATATTCATCTGTCCAAGTAATCAAGACCTCACTAGCTCATTCTCATAAAAGTTCTTGTCTCGAGTCCAAGTCATTGACCCGCCCTCGCAGCTGTCGTCAGAGGAAGTCACACTAAGGTCTACATCAGCACCCTTGGCCACTCCACTCCAGTTTTCATTCTGTCACATTCTCCAAGCCCTCGCTGGATCGCCTTCACGGCACATGGTGGGTGTCGACAGCGTGCGCATTGCCTTCGAGCACCGCCTGCAGCAGGCGTCTGCTACGAGCCAAGAGCCTAGGGCCGCGCTCATGGAGAAGGAAACCATGCTCAAGGTTTCGGTCGCAGAAGCCCAATCTGAACCGACTCAGTGTCGAAGTGACTTAGCTATTGTCAAAGACGCGTGGAACGCAATAGTGAGCATGTTCATACTGTGGTGTTGATAGATTGGGCTGGAAGGCAGATGTCATCTGGTAGAAGAATTCTAGCAATGTAAGATACATGGAGGGACGTGGATATTTTCAAGGAAAGCGCAAACATCAAAATCGGACCACTGAAAATTGTGTGTCGGATGGAAAGATGGAAAGTCATGAGCTGCAGGGTTTGAAGGTTTGATGCAGGGACGTTTGACGCAGAAGCTCAAGAAAAGCATGACAAAGAGGGCAATCGCTCCAGCCTGGATCTTCTCTAAATGAAGCTTAATTTAGGCAGAGTTAGAACGCCCAGGGAAGCACTGACGCCCAGGCTTACAACCGGCTTTCTGAGCGACAAGTTCGTGAGCTGGTTCGTGACCTACATCCTGGTTCGTGAGGGGGTGAGGCGGCAGGTTTCAAGAGCTCTCGAGCTTGTGCCCAATCAGACGGCTTACAGAGAGCTGAAAAGTGGGACCTTGTCTTCGCTCGATCCTTGAAGCCGCAGTCTGGGGTACGTCAAGGATCGCTTATATTGATGGCGAAGCTTTGATGTTCTCCACGATTTGTGAGTCGCGTACGCAATTTGGGAGGTTGGGGTTATCTTGGGATGATGCACGACACAGTAAATCGAGCCGAAACGGCACTCAACAAGCAAGCAGCAAAAGCAAGGCAATGGATGAAGCGCGTGAAGCCGGCAGGGCCCTAGTTCCTTTGAAACTGCGTCTTGGACTGCGATGGCCCTAGCCAATGAAGATCCACATGCGCGCGTCTTGCAGTCGGAATGACGTAACCATCTGGTGCTTTGTACCATAGCTCCCGTATCCGTGCGCAAACAGCTGCCTGCAGCTCTTTAAAACCGCTGCTGCCGCTACATCCTCTTCTTCTTCTTCGTTCATCTCTTCTCCAGAGTCTTGTTGCTGTCGTTCAATTCACGACACCTAACACCACCGTCAACATGATTGTCGACCACTTCGAGGAAGTCTTGAAGAAGACGTCCCTTCTTCTTCCCCTCCCCACAGCCACGGCAACGGCTTCGGCTACACACGTAGCTCCCATCCCCACTGTCATGCCCGACACGCCAATTGAGCAGTTCGTTGGCGATGCCGGCAGCAGGACGCTATGGGTTGTCTTCGTGCTCATGCTCCTCGCGTCGGCTGGCTTCACTGCCTTGTCGTGGAGGATCCCGGTGGTACGTCGCCCTCTGAGCACAGTGTTACACACCCCCGCTAACCTGCCCAGTCTAAACGCCTCTACCATGTCATCACGACTGTCATCACCCTCACTGCTGCTCTCTCCTACTTCGCCATGGCCACTGGCCACGGTGTGTCTGTCCACAAGATCTACGTCCGCCACCAGCACGACCACGTCCCGGATACGACTGAGGTTATCCACCGCCAGGTCTTCTGGGCCCGTTACGTTGACTGGAGCATCACCACTCCTCTTCTGATCCTCGACCTTGGTCTCTTGGCTGGCATGAACGGTGCCCACATCACCATGGCCATCATTGCCGACCTCATTATGGTCTTGACCGGTCTCTTTGCTGCTTACGGCTCTGAGGGTACCCCCCAGAAGTGGGGCTGGTACACCATTGCCTGCATTGCCTACATCTTTGTCATCTGGCACCTTGCCTTGAACGGAGGATCCGCTGCGTCTGCCAAGGGCCAGAAGCTCCGATCGTTCTTCGTAGCCATTGGCGGTTACACTCTCTTGCTCTGGACTGCCTACCCTATGTAAGTACAACGTACGTCTGTGTGAATGATTACGCTAACGCATGCCAGTGTCTGGGGCTTCGCCGATGGTTCTCGCAAGGTTGGTGTTGATGGCGAGATCATTGCTTACGCTGTCTTGGACGTCCTTGCCAAGGGCGTCTTCGGTGCCTGGTTGCTCTTCACCCACCGCAGCATGGCTGAGACTGACGTTGAGGTTGGTGGCTTCTGGGCCAACGGTCTTAACCGCGAGGGCTCCCTCCGCCTCGATGAGGACGGTGCTTAAACGCGTCCCTCACAATTGACTTCTCTGTCAACTGTCGGTTCAAATTGCGAAAGAAGAGTCTTGGTCACGGTGTTCACATGGTGAACAACGGTGGTGACCAAGGAGGTGCATGGAATGAGAAGGAGTCTCCCATCTGTCCTTGACAGTATCAATCAACAAGTATAGCATCATGTGTAGTGTTTAAATGATGTATGTATCAAGCGTTAGGCATGCGATAATGAAAATAATCTGATCAACTATTCTGTTCCCCTTCACACCTTGACTACGAAGTCCACACTGTTCCCAGCCTCCCTTGGATAGAACTCGATCGTGAACGTCGTATCCTTGCCCCCGCTCCGCACTGCGTCTATCACATTCGCCTTCAAGATGACATTACTCGCATCCCAATCCCAGCTGCCATACGTGATGCGCCCCTGCTGCAGAGGGCCAAAGTACTGTGTAAAGTCATCCATCAGATAACTCCCATCGCTCTTGATCGCCTTGACAGCCGCCGGGCGGTTCTGACCACGCCACGTAATCGGGATTGACAAGTCCGCCGACGTGGCGGGCAGCTTCGCAGACGTCTGCGCCAGGACAGGAGTTCCATACTGCAGGATATTGACCTGGAGGTCAGCGCCCTGGTTGAACTGGAGAGTGAGGTTTGCGAGAGATCCGTATTGTGATGTAGGCGTGAGGATAGTGTTAAGGAAGGAGGCCGCGAAGGTAATCTTCTCGCCCGACACAGTATACTCTGTCCCCTTTGTGAGCGTACGTTTACGCGCAAGCGAAATGCTGCGCAGCGTATTGCCGTTGAAGAGGAACGGCAGCGTCACGGCGGCCACGCTGCTGTTCTTCGCATGGTAGATGTACGCAGAGCTCTCCTGACGGGTGGCAGACCCATCCGTGGTGCTGTCCGGCAGCGCGTTCGGGATCCCCTTCACCGCGTTGCGGTAGATGTCCATTGCGACCTCGTCGCGCCACGTGTGGGCTGCGCGGTCGAGGAAGTCGGCGCCGTTATCCCACAGCACGGTCGAGGTGTTGTACTTTGCGGCCGTGCGGATGAAGAAGTCGAAGTAGCGCCAGCGGGCTGCTGTTTCGGTCGCGACGGGCGACGCGGCCCATTCGCCGATGACTATGGGGATGCCGGTGAAGTTTCCACGGACGACGGCGATGTCGGTTTCGAGGGTGGCTTTTTCGGCGGCGGAACCCCAGGTTGTTTTTCCCCAGGCGCCGAAGATGAAGTCGTCTGTGGATGTGTGTGTTAGTGTGTGTGTTGTTAGGGGGCAGTTGGGGGGGGGGGACAAGCGTACAGGGTGAGTAGTAGTGGTACTGAATACCCCATGGGTTCTTGAACTTTGCATCAGGAGGCTCGAACCACTGCGTTGTCTTGTATCCGTCTTCGCCTGAGCTGACGAGCGTGACGACTCTCTGCGGGTTGAAGCCGCCAGCGTCGTTGATGGCCTGGAGAAAGATGTTGTTCAGTCTGTTCGTGATTGCGCCGTGCTCTGCTGTCGTTCCCGGTAATTCGTTGATCGTTTCAAAGGCCTGACGAGTCAGTCAAACTACTATATTCAAACCCCGTTTCGCTGGAGTTTTACTTACCACTCGCTCACCCTTGCAAGCCAGCTTGGTACCAATTTGGAACCACAACTTGTACAACTTGTCCTCGACCATCGTCACGTTGGTCGCAGACTGTGTAAGGTCCGCCCAACTCCAGCTATCGTGATGGACATTGACGATAGTGTAAAGGCCCCTGCGATCGATCATGTCCACGACGTCGGATACTCGCTGCAGCCAGGTCGGGTCAACGGTGTAGTCTGGTGCCTGAGACTTGAAATGGTATGCCCAAGTAACGGGCAGACGAACGCTCTTGAACCCAGCGTTTTCGACATCGTTGAATGTGCTGTCGACAACAGGGGGGTTGTTCCACGATCCTTCCGTCTCAATGGCATCAAGCGTGTTGCCTACGTTCCAGCCGGGATTCAGTCCAGCGTAGAACTTGGAGGCGGATATAGTGTTGAATTTCGCTGTGGAGGGACATGTTACGGCCGCCTTGGTCGATGCTGCGAGTGGTGTTAGTCGCTTCCAGATCTAGCATCGATTAACTTATATGGAGATGTACCTTGAGCGACAGCAAATCCACCATTGAGCAGAGCTCCCCCAAATACGGCTGCTTTGAAGTAAGAACCCATAATAGCTAAGTCTGAAGGTCGCAAATAGCCGTGTTCAGTCGGAGGTCCAGAGAATATATATGAGCACAACCAGATATCCCTCCAATTTCGGCATGCCGGTCAGTCTCATCTAGGCACGAAACAACTATACTCTCCATCGCCGTGTAAACGATGTCACACACATGGCGAAAGAGTCCAGGACCCAGAACAATACAGTACTTGACCCCTCCGGTTGACTACTTAGATTGCCCCGACCCGTACCTGACCCGGTTTACTGGGTGCATGTTCGGCCATCTTGTCGAAGAAACGGCCGCCTCACATCACCATGCGCAGTTGAATAAATGAAAGGTTGTCCTGGCTGATCATCTGATCAATCTGGCGCACCGACGGACCTACTTCCAGATTAAGTGGGGCAAGTGTCATTTCTTCCACCAACACATAGATGCAAACGCAATCTCAGGTAAAACATAACATTGCCCCTTCCCTACTCCACTATTAGCGGCTAGGCTTGGTATCAACTAAATCAATTAAACTGGACTTTCGAGAAGCCCGATGCCCTTTCCAAGAATGCGTGCTTCGCTACCCATACTTATTTTGCGAAAGAAGCGGGTATTACAAAGTGTTGGGCAAAATCAATGGACCAGAATTATAAAATATAATGTATCCTGCTGCTCTGGGCAGTGGGCGTCATGACATCGTACCAGAGATGATGACATGCAAGACTAGAGAAAGGAAAGAAAATTCAGAGCTGATAAAACATGAGTGAAGAAGCTTTGGATTCCCTACATGATGCATTGCCTGCCCAAAAGACGCCAGAAGAGAACAAACCCAGCCACATTTTTGTAAGCAGTAGAGACTCCTAACAGTGGCAACGTGGACAAGTTCGGAGGCTGAGAAGTCGATACAAAGAAAGACAGTCGAAAAGGAAGCAGTCCGGTACTCCGATGGTGCAAATGAGACATTGCAATGCAGACAAGCAGCTCAGGCACTGCTACACGGCAACTCCGGAACTAGATAGTCGAAAGAAATCCGATGACGAAGAACAATATCCCGGAACAGCAATTCACTCGGGCCGTGGCCTCTTAGCGCCGTGAGGGTTCCAGCTGCCGTCGTTTCCGCCTTGATTCTGGTTAAAAGCTGGATTGAAGTTCGGTTGGTAGCCGCCTCCGCCGAATCCTGGTGCTGTAGCAAAAGTTAGTCAATTTTCCGTTCAGATTGCATAACTACGCGGAGCTCGACCGACGTACCCATCCCTCCCATCCCTCCCATCATCCCCATATTTGCGCCCATGCCCATCATCCCAGCGCCCATGCCCATCATGTTTCCGCCCATTGGCATGCCCATTCCGCCCATAGGAGTCATAGCCATGCCACCTCGACCGCCACCACGGTTGTTCATGCCGCCTCGCATACCACCGCCCATCATGCCGCCGCGATTGAAGCCCCCTCCGAAGTTGTTCATACCCGCGGCCATGTTACCACCGCCGAAGTTGTTCATAGGTGCCTGTGCGCCGTAGCCGCCCATGTTCCCGCCCATGTTGCCAGCTGCAGGGGTGGGGAAGTTACGGTTTTGGTAGCCCATATTTCCACCGCGGTTCCCAAAGTTGCCTCTGTTGTTGTTGAAGCGATTGTAGTTGCCGCCGTTCTGATTGTGATAGTTGTTGGTTGGAGCGCGATCGTTGTAACTCTTCTTCTCACGCGGTGGGACCTCCTTGGGCGATGTCTTGAACGGGTTGTTATCTGGAAGGTTAAAGATAGCTGTAGGTTTCTTTGCATGAGCCTGATCTTTGAAGAGCTGCTCGATCTGGTGTTTTAGGGCAGTCGCTGCCTGCGGTGATTGCAGTTGGATGTAAACTTGACTGAGGACCAAAGTCAGTATGGTGCTACACTGGACAACACTGCAACTTGGCCTACCCTTTGCTCTTTCCATTGACCTTGTGCTCGTTGAAGGTGAGTTCAACGAGTTCGTCCTCGCAACCGCTTTGGTTTGCCCATCCACGGATATCCTCTTCACCTATCCACCAGTTGAGATCGTTGATCATCAACGCAGCTGTAGCGCCTGGGTCGGTCGGTCGGTCATCGTCATCGCCCTGTTTGCGTTTCGTGCCCTGCTGTTGAGGTGCCTGTCTGTGGACGTCTTGGTTGTGAGCCGATCCGCCAGTACTTGCAATCTGCTGAACATCATTGCCAGCATGCGCATCCCCATTTGTTGCATCGCCCGACCCGTCCTGTGCAGCCGATGACTCAACGCCTCCACCCTTGCTACTGACAGTCGCATTAGTGGATTCGACAGCATTTGGACTTGGGTTCGCCGCATTGGCGTCGGTTATGTCTGTGTCTTGCTGAGCGGTCGGCTCCTGGTAGGTATCATCGCCGTAAATGTCGATATCGAAGTTATCATCGTCAGCCATTTTGGTTGTAGTATTTCAAGTGAAGTCTGCAGTAAGTATGGAGACGTGTTCCAGGATTCTTTCTATAATTGGCTTGTAGATACTGTATGACCAGCTTCAATGGTCAGAATACAGGAAGTCTGTTTGCAATACACAATCAGCGAGCTATAAGACAGATAGCAGGTACCACAAAAAAAGATAACTCTGCTCGCAGAACAACACAATGCGATGTTGACAGAAGAAAACAAAGTCGCGTAGCGAGGAAATACGTACAGTGCCGCTGTCAAGGAGCAGTGGCAAGTCCCAGAGAGACAGCCCAAGTGCGAGAATTGATGCTCCGATCGCCTCTGGCAGATGCGGAGATGTAAAAGGTACAGGATGTGGATGTGAGAGATGTGAAGTGATGTGTAGCCTCAGCCTGACTCCTGCGCTTGCTCCCTTGCACGCCAACTCCCAGTACAGTTCGCGCGAAGCGTAATCGCCGTGTTACAGATTCCCAGCGATTTGATAAGACGCGAAAATACACGCGACCCGCAATGAGAAGCGATGGACAATGATGTTGTCGAAGCCAAATACTTCGTCCCTACGCGATACCCTTTGCACGTGTCCGATCGCACTCTGCTGCTAGTTCTCGTCGTCGACTCTGTATTTGCGGTGAGTGTCTTCCCTCTGAACAAACCTGGGGAACGATGCGGGTGAGAGATGAGCTGCAGTCGCGGGCGTGGAGTGTATACCAGGAGGAGACAAGGGCGCATCGAGTTCGGGGAGCTCGGGCGAGCTTGGCAGGGGCGCTAGCCGTTACCGGCATCCTCCGCAAGGCCAGATTGCCCTCCTCCGCCCAACTTTCTGAGCTCGCGACGTCTCCCTAAACCCACCAACCCGCCAATTGATACCCACCTCTTACGGCCAACTACCTCCTTCCGATACTTGTAATCGCATATCAGTCGCCATGGAGAACGTCAAAGATTTCGCCGAGTATGTCGTACACGAGGCGCGATATTGGGAACAAACCGCTAATCATCTCTCAGTATGCCCGCTGAGTTCCTCAGGGAGGGTACTCTTTTCATGAACCGCTGCACCAGTATGACTCTCGCAATACACCTCTCGCCTCCCGTTCACCGCGCTAACGTCGTCTCAGAGCCAGACAAGAGGGAGTTCATCAGGATCTCGCAAGCAGTAGGAATTGGTTTCCTGATCATGGGTTAGTCGTGGCAACTTGGACGAGAGGGATTGGGAATACTGACCACAAACTAGGCGTCATCGGCTACGTCGTCAAGCTTATCCACATCCCCGTAAACAACATCCTCGTCGGCGGCTCATAGATTTCGTACCATCGCAAACACGTCGATTTATCTTCACTTCAAATTCTCCGACTCCGAAAGGGTTCCACCATGAACCCCTCTTTTTTTGTGACTGCGCTGAGGGCACTGGGGAAGGCAGGCTGAACATGGCGCATGTTCATGTGGGGCTGCGCACGCGCATGAGGCTGTATTATAAAGGCATCTAGGGAGCGGGAGTTTGATTATATCCAATCGATACACGCGCAAACTTCGATTTGCGCTCTGTTCACAAACCTTCTTGCGCGATCAGTAGCAGCGATTCCGAGGTAGTTTTGCACCTTGGACGTATTGGAACGACTTACAATATGAAGACTTGATTCCCAGAATGAGCGTGGCGTCCCTCCCTTACAAACGCCTTCCCATAAAACACTATACGAAAACATATGTACACGCTTCACAAACGACTGTAAAACTCACTAACCCCCGGTAAACACCTAATCGCCAACCCCACATCAAATCCATAGATCTGTACGCTCTGATTACTAAATATTCAATCAATCGTCGTCCGCCCATTCATCGTACCACATGGGTTGCCTTCTGGTTCTGCCCTCAGCAGTCCTGTACAGCTGCTCATCATGCTGCAGCTGAGCATTAACGCGTCTGCCGACCTTGGGCTCCGCCTCGTCGTCTTCGACGCCGTCGTTCCAAGAGTGCACTGTACAAGTACCTTGAGAGGTGCCCCAGCCGTTCCAGGATGTTGCTGTCACATCATTAGTTGCCGATCGATTGGGAATATGTAGGAAGAAGATATAAAAACTCACCAGCAATTACTGGCGCATGGGGATGCCAACTCGCGTCTCGGACACACGTCATCCAGCTCCCTCCGTTTCTGCCCCAGTAATCATACGTTTCATTGAGAAGGGTTGGATCCCGTGGCCGCGAGTTTTTGGTCGCTTTCAGCACATTGACCTTCCCTGCTAGAGTGGCATCGAGGTTCCAGACGTACACGGAGCCGTCGTAGCTCCCAGAGTATACGTATCGTGAGTCTGTGCTACCAGGCGGCGAGAAGTGGCACCTGATAAGTGTTTTCAATATCTTGTGGCCACGGAAAGTAACGAGTGAGCAATCATGAGGATGAGGGCGGTAGTCCTTGTCGTCATAGGCGTTGGAGCGGTACTCGAAGCGTGTGGTGTAGGCCATGGGGTCGATGCGGTCAGCCTTCTCCATGGTCATCATTTTCCTCAGATCCCAAAGCTTAGCAGTTTGGTCTTTGCCGTTACTGAGCACGTGTCTGCCATCTCCTTTACTATCAACATAAGTGAGACCTTCTGTATGGCCAAGGAATACACCGGCCTCACGGCCGTCGCCCATGCTTCGCCGATCCCAGACCTTGAGCGTGGTATCATCAGAGCCTGAGTATAGAATGTGTGGCGATTGCGAGTCGCCGAAACAGACTGCGTTGACGTCGTCTTGGTGGCCTGGGATGCGGAGAACAGATTGCCGTCGTTCGATGTCGTACACGTAGACTGAATTGTCACCTGCGCCTGCTACGATCTCTCTTCCATCGCCTGAGAACCGAATTGACCAGATCTACGTATGTTAGCTACAGTCATGTGTGGGGCGGTAGCAGGAACTTACACCAAAATATGTATGAAATCCGCGAGGATTGACAGCGCCTATGTTCGCGAAATCGAGGAGCATTGGATCTGATTCATTGTCTGGATCTGTAGGCGCCAGACAAACGATACTCCTGATGGAGCTGTACGCCAGGAAGCGGTTGTCAGGACTCAAAGATGCGTCTGTGATTGTCCACTGTCCGTAGGGATAGACCACCGACTAAGAGGAGTCAGCTGATGCGATGCAATGCAATAGACTGGCACTAACCTTATAATACTTCCAGTCGTATGGGTTGGATGTGTCGTACATTCTGACTCGAAAGTCCTGTGCGCAAGAGAAAAAGAAGTTGCCATCGTCTGAAAATTGTCCCGAGTAACATCGCGCGTTGTAGTGTATAATCATGTCAGCGGTCGACTCTGGAATCATATCCTGCTTCAGTAGTCTTGTTGCGTTCTTCTGGCGTCCATCGCTTCCTGCGCCCAGTTCTCTCCTCATAATGTCGTATGCCAGCCTCTTCTTTCTCTTGATAGTTGTTTCCCGTCGTGGGTTGGAACCAAAGGTACCAGCATTCATCAACTCTCTACCCTGATCACTCGGTACCTTGTCAAACGCTGCTCTACCCCGTGGACGGCGTGGCCTTCCAGACCCAACCGGAGCATACCCTGTAGCAGATTCGCTGTCTTCCTCCTCATCTTCCTCGTCTTCTCCAGCGAGGCGACGACGTTGCCGTCGATCGGTTCGTGACGTGAAGTCTGAGGCAAATATGCGCCCAAGCCCCGCGTGGCCGAGTAGCTGCATGATTTGTTCGCGACTTATGTATACTGGAGTCCGTCGCGGGTTGGCAGCTTCGGCTTCTCCTCCCTCCCCCTCTTCCTCGTCCTCATCCTCATCGTCGTCCTCTTCTTCATCGTCATCATCTTCCTCATCGTCATCATCGTCATCGTTATCGTTATCGTCGGTATACTCGAAGGCGATTTCAACACCGCTGAGGTTGCTCAATTGCTCTGCAGCATCTATTGTTACCGTATATCAGTGTTTGGACAAGATTTATTTGTATTTCACACCGCATACCGTGGAAGCTCATTTCCAACTCTCCATCCTCGTCTTCGTCGCTGCCAGCTCGTGCTGGCACATAGTCCATGTCGTCATCATCATCCTCGGTATCTCGCCAGAACGGATCGTTGGGGTCGTAGACAATAGTCCTGGCATCCTCTCCATCGCTGGGTGGGCTGGTGGGTACCTGTGAGGAGCTCATGATTACAACGTGTGGATTGAAAGACAGGGTTGCAGAGAATCGCAATCGCTAGACACCATGGTCGAGTTGTGAACGGTGGAGCCACGGCGGGATTATCGTTAGTTTATCTCCGCGTCCGACCCCACATTTTCGGCCACCTCTTGCCCCAAGTGTCGATTCCGTACAGCAGATCTACCTGTTGTCGTTTATTTCTAATTGCAAAACACCTTGCCGAATATATCTCCTAAAAACAACCTTACCTTCATGCTGGCCTCGAAATTGTAGACCGAAACCCATTTCTTTCTAGCAGGTGGTAATTTACCATCGCGTCTTTCCTGACGAACAACACCTTACTGTGACGTCTGTGGAGTCGTCTTGTCGACATGCCGATATTTAAGTTTTCATTGACTTTCGCACATCTCCAGAGTATCGCCGTATCAACATAGGCGCCTCAACGACAAACTTGGACAAAAAGTCCGATTGATCAGTTTATTATCTAGTCAGGGAAATGATGTCCTCTGTAACAATATCCATGTAACCCTGTTAGACAGACCAGTTTACAAAATACTTTCATACACTTGGCCAACTGAGAGTGGGGATGTCTCACTTTCTCAAGTCGTGAATAGTTATGAAGTAACGATCGCAGTTACGAGAAATTATGCTGGTGGAGGCAGTTTTAGTATGAACCTGATTAGTATTTCTGGGTAATTCGATGGCGTACTCTCATGATGTGACGGCTACCACGTCGAGTCTGTCATTGTTAAGTCGCCGTCTGACACTCTACTATGAAGTCAAGTCTTTTGACAGATTTACTTTCTTAGTGAGCCGAGTTTGCAAGCGAGAAGTGTACATTGAGACAATGTAGATACTCTAATAAATCATCATAGTACATCTAGACTATGACTTGCTGTTTCTCCGGTGTTGAAAGTGAACACCAAACACTTTCCCAGTCTATTGAGCAAGGGGAGTGCGACTATTCATACAATTACATCAGACCGTAAGTCATCAAGGCTTCCCAGCACTAGCCTATTCATACACACACACATGATATCATACACCAACCTCCCCACTCCAAACACTCACAACCCATCCAATAACGGAGAATTCTTCCTCCTCCCCTTCCTCCCCCCGCTCCCACGAATCTTCCTATCCATACTATACCGCCCATCGCGATCGCCGCGAACCATCCTTGTCCCAACACTCTCCTCTACAGCCTGGCCGTCCTCCTCACCAACGCCCACCTCAACAACAACCTTCTTGGCCTTCTTGACCTTCCTGCCTTTCTTGTCGAACTCGTCCGTCGGCCGTCCAAGACGCACGTTCCGCGGGATACGCGTCTTTGCGCCGAGGGCCCACAGGTCGCCCCAGCGGGCTTTGCGCGCGTCGCGGAAGGCTTGCTTGCTGAAGGAGCGGGGCACGGTCCAGCGCTCGAGGGTGCCGGCGGGGGTGCAGACGTCGAGGATGATATGGCCGCGGCGTTTTAGCGCGGGGAGGATGAGGCGGGGGAGTTGGAGGGGGTTGATGTCCTCGGTTGAGGTTAGCTCGGCTTCGGCGTCGGCGTCTGCGGCTGCGTCGGGGTCGGAGATGAGTTTCCATTCATGCCCGGAGAAGGCGGCGGCGGTTGTGTCTTCGGATTGCGTGACGCCTTTGCCGACGAGGTCGTGCTCGGGCAGGCGTTGATCACGCCCGCGTTGGACAGCGAGGTAGCTGAATTGCACGTCCTCGTGGTTCTTGTCTTTGGCGTTGAGGATACGTTGGAGGTAAGGGGGACGGATATAGCGTTGGCTGAAGAAGCAGAAATCCTTTCTCCCCTGGCTGACACCTGGGGTCTGGTACATAGGGCATGGTTTGTGATTTGTACAAGGAGCAATAATCATGCCCGTTTCCTTCTCTGTGAATCTAGTGTCTTGATCCGGCTTTGAAACTTGCTGTTCGAGAGGCGTTTCGATGGTTCTAGAATGCGGAGATGAAATATGTTTGTCGAGGAGATGCTCACGGGCTCCGGCTATGACTTCGAAGCCTCGTGGCAGGCCTTTCTCGATTAGGATGAGGACGCCACCTTTAGGGTTGAGGAGGGACCAGAGTTTTTCTACTTGTTCTTTGCGAAGGTATGGTTGCCTCAGAGACCACAGCGTATGTGGTGCGATAACGAGATCGTACACTTTTCGTGGCTGTTGTGAACTAGCTTCGTCTGCCGGTGTCACCATCTCTGGAAGTCGAGGGATAAATGTTGTGTTCTCGAGCAAACGACTCGCACGATGTCTTAACGTGTCCGAGGCAGTCAAGACGGTCGCTTTACCCAACGGTGTTGCTTCTTGTGAGGTATTGCCCGATTCTTCGTGCATCCGCTGCCACTCTGCCTGCAACATCTCATGCCAGGCGAGCACACCGACGCCGCCAGATCCTGCGTCCAATATCATGCCACCGTTCTTCTTCTGCAGAAGGCGCTCAATCCACGGTGTTCCCAAACGTCGCCGAACCTCGACCATGGCGCTCATCACGCTCGCATATGTGCCTGGCTGCACGGCAGCCATGTATGCGTCCGACTCGATGTTGCCCATATCGCCCTGTGACGGGTCTAGAGGAATAGCCTTCTGTTCCTTGCCCAGACGTGCGGGAAGAGTGCTTGCAGATAGTGGAAGCCCGGGACCCCCAAAGATGCGGTTTGTGGATTCAGCGAGATGCTTGTAGTTTGCGCGGGTAAGGAGGAGCGTGGTGGGGTCGACGAGTGCCTCTTTCGGAAGGTAGATGGTCGAGGGCGAGGGCCTGAAGCGACCTGCGACGGTCAGAGGATGTGCGCGCATGAAATCGTCGTCCTCTTGTGCATCTTCCATATCGTCCCACGCTTCTGCCTCCTCCTGTTGTATCAGACTCTGCTCGTAGACCTCCTCGTGGTACGTTTGCGCCTTCCGGTCTCTGTATTCCTCCCACTCTTCTGGAGTCATCGACTGCCTGCCCTCTTCGACATCTTCACTCTCTTGGACCGCCTCGGGCTCGTCGAAGACTTCGATCTCTTCAAACTCGCCGTCTTCCCCTCTTCTCAGCAGAACCGTCGATCCATCGGGCTGTTCCTGCTCGATAACCTCCTCCTCCTCAACTTCCAGCTCCTGCAGGTCCTCAATATTTTCCACAAATACTGGTGTCCCATAAAGCCTCTCATATACAACATATTCCTCCGCGCTCAGGTGTTCCCTTGGTAGTACATCGCCGAATCTCTGTCTCGCGTTACGCACATTGACTTCGACATGTAATCGATCGACAGGCGCTGCTGATATCTCGGGTGAGGCAGTCGTTGGTTCCTGTCCTAGTTGCCTTCTCGCGGTTGTAGTAAAAATTCCTCTTCGTTGCATAGAAGGATTTGGGGCGGTCGTACGCAAATATCGAGGTACAGACTGCGCCAGAGATTGTAATCGTGCATTACGTGCCCGCGAGAGGGCAAGATTCAACCGACATGATAAACAGGCAGACTGTAGGCTCCTCGTCTTGAGCATGTTCGCGCGCTTTGACTAGCGGAAGACCGAATTGTTCTCGAGATGCGGAGGAGAAAGTTCGCCGCATCTTTACCATAGAGACCAACTAGGCCGATCCAGGCTTAGTAAACAACCAATCAAACATCAGGCGTTGTCACAGCATGTTGTAAGAGTATCACGACGGACACACAAAGAATTTCGGTCAAAGGAAACGTGTATTTCTAAAGCAAAGCAAGCCACCATCGCCAGTCCCCCACGCCAATTCCACGCGTACCAGTAGCAGGCTAGATCTTTCTTCCACTCCCCCGGAAGCGGCCTTCCCACAAGAAGTCCACGCACCAGATACTAGCCGCCTACCAATAGTCCCCTTCTAGTCTGCCAGCTTCATCTCAGCTTGAACTCATTACATTGGCAATTTAGATATGTTCGTCCCCGTGATGATCTTGACCTCCCCACAAGCTGACAGACATGTCCGAAGGGTGTGAAACGCGCGAAATTATTCGTGTAGGAAAAGGCGAAAAAACAAAAGGGCAAGGGATGATTAATACGAGAGGAGAGCTGTAAAACCAAACAAAGACCAGTGATCATCTAGGAAGGCTGTCCAAGAAAGCTGTGCTCCAAATCCAAGGTATGTCGCGGTCTACTAACGAGCTGTCAAGCTCAGGAGATGACGTTCGCATGTAAGATCGCTGAAACAACTTGGAGATACGATGTGGAGACGAGCTTCCAATAGAGGACAGACGCCGAGAACCCGAGGCCATAGTATGAGCACGATACCAAAGAGTCGTGCAAGGTCCAGTACTAGGTAGTCGACGAATGAATCCCGTGAGCTGATCGATCGAGTAGGAGTGACCGCCGTCCAAAACGTTGCAAAGGACGGCAGTGCCGCATTTCCCATTCGATGTGCGGAACCGAGTCTGACGAAGCGGTTTCCATAAGAGATTTGAGATGACGAGTCGAAAGTCTCGTCAAGAATCAGTAGCCACCGGATGCATACTGATCCCCGCCGCGCTTATTGGCCGAACGAAGCTGCCTGAACAAAGAAAACAGGTTAGTAAAATCTATCTATGGCATCCCCCGCGCCAAGCGTGGTCGAACACCAAACGCAGAGGGAGGGGTCCTTACGAGGATCAGATTTGTCGAACTCACATTCCGGTGCCCTCCTGGCGCGCATTGACCGGTCCGCGCTTGGTGCCAGCCGCAGTGCCAGCATTGGCAGCGGCAGTGGTAGTGACGTGACGTCCACGGCCGTTCTTGTCATCATCCTCTCCCTGACCCTGGTTGGCGGCCTGAGCAATAGCCTGAGCGTTCTTCTGGTACTTGTAAACGGTCCAGTCGAACACATAGTCGTACTGGAAACCCTCGCGGACAAAGAGATCGCGGAAGATCTTGCGAAGGTATGAGTAGTCCGGCTTATCGTCGAAGCGCAGGGAGCGGGTGTAGTTCAGGTAGATGGCGAACTCGTTGGGGAAGCCACGGCAGAGCACCTCAGTGGGAGTAGTCATCTTCTTCTCCATGATGCGGTCATACTTCTGCTTCTTGGTGGCCGCCTTGAGACCCTGCCAGGGAAGGGAGCCGCGGCAGAAGTAGAGCATGACGTATCCGAGGGACTCCATGTCGTCACGACGGGATTGTTCTGCGAGAATTAGCTTATATCGCAGTGGTAAGTTAGAGGGCTAGTGACGTACCGACACCCAAGTGAGTGTTGATGCTGGCGTAGCGAGCGGTACCAGTCAAGTTCTTGTTCTCTCTGTAAGGAATGTGGAAGTGCGTCTTCGGGTCACGGTACTTCTTGGCCAGACCGAAATCAATCACATTGACCTGGTTGCCGCGCTTGCCAATACCCATGAGGAAGTTGTCTGGCTTGATATCGCGGTGGATGAACGACTTGGCATGGATGTACTCGATGCGGGAGATGAGCTGATCGGCGAGAAGCAGGACGGTCTTCAGCGAGAACTTGCGGTTGCAGAAGTTGAAGAGATCCTCCAAACTGGGGCCGAGCAGGTCCAGGACCATGGCGTTGTAGTCGCACTCGGTTCCGAACCAACGCACGAACGGGATACCGACACCGCCGGCAAGGGACTTGTAAACACGAGCCTCATATTCGAGCTGGGGGTGCTTGGCCTTGACGCTCTCAAGCTTGATGGCGATCTCCTCACCCGAGATGATGTTGGTACCTATACCATGTCAGCAATAGCGAGAGCGGAGAGAAGATGGCACGCACCAAGGTAGATGTCACCGAAAGAGCCGCTACCAATCTTGCGGCCGATTCTGTACTTGTTGCCGACACGGAGATCCTGCTATAGTTAGCCTCACAGCTCGCGTTATCGTGCCCGTGTGTGATGACGGTGAGCGGGGTCGAGGCATACCATTGTCGTCATGCTTGCTGAGGGTTCAGCCTTGAGGAGGCTGGCCTGCAGTCGATGTGGTGGAGTGGTCGAAGCGTCGGTGGGGACGCAGAGGTGGTGGTGGTGTTGTTGTTATGGGCGAGGTTCAGCCTGCTTCGGTAGTGTCGGTCAGTATGAGGCTTTTTGCCAATAAGGCGGTGTGTAAGCGGAGCGTGCAGCCGAAAGCCGCAGACAAAGGAGGTGAAGCGAGTTGACGCAGAGGTGAAGAGGAGAGCAGGCGTCTGGAGACGTGGTCGTGGGGGATAAATAGGGTAGGCGAGGTGAAGGGCAGGCGGGACCGACTACTCACAGGCAGGGCGTGCTTCAGTGAGCCCGACGGATAGCGGCACTGCAAGGCTTTGTGTGGGCTGCGAGCTCGGAGAAACGTTTGCTCCCGGCGATCAGAAGGTGCAAGAAGGCGGCTGCACGCTAGAAGACAGCAAGAAGCCTCAAAGACAAAGCACGCAACAGTGGTGGTGCTGGGGAGGGGGTGGGAAGGAGAGCAAAGAGGCATCGATGGGTTGTAACTGCACGCTGGGCTTCTTCGATTCTTGGCGCGCTAAGGAAGCTCTTTCACTGCAGCGGTGTACTGTTGTTTCTCCCTCAAGTACAGGCCACAATCTGCTGCTATTCTGAGAGGCCACATGCATGTATCCGCCCAAGCTGTCAACGCGGCACGGCTGGTGTGTCATTGTTCGTCGTGAAGGTACCAACCGGCGGCGAGTGGCCTTACCTCAGCAGGGTTCCACGGTACCACGACTGCAAACCGTGTTTCTGGTCGTTCCAAGAAACTGCGGTCCGCACACAAGTTGCGCGCATTGTTCTCTCGCGTCCCTTTTCAACCGCAGATTGTAACCTCAATACGGCCCCAGTGTTTCAACTGCCGTCGAAACAGGCTGCATCAGGCCGAGGCCTTTTGTAACTGCACCAATCTTGCCCCTTTATGCGTTCCTTTGCCAGCCCAAACAAGGTTCCTGACATGCGACTTATCTCTGTTCTACCAGCCCAGATGCATGCTGCAAACTGCACTTCTTCGGAGCCGATGTTCCAGAAACTCTACATTTCAGATCGTCGTTTCATCGGACTGGCACACGCAGATGTCTGTATCCGCAGCTTCAATAGCAGTATGAGGCAAACGGTCAGGTTCTGAGCGATCAACTACCTGCCTTTTGAGTTTTGTTTATCGAGTGAATATACCCACACCTGATCAAGCTGCCAGTACTAGCGTCATGTCGGTTGCTGATTGCACCGTGAGACAGCTGTCACGAGGTCGTCAATCACCCTCGTATTCTCTGGTCTCGCCACAGTGATTTGACATAATAGTACATGGATGGGCAGTTCATACACATGCAGACGGCAGGATCTGTAAAGTACATCCAACGAGCCGTCCATGTACACGTGGTCGGCGGCGTTTTGAACCTCCAGACAACACACAGAAAGCCAAGTGATGTTGGTGTTTTTTGTGGTGTGCACGACTACATGCTTTCCGGCTAACGAGCGCAGTCAAGGTTGAGTTCAGCGCCCTCATGGCTATCTTGCCAGACCTTGCATTTGATGCACGCTTATATAAATCCAGTGAGTGATATTTGCCAACCACAGTCAAGCCGCCGACTTTGGCCCTCCCCAGATTATGCAGCTTGTCTAGCAGATCCCAGCTATCTGTTCCAGTACGAAATCTAGAAATCGTTGGGTCGTAACAGTCAATTCGTAGCGTAGCTGTGCATAGACGCGCCGAATTCGATGTGGACAAACACATGACGTTTGCCATTCCCAATGTTGTCCTGTAAGCGAACTATATCCCGTCGCATTTCGCCACCTAAAAGCAAGTATACGATGGATAGTCGAGTTCCGGCTGTAGGTGTTGTTTCTCAGGTGATGGTCCGAGAACTGCGAGTCCTGTAAAAGTAAACTCGAGTTCAGAGTACTAGTTGTTTCTTCAAACTCGTCCAAAATATCAAGTTGGACAATTTTTTGGATGAACGGAGATGCAATTGTCCGTAGATCAAGCTTGATTTTTGCCCAGTTCTAGACATCCATCCCGGTTGAGACCTCCCAGCATTTCTTCTATACGGCTACTGTACATTGCCTTTCGTGATGTTCATAACCCAATGCCGCACTCCATATCAGGCGATATCGAATTTAGTGGTTTGGTGCCTGGTTCTTCACAGCCGGGTTGCGCGGGTCGTTCTTGTACTCCTCGGCTGGGCGGGGTCAGTTCGTGAAATCTTCGGAGCTAAGTAAGCTTAGAGATGGGGATTCTCACCTCCACCCATCAGGTTCGCGGCGGAGTTGACACCGTAAAGGATGACGAGACCTAAAGATTCCTGTCAATGCGATTCTCCCACGTTTCGCTCATATGTCCCGTATGCTCCAATGTCACCCAATTCCTTCTATTGCTTTTTATGGTCTTTTCCCCCTCCCGACCGGACTTTCCAACGTACCGGAGACGTAGAAGGGCCACATGGGCTTGGCTGTGTTGGGTTTCCGTTAGCAATCTCTTCTTCGCATCCAGCGTCGCTTTCTCAGCGGTTCCAAGCCACGTACCGACGGGCGCCGGGAACTTCCTGCCGAGCCAAGACATATTCGTGTGCGATGGAGGGGCAATTGCTTGAGTTGCGATTGCAGTTGACGATGAGGGTTGATGGGGAGGGTTGTCTTCAGGCGCACGGCTCCGAGAAGTTGAGCGCCAAGCATCGGCGAAAGGTAGATCCGACATGTAAACAGTCCAAGTGGGAGTGAACTACCCCACAACAACCATCTCCGGTTGACTTGAACGGTTTTGAGAACGTGGCCCTAGTTCAAGGCCGTGCAGTATTGTCGCAAGTATGGGCTCGCCACTGGAGGGCTGCGTGGCCTCGTTGCGCAACAGCATGCAACTGCTGGATTCATCCATACACATACTAGACGAGGGTGTGAACGACTTCCCAAGACTCTCCAAAGTGCTTCAGACAACCAGAGTAAGCTATTTCCTACGATGTTCTTCGCTCATATAGAACATACGTTTGACAAGCCCAGCACTTCGAACTCATCTCTGAATCCGACCTTCAAACCGCCCAATCCGCACTCCTCTCCGAGATCCGACCTGAAGTCGACAACCTCCTCAAGCGCGTAGAAAACCACCTCGATAAACTGGAGCGCCGCGAGCAATCACTTCTGGCGAAATGCGACTTGAACGACGGTCGACTAGGACGCGACAGCGTGGGCGCATCGGCATCCAGACCGAGTAGTAGGAATGCCCAGAAGAGCGGGAAAAGTATCAGTGCGCAGCAGGAGTTGAAGTACAAGCAGTTGATGTCCAGGAAGGGCAGGTTGAGTTATGCAGTAGAGACGCTGGAGATGCAGGCCAAGCAGAGGGAGAGGCAGCTGAGGATGAGCATGGCGGCGCCGCAGCAGTTTTACGATGATTGAACACTAGGACGATGGTATGAGTATGGTAGGACATGGAACAAGACACGGAGTGTGGCATGTATTAGACGGGTTGCATTACCTAGGCGATTCGAACGTCGGCGCTTTGCATTTAAGATACCCTTTGGCGAATGGATCATCGAGCATCATGTTTTTCTAAAAGCAGATGGTTTTGGACTCTACACCTCCTTGAACCCGTTGTTTACTAGTGAATCATTGTGATGCTGTTCTTACACCTCTTACAAAGCATCTCCTCTCCATGCTGTGGTTATTTGCTATTAAATAGAGCCTATGGATGTGCTCAATCAACAACTAGAGCAATAATCTCTCTACATGTTGCCAGCTCTTTGGATTTCCACTTCACTTTACATGTTGGATATCGCGCTAGCTGACCAAATGGCGGGTCTTCGGCTGGAAATGCCAAGCGCTCAGAACTTCGGGTTCGCAGATTCACGACAGCGCCCCGGCAGTCTAGCAATTGCATCGTCACCACCCCTCCATCCATCATGAGTGCCCTCCGTATTGCCCGCGCCGCCGTCCGCGCAAGGCCCGCCGCCATCGCCCGCCCTCTCCAGCGAAGAGGCTACGCCGAGGTCGCCTCGGACAAGATCAAGCTCTCCCTAGTTCTTCCGCATCAGGTACGCATTGCCAGCACTTGCGCCGATATCGATCTGGGGGAAATTGGAATATGATTTGAGAATGTGAGGCTGACGGGAAGCTGTGCAGTCGATGTATAAGTCCCAGGATGTGTATGTCTCCCGCTAGTCGACCGACACCGCAAACCAACCGCGCAAACACTGACATGAGGCTCTGCAGCGTCCAGGTCAACCTCGCCGCGGAAACCGGTGATATGGGTGTCTTGGCCGGCCACGTCCCTTCAATCGAGCAATTGAAGCCCGGTCTGATCGAGATCATTGAGGAGCAGGGTGGCAGCAAGCAGTTCTTCCTGTCTGGTGGATTCGCTACCGTGCAGCCGGGCTCCGTCCTCAGCATCAACGCTGTCGAGGGTTACCCGATTGAGGACTTCAGCGCCGAGGTACGATTGTGTATGACTGTTTGAAAGAAGGACAAAGGCTGATGTGGGAACAGGCTGTCAGGAACCAGATCGCTGAGGCCCAGAAGATTGCCAGCGGAAGCGGCAGCGAGGCAGACGTCGCCGAGGCCAAGATTGAACTCGAGGTAAGAGGAGTGCTCGTCACTATGAAAACCGCTCTAACAACAACTAGGTCCTCGAGAGCCTGCAGGCGGCATTGAAGTAAATGTGTAAATAGATGGCATGTGTGGTATGTATAATATCAGGTGCAGAGCACCCCGTGTGCTTTCCATGTGCAAAAGATAGCAGGTGCCATTCCAACTAGCCAAAAACTCACATATTTCGATCATTCTCTCTTCTCCTCCTCTCCCGTCTTCTATCACCAGGATTGAGTGCACTTCAATCCGTCGGCAATCCTATTACACCCATACTCCCCTCAACCCTATTATTTGTACTTATTCGTCTTATTTGCCTCCCCGTCCTGATTAGTCCTTACTTCGAGCCACGCATTATCATACACCAACATCCACGTAGCACCCTATGCGACCAGGCTTCGACCAGCCCACGTCCAGTTCTGCGTCCCGTTCCGCCAACGCGGGAACCCGGGAGCAGACTCAGCAACCATCGATACGCACAAGACAGGCTCAGTATGAGGCCTCAGCAGCAGCATCACGAGGTGGCAGTGAGCCAAAGCATCCACAGTCGATCTCAGCTCGCCGAAAGTCTACTCAGCTGCCAAGTTTGTCCCTCCCCGAACAGTCTAGCGAGCCCCAACCATCTTCCGCTCCACGTAAATCGCCTGCATATCTCCAAGGGAAAAACCCCTATGGCCAGATTTTGGAAAAGGTTGAGCACCCTTACCGTGGACCGACAACAGCAGAATCACCCTCTCAGGTTGGCGCTAACATCGAAGGCCAACCACGCACTCCGGGTTCATTCCAATTCAAACCCCCTTCGCCATCAGGTGAGCCCGAGCGAACAGTTACTGTGCCAAATCCTCAGCCGCCATCGCTACTACCGAGACAGCCAGCAAAATCGTCCTCAGTACAAGCTACAAAGGACTTCTTCGAAACTAAAGCCTCCCAAAACCGATCAGCTCCTCCTTTTCCGCCTGCAGGAGCAGCTGCCATCGCTAAAGGTGCCTCATCAAAGAACGGATCACAAAGCCAGCAGTCGCTTACACTATCACGTCGCCGGTCCCAAGATGAAGGTGGTCGTCTTAAACGCATATCTGGTCCCACAGATGCACGTATAATGGAACAAAACGATTCAGACCCTGTTCTGCCATTACCCCCAACAGAGGTAAATACACAACCCAAACCTTCGCATCTGTCCATGCGACCAGAAGCAGAGTCAACTGCCCCAAATTTTGTCGTGGGGAAAGAAACCCCTCCCCAGGAGTCGTCCATTACACATGATCGACAACCTGAACCTAACGTGTCTGCCAGCCATCAGAGAACAATTAGCCGACAAAGATCAGCAGAAGCCCTCACCCTTACACCTCAAGATGTCCAGCCTCTTGGATACGAACGGCGCGCTGTAGACGACGGGTCGAAGTTAAGTGCAGTCTCAAATGCAGCACTCACAGTTATTGAGAAATCACGACGATTTGGTCAGCCCCAAACAACTAGACAATCTGTGAGACGTCGCCCCACTGGCAGGCCAACTTCAGCTGCTAAATCCGAAAAAACTGCAGAGTCGGACAATCCCAAAGTTCACCAGAAGATTCGACGTACGAGATCTAGTCGCGATGTTCGAAGAGCTCTCGGTGAAGGTAAAGAACCTGCCTCGAGGTGATTGTGGCATCGCGGATCTCACCGTGTTCCTCCCTCCGGCATCAGATGATTACGCCAATCGTCCGTCGAAACGGATGTCTTCCAACCCTTCGAATACACTCGACAACGCTGGGGTACCCATTAGTATCTGTAAGAGCATCGAACCTATTGCCCCAGCAGGCGTTACCTTTGACGGGACTAGCTCTAGACCTAGTTCTCGACGCAACACTCTCTCAATACCTGTTTTCTCGATAGATCCTAGAATTGAAGACGGTTATCATGATGTTGAGGTGCCAGACCATGTGGACTCGCGTGGTGCATATGGACGGCGCAAGACGCAGGACTTCGGCTACCCCGGCGCACGTACAAAAGTCCAAGGTATCTCTAGGGTGAATAAACGGCTCCAGGATCCAGAAAGCTGGCTCAGGCGTTCTTGCGGTCATTTCTCGTACACAGGTAAAGGCGAAGTTGGAGAAGATGCCGCGAAGAAGATCTGTCGTCAGTGCTCGGCCAGGGCAACGGCATCGGAATCAGAACTGCGCAAGCGTCACCAGATCCGAAGACGGATAGCTAGCGACTCATTGAAATCCGGCTCGTCTGCTACAAGCAAGACTGAGCACGGTTCTGGTCCTGACTTCGGGCGTCGCCGTCGTCACTCGGAGTGCATACCCACTGACAAATGTGGAGATGTCTTCGCCGATGATCTTGCTCACATCATCGATGCTATCCTCGAAGAGCATACAACCACATTGCAAGGCGTCATCGATAACATCAAGCATACCCAGCCAGGTCTTTCACAGCTTCGAAGATTGTCTGAAGACATCGCCCAGCGTTATCAGGTAGGTGACACATGTACACATCCTCGCCACACGACACATCCAAATCCCCGTAGTCATGAAACTACATCACGGCCAGTCTGCCAACCACATCAACCCGTCCATCAACACAGTTATCAGCCACAGGTCTACGAATGCACACCACCATCTCCATACATCCCACCCAAAGCAGCAGAAAAGCTCAATGTCGGTCCAACCGGGCACCTCGGACCCAACATGAATGACTCCCGATTCAGCCTACGAGAAGCTGTGAGGACGATTCCAGATCTAATCGGCCTTGTCAACTCCGCAGCAGATGATCTTGGCGTGGACCTTGATAGACGACCCACCGCAAAGGACGATGTCAGGTTTCTCAATGCGCCAGTTGAAGATACTCCTTCGCATGCCGGTTTCTTCTTGTTGGAGCAGGGTTTTGGAGATTGTGGGGTGGGGGATCGTTGACGGAGAGGGAGGCTGCTGGGGATGTATTGTTCTAGTGAATGCATAGATATCTACCTGAGCTATTGGAAGTGTGCTTGTGATGTGGTGTTCTGGTGAAGTGTACTTTCGGCTTTGAGGCGGTTGTGTTCGAGCGGTTAATTCAGGGTATATTCATTCAGAAGCCGGAATATAAGCCTGATACGTGCCGATTCCAACCAGGCGAACAACGCATGTGTCCTTGAGGAAGTCTACGCTTACTCCGCAGGTTGGAAGGTGAAGTAAGAGCGAGCAACAGCGGTCAAAGTGTAATGATAGTAGTGAAAAAAAGGGTATCATTCATGCGGCTCTGCTTCTCCTGCGTTCACGAGGGTTCTCTATCTAAGCTATTTCCAATAGTTGTGGATGCATGCATGACGAGCTACACACGTGCTCTACTCTACTCTGCTCTGCTGTGATGTTCCAATTTCTCGCACCCCCAAATAGTAATGATCGAACGAACGGCCTGGCCTCGTCGTAGAACTGTCGATTTGTCCCCCTACTGACGATGTGACGACCATGTCCCTTGCGATTACTTGTATCCTACTCTCCTATCTCGTCCACACCATGCCTTGTTCATTTGCCTTTTCCTTTGGCTTTACCCTTGGCTGCAGAACCCCTCGTTTTGCCCTCGACAAGGGCGCTGAACGTCTCGCTGCGCGTCTTGGGGGCTCGTGATGAGAGGGTGACTTGGTCGGTTTCGGCGTTGTGCGCGGCTTTTGCGGGTTTGCTACGCTGTTTCCTTTTCTTCTTGTTGTCTGGGGCTTGGGTGGTGGTGTCGTCTGTGTCTGCGCTCGAGGTCTCGGGGGATTGTTTTGTCTTTTTGCCCTTGCCGCGCTGTTTCCGCTCCTTGGTCTGTGTAGCTGGTGTGGGGGCGGAGGTGCTATCCATAGAGTCTGAGGCTGACACGCGCGTCCTCTTGTTCGCAGGCGCTGTTGTGTCTGCGTCTGCGTCGTCGTCGGCCTCCGGTATCTCTTCGTCTAGCTCATCGACGCCCCTCTTCTTGGGTGTCACCTCCTCTTTCTCCTCGTCAAACTTCTTGTTGACTAACTTGGCCTTTTCCTGCGCCCTCTTCTTCTCCCTTGCCATGCGCTCCTTCCTCTCCGCGTCGTATCTGTCATTTCCTGCTAGCCCATGCTTGATGAATCTCGCCGCAGCACCGGTATCCACACGCGCTCTCTTTTCCCAGGCTCCACCAGGTGCGCGCTCCTCGACTTCCTTGATCTTCGCAAAGTACTTTTTCAGGCGCGCGAGCTCGGGGAACAAAGCGTGTTCCTTTGCGTTTGCGCCGGAGGCTTGCAGTGTGGAGAAGAGGAGCGATTCGATGGAGTAGGCGGCGAGCACGTAGAGTTTTGCTTTGTCGAGGAGGGGAAGCGACGACGCGGTTGTGTGGAGAGGCGTGTCGAGGATAGGCGCGAGAGTGCTGGTCAGCTCGTCGATGTTGACTTCGAGGTCCTCGACGAGGTCCGGGAGGTCGGTTTGCGGGTCCATGGCTGTCGTGTGTGAATTGTGCAGGGACAATTGGGGTTGCGCGTGGTGTTGAGGTAGGGAAGAGATGTTCATGGACTTGTACAAAAAGTTGCGGGCCGAGGATTCTCCGCGTGGAAGCTCCCACGAGAATGACGGCGTCAGTACCACTCACAACCCCAACCACACACTCCGACTACTCTGCTGTTGCTGGCGCGGTCGCATTCTACATACATGTAACACGCACCCTCTTTCAAGCTGTCTTTCTCTTCCCTCTCACACTTCCTCCCCAGGCTTCGGCCTCGGATACCACACACACGCCTGCGATGCAGCTCCGGTAACACAGGCGCCGGCCGGGTGGCTCACTACCAGACTCGCGGCTTCGTGACGAGCTGGAAGAAGGAGGAGGATGCGCAGACGCTTGGCAGTCCAGACCCGTACGTCTGAGTGCCCGTGGGCGCAATCAAGACTCACAGTCGACAGCAAAGACGCCATGGACGGGCCGCCCCTCTCATCCAGAGCAACCGACTTCTACCGCACGAACCCCGTCCTCAACCGCCGCATACACATCATGGGCGTGGGCAATGTGGGGAGCTTCATCGCCCATGCGCTGCGGGGCATCCCGAACCCGCCTCCCGTCACGCTGCTCTTCTCCAACTGGGCCAAGTTGAGTGAGTGGAATGAGTCGCCGCAGAGACTGTCTCTGGTCACCGACGGCGACACGGAGATACGCGACGGGTACAGCGCCGAGATTGCCATACCGCGCATACGCTACCATGGGAAGGAAGTGGGACTGTCGGGCACAACGGAGAGCCTGTCTGCGCCTCAGAGCAAATCGCTCGAAGGAGAGTCGACCGAGTCCATCAGTTCGCTGATTGTGTGCACCAAGGCCCCATACGTCCTACAGGGCCTGTCTGCCGTGAAGCACAGACTGCACAAGGACTCTGTCGTCCTCTTCCTGCAGAACGGCATGGGCACCGTGGAAGAAGTAAACCGAGAAATCTTCCCCGATCCTGCCACTCGACCACACTACATGCTGGGCATCAACTCGCACGGCATGCACTCCGCCTCCTCAGGCCCATTCACCACCGTCCACGCCGGCTTCGGCACAATCTCCCTCGGCATCCTCCCCCACGAGCGCGACCGCAAGCCAGACGCACCCTACGAACCAACCCAGAAATTCTCACCACAACGCAAACAACCCCCCAAACCCCCGTCCACACAACCCACAGACCCCGACCTCCCGCCCCCCAAACCAGCAACCTTCGCCTGGACGCCCAACCAACGCTACCTCCTGCGCACCCTACTGCGCACCCCCGTCCTCTCCGCCGCCGCCTTCTCGCCCCCCGACCTGCTCCAACTGCAGCTCGAGAAGCTAGCCGTAAACTGCATCGTCAACCCGCTGACCGTGCTACTCGACGCCCGCAACGGCGCCATCCTGTACAACTACGCACTCACCCGCTGCATGCGCCTCCTGCTCGCAGAAATCTCCCTCGTCATCCGCTCCCTGCCAGACCTGCACTACATCCCCAACGTCGAGCACCGCTTCGACCCTGGGCGTCTTGAGACTATCGTCGTGGGCGTTGCGCAGAAGACGAGCGGGAATGTGAGTAGTATGCTTGCTGATGTGAGGGCGGGGAGGCAGACGGAGGTCGACTATATCAATGGCTGGATTGTGAGTAAAGGGGAGGAGTTGGGTGTGCGGTGTTTGATGAACTATATGCTGTTGAATCTGGTCAAGGGGAAGAAGAATATGATTCAGATGGAGATGGGTGAGGGTGTGCCGTTTGTTGACGAGAGCAGGGAGAGGAGGGATGGCGGGATTAGGGTTAAGAGTGGTGTTGCTGTTGCGGGGGAGGGGAATGAGAAGGAGAAGGAGAGGGGGAAGTTGTAGTGCAAATATGTGTTTTCTCGATTCTCTTTCAAACCTTGCAAAAAACGGGAACAAATCTTCGATTTCTGATCATCATGCAAATGCTGATATTCACTCATACATACACAATGGTCGACTGCCCACTATGATATCCCCTGTCCACATGCACAATTTTAAACATGTACAGGTAGGCAATGCGTAATAGCGAATAATTAACTATATAGATATCCCTCGTTCTCTTTCATACATGTAATCCATCCATCCTTTCATCCATGCACTAGTACTAATTGATATTCTGTCCTCTTCCTTTTCTCCTCCTCCCTCTCACTCTCACTCTCACTCTCCATCCACCCCCTTTCTCAACACGACCAGCCAGCCAACCAACAAAGTAAACAAACAAGACGCAAAGCGATACCTCGCGCCATGATATATAAAAAGAACGCCACCACCATCCCTCGATCGATCCATTACTCCTGGTATTTGACCCCGCACTGACAAACGAAACAAGCAAGAAGGAAGAACAAGAACCAGTAAAAAGAAGAAAGCCCGTCTCTTTCCCCACCCCTCCAATGGGAAGAGTATAGAGATAAATGTGTGTAAGGGTAAAAAAAAATACAAGACGTCGTGATAGCAGTTCCCGTCCTCAAGGCGTAAGCATGTATGAAGAATAGATTTTGCACAAGGTCGAAGCGCGTGGGGTAGAGTAAGTCGGTTCCAAGTTCCAGCGTTCCAAGTTGACCCATTCATGCGTTTCATTCAAAAGCGCCTGGAATCGTTAGACTCAGTCGGTCGTCCTTCTTCCTCGACTGCAGCAGCGGCGGGTTCGAGGCACTCCTCTGACGCTGTGCTTGCGGTCTGTCCTGCGCGGGCACTGGCGCCGCCAGTAGCGACTTCTGGACTTCGCTCTGGAGTTGGGCTTCGGCTTGTTCTTCAATCTTCTTCTCTTCGTCGCGCGTCAGAAACTCTTTTACGTCTGCAGAGATGATGGTGTTGCCGATGGAGATGCGTTTTGGCAGATCACCGTCCTTGGTCTGGAATGGATCGTCGTCGCTGCTCCGTGTCGCGACTGTGCCGTCCGCAGCAATTTGCGACCCGGATGTGTTGGATATTTGGCTTTCCTCGCTGGTTCTCGCACCCTCTTTGGCCGCGAATATCGGACTCCGAGGACTGTCTCTCAGCGGGACGAAAGCTGGGACGACGCCCCCACCGACTCGAGTCCAGAACATGCGTTCACGAAGTCGCACACTCTCTTCCCATGCAGTCTTCTGCTCTTCGTCCGTTTCTGCCCTCCAATGCCCTGCGGCAACCATCCTCAGAAACCCAATGTAATCGCACGTCGCCCTGACTCTGCCTAAACACCAGTCACAGAGCGGGTATCGTTGTGATTCCTCCGTGTCGGCGGGCTTGAATCGGAATTTCCTCGCATATTCATCACCTTGTCTGGTTTCTCCGCAGAGAGAACAAGGGAAGACAGGTGTGCGCCACTTCGACGATTGTGCTGGATTGGGCTCTACGACCAATGACCCAGCTGTGATGCTGCTGAGAACAGTACGACGAGCCATCCAGGAAAGACCAGGCGCGATATCCAGACGAAGCGTTGGCTCAATGTCCTCTATCAGAGCACGCTTGTAGAACTTGTCGTCTTTGAGGTTGGGCATCCCAGCCCCGCCTACTGATTCACGTGGAGAATTGTTGCCAGCTTGAGACTTGATCGAGGACGGAAGAGAGCTGGTCGAAACGTTTGCTAGCGACCCAAGACCAAGCACACTGAGACTGCCGTAGTTGCCACTAGATGCGCGACTTGTCGGGGCGGACGAGCGGTCACTAGTCTTCAGCATGTCTTGGAACTCCTTGAAAGCCGTAAGATCAGATCGGAGTACAGGGTGGATAAGGTGTGAAAAATGCAGAGGGTGATCGGGGCTGATTTCGTCGGTTCCAGGGGTGTTGGGTGTAAGATTGATGGCCTCGAATAGCTTGCTCATCTTGTCTGCGGCTGTTGCTCCTGGGGTGGAAGGTGCGGTGGTGGTGCCAAACGTGTTGCTTTCGTTGTCGTCGCTGTTGGAACTCATCTTCTCTACGACGCCCTTCAGATCCTGGAGTTGCTCCTGGAGGGAATGTTGTAGCACTCCCGCATCGCCAAGTTGCTGCCTGAGCTGCTCAGTACGCTTGTCGGAGGCTTCTGTCTCTTTGCGCGCGCTAGCTACCATCTACAACCACCCGTCAGCAGCACTCACACCAACAAAACTTCCAGGCTACTCACCACATTGGCTTCCTCGAAGAGGGCAGCAGTCAGAGCTTCGACCTCGCTATCCGTCTTCCGCTTTGCCTTTTCTGCCTCTGTTCTGCGTCTGCGTTCCTCGTGCAGTTCACTCGAGAGCTGTTTCTCCATCTTATTGTAGACAACACTCTCCACCAGCAGGCCCTTTGCAACCTTGTTCTCGTGCTGCTTGACCTGTGCCTCCAGCATCGCCAGCTTCTCCCTAGCCGCGTCCAGCTCGTGTCTGGTCTGCTGCAACGAGTCGTCGAGCATTGTCTGGTGGTTGATGGCATTGATGAGCTTGGTACTCAGCGTGGCCACTTCTTGGCTGAGATCCGGATGCGAGTCTGTGGAGTCGCGTCGCGAAATGGTTGGCTGAGGCGTCGCGGACCGGGGGTCAGGAATGGTGTTCATGCCATCGCTCTCCGACTGTGTCTGGGCAGCTCTTTGCAGCTGTGGTACAGATATTGAGCGGCTGATTTCCTTCTTCATGGGCAGCGGGGTCAAGGAGCGTAGACGGGAGGGGGTCATGGTGCCGTTGCCGTGTTGCACCCAGGAAGGGTGGATAAATCTACAGGGCGGATGCGCGTTAGTTATGTGTGTTGGAGCAGGAGCGGCGGCTAGGAGCTATCGCCGGGCGTGGCGCCTGCCGCTTCTGGGGAGTGACGTACGCGAACTCGGCCATTTTGCACCAAGGTTCTGGTGTGATATTTGGCTACCGGCCAAAGGACATTACACGGCCCAGGGTATATAAAAACGTGAGGCGACAGGAGAAGGTTCGTCGGGGCGGAAGACAAAGGAGTGACGACAGTCGGTTGAACCGGGATGACCGCTGGGGACCGTAGGTAACGCCGCGACTGTTGGAGCGTTTACGGCGACGACGGCATTTGCGCAACCCAAAAGATAAGGGCACGATGGGAACGCAATGCGCAACCGAATTACACGCTGGCAGGAGCACTTTGAGACGGAAGGAGCGACGTAGAAGTGGGAGACGACGACTCTCATCGGGGAATACCTGACGAGGCAGGCAGGAACCGATAGATGCCCGGGCGCTTGCGCCTTGATCGATAGCGCGGCCGAGCAACGATGCTTGAGCCTCAACACATGACCTGCACCTCTGCATGATCACTCTCTGAACCGCCACAGCTAGACCGTGAGTTTGGGGAGCCCGAGTCCGCATCATTTCATCGTCTAGTCTGCACGCGCGTCTCGACGCTCAGCCCCATTCTTCGTTGCGATTCTCTGCATCCTGACAACACCTTGAAGCTCAACGTCGATCTTCCAGTCAAGTCCCGCAAAAGAAACAAAGCAACTATTGGCCAATATAAATTCCGATATTGGACAAGACTTGCTAACTGTTACACGAAGAACGCATCTGTTTCTGGCGTTATGTCCGTTTCTTTTCCTGTCCAATACCCACCCTGCACCACATCCTTCCTCACACCTAACCAGGAATAGTGACCCCAGTGATCAAAGATAACGGTACAGGGATCCCACGTATTCACTACCATCCTAAATCGATTAGCACGGCCAGCATGTCCTGCCTGCACTATAATTTACATACCTAATCTGGGACATGTTGGTCAGAGTCACACATCATTCGTCAAGAAACAAGCTGCAGCAAGCTACCCCAAGGTTCGCCCCAAGACCCATCAATTTGCAAAGAAAAAGTTTCCGCATTCAAGTTTTCATCCGTGCAAGGTAAGCTAGTTGAAGGAGAAACGAGGTACCAACACGACGCTCACTCCGCTCGAGAAAAATTCTTTCCTATAAGCTTACATCGTATTCCGACCCCAAAGTAGTGCTCGTTGAACGCGACAAAGTAAAGAAATGACAAACACTATCGAGTATCACCCGATCCGTCCTCACCAGAAACTACCATGGAGAATACCCATCTGCGAGCAACAAAAGTTGGAAACCGCCTTGCAAGCCCACTCCGAGCCCACTCTGCCCGACCCAAATCAGAACCGACATGTCGAGAAGACCGTGCAAATACCCTGAACAAAGCGACAACCGTAAGTCATGCCTCAGCCGTTAATCATATCGAATTTTCCTTCTCTTGGTTTTTGTACGATATGTTACGATACCGTGGCGCCTGCTTTTGACGATGGAACGTTCTGCCTCTTGTTCGCCGGCGAGCACAAAAGGCAGACCGTCTTGGAAGCGCCATCAAAGATGCCAAAAAGGAGTGTGGCCGTCGGGGCTGTCACAGTCGCGCAACGGTATTCGAATAAAAAAGACTAAGGAAGGGTGTTGGTGTACAAATGTCGAGGGGTATCCGGGTGGACGAGCGGGTGGGGAACGATGTTGATTGTGCCGTGGGTCGGATTCGCAAAGCTGATTCGGTGTCGAGACTCGGGGAGGGCATAGCAATGCGCCATTGTCTATCGTCGCCCAAACCTGCTGCACGAGAAGTTCGTAAGGATTCTGAAAGAGTGTAATGGTGGCTACTTCTAGGGTTTCTTGTTGCGAGAAGACCCCGGTCTACTGCCGCCAAGGTTGGGAACGTACTTTTGTTTTTTCTCAGCAGGTTTCAGAATCTGCGAACAGGCTGTTAGCGAATGCATGATAAGGCCATAGTTTTGTCGAACATACCTGGAAGGAGCAGAGCAGGCTCTCGTCAACGCTCATCATTGCACCGGCGTTGTCGAATTCACCGCAGTAGTTGGGCGCGCTGAAAAGTGTGACAAGCTGACGCTTTGAGAAGAACTCGTAGCCATCCTCCACAACCTGATGGGCACGGCAGATGAGGTCCATGTCGTGCTTCTGCAAGAAGCGCGATACCACGTCTGGACCGAATGTGAAACTCACACCTCTGTCGTTCTCGCTCCATCCAGTAATGTCCTTATCGGGGTCAGACCAGAGGAGATCGCAGAGAAGGCCACAATCCGGGATCTAAGCTGTTAGCTTCTGCAATAGAGCAATTATATGGTGCAGAGTTTAGGACCATGGTGACAGAACGTGTTACTTACATCAGTTGGTCGCATTACACGCCTAATCTGCTCCATAGAGTTGAGGTCAGGGCTGAGACCACCGTGCATGGTGAAGATCTTCTCGTCAATGATTGCAGCAATGGGCAGGCAGTTGAAGCAGTCAGTGAATGTCTTCCACAGTTTGATGTTGTATCTTCGCTTGCACTCGTCGTAGAACCCGTAGATGCGGTTGATAGAAGCGCACTCGTGGTTACCACGTAGGACAAAGAAGTTCTCGGGGTACTTGATCTTGTACGCGAGCAGCAGGCAGATGGTCTCAAGCGACTGCTTGCCACGGTCGACATAGTCACCAAGGAAGAGATAGTTGGCCTCTGGGGGGAAACCACCATATTCGAAAAGCCGTAGCAGATCGTAGTACTGGCCGTGAATATCTCCGCAGATCTGGACATGTCAGCAAATTCTCCAAAGCATGCTTCTGGAGTCTGTGAGGTTGGGTGGTGTGTACTGACCTTGATCGGCGCCTCAAGCTCGAGCAGGATGGGCTGCGAGATGAAGATCTCGCGCGCCTTGGTGCATAGGTAGCGGATCTCGGTTTCCAGCAGCTGAACCTGCTTGCCGGGTCTGCTGCCTCGGACCTCGAGGAGCCTGTCTATGATAGAGTCCAAATCTACCTCGTTTTCCGCCATAGCTGTGACTTGCTGCTGGCTGTCGAGTCTGGTGTCTGAGGGAGCAAGGGAGAACCTCGCGCGGGTGAGGCGGGCAGAGAGTGCGCGTCGGACAATGGATTCTGTGCCCTGTACGCAAATCGTTAGCAAGGCCCCTTCTGGCGACGTTGGGCAGCATTGGAGCGATGCAGCGGGTGCCATGGCACGGGCACAATGTGCTGTGCACGGCAGCTGCGACGAGCCAAGCGCACTGCAGCCGTCGCGAGGAGCAGCCTGGACATACCTCTGTATCAGAAGAGTTGGCCTAAACGGGTCGCAGATCGTCGGCGGTCGCTGTTTGGAGAATGGCTCGAAGCCCCTCAGAGATGCCTGGCGGCAGTGCTGGGATCACGCGACGGCAGGGGCGACTGCCAAGGGCTTGCGTCAATACTACACGTCAACAGCAGTGTACCTGTGTGGGCTGCGCGGTGGGCAGGTGAGTGCGCGAGGAGAGCGGGGCGTTGGCGTTGTTGTGGCCGGAGCCTGTCGAGTGGGATGCTGGATGACTTCACCGCCTGGGCTGGCGCAGAGGGCAAGGCTCGCAACGGGAGGTGCGGGGTCAACAGTGAGGCTGCTCGATGCTGCAGGGCAGAGTTGAGCGTGAGAATGCGTTTGCTCGGGAGGCGTAGGCAGGTGGTTGCGGGAGGGCAGAGAGTCTCGAGCAAGCCCGAGGAGAATCGTTCAGTTTCGTACGCCTTGGCAAAAATACGGCGGTAGGAGCTACTAGGCCCAACTGAGACGCGCGGCCGACGGGGAAAAATGATAGAGACGATCTCGCAGCCTGTGCAGCGTGAAGGTGAGAGGTTAGGCAAGGATGTAGAAGGTACAGAGATACAGTGGTTCGGCCTCGAGAGACGGGCAGACAAGTCCTTCACGCCTGTCAAGCTGCCATTGCGCTAGCAAAGCCCACTGTCATCCTGGTGCTCCGTACACTCGCACTCATCACGAACAACTGTTCCCCAGCATCAGCCCACCTCCAAACTGTGCTCCACACATCTATGGTGGTCTAGAGCACGACAGGCAACCGATTCCCATTTGTGCACATCGACTCAATGTGCTATACGTCCCGCAACCATCGGTACCCGTGTCCAGCACCGTAAGACTTCGAGCATCACAGATTGCAATTCACCATTATCCGTCTGAAGTAGCAATCTCGTCGCATTAATGCAAAAATCTACCGAGATCAATCATACCACCCCACCCCATCACCCTCTTCATTATGCAATAAAAGGATCCAGCAACGCCCCGTCTTCTTCGCTCTTGACATTGTCGTAAACAATGACGGATATGGCCGTGTAGTCGTGCGCCAAAGAAAAAAGCAAACCCACAAGTTCGATGCCTAGAGACGCCCGCACGGTGAATATGATACAGGAACAAAGGTCGTGAAATGCAAGACATGACGCGGGAAATGCATATCAAATCAAGCATAACCATCCCATTCCAGGAGAAACAGGATGCCACCGACAAGACCATGACGAGAGACGAGAGTGGCTAACCTGTGATCGATACAACGAGCGTGATGTTTCCGTGGCTCTAAAACAATCCCATTTCCATCCAGCGCCATGCAAAAAGCTTTACGAGAAACATGCCAACAAATTCGGCAGGCAAAATGTAAATAGAGACAAAAGGTTCATGTATAGAATGAAGAAAGCACCTAGAAACGAAGCAGATGCTCGTCTACGAAGGGAAGAAAACAAATCTTTTGGGTATCGCAAAATTGGTAACACCGACTTGGATCAAAGCATCATCCAAGCGTGCGACCACCAGAGGCAATGCTCTGACTGGCCGACCGAGGTACCGTCGGCCGGATAGTTGGAGAACTGTATGCTCGATCAGAAGGGAAACTAGTCACGGATGTCGAATCCCAATTGTCATCTCCAAGTGCGCTGAGCCAGGTGTTGCCAAAGTCCTGTCGCAAGGCTTCGATCTTCTTCTTGTACATGTCTTCGCTGACGTCAAACTCGGGTTGCTGCGGCTGTGATTGTGACTGAGGGGGGTTACTCTTTGTCGTAGTATCGATCAGCGGCAACTGTTGATGAATAGCGTGAGCCGGTCCCGTATCAGCACGCTCATCTGGTGTTGTCTTCTTCATAGGATCTCCCAAGACTTGTCCATCCGGTGATTCCATAAAGCGAGGCGTGTCGTTCACATATGCGTCTTGGGAAGGTTTGATTATCTTAGGAGCCTCTCCCGTAGGCATGTCGTCGTAGGCAAGGCTGGTAAAACTGGTTTCAGATGGCTGCCGCATAGTCTCCGCCTGTGACAATTCAACAATCCTGCGCTTGGGTCCTTTCTTCTTCCTCTGTGATCCATGTGCACTTCGCGAGCTCTTTGTACGTTGTAACGTGCCCGTACGTTTGAGAGCATCGAGAGCATCTGGACTATTAACAGGGATATCGACAGACTTGACGACCTTGGGAGGGACATAGGAAGATGGAGGTGTCTCGTCTTCCGGAGGAGGCTTGACGATGGGGACCCCTCGCAGTTCTGGTGCACGATCAACGAGCAACCTTTTCTCAGCATTGCTGGGCCCGGTAGAGTCAATGACAATGTCTTCGGTGTAACCTGGCGTTTTACGGAAGAGATTGAATATTGTGATGCGGTAGCTTGTGTGCGTCTTGTAGAACGGATTTCGATGCACATATATCTCACAGATGTCAGGCAGTCCAGTGAGTCGAGCAACCTCTGTGGGGTCTGTCAACCTGTTGTCTCTAAAGTCTACGCGCTCTAGGGACAAAAGGCGCTCGACGCCAGCCAACGATGTCAGCCGATTCGACCGAAGGTTGAGTGTTGTGATGGCTGGAAGAGGATTTCGTCCCAGAGACTGTAGGCCGTCGATCATGCAGTTGGAAAGATTGAGTGCACGCAGACAAGTCAATGTTGCCAGACTGTCGGGAATCTCACTAAAGAGATTGGCGGAGAGATCGAGAGACTGGAGAGTGTTTGCCAAAGGAGCAAGACTAGTGACTGAGATGTTGGTGAGAGCGTTATCAGCCAGACTCAGGTGTCTCAAAAAGCGCCACTTAGTCGAGGGAAACCAGCCCAGCGACAGGAGATTGGAAGAGCTACCCCTGGGCGTTGTCGAGCGCACACTCGAAGCCGAACTTCCTGACGAGCGTCGGATGTTTGGTGCATTGCTTCTGCTGTGATTATGGGCTGAACCATGACGCGAACTCGATGGTCGAGATGGAGACGTGCTGCGTTGTCGTTGGGCAGCGGAGACTTTGGAAGCATTCTCTCGCGCTGTTGCCGCAGCACTTCTCGGACTTGGACTTGAGCTTGAGCCCTGCTTACTAGGCGCCGTGGGAGAGGAAGGTGGAGAATCTGACCGGGCTAACTGTGCATGCTTTGTGAAAGGGCTCGCAGTGGGCAGTGGAACTGATGGCGAAGCAGGAGCTTTGGCAGACCGCCTGCGACGCTTGTCCATGTCGTCAAGAACAACGTTGATGAGAAGGTCAGCAGGGTCGTCAACGCCTGCTCGTTTAACAGTAAGACTGCGCAGATTTTCAGCCAGCCGGTCCCAGCCGTAGAACTGGCGGAAGTCTACATCGTAGATCTCAAGTGCAGTGACGTTCTTGAAAGCGAACAAAGGCACGGCGCTGTCGAACGGAAACTCCTCGTACCCTGATATAAGACGGGCTTTATGGTCTGGGGCAAGTCTCAAGCATGGAATCTTGGTGAACGCAGAGTAAAGGTATCTCAAGTCTTCCTGGAGTTGGGCTTTCTGCCTCTCTGCCTTGGCTGCACTGTTTGACCCAAGACGGAAGGATGACCAAAGTGAGGACATGCCTGACATAACACTGCGAACACTGGACACAGAGTGAATGGAGTCACGGTCCGAATTCTTGGCCTTGCCTCGCTGGGTGTTGCCGAGGAACGACACATAGTTAGTTGGCGAAGCGTCAGTGTGTATGTTCTCCAGTCGCACGTTCATTGGGCCCACGGGTATGCCCAGGTCCTCGAAGCGCGACAGGATGTAGAACAGGTGGTGGGGAGTTAGCGTCAGCTTTGCAGGCTTGATTGTTTGCGAGGTAAACGTGAGGGAGGGCAGAGACAGAGCTGCTGCCCAGACACTCGATGGTGAAGACGTGGGAGGACTGGCGGGACCCATGGGCGAAGTGGGAGAGGTCACGGCGCCCTGCCCATTTCTGGGCGCCTGTCGCTGCAGCTGGAGAGCATTTGCGAGCGCTTTCTCGTGGGTTCGTATGAAGTATGCCAAGTTCTGTAGAACGTCAGTGTTGGTCCACGCACCATGTCATTGTGTCGCGCACTCTTGTGAAGATTTGACCATCCTCTGTGTCCATGGTTTATGACTAGTCAGACGACGACTGCATATATGGATCCGTGGGTGTCTATGTCGGGGAGACGTCGAGAAATAGCCTCGACCAGAGAAGCGAGTGGGGGATTGGCGTTGCAGTCGGTGTGGTGACCCCCTCGAAGCGTTGGGTCTCGGGGCGTTCGCGGTGCACCTGTCTACGCCGTGAGACGCGACCACCTGGATACTTGGACAGTCAGCATCGAGGGCAGAAAACAGTGACGGCGTGGGCGGCTGTGGAGCGCTGTGCAGGGCTTCCAGAAGTGCAGTGGGGAATTGAGCAGGACTCGACGTACCAAAGGAGGTTCCTTGTTGGTGCCCTGGGCGAAAGGCCTTGGTGACGAACAGGCGTCGGCGGACAGTCCGAATAATATGCAGCAGCAACACAGAGAACAGAGCCCACTGGCGGCGGACAGGCGCACGAAACGAGCCGGCCAGGAAGCGTGCGTGGTTCAGGCGCGAGCCAAAGAGGAGTGCAGCTGCGATATGCAGCAGAGCGCCCACAGCAGCCCGGGTCAGAGACAGTGTCCACTGGCCGGGATAGAGGCCACCCGACGCACACGCCGGAGCTCAGGCAGAAAAATAGAAGAAGAGCCGAGTGGTGGAGCACAGGGGGCGTTGTCGTCAACGACAACAGGAGGAAGGCGCTGCGCTTGGTGGGGAAGCAGTATCGCAGTTGGTATCTCGAGAAATTAGATGCCTCTTCCGAGCAGGCGAGCTGCCGCGTTTGGAACAGCTGCAATCTGGTGGGGCTACGACGACGCGACAACGAGACGGACACAACGCAGCCGGCGCTTTCCCGGCACCCAACGCTCTTAAGAAAGCGAACGCACAAGGGCCACCGTGGTCGACGATGTCGCGGTGAGGGCGATTAAAAGACTGCACGATGAGACAGCAGCCCAAGCACGAGGATCAGAAAGGCATGGAGAGCTGGTCGTCCCCCCCACTCAACCCTACCCCTGCAGCGCGTGATTGGTCAGATGAAGCCTTCGACGACGCCAGATCTTCAGGCCTGTTCCCTGCGCCTGGATCTCACACGGCCACAACCACACATCTGGCTGACTTTGGTGCTGGCCCTCGACTTCGACGACGTGGACAACGACGACGAGCATCCTCCGTTGTCATCTCGAATAGATTTGTTACAACGATTCTGCACTACACGCAGTATGCGTACGAATCGCTCAATCGTACCCAGAGGCTGGCAATGTGGCAGCAGGATGTCTTCACACTCAAAGGAGAATGTCGTGATAGAGACGTGCGACCGTGGCTCTCTTTGCAAGGGTTGCGGCTTTGCCGAGCACGACTCGCATGTACGCTAGACCAGCATCAGAGTCCAAGTCAGTCACTCGGGCCAATATCAGACGAGGGCAACTCGCATCCTATCCTAGCCCAACCTGACGCCGTTTGGCTGCACGCAACATGCCTCTCTCACCTCGCGGCGATGCACATACCTGCCATGCTACAGGAGTTCTCTTCCTTCGCGCAACGGACATGGACGGCGGTCCAGCTCGCCTACCTAGCCTCTGTAGACACGGCATGTCTGAGCTACTCATGCATGTCACACAAACCGTGAATCGTACCACATGAGAATCCTGAGCGAGCAACCGCGTCCTACAAGGCCAATTTTGGACCCTGGCCTGCGTTGACCCTGTCGACCATCTTGCAGCGCACGCCCCTTTGCCTCTCAAAGCGCTCCGGATGGTCTTACAAGGGTTGTCGCTAATCTACTCATCTGACTGACGACCAAAGACATGGCTGCTCCCACATGTTGCGGCTATCGCGGGACCTGCAAGCAGATACGAACATAAAGTCACACAGGACTTGATATCAAACACCACAGTAGCGCCGGGTCTTCACGATACTTCGCCCATCAGCCGGAGCCATACAGATCGTTGCCTTTACTGGAGCTTGGCACGGACCATGCAGCTTGACATGGGTCTTTGAACACCCATTCGACAGCCTCCAGGCGTGCTGCGAGATGACATGCGACCCAGAGCAAATCGTTAGGGTACCACGTTACACCCTGTGCACTTGACAACGGATTCAATAAGAGCTGCCTTCGTTGAGTTCGCCTACTCGGCGGCTCAACCCACACTTCGCGGTCGCTCGGCACATGTCATGGTCAGACAAACTTCAACTTCCCCACTTTCCCGTGCCGTGACAGATGGAAATGGAGCAATGGCATCCCTGCTGACTGAAGTCCGATGCCCCGCAACACCAAAACCCTCGAGTGCACAACACAACTTGGCAGGCAGACCATCTCACGATCTTGAATGCCACACAATCAGGTCGCCAGGCTGCGCGTTCTTTCTTCGTCTACTTACTCTACAGCTCCCTGCCCGTCTTTGCTTTGACTCGAGTTGCCAACGGCAGGCGAGTTTGGCCGAGCCCATCGCAGCAGTCCTTTGATTTGTAGAACAGCTTCATGGCGTGCAACGAAATATGGAATTGTTCAGCTTCCTTCACGACTCACCGCTATATGGACCGAGCAAGCGAACATGCGCCCGTTGTGTCGTTGGGGGCACTCTGACAGGTCGGGTTCTGAGGCGTATCGCTGCCATCCGTGCAGCCTCATGTGAACAGGGGTATCTACACATTGCATACCCCTGTTTGTGGTGTTTGTGATCTGGATAATGCAGTTTGGATACGAAGTGTGCTGCAGACACGAACGAGCCGATTCCTCTGCGGATCAAGCCTTTCGTAGTTCGAATAGGTGTTGCGTTATAGCGGTGAAGCCTTACTTGGCTCTCCACACGTCTTCGAACAAAGGACATTGGGCAGCGCATATTTGTAACCCTTACAGACACTCACATCATGATCTTCTCGAACCCATACTAGCATCGAGTAAAGGTCCTATCTCGTGTGGCACAATTCCTGCCACGATTAGTTGATTGACATCATTGCGCAGGAAACATGCTCCACTTAGTTTACACTTCTTGGTTGACACACCATACAAGCTTTTTGTGCTCCACTGCTCCAGTCAAACTTGCTGTCAAAACGAACGTGTATCAAGTTTGGACGAATCAACAGCAAACTGACCATCTTGGTCGACGTTGACCGCTAAACCATAGGCGCGCATCCTTTTTATGACCAATAATCAGCGTCCTAAGACAGTTGTTCTACGTCACATGCGCTGGAAGGAAGTGCATAGCGCGATGAATTGGCCAGTCGCAGCTCCTCTGCAAAAAGCACCTCGATTTATCACACGTTTCCTTCCAACAGCGCTAGGTACTTCACACTTAGTTTCTACACTAACACGACTCACACCACAACACACTCAACGCCTCCAGCCACACGAACCTACCAACTCTCTATAGCAAGATCTATAGTTCCAATGACGCTGCTTTAGAAACCGTTCTGAACAGTAATCAATCGGAAAACAAATACCCAAGGCGTTTGGCCATGTGACCCCTCATTCGCCGACCTGCTCCATCCTATCTACCCACAACGTGGGGTGTCGGTCACGGTTTTGCATCACATGTCACTCAAAACACTTTATACTTGAGCAAACTCTACACCCATCTGCATCTATACCGCGTGTGTCTGGCATGTGTCTGACCACTAGATTGCGAGGCGCGGAGTTTGTATGCAATACCTCGCAAGCCCTCGGTATAGTACCGATAGATTTCGAGTTCGGATGTTGCCTTCTTTGTGTTAGATACAAGTAGCAGCATATTGAAGACGAATATGACGATGGAGTATTGAAGCCCACATAACGGCTATCTAGAGATACTCCTTCTCTGACATGCCAGACAGTATTCAAGAAGTACTGCCTAGGGCTTTGCCTCCACCTGCAATAGTTGTTCTAGCTTCAGTTTCACCAAGGTGACTCAACGCTAACGCGTACCATGCTTGTGCATATCGTATTGCGCCGAAATTGTGAGGTCTCTGATGGATGTCTGCTCTGGTATGGTAGAGTTACTGGGGGTTTGGTCCGCGGTCTGCTGGGGCTGCAGAAGTCGTACCAAAGCTATCCGCGGAACAACCCCATCTGAAGTTGGGCTTCAATGCTTCAAGAACTCACATCTAGCAAGTCATCTGCCGGTGTTGGCAAAATTTGCTGTAGGCAGCGGATAGTGTTAGTCTTGCCATTAGAGTGACGATTGGAAACCCCAGTTGTTGTCTAGATGCAACTAACAGTTTGACAACGTATCAACTAGAGCCAATGTATATGTCCAAACCGAAACATGTTGCATTGGATGTAAAGAGTAGCGAGTGTTGTTAGCTCTTGTAACAAGGCCGGTGTAGGTATTTCAGCATTAGCACATCGGGATATGACTCCCCAGTTCGATCAAACGGCATGACCGAACTCCCCAGAAACTTCAGACCAGGTAGCGAGCTTGCCGCAGGAAGCGCAGAGTTCCAGATAACACTTTTTTTATCATGCAAAGAAGAACTGGAGCTAATGTCAGTGTTCTGAAGGTGGCGTCAAAACCCTCTTTGTTGATTCTAGAACATCTTTGACAGATATCAACCTGGTTCTCAAGTGATCTGGCACATGCTGTCTCCGCAGGTTTTCTATTCCAAGCTTAAAAATTGGGTTGAGTTTATGATCGTCCTCTATTGCACTGCATTCTAGGAGCGAGATAGCCGGATGACTTCCGCTAAACTATCAACCATAGTATGTTTCGTCTACTGACATCCAAAACCTATGTCGAACCCTAGAGGGATGTAGTAGTCTTCCAGACATCAGTTACCTACAGAGAATGACTTTCCGATAAGAATAGAACGTCTATATACTTACTACACACAGCCTGAGTCACAGTTTGCTTCCCACAAACTTCCCATAGCAACGCTTTCGTATCGCGAACTACCGAGTGTCTGCCCGCTCGAAGAACAAGTAGACTTTGCGTCTAACATACGTCGAACACGGTAAAATCAATAGCTAACCGACGGGAGATTTTGCTCAAAGTAAAAGTCCTGGTAGTGGTATTAGATGTTGCACTTGGATCTAGCAAGAGTCACTTGGCCTTGTGGAGGAATTTAGTGACTAATGTTAAAACACTGACACTAGATATCATATTCTGCACGCTGAGACCTAGATCCTCCCCATGCGGTCGGAGATTTATACAACATCCCTTTTTACATTTCTGAATTGACTAACAAGAACGGCTGTCAATCGTCTCATTGATCATCGTCTCGGTCGAACCTTGAATATATACTGATGTACAATCGTATTCGACTGTCTGGTACAAAATTATGGCACACGCATATCAATCCATACAAAGGGGTCGAACGACTATCCTAAGTAAGAAATTGAGCGATGGACCGGTTACTATTGTTTTCAATCTTCTATTTACTGATCTGGTGGCGTCCATGTTCTTCGAGCCCACCGCTGGCGAACGTGCTGGCTCTACATCAAATATACCACGGCGACATTCCACCTCGTTCGACATTTAGGTTTGATCAGTACTGAAAGATTCAAGCTCAAACCCCATATCATGTATTTTCTTTGCATAGTGCTGAAACAGCATTTGAGGCTCCAAAGACTTTTCTTCAACAGGATTAAGGACCTATGCCACATACAAAAGATATTATATCACTACAATTAAACAATAGTTTACTGCAAGTACCGACCGACGACGTGAAAAAGGTTTCTAGATATCATCGGGTCTCGGAATGAGTACAGACGATTCTGATAGAAACCACAAACGACTGCGTTGCCAATCTAAACTTTTCGCTACGAAAAACAGGCAACAAAACATCCAACACCACGATTCCAATAGTGCGCATGTCTACCATGACCTGGCCTCCGAGTATTGCATGCACGTCACCCCAACAACCTGCTCCCTCTGTCACTTCTACCGCACTGTCAAGTTGAGATCTCCAAATATCTTTCCAACAGGTTCGACATCACCTTGACGAACATGTTAGTCTGTCAATCTTGATTTCCTTCGACTGCTTCTGCCTGGGGCCCCTCACAACTATCAGGCGAGAACTCATCTCTTGTCAGGCCCATATTGTTTTGGAAGTAGCATTGTTCTGTGCTACTATGGCATTGGTGCAGGCGACCCACTTCAAAGTAGATTGAGACAAACATGGACAACCGATAAGAATCTCACTTCCCGACCTTTACTCTGCCTAACGTTCCTTACCCTGTTTTCTCGTCATTCCTACTAACCTCTCACTGACATGCTTGCCTCCAACACTTCGATAATTCTCAACAAATCTCATCTCGACTCTTACTGCCTGTGAATACCAATCAGAGTATGGACAGAAGCCAACTTGCCAGAAAAAGTTAGGAAACACAATATGTCACCGAGTCACGAGCATAGGATTTGAGTTGTTCAAGACATATTTGAAATTAATGCAGACTATTTATCATACATTGTTATGGGTAATCGGGTAATCGTCGTAAAGTCATCCATGATTTTGTAAGTTTTCTCCACCCACCTAGCTTCGAAAAGCTTACTGGTAGGTCTTGTTGCCACCGTAGGTCTTGCCGCCGTCGAGGTCAGAATCAACCCTGGGGTCCATCTTGTTCAGCATGTTGCTGTTGTGCGGGCCAGCGGTTGTGTTTGCACCAGATCCGTAGCCTTGCTCGTGCGTGTTACCAAGACCTTGACCAGCGTGAGTACCAGCAATTCCTTGGCCAGCCTGAGCACCACCGATACCGGTAGCAGAGTTGTTACCGTTGTAGTTTCCAGCTGAGCCAATGCGGTCAGAGTCGACACGGGGATCGGCCTGGTTGGCAAGGTGAGAGCTGTGGGGACCAGTGGGGTCGTTGTGGCTGTGTCCAAGACCGCTGGTGTGGGTAGGGGCCATGCCCTGGCTAGCCGCGAGGCCGGTTCCGATGGGCTGGCCTGCAAAAGCAGACCCGTGCTGGTGTCCGCTGCTGACGTGGGGGTCGAGAGCATTGGCTGTGTGGGTAACGTGAGGACCCTCAAGCTCCCGTCCTGCGAAAGCGTCGTGGGAGCCGTGAGTGCCGTGAGTGTGGTGGTGGTCGTGGTGCTCATGGCTTCCAATGCCGGTCGAGCCGTGAGTACCGTGGCTTCCAAGACCAGTTGAGGTGTTGCTACCGAGGCCGGTGGAGTCGTAAGTGTCACGGCCACCAAGGCCAGTGGAATCGTGAGTGCCACGGCTACCGAGACCAGTGGAATCATGTGTGCCATGGCTTCCAAGGCCAGTCGAGCCGTGAGTGCCGTGGCTACCGAGACCAGTGGAGTCGTGAGTGTTGTGGCTACCGAGACCAGTTGAGCCGTGGGTGTTACCAAGACCGGTGGTGCCGTATCCACCAGCGCCAGCAGTGTTTCCAGCTCCGCCTACGCGGTCAGAGTCGACGCGGGGATCGGCCTGGTTGGCGAGGTGAGAGCTGTGAGGACCAGTGGGGTCGTTGTGGCCGTGTCCAAGACCGCTGCCGACGCCAGTTGAGCCGTGGGTGCCATGGCTACCGAGACCGCCAGTCGAGCTGTGGGTGTTGCCGCCGGCAAGGTCGCTGATGCTGCCGGGTTCGGTGCCACGGCTGGTCTGGAAGCTTGAGCGGTCCTCGACCAATGCATGCGGGATGCCACCTTCAACGGCGTTGGGGTTTCCGACGCCTTGAGCCTTGATGTGTTCTCCTGTTCGGGAATGGTCTGAGTCGACGCCTAAGTGTTTGAGATTAGCTCATGTCATGTTATTTGGGTGGGTGCTGCTTACGAGGATCGGCCTTGTTCGCGAGACTGGAGTCGTGGGGACCGTTGGGGTCGCTGTGGTGGCCAGTGGTGGAATGGCTTCCAAGTCCACCTGTGGTCGAGTGACCGGTCACTCCAGTCGACTGGTTTCCAAAACCGCCGGTTGTACCTACACGGTCAGAGTCGACACGGGGGTCGGCCTCGTTGGCGAGGTGAGAGTTGTGAGTGGGGTCGTCTGTTGATTATCAGTGAACGATCAATGAGTAAGAGATGCACTGTGCCTACTGGTTGTGCCGTGAGAGCCATGGGTGAGGTTTCCGGGTGTACCGTGAGTGGTTGCGTCGGAGGCGGTGCCGTGGGTGCCGTGGGTGGCATCGTGAGTGGTGTCATGTGTGGTTGAGCCAGGTGTCTCGTCCTTGTGAAGGACCTGCTTGACCTTGTTGAGTAGTCCAGCCATGATTGTGGTTTGTTGGTGTGAGTGTGAGTGTGTGAGGGTTGAGGAAGTAGAGTTGTTGAAGTTATTGGGTTGAGTTGATGGGGTTGTAGTGGTGTGAAGGAGAAAGGTAGAGGCATGTCCCCCCTCATATATATATTGAGACAGGAAGGCGCAATGGCTACGTCACATTGCGATCCCGGATTGAATGGCATCAGCAGACCCAGCACAAGGCAGTGACTACCTCCCATCCCTGTTTCTCACTCTGTTCCGCCTGCAATGGGAAGACCCGCAATCCAATCCAATTCCCAGACATCTAGCATGTTCCACGTCTGCTGGCAAACGTCATTCCCATGGAAAGACCTGAATCTCGCGTTTTCTGCGGGGACGATTCGGGTGTATACCCCACACCAGTCCTGACAAGCCTTGTTGCTCAGAGCTGCCAGCTTCCGAAGCTGAAGCTTGTGCGAAACGGTTCACGGCGGGGTCAGTAGCTGCGTCATTTTCCGGCTTGAACAGGTCCGGAAAGCTTAGCCACTACTCCACGCCCTGTTTTGCACTGCCAGCATTGGTTTAAACGCGTAAGACGCGATCTGATCGCCAGGAGATCATTGCAGTACACAGCCATTCCGTGTGATTGTGGCGAGTGAATCAGGGAACATCGGCGCTAATTGAAGTATCTGAGGGGTCTGGACTGCTAGCGACAGAGGGCTGAAACTTGCGTTAGTGCTGATCGAAATGAGTGGAGGAACTGGAATTTCAGAGATGTCTCTACATGACGGCAGAGTGACGTGTTGTGGGCTGTGTCTTCAAACTCTGTAAAGGACACCCCGCAGGTGCATGCAATTGAGTTGTAGTCGGTGTTACCTTTGGCCGCAGAAGCCAATCTACTGGACATTGAGGATTGTGGTGCAGGTAAATACACATGACGTCAAGAGGCCATAGCTCCACCCCACCAACCCCAGAACTTCCTGAACCAACGTCTGCCACATCTTGATCTCTCTACACCTACTCCCTTGTCCTTGTACACCTCTTTCGGCCCGAATCAACTCTTTCGCAAACATGTCGGAGAGAGTAAAAGAAGTTGCGAAGGAGGACTTCGAGCAGGCCAAAGTGCTGGCGCAGGATGCCGTGCGCTCTGGCGCGTACCTCTATCCCTTCAAGGTGCGAGACTTTGGATTGACAGCCTGAGGTGACGAGACTGACGCTCTTACAAGGGTATTGTCTACTTCTTCTCTCACCGTGCGCTATGGCGTCCTCTCGCAGCAAAGCTTGTCCCCACCATGTCTCTCGGCCTGGGTGTCACAATCTTCATGTTTGCTGTCACCTACGTGCCACAAGCCGCAGTCCTCGCCATCTTCAACGGTCCGCTCGCTGTACTTACAACGTTTCTGCTTGTCCTCAGCGAATCCTCCACCATTTTCTCCATCTTGAGCAAGAACTTCCTCATTGACGATGCCCTCATCGACACATTTGACGGCACCCTACTTTGCCGCAACATGACATCGTTGGTCTCAACCGAGCGCCAGATCAAGTCTGGCAGCGACCCAGTTGCAAAACTGGGTAAGCTTGTGTCCAAGCCATTTGCCAAATTCACGCCCAAAGCCATGATCAGATATCTCATGTACCTCCCGCTCAACTTCATCCCCGTCTTTGGCACTGTCCTCTTCGTCATTCTGCAGGGACGCAAGTTTGGCCCCACAGCACATGCACGCTACTTCCAGCTCAAGCAGATGAAGCCGCGTGAGAAGCAAGACTTTATCGAGAATCGCAAGGCAGCATACGCAAGGTCTGTAACGTCTCTCCCATATACTCATTGAACGATTGACTGACGTATTGACAGCTTCGGTGTCCCCGCTGTCTTACTCGAGCTCGTCCCCATCGTCGGCATCTTCTTTTCCTTCACAAACACCGTTGGCGCAGCACTGTGGGCTGCCGACATGGAACAGGGGAGGCAGAGCGGCCAGAGCAGCACTGCGCCGGGCCTGCGCAACCAGGCTGAGCTAGCCAAGAAGGCCGAGTAGTGAGCCAGGTCACTGCTCAGATTGCTGTTCGACAGCTTTCAACCCATGCTAATCAGCTGAGGTGAAGGGACTTTCAGCCACATGTCCACTTTGGCCCCGATGTATGCTATCAATATCCATGGAAGCCTCCATAGGCGAGAGGCAACCTATTAGGCTGGCCATGAATGCCTATGAGTGCCAAAGGGCTAGTCTGAGAGGAGAGGAGTAATGGGATAATACATGAGGTGGTGGGCGTTGCACACACCCGATTCGCACACCTTGCGGTGCTCAATGAATATATAATAGGCAATGAGATATGACTTTATGAGTACCTCGTCCTTACACACTGCCCGTTGTTGAAGCTATGAATCGCGTATATATTCCTCTTTATATTGAGACGTTTGATTGAAACGAGTTTGTGGACGACCCGGAAATGGTAATTCTTCTAAATAATGCATACTTGCAGTCCCGTTCTCCATTGAACTACGCTGTCATCATCCATTCCTAGCCGTGCCTCATCCAACATAGAATTAAGCACCTAAATCTTGAATATTTCAACCCACTACGAAACTTTAGGGGGAAACGTCCTTCATGTCGTTCTTGAATCTCTCCATGCACCTTTGCTTGGTTTTCTTCCAGTTGACGTGCGGCTTGGGATAGCCGAGCTTCTCGAATTCTTCCTTCGACAGACGTTCGTAGGGATTGAAGATGGCCTTTCCCTGTACGTCTTTGAGTTCAGGTACCCCTGTCCAAGGTCAGCACATGTCACCATCAACACAATTCTAGACCACGACTTACACTTCCGGATATAGTCTCCATCGGGATCGTTCTTCTCCGACTGGCTCACCGGGTTGAACACGGTATAACTAGGTTCCCAGCCTTGTGTGTTGTTCGAAAGATCCCAATCGATCAGTGTCTCCGCGAAATATCGTTCGCCCCGGCGATAATCAATCAACAGATTGCAGTACAGATAGCTGCTCACGTTCATCCTCAGCCGGTTGTGCATGTAGGCTTCTGTATTGAGCTGCCGCATCCCCGCATCGATGAATGGCTCGCCTGTCTGCCCTTTATACCACTTCTCCCACCCTTCTTCATCGTCTTCCCAGTTCACAAAGTCGAATTTCAGGTTCTGCGGTAGATTCATGGAAGTGTGTGGCGTCATGAGCGTCGTTTGGCGATATAATTCTCGGAACACGATCTCCCGCACCCAACCGTAGACGCCTGATCGGGACCCGGATTCAGTGAAGTCGGTGCTGCCGTGGTTGTAGTCGCTGACCTTTTGCAAGGCTTCGCGCACGCTGAACATGCCTGCGGAGAAGTAGGCGGACATGCGGGATGTGCTGTTTTTGGCTGGGTTGGAGCGTGTGGCGGCGTAGTTATCGATCTGCTTGAGGAAAGCGTCCATACGTTTTGATCCGGCGGCGTGGCCCGCTGGCCAGAGTTTGCGGATTCGTTTTCGGTCGTCGTCGTTGTCGAACTGCTTGTCTTGTCCGGGCTTTGGTGGTTTGGTATCGAAGAGATCTTTCAGTTCTTTCTTGATGGAGTTGCTGTTTTTGGCAGGTGGAGGTGCCGTGTCGAGGAGCTCCGGTTGTTTCTTTATAATTTCCATCCACGCTCTGTGGTAGGGAGTGAAGACCTTCATTGGTGTTCCGGCACCTGTGAGCATAGTTCCTGGCTCCACAACAGTCTGGTCGTGATGTAACGAGACCTGGATATCCTCTCCGACCTCCTGTACCAGCTTGATATCGCGACGCATCTCATCGATCTCGTACTCGTAATTCCCAAATACGTGGGAGACCTTCTGCTCCTTGAGCCATTTGACTACTGTAGATACGATGTCTCCGCGCTTCTCGCATTCCAGAAAGACCAGCGGGATATTCAGTTCCTTCAGTTCTTTCTGCATGATCTTCAGACCCTCGCACATGAAATCGACGCGCGCAGCACTCGTCCCGTGCCAGGATTCATCTGCAGCGCAATTTAGATATACACATATCAACGGCTTCTTCGACCTTTGTGCAAGGTCCGAGGCGTGGTGCAGCGCAGTATTATCTTGGATGCGGAGATCCTTGGGATGAAACCAATGAACTACCCTCGTCACATCCTGAATTTCATCTTGAGCACCGAGGGCATCGCGGAGGATGTCGTATGGTAGGTTTTGGTCGACTTGTTTCGCGCGTTTTGTAGAAGTGTGACCGAGCTCGGAGCGTTCGTACGTTGTTCTTTTCGACATGGTAGATTTCCCGGAGGGAGGTTCGGAGACTTTAGTGTGCTGCTTTTTGGTCGCGTAGGATCGTCGTCCTGTCGCGTGCTTCCACGTTTGGAACTGTGTCAATTGCGGCTGCGTGGAACCAGCTGAGATCTGCCTGATAGATGGAGCACGGAGAACGGGCAGTACAGTGACACGTCTCACAAGAAGCATTAGGAAGCAACAGAGCGGATAAGTGGTGTTGTATCTTCTTGAGCAACTTGAGGCTCAACAATATCCTAAAGTGGTGACGTCGACGCGACCAGACTAAAACCAATCCAGGGCGCGCACCATTGAAGTTCTCCAACACCAGACACTAATCGAGATCGGTCCGAGTCAAACCCAAGATCGAAAACCTTAGGAGTTCTTGGTGTGTACCTGCAGCAGTTGTCGTACGCATGGCGATCTGCTTGACGTCTGCTGTTCCGTCTCACGGTGGTAGGGCTGGATTTGATTTGGACTGGTAGTTCACGGAGACACGCGATAGTATCTGCTGCTGGAAATCCACCAACGCGGAGATTGTAGCAGTCTTCCGCACACGTATATTCTGTTAGTTCCATCTGATTGGCAACAGCGCAGTATCTTAGATATCGAAGTTGTGATCGGAGTTGATGTTTGAAAGCAACTTGTGAGATCTTCGTCGAGTCATGGGCAGAAACACGAGCTCTACCACGTGATACGTCTAGCGGTTCCACTTCTTCGTAGCTGCTTGCAGATGTGATCACGGCAACCAACCTCTCCTTCAAGTTGTTTTCAAATCATCACGGCCCATAATCCGACTGAGCCTTCAGTCTATCGAAAAACTAGTCCCAATCTCAAAACGTCAGCCAAGCTACACGCGATTCGTGAGGCACACAGCGTCCTGCTGCCAAGAACAGTACAATCTGCGGGGTTGTTGACCAAACGGAGGCAGCCTTGGAAACACGACGGCAAATCACAAGTCTCAAGAACATCACGTTGCGCCAAGAACACTCTCCTACCTCTTACTGACAGGGAAAATATGCGTCCCAAGCCCGATGAGGCAGCTCGTTCTGGTTCTCCATGATGACGGTGGCTCTGTGCCGCAGAGGAAAAAGGAATAGATGAGGAAGCTGGGCGTTCTTCTTGAGCAGTAAGAACGTATGGATATTGCACGCGGACCACCAAAGCAGTTAATCAACCACTGTACTGCATGGTCCAAAGTCGCGAAGAGAGTGTGTGGACCCTGGTGGCTTCCAGACATGATGAACGCTGCATTTGACATGTAGCTTGCATGCAGGTCCAAGAGCTCTACCAGATTTATAAAATGAGACGCGCAGCTCCATAGATCGCCATCGTATTTCCCAGGTCTCGCGCAAGATATTACTCTCGATCGCGTTCGCCATGAGGTCAATTGGTGTCGCAGCTGCTCTACTAGTAGGCGCTGCCTCTGCGCAGAGCTTCCGCCGTCTGGGAGCTTGCCCAACACTTGGTATGTTCCTCCTGCTTAGTCCAAGTATGGTAGGCTAATAAAACTTTAGGATGCGTTTTCCCTCCTGACCAGTACGCAATTCCTGCCGAAGAAGCTTAGTGAAGCTTCCAACTAATGAATTCACCATAGGGCCGACTTCCTGGCTGGACAGTACTTTGACATTCGGCTCGAAGTGCATGCGCCCAAGAATGGTTCTGAGGTCATCGGTCTTCCTCTTGATGAGCGCTTCACCTTCACCATCGCGAAGGGGGATGAGGCGGCCAAGTCAGCAACGGAATACTTTGAACTCGACGAGCCAAAGCTAGAGAAGTGGAACTTTACGTGGTTTGAGGGTATGTGACCTTCATCACCTCAACCAGTCTCTTACAGCTAAATAACATTCAGATTTCTTCGCACGGGACGCGAAGAGACCAACTTGGGTCGATGTCTCATCCAAGGCTTACCGTCGTGTTGCTCTTTACGAACCTGGGGAGTACACTGCCACCCTCCACTATAACAATGGCAGTTCCACAAAGGCTACATGGCTCGTTCGCGACCTGGCTGAAGAACGCAAAGCCAAGAACATCATCTTCTTCATTGGTGATGGAATGACTACCAATATGATCACGGCTGCACGTCTGATCGGTCACAAGAGTATCAACGGAAAGTACCAGTCGACCATGGCTATGGACAAGTTCCCTGTCTTGGGTCACCAGATGACCCACTCTATTGACAGCTTCATCACTGATTCTGCCAACTCTGCTGCGGCGTTGAATACGGGACACAAGAGTACTGTCAATTGCCTCAACGTTTACGCGGACTCGAGCAAGGACCCCTTCGATGATCCCAAGGTTGAGACTATTGCTGAGATGTTCTACCGCCTCGTTGGTGGACATATCGGTATCGTCTCTACTGCCTTCATCGCTGATGCTACACCTGCTGCTCTGGTCTCTCATACCCGTCTTCGCAGCGAGTACGAGGCAATTGTTGACACCTACCTCAATGGATATCAGAATTACACTTGGACCAATATCCCTGGTGTCGACGTTTTGTTTGGTGGAGGTACGTGTCCATTACAATTGAACTCTGGAACCAAAGCTAATATCTGTCTAGGCGCAGAGCAATTCTATCCCCCTGCGCTTGGCGGGAAGACATATCAGGGCAAGGACTACTTCAAGGAGTTTGCCGACGCAGGCTATCAGGTTCACCAGAACCGTACTTCCCTATTGGCCTCGAACTCCACTGAGAAGGCCCTCGGTATCTTCTCGACATCCAACATGGCTAAATGGCTCGACCGCAACGTCTACCGTAGCAATCTGAACCAATCTCTGTCCCCGACTGGCGACAAGACCCCGGCTCTTGACCAGCCCGGCCTGAAGGAGATGACCCTCAAGGCCATTGACATTCTCCAAGCTCGCTCCGGCGACGAGGGCTACTTCCTCATGTCCGAAGCCGCTTCGATTGACAAGATGATGCACGTGCTAGACTATGACCGCGCGCTCGGCGAACTCCTCGAGCTCGACGACACCATCAAAGCCACAATCGCCAAGCTCAAGGAAACCGACACGCTCAAGGAGACGCTCATCCTCGTCACAGCCGACCACGGCCACGGCTTCGACGTCATGGGTTCCGTCGACACGCACTACCTCGCCGCGCAGAACGTCGACCGCAAGAAACGCGACGCCATCGGCGTGTACGAAAACTCGGGCCTCTCCCAGTACGCAAACACCGGCAACCTGACCTACACCGACAGCAACTTCCCCTCCAACTGGGACCCGCGCTACACCCTCTTCCAGGGCTTGATGGCCGACCCCGACCGCCGCGAGAACTGGAGCGTGCATAAAGACGGCCCGCGGAAACCCGCTGTGGCGCTCAATGCGAATGTGACTGATTACACGGCTAATCCCAAGGACGGCCAGAACGGCATCTTGCTCAATGGCACGCTGCCTATCAGTGATGATCAGGGTGTGCACTCGCTTACTGATGTGCCGGTGTTTGCTATGGGGCCTTGCCAGGAGATGTTTGGCGGTGTGTATAATAGCGTTGATATCTTCTTTGGTATGGCGGAGTGTTTTGGTCTTTCGCGCGGAAAGCCTTAGGGGGTGTTGGGCAGGGAATATGTGTGAATGATGTTGTTCAAGTACGGTAGGTAGATAGAGATTAGCTGCGTCGTATAGCGTAATGAATGATGAAAGCAAATCTAGTGCAGCTCCTGACTTCCATCCAATCCGCCACTATGCATCACCCACATACAGATTTACACCGCTGACATGACTATAAGCTTTCGATCACAGAATGATAAGATTTTAGCAATTTTGCAAAATACTCCAAAGTACTAGATAGACAAGCGCCAGACAACATACAAATCATAGCAACCCTCACCATAGTAAGTTTTCGTCATATTGCCCGGATCTCCCATAACCACGCACGCCTCAAGAATCCCCATTAGAGGAAAGACTCATAATGCTAAGATGCCCAAACGCCAAGAATCAAGTCTCGCCGAGCGCAATCGCATCGGTTGTGGAAAATACGCAGACGTAGGGGGTATAAGGAAGAGGAGAAAAGGAAGCGACCAAAAAGATGCTAAGAAGCTCAGCATAAGTGTACGAAGGAGGGGAGGTATTCAATCAGATGAGCTCGTCCCCACCACACCGTCGCGACTCTTCAACAGCGTGCCATATGGTGCTCTCCTCGAAAACAGGACCATGGCCATCGCACTTTGTCGCGCCTTTGAGCCGCTCGCACACATCCACGATGTCGACCAGGCCCTGCTTGACGAGGGGGTGGGACTGTATGTAGTCCCAAGCCTGCGCGGCGGGGATCTCCTTGCCCTTTGACTGTTGGCGCGAAGCAACGTGGTCTTTATCCGCGGCGTTGAGCACGCTGCCGTTGTTGAGCACTTGCACGTTGTACCCGTCGTCGTTGGCGTCCTCGTCGGGGAGGTGTGCGCCGGGGGAGGGATAGCTGACGGAGACTGGGCGGGACGAGGGGGGCGAGCCGGCCGTGGCGCGTAGGATCTCGTTCTCGGTGCGGGCGCGTTGCAGGGCTTGTTTGAGGCGGTCGTTGTCGGATTGCAGCGAGTGCTTGCTGTTTTCTAGTGTGGAGAGCTTGGTCTCCAGGTCGCGGACGTGGCGCTCCTTGCGTTCGCGGAAGGCGCGTTGGCTGTGCACAGGCAGGGTCAGTTGATGGGGTGCGTCAAAAGCAAGCACGAACAGGGGGGGGAGGCATACGCTGCCCGGTTCTGCGCCTTCCTTCTGCTCTGGGCAGGCGTCAGGTTCAGACCCTCCTTCTCCTCGCTGCTGCTGCGCGTCCTGCTTCCGCGGCCATCCTCGACGTCCCCTCCCAGGCCCGAATCCAGGCTGTCGACGGGCATGGGTGTTTGTGCTAGTCCGCCCTCGGGCGAGCCCTGGTGCGGGGTGGGCAGGCCGTGGAAGGCAAAGGCATCATACGAGGTTGGGAACAGGCCGGCATCGAGAGGCTCCTGTGAAGCGGCAAGGTTAGTTCCCGGGCATCAGCTGGAGTGTGGGGGGGATATGAAGGCGTGGACTACAGTAGGCATGCCCGCGCCGCCAACACGTACTATGCTTCGGATGGTCCCTGGATCGACTCCAGTGTGGGGGAACGGGTTGGAGGCCATGTCCATATAGTGGTGGTAGGGCTGCTGCTGCTGCGGCTGCTGCTGGGTGCTAAAATACGTGTAGTCCATGTTGAATTGGTGGTGCCAGTATAGTTAGTGCTGGGACTGTCTGGCGTGGCTACCGCAAACTCGAGGCAGTCCTGGAGAGAAGAGCCCACTTTATCTAGGATGCGACGACTAGACCTCTCGGCCTTATATCCCAGCGTGTAGAGAGGAGTCCAGCAGGGAGGTGCACGTTCGGTACCGCTGCAACACGCTCCATTCCAATTGGAGCGACGACTACGGGGACATGCGGCCGTTAGAGCGTGGGGCCGGCGCGCGCTGAACCTGGCTTACCACTGTACTACCATTGCGACACTCCTCTCTGTACTCTGTATATCCAAGTCTGCCTGCTGTCAATTTCGCCAGCCTGCCGAGCCGTCTTCACGGCACATGGCAGCGGCACATCTTGACACGAACATCTGGTCTACAACAAGCCCGAGTAGGTGAATAGGCACAGATGCTGATGCACCTCTCTACGATCACTGTATGTACGTCGCCTGTGAACTCTACCGTATTGCATTTACCCAGCGGATACGCTGCTGCCTGCAGCTGCCAGGGCATGATCCCGGTAGGTGAGTTCAAGGTCTCACCAGAACTGCAACCATCCCTCCGTGCGCAACTAGAGAGCATGCGCCTATTGAGGGTGCAACAGCATTTTTACATGCTTAAGTACACCTGCTGAACAAGCAGTCGGTCCATTATTCGCACAGTCTGACCAGTGCAGTGGTCTTGATGATAGCAGCAATGTGAGACATACATGCTCCCCTGAGCCAACCGCGATGACGACGTCTCGTGAAAGCATGAGGCTTCCGTCTTACCATGCATCATCAGCATCTATACCGCCTCAGCTTCAAAGTTTCAACACCAAGCAGCTAAAGCTGAAGATGGACACCGAGATGGGAAATCACATCGACAGACGACCATGGTCAGTGCCAGCCCTGCAGTGACTGTACCGCCAGCATACATCTCCCTCTGAGCCAATCACAATGCTCGGTTCCCCAGATGCATCATACCGGATCTTCGTGTCATCAATACAAACTATATTTCATCCGTAACTTTCGGCCGTACTTCCACATACTAAACTCTCAAATACGAGTGCGCCCGCCCTTGACCGAGACACAGGGCCATGACCAAAATAGAGTTATGAATGAGTGGTTGATTGATTGATTGATTGATTGACGAATGTATGAAACATTACCACCACCTTCCTCTAACCCCCAACCTCAATTCTCTATATATGTACGTAGGAGATATAAATACTGCGATAAGTACGCCGATGTTCTAGACAGGAAGAATGCTCCCCTCCAATTTCTCCACTTGTATCCAACTTCCGCCTGCGAATGACAGTCTTCCTCTTATGCGATCACTGCACGATAAATGTGCATCTCGCAGAAGACGTTTAGAAGAACTTTCCGCTCTTGTGCGCCTCCACGGTGTGCTCCATGACGGTATCGTTGTCGTGACCGTCGAATGATCCCGCCTGCCGATCGTGATGCACAGGACGGTCCAAAGCATCAAAGCGGCGGCCCTTGACCTTGGCCCAGACGAACAAGGCAGCAAGACGAAGACCACAGGCGCCGAAACCCCAGAGCAGACCTCCGAATGGTGCAGCTACGAAGGCGCCTAAATGGGATTAACATGAGTTTCTGGTGTGAGAAAGGAATTCGGAGAACGGCTTACCGAAAACGCTCCAATCATTCGCGTACAATCCGCTTTCCAGGATAAGCAACGCGCTGGCGAGCTTCGCATCGCCGTTGTAGTATACCAGTCCAAACAAAAAGATTGTGAAAATACCACCAAGGCCTCCGACAACAAAATCGAACCCACGGTACCAGTAGAATTTCTCGGACAATCCAAGGACGAGGCATGGAACCACAGCTGCGCTGACCAAATCGCTGATCAGAAAAATACGAAGGATATCCGGGCTGCGCAGTGCCACAACCACGACGGGGAAGATGATGAGAAGGACACATATGCGGATGACCCAGATATTGAGTTTGTTGCGGAAGAGATCGTTGCTGCCGGTGCTGATCATGGATGATTGGAAACTGTCGAAAGCAGCGGTGGAGAGAGACACGGTCATGACGAGGACCACACCGACAACCCATGCAGGGAGTTGTTCCAAGAGCAGGAACAACGACAACGAACCAGTTTCCTCATCTCCGAGCGTCCACGCACCGGACCATGCAGCGAGCAGTCCGGAGACGCCGACCAGCGTGAGTATAATCAGAACACCAACGGTAGCAAGCGAGACACCGATCCAGAGATCTTTGTCTGTTTTCGAAGCGAAAGTGCGCATCCAGAACCCGCTCAAGAAGAAATCATTGGTTAGGACGGCAACAGGGAGGATGTACAAGAGTTGCCAGCCCAGAAGACTCGAGCCGAGGAAGCCAGATTGGTCAATGAGGGAGCGGTCGATGTCTGTTTCCACACCAACGGCGATGACGCCTAGGATGATGAGTCCGAGGACCATCACACCCTGGATATTGTCTGTTACGAAGGAGACCTTGAACCCGCCGAATGCTATGATACGTTAGCAGGAGTCTTCGCAAGAGAAGAAGGGGGTAGGGTACAGGTGTAAATGGTGGTGACGGCGCATTCGACTATGACCACGGGAAGACCGTTCAGGCCTGTTAGGAGAGTGACAATCTGCTGCAGAGCTGAAAGCTCAGCAACCATGTACAGGAACATAGTGATAAGTGTGCAAGCACTAAGGAACAAGCCCGCGACTGCTCCATAACGCTGCCTCGTCCATTCTGTCAAGACGAACCCCTCAGGACATTTGCGTCTGATGATGGGCCCCAGAGCACCAAAAACCAGAAGCGGCAAGGCAGAGGCCAAGGAATAGACCAACACTCCTTGCACACCAGCAATTGTCGCAATCTGAGGGTATGAGAAGAGGATTCCAGATCCGAGAGCTGCGCGTGAGAAAACCTAGGTCAGCAGACTGAACAGAAGGGGGGATTGAAGGGGTAGTAGCGGCAGCACGTTCCTCACGCAAGTATTATCTTGATCGAGTTCTTACGGTACTTCTCAGCTTCCCCTCGATCGGACGGAAGTACTCCAGACGCGACATCTAAAGCACATTCCATCCGAGTTTGGTTCCGCGCCCGCAGTGTAGCCGCACAGAGAGGCTGCCCTCATGTTACTGCCCCGGACCCCTCGATGGCATCCAATGCAGTAGTCATGAGAACAGCTTCTGTGAGAGATCTCAGATACGAACCTAAAAGATATCTAGCTCTCGACCGACGACTTGCGCTTGTCCCGCAATAGATTCCATGTACATCTCGATCAGGTGATGATATTGTCCGTTTGGTGCCGATACTGCCGCTGCTCTTCACGTGCGAAACGCTGTTACACGGATGCACTCACCCGATGCGATGAAGTTGAGAGCAAGCGGACCGCCTATGAGACATTAGCTTTGGAACAGCGATCTTCAGGGTCTTGCATCGACGAATGTCGCGCGAAACTGAACACCAGTGAATTGGTCTTTAAGTGCTAACCCTTCTGTGTACGATTACTCGACAGCCATTCCGTCTTGCTCTGGTTGCGCAAACGCCATGCGACATAGCATCCCACGACTCTGTGGCCGCGTTAGCTTGATTCATAATCCGGCCGAGATCCACATACAGGAACGCTCCGTAAGTGAGGTAGATGATAGCGTTGGACGCTTGCGTTGATGGAATACCCATGATGAGACGTCTCCTGCTCAAAAAATGCGATTGACGATGCAGAATCAAGACGCAGGATGTATGCAGGGCTGCCGCTGTCGGGGAAAATATTGGTGGTTTTTCGCCTTTGTCAGCTCCTACGCTTTACCTCCTCCTCACTAGCGCAGCGCGTGGGTGATGTGATATCAAATCGTTCGATGGTCATCATGCGATGCACGTGGAAGATGTATCAGGGAGAACAATGTGGACTCGATTTCTGCACAGTCTGACCACAACTTTTTGCAATCTATTCAAGGAGACCCCTTGTCCGGTCTTATGCAGTTTGAAGATGTGGTCGCGCTCATACTGTTGGGATCATGCGAACGAAATCTGGGTAATGGAACACCAAACTTGTATGAATTTTGTCGTTACGGGTAGTGGGAATATATGAATCACATGGGGAAGTACAAGAGAACGCCCTATCACTCCATAACGCACAATAAAGTCGCAACCCAGAAGAGACTCTCGCGCCCTCTCTCTGTTTCTTCCTGTCTGACATGACGCCGTAAGGCTACACGGCCATGGCCTTCGCTTTTGTCGCCCATCACCATGCATGCCTGTCCCAGTTCGGATCTGCCATCACTGTCAGCGCCATTCACGCCCCGTCCCCTTCCCTCTGAATCCACTTACCCTGCACAAATGCCGCCAGCACCTTACTCCCCGTCTGCAATAGCGGATGACCGACCACAATCTGCAGGAACCTCTGCAGCCCCTCCCTTCGGTGCTCAATCACATCGTCGCTGAAGCGATTCGTGAGGACCTTCCCGGGCAGTGGGGGGATCGTCACGCGTGCGGATTCGCGCTCGAGAATGTCGCGGAAAGCCTCGAATTCAGAGTATCGGCGGCGCACGGTGCTGGACTTGAGCTTGAAGGCGGGGATGTTGGTGCGCATTACGATTTCGTATGTGGTGTACATGCCGCGGCCGACGCCTGGAAGTCACACATGTCAGCAGACGCTCCTTCTATCCTGCCAGGTACAAGGCGGGTAACGGTCGACGCACCGTGTGTCATTGGATTCCTCACCTAGCACGCGACAAGTCAGCGGGGGTCGACTAGGTGGGCAGCGGTGCGTACCTCGATCTCGAGGAAGTTCTCGGGCGGCCCATAGAGCTCCTCGAACGACTGCGAACGCGCATCTGGAAGCGACTGCATTTTGGGCGTGCTGTGGTTCTGACGTATGCGTGAGTGGTTTGGCGCAAGGAGGACGTAAGTGATAGCGGGGCCAGTTAGCCCGAGAGAATGGCACGTGCGGAGCTGCTGCGAACCACGCCTTGCATAACGCCAAACGTTTTAACGTGTACAGCAAACTATTTATCATGCGTTTGGGAGTTCAGAGCAAAGGCAAGCGTTGTACAATTTTCAAACTTTTGGAAAGGTTGGGATTGGCATGCAGAAAGCATGGAAAGCTACAAATGTATAGACGCTTCATCGTCCGAATTCGCAGATGGCAAAACTCCCATTACCATAAAATCCTTCTCATTGCCAACGCTTGACCGTACCTAGAAACGCGTCATATCTAAAGAAAAGCCATACTTCATGCAATCGTCACTCTTCTTACTGAGGAGCACGCCTGAACGCACCAGGCCTGTACTTTCCATCGCTGGCGCCCTGCGCAGGGGGAGGTCTCGACTCAGGTTCACGCTCACGCTCACGCTCACCATCTTGAGGAGCACGGCGGGCAGGGGCAGCATACGCACCACCCGTCGCAGGAGAAGCCTTTCGGTCATCGCCGAGTCGGCCACCACGAGAAGGAGGCTCCCAACGGCCGCCACCAGTAGCAGGAGACTCGGTGCGAGAAGGAGGTGCACGTCCGCTACCACTGGCCTCGCGTTCGCGCCATCCACCTCCAGGGGCACCACCAGCTTGACGCAGAGCGGGCGGAACGAATCTCTTGGGACCGTCTGATTCAACGGGGGTAGCAGCAGGCGCTGCAGGAGACTCGGTACGAGGAGTAGGAGCGGGAGCGGGAGCGTCGGCGGGAGGAAGGGGTTGACCAGCGGCCTTCGCGGCCTCACGTTCGCGCCAGGTAGCCTTGACACCAGGGACCAGACGTGGTGCAGCGCTGGATGGAGCCTCTGCAGCCGGCTGGCGCGAAACAGGGCGCTCTGCACCAAACCCGCCTGCTTTTCTTGCGGCAATCTTGGCCTCGGCCTGTGCCTCCCTCTCGAGCTGGACTCGGAGTTTCTCGTCCGCAACCCTAGCAAAAGTTAGCCAACAGCTGACAGAATGAGATGGTAATACTGACTTTCTCTCCTCGTCCCTTCTCGCCTTCTCCTCGATCATTCTCTGGCGCTTCTCCTCCTCGGCTTGAGCTCTCGCCTCAGCCTCTTCCCGCTCCCGCTCCTCCTCCTCTTGCTGTCGACGCTCCGCTTCCTCTTGTTCTTTCCTCTCTCTAGCCATTCTCTCCTTGACCTCCTTGACACGCGCGGCCTTCTTGTTCTCAAGCTCCTTCTGTGCGATCTTCTGGCGCTTCTCAAACTCAGTTTTGCGCTGTTGCTTGACAGTGGAGACGAAGTCCTGGTAAGTCGGTACAAGTTTCGAAAGACGATGCTTCAGTGCGACGTCTTCCTTGTGCTTCAGCTCAGCCTCCTTCAGTTGCTCAGACTTGGCCTTTTCGTACGCGGCCTTATCGGCCTCCTTTTGCTTCTCGTAGTCCTCATTCAGGTGCTTGACCTCTTCCTTGCGGTAGGCTCGCTCCAAGTGATCGATCCTCTTACCAGCAATGCGGAGCTGTTCATTCAGCAGGGCCTTCTCCTTCTCGAGAGCCTGAAGCTTCATGATGCGAATTCGGGTGGAGTCGAGATCTTCAATGTTCTCTGGAATGTCAATATCGACCTTGGTCGTTGCCTTGAGCTCCTTCAGCTGCTTCTCGATCTCTTCGCGCGCAATTCGGTTTTGTTCCGTCTTGATACGCTGTTCAGCACGTTGCTTCTGCTCTTCTGCCAAGCGACGCGACTCTTCCTCCTTGAGTTGCTGCTGGCGAATGAGCTTCCTGGTTTGTTCTTCGTTCTCCTTTGCCTGATGGGCCTTCAGCGCCGCCTCTTTCTTCTGAGAGATGATGTCACGGCGAGAGAGAATGTCCTTGTGTTCTTTCTCGGCACCTTCCTTGGCCCGGGCGAAAGCAGCCTCCTTGGCCTTCAATCGCTCTTCGTTAAAAGAGGGATCCACATATTGGCAAGTCACAAAAAGACTCTTGGCCAAGCGTGTAAGCTGGGAGCGAACAATCTCCGCCGGAGTGCTTTGGAGACGCTGCACAGAGCGCGTCTCGGTCTCCGCTGAACCAGCGCCAGAGCCTGGGTGCATAGCCTTAGCAGACGAGAAGACATCAGAGTCGAAGGTGAGAACGCCAGTGGCGTGGTCAATACGAATAGCCAGGTCGCCCTTCTTGCAGCCGTTCATGATGAACTTCTCAATGGTTCCGCTGCTGACTTGGAAGGGGTCAGGGAACTGCGCAAGATCAAGCACGAACTTGATCTCCACGGAGTCGTAGACCTGGGACAGCTGCTGGAAGAGGCGGGTAAGAATGACTTGCTGCAGCGGCGCAACGTACTTCTTCATCTCCTCGTCAGCGCCGATCTGGGACAGGATGGGCGAGATCTTCTTGCAGATAGAGAGAGGGTGGAAGTCAACTTCAAGAATGTTGTACAAGTCACGGATCTCAGGACGAGCACGCCTAAGAAGCCCCTTGCTGAGAGCATCCTTGAACAGGATGGCACGTGTGGGAGCTTGTGACATTCCGAGTAAGTTGGTAAGACGTGAGTTCTTGTTCTTCCTCGCCTCGTCGACATCCACAAGGGCACCTCGGGAACGAGATGTGCTGATGACAGGAATGGAGAGGGCGGAAAGGAGGACGAACGATGCAGCCTTGGTCATGTCGGACTCGGTCACGGCGGGGTTGTCCTTCTTTGAGCTCTGTCCAGAAGCAACGACCGCAGCCGACTGGCGCAGGAGGTTGTAGTACCTGCTCCAAGCCGCAGCGTGGAAGAGGTAGTTTTCGCTGACCAAGAAGATACGCGTCAACTTCTCGAAGTAGTTGGCCATCATGACGTTCTTGGCTGGACGCTTGCTCAAGCTCAGGAGTGTGTGGATGTCCTCAACACTGCGGAAGGCCTCCTGCCACAGCTCCAACTCGACTGCAACGTTCAGCTGCTGGAACCTGGTGTCGAGGTGTCGTTGCAGGGTATCGGGGTCCGAAAGGTTGATGGCGTGCATCTGGGAGGAGAACTTGGCGGCATTCTGCAGATGGTTGCGGAGAAGCTCGCAGAGACGGCGGAACTCGGTCTTGCGGGCGTACTTGGAGCAGAACTGGAAGGCCTGGTGGGCGGTCGACTGGTACATGAGCTCGAGGCGGGCGTTGTTCTTGAAGATATCGAGGACTGTGCGGTACGTCTCCCACAAGAACTTCAGCCACGGTGTGACGATGGCTCGGTCGGTGCGGTCGCGCGACTGCTCACCGGAGACGGTGGACAGCAGGATCGACTCTGGCGTCTCCGAGGCCTCGAGATCGTCGACGTTCTGGGTCGAGGATGATGTGTCGAGCGTCGACTGCACCTCGTCTGCCTTGGCCTGGGCTTCGGTAACCTTCTGCTCGGCCAGTTCGATGAAGCGCTTGAAGACGAGCTGCTACATGTCAGCGGCGGCCCCTCGTGCACGGTGCAGCGGTCTTCCTACCTCGATGGTGCCGACGTTTGTGTTCTGCGCCGTGTTCTTGTACTGGTAGAGGCCGTCCTTTGCGAGCTTGCCCTTGCGCAGGTCGACACAGAGCTCGACAAAGAGGATCATGACGGGCTCGAGCGAGGCGATGGGACTGTTGCGGGTCCGCTTTGAGGTGACATGCTCGTGGAGGAGCTGCAGGGCGGCCTGCTGCTGGTCGACTCCGATGAGTTCCTGGGCGCGTTTACTTGGACATGGTCAGTCTTCGCTCTCTACCCGCCTGCTTCATGGAGGGGCCGTACAGCGTGTTCTCCGGCTTGGAGTGGGGTGGCGGCGCCATGCTGGGCAGCTGGAGGTGGGCGATCCGTCTGCTGTTGTCGCTGGGGGCTTAAGAGCGAGCACGGAGATGCAACGAGGCCGTCGTTGGGTGCGGTTGCAAGGTTCGCGACGGCGATGCTGCCGTGCACGCAAAAAGGTTGTGGGCGCCGCCAAGCCACGCAGCACGTGATGCGTCGTCCCCGCGCCGAACCCTCATAATCACACTGCACGCCTGGCCGGTGGCTCGCAGAGACTCCGCTTCGGTCACATGCAGCATAGCCCGCCAGCAGTACGTCGTCGTTGTTCTCGCGCTGCAGACAGCGCTGCGCCATCAATTGGCCGATCGCTTACCGTAAAACTCCAGTTGTTTGACTTAAAGCTAGCAGGGGCACTCAGGAGCTAGAAGCTAGTCTAAATACTTAAATGCCGCGTTACGTGTTGCCACCTATATAAACTGTTATCTATAGCTTTAAATCTAGCTTAATAACTATAGTAGAGGGCTCTAAACACGTATCTTAGGCTTAAATTTAGAGTTATTAACTATATATATTAATTTTTTTAGTTTTTAAGATATAATATAATAATTATTATATAAGGTAGTACGTATAAGCTACTTAGCTACTTAGTACTACGTAAGATGTAGCATTTAAATACTAAAGTTGTACCTATAATTAGAGCTATATTTTATAAGTTTTAAGTTTTAGCTAAGTATTCTAAAAAATATATATACAGCTAGTAAATTTATAAAGCTTAGTATTAAAAAGTATATGTAAGTAATAGTAGTAAATACTGCAAAGTAGGCTTTAAAATCCTTCTAATTCTTTACTAGTATAATAAGCAGCACTAAATTATAGTAGCATTTTACCTAATTAGGTAATACTAAGTTACTAGCGCAGTACTAAGAACTTTAAGAACTTTAAACTTTAAAGTTTATTAAAATAATCTAAATAACTCTATAACCTTAATACCTATATCTATCTTAATATTTTAATATTACTATAATCCTTTCTAAGCTTTAGTTACTACTCTATCTCCTCTCTTACCTCCTATTCCTCTTACTCTGCTAATTTAAGTAAGCTAAGAGAATTTCTAGTACTATTAATAATAATAGAATTTAATAAGATCTATCCTTTAGTATCTTTAGCTAATAGTTATTTTATAAGGCAAGCTTTATTTAATTAACTGCCTCTAGGTATATTTCTACTTCTTATAACGCGCTTTAAATTAGGTACTAATATAGCTCTATAACTTTTTTCTTACTAGGTAAGCGTTTTACCTTTATTCTTTACTAGTAAGTAGGTAAAAACGTTATTATTACGCTTCTTAATTTTAATCCTATATAGGTCCTCTGTTAGGTTCTTAGAGATCTCCTAACTAGTAAAGTCTACCTTATTAATAAAGTCCTTAATCTTAATTAAGTAGTTATTAGTACTAGTAAGGTTAATAGTAATACTAGTATAGATAAAGAAGTCCTTAATAAGCTGTTTTTTTTAACTGTTTAGGTTATCCTAGGTATTAGTAATAGCCCTTATTACTACTATCTACCTTACTAAAATTACTATTTATTTTATTAGATTTTACTCTAAGGTATTATTATTTAATAACAACTTAAGCTTCTCTCTTATTAATACCTTAAAAGACTTATTTATACTAATATTAAAGGGCTAGAGCAGTCTAGTATATCTGCCTAAGATTATTACTAAATAAATATGCTTCTCCTAGAGTTTTACCTTTATAACGTCTATTTTATAGAAGGCAGTGTAGTCTATTATAAGTAAGCTTTTACGTCCCTTTAATATATTAAATAGTTCTTTATCTAACTATTTAACTAGGAGCTTCTTATTATTATACGCGCTTAAATTAACCTTAATAGTAATATGTAAGTTCTATTTATCTTACTCCTTTTAGTTAAGCTTACTACTAGCTATACTATAAAAGATAAGCTTTAGCTTAAGTCTTAGTATACTATTAGTAAATATGTATAATATAAGAGTAGCTTATTATTTAGCCTAGCTAGAGTTAGTAATATTTCTATTAACTATATATTCTCCTTTAAGGTAGTAAGTATACCTATTAAAGAACTTAAAAAGAATTAGTACTTTATCTATATTAATAATATTAGATAGTTAGAAGCGCTAGAAATAGTAAAAAGATATCTAGATTATTAAGTTCTAGTAAATAAAGTAGAGGAATTAATTTATAAGTTTAAGGTAGTAAGGTAAGAGATACTAGCTAGCGTAAGTAAGTTATTACTAGGATATATCCTATCTCTAAAGAAAGTTTTTAAACTAGCTGTTTAAGAATAGAAATTAGAGAGGCTACTAAAGGTTAGTTAATCTCTGTTTCTATACACAATAATTATAATTACTAACCTTACTATTACTATTAAGTTCTTAGCTGTATATTATATTAAATATTATCTTCTCTTACTAATAGAACTAGTACTACAAAACCTTTTATCTTAACTGTTACTACTTAATAAATTATTAAAATAATTTAAGCTTAAGTTTAAGGTACCTTTTGTAGCTAGTACCTAATATAGCAACCTAATAGTTATAGCTTAACGCTACTATCTTACGCTAGTAGAGCTATATATTTTTTATAGTAGATACTAGGATCCTAAAGTAGGTAGCAGTATCCTTAAGCCTTAGAGGCCTATAATAACTATTATACTTAAGCCTATCTAGGCACTATTACTTCTAAGTAAGACTATCCTAAAAGAGTAGGTCTTTAAACTAATAGTATATAAAGTACAGTATAACCTTAATCTTCTATTAGATTAATAGGACTATATAAGTCCTAGATAACACCTTAGGTACTTTATATATAGTCTTCTTATTAAGAAGTAATTAGATTAACTAGTTATAATAGCCTTAATAAGTATTAAAGGAACAATTAGAGTTAAGGTTACTTAGAGTAATATTACTAAGGGCAACGCGCTTATAAGTAGATTTAGGTAAGAGAACTATAATACAGCTAGTTAAATATAACAAAGTTAGATAAGTTAAGAGAGTCTTCTGTACATAGGATAGAGAAAATATTAGGGGCTTAGGCTAATAAAATTTTTAGTAAATTCTAATATTAGCCTAAGCGCTACTTAGGGGTATTCATTAGAGCGTCTATTTAGCACACCCGGCCTCCCTGCTAGCTTTAAGTCAAACAACTGGAGTTTTACGGTAGTCGCGTTTGCAGGCCAGCGCTGAACCACGCCGGCTAAAGCCAACCGCTAACCGCATGCGCCCTTGTCCGAAAACAAGGAGCCAGAGCCCCCAATTTGAATCACCCTCCCTCCAACCTCCTGGTCTCCGCGCCCACACATCCGCACCTCCAGCACCCATCGCGCGCCGCTTCATCGCCGTGTCCTCGCGCTGACTTCCGGCGGCAGGTTCACTCGGCAGGCCGTCTTCGCTCCTTTCCCTGCCCTCTCCGCTCTCTACCCCAACGCCTCCGCGTCCACGCCGCTCGCCCAGGCACGTCGCACCATCTCGCATCCACGCAACACGCTCGCGCCCCAACTAATTCCACCACCCTCTCTCCTTTACGACTCACCCTCCCACGCGCACTATGCCCACCATGATGTCCGCGCCCTACGAGATACGGACGGGCGGCGACGGCAAGAGCAAGAAGCAGAGCATGGCCGAGTTGAAGCTGCGACGTCTCACCGAACTGAACCAGCGCCTGCGGGAGGATCTGGAACGCCGCAGGATACCCGTGTCGGAAGCTGCGTTAGAGTAAGGCCTCGTGCACGTCGCCAATGCGAATCTGGGCTAATGTGGCGCTTGCAGTCTGATTGCTTTCACGGACAAGGAGCCCAAGGACTGGATGGTCCCGTCACGATGGGGAACGGTATGTGCAGCCATGCCTTGATCGCGTGCGTGCAACACTGACACGACCACCAGATCGACAAGCGCGAAGACCCCTACGCTCCCCAGCAAAGTAACGGCTGCTGCATCGTAATGTGAGACACCGCGGCAGACGAGATGCAGCGCGAGATGTCTGAGTAACGGCGTTCAATGGGGCCCTTCACGGCAGCTTCTTTTCTTTATTCCTGTTTATCGATTTTGAAGGTGGTGATAATACCCACGGTGCACAGCAGTCCGGCGAAGCTGATATTCAAACGGACGGGTCATGTACATTCGGCAATGTGTAAATTACGGGAAAAGAGGACGCTCGCTGCCTTTCCATGTTCGCAGCGCAGTAGGGTTTCCAGGTTCTTTCAACGGGCGAGTCAACTATTCTGTCTTGCCAGGTACTTCAATTAATGAGATTAGAGCAGTCTCTCTTAGGAATGTTCAACACTTTTTCACATCTAGTAATTGCATCCCCACGTCGTAGCTTGTTGTTGTGTTTACTCTGTCGAATTTGCGTGACTCTCGGATAGCTGCTGCATGAAGTTGGTCGAGGCCCACCAAACGAGATTAACAGGGTGCGAAGCGCATTGCCTCAATATTGCACCACTGCACCCTACCATCGGCCGATGTCCATGTCGTTTGGGGCCAGCTGTTTTCTCCCTGCTGCAGCCAATTCCAGCAGACTGCGTCTTCAATGGCACCCGACAGGAATAGGAGGCACACAGGCAAACCTTACCGTTCGCACCAACACATCGGACACAGCGACCGGCGAGCTTGTGCGCACAGACACACGAACGAACGCATCGGCCAGGCTGCAAACATCTGCGCGACTCGGCATTCGTCTCTGACTGCCCACGGGACTGATCGGCACAAATGGCAATCTATTGGCTGGACTAGTCCAAACGGTGCAGTCTGCCCATCACTGCCTTTTCCGTCTCTGCTTGGAACACCTTTGCAGGTCGACGGCTGCGTTGATGATCCGCTTGGAGGCAGAAGCTCACAAATAAACACCGTCGCGAGTCAGACTGCATACTGTGGTGCCCGGCTGCAATATAAGCTATTTACCACCTGTCTGTCGAGAGTTTTCGGAACATCTCGAGCCGTGCCCCTACTTGCGGTTTGCTTGGTCTTTTGACATGCGCACATTGAAGCATGGCTCACGCCGAACAGAAATGCCTACAGTGTTAGTCTCGGCAACACGGTCGGTATTCTACAGACATGAGTGTATTCCTGCACGAATCGGAAACGTGTGCCTACCTCGGAAGATTGTTCTAGCGGCACATGTTTTCAGGGAAACGCATATCAAGGCTGGACATGCGCGGCGTCCAGTTATCTAAGAGGAGGAACTCCGTGGGGTTGCTTCGTGTTGCAGGGGCAGCGTCCACGCTCCACGCAGTCTGCTGAGTTGCGCTTCTGTCTTGACGCTCCTCTCTGATCCAACACAACATCGTCAGGCGTGTGGCTCGCCCCACGCGTGATTTCTCGAAATCCACGCCCACGCCTCAAACTCGACTGGCTCCGTGCCGCCTTTAGCCAGCCCCACCAGCCCGTGAAGAAATTGCTTTGGCAGACTCTCGACCCTCTGGTTCTTTCCTCTTTCGACAGGGTTCTCCGCAAACGCGATGAACGCTGCGAACGCGCAGCCATGGGCCGGCGCCGAGCATTTCGACCAAATGGACGCGACGGCCGAGCACGACTTCGGCAATCTAATCGACTTTGACCACCTCGACCTCGACTTCAACATCGACTACAGCCATGGCGCGTCTGCGCAGGACAACCAGCAGCTAACCGACTTGACCACCTCCATCGACGTCCAGCACCTCCAGAACCCCTTCGCCCCGCAGATATCCCAGGATCGTCACAATGACGCGGCAGACACACAACAAACACAGAATAACTTGGACATATCCCAGGTCGGCAACGGCTTCTTCGACTACGGCATACCGCAGTACGGTCAGTCCAACACGTCAGCCTTCACCCAGGCGCAGGAACACGTCTATCGCCCGCACCATGGCGTCCCGCCCACACCCAACAGCATCGAGATGCACGGCGACCCGCACCGCTACCTTCGCCAGATGGACCCCCAGCAAGCTCTCTTCGACCAGCGATATCACATGCGCAAGGACGACGCAGTATGTTGGACACTGGCTACGGTCAAGACGTAATGCGACTAACCAGTGTATAGACATTTACCCCACTGGTCTCACCCGCGGTAACCCCCCATGATGCGCGCTTCCAGATACCCGACTTCACAGTACCTGGAGCATACTTCAGCCCTCTGACATCTCCTGCTCTGACTGCGCAAAGCCACCAGCATGCATATCTGCAGTCGCAAGCCACGGCGTCAGGGAGCTCAACCGGGCACTCACCCGTCAACATTGACATGGACGTGCTGGGCGAACCTGCGATGGTCCAGTCTGAGCAGAGCAGAAAATTGAGGAGCACCCATAGACGGAATGTATCCCGAACAGCCAATGCCTCTAGCCGCGTACGGCAGTCGCCAATTGTGAAGCCAGGCCGGCGAAGAACCACTGTAACATCACTCGTACTGCCTAAGGAGATCAGCGCACTCGCACAAGAAGCACAACCTGTTCGCCCGCTCTCCAATGGTCTGGAAGTACCGCGCAATCAGGATCGCTCAGAGACCGATTCAATATCTCCTGAGCCTATGCTGTCAGACATGCGACCGCCGCCTCTTCCTAGTTCTGTGACACATTCCCCTGCGATCCTGGCCCAGCACAACGGTCATGGTGCTACTCCTGCCACGCCTGCGTCCCTAATGCGCATCCAGCCTTCACCCGAGTTCAGCACACCTCTCCAAGTACCAGCCATGTTAGACGACCTCATCCTACCGGAATCCTCTCTAGAAAACCCCTCGTTGTCATTGATGGAGACAGCAATTTACGATGACGACTATGACACCCCTCGACTGTCCGCCAGGAAAACACCGAAGATGGGACCGCACAGTACGCCGGGTGCGGCCATGTCTAGTAGACCCAGCCCAATGCTCGATCCTATGTCAACTCCTACAAGCCCGGCTTTCTCCATGACCTCTGGGAGGAAGACCGATTTGAAGATCGCTCGCAACCCAAAGAAGAGAAACAGCGTCAGTTCGAGTCTTGTGAGCCCTGCTCTCCGACCCAAGATCTCCCCAAGTATAAAACCTCTGCTTCCTGATGGCGGGCATGGTAAGCACAAATCTTCCTCAGCATGTAACATGAGCTAATGCACAGCAGGCGGTATCGACACTCATGCCCTTCTCCTAGCATCGAAATCTAACTACCAAAATATTCTTGACGGAACCACAGTTCCCGGTGTCGTGTACCCAACATCCCTCTCCACAAACCTTACATCGAAACGCACATCCCACAAAATCGCCGAACAAGGCCGTAGAAACCGTATCAACACGGCTCTCCAGGAAATGCAGGCCCTTCTTCCTCCCTCCTTGAATGGAGACACAGAAGCAAAGAGCCCCGAAATGACTGCCGCACAATCAAACAACTCCAAAGCGGCGAAAGTGGAGAGTGCGATTGATTATATCAGGCTACTGAAGAAACAATGTGAGGACAAAGATAGAGCGCTCGAAGTGAAGGAGAGGGAAATGGACGAATTGAGGGAACAGCTTGCAGCGCTGCGACGGTGTTCGAGTGTGGGGACAAGCGGCGAAGAGGCGGAGAGGGTGGACAAGGATGATAACACTTGAAGGATGCAGACGGATGATACCCAATTTTTACGACTACGATCGCTATGATAATGACTGAGCGTCTGGCAGTGTGCATACACAGTAAGAGACGTATAAAGCGACGATTAGACGGACGACCCCGCTCTGTCTCACGGCATTGCACCATAATACAACATCGACGCTATTGCGTACGAGTCGTTGGCTCATGCGCGGATGTCTGCGATGCGCGGATGAAGTGTTTGGCCTTGGTCAATTCAATGCAAACCAGTGCCGAATAGACAAGCTGGGCATACACATATACACGGTTTCCGTTGGCAACACTGCATAAGAGAGATGTAACGGATTTTGAATCATCATAGCTCAAATACTATTCTAATATGGTTCAATTCTCCATCGTTAATGCTGGTGACTTTATTTTTATTGCGTATTTTAGCTTTTTGAATCTTTGGTTCTTTTTTGGCGTACACTCGTCGACTTTCTGGCTAGGAGTGCTGTAATGTCTACCCTGTCCCCACAGAGCGTTTGATCAAGGAGGAAGGTGGGGGCGGGGCAGATCTGCAGGAACCCAGCTTGGTTGATTGAATGTCCCGAAATTTCGACATGCGCAAGGCAGCCAAACTTTTGCATAGTACAACCGAATAAATCTCGCAACTACTCCTTCAACTAATCATATCGCCAAATCCGTATATCTGTCAAGGCTTCCTATTCCAACTCAGCAATCATGGAGATGCCAGACATGCCCGTCAATGTTCCCGTCGACGACCCAAACGCTGACACAGAATGGTACCCATACCTTGACTCACCTGCTTCCTTCATACTGACTTTGAACCAGGAACGACATCCTCCGCAAGCACGGCGTAATCCCCGAGAAACCCCCGTCGCCCACAGCCAAGCTTCAAGAAGCCGTCGAAGAGGCCCTTAAAGTCGCGCATGAGAACCGCCTGGAAGGCAAAGACCTAGACGAATTAGACGCGTTAGAAGACGACGAAGACGAAGACTTTCTAGAAGTATACCGGTGCGCCCCATCTCCCCTCCAACATCACCATCACCACCCAGAAACTAACAAGCCAGGCAAAAACGCCTCGCCGAACTCTCCACAATAACAAACGCCTCGGTATACAACCAAGTCTACCACCTACAGAAGCCAGACTACTCGCGCGACGTGACAGAAACCTCACAGAACGCTTTCGTCCTCGTCCTCCTCACATCGTCGCAAGGCACAAACACAGAGTCCCGCATCCTGATAGAGATATGGCGCGAGCTGGCCCAGCGCTTCGGCGACGTCAAGTTCTGCCAGATGAGGGCCGAGCTGTGCATCGAGGGGTATCCGGACCGGAATACGCCGACGATTCTTGTGTATAGTAAGGGGGATATCAAAAAGCAGATCGTTACGTTGAGAGAGCTGGGCGGGGTGAGGACGAAGGTGGAGGATTTGGAGAGACTGCTTGTGGATGTTGGGGCGTTGAAGGGGGGAGATCAAAGATTGAAGAAGGAGGAGAAGGACGAGGGCGCGAGTGGGAAGAAGATTCGGCAGGGTACGACGATGGGCGATGACGATGATAGTGATTGGGATTGAATTTGAAGAGCTGAATCAGATATTTTTCATCTTCCGGCTTTTGCGCGAAGGTAATGCAGTTGCTTCGCAAATCGAAGTCATTCCCCCAATATCGAAGGCTGTTGAACCAACTCAGTCAAGCACAACGCCTTGAAAGAACCTCATGTAGAGTAAGTAAGAGATTCTCTCCGCGAAGACCTCTCTTCAAAAATTATAATTACATCACGTCATCTAGTATGACGATGAGAGCCGCTAGTCATAGATCTACTCGCTGCTCAAACGTCGCCGAAGCGTACCCATTTCCTCCACAACCATAAATAGCATTGCAGACCACTACACTATCGCACCACCAACCCTCCTCTCATTCCCCACATATATCCCATCTCCCTCCTCCACACCCTCGTTTCTCGGCGCGAAATCATGGAAAGCAATTGCTTTCTGCATACCGTCACTCCCCATCAGCCCGCCCTCGTCAGCAAACTCAACCGTCGACTCGGCATATACATCTTTGTGGTTTCGCCTGCGCTTTTTCGGCGCGCTGCCAACTGTAGGGACCGACTTGCCGTTCAGCGAGGGCTCCGAGTGCCCCGAGCTGGAGCGGAAGCCGCTGAAGATACTTCCCCAGGAGCGGAACACAGGGCGGAAAACGGGGCGCAGGAGGGGAAGGGAGGCTGGCGTAGTTTGTCAGGAGATGGAAAGTGGTGTTGCGGGGGGATATACGGACTTGAGAAATGAGCTAGATTCACATCGCAGACGGCCCAGATTTGGTCGTCCAGGCCGTCCCACGTCAGATCCTTGTCTTTTTTCTTCTCGAGCGCGACGGTGTGGACGACGCTTGCTAGGGCTGAGCCGCAGACACTGAAACCTGTTAGGAAGAGTGTAGATCAGTGGGGGGAATACTTACAGCAGTCCAGATGCGAACATGGCTGCCACTGCGACTTTGCGAGAGAGCGGCAAATGCAGCCTCCAGATCTCAATGATGGGACAGAGCAGGATTGCACATTCGATGATGAGGTGAGGAACCGCGGTGCCGAAGAGCGACATCATGGGCGTCATGGGGCATTTTCCGGGGACGTCCTGGTCCCAGAACTTGCGGATCGGTTGGCATTGCATGGAGATGAGGGTGACCTGTGAGTATAAGCACGATGCTACATCTGTTGTTTTGTTGGTTGTAAATTCATACTCTGACGACGATCCAGCAAGCCGAGCAGACGAAGAGAATCCGTATAGGCTGCCGTATGATGGACAGCCCGAAAGTCCGCCAGTAGAAGCCCAGGAGGACGAATTTCGACAGTCCCACGGAGAAGGTGTACATCCCTGTCTGGCATGTTAGACATTCGCTGCGTCGCACCCCGCAAATATACGCACACATGTCGGCCCACAGATCGAGGAAGTAGTGGCGCACAATCTGGTCTTCGGGGAGACCAATGTTCTCCAATGGAATCCCGAGACCCCATCGCATCTCTGGCCTGGTAAGTGCCCATGTCCTGGAAAGAGATTGATTCAATTCAACGTACTATAAAGGCTGATAAATGTAAATCCACTTCCAACTACCTGTAGCACGGTAAGCACTCATGTAGCACGATGGAAACGCTCCACTCACAAACGCAACAACAGCCAAATAGTCCTCCCACACAAGCTGCGGTGTTCTCGCCCTACGCCGCGACGCGATCCGCGACACCAGCGCCACAGCAGCAGCCGTGTAGGGCACGATAGCCGCAGCGTACAGCTCAGGCTGTCTGTTAGGCATTGTAAGCATCCCCAAAGCGTGGGTTTGTGCAACGACTAGACGCAAAGAAACCAGCATTCAGATGGCAAGCAACAATATACGTAGAATACCCGTCGCCCCTAACACACACGACCCGATCTGCAAGGTGCATGTCCAGCCCTGTATCTGCCCTGTGTTGCTTTTTGAGTTCCCGGTAATCGGTTTCGGTGGCGCATGTTTCACGTAGGGAAGTCCTTTCTTTCGGTCGAGCCGTTTGGCATAGAGGCTCGTTTTGGAAGAAAAGTTGTAGATAAGGTTTTTCTGTCTTGGGAGGATTGTATTGTATGGGGTGATCTGGGGGGTGAAGCTGCGAAGCAACGTTGCACTGGTGAAAGCAGATTTTGGTTACAGGTGGTATGGTGCCTGCAGTAAGGGCTCCCTTTCATAATGCTCTTGCGATGGAGAAACGCCAATCAGTTACCTGCTTTTACTTGCTTTTCTGTGGGATTGCGTGAGTGCCATCTAGGTGCAGGTGGAGTTACTTTTTCGGTGGCCGTGCATATCGGCTTTCGCGATAATATGCAGGCATGTCATACCTGACCATTCAACTGGAATGACATGCTTGTTTTCCACTCTTGTGGAGAGTTTGTACAGAGAACATTGGTTAATAGAGAGTGAGTGTCGGTGGTGGGCGAAGAGGAAGCTTCTACGACATCAAACAGCATAGCTATTACCGAATAAAGATATCTCTACTATGCTTTCCGAACAAGTCCAAGGAGCAATATACAGCGTTTTCTTCCAAATTCGATCAGATAGACCGAGAAGAACGCACATATACCACCCTAGTAGCATGGCTTACTTGACTGCAGACGACTGGGAAGAAGCTGGTTCGCTTGGAATCCACCGAGCAACAGGATAGGTTTTTACTTCCAAAATCCATACCACTCCCGAGAAGCCGATTGCAGCAAATGATTGAAAAGTCGTGTGGGTTTTGAAGAATATCGAATGTGGGGTCATTGCATGCAGCCCATCAGAAGCAGCACGGATGGGGTAGTAGAAAGGATCCCTCTTGCATGCATTCCAACGGCGTGGCCGGCGACAGAAACGTCACCACCCGTTGATCTGCACAGAGACCTGCACGTCTATGAATGTGACGGCCAGCCCGCGTTAGAGATGTCCGGATGTGGGTGAACGGCTGTCCTGCCGAATCCCCATCGGGGTGCGTAACCACAGCCATGGAAGATAAGGTGAGCGATCCTGAACGCTCGATCTGCGTGCCGTTTAGAATCATGCCAGATGGGTTGGCGATCGGGCTGCGCCTCTCAGATCTTGTGACTATCACGTTCTCGTTGTTTCGTCAGGGTTGAATGTTCAAACTCGAGTGACAAGATCATCGCGTATTCAATGTATTATTGTTGGATTGAACAAACGCAATCAATCCCTCACGCGTGAGAGATTATCCGACCGGCTCAGAAAGCTCTTTGAATCATTCTCAGCTCAGAAGTATACAGCCTGTGAAAACCCATTAGCGTGTTGTTTGATACAGATTTGTTCTGTGTCTATCCAATGTTGGGTGTGTAGTCTCGAGTTGCGACGGCCGTCTTGCGAAATCGTAAGTTGCGAGAAGCCATCGCCTGGCACGGTTCATGTTTATTTGACGCGAAGGGTCTTATTTCTGGACTATGACAGCATGTAATCGAAGACCTGATGTCTGAAGCTCGAGCTTGGTCCGCTGGGATCCTTGCACGGAAGGTTAAAAGGGGCAATCTCGCACTACGCTAGTCAGTAGACTACCGGCGTCTACAGAGCCTCACGGAGAGTAAGATGTTGGAGACTGACATCTGAATGCCTTTACAATAGTATACATACACGTTCGTTCACACGGCAGCCCGCGCCATGGTCTCCTTGGCCTCATTCTCCTTCTTCTTTGCCTCTCGTAGCTCTTTCCGCAACGCTCTGAGGTCCGGCGGCTTCTCAATCCCCAGCCTCGTCCTCAACTCATCGACATCCGTCTCCAGCTCTTCCTCCCAGTACACATTAATCACATCGTCACTCTGCGCCCCGTTTCTCGTAGCCCAGGGTCCATATATATCCCAAAAGCGCCCCCACTCGGCCCTCTTCAGCGTGAACGCGCTAAACACAGCGAGACCTGTCATCGGCAGGCCGGTATTTGCAAATTCAAACGCCTTCAGAGCGACCTCGCCTTCTCGAAACACGGGCAACCCAACCAAAGCATGGTAGAAATCGTGACACTCGCGGTATCGTTGCATGACATAGGCACACTCCTCGTCGTCTATGTAGCGCACGTGTGCTCGTGTATCTGGCGACACGCCTTCGCGATCTAACCAGTAGGCGTACGCGTAGCCCACCGTGTTGGAAGGAAGATTGCGAAGGCGTGGTATGTCGAGGGACGTGGATGTCAAGCGGGGTCTGTCTCGTAGTATGCGGCGACCTGTAGGGCTGAGGAGCATACGATTGCGGAGCTTGTTTATGAAGTAGGGCTGTGCGGTAGCTTCGCCAAAGGTTGCGACGAGATCTGGAATGTGTGAGAAGGCGCGGTGAATGTGGTTTAAAAGTCACACAAACCGCCTCGTCTGGGATCTATGAAGCTTCCGATGCCTGAGCCCAACGCCAGACCCAGTCTCTCCAGACGCGTCAGCGGTATATGGCCTTCATAGTTTGGTCGAGGCCTGTGGACTGCGGAAAAGCACCGAACTGTTGCCTGTGCATCGAGTGCTGGCCGTGGGGATGAGGTCGCTAATAGCCTTTGTAGCTGCGGTACATGCACACGCCTCGCCATTGATGCACCCGAAGAGCAAATGAGTGAATGGAGCCAAAAGACATGACATGATGGACATGGGCAGCTTTATCGATAAGCGCCACACTCAGCCTCACAAAAGCACATCATTACTACAATGACTCCAAACTTCAAGCGTGCTTCTGCGACTTTCCTCAATTGCGCCATAGCCTGCCATCTTTAACATAAATTGAGATTTGTCTTGACATCTACCCACTCAACTAATCTCTCGGGAGTAAATAAGTGTCAAACACTTCAAATATCCTTCATTTTGTAAGCACTTTTGTGACCTCAAAACACGACTGCGCCACAGATATTATCTACGAAATACCAAACTTCAAGAGCATGACGGCAGCACTCGATCCCGGCGAGCAACACACTCGCTTCGTCGAATGGGCTGAAGAGAACGGAGTCACAATAAACGGCATTGCACCAGCCCGATTTGTCGATCGCGGAATGGGCATCGTCGCAGCAAAAGACTTGAAAGTCAGTCACCACCACATACTACCATGACATACTCGAACTAAATCTTCAAGAAAGGAGACCAGCTAGTCCACGTCCGCAACACTTCACTCGTCCACGTCGCCCTGCCCTCGATCAAAAACTTGAAATTACCCGACCACATCACCGTCCATGGAAAACTCGCCGCCTCTCTCGCAATATGGTACTCTGACCCCTCTCACAAAGATTACCAACTCTGGCAAGACGTCTGGCCCACGCAGCAAGATTTCCGCAGCACAATGCCGCTCTACTACCCCAAAGCCGCACAAGACCTCCTCCCCCACGCAGCCCACCTCCTCCTAACAGCGCAGCAATCCAAGCTAGAAAAAGACTGGCAATCCATACGAGCCCATGTTTCTGCAGCCGGCGTGACCAGAGACCTATACACATACACCTGGCTGATAGTCAACACGCGAACATTCTACTGGTCCTACCCGGACCTACCCACGTCGTCGCCCAAACTACCCAAGAAAAGATCCCGCCTAACAACCGACGACTGCTACGCCATGTGCCCCTTCATGGACTACTTCAACCACTCAGACGTGGGCTGCGACCCCCAGCACGACAGCAAAGGGTACAGCGTGCGCGCAGACCGCGCGTACAAAGCCGGCGAGGAAGTCTTCGTCTCGTACGGCCCGCACACAAACGACTTCCTCCTCGTCGAATACGGATTCATCCTCGCGGACAATACTAACGATGCGATCCCCCTCGACCACTTGCTACTCCCGCTGCTGGACCAGGACCAGGTCCGCGCCCTCAAGGAAGACGGGTTTTACGCAAAGTACACGCTTTTCCCAGCCAGTCCGACGGTTTGCCACCGCACGCAGGCTGTGCTCAGACTGCTTGTTCTGGACTCGAAGCGGTATGCGGCGTTTGTGAGTGGGGATGATGACGGGAGTCGAGAGCAAGGGAAGCTGAACGGGTATTTGAGCGGCGTTTTGATGAAGTACTCGAGGCAGATCATGGAGATCTTGGAGGACGTGGAGCGCCTTGAGGGTGTGGAAGGAGATGGGGAAACGAGGTCGGAAGAGGACATGGAAGAGAGTGGTTTGGAGAGGACTGGGACACAGGGGGTGAGGGCTGAGCAGAGGGATGTCTTGCTGAGGCGGTGGAGGCAGATCCGCGATCTTGTTAACGCGGCGGTAGAGGAGTTGGGACGGTAGGCCTACGTGGGTATGCAGTATTAGTCTTGGCTATGGAGTCCTGAATATCCAACACCATATATGTGTTGCTTGTAGTCAGAAATGTGTCACAGAAGACTTCACTCGAAGGAGGCTGGGTTGGCTAGCATCACCATCCAAGCATACAGCACAAGAATCTTTCCAAAAGCATAGAAGTATGAAAGTCCGTTTAATTCCCATCATCTATCCTCATCTATATCATCCAGCTTAAGAAAGTCATCATCATATATCCCCCAACCGAACCCAAACTCCGCCTCATTTTCAAAAGCACAACACCTACAACTGCGTAAGCAGCCCCTGGCTCTCGAGCAACAGGACAATCTGATGCACCGCGGTCCTGACATTCGTCGTGCTCAGATCGACGCTCAGATCAGCGTTGGCAGGCACCTCATACGGGTCATCAACGCCGGTGAAGCCCTTGATCTCCCCGTTCCGCGCCTTCTTGTAGATGCCCCTTCGGTCCGTCTTCTCGCAGTACTCGAGCGGCGTCGCAACGTGTACGAGGTAGAAGCTACCGTACTGCTCGACTGTTTGGCGCGCGGCCTTCCTGCTGTCCTCGAACGGCGCGATAGGCGCGACAATGGCGGCGGCGCCAGCTCTTGTCAGCTCGGCAGCCACAAATGCAATGCGTGAAATGTTCTTGTCGCGGTCCTGGCGCGAGAAGCCGAGCTCAGACGAGAGCTCGCTGCGGATGGTGTCGCCGAGGAGGAGGGAGACGGAACGCCCACCTTGCTGGTTTAGGGTGACGTTTAGCGCGCGTGCGATGGCGTCTTTACCGCTGTTGTTGTAGCCGGTGAGGAAGACGGTGAAACCCTGTTGCGAGCGGGGAGGGTGTGATTCACGGAGGACGCGCACGACTTCGGGGTAGGAGAACCATTCGGGAATCTCCTGACCAGTACGGAGACGCTTGCGGAGTTCTGTCGAAACGGATTAGCATGTTGTTTGAAGATAGGTGGGAGACTTGGTTACCTGTGCCGGAGATATCGAGCGTCTTAACGCCCTGGGCCACTTCGTCCTTGGGCTTGTACTCGTCCGAGTCGGGCAGGTATGTCATCTGCTGGAAGGGGACGACCTCAATGCCCAGTTCATCCCTGTACTTCTCGACGGCTGTCTGCGCGTCATACGGACCGTAGAAGTCGACGCCCTGCGAGTTCTTGCCCGGGCCAGCGTGGTCACGGCCAACGATGAAGTGGGTAGCGCCGTAGTTCTTGCGGATGATGGCGTGCCAGATGGCCTCACGGGGACCTCCCATACGCATAGCCAGCGGCAGGAGAGCCAACGCAGCCATTCCATTGGGGTAGCGGGGCATCAACGCCTGGTAGACACGCACACGTGTGAAGTGGTCGATGTCGCCGGGCTTGGTGAGCCCAACAACGGGGTGGATCAGGACATTGGCCTGGCGGGCTCGCGCAGCACGCACAGTGAGCTCGCGATGGGCGCGGTGCATGGGGTTCCTCGTCTGGAACGCGACGACCTTGCTCCATCCTAGTTTGTCGAAGTGCAGACGCAGCTCGGCGGGGGTGTATCGCAGACCAACATAGTCGTAGTGCTCGAGACGGTCAATCGCCTCGACCTTGCCGCCGACGTAGAACTCCTTGGCCGTGCGGAAGAGGTACTTGATCGCGGGATGTGTCTCGTCATCTGGGCTGCCAAAGACCTCCTTGGCCTCCTTTGTCTTGTCGGGCTGGTATACGTCGTCGACGGTGATGATGGCCAGGTTGCGGTCGTCGCGGAAGTCGCGAAGCGCAATGCGCGCTCCGGGCTTCACACCCAGCTCCTCGATGGTCTCCTTGGACACATCGAGAGTGATGGGCATGGAGAAGAGGTTTCCATCGGCGAGGCGGTTTTCGGCGACAACGCCGTCGTAGTCTTTTTGGTTGAGGAAGCCTGGGCGTTGTTAGCAAGCAGGCACGCAGAGTAGTCTAACGTCTGGCTCGATGCAAACATTGCAAACACGAGGGGCAACTCAGTTTGCAAGTCTGGAGGGGTATCGTTCAACCCTCACCACCAAAAAGTAGACGTACCTTCGAGCGGCGAGAATCCACCGTTCAAGATGAGTTCCAAATCGCAGAGCTGTCTCTCGCTCAGCACGATCGCAGGAAGCGACTCAGCCTCGTTGAAGAGTTCCTTTCTCCGTGGTGCATCGCGCGCGATCAAGTCCTTGAGGGCTCCGCCATGTGGTGGGTTGGCCATTGTGTGTGAAGAGTAGAATAAAGAATCCGGTAACAATTAAATATTCTTCAAATAATGATTTCGAGAATAGTAGAGAGAGTGAAAGTCTATCGAACAAGAATATTATCTCTGCCAGAATCGAGAGATTTTCCAGGGCAAAAGACGCGTTTATCACGCAATATCAAACCATGCGCGTTGCCGGCTTTTTAAACCATTCCCACACCATTTGCAGACTCTGACGCCCCATACCAAGTACATGGTTCCTTGCCCTTTTCTACCGCAGAGCTAGGGTACAAGCGGGTGCAATTGTATGGGTCGGCAAAATCTTGGGTGCGATTGCGCAATTGCACGCGTTTGACGGAGCTGCTGGCTGTGACGTGGAGAGTATTGCAAATCGTCTTCTCGTGCTGTGGGGTTTGCGGAGACGGCGGTTAACGTTATGGTTGGGGATTTCAAGATCCTCTGTTTGTTCACGTCTTGCAAGTAATGATTAATGTGATTTGTTCATTCTTCGAGCAACTATGGCTCGTTTGACTCTATCGGTGGTATCTCGGCCCCGTAGTCTAGACTTGATGGTGGTAAAGAAAATGCAAATGCTCCGGCCAGCATGCAACGTCATGTCGTGGCCCCAAACCCCAAACACCAATGCTAATGCTCAGAAAAATTCAAGAAAAAACACAAAACCGAAATGACTCAGCATCTACACGCCCAAAGAGACTTTTTGCAACGCGTTGGTCAAGTCCTCCTGTTGTCGCTTCTGCTCTTGCTCGCGAAGGAACTGAGCATAGCGAGACTTCGGGTTGTGAATACCGCACTCGGTCTTGTTCTTTCCCTTCCAGCGTCCCGAGCGCTCGTCCTCTCCCGCAGCCACTGGCTGAGTCGAGTGCCAGTCGCCAACGCTCTTGTACCCCTTGTTGAGGAGCTCATTGTACGGAACGTCATGGGCGTCGACGTACTCCTTGACCTGAGCGAATGACCAGTTGGCAAGGGGGTTGACCTTGATGAGCCCAGATTCGTTGACCTCAATGATATCGAGGTCACCGCGCTTGCCACCTTGGCTGCGTCGGCGGCCGGTCAGAACGGCCTTGACTTGGAGTTCCGAGTAGGCACGCTCAGCGGGCTCGACCTTGGCTAGATAGTCGTAAAGTTCGTCGTTCGATTCCCAGAGCTTGTCGCCATGCTTTGCGGTGAATTCGGCAACGTTGTCGCAGCCAGCGGGCTTGTAGGCGTGTACGGGTGTTCCATAGCGCCTTCGTACACGGTCGACAAGAGCGTATGTGTCGTTGAAGTGGTAGAGAGTGTCCAAGAAAATCAAGTCGATGTTGTGCTTCAGGGGACCATCAAGCTTTGACAGCATGTCCACGGTAACAAGACCAGTCAGACCAAAGGCTGTGGTCTGGTAGAGACCAGGCAGGGAAGTGATGCACCATCGGAGAATATCTGAACCATGTCAGTCAAGGAGTTTTCAAACAAAGTGGATACCATCACTCACCCTGCGGTTCAAGTTGTTGCAGCTGGGCGTTGATGTATTTGAGATGAGGCTTGCTGAAGACGATCTCAGGCAGACTGTCCTGGCTCGAGGCAGCAGAAGCATAGCCAGACTCCTCACGAATAGTAGGAGACTGAGCCCTCTTCTCCTCGAAAAGTTGTGACGACATCTTTCAGGTATCGAGTCCGAATGTAGTAACGAGGCCCGTGCAAGAAAGCCCAAACAAGTAGACTTTGGCGATTTTACTCCTACGGTGGCTTCGTAATAGAAAGTCGTGTGACAGAGTTGCTTGTCCTTGGTGTAGATGTAATGGAGAAGGTCGAACACGGCCTGGAGTATATATTGGGCTCCGCCATCGGGTCCGCTTTGTAACCTCCTCCGCAAGGTGCGATAGCTGGGGGTGAAGACGTGCGATCACGCCATTCACGCTAGTCCGCAAGGCGAGCAAATTTCTCTCCTTCGACCTTATGTAAGACGGTCTCGCCAATGATGTGGCGGCAGTAGAGTGAAATATTAAATCCGTGCCTGGCCTTCGCTATTACACCCATTCACGGCTATGAGTTGTATTGCAAATCGTCCGGTGATTGTCATCATCGTCATCCGCACGGATCTCCCGGACTTTTCTGGCAAACACAAGTCATGATGACAATGCGTTACTGATCACTGACTCTTGTTGTTTCATTGATCCCGCCACCGTCGCGCGTTGTCGTCTAAAGTCAAACAGACCTACTCTTTACGTTCGCCACAGTGTAGGGCTGATGTCGGGAGTCGCCTCGGTTGATCGGTCGGTTGGTCGGCCGCCCGCATTTATGGGTCTTGCGGAGGATTGCGTGCGCAGCAACCTCTAAGTGATGTTTAGTGCATGGCATCGAGGATCGATGTATGATATAAAGTGTCGGACTTGCCCGTAAGTGTCTGGATCATTGATTGTCGTCGTTGGAAGAACTAGGTGAGGGGTAGTTGAAGTGCAACCCGATCACCCCATCTCGGTGTCTTCGATCGATTGATCATTGTCTGGCTATTATCTCGAGATACCGGAACATAGCGCCGCGAAATTGGCTATCTTGAAACATTGGCCGTTGTTGATCTTTGTGGAGAGAGAGTGGCGGTTCTCTCGTGTCGTCGAGGATCACAAAAGCGCGCGATACCTTACAGAGCATAGCTCACATGCATTGTTCTCAGTCGGGCATGAAGTCCATACAGCACAGATACGGAGACGATTATGGCATGAGAAAGCTTCATTTTCTGGTCGAGAATTCCTAATCTCATGTCTGTGCCATGTTCTTGGACCGATCCCTTAGGAGCAATGGCCATTCGGTTTCGACTTCCACAACAAGCTCATGTTCACCGCGTGAGCACGCGTGATGTTGAAGTAGACCAACGCGAGACTGTTCATACCTCCGCTATCTTCTTCATCTCATCTCTGTCCTCTGCACTCAATGTGCCCGTTTTGGCTGCTTCCTTCCACTTCTCTAGCTGTTCATACTGCACTGGCTCCAATACGCTCTTCAATTGCTTGAGCAACTTGGGTGCGAACTTGCCCGTCGCATACACCACTCCAGGATGATGCTTCGCGAATAGTAGGACGACCAGTGTCAGGAAGAGTACAGGGCCGTCAGACTTCTTCTGCTTCTGCATGCGTCGGGTCATGTCGAGAACCATGGTCTTTTTCGATTCTTCTAGTGATGAAGCACCCGGAGCTTCGATGGACTGCTTTTTGTTGAACTTGTTGACGGCAATCACAATGGTTGACGTATCCATCTTCTCAGTACTCAATCGGCTTTCGAGCTTCTGGACGTTCTTTCGTGTTTTTCGGCTCATCATGAGGCCGTTTGAACGAGCTTTAGTAATAGCATCTGGTATGAGTTCTTTCTGTGCATAGGCTGCGAAGAGCTCTGCAAGCTGGTCGCGTAGTTTCTGATCTCCGACCGCGTCTAAACCTTGGTTGTATACGTAAGTTCGTAGTACTACCCGTTCATTCCAGGATATCGAGAACTCGGCCTCGTTTTCGGATTCTCGATTAGATACTGTATTCCAGAAGCACTCCTCAGCTGCCTTTTCTACAGATCTCTCCTGGACCAAAGCACGCAAGACAGGTTCGTTGTCGGTAATCGCTGTGGTAATGTTGGACAGACTAAATTTGACCTCCTTTTCTGGGCTGTCGGTCAGTTGTTGCCACTGAAAATTGGCATCTGCTGCAGCAATTGAGAGTATTCTGTCTTTGTGATTGATGTAACCGTCTTCTGTAAACCAATATTCGCCAACTCGGTGAAGTTCCGTGTCGGGCTTCTGAACGAGGTTGAAGACGAACTGCTCCACTTGCTGACGCACACGATCCCCCACGTCGGGAGGAAGGACAGTGAGCCGTTGCTACAGGCGATGATTAGCCCGTGTCAATAGCTAGACTACGATGGTATTGGGAAAGTAGTGATGACTTACTCGCACGTTTACAACTCCGTCACGATCCAGAGTCTGCCTACATTCGTCGCCTAGACTCGATGCCCAAACCTTAGATATCGCATATGAATCTATGACCTCGACATCCGGTGAAGTCTCGAAATATTGTGCAATATGCCTAGGTGTTGTGTAGATGAACCTATTCCGAAATTGAGAAATCTCGAGAAATACAAGGTTTCCTGTTTGCAGATCACGAACTACGGCTTCTCCCTCTTGCTCTAATAGTCGTTTCGGCGTACAACGGATGCTATCTTCTCGTTCATGGAGATAGAAGTTCTCTGCTAGATCTGGCGCTCGCAGAACACGATCCAGAATGCGAAGTACAAAGAACATCGATGGAGGCTGGAGTGACATCGACGAAGAGCCTGGTGTATCCTTGGAAATGAAGTCGGTAGGGGCAAAGTCAACAGATCTAAACGCGGTCAGTTGTGTTGTCATTAGGACTATCTGAGGCTGACCTACTGTGTTTCTTTGAGCGAACGTCTCAGCCCGTCTTCCAAAGTTTCTGAGATTTTGTGTTCGTAGCTTGCACTACACACATATTCTCCAATGTCGACTATCTCCTCTGATTCAGAAAGGAGAAAGCTCAAACTTTCCGTGTCGATGTCCTTCTTCTTGGCGAAATCTGATTTTGACACGAGTCCATGCGTTATCAAACTGTACAGTTCTTCATGAATTGACTGTCGTTCGCTTTCTGTGATGATGATGCGGCTGTCTCCACTAAGCAAAGCGATTGTTCGCTGAGTTCTGACAAGTTGTAAGACAACATCTTGGTCCACATCTAGGTCAAGTGTCAAAGAGAGTAGGGGTATCCGTTGTGTTTCTGAGTTTCCATCAGTGACAGCTCAGAACGAAGTCACAAAGAGCCCACCTTTAGTCATCCGACTCTGAAATTGAAATTGAAGTTGTTGCAGAGTCACTAATCCAAGACCGCTGGCAGAAGGCACAAGCGAAGGCAGAGACCCAGTGTTTGACTGTGGCGGAGGGAGCAACTGTAGAATGTCCTTCACATCCTCTACCGAAAACATGCTGGTTGCCATGAATGTATATTTGTTGTTCTGTGGTGTCGTGGTTGAAGTGCTGAGACTGCAAACAATGAACTAGGCATTGGTTAAACGAGTGTCGTAATCACGAAACGCGGAATAGGTTCAGATTTCTATGACTGTGCCACGGTGAAAGTTCTATCATCAAGATCTTGTGGTTCACGCAAGTGGTTCATTGGTGGCGGCGGATGATCCCTGTCATCCCACGATGCTTGGCACCCTCAACCTCATCGTTCCATCAACATTCTGCTCGCTGCCAATTGCAGTCAGTCAGTCGCCGTCATGTCTCAATTCCGCGCCGCAAAGAAGCTCGATATCGGCTGCTTCACCAAGATCCGCAATATTCGCGACCACACGAAGCGGAAGGTGTACGCCGAGAACGAGCCTGAACGGTATGCGCTCTCCCAGCTCCTCCGCGCAAACAGCGGCTTACAATACGTGCGCATAGACAAGCTCTGCGATACATCATCCGGAATACCACGCTACCGCAGCGAGTCCGCGCCCAAGCCCAGCTCCAGCTGTCCGAGATGCACTGCTACACGAGGTTCACACAGATCAAGAACAGGTGCATAATGGGAGGGAAGGGACGCGGTGTATTCAGCGACTTCAGGCTTGGAAGAGTATGCTACAATGAGCTTGTTCGTAGGACACATGAGGCTAACATTGCCCCAGTACCAATTCCGAATCAACGCGCTTGCCGGGAACTTGCCGGGTGTGAGGAAGGCGAGTTGGTAGACAGATCGTGGTGTGCAGAATCTGTAGAACGTGTACATTATGATGAGACAATATATCAGCATTGGGCGGCGTTCGTGTCGGATCGTACATGTGGAATTGGAAAGGTCGTTCTTGTTTCCAGATTTCGACTTCACCAACGCTCCTTCTCTCCCAGTTTGCCCTCACCGGACACTCACCGCTCACGGTAGGTAAAAACGGGGCTCCCGGACGCAAACAAACATGCCCCACTCAGCAAATTGACAACTCCGATACTCTCGCATTCGACGACAACACTGGACTCATGCAAGTCTCGCATCAACAACTCTAGAGTGATACAAGACCTGGAACATCCAGTCACCTTTCCCACCGTCAAGCCTCCCCGACATGTTCCGCCGGATCGAGAACAGCATAGAGCCAGACCCGTCTTTCCCTGCCAACCTCAAGGCATTGGGGTGAGAATACTACTGTATCCACCACCAGCGATCTTGACTCACACTGTGTAGTTTCTTCGTCAATGACGTAGGTAACATCCGCATGATCGAGGCGCCTGACAAGGAATACATCTTTCATGCTACGAACAATGATCGAGTCAACGAGGTGCGGCGAGAAGCAATGCAAGGTGAACTGATTTTCAGCCATTTCACAAACACCACCTAACAACACCATAGCTTGCTCGCGCGAAGAAGTAGGATTGCGTCTCTCTGCGCTCGGTATCCGCCACATCTACCTCCCTAACTTCACCACTGTCAAGCCTGACGGACCACACATTCCAATTCTAGCCCCACCGCCTGAAGTTCTCAAGTCCCGCAAGCGCATCATCGTGCTGATCAACGATTCCACGCAAGACTTGGGTATCTTAGCATACCGGCAGCTACAGCGTGAGCTGGGCGTGAACGGCGGATCTATCGTCAACTTGGTCAAGGAGATCATCAAGCGTTCAGCCGACAACGACGATACTGCCAAGTTCGAGCACATCTCCACAGACGGCTACGATACTGTGGATGATGGTGATGTTCCTGGCTTGGTCGTCTTGAACACAGGCCAGTTACTCTACTCGCATAAGTTCAACCAGGCTATGACTTTGCGCAGCTGGTCAGCGCTCCCCCGGAAGTCTGTGGCGCACGATGCGATCCGGATTCACGATGAGGAGAATCGCGTGAAAGGCCACACGAACCCGCAAGAGCACATCAAGTCAGTGTTTGACGAGGTGCTCTGCAACCCAGATCGTGTTGCACCTGACGCGGAGGTGTATGTTCTTGCGATTGAGGGCGGCACAGACGATGTTTTGGATATCCTTGCAGAAAACTGTGAGTCTCCTTTCCTTGTTCTTCCATGCGGGAACTAACAAACTTAGTCGAGAAGTATGGTTCTCGCATCACCGCAATGGCGCTCATCCACTCCCTCATCGACGAGTCGCAGATCACCAACCCGCAGCTCAAGGCTCTTCTGCACCAGCGTACTCGACAGTGGAAGTACAGCGACATTACGTGTGATCCGACGCATTGCACCGAGCTACCAGCTGGTTATGATGAAAACAAGACGGATAGCCCACCTCATGATGCTTCGCCGCCAGACGAACACGTTAGTTGGCACGAAAACGTCCCAGCAGGACCAAGGCCTATATCCGGCATCACCAAAGCCCTACATCGTCTAGCACTCACCGTGACACCGTCCAAGACGGACAAGCCTACCACCGCAACTCCTACCGACACGTACTCCGCCTGGCCGGACACTTCATCAGTCGTCAGTCCCACCTTTGGCGGCGGCTCGAACTCGGTCGGAGAATGCGTCCTGACCAACCCTGCCGTCCAACACGCCATTCTCTCCTTCTTCGAGTCCGTCGCCCAAAACCCAGAGCACTACCGTAACCCGCTCTTCAGACTACACACTACCGCTCCGCAACCCACGCCCGACAACCCTCTCGTGCTCTCCGCCGACGATGCCACGTCCATGGACTTCCATTCCCTCCCCGCAGCAACCACGCCCGAGCAGCAGGAGCTCGACACGGCGCGGGAGATCCTCGCTGAGATGCGCGACGCACTTGCTGCATGTCCAATGAATGTAGCCGAACTTGCGCCCGGACGCGAGAAACTGGCCAAGAGGATTCAGGACAAGGAGCGTGCGATTGAGGTGCTCGAGACCACGGCGCTTGCGAGTGGGGGGCTCAGGGCCGGTGAGGCGCTGGAGAAGCGCCAGAATTGGACGACGTTGACGGAGGGGCCCAAGGTGCCGTTTGCAGGGACTATGGTTGATAGCGAGTTGTTGAAGGCGGTGGGTTTGGGGGGTACGGTGGAGGAGGAGTTGGGAAAGTTGGAGAAGGATTGAGGAGGAGGTGAGGTGGGAATGGACGTGGATGTTATGGTGAAATCATGGCGTAAGTAGGGAGTACGCTGGTTGGGGAGGCTATTATCTTTCATGATGCTCTGGTAATTCCATTGGCAGATGGTGACTGCGTCCTCTTCACTTCCTTGGCGGTGAAGACAACATCTTCTATCTCTTCAATAGAATGTACGCCCTGAGACATAAGTTATATCCTTCTGCCGTGCCTTCTTTGTCAGAATAGAGCTGCTTACAAAGCAAAGAACTCACTTTGGAAATCACCTCGGAAAGGGCCACCTTCACTCCGCGGTCCAAAAATCTCTTGGCAAAACCCCGCTCGTCTATATAAACTCGCTGCACGCCTTTCTCTCGCTCACCACCTCTATCCCCATCACCACGGCTTACGACACTACCAGCACGCTCGTACGTAACACTTACAATTACTGCAAGCTGCTGATCTAACTTTGTGGAAGAGGAACAGTTGGGCCATGTGCCAGCCACCTCCAAGGCAAGGCATTTGGAAACTTACAGCGCCTCGTGCGTGGGCGAAAGCGAGGCCCAGACGCCATTGCGCCCAAGGCGAAGCGTCGAAAGTCTGGCGGGGCAAATGCTTCCCACGGTCGCCGCATCGCGACGATGCAAGAACTGGACCTCCAGTCCGGCCTGGACTTCAGTGAATCTAACGCCAACGATGCTGCGTTCTGCTTGGCTGCATCAGTACTGAGCAAGGAGGTGTTTGAACGTTTCCTAGCTATAATTTCGGCCTCGAGGGACAAAAATACTACTCCCGCCATTTTCCCACAAGCAAGACCCGCACAGGCTCATGCCGACGCAGCACGTGCTGCATTTTTCGAGAACAAGACTAAGCAGTCAACAAAGCATGTGGCGCTCAGTACATACGTCTCACGTCTGAGTGAGTATCATTTTGCCAAAGAAATGGTCGAGGCAAAAGGGACAAGGGAGCGGTGCAGCACCTCCTTCCTCAACCAAGTGCTCGGCCATATGGGTTCCAGCCAGACTACCGACGCGCGGAGATCTTTGTCCTCCCTAATGGCACGTGGCCGAAAATGGATGGTCATCTGCGAATCGCCGTCGCTGAGCAGAGGGCTCCTTGCATTGATACCCTATGCGTCAGACGACACCGTCCGGAAGATGAGCCTGGATAAGGTGGCCGCGTTCACGGCGTATCTTGAACGACAGCCACACACCCGCAGGCTCATACAGAAGCTCTGCGGGCTCGGCACGTTGATCGAGCGTTTTGTTTGTAAGGGCGAGCTCAAGTTTCAGTTTGAATTGGACACGTCCATTGCGGCCGACCAGCCTCTTTCGATCGAAATGTTCAAACAGGATCGTTATCTGCGCGAGAACAAGTACAGCACCGAGCACGACTGGGCGGAAGCACCGCAGGGGTGGAATGGGACTGGCCAATGGATCCAACCTGGGTGCCAGAGGACTCGCAAGGCTGCGCCATGTGCAATCAGCCCGACCACTGCCACTGTGCCTCGCAAATCGGCACAGGCAACAACCGCCGCATCGTCAATTGTGTTTCAGAAGCCCATACCAACAGCTATCACGTCGGCCGCCGCTGCATCCATGCCCGATCAAGCGAGACTATAGCCTTTAGGAGATCCGAATACATAGGGGAGTTTACGGGAGAGCTGCTGCCGGTCGACGCTGCAGTCGAGTACGGCATAGTCCTGGAAATATGCCGCCCTGATGCTCTGTTTGCGCCGGCAGTGTGCTTGCTGCAGTGCGGGAAGGCTGGGAACTGGACCCGGCTCGTCAACCATTCCTGTCATCCATGCGCAGAAATAGTCACCCAGGTCATCAGCGGCAGGGTTCGTGTCATGCTACGCGCATTGGTCGACATTCAGGACGGCATGGAGATCACTATCGGGTACGGGAGGGACAACTTCAAGAGCACAAATTGCGCATGTGCGAAATGTGCTGAGTAGAACTTTGATTCTAGATCATATACTATGGTATCTGGGAAATGTGGTGTATAAGAGTCTGTGTTGAGCAGTAACACATCCAAAACTACAGTAGTTCGTATCAAATATTCTGTTTCTGCTGCCATCACAACTCTGTCGTACAATCTACTATTTAACATCTCCTTTGCATTGTCAACGCTGGAAGAGAGCACACAAGATACTGATATTTGACTCATGTTTCTTGAGATGTGTTTGTAAAGAATCAACTATAACTAGCCTGGTGCACTGAACTTCCGAGCAGAACCACTCCCGCCATGTGCATCATTTTTCCCACATACCATAGTTAGAAGATCTAATCTATACGCTCGAGTGCTTCACTTCCACCTTCTCATGGACGACCCTTGACTAACTGCATGGTAATCAGTTGCACTACTTCTCATGCAGACTCTTGATTCAACCCGGCAGTTGTTGCACGCGTATTGCCCAACTGGATCATTCCGTCGGTACCCCTTTGCTTTTTTGCCGAGTACTGTCTGGGTAAGACAACCGTCGAATGGTACACCTGCAGGGAATCTGGCGCCATGAAGCTCAATAAAAGCTCTCGCCTCGTCTCTGACGAGTGCCAGTACCTCCGCATTTGGTACTACCTCTTCGCCGTGCAAAAATTTAAGTCCGGAGTAGTCCAGCTCCGTGGTTATACCAGAATCAATGTGCCGCCGTTTTGCTGGTGGCGTTAAGGAGCGCTCTGCCCGCACCTCGAAGTATGACTTGAGCGCTGACAGCTCTCCAGACAGCTTTGTTATCTCGTTGTGGACCCCAGCAACCGATAAGTTTGAAGCAGTTGAAGCTTCTGCTACTGCTTCTTTGACGTCCTGCTTGATGTCGTCTGCCTGCATCATCCCACCTAGTGGTAGTGATGGGTATCTGGACATACACCATGTTTGCCGTGAGCTGGTTGATCGGGATGTTCTTCACAACATCACCGTAGAAAACCTGAACAGTCTCTTCGGCGGCAAACTCGGGCTTCGCAGGAATCGTGTCGAAGTTGCCGGCAGTGACTGGGTGTAGCGCAGCCAATGCTGGGAGATTGGCTATGGTGTATATCTCCTGTCCAGCAAGGCGGTGGTAGAATGGGCCCCTGAGATGCTGGTGTGTCGTGCGAGTCCAACCACCGAGCCAAATCGAAGAGACGTCGTCATCAATCCTGATGCTCAGGTTCCACGTCTTGGTGTTGCCCATGTACATGCATTTGTCGAACAGGAAGAGGTCAACGTTGTCGTCGGTGGCACCAGCATGTGAAATCAGGTGGTGGAATACTAGCCAAGATGCTGCCGCGCGAGCATTGTGGGTCGAAAACGCTCGTCTTCGAACGGACCGCCGCGGACACCTTGCATCCATCGCGCCATCTTTTGCTGCAGGGCGGTCCGGTTCTGCTGTATGTTCTGCTTGGCTTGCGCAGCTTGAGCCTGTTCAACCCCACTCGAGAACCCAAGCATGACTGCATAGTCAAGGGCCGACATGTTGCTCTTGGTGCAATGTTCCAAGAGTTCGACTTCGTCGGCCAGGATTTACCCCTTTTGAATTGCGAGTCTGGCTCCTTTGTGCTCGTTAGCTCGAAGGTCAGAATGACTGTGGACAAGATTCACTTACATCGATATCGCCCCGACGCTTCTCGGCAGGTACACGAATACTGGCCTGGTTGTCGTGTGTGAAGATCGCGCACTGCTCCGGCTTTTCGATGCCCGCTCACGTCCGCCACATAATGACATCGTCCTTCGTCAGAGTGGCGTAGACAAAGGGTGGGTTGGGTTCGTCATTTGGGTCCTGGAGTTTTCCAACGAGGATGTGTGAGATTAGTGTCGAGGTGAACGGCCGGAGAGTCATCGGCTTCGGTTGGGCGGAGCCTGCTGGCGCTTGGGCGAGGCTGTCAGTAAACACACCTTGATATTCTAGGACTGAGTCCCAGGCTGCTCCAAGGGTGGGCTTACAGCCGAACCTCTTCCAGCCATCAGATTTCTCAATTGAATGGTCGGGTGGAGTCATAGCGAAGAACTCGTTGAGGTTGGCATGTATCAAGTCTCGTCTTCTCACAGTGCTCACTTCCTGGCGCTGCGCTGGCGTCTTCCTCTCCCATTGAACCCAGAACTTGGCGGCATAGTGAACTACGTGAATGGCGCGGCGCTCTATCTCAGGAAGCCGCTATGGCTCGATGTCCATGTCGAGGAGAGGGTGGTTAGAGCTGCTACGAGGGTGAGCCACAGGGCAGGGTAGGCTGAAAGGTGATATCGGATGCTGACCAGCTAGAGAAGCGGCAGAGTAGCGGAAGTGGTAACTCAAGCAAAGAGTGAGCTTGGGACAAACGAGTGCTGGGAGTTGATCTTACCGGTTGGGAGAATGGCGGGGCAGTGATATTAGGTGTCAGGTACTGCCACGACGGCGGGTACGAGTGTGCTGGTGGTGCTGTCGACTGTGATTATGGAGATGGGGATGGAGGTGGTAAGCGAGAGGAAGGCGATCAGTGGGTTGACGTAGAGTAGAGGGGGTTTGCCGAGAGACTTCTGGACGGCGAGGTGAAGTTGATGATTTCCAGTGCAATTTCCAAGGTGAAGGCAAATTATGTATTGCTGTATTGCCTGCTTCATCTCATCCTTACTACTCACGATTCACGTAATTTCAGTCCGGGCGGACAATTTGACTCATATACCAGTCTACTTCCTCAAAATGAGCTGCAACGCAACTCATGGGCAACGATCACCCTCCTCTCTTCTATGATTTTATAATTACGTTCACGCCCTCATTAATCAAAGCTGTATTCGTTCAGCCTCTCACGGCAGTCTGAATATCGGTCTTGCCTTGCCTGGAGCCTAGAGTGTCTTGCACATTTTGTATGTCACTTCACTTGAACACCGGTGCCAAGGCCAGCTCCTTTTAAACACTGCCTCACCTCTACTCACCTCCATCTCACCTCCACTCACTTCTAACTTATCTCTACTCACCTCCATCCACTTCCACCCACTTCCACCCACTTCTACCCACCTCCACTCACCTCCGTCCTGGCAATGGCTGCCATCAGACTCTACCATGCCCCTCAAGCTGCTGGAGCGCCTCCTAGCATGGTTCGAGCAGCCTGCCGGCAAAGATGTGTTACTGGAAGCACGCAAACAAGCGCTGGGCCGGGCGACGACCACCTGGAAAGACACCAAACCCCTCGGCAACATCCAGTGCATTGTGACGGTGCCCACCACAAATGTCCAGGCGAAACCGCTTGGGTCAGTCCATACCCTGAGCAAGAGCAACAGCGTGCTGACACTGTCGGTGCACACGCAACGCCCGCTTGTCAATCTGCGGCTGAAGTCGAGCGTGAGTGGTGAACACGACGATTTGCTCAGCTTCGACCCCGACTACCTCAAGAACATCGCCGTCATCGAGCTGACGGAGAGCACTGTCGGCCGCCAGCAGTACACGTCCGAGTACGCCAACGTCTACGCCAGTGCAACATCCTGGAGTGTGAACGACACAGGCGAGTGGCGTCAGCAAGCCACTGCCGAAGGGAAGTCGCCCCAGATGATCAACAAGCTCTTCCGCATCCACATGCAGCTGTGGCCGAGCGACGATGCTCGCCGCACCTGGTGTGTATACAAACAGGACACCACCAACCGGGGCCTTCACGGCCCGGTTCATACTTTCACGGCAGCCTTGCTCGACGAGGCCACCGACATCATCGTCCACGTCCGCATTCCCGACGGCAAGTGGGCCTATGTCTCCGAGAACCTCATGTTCCTCAAGGAGCTACTTGCGCTCAGGCACAGCATGCCAATGCTCAACCGCGGCCCGCAGTCCAACTTCCTCGCAGCGCGCGAAGACGACTTCGACGACGAGGCTCGCGAATGGGCAGCATACCACATCTTCCGTGAGAAGAAGTCAGTCCCAACCCGCCCTCCGTGGACAAAGGTCCAAGACCTGAACAGATATGCGCCAATGTTCTCAGACCAAGAAATCACCAACGTCCCCCGGAAGATGCTGGCTGGCGTCGATGGCGGGCTCGCCGTCCTCACTGGCTACGAAGGATGCGGCAAGACGACGACGGAGAGCAAGACCTGGCTCTGCTTTGGGCTGCTCGGCCTGAAGGTCCTCGTCATTGCGCACAGCAACACCGCCGTTGACGTGGCACTGAGGCAGTACGTCGAGAAGACGCGGGACTATCTGGCCGCAAAGGCGCTGGGGCAAGCCACCATGGTCGCAACGAGCGCTGCCATGGCTCTGCAGGTAGCAGCACTGGGCTACAAGCCTGACCTGATCTTCATCGACGAGGCCTCAACCATGAACCCCCTCGACGCCATCCACGCCCTGCTCCCATTTGGAGATGTGCCGCTTGTGGGCATTGCTGGAGATGTCAGACAGCTCGCCCACATCTGCAAGTCAATGCAGTCGAAGCAGAACCCGCTTGGAACCTTCCTAGAGCGGTCGATCCTGGAGCTCTGGGCGGCCGCCAACCCCGTCGTCGAGCAGATGCCGTGCCGATTCAACTACCGCCAGGTCCGCGAGCTCTTCAACTTCTCCAACGCGACATTCTACGCTAATGAGATGAGCCTTGGTGCCGGCGCCGCTGCGAGGGAGAACACGCCCTTCTCTGATGCTGTCCGCCGCGCCCTCCAAAATGGAAACAACTTTGCTAGGCTGCTCCGAGGTGCGTGCCGGAACAACCGCAGGCTCATCGTCCTCGACGTTGACTCACAGGATGAGAAGTCATCGAGCTCATCACGATACAACTTGGGTGCACTCCGACTTGCTGCTCGCCTGGTTGTGGCACTCGGATCGCAGCGAGTCGACAGGTGGACAGCGGCCTTTATCACGCCGTACGCGGCTGATCGCGACCTGTGAAGCCAGTGCCTGCGAGATCTTCAACGCCCTCAATAACTGTGGTAGCTGCGTCTGATCTTCCCACTCGCAAACGGCGTCCAGCGAGTAAAGATGTCTGATCAGACACAGTTACCACAGTTTGCCAATGGCGGGAATCCCGGCCAATATTCCAACTAGTTTCAATCAGACCGATTTCGTGCACCGCTGAAAGCAGCGGCGCGAGCCGACGAAGAGCTTAGCAAACAAATCGCAGCTTCTGGTCAAAAGATTCTGGACTGCGACACAAAGATCGCAGAGCTCTCGTCACACATGCGAATACTTCGAGCTCGGCCTACCTATGAAAAGGAGTTCAAGGCCACGCAGGAAGAGCTGAATGCCACCCAAGCAGAGCTACGCAAGCTCCAGGCTCAGCCCACATTCAGGAAGGAGCTGAATGATGCTCACAACCAACTTCGTAGTCTCCAAGCACGGCCGACCTACAAGAAAGAGCTCGAGGCCGCACAAGCAGAATTGAATGCCACACAAGCAGAGCTACGCAACATCCAGACTCAGCCTACTTACGAAAAGGAACTGAAGGAAGCTCAAGATGAACTTCGCATCCTCCAGGCTCGGCCTACATACGAGAAGGAGTTTAAGACCACGCAAGCAGAGCTACGCATCCTCAAGGCTCAACTCACATACGAGAAAGAAATAAGGGAAGCTCAAGACGAACTTCGTAGCCTCCAGGCTCAGCCCACGTACGAGAGGGAGCTGCAGGTGTCGCAGACCACGTTGAGAGCCTCCCGTGAGGAGCTCAGGCTGGCGAACCAGGCCTACACCACATCTCAACAGAGATGTAACACGCTGGAACAACGTATGGAGGGCATGGTTGACCGCGAGAGGCTAGATAGTGTCATGCGGGAGGCAGAAGAAGTATTCTGGTTGATGAGAAAAGAGAGGTTGGTGGCGGATGCACGAATCCAAGCCCTGAAAAGAAGTTCCTGGGCATTGTTCGAGGCCATCGAATCCAATGGAGTACTCAACCAACAGGTTATCTCTGGTCCGGTAGCTGAACTAGCTCAGTGTCGGAGTGACTTCGCTGGCCTTCAAGACGCGTGGAACGCAGTCGTGAGCAGGTTCGAAACGTGGTGTAATCAGTAGACTGGAAGGCAGACGTCATGTGGTAGATCAATGCTAGAAATGTATAACACACGGGAGACATGGTCATCCACCATCTCTGTCATTCACCACCTCAGTCATTCATACGTGGAAGCTTCCCCTTGCCCTTGCCAGCAACCAAGATTGCCTGCATGTCCTTCTCCAAGTTGAATCGCTCCCTTGCGTAGTACTCCATTAGTATTCTAGGATCTGATACGAGCACGGATGTTAATGCTGGATTCTAGTCATTCGCTTTCAAAGATATTGGGTTTAGCCAAATTTCGGATTTTGATCTTACTGGAGACGCTCTTCGAGTGCGTCGCAGAACCGCGATTATGGATTGGATGTAGTTACTGCATATCTATCACTTCCTCTTCCACTTGCCTGAGTTGCTCAATGTACCCTGCCAGTATCCCCGCCTGACGCGTCACTTCCAGCTGCATAATCTCATGACGAATGCTCGCCTCCCGTTCATGGTTCTCCAAGTACACAGCGTCATTGTAGTTTGCAAACCTCAAGTACTCATCGGCGGTGAAAGATAAAGCGGACGTGCAGCTTCCCCCTGCGCCTCCTATGTTGAACCCAAATCCAGAGTAGTGATATGCGTTCGCCATCCGCGCGAGCACAGCCTCCATCACTGATTCCTGGTTTGCATTTTCCAGCAGAGCCACAACGTGCTGGTCGACGCGGAACTTGGTCTCGCCGAATTCGTCGATGCATATGGATTCGAAGAGATTCATGACTTTGGTAGAACCTCTGTGCGCACGATGGTCTCCTAAGCGCTTCCAGAGCGATTGCGTGTAGCCAATTTCTGCCAGTGGCCGACGTTCTGGGTGCTGGTCCCACTGGAGGCGTTCCTCAAGTGCATCGCAGAACCGCAGCGTGTTCGCGATCCTCGCGGTGGAATTTGATTGTGGTGGGTTAGCCTAGTCAATGTCGCAAAGGTAACGCCGGTATCCATTCATAGACCAGTTCAGATGCCAATTGTCACCGCTGACGTGGGTATCGACCCGGTATGCATCCTGGTGATTATTCTTTGCGTCGCAATATTCTCGCATCCGCTTGATGATTCTATGTAGCTGAGGTGAGTCCGGGCCCAGGCCATCCTTTGCATCAACCATGTATTGGGCGTAGATTGTTGGTTGGACTGGCATATTGTTCAGCCTGGCATCAGCTGCCTCGCCCTTCACGTTGAGATCTCTTGCCATGCTGGGACTTTGGCTCTCTGATAGGCGGTTCAGGAGTGTCCGTACCGCGCTGCCGCTAGTTCTGTAGGTAGCAGGCAAGTCCCCACGCACAAGACAGCGCACGATGGCTTCGTGCATGATCATCAAGCCTTCGAGTGCGGTTTCCTTGAGCATATCTTCTGGCATTCCTCTCAGTGCCGTGTTTGGATGGCGTAACTCCAGCTCGATAGCGGCATGGGCCAGTGTCTCGAAACTCGAGTCTGGATCGACGTCGAACGGCGCCCTGCCTGGCCTTGAATCGAGCGCAGACGTCATGGTAGGCTAGTACAAGACTGAGCCTGTGGTGATGGATGGTGGTAGTAGAAGACGAGGCTCGCAGAAGAGAGTTGGAGCGAGAGTTGCAGCGAGAGGCTGGCACAAGGCTGAGCCTGTAGTGATGGATGGTGGTGATGGAGGACGAGGCCTGTAAAAGAGAGCTGCAGCGAGAGTTACAGCGAGAATTGTAAGGGTAGGCTAGCACAGAGGCCAAGCGTGTAGTAGTGGTGATGATGGAGGATGAGGCTCGCAGAGAAGAGTTGTAGCGAGAGTTGCAGCGAGAGTTGCAGGGGAAGGCGCAACCGACACCGAAACAGCAGGAGCGCACCTAGGACTTACAAATATGTCACGATAGGTTAGAAATACATGTCATCGGTGCTAGTTCCTCCATTCAGCGGTCAGTCTCGTAAAGGCCGACACGCTGCGAGCCGTGAATGCGATGATGCGGTACGAGACACCCGTGAAGCCCTCGAGGATCTCGTCTTCAACTACCTCCCAGGCCAGAAACACATTGCCCATGCGGGCTTCGGGCTCCAGCTCCAACCACAAAAGTGACATTTTCGAGGCAGCAGGCTCAAACCAAACGTTATTCGGACCTTGGACCCAGCCCTGCTGCAGTGGCTCCTCGTAGTGCAATTCGCCGGGAACCGACCCCAGGAAAGATCCGGCTTGCAAGTCAAGTGGACAGACAAGCCCGGTATCCAGCGCAACTGTCATCGAAGCAAAGTTGTGCGTTTCCATGCCAGCATATCCCACTATACGCATCGCACTGGTCGAGATGTTGGTTGCCGTCCGTACACCTCCCACATACGAGATGTTGGGGAACACTGTCGCGTGGCGAAAGGCTGCCCTTTGTGAGGCCCACGTCGTGCGGTTGACATTCACTGCATGGGCAGAGACCTGGACTCCGTTGGCCAGTCGAACCAGGCTCTGAGCGGCCGCATGTCGTTGTTCGGCGTCTAATCCCCGCCATGGAAAAGCACATAGCTCTTCCATGCATGGCCCGACAACGTCTTCCCAGTCACTCATGATGTCTTTAGAGGTGTTGTCAGTCGCCATCGGCTTCATCATTGGTGTATTAAGTGAAGGTTGTGCGAGGGCAATGAGAAAGTAGTAATTCTTCTCCTTCCAGCGACGCAAGACCTCAAAAGCCTTGTGGGTACGAGACTTAAACGTGTATATGTCCAGAGAGGTACTATCGTGGCCGAGGGACTGAGCAACTTTGTTTTCAAATTTCTTGTACAGCTCACGCTGCTTTGCCGTTCGGTTTGACGAGCTGCAGCCCTGCAAGCCTGCATCGACAAATTCGCGCCTGAGGTCCAGAACTCGCGATTTGTTGAGGTTTATAACCATGGCGGCTTTCTTGTGGTCCAGCTCCATCTTGCCCATCAGGTCAAGCTTGTAGCCGACTGGATCGCTCTCGTTGGCTGGTACCTGGATCCCATCTATAATCTGAGCGCCGGATGCCACAGTTGGCAGCTCGATCTTCGAGACCAGATTCTGCTGCCTAAACGCTTGGAAGGTCGAAGAGAAGAACGGGCTCAAACTGCCTGCATTTTTCGATTGCACGAGCGCGCTGGCGGCGAACGAGGTGGCTGGCAACGTGACAGCTATGGCACGCACGACAGAATCCGATGCGTACGCCCGGATGTGCGGCACCAACACCGACGCATACCCGATTTGCTGGTGCCATTTGGCTTGTCTCAACGCATCCCGGCGCGATAGTCCGAGATCTGAGCCTCGAGAAGTCAACATTTCTGTCCCCCGATGGCAGATTTGCTGCCCCTTCACAGTGTAAGAGTTCTGGCTAGTCAAACTGGAGTATCGCGAGGCTGCCTCCGCATGGGCTGTGTCTTGTCGGGGGGCGAGTGGCTCCGAGGGCAAAGTCGTTGAGTTCTGCTGTGCCGCTCGTATTGGAAGAGTGTGTCGTCCATGGACCGAAGGCGGCGTGAGTGGCTTTGCTAGGGCCGAGAGAGCGTTGAGTTCTTCATGCTGTTTTGCGTAGCCCTTGGTCTTGGATATTTTCAGTCGGTCTTGTATCATATCCTTGGTGTTGGGAGTTCGACACATGTCACGCGTGACCAGGTACTCGGCGACTGTTGCAAGTTAGGAACCATGTCAATCATCGCCGATACAACTTACTCGTCATACAGAAGTGTTCTTTCATCGCCGCCAGACCTGTCTTGGAGAGCTCCCATCGCTGATGATGCACAACTTCGTCTAGCACATGCCCAATTTGCTCTGGGATCATGCCGTAATGAATACAGTCCGTTATCATCTTCAGACCGGGGCGCTTTGCGTACTTCAGTGACGCTTCGAGTTTGCTGTTGAAATGCTGCCTGAGCGTCTCTATCTCGTTATTCGTGAGTGGGCGCGCCCCAACTTCGCGTACCAACTGCCCAATACGAGCGTGGGTTGCCATCTTGAGCGAACTCGATGCTGTGAGGTGAGTGAATAAGAGGAGTTGAGTAAGTCAGAGTTTATATTCCTCGTCAAGCTTCTTTCACCTCGCCCCACATATCTTGGAAGAGTATGAAGCGAAAGCCGGCCACAACTTTCGCAACCTGAGGCTCAAACTTGGACAACCTCGCCCTCCATGACAAACGGCGACGCAAACGAAGCCAGCCTGGCGTTGCTTCCACAGCCATTGCAAGGCGAAGCCGACGTTCACGACCTCTTCCACGACCTCCCACTCCCACGCCCTGAGCCTGGGTTCAATGGTTACAAGACGTTAGCTGAAGTGCCTGTGGCAAGGTTCCGGTCCAAGTACCAGGCCAACGAGGTAAGTCACTGAACGATCCGCCCCTCGACTATCTCACTCACCAGCCCAGGTAGCTTCTAGCCGTTTATCTGTACGACCGCGACACCTTCCGCAAGCTCTTTATCACTGCCAACCGCGCGTGCGATGATGGCGATAGACTCTGGATCGACCTCTTGGAGCGCATATGGCCATCAAGCTACATGGAGGCCGAGAACCACGCACGCCCCGGCAAGGTCAGGCTTCTGGTCAACCAGGCAGACAAGGAGATGCTCGATGGGGTGATGGAAGGCGAGCAGGAGCAGGCCTTCGCTGTGCTTGGCTCAACTGCACAGAGTCACCTGCTTGCGGCGCCGATGACCACCCAGAAACTCGCCATGAAGCCGTGTTTCCAACCCAAATTCGACCTCGAGGCCGTGCAGGTGTTCCCTGAGGAGAAGTCTACGAAGCAGAAGATTGTCGAAAGGGCCGTTCTTGATAACCGGGAGTTGAATGAGGCTAGAAGCTTGCTCTCCGACGAAGTCATGGAGGAGCTGGCATACGCCACGCTGCGACTGCTTTCCAATAACTCCTCATGGGAAGACTTCGCTACCGCTCACGATTGAGGTGGAGCATTTTCGTGTCTCGTCGGGTTCCACTCACATCATGCCTCCTCGACACTGATAGGTAGTCAAATTCAATTCTGTGATACACGTTCATCTTCTGCTGCCTTGCGATACTTGTCTAGTCTGTGATTTCTAGGATTTCTGAACCATGTTCACGCCCTCATCAATCGAAAGGGGTCGTCTATGCTTGAGTTACTCTTTGATGATTTCATGTCTGGGATGGACTCAGCTCCCTCGAAACTGCGTTATATTGATGAAACCATTGATTATCATGAGTTTGAGTCTGCTCCACGTTAATGGGTTGATGGATTGATTTGATTTGATTTGACTTCTCAAAAAATAGTGATGATGTGGACGTTCACTCATCCACTCATCCACCCATCCCCCGCCAAATCCCATCAGTAATGAAGTATCCGTCAATCCCTTCTACGAAGAAAGCATAGAACGTAAAAGAGTGGACAAATCAGAAGGAAAACAATAAATCGACTTTTTTGGTCATAGATAATCTACCACTACGTACACACAGTATACAATAAAATACAATCTCTCCACTTCACTCTTCAACAACGCCCTCACACCGCTTACACAGCTCCTCATGCCCCTCCCTCACAAACCGCCAGCACCGCGCGCACTTCTCCGCCGCAGGAGGATGCACGACGATCTTCGCGTTTTCGAAAGAGCTACTAACGACAGGCTGTTCCTCACGCCACGCCCACTGCTGCGCATCCACCTCCCTCACCCCATCCAAGCCGCGCACACGAAACGCGCTCACGACGAACAGGCCCGCGAACTGGTCGTCCAGCGCGTCGACACCCGCGCGTGTGCAAGCGACGAAGCAGTCCTGCAGCGCCTTGAGCGCAGGCGCGGGGAGCAGCAGAGCGACGCCGGATTCGAGGCTGGAGCCGATTTTCTTGTCCGCGCGGAGACGCTCCTGTGCTGTATTTACCGCCGAGCTGATATCCGCGATGTGCGCGAGCATAGCGTCGAGTTGCTGTGCGGTGTCGGGGGATTGGGCGAGCGGAGTCCAGTGTGCACGCGCGGGGTGGGTAGTACTCGTCTGTAGGGGCTGGGGGGTGTGGTGCCAGACTTCCTCTACGAGGAGGGGGCAGATGGGGGCGAGCATGTGGAGGAGTTCGAAGAAGATGCGGCCCAGGACGCGTTGGAGGTGTTGGCAGTCGTGCTTGTCGCCTGTGTAGATGCGGTCTTTTAGCGTTTCGAAGTAGAAGGCTGAGAGGTCGTTGGCGATGTATTTGTTGATTGTGTTGATGCCTTTGGAGAACTCGTAGTCGGTGTAGTGGGCGTGCACGGCGTTGCTGACTTGCTTCAGGCGGTGGAGAGCTAGTGTGTCGGTGAGTAGGGGGAGAGGTTGGTTCTCCAGGTCTTCGCTGCGGAGAGTGGTGAAGGATGAGAAGGGTGGCGGGCAGGAGGGCAGCGAGAAGATCCCCAGCAGCCACTTGAACGTTACGCGGTATTTGTGGAGGGCTTGGTTGACAGACAAGAGGACTGGCTGGCCGATGGTGACATCCCGTGTGTAGTCGCTGCTTGCAGCCCAGAGACGGAGAGCATCCGAACCCATGGCATCATAGGTGGGAGTGGAGTCGTTGATGGGCTCTTTAGTGGCGCCCTTGCCTTTCTGTTTCTTCCTCTTGATGGGTGGGAGCAGTTCGCCCGACATGATCTGAGACGGGGAAATGACATTGCCCAGAGACTTGCTCATCTTGCGGCCTTCCGAGTCGAGCGTGAAGCCGTGTGTGATCAGAGTCTTGTAGGGAGCCCTGACAGTGGCAGCGTCATAGGGCTGAGTGGCGACATGTGTGAGGAGTGAGGATTGGAACCATCCACGGTGCTGATCGGTGCCTTCGAGATATACATCGGCGACGGGTTGATCCTCCTGACGTGGGAGAAGGGTCCAGCTGGTACCGCTGTCAAACCACACATCCATAGTATCTTTGCCCCGGACATAAGTACCAGACAGGTGTTCCGGCTTCCAGGCTGGGTCGTCCTGGGCATCGGTCCACCAAGCATTGATACCGCGCTCCTTGATCACACCAATGACATGTTCAATGATTTTCGAATCCATGGCCGCTTCCAGAGTCTCGCCCTCAACTTTGTACAGAGCAGGAATGGGTACGCCCCAAGCACGCTGACGCGAGATGCACCACTGGCTTCGCCCTTGAATAAAGCTTTCCAGCCGGGAACGTCCAGTTTCAGGCTTAAAGTTCACGTCGGTGATTGCCTTCATTGAGGCGTTTTTGATGTTTTCCACGTTTGCGAACCATTGCTCGGTTGCCCTCACGACGACGGGCTGCTTAGTCCTCCAGTCGATGGGGTATTTGTGGCGATAGTTGTGTCTCCCACGCAGGAGGCCCTCCTTCTTGAGGAAGTTGCACACAGCGTTACTTCCTGTTCTCTTGACATCCGACACGGGTAGTCCTTCGAGAAGCTCGGGCTGCTCCGGGAAAGCGTACTTGGTGAACGCGCCGGCATCGTCGATTGGAGCAAAGGCCGGAATACCCATAACGCTGCAAACGTTGTAGTCGTCCATACCGTGGCCAGGCGCAAGATGAACAAGACCCGTACCAGAGGCATCTGTGACGAAATCTGCGTGAATGACAGGCTGGAGTCCGTTCGCCCGTTGGAAGGGATTCTCATACTCGAGGCTGCCCGCAAGGTCAGCGCCTCTCAATCCAGGTAGTACGACGACAAGCTCGCGCTCGATGGCCTTCTGGTATTCGGCCACACGTGATGCCGCGACCAGGGTCAAATCGCCGTCGTGGTCCACGTCCTTGACTATGCAGTACTCCATGTCCCTGTGCACAGCGACCGCCTTGTTCGCTGGCAGTGTCCAAGGCGTCGTGGTCCAGATAGCCAGACCGATGTCGCCCTCGATTCCTTTCAGCGCGCCACTCTTCAACGCCGGCGACAAGTGCAGCGGAAAGCGCACATACGCGGCCAGACTCTGGTGGCCCTCGTCGTACTCGAGCTCGGCCTCGGCGAGGGCGGTTGTGGAACTCGGACTCCAGTAGACGGGCTTGAACTGGCGGTAGATCAGACCCTTGGCGAACATGGCGCTGAAGACATCAAGCTGTCTGAGCTCGAAGTCGCGGTTCATGGTCGTATAAGCGTGGTCCCAGTCGCCCATGACAGCCCACTCGCGGAATCCACGCTTCTGCTCTTCGATGGTGCGCGCCGCCAGCTTGTGCGCCGCCTTCCGCACGCTCACAGCATCCGTGTTGGCCGCATCCTGTTTCTGGGCCTGCAGCGCCTTAATCTCAATGGGCAGGCCATGGCAGTCCCAGCCAGGCAGGTACGACACTTTCTTGCCCTGCCCCACCTGGAAGCGGCAGATGATGTCCTTGGTGATCTTGTTCAGCGCATGGCCGACGTGGAGCGGCCCGTTTGCGTACGGTGGCCCATCGTGGAGCGTGAAGGTCTCGGGTGGGGTGTGTTTGTGCTGGAAGCGAGCCTCGCTCTGCTGCCACGCATAAAGCTCATCGGTGCACCGGCGGAGGTATTCTGACCTCGCCGTGGGCAGTGGGCGCGGCGGGAAGCTCGATCTGGGCAGGCGGAGCGTGGACGACCATGATGCGCGGAGGACTCGAGTCGGGGCTAGCATTTCAGCATCGTGGGTGGGTGTCGCATCTGCGCGTCGTCGTTGGAGCTTCCCGCATCTTTTTTGCGGGGCTTTGACTTGCCACGGTGATGTCTCGGGTGGATCGGAGATGGATCGGCACATCATACTTTGGATTAATCATTTATCATGGTGGTGAGTTCTATATACTCTACTGTGTGCAATCTTTGATGAGTTGTGATTAATCATTTTTTTGTCTCAGATGATCAGTGAATATTCGTGAATGTACCACTTATTCCATCTCCTTCAACTCGCCATGCAATACCTAAAGTCAACCCTCTACGACGTCTTCCCTGTAATCTTCTCATAAGCTTCTCGGTACTTCTCCGCCGTCTGCTTGACCACATCTTCCGGCACCTTGACGCCCTCCTTCCCCTTCAATCCATTACTCGTCAGCCAGTCCCGCAAGAACTGCTTGTCGAAGCTTGGTTGCGCCTTGCCCAAGTTCTCTTCCCACGTCTCCCGCGGCCAGAAACGAGAGCTATCCGGCGTCAAAACCTCGTCTACCAGGATAACGTTGTCGTTGGCGTCGAGTCCAAACTCAAACTTCGTGTCTGCAAGAACAATGCCAACAGATTCAGCACGGGCTGCTGCTGCAGAGTAGATCTTGAGGCTGAGTTCTTCGACTTTGGCGGCGATGGCCTCGTTGTTGATGATCTTGCGGGCCGCTTCTGGGGAAATGTTCTCGTCCTTGTCGCCCAGTTCGGCCTTCGTGGATGGGGTCCAGAGCGGTTGTGGGAGCTTTTGGCCTTCGATGAGTCCAGCAGGGAGTTGGATTCCATTCACAGTCCCGGACTTCTTGTACTCGGACCACCCAGAGCCAGTGATGTAGCCGCGGACTATGGACTCGATTGGGATGATGCGCAGGCGACGGACTTGCATGCTCCGGTCTTGAAATTCTGAAAGATCTGAGATGGCTGATGGCAGGGAGTTGGTGATGTAGTGAGTCTGGAGACCCGGAACTTGGCTGACGAGGTACTTGAACCAATATATGCTCATGGCTGTGAGAAGTGCGCCCTTGCCTGGAATGCCCTGGTGTCATGTTAGTGATTATAGTTGTCGAGTCGAGTAATACAGGTGTCAATCGAGTGTTAAAACTTCCAACGTTGTAAACTCACATTCTCCATGATCACATCATAAGCCGAAATTCGGTCGCTCGCAACGAACAACAGTGTGTCATCGTCAATCGCAAAGAGATCGCGGACTTTGCCAGAAGCTACTTTTGGCAGCTTATCACGCATGTCGATGCGGACAACCGTGTTGGAAGACATTTTGGTTGAGTTGGTTGAACAGCTGACTGTTTTTGGGAATTTGTGTAACTGCAGTTGCGTCGACTAATTTTATGCGGGGCATAACGTTGACATTAACGCGTGAGTGGGGCCGCTGTGGCTTGTGGCGCAGGCTGGCGATCGTTTGATGCACGCGGGACTCCACTGTTGGCCCAGCGATATCCCGTTCCTGTCCAAAGCGTAGATTTGCCTATCCATTTCCGAGCATACCACAACTTCAGGACTATCATCTATTTCATCATCCTACCTTGTTACTCCGAGTTGTCGCCTAACTTTCACGACGTGAGGTCTGCGTAGATCGCTTCACGCCAGGCTGAGGCTAGGCCCAAACTCTCCCTTCATTCGCGCTCCGTTCATCGTCTTACCTCTCGCTGTAAATGTTTCCATCCCAAAATGACTGCACCTCAGTTCACAGTCTTGATCAGACTCCCTTTCGTTCGGGGCAGTTTTGTTGATCCGCCACAGGTAAGCCGTCTTGATCTATGTCGGTAACCGCCGTCTAACCTTCAAGGCGCAATGGGATGCCGAGAAAGACCGCCAGCTATGGAAAGTCATATCCAAAACCTCAAAGACTAGCGATCTCAACTGTAAGTTTTGTCTTGATGAATGGCTTTTTGAGTACTGACCTGACTTGAACAGGGGTCGAATTGTATGTTTCTGCCTATTAAGAAAAGAATCCAACACGTTGATCAATATATAGGGCAATTAAGTTTCGCGTTCCTCCCACGTTTCTCTTACAGCAGGCAGCATGGCTGTATGAGCGACATCTGCAACATGTACGGGACCAGATGAAGAAAGTCACCGTTCCAGCTGCGGTGGCTGCTGCTTCCCCTAGCGGCAGCAACTTCAATCCTCTCAGTGGGGTTGCGATGCAGAGAACTGGGAGTGGTGGCTCGGAAGGTTAGTCAAACTCTCAGCTGCCGATGATTCGCTGACAACGAAGCAGCTCCGAGGACTCCAAGGACAGTACCTGCGCTACCCGTGCAACAGTGGGATAGTCCAAACATTCGAGGGGGCGACACAATAACCGCTGGTGAGAGCAGTCTTTCATAGCCGATTAGTTTGTAGCAACACAAAACCTAACGCATGCAGGTCCTTTACTCTCACGGACACCATCTACAACCACACTAACTCAATCCCGAGCATACGCCCAGCAAGTGCCTAAGCGGATTCCATCCACGCTTTCAGCCCAGCGGTCAAACAGCCGGAGATCAGAAGATCAAACAAGCATGGCTCCCAGCGACCCACACGATTCGGTGAACTCTCCAAGTGTATTAGATTCATCTTCGTCAGGCTCGTCTTCCCTATCAGACACGAACCACCCAGCCCATCGAAGTCAACTGTTCAAGCGCCCGCCACGCTTCCGGCAACAGCGCCCGCAGGACCTGGCAACATTCGAAGAAGGCGACGGTACGCAGGAGGCAGAGCACTCCGGTTCGCATGGCCACTTACCCCTGCCCTTCGCATCCGCAGCGAGGCGCCAAAACGAGAGGGAGGCATACACGCAAGACATGCCTTTCCGCGCAAGCACCAGACGTGAACAGAAAGCCCCTCAAACCGATGGCGCGAGCAATCCCACACCTACCAGGCACTTGCAGCAAGATGATCAGCAGTCGCAGGCATCGACCGAGACGGCATCGTCGATAACGAGCTTTGCTGACGATGCAGCGAAACTCGCACCGATTAGCCCCATGAGTCCGCCTGCGAACCACCGCGCGGAGCTGGCGAGACTGGGCAGTCCGAGGGCTATGGGATTGAGGAAGGAGGGTAGTGAGGGCACGCCGAGTATGGGCAGCAGTTTTAGTGATATTGATGGTATGTTGGTGTGTTTTGTGGGTGTTTGACGTTACTGACTTGGATAGATGCGGGGATTAGCCAGTCGGCGTTGGAGGAGGCACTGCTGAGCAACATGCAGCATGGCAAGATGAGCACGTTCAGTCGGATGTCGCGATATCTTTGAGTATGCATCTTTCGGGTAGTGTCACATAACTGGGTTGGTTATATCGGAGTAATCTCGCAGGTTGAGGATTTCAGGTTGGATAGAAAGGTCATTTCACTCCCCTCAAGCTGCTTTCACTTATTACATCACTTCACCTACTCAGTAGGCTGTAGTTAGTCTTGGCGTTATCATCTGCTTCTCTCAAACTCGCACATTTCTTCCCTTTTCACTCTCTTTTTCACTCATCCACTCACTCACCAATTCTACTAAACCACACCACCAACCCACCAACACGCACAAATGCCCTCCCCCCCACAACCTACAATCCAAATCCTAATCTCAGACCACACCTCCCACCCCCCAATAACCCAAACCTACATCTCCATCTCGCCCTCCCCCTCCCCTCCCAAAACCCTCACGCTCTCCCTCCCAACCCTCCACACCTCCCTCCACCACCTCTCAACCTCCCCCACCCCCTCCCTCGAAGTCGAGAAATTCTGGTCCACAACCGCCCCCCTCCTAGACTACACCGCCTCCTTCCTCCCCACCGACACCCCCCAAATGCAGAGTATCTGGTTCCACCACCTCACGACCTGGCGCCGCATCGGTCTGCACATCGCAGCCACAGACGCCGTCTTCGCAGCGCAATTCAGCGCCACGCTCGACCTGCTGCGCCGTATAGTCGGGGAAAAGATAGTGCATGCGCATGGGACACCGGAGTCGTGGGTTGTCGGCGTGCAGGCTTGGGGGCAGTTTTTGGTGGGTGGGTCGCCGGGTTGTGCTGATTATCTTTATCCTTTGGCAGAAGCGCAAGGGGAAGAGGTGGAAGGGGATGGAAAAGGGAGAGGGAGGGTGAGGTATATTCCCGCCCCCGCCTTGGCGATAATACACGCGCACACTCAACGCGCTGTACGTCTTTCCTCATCTTCCTCCCTACCGCAAGACGCCGGCCCGCTGCCAACGCTCACGTTCCCCTCCCCTTCTTCTCCTTCCGCCTCGACTACGACAAGCACAGGCACGTATACGTACCGCCTTCTCAACGGCGCGCACGCTATTCGGCGGTATGTCGGGTATGGGGATCCGGGGATGTTGGTAGGCGCGCCGGGGTTGAATCTGGTGGATGAGTGTGTGGGGGTTTGTCGGGGGGTGGGGGCTTATGGGATGGTTTCTGGGGTGGTTTCTGGGGGTGGAGGGGAGGGGGAGGCGTTTGATATGTGGGCTGTGTGGGAGGGTGAGGGGACGGGAAAGGATGGAAATGGATGGGGAGAGTTGTTTGGAGCGTGGTGTGAGGAGGATATCTAGGGTGGTGTGAAGGATGGAGAAATGGATGGGATGTGATGAGACTTTTGCGATAGAATAAATTTCATTATGTACAGTGTTAGAACGCCTTGCTCACAAGTATGTACAGCTCAATATTGTATATGACCCTCGCGCTTTGTATTGTAAAAACATTATTCGTAAATATTCAATTATTTCAAAGTATATTGCTTCATTTCAATGTCTCCAATTTAGAAAAAAGATTCACGCACACCTACACGGAGTAGTCGTCCTTTACGCGCCTCTGCGAGTCGGTCTCAATGAAACTTCCTCGGCTCCTGTTGGATCTCGTGGAGCGGTTGCGTTTCATCTTTCGCGAGGAGCGGTCACCACCCAATGCGCCACCGAGGCAGAACATGATGGTGGCAAGGAAGAAACAGGCCATGGACGCCCAAGCAAAAGCGAGCAGGTACTTGCCGATGTGTGCTTCACTGCCGGAAGAGCGGAAGGCATTACGGCCCTTGACGACCCAGACGCTAGGAGCTGTCAATATATGTCTGCAGCATGTAACATAGTAATGAACCTACGTGAGCAGTGCAGCAGCAGCAGACTGGAAGAAGAGTGCGACGGACGTTGTCATGCCCGAGAGATATCCGCCCAGGCGACTGCAGAGCGCGAGAACGCCTGAGAAAAGGGCGATGACGGCAAAGAAGAGGGCAATCAGGTAGAAGGCGAACATGAAGCGGGAAAGGTAGTAGAATGTGTGAGTTCTGGCTATTGTCAGCTGACTTTCTCTCTCATCGACAGGCTGTGACCGTACCCAATGAATTGCTGGGGAATGCCCTGGGTAGTGCCAAAGTTTCTGGGTGGGTCAAATGGCAGTGCTGGAACGGGAGATCCGCAGTTGGCATTGTATCCGGTGGATGGGTCGGTCCCGCAGATGGCGAAGAAAGTCCATCGCGATGGGTTGCGCGCGTTGGAGATGCCGCTTGTGGATGCTTCGAGGAAGTAGAAGCGGTTCAGAGGCGCGCTGTTGATGCCGCCGGTCAAGATTGTGAAGATCTGGAGGAGAATGCCACCACCGAGCAGGATCAGCGAGGCGATAGCCAAAAGTGGTCCTGGACGCAACGTCAGAATTGTGAGAAATGGACATGGAGCAGTAGATCACGCACTCGCAGGACCAGCCATTTCAGATGGTGTCAAGGGTAACTGTTGGAGAGGCTGGGGATTGATGCGGTGAGATGGATCTGACAGGTGGGTTGTGCGAGGTCTGAAACGGAAACGAGAGGGCAGACAAGGGACTGGCCGAGGTTTTCAAGTTTCGAGGTTTGCGAGGGTGACGGTGACGCTGATGACCTCACCGCACTGGGGTAGAGCAGGTGATCTGCACATGGCTACGCGACGACGCGATCTGCGGTTCCTTGCACATGCCATGCATGCAGCCTGCATCGAAGTTCGTAGTCTAGTCTACATCAACCTTCATCAGTCTAGCCTGCATCGTGAGCTCTGTTCTATCCACCCACCATGTCCACCGCCGTCTGGCCGCCCATTGAGGCTGCCCAACTCGCCGACGAGCAGACGGCGTCGCAGGCGCGCGAGCTCGAATGGCTGCTGGTGCAGCTGCGCGAGACTCTGCAGGCACTCAAGGCGGGCCTCGAAGAATGCGCCGCCCTGCTCGCGCCCTCTGAACACGGCTCGACGCTGGTGCTGTCTTCGGTGCGCTCCGAGAGCCTCAAGGGGCTGGTCACGCGTGTCGGCACGCGCATCGTCAAGGGCGTGCGTCTCTATCTGTCTTGACCCGTATACGTATTCTGACATGCACTCCAGAATGTCAAGCTGCGCCTTGCGAGCCTCCCACCGCCGCGCGGCTCGCCCACGCACGACCTGGTCATCTCGTCGGCGCCGCATGCCCCGACGCTGGTTGTCCCCCAGCTCACGGCGGTGCGCACCGCCATCAACAGCTGCCTGGATGTCATCGACGTGGCGGCCTGGGGCGGCGACGCGACCAAGGCCAGCTTCCTCGCCGGCCAGCTGCAGCTGCTGCACGACCACATCCAAGAAGCCCGCCAGTCGCTCAAGGGCGCCGCGCATGTCCAGCTGCCGTGGTGGGAGGCGCCCGTCGACGACAAGACCTTCGACCCGCCGTTGCCGGCCAACGTCTCGTTCCACCTGTTCGTCTTTGACGCTGCCCTCGTCGTCGAAGTCCGCACCCTCGAGCCGCAGCCGTCGGCCGACGAGTCCTTCTCAGGCTTCAGCATCCGCGACCGGCTGACTGTCGCGCTGGGCGGCACCCGCACGCCTGCCCACGACGAAGCCGACCGCACCTTCAAGTACAAGGGCCAGAACGTGCGCGTCAAGGAGAAGATCAGAGTCGAGAGCCAGGACCCGGCCCTGATCTCAGCCTCTGCCAAGCTCAATGCCCTCGAGCACAGCATGATGCTGAGCCGCAATGCCCTCAATATCGTCATGGGCGGCGATGAGCAGCTCGACTGATTTCGCGTCCAGGGTGACAGCCCGCAATTGCTCACGTCTCCATGGAGCGTCGGTGCCAGTCTGCGGCGAGGGCTTTTCCGCGGGGTTCTCTCGCCCCACTAGCGGCCGATCGCGCGCGATGGCGCGATTGCATATCGCATGGAAAAGCGGCGGACATGCTTTATCACGCCGCGCGGGATTAACTTGTAGCTTCTGCTGTTAAAGACACTGATGTTGCCTCCACTGCTTTTCCTTTCATCACGTCTCCTGGTCTGAGCCCAAAGTTACATCCGCAACCATGGTGCCCGCGCTTCTTACTGCCGTCGACTCGACATCCCACATCCACCTCATAATTGGGTCGAACCCTCTTGCAGGCGCACGCTGCACACGGTCTATTGAGGTCGGCGCCAAACCAATTCTCCTTGCACCTGAAGATGCTACGCTGCACTACGGCCTGGCCAAGCGCATCGAAGAGGGCCAAGTCCAATGGCTCAAGCGTACCTTCCAAGAGGACGACCTGACAACGCTCGGTCGCGCAGAGGTTGGCAGCGTAGTTGACGCTGTGTTTGTAACTGCTGGTGGAAAGCAGGGTCAGAGTATGTATCAGCCGTTGACATGGTCGGCTTTGTCTGATTTGCCACACAGGCACCCACATCTCGAGTCTATGCAGACGACTACGAATCCCCGTCAACGTCGCCGACGCTCCCAATCTATGCACCTTCACGCTTCTCTCCACACACTCCGACGGCCCTCTACAGATTGGTGTCACAACATCTGGAAAAGGATGTAAGCTATCCGCACGCATACGCCGGGAGATCGCCGCCTCTCTCCCTCCACAACTGGGAGACTCCGTCGAGAGACTGGGATTACTGCGGAGGCGGATATGGGAGGAAGACCACGCAGCCGAGCTATCACAGGACCTCGAAGCAGAAGAAGAAGACAGCGGCCAACCCGCCACATTCAACAAGCTGATCCTGGAAGAAAGCAAAGAAGCAGCACGCGGGCGACGCATGCGCTGGCTCTCACAAATCTGCGAGTACTGGCCCCTCCGCCGCCTAGCCGCCATCTCCGACGCAGACGTCGACCTCCTCTTCCGCGAATTCGCCAGCAGCAGCCCCTCGAAAATCGGCCCCACAGCCACAACCCCAACCCCCAGCAGAAAAACAGGCCGCATCATCCTCGCCGGCTCCGGCCCAGGAAACCCCGACCTCCTCACCCGCGCAGCCCACAAAGCAATCCTATCCGCCGACCTCATCCTCGCCGACAAACTCGTCCCCGCCCCCATCCTCGACCTAATCCCCCGCCGCGCCACCCTCCACATCGCGCGCAAGTTCCCGGGCAACGCCGACGCCGCGCAAGAAGAACTTCTAAACTGGGGTCTCGAGGGCCTCAAAGCGGGGAAAACCGTAGTTCGCATCAAGCAAGGCGATCCGTATATCTACGGCCGCGGCGGCGAGGAATACACCTTCTTCCGCTCCCACGGATTCACACCCCTCGTCCTCCCCGGCATCACAAGCGCACTCAGCGCACCGCTCTTCGCGGATATACCGGCTACGCACCGCAGCGTCGCAGACCAAGTCCTGATCTGCACGGGCACAGGGCGGAAAGGCGCGCCTCTCGACCCCCCGGAATTCGTACCCTCCCGCACCGTCGTGCTGCTCATGTCTCTGCACCGGCTTGCCGATCTGGTCGATTCTTTGCTGAAAAAGGGGTACCCGGCTGATCTCCCCCTCGCGGTTCTGGAACGCGCGTCGTGTCCTGATCAGCGCGTTATTCGCACACAGCTGCAGCATGTGTGTGCCGCGGTGGAGGAGGAGGGGAGTCGGCCCCCTGGGCTGCTGGTCGTGGGGTATGCGTGTAAAGTGCTGAAGGCGTATGATCAGCGGTGGGTGATTGAGGAGGGGTTTCATGGGTTGGATGATTTGGGGTGTGAGGGGGGGTTGGCGGGGTTGGCTGGTGTTGGTATGACTGTGTGATGTATTAGTTATAAATGAGATTTTTTTATGGAAAGTTTTTGTGTTTGTGTTTGGGAATGTGTGATCATTATATTGCTTCGTTTCTCTCCCTTCCTGTCTCGCGTAGAGATATATCATATCGTCCGTCATTATCTACATAAAACCCCATACCAAAGGGTAACCGTTATAATTCCAAAAATTCGCTCGCTAACTAAACTATCATAAAAAGAAACCGGGGGAATCATAAAACACATTAAACATATCCACATCCATCCATCTCTTACACACACCCCTCCTCAAACCTGCTCAGACCAACTCTTCCTCTTCTGCCTCCTCTGCTCCTCAAAAATAACAAGCGGCCTCCCCGCCCGATCACCACCGCGCTGCACACGATCAATACCCAGATGCTCAAGCCCGTCACGACCAACATGGATACCAAAGCCGTATCTGCTGCGCCCGGGTGTGTCACTCTCCTCTGTGCCCCTAGCGGCGCGGCGTTCTTTCTCAGCATGCAGCGCGGGATCAGTCGGCGAATCGGCGCGCAGATTAGAGCGCGAGGGGCGGACGAGCGAGGCGACGGAGCGGGTCCACGTATTCTCAAAGTACGCGGTGCCCATGAGTCTAGCGACGAGGTCTGGTTTGGTGTGCGGGGAGGCGAAGGCGCGGTCTGTGAGGAGGGGGGACTGGTAGATCCAGGATGTGATGTCTGCGAGGGAGGCGCTTTGATGGGGCAGGGCTGCGCGGTGGCGGTTGGGGATTAGGGTGAAGAGGCCGAGGGTGTAGAGGACGAGGAAGAAGCAGAGTGCGTAGTAGGCTGGGAGGTCTGCGGCGACGCGCACGTTGTCGATGCTGTTGTAGTATTGCGTCCAGAAACAGCCGCCGGCGATGATGGGGATGGAGATGGATGTCAGGGAGATGAGGGATAGGATGGCGGTTTGGAAGTGCTTGTTCTCTGCTGCGGAGAGGGTGACTGACAAGGGGAGGCGGCAGGCGTAGTCGACTAGGAGAGATGTCTCGGCAGTAGCACCGCCAGTCGAAGAGAGCGCAATGTACGGTTGCAGGACGCGAATGGAGTAGTCGAGCGACAGGAAGGCGAGGAAGAGGAAATGGCCGATGAGTGCTGGGATGAACGAGTACACGAAGTTGGAAGCCGAGAAACCAGCTGCGTTCGTACGTGCTTCGACTCGAGACAGGAACCCCAAACGCACGTTTTGCTTGATGAAGCTGACAACCAAAAAGGCAATCAGCAAGACGACTGCCGTGACGATCCAGGCGATGACCATGGTGTCCTTCAGATACCAAGGCAGGTATTTCAGTCGAATGTCCGAGTCGCGAATGTCCATGCGGATGGAGTAATCGGTTGGTCGCTCGCTGCCGTGCACGCGCTCGGGTGACTTCTCCTTTATGCGTCCCTCTTCGAGTGTGAACCTTCTCGTCAAGCCGCCTTCCTTGCCAATGCCGTAGAAGATGTCCTTCGGGCGGTTGGTGGTGCGCCAGTACCCGATGCGGTCGGTGCGAGCGCGTATCTGATCCCAGTCGCCCTTCTGGAATGTCTCGGATCCATTGTAGTCGGCCGTGACGTTGGAGCGCTCGAAAAGCGAAATGATGTCGGCCAGCGAACGCGGGTCCCACCTCAGACCAGTCTCGACGCGCATGAGGAAGACTGTCAAATAAACCAATGCGAGGATCAAGAGAATATACAGAACGACAACAGTCCAGATAACGCCCTGCACAGCAACCCACACCCAGACGCGTCTCTCCTGGTTGTATCGTACGTTGAAGCAGGCTGCAAGGAGGGGGATCGTCCAGGAAAACAGCCAGAAAACGACATAACACACTCCAACTAGTGGACGGCCCGCCCGGAAGTGCTCAAGGTTTGGAAGCAGAAACTGGGTGGGGTACAGCTGGAGAAAAGCGGATTGGGAGCGTTGGTGGGAAGACTCGGAAGCCATCGAAATGAACGGCACGATGCGTTGGAGCGCGGTTTGCACCTGGATGAGCCAGAGGAGGATGAGCATTCCCAGGAGGGTTGGCAGGTACTGAAAGACAAAGTATCGCCCATCGCCGAACTGAACGTAATCCCAGAGCCCAACACCGCCATTCCGGTTCGAGTAGATTGCGGCGAAGATCAGTGCGGCGAGCATCACGGCGCAGAGGAAGGTGAAGATGCCTAGCCATACGGTGCGGATGATGGCTGGGCGAAAGCGGAGCGGCGAGGGCGGCTGATCGAGGGCGACGAAGACGTCTCTGTGGGTCTGGGGTGATGCGGGTCGTGCTTGCGACTGGGGAAGTGGTGTGTAGAGCTGGGCGGGGGCTGGCTTCAGGGCGTGAGATGGCTGCTGGGTGGGCATTGGCATTGGGGCGTACATTGGCATCTGGGCGTGGGCTGGCTGCTGGGCTTGCACTGGTTGCTGGGTCTGCACTGGTTGCTGAGCATGGACTGGCTTCTGGCTGTGTCCTGGCTTATTGGCGTGCACCAGTTTCGGGGTAGGGACTGGCTTCCGCCCCTCTGCACTCCGAAGCGGTTGTTGTCGTGGAGCGTTGGGCGAAACATGTGGGGTCGCTCTCGGCTGTGTGTATCCCAGCCCGTGGTCTGGCACGATCCTCTCCACAGGGTAGTCCTCATCGTCATTGGCGGCGACGACAGCTGGCCTGACCTCAGGATACACGCGCGAGCCTCGTACCTCCTCGTCGCGCGTGAGCTGGTCGATGGCGAAGCGGATGTAGGGCGTCGTGTCCTGGCCCGGCGTCGTGGCCTGCGAGTCCGGGTCCATGGCGGTGCGTGGCTGCGGCATGCGTGGCTGGTGCGGTGCGGCGGCGGCAGCTCTCTCCTGCTGTCGCGGGATGCCAACGCCTCTGAGCGAAGTTAGGTGGGCGTCGGACGCTGGCAGCTCATGGTCTGGTCGCGGAGTCCGGCCGTTGCTGCTGCTGCTCGCGCCGGACGCCTTCTCCGAGGCGCTGTAGTAGCCTTCCGAGGCAGACTGCGAGGCGACGCTCTGGTGCGAGTCGGAGTGGAGGAGCTGGGGGCGCGATACTGCACGGAGCGTTAGTCGGCGTCGCGATTAGCTAAGCGGGCAGCGAGGGTACCGTTGGTGTGCTTGAGCTGGAAGTCGTTGGGATCCAAACTCATGTCGGTGGGTGCAGCGCTAGGCAGATGCAGTGGTTCGGGGTGAGGGCATGGTGGAGGGCACAGTACGCAGCTGGACGCAGGCAGGTTTTGTTTTGTTGCGACATGGGGGGATGGCTGGCACTGCTGGCCGTGCTGACATGGCTGGGACGAGAGGCTGGGCGTGGCCCGTCCACAGGCTGTCGCGCTGGCGAGCCACGGCTATGCGGGCGGGTGGAGCAGGCACAGGGGCGCCAGGCCAAGTTTTGCCTCGTCCGCTTGCATGGGTGGATGTGATGTCAGGACGTCAGGCACTGAGGCTGCTTGTGTGTTGTCACTCTCACCGTCGCTCGTCCCCCGCCATTCTAGCTCCTTGGCGCCTTCCTGTTCCGTCCTCATATCGGCACCTTGTCTGCCACATCCAGCCAGAACCCACACCTCTGCTCCAACATGCTGATGCTGCCCTGCCTGAGACCGCCCGCCGTGACTAGAAACTGCTTCCCCTCGGCCACAGCCGGCACCCCGACAATGCTTGAGTTTGTCACCTTGTGCGCGTTCGGGTCGCCCGTCTGCACGAAGCTTGCCATTGCGCCGGCATAGCCCTGGTAGGTCAGCGGGTCGGATGTCTGCACCGCGTTGATTTGGTTCCACTGCATGCGCGTTAGTGTGGGCGTGAGAGAGAGAAGAAGAAGAAGCAACTGACGTAGATGGTGTCCGAGGCGTGTTTGGCCGGCGAGATGGTGTATTCACTCAGCCATCCATTCTGCGCCTTGTCCGCGAGCCAGTACGCCGGACACGCGAGAACGAGGTCTCTGTACAGCAGCCCCGCCCGCACATAAGTCGTGTTCCAGTGAATCTCCTCTGCCTCTCCGCTCGCCGGGTACAGTTCCTTCACCTTCTCCATATCCTCCTTCTCAAACCCGGGCAGGAAGCCCTCAAGCCAGGCGTCGAAGCTTGCTTCCGATGAGTTGAAGCCGCTGCTCCCCGTCGCCGTCTGAAACCCAGGCGGCACAAAGTTCTCCCCCTCGTGCAGATTATACGTCGCAAAGACGGTATCAACATTCAACTCCCCCCCGCGCACAACGCTCGACAATGGCTCAGCCAGGAACTCGTCGTCGATAAACGGCCCCCACGTAAACGTGCTCGCCGCATACTGCTGGCTCGTACTCAGCTTCAAACTGCTGTCCCGCAAAGCCTGCACATCCACGCTCTTCAAGCACGCAATCTCATCCCCCACGCCCTCACACCCCACATCCCTCACAACCTGCCCATACAGCCCCTCCGCCTCCACCCCATCAAACCGATACGTCTTAGGCCAAAACGGCGAGCTACTCATCGCCCGTCGAAACAACCCCCTCCCCTTATTCCCCGTAGCAATGCTCTGCGCAACCACACTCCCCCCACCAGCAGACTGCCCCCAAATCGTCACATCCCCCCCATCCCCCCCAAACAAATGCACATACCTCTGAATCCACTCCAACGCCGCCCTCTGATCCAGCAGCCCCGTATTCAAATCCGCCTCCCTGTGCTCTTTAACCTTCGCCCCGGGCAAAAACCCAAACACATTCGTCCGATAATTCGCATACACAACCACATAATCATTCCTCCCCGCGGAATCAACATCCAGCACCGGATACCCACTCGGTGGAATCGTAAACGAAGCGCTGCCCTGGATAAACCCCCCGCCGTAGAACGTCAGCAGTACAGGGCGGAGGTCCTGTGTCGCAGCGTCCCACGGCCGCGAGTACAACCCCAGGTACAGACAGTCTTCCGACCCGTTTACCGTGCGCTGCGGACACATGTCGAACGCGCGGTCGGTGTCGTAGGTCCCATTTGTTATGCGGGGTGGGGGTTGTGGGGCGCGGAAGCGGTTTGAGCCCGCGGTTGAGGCGGCGAAGGGGATGCGGCGGTAGTAGGTTAGGTTGTAGGTTTCGGAAGAGGCGCCGCGGAAGGTGCCGTAGTCGAGGTGGACGGTTGGGAGGGTGGTGTTTTGGAAGGGGAAGGGGGAGGCGTGGGTGAGGGTTAGGGTGAGGAGGGTGAGGATGGGCGTGAAGTACATTTTGGATGTTGGGGGGAAGGTGGTCGCCGATCGAAGAGTCTGGCTGTATGTTATGTACATATACATATACATATAAGATCTCCGTCCACACTAGTTCTTGGGAATTGAGTCAAGCCATCCCATCCCCACCTCCGCAAATTACCCCGGAATTGCGGGGACGGGTGAACACCAGTGATACCGCCATGCATCCGTATAAAACACCGTATAAACCACATTCGGGCTATTTCGCGCCGAGGAACTATATTCAAGCCAAGCCCGGCCCGGAGGCTGAAGCAGACGACGGCAGTCCGGAAACAAAAAGTGTTAGAATTTCTCCGTTCGTGGAACAATTCCAGAATATGCAATTGCGAGGCCACATTGGGCAGGGGGTTGACACGGGATGTGATGATGGTTGGTATTCAAGCATTTCTGTCTGCATGAGAATCTCAAGTTCGCGAATAAACAACTAAAAAAAAAGTAAACACCAATATGCAACCCGCCAACGAAAAAAACGTGTCGTGAATCATAAGCCACCCCGTCCATCCATAAAATCACCAGCGCGATAAACAAAGCAAAAACCAAACCAACCCCCTACTTCCGCTCGCCCTTTCTACCCGTCTTGCGCAACCTCACCGCCAAATCCGCCATACCATTCGCCCAACCCGTCATATCCGCCCCAGGCCCGACCTCACTGGGACACCCATCCCTCAAGAACGCACTCATCTTCTCCTCTCCGTACTTCTCCCCATACACGACCTCCGCCTTGACGCCAGTCTCAGTCGAAACCTCAAGCCCGGTAAGGCTAACGCCGATTTCAAATACGACTTTAATTTTCGTCTGGAGCGAGGGGAGCAGCATGGACGCGGCGATCGCCATGCGCTCGTCGGAGAGGATGAATTCCTCTGTGATGTAGCTGTGCTCGAGCCAGCGGATGCCGTCGGCGACGGCGAGGGCGGTGGCCCAGCTGTTTTTCACGAGGGTGAGGAGTTGGGCGATGCGGGTTTGGGACTGGGGGATGCAGTGCAGGTGTGCGCGGATGAGCTGGAGGAAGAAGCGCTTACTTGTGGTTAATGGGCGGGGGTGTGGGGTTGCAGAGTCGCCGATGTAGGCTAGGGAGATGGATCCGTTTGCTGTGGAGTCGCCTGTTGCGAAAGCAGATGGCTGGAAGTATAGCTCGAGATCGTTCGCGTGGGTCATGGTGATGCTTGTGGATGACGCGGAAGTGATGCTCCAGCCGTGAGCTTGCTCGAGCGCTGTGACCTTGGCTTTGAGACTGTTAGTGATGTGATCTGACGAAAATATAGGAATCTGACTGACCTTTCAATGCATTGACTTCACTTGTAGACCATCCACGGCAGTCCTCACGCATACGTTCAGCGGCCTTGGTTTGCTCTACGCATTCAGTCTTGCGTTCTTTGACTGACTCGATGCCCGCTTCCTTATCGTCGAGCTCTTGCTGGAGTTGAGCCAGAAGATGTCGCTTGTCTTTCAACTCAGCGTCTGCGGCGGTGAGTCTTTCGCGGGCCTGTTCCAGCTCCTCACGGTCACAACTGTTCAGCTCATCGTGGCGCTGTTGCAATGCTACACGTTCAGCAGACAGTTGCTCTTGCTTTTCGACCAAGGCGGGCAATACAGTGTCAAGAAGCTGTTCTTGATTCGCGAGTGTCGACTCATCGCGCTTGAAGCCATCCATGGTTCCAAGAAGACCAGCCTTGAGATCGTGCAAAAGAGTACTGCGCCAGGTATACCATTCTCCACGAGCTTCAAGACGGGCATTTGTCTTCAAGTTCTTGAACTGGTTGTCCATGACAGCGCGCTGATCCGGAGGAGCACCGAGATATTCGCTGAACAATAACGGATTCTCGTCGAGAACATTGGCTTCCATGGTTCGAACGAAATGACGCCCGTCTGAAATGTACTTCTTCATCTCATGGCAGGCATGCTGGTATAGTTCGTACTCTGGCAGAGTGCATGCACCGGCAACAACATATCGATCCAAGGAGTCCTCTTTCTCTTCCACCTCCATGTCGTGGAAAGCCGCAGGAGCAGCAGTGTGTCGCCGTTTGGTTGTGCTAAGATCCATGAAGCGGATCTTGGTCATGTCCAAGAAGTCTTGCAATGAGATGCGTTCCACATCTGACACTTCTTCGACTGTGTCTTCGTTGATGCTTTCTTCGACAGGTTCTTGCTTCTGCTCACCAAAAACCACCCGCTTCTTGGGGCTTGCGCTTTGCCTGCGCGATGCTCTCTTTGGAGTCGGCGTCTTCTGTTTTGGGGTCGGCTGCTTTTGAGGAGTTTGGGAATCTTTAGACGCCGCGCCTCGTTTCAATGGCGACATAAGCGTCTGTTTTCTGGGGGTTGAAAGCAACTTGATGTGATTTGTCAGTAAAGCAGTACTCTTCAAAACTGCTGCCTCGTGTGGGGCGTTGAGTGGACTGAACTGTACAGAAGACAGAGAGGAACGACGCCGATTCAAGATCGGGGCAGCAATTGGATCATCAGGGATTGAAACAGGCGCCGGCTGATCTTGGTTCGATGGTGTGGTGGTAGTCCCGTCTGCTTTTTCAGCGCTTCGTGGAGTTCTAGCTACAAACGGCGAGGGCTCGATGTCTTCGAGACGGTATTGCTTCACGATTTCAGGGGTGCCTGGATCAAGAGTTGGGTAGATGACATCGGTAGAGGTAGTGGGTGTGTTTTGGGCTGGCAGTTCCGGGATGGAATCACCAGGTGGTGCCTCTGTGAAATAGCTACCATGTTCAGCGGGCTCCTTGGGGGGGGATTGTGAGGTTGGAGATTTCAATGGTTCAGGAGCAGGATCCACAATAAGAGCAGGCTTCTCAGGAGTCGCTGCTGCTGGTATGTCGAGGTGCTTGATCCCAGGCCCCACGATCTTCGTGAACTCCATGGAGAGGTCCTCATCTTCTTCCTCTTCCTCATCGCTCTCATCCACGTGTGCTGGTAGATTTTTTATACTGCCGACAGCAAGTGTGAAGTCCATAGTTTCGTCTTCCAACGGTGCGTCCAAACTCTGACGACTGGTGGAATTCTGTTGGTGAGGTGGGGAATCCTTACTTTTGATCACACCAATCGCCATAGTAAGATCCATTGTTGCGTCTTCCGATGCGTTCTCCTCAGACTTGCGCCGTTGGCGGAGACTTGTACGTCTATTGGTAGCACGTTTTTCTGGGCTTCCCTGTGATGCGTCCAACATCGATGCCCTCCGCTTCAAGTTCTTCTTCTCTGTTGGCGCTTTCGAACCGAGTGCTCGGATGCTGCCAAGAGGCATGGTAAGATCCATGGTCATGTCGTCGTCGATATCCGAGCTCTGCGGCTCCGGTTTTGAGAGGATGCCTCCAACTGCACGCGTAATGTCCATGCTCATGTCGTCCTCGTTTTCTTCCATATTTGCTGAAGGCGAGAAGGGGTCAGCGTTTTCTGTGTCGTGCTGTGGTACAGTACTCTTCCTGGCCCAGGGCTGGAAGGATGTCGTGACCTCGTCTTCTGCCATGTCCATTGACAGGTCGCCATCCTCATCGAGCTCCAGTTTTTGTGTCCCCGCTTGGGCTGAAGCCTGGCGAAGCGCTGCGTCCAACTTGGCACTGCTTTGTGAGGAGTCTTCGTGTTCGGGAGATGTGCCCTGGTCTTCCAGCTCATCCTCCTCAGACTCGCTGCTACCAGTGTCCGCATCACCAGGTGAGCGGCTGTCTCCGCTTAGTGGACTTGACGAGTAGACATCGTCGGGATTGTTGAAGTTCATGGGCGGTATGCCAGAGCTGCGGCGGTTCTTCTTCTGGTGCAGGTCGCGTTGGCTCGCGGAGGTCGGTTCGGGCTCCGGTGTTGGCTCCTCGACCTGCTCAGGAGGCGTGGAAGGCGGCTCGGCGGGGTCTGAATCAGGCGCAGGCGCTTGGGAGACGCCTGAAGCCCTCCGGGTGGCATCAGAGGATGCGGACGAGCTCGTTGCATCGCGCAGGTACTCGACCACGTCCCAGGTATGTAGGGTGGCTTCGGGGGCAAAGGAGACGCGCCGTCTTGCTGGTTACACAGTCAGAAGCGCCTTGGTGGGCCGGCCACACACTGCGACATACCTAACGACTTGCGGCGGGCCTCGCGGCGCTTTTTCTCATCCTCGTCGTTGGAGGATAGGATGGACTTGACTGCGGGGATGAACGCAGACTTCCTGCGGTTCCCATTGCTCTCCTTCAGCGCAGGCGCGTCCAACTCTCCTACGCCGCCGGGGCCGATGCTCTTGCTGCGCGTCTTCCGCAGCGACTTTTTGGGCGACAGCGAGAACGATGTGGCCACCAGGCCGTCGGCGATGTTATCTCTGCCGTGAGCGTTCGTCATGGTGGGGTATGTGGGTGCAATGTTGTTGCACGCCTCGGGGATATGATATGATGGTGTGGAAAGTGGAGATAAACAGCACCCAAAACAACACTATGGCTCGCACTAGCTTCTTTTGGAGAAAGCGCGTCGCGTCGCGCCTTCCACAACCGACGTCACCCCAAACATTGGACTTCGACACCCCGCACTCCCCTCGCTCGGGTCAATTACCATGGCCAATACACTGGGGACTGCCGAAAACCCTATAAGTTTCGAAGACGCGCCGGCCGATTCTCGTGAATCTCAAGTACAGATCGATCTCACCCTGTTTGAGGATGAGTCGATTCGTATGCGTGCGCCTCGAGTACGAGGAAGCAGAAAATCTGTCAGGCCTTCGAACTCTTTGTCCATCGACCTCACTGTGTCCGATGATGAGCGAAAAGCCGGTCCAAGTGCGACAAAAGCGAATAAAATTGATGAAGACGGCTTTGAAGAGACAGTCTCGCCAACACTAACAAATGCAACAAAGAAGCGCATGAATAACTCTCAGCGTCACACAGAAAGAGACAACTTGCACACACCCTCTGCCAAATCTGATTCACGTCCTGCGACAGCCGTTGGCGAGGGAAATCAACATTTGCGTAACAACTCAGCATCGAGCAAGATAATAATACCTGTACACCCCGAATCGCATCCGACACCCGGCAGCGTTGTCTCGAAACTCAGTCTTCGGCAGTCGACCCCACTCGCTCCTCCGCAACAGGGGCAGAACCAAGAGATAGCTACCACAGCTCAAATCTCCTTGGCTGATACTACTCCAGTGAACGCTGCTCCTACAGTGGTAGGGGTTCAAAAGGATGCCACTCCAACTCAACAAGGACTCTTCGCGTTGGCTCTTCGTAAAGATGTTTCGAAGAGCGAGTCGGCAAAACGACAGTCCCTCGATGATATGCAGTCCAATATTCGAAAGCCTTCCAAATCTCCAACTGGTAAACGGACCGATCAGGAGGCTATGTTCCGCCCTACAGCATCTGTTGCATCAAGACTTGCGCAATCATCTATCGAGGAATCCTGTCCTCGCTCTGTTTCGCCGCAAGCGTCGACGGTAAAGGTGAATACTGCGCCGATAGATTCGTCTTCTAAGCTGCTCTACACAAGTGATTCGCGCAGGCCCTTGTCTACAGAGCCCAACGAGAGCAATGATCGTGAAGGCAAGTCAAACATACGTGCAAATATTATCATGAAATTTCACGCACTGGTAGAGAGCATCTTAACTGACTCTTAATGGTAGCTTCGATAGTACAACGGCAGCATCTTGATGTTGGAGACGTTGAGGCTGTCCGCTCCCATGTGGAAAGTTGCCTGGAGCGGCACCTAGGCAATCGATCCAAGTCCCACGCCACTACAACGTGGGTAAGTCGATTAGATTTCGACGCGTGTGTGATTCAAGTCCAGCTAACTGGGTTCAGGCTGTAATGCGACGCCAAAGAACATGTCACGAACGTGAGATCCGAGCTCGTCAACGTAGTCAAAGATATTCGAACCTTCCAGCTCAGTCTGAGAAAGACGAGCAATATGTTTCACCATTCACGAACATGTCGTCAATACAGACACCCTTCATCAACAAACCAACTAAAGAGAGGCTAGGAGACATTACCCAGGAAATCTTTGGTACCGCTTCGTCCAAGGATGGCGTGATCAGATCTTCATGGAACGCGCTACGAACGACGTACAAGTCTACTGCAATACAAGTCCCCCCATTCACGGAATATGTCAGTTTGAAAAATAACATCCTTACTGACAATGAGTCGAAGCTACTCGCTACACCTTACTTTGACGAGGCTTCTGGAAGTTCAACGAGCTTATTAGCGGATCTTCCGCTCAGGTATGAAATGAGGCACGATGAAAATGCTCTTCTGGATTTACGGGCAGAGCAGTGCCGATTCTACACAGATAGCGTCAACGCTTTCCTCTGCGAGATTGGCCTAACATGGGACAACGTCTTGTACTGGCTTCTGGCTCCAAGTCAGGCTATTAAACGAATCAACGGTTCTTTGGCGGGCAACCACTCGTTTGAACGTCTTTTACTTGAACGATCGGCTCACCACGCGGAAAACTTTCAGCGGGATGAAGAATCTAGAGAAGCTATTCTCTTCGACCGTAACTCAAGAAAATGGCGAAAGTTCCTCCTCCAACTCACCGAGCCAACTGCCGATAAGCTTAGGCTTGTAGCGCTTGCATGCGCAGCTGTCCTTCACGAGTGTGGCTTCAGCATTTGGTACCTAGTGCAACAAAGCAAGGTTATGCGACTGTATAAAGTAGGAAAGACAAACCACGCCACAGGAACCTCAAAGTTCACCTACAAAGAAACCGTCTGTAGGGTGTGTCATGAGTAAGTACCGACTGATAGTTTTGGAAGCGAAGGTTAATTTCTTTGAAACAGGCACAATTGCGTCGTTCATGGCGAACTGAAAGAGAACCCAGAGAACGACTCGGACTCTGAAGATCAAGCCAATCAGGCAAGCCAGGATACGGCACCAGCACACACGCACGATGATTCGGATCTCGAAAACTTGATCAATTACAAAGTGCCAACGAATCCCAACGCTATTCTCGGCCATACTAGCGCAAATATCCACACTCCGAAAACTAACAACCCATCCGACGGGAAGCGTCTTTCAAAGTGGCGGTTACAGGATAGCAAGACACAATGGGAGGAGAGGAAGCCTTTCTTTCCGTGCAATCATGAAGGCACCTGTGACGACGCTCAATGCCGTTGTTACAGAGAAGGTATTAGCTGCGAAAAGACATGCAAATGCTCTTCCTCGTGCCACAGACGCTTTCCTGGGTGTACTTGCTTGTCGACACCAGGTAAACGTGCCTGCGATTCAGAAAAGTGTCTGTGCCTCAAGTCCCATAGAGAGTGTGATGCGGACCTGTGCAGCGCCTGCGGAGCAACTGAGATCCTCGACCCAGTGAACCGATACGATGAGAGTATACTGTCAGATCGATGTTTCAACGTTTCCATTCAAAGAGGGGTGCCAAGAAAGACACTGCTTGGAAACTCTCAAGTACATGGCTTCGGCTTATACATGGGCGAGGACACCAAGGAGGGTGAATATATCGGCGAGTACACAGGCGAGACCATTTCGATCAAGGAAGGCACGCGTAGGGAGATCATTGCTGAGTACAAACGGACGCTGTACACGTTCCAGCTGAATCTCAGTGAGTGCTTGAATACGAGAAGAAAAGACGGCACTGACAAGTTACGCAGAACAAGACGTCGATGCGACATATATGGGCAACAAGACGCGATTCATGAACAACGCCGACGACAAGTTCACCAATTGCAAGTCAAAGATTCTGCTATGCAACACCGTATTTCGCATAGGTATCTATGCCGAGTCCGATATCAAGGCTGGCACTGAGCTCTTCTTCAACTACCACTACACCAAGGAACAAATGCAGAACTTCAAGCGACCAGATGGTAAGGTGATCGCCATCAAGCAAACGGTCAACCCCAAGGGTAAGAGCAAATCATCCGCCACAGCATCTCACAAACCACCTTTGCCCGCACATCTCGTACATCCGGCAGCGAAGCCACGAAAGCTCCAGACATCCAAGAATTCAAGAACTGCGAGAGCTGCAAAGCGCGCGACTCAATTATCCGAGCAAGCGTTACGCAACTCGTTTACGTCTCATCCCATCTCAGATACAGATCACGATGGAGAATGGGCAGACGTGGATGCCGATACTTCCCAACAGGGTGATACCGCTGCGGAAGCCTCCGATGTCTACGATATGCCTGGTGACAGTCCAGACGACAGCACCTCGCGGCATAAGCTGAGCAAACGGCGTACGCGGGTTCGTGGAATGTCGTCTGTTGTTGCGGTGAAAACTAAGAAGGATGGGGCCCGGTCGAGTGTTCTGAGGTCGAAAAGGAAAAGGCCTATGGTGTCTTCCGACGAAGAGTGAGTCTTTGAGGGATTACGTCCAGAGGAGGGAGGAGATGGTGCCAAGTTCTTATGTGCAATAAGCAATTGCGGTTGCAAAGTACGTGATGTTTGTAGCTTCATTCTATTTAGTAACAATTCATTTGCAGCTGCCAATACAAGACCTGTCTTTCTGGTCAATTTTGAGCGTGCTCATAGACGCAACACAGTAAAACCTGAACACTCAACGCAGTACATGAGTTGAGACTAAATCCTTTGATACAGTAACTATCAGATAGAGTATGTAGTTGAAGCTGTTACAAGCTAGGCTAAGTGCGGGGCATCGAGCAACGGAGACTTGGGTTTCGGCCAATGAGAAAAAAGAGCGGCCGTGATTCGTTGATTGCAGTGATTTTAACTATGGCCTTATGCAGGGCAGGGCGTTTTGTTCCTCAATCTAACTTACGAGAACCCAAACTCCCATACGCCAACGCAGCCCACGCAACCCCCGGCCACAATCGCTTGGCGATAACCTGAGAGTGGTGAGTTCAAAACTCTTTTTCGTGTCTGGTTCCGTTCCATATTGGGATCATGTGCATCTGTCCTCTATTCATGTCGCTTTGTAGCTACTCCCTTGCTTTACCACCTGAGTGACTCAAAGGGTTATTTTAGTCATACGATTCTTTTACGTACTTACTCCGACGATTTCTCTCTTGCCTCCATCGGCAATTATTGATCTAGTACCATTCGTCTAACAAAATCCACAGCACAATGAGCGACGAAACCCATGCAAGGTTGACGGACTATCTTGCACAGTACATGATGGCTTCAAATGGCACGGCACCAAAGCAGGTCAACTCAGAACCAGTCGCAGAAAAGTCAGACCCTATTCCACCTGCGAGCGACGTATCCGAGGACTGGTCGCCCTCATGTAAGATAAGACCTGGCCATAATAGTCATTTACTAACACAGCAAAAGCCTGGCGATCAAAGCCTATCAAGCAAGAAGTCACATACGATGACCAAGCAGCAGCGACCACTGCTTTGGCGAAGCTATCAAGTCTCCCGCCAATCGTCACACCCACAGAGATTGTCAGGCTCAAGTCCAGCCTGCGCGATGCTGCACTGGGCAAATCATTCCTTCTTCAAGGTGGTGACTGTGCTGAGCTGTTCTCCTACTGTGCCGACAACCCAATTGATGCTAAGATCAAGCTACTCCTGCAGATGAGTTTGGTACTCATCTGGGGATCTAACAAGCCTGTAATCCGTATTGGTCGCATAGCTGGACAGTACGCTAAACCGAGATCGAGTCCGACTGAAATGGTAAACGGCAAAGAGATGCCTAGCTTCCGAGGTGATATTCTGAACGGGTACGAGCCTGATCATCGAATGGTGGACCCAGAGAGACTAGTGAGCGCGTACTTCCATTCCGCCACGACGCTGAACTACATCCGTGGACAGCTAGCAAGTGGTATCGCTGATCTGCACAATCCCCTGGATTGGGGTCTTGGACACGTCCAGGATAAAGATCTACAGACAAAATACCAGACAATCGTCCACAGCATCTCGGATTCGCTTCGTTTTATGAAGACGATCGGCGCCGACACCTCAGGACAGCTACAGACCGTAGACCTCTTTACCAGCCACGAGGGACTTGTACTCGAATACGAGCAGAGCCTGACTAGGAGGCTCAAGCACCCAGCTGGTCACCAGCCCAGACAACCTTCGCATGACGGTAAAGGCTGGTACAACGTCTCAGCGCATTTCATCTGGATCGGAGATCGTACGCGTCAAATTGATGGAGGGCATGTGGAGTACTTCCGTGGAATTGAGAACCCAATCGGAATCAAAGTTGGTCCTTCAATGAAGAACGACGAGCTGGTGCAATTGCTCGATATCGTGAACCCGTCGAAGGAGATCGGCAAGATTACTCTGATCACGCGTTATGGTGCGGACAAGGTGGAGTCCATGCTCGGATCGCATATTGAGGCTGTCAAGGAGAGTGGACATGTTGTGGTTTGGCAGTGCGATCCGATGCACGGGTAAGTTTATTCCACGCAGAGCGTCCATATTCATACTGACACCGGGCAGCAACACACGCAGCACACCGACAGGTATCAAGACACGGTCATTCAACAGCATCTTCTCGGAGCTTTCCTCGGCCCTCAAGATCCACAAGCAGCACGGTTCTTTTCTGGGTGGCATGCACCTTGAACTTACTGGGGATGCAGTTACGGAATGCACTGGCGGAAGTGAAGGACTTGTCGATGAGGACCTGAGCCTGAACTACACGACGTACTGCGATCCTCGATTGAACGAGAAGCAGGCATTGGAGCTGGCATTCCTTGTTGCAGGTCATTATCGCGAGGACAAAGGATTGTAGGTGACAAGATAGATTCTACTACGACGACATGTTTGTATGGCAAAAGTAAATAGCATCTGTTTCCTGGGAATTTTAAATGATAGTCGATCACGGGACTAAGCGCAAACATGATGCGATGACGATGACGATGATGATGATGACAAAGATAATCTTCCACAAGCAACTTGACCACACTTCAGCAGTACGAAACACATCCTCATCAACATAATGGGTTCCTCTGCTTCAAAAGGTGCCAGCGCCGCTGGTGCAAGTGTACGCAAATACCCTACTCGATCTCCTCCAAACACAACGTCGCGTCCGCCTGTTTCCTCTGCGCCTCGAGCATCGCCAGCCGCTCCTGGACCTACTGTACACCCGCCACCGCAGGCTACAGAGACAAAAACTCAAGGTGCGTAAACCAAGGTGGTGGTAGATGAGCATTGCTAATAGTTGGATGTAGCCATAGAGCTCGATGCTCGCGACCCCGCCTTCGCGTCTCGACTTAGCAGTCTCGGCGCCGTGCAGCCAAATCCTCATTACTCGAATACCTCGACCTCAGAATTCGATCCTCGTCGCAACCTGTCGTCTGTCCTGCCGTCCGACATGATGCAAGCCCCGCCACCGTCTGCATTCCCCGGGCTCAAGAACAACCCTGTGCTCAGAGCACTAGAAGCGAGACAGAGGATAGCAGATGAAGCCGAGGACGAGCTCAGGGATGTAGGCAGGCGAGGTTTCAAGGGACGGAAGTATATCGATGCCGGCACAATACAGCTAGCCTTGATGCGGCAGGTGCGCGGCGAACCGGATAATAGGATCGAAGATGCGCTTGGGATAAAGAAGGGCAGGCTAGCTGTGCTGGGGAAGAGGGTTGTGGAGCCCGTGGCATTGGAGGGTTGAAACAGGAGACTTGGGGTTTTGACATGACAGAGGCACACGATCAAACGGGACGACCGGAACCGGATTCGCACGAACGAAACATGTATTTCAAAGGAATATCATATCAGGTTTCGAATTCCAACCGTCCTATCCGATGCAGCACGAACCGACCCTTCATTTTGGCTGTTACCAGAACGCCGAACCAACGCCGAAAATGCAAGATATCATACACATCATCAATCATCATAATCGCCTTGCTCGTAGATAAAGTTGTTCAACGCTAGCAGCGCCTGCTTGAGGTTCTCTTGGTTCACCTCGAGCCCGTCGTCCGTCACGCCATCATCCCCAATCTTTATCAGCCCACGGGAGCCGATTTTGGATCGCCCCGGCCGCCACATCTTCGCAATCCGCCAGCGGGCTTTTGTTGAGTTGATGGATGGGCAGTCTGGAGAGATTTCTCTGCTCTCGCGCAGGACCGTCAGGGCATTCAAGACGTTGAGGAATATTCTGTGGCCATATTGTTAGTCACGAGACTCGGCCGGGCTTGTCATGTCATACCCGTGTGTCAGCTGGACATCGTGGTCCCAGTTGTACGCCGCATGGCTGAAGCTATTCCCCTGCGCAACGATATCGAGGAACACGAAAAGGCTTTCCTCTACGCTGATGTCGGTGGAGAGTTTCGACGTGACGTTGGCGAGGATCCAGTCTGCCAGCTGAACAAAGGTGATCTGGTCGATGTGACAGAAGTCATTGAAGCGATCTGGTATGCCGAACAGCAGACTCAATGCTCTCCGCGCGCCCGCGTTTCCTTCAACGTCCATGTCGAGCGTGTAGTCGTCTTGTAGTCGTCGAGATGGGCACAGGAAGCAGAGACGACGCGTCAGGCGACGCCGAGAAGGTGCGGTTATAGATGGTTGACAAGGTGAACAAGAAGACGGTAGAATAGTGCACGAGGAATCTACAAGTGAACAGCTGACATGCTTTTCGAGAGACGAACTGCGGATTGATGTAGAGCACAAGACGTCTCACGACGTGCGGACTGAACGATCCCGGCCCCACATGCCCGCGTCAATGTTTGGCATGTGACAGCGCTCGCGACCAGTGAATGACGACAGTAACGCGGCCAATCAAGACGGCCAATTCTACCACCCATTCCGATATCCGGCTAGTGTTTTAACTACCTGTTCTCACTAACCTGGAGCAGCTATATCTAACGGTCTCGCCGAGAGATTGAGTTTGGACAGATGGTAATCCCGCTGTGTACGTACAGTGGTGTGGGGGCGTTTAATATCGCAGAAGGTCGAGCGAACAGCACTCTTCAAGCAGTGCTGTGTGACGACAATACATCAAATGACTACTACCTCTACTGCATGTAGTTTTGCAAAGGACCTCGTATGTGTTATCGCGCCGATGTTGATGGTCTGACCAAGGTCGGTCGTGATGCAAAATACGAGCTCTTTCACGTACACAGATCTACAGTCAAACTAACAAGCCATGTGGGGCAGATCTGAACCAGGCATCTTACCATACCACCGGTGGTACCACAAAGAATCGTTATGTGGTTGTTGAACGGATGGGATGTCTTCGAGGATTCAGGCAAGAATTGCCGTGCCGCGTTGTAGCCAAAACCGGGTTCTTCATCGCTGCGTCATCCCACCCCTCTCCCCAGCAAAAATCGCCGCAGGGGACAGACATGTTGTTCAAGAGCATCATGCATACTTGCTGTAAAACTGTTGGACGGGAGGGGATCGCGCTGTAGTACGAATACGTCATATGTAGTCAAGGGTGGGAAATTCTGGATTACCGCCTCTTTGGCCATGTCTTTACAACCTGCGACTGTATGTGCAAAAGCGACACACTCACATACTTACTTTGACGTTTTTCGAAGAGCTCGAGAATAAATTCTTACTAGCCGCGCCCTGCTCGCACCCCTCATTGTATTTTCGCGCACGCTCGAGAATTATCGCCGAAAGAGAACACACAAGACCTGTGGCGAACGATATGTCGGGCGAACTGCAAACTATCCCCGCGCGCCATGGCGTTGCGACGTTTGTGCCGAGGGGCAGGACGATCAAGGTGATCAACACGTATGGACAGCAGGTTATCAGCATGTGGGCGTTTACTTTGGGTGCGCCGCCAGAGGAGGGGGAGCTTGATGGGAAGGAAGGACAACAAGGGACTGAGGAGAATGGGCAGAAGAAGGCGGATGAGCCAGAGAAGAAAGTCGATGAACCAGAGAACAAGGCTGATGAGCCAAAGAAGAAGGTCGATGAGCCAGAGAAGAGTGAAGAGGACGCGAAGAAGAGTGACGAGGAAGCAAAGAAGAGTGACGAGGAAGCAAAGAAGAATGTTGAAGCACTGGAAAAAAGTACTGATGAGTCCAAGAAGACCGACGGCGAACCCAAGAAGAGCACAAAAGAGGAGAGTACCGGCAAGGAGACAGAGACCACGACCAAAGAGAAAGACGCACCAAAGGAAGAATCCAAAGACACTCCACCCTCCAAACGCAGATGGACATCCTACCTCCCCTCGATCCCCTACCGCTCCAAAGGCCCAGCAAGTGAATCAAGCCCCGAGCCGAAACCCGACCCAGAAGTGGAGAAAGCACAGAACGAAGCCAAGACCAAGAAATGGACCTCGTACCTCCCAACGGGCAAAGGCTTCTCAAGCTACGTCCCGAACCCCCAATCGCTAGACTCGAGCGTCCTTGTCAGCGCGTTCAAGTCGAGCCATTACAGAGACCCCAATAAGAGCTATGCAGAGCAGTTGTATGATTTCTCCAAAACGCCCGTCGGCGCGGGAACGATTGCTGGTATGTCACACATCTCCATCGAGCCTCAAACTCGAAAACACCAGAGATATAACAACGACTGACCAACTCCTTCACAGCTGCGACAGGCTCCGGCTACGCATCCTCCGTCTACGCCGCCTACAACGCGTACGCGCAAACCAACCCCTCAAAGTCCTCCCTCGCCCCCATGGAATACCTCTCGCTCCCACACACGCGCGCCTCGTCGCGAAAACTCGTCCCAGACGTCAACGACACGCTGCTAACCAACCTGCGCAACCCCATCATCACCCTGCTCGAGGACACCACGCCCGGCGCTCACGACACCCTCACCGCCGCCTGCGACGCAAACCTCTACGCAACGCTGGGCATCGAGGCGCCCGCCGAGCACGGCAGCTGCGCCGAGAACCTCGTCCTCGCGCTCAAAGAGTTGAATGAGAAGTCGGGCCTGACGGGCGCGAAAGCCGTGGGTGCGGATATCAGCGTCAATATTGCGCCGACGCCGCTGCATCTGTTTATGAATGCGCCGCTGGAGCTGGGCAGCGCGGCGCAGGGCGAGAAGGGCGTAGGTGCGAAAGGTGCGGTGCTGAGTGTTTCTGCGCCTGTTGCGAAGAAACGCAGCTTTGTGCGCTTCCGGGCTGAGCGCGATGTGGTCGTGGTGTTTAGCGCGTGTCCGATGGATGTTGGGCCGCAGAATGGGGGGCGGTGCATGGCGGCGAATTTCATGGTCGAGGAGGCTGAGGGCGAGGATCTTGCGGCTTCGAACGCGTCTGTTAAGGGGAAGAGAAATGCGCCCAAGCTTTCGCAGGCGGCGGAGAAGAAGGTGGATACGAAGAAGAAAGAGGAGGGGAAGAAAGTGGAGGAAGAGAATAAAAAGGAGGAGGAGAAGAAAGTGGACACGAAGGAGGTGGAGGAGGAGGAGAAGAAAGAGGAGGAGGACAAAGACGAGAAAAAGGCAGACCCAGAGAAAAAGGATGAGGAACAGACGTCTTCCTCAACGCCTTCTCCTCCGCCTCAGGAGTCTGCAGAGAAGAACGAAGCAAAGGATGAAGAGAAGCCCGCGGAGCAGAAGGCGAAGAAGAAGCCTAAGAAGCTTCAAGTGCGTAGTGCAGGGACTCCAGCTCCTGCGAAGGGCTCGTAGACGGTCTTTGTTGTAATTTTACTCTATTGTACTTATCTTTATCGATTTTTGGTGTCGTCGATGTTTTTTTGTATACATATTGTTTTTTCGAGTAGGTATTTGCTCGAACTAAAAGGCACCTTTGGAGTTGGTGAAGTGATATATATATTACTCCCTTTAAGGTATGATCTATATTGGTGAGTGATAACCATCGTTTCGTTTGTAATCAACTCATCACCTGCTTCATAGCTGATCAGATTCCTGGATCTCACTTCCCCTATACCGCACTTATGGTTGCGGAAAATCATATTTCACGTCATATGTGAAGATTTACTCCCATCACATTCAGCGGAAAAAGCAGTCAACTGTCTCGATCCGTCTGTGAATGACAGATGGTGCAATAAACGTGTTGATACATAATGTACACTTATCGCAAAAACATGCGGTCGTGCAAGGCTCGACACGACAAGGGCAGGAAGACCCACAAACACACGTCCATCGCTCATCATGTCCGTCTCGGCCCCAGAACCACCGGCTGTGTGTCCTCGTCATCAGCCTCATAGTACAGATCCTCCTCATCGACATATCCATAGCCGAATAAACTCGTGTACAGCCTCTCCATAAGCCCCTTCTTCTGCGCCATAGCAAGCACCATGACGATAGGCAGATGCCAGACGCTCGCCCAAAACAGCCCTCTCGCCGTCCCCTTGTGCCCCTCTGCTTTCCAGAACCGCCACGCCCTGACCACCATCCAGCCGTTGACCGCCGAGCTCGTGAGCACAAAGCTCCAATCCGTAACACCGCAGTAGCTCAGGCCAATGCAGACGGGGAACATCAACACGGCATAGCGAAGCGCCACACGCCCGTTCTGCGCGGGGTTCACCCACGCGAGCATGCGATAGCCGGCGTTTTTGTACTCGGAACGTATGGACCAGCTGAGGGAGTTGAAGTGCGGGAACTGCCAGGTGAAGAGGAGCGCGGCGCAGAGCCAGCCGCCCGCAGAGTCCTCGCCGAACAGCAGCTCCTCCCACGTCCCGTCGTGTGCGTACTGGCTGGCCGCAGCGGTCCAGCCCATGAGCGGGGGAATGCCGCCAACGACTGCGCCGACCCAGGTGTTAAGCACCGACATGCGCTTCATGGGTGTGTAGACGCCCGCGTAGAGGACGATGTTGGCGGCGCCGAGGAAGGCCGTGGTCGGGTTGACGCCGTAGTAGAGGGCGCCGGTCCCCACGACTCCGCAGGCGACGGCGAAAACGACGGCAGCGCGGGTGGTGATGAGCTTGCGGACGAGCGGGCGGTTGCGCGTGCGACTCATCTGGGCGTCGTACTTGGGCTCCATGAGCATGTTGAAGGCATTCGCCGACGCCGAGCACAGGGCGGTGCCCGAGGTGAGGAACAGCAGGGTGAGGGTGGAGAGGGACGGCGTGGCCGTGGCTGCGGGCGCCAGCAGCCCAGGCACCGGGTACAGCGAGTACGCAGCTGTGGCAGTGAGCACGACGAGGAACGAGAGGCGCGGCTTCGAGAGCGACAGGTAGGTAGTCAGGACGCGCTTGAGCGACCGCTGCGGCAAGCTCGACGACATGTTCGCCAGCGTCGCCGAGGCATCGTGCGCAATGGGATACGCTTCCTGCTCTTTGCTCCTCTTGTGCCGCCCGCTTTGCAGCGCCTGCCGCGACCGCCCCAACGTCTCTTGCAGCACCGAGTTCGCCCAGAAGTAGTCCTTGCCGAAGGAATTCCTACCCTTGCCTATCGCCGGCGCCGTGGAAAAGGCCTGTCGCGAGGGCATGGGCGCCCGCCCGAGTCTGCGCCAGCATTGCAGACAGACTGTGCTCGGTCGAAGGCTCATGGCGGCATGGGCGTGTGCTGCAAGCTGCGACCACAATGATGATGCGCCGTCTCTCCACCACTCTGCCAAGCATCACATGACCGTACAACAACCCCACGCATCACGGCAGAAGACATGCAGCATGACCACATGGGCTATTATACATCTAATCAGGCGGGGAAAGGGGCTCTAGCAGCCTCCCTACGCCTGTAAATAGTGCTAGACAAACTCTTCCTCTCCGCAATCCACCTCAATCGTCGTCGTTGGGATTGGTGTCAGAGTCGTACTCAAAGTCACCTGGAACCGACGCCTCGCCATCTCCCTCGTCGACCATGTTGTCGTCCACTGACGCCGAATCACCCCCGACCGACACCCCTTCAGGCGCCTGTTCGCTAGACGAGCCCGATGCGCCGGGAGCTGGCGCTGTAGTCGCCTTCTTCACCTTGAGTTCGAGCAGCGTCTTTGCCTCGGACGGTCTCGAGTCTGTGAGGAGTACAACACCAAGAGTGGGCTGGCCATAGGTTAGCTTGTCATTCTCACATCGTCCGCTTCTCCATCGACTAACCTTCTTGACTGGAACATATCGCCCCTCGGTGAAGCTGATATGTTTGACTTGTGGCAAGAGCACACGGGACATGTTCTCAAGTTCGTGGCCAACCTTCTCCTTCTCTACCTTCTTCTTTAACGATTCAGTCGTCTGTGCACCCTCAGCCTTCTCTTTGTCTTGCTTCTGGCTGTCCTCATCCACATCCATCTTGTCGTCTTCCGCAGCCTTTGGCGTTGCTGGGGCGTCGATATCGATGCTCTCCCGGCGGCGTTGTCGCTCCTTGACCATTCTCCGCCTCTTGTCTTGAGCTGTGGTTGAAAGAACGGCAGTCTTGATCTTCTCGGGCGCTTCTTCTGCCTTGACCTCCGCTTCTGGCGGGTAGTCGAACATGCTCGGCCGAGTGTTGCTGTGAAACTTGAACGACGGAATCTCAAGATCCTGATCAACACCGATGATGGCCGTAGGCGTGAAACTCAACGACAAGAAGTGGGTCAATGGGAACCAGTACCAGTACTGTGTGAAGACAGCCATACCAACAATGGCAGCCATGTTGAGGTTGCCAGTCGGTGTCTGCAATCCAATTGTGCAGTTTCGACCACCAGCATCGATGATACCAAGCGCCAAAGCGCAGCCAAACTTGGCCATGGCATCTTCGTGACGGTCACCAACCACCTTGGTAAGCTGTTTCCTGATTGCTGTGACCTTGGGGTTCATAGCTTCATTCTGCTGTACCATGATCATGGCAAGCGCGATCAAGGCACCCTGTCGGACGAAATCGGTCGAGTCCTTCATCATGGGCTCCAGCAAGTCAACCGCTTCGGGAAGTCCAGTACCTGCGCACGCAATTCCGAGAGCCATTGTCGCTCCATATCGGACATGTGGGTTGTACGACTCTGCAAGAAGCTCGACCATGCGGGGAACGCTACCGGGTTTCCTGAACAGGACGAAACCCAAGCTCATGACTGCTACTCGTCGAACGTCGTCGCTTACATCGCTAACTGCGACATGCAACAGTCTTCGTACGGCCTTGTTGCTACCTGTGCCACAGTACGCGAGAGCAATAGTCATGATACCTCCATAGCGTAGAGTCGGGTCCGCGTCTTCGAGAAGGCCGTTGATAAGCTCGTCGGCAGCTTCTTGGCGGGCATACATGATAAGTGCCATGCCCATGGCGAGACCTCGGACAATCTTCTCGTGCTGGGTGTCGTGGGCGTATTGGATCATATCTTCGAGAGCCTTGATGTTTCCAGTGCCGAGCATCACAAGACCCATGGAAAGACCAACAGCCTCGCCGTTGATGGCAGAATCCGTATACAGCACACTCTTGAAGGCATCGAAAATCTCTTCCGAACCTGTTGCCATTCCCGCAACACCCACACCAAGCGCACCTCCGTGCTGGATGACCTCCTCGGAAGCGTTCTGGAACTGCTTGAGTAAGAAATCCAGAACATTGCTTCCATGGTTGGCGTAGATCAGCCCAAGCGCGTAGAGAGATCCACCCTGCTCATAGTGAGAGCCGGAGGATATGCTGTCCTTGGGCAAATACGGCTCGAGAAGCTTTTGGCCTTGGCTAAGGTTGCCACGGTGGATGACACCCAAAGCAGCGGTTGCTGTGAACTTCGACCAGTTTACCGCCTTGCCTAACCAGTCCAAGTTCTCCCGGAAGAAGGCGTCGTTTGTGGTACCAGCGTTCATGAAAGCATTCGCGAAAGTGACACCCGAGTGGAATATCGAGTTCCTCGCCTCCAGACTGTCGCGAATCTTATTCAGGACGGCCTTGTCTGTATGATTGTTCCTATACAGAAACTCGAGGTTCAGCTCGATGGTCTTCGTTCCTCGGAGAATATGGCGCACTGAGCTAAAAGCCTTCAGCTGGTCCTGTGTTGCTGAACTGCCTTTGGTTCGGGAGCTACTTGTCTCTACGTCTGAAAGCAGGGCGTCTGACTCGCTCGGTGGTGGGGCATTTTCGTCGGTCACGGAAGCCGTCTCTTCACCCTTGCCATCGGTCTCGGGCAACTCTTCCATTACCTTTGCAAGGAACTCTTGCGTACCATTCTCGTATAGATCGAAGGAAATTTGGTAAGCAGTTGCAAGCGACTTGTCTTCACCCTCTTCGATGAGCTGTTGAATGAGCTTTGATGCCAGAGAGTGCTGGTCAAGGTAAACCACACACTTGGCGATGGAGAAGTAGTCTGGGTTAGGAATCTCGTTATCGTTGAGGAGGTCGAGAATAAGTCGAAGGATCTGGTCATGTTTAGTTTCCGTCTACAGCTTATGCAACTTGCAGAGCTGTAAATGACTATCGTACCTTGTTCCTGAGTCCTCTCTCCTGCACAACGTTCATGCAGATGTCGAGGACATATTCCATCAGCTCTTCGCTTTGGCTAACCGAGCCCTGCGCGGGCTTCTTGCCCTGCTTCTTCTCGTCCTGGCTTGCGCGGAGGATGGAGTCGCGCAATACTTCGAGGTTGCGTGCTTCAATTGCAATGCCCACCACCTGCTTGTAGTTTCCGCTCTCGTAGCAGCTCTCGAAGATCCGCCGTATAGTACTTTGGAGATTCTTCTGCACGTTCCTCTCCAACACCATTGGTGTGGGATGTGCGCCTGGTACCCCCGCATTGCCACCGCCGGGAACTGTGGGGTCGAATGACGACGAATCTTCTCGGGACAGGAGCGACTTTGAGGGCAACGCGGACTGCGAGAAGGGTGTTATTGGCGAGGCCAAGCTGGCTGAGGTGCTAGCAGCACCAGTTACGTTGGCGGGAAATGATGTGCTCAACAGTGGAGGTGCCTGGTTCGTTTTGCTGACGGGCGAGGGCGGGTTGTGAAGGGCGGACAAAGCGATGTAGGTGTCGAGACATTTTGCTGAACAACTGAGTTAGCCACAATAACAGCCCACATAATGACAGCTCAGAATCTCAGGTCGAGCGAGAGCCTGATGGCGAAAGCGGAAGGAGACACTGCGTGTTTGTGTGTAACTTACCAAGTATCGTCTCCTCGAACTCGCCGGCCTTGTGAATGTCAAAGAGCTTGCCCGCTCCCAGCGCGAAGACCATGCTCTCGTTGTACTCCTGTAGTTGATAGTACACCTTGGCTGCGACAAGAGCGGCAAGCTCTCGCTCAGGGAACGTCTCGTCTTCGTACAGCGCCTCACTATGACGCACACAGATTAGCAGCTGTAAGGCAGTAGAGCATAACAAGAAGAGATGTAAAGTGCGACAGAGGATCCTTACATTTGACTGACTGAGCCAGCAACCTCTGGCCATAACAGGTCCATCTCCTCGTTCAACCGGTGCAGAGCGAAGGAGCGCAAGGCGGCATCGGGCTCGGCGAGAAAGCCGACGATACCGGCGGCAGACGTGAGGCCGACCATCGTGCTAGAGGTGGCAGAAGTAGCAGATATGGCGATCAAGTGGGCGTGGTCGTCAGAGAGGGCACGATGGTGGTGAGAGGCGTTGTTGTTGCGGAAGACGATGGAAGTTGATGGAGCCGCGTTGTGGCGCCTGCGGGCTTGCTGCCTTCAAAGCGTGTTTGGGCGACTTGCAGTGCGGAACACTAGAGTGGCCGTGGCAGTGAAGGAAGGACAGGAAAGTGAAGCTGCAAGGGTGATGGGATGGCGTGGAGGCGTGTAGGAGCTTGGGGTTCCGAGAGTTTCAAGCTCGTGATGACATTGCTGACATAAGACATTCATACATCGCGTCGACACATGCCATTTGCCTGGCTTTCACATATATTATGCATGTCGCGTCATAACATGCCATTTGTCTAGCTGACTGCTGCATACATTATGCAGACAGAAGGGGTATCATGCTATCAAGGAGCCAAACTCCGTACCAGGTGCTGCTAGCCAGCACTACGCTGCGTATGTAAACGCCAAAACATATCACAAAATAGTTATACAGTCAATTACAAATTAAAGTCTTCTCAAGCGCCCGGCGGTCCGGATGTCATCTCTCGCGACAACACTCGCAAGTTGTTCATCATACCGTTAATCAAGGGCTCAAAGCTGTTCGCCTCTTTCCTCTTCACCCGATCTGCATTGTCCAGCAACACATCCGAGCTAAGTTCGAGCTCCAGTTCGTGATTCTTGCTCTGTCCCTGGGTAACCTGCGTGAGATCGATCTGGTATGCGCCCATCCACGAATAAGACATGCGGTCCTTCTGACGTTGCATGCTCTCAAGCGTTTTTCCCGACTCTATGACGGGTGTCAGACCCTCTGTAGATCCAGGGTACTCGATTTCGAGATTGATACCGATACGGTAATCCCACTCCGTCTGCGGTGAACTGATCTCGAGATTCGCTATCCGGTGCTTGATAAGCTTCCTTATGACTTTGTTCGTTTTCGCATCTCGGGTGACGCGAATACGCTGGCGACCGCCTGCTTGTCCAATAAAGCTTCTTGTCAACGGAGGCAGCTGGTCGAGAGCTCCCTGGTCGAGGTCGTACAATGTGTCAATCTCTCTTGTATGTGCATAGCCAATATCCGCGCGCGGAGCTCCGGGCGTCTTCGATCTCTGCACCTGGTTGTTGAGGTACATGTTCATGCGTCTGTGCTGCTCCATAGTCATTGTGCTCTCGAAGATAGCATCCACACTTGCGCTCCTGATGACGCACTCTGTTTCGTGGAAGCCGCGCAAACGCGAGTTGCTATGTCTGTCCAGGATCTGACCCCATCTCGCTTCAACCTCGAGTTGTGTGTTTGGGGATTCCGCGATCGCGTTTCGCACGTGTTCGTTGTTGATAGCTGTGAGCCAGATGAAGTTGCATACTTTGCGCGAGACGTCGTCGTGGATATGCGCGTCGTCGGAGATGGGTCGCTCGTAGCCACTAAGACCATCCGCCGCAGGACCCTCGGGTGGCGGTCCGTTTCGTTGGGCCAGCGACGGCGCTTGAGGTGGTGGTTGAACGGCGGGAGGTGGTACACGCGACTGCTGGCGCTGCTCCTCTTGTTGCTGGAGCTCCGCTGAGAGTGCCTCGTTCTCGCGATACGCCCAAATAGGCTTCGGGTCGTATCGCTTGCGCTTGAGCGACATTTGCTTCTGAGTCGACATTGGCGGCGTCGGGTGCTTTGCAGAGGAGGAGATGGGGCTTGCGGCAGATATGGAGTGTGAGTTGGAAGAAAGGCGACGTGGTAACTCGTTGTGAGGATTCACTAGCGCAGATATATCCATGGCTGGCGATGAGAGGGTTGTGCTTCGGTGCATCACTGTAGCCCGCCCCGTGTACCTAGAGTACGGACTGCCAAGACACACTAACCCAGTGGTGCTTCTTTGGGAGATATGTTTCAGCTTGGTAAGGAGACAGGAGACTGCAAGCAACATATCACTATAAGAAAGCTGTTTGGAATGCTGTTGATATAATTTGCTTCATTCGCTAGTGCCTGCTGCCAATCTCGCACCAGTTACGCGAAACCTTTATTACTTTACGAGTCAAGCCCGGTGTCTGCGCAGGCAAGAATGCGAATAACCACCGACTTCTACAGAACCGTATCTCATTCATGTCACCTCTATGCCTCCTGGTCCAGACCAAGATCTTCAGTTGCTGGGACGATACGGAGGGTGTTGGTGTGGCCCATTCCTCCCCTCCAGCCCTGCACGCAAATGACGGGGTCACCCTTGTTAAGAACACCAAGCTTGATGGCGTTCATGATGCCCCACTTTAGGCGACGGTCGACATCCTCTTGCCATGGCTCGCTCTTGAAGTCTGGCTTCTCCTCGGGGAAATAGAATGGGTAAACACCACGGTACAAGTGAGAGTACTGCTAATGTTAGTGAAAAAATACTATCATCATGCGAAAAGACTTACGCGAGCGGCCATGTCGTTACGGGTAACCATGATAATGGGGCAGACAGGGCGGTACTTGGACACTAGACGAGCAGTGGTACCACTAATGCGCGTTAGAATTATAATGCTCTGGAGGTAGATCACGGGACAAGACTTACCTCGTTGTCAGAACCAAAATGGCACCGGCGTTCTGCTCCAGACTGGCGCTCACGGCAGCCATAGCGCACGTCTCGGTGGTAGGGCAGGGGACGGGAGCCAGCTTCCTCAACTCATCGAAAGCGTTGACGTATGGGATAGCAACCTCTGCAAGCAAGCATGTCTCGTGCATCATGGTTACGGCCTCAACGGGGTAGTCGCCCTTGGCGGTCTCGCCAGACAACATGACACAGTCAGCGCCGTCCAAGACAGCATTGCCAACATCGCTGACCTCAGCGCGGGTTGGGCGGGGGTTGTAGGTCATAGACTCGAGCATCTGAGTGGCGCAGATGACGGGCTTACCAGCAATGTTGCACTTGGTGATCATCATCTTCTGGGCGATGAAGACCTGGCTGGGGGGAATCTCAATACCAAGGTCACCACGAGCGACCATGACGCCGTCCGTCTCCTTCAGGATCTCGTCGAAGTTGTTCACACCCTGCTGGTTCTCGACCTTGGCAATGATCTGGATGTCCTTGCCCTCCTCGCCGAGCACCTCACGGATGGCAGTGATGTCGCTACCACGGCGGATGAAGGAAGCGAAGACCATGTCGACCCTGTTCTTCACGCCAAACTTGAGATCGGCCTTGTCCTTCTCGGATAGTGGGGGAAGGTCAATGTCAGTCTTAGGGAGGTTGACGCCCTTCTTGGAGGAGATTTTGCCGTTGTTGACGCACTTGCACTTGAGCGTCTGGTCGTCGGTAACCTCGAGGACCTCGAACGATAGGACGCCGTCGTCGACGTAGATGGTGCGACCAGGCTGAATCACCTTGGTGATGTTCTTGTAGTCGACGTACATGTTCTTGTCGTCGCTCTTGGTGGCATATGCTTCGTCGGTGGTGATGTTCAGGATGGTGCCGGCCTTGATGGGAATGTCCTTGTCGCCCTCGGTGTTACCCGTTCGGATCTCTGGTCCCTTGGTGTCAAGGGCAATGGCAAGCGGCCTGCCAGGCTGTGACTTCTCCGCCTCGCGTGCATGGTCGATAACAGACTGATGGTACTCGTACGAACCGTGGGAGAAGTTCATGCGCACGACATTGAGGCCGACCTTACGGAGAGCATTGATCTTCTCCGCGGAGTTTGTCTTGGGGCCAATGGTGCCGATGATGGAGGTTCGTCGGTACTGCTTGGCAGGCTGGTACTCAGTCTTGAGCTGGCTGAGCCACTCGATCCTGGTCCTGCCAGAGTTGAGGTGATCCAGACTGAAGTCAAGCTGTCAGCAGGCAGGTCAGTCAGTGAAGCGGGGTACAGGAACATACGCATTCGCCATTGTTGTTGTAGGGGCGGGGGAACTGTGCAGTACAGTATTGAGGAACTGGTGCAATTGCGAAGGAGAGATAGATGCCTGGAAGAAATGCGACTGGCCAGCTTTTGTGCTCGTAGACTGCTAAGACGGCCTGCTAGAGTTTGTTGGCGTGTTGAGAACTTTGGAGGGGTACGGGACCACGCTAAGACCACGGGCGACGGCTGTTGGATAAGACGTCAATACCCTGCGCCCACCCACGCGGTTGCATCATATATCACCAGAGCATCCCGCCCAGATAAGCCCGTGAACGTTCGTGGAGTGGGTAATTGGAAAGTCTCTTGCGCGGCCGGCGGGCCAGGCGTGTGTCGCACATCCAGTGAGTGGGCCATCACGTCGTGGTGTCTCGATGATCCACTCTAGGGATATGGGACCACGATCTCGAGATGGGCAGATGTGACACAGCGAGGCACGTCCTTCCTATATACATGGACACGCCAGAGACCCGGTTCCCGCCGTTGATGCCCGAAGATGAAGGGCGGACGCCCCACACGATCACATGCAGGCATGCATGCTTGCATGCATGACTGACTAAGGCAGGCACCAGCCACTTTCCTTCTGCCCTTCACCGATAGAGGATCTGCGCTACAACCACGCCATCCACCTCACAGCTCACGCATCTTTCCAAGTCGCCCGCAAGAAGACGCGCCCCGAACGTCCACTTCCCGATCCACCTTTTACCAGACGCAAAACATGGTTGTACGTAACATGCTAGTCGCATTTTCGCAATAGCTCACAACCACCCAGCTTGGCAAGGTAGCCCACTACGCCTTCGATGCAGTACTGAGTACGTCCACATACAATCCTCGACCGCTCGTTCTCGGCTGACAGTAGTTCAGTCTCTGCGTTCCTCGCTGGCGTGCGACGCTCAACCGGCCTCACGTACGTACCGGGCATCTACACGATTTGACTTCATGTGCAAATCGTCGCCTCCTCCACCCGCGAAACAACCTTGGCTAACACCTCCCGGCTGACAGTCCTAGTATCAAGCCCGACCAGTTCGCCGAGACCCCTGGCATGAAGAAATGGATTGATAACTACCTATGGGTGGGCGAAACGGTCATGGACCAGAGCGTTGCGTTTTTCGCATCGAGTTCCTATTTCGAGCGAAAGCGGTAGAACCCTGCTGGAAAGGGGGGACGTTGAGGACAATACCCACGGCCAGACAGTGTTAGGTCGGCCAGCTTTGTGTGGCTGGTGGAGATATGGCTTGGGCGTGAAGAGGGGGCAAGTTGTACACGTCGGCAAGCGCGGCACGAAGACCATGATTAACGAGACGAAACTGCTCCTTGACTTTTTCCAGCAAACCGGACGGTGTTGGGGCGTCGTGTTGGTTACTATGACAATTGTTGAGATGTATCGTTTCTGCACTCAAACATACCATGTTCACATCGAGAGCTTCTTCTACCACACGACAGCCGCCAGTGAAACAAGATAACGAACAAAATCGAAGTCGCTTTTCACTACCTCCTCCGCTTGAATCTAAACCCAGTCTCCTCTTCATCACTATCATCGTCCCTCCTACTAACCTTCCCCCTCTTACTGGCTGGTTGACCTGCCGCAGAACTGGCAGGGCCCCGCTTCTTCGCGCCTCTCTGTGTCTGCGTCTGACCCTCTTCGACCTGGGTTTCCTCAATCCTCTGCGTTCTGCCGCTGCTGTTTCGCGTCCCAGGCACCTGGATTTCTTCGTCGTCCGGCCCGCTCTCTTCAACATTGACCACCTCAGGCGGCTGTGTGCGCTTCCGCCTCGTGAAACCAGGCTCCGGCTCCGAAGAATCATCATCTCGAGTCTTCTTGCTTGATCTGAATCGAAACGAGGGCTCCACGTCTTCAAGAAAGAAAGCATCGCCAACGCCAAAGCCCTTCTTGGGGGGCGCTTCTTCGAGCGTGACGATAACCTTTTGGGTTTGCACGCCCTGCTCCGCGCCTCGTCGGCGAAACTTCTTGAAATTCTTGCGGCCGTTCCACTCGGGGTTCCAGCGTTCACTACGGCCTTGCGATTGGGTTTGTGCAGTACCTCTATTCTCCCGTGGGCGGATCTCTACCTCCTGAATCTTTGCCAAATTCCGCATCTCAGCGATATCGACCCCTTCGAGCGCTTCTCGCAGGTTTTCTTCGTCTGCTTTCCGGCGGTCGTCTTCTTCTTTGATGCGGAGGCGGGTGTGTTCGCGGACGTTGATTTCCTTATTCGCTTTCTTCTTTGCTTGCTGGAGCTTCTCCATGGCTTCTACGCCTCTGCTCTTGGGCTTTTGGTCGGGCACGCCGGATTCGGGTTCGACAGAGGCGGAAGGGGCACGGGTTGCTGCTCTGCGACGCTTCATTTCTGCGGCGGCTGGGAAGAGAGCGTCCATGACCTCTTCCTGTTCTTCTGCGTTGTCATGAACTGTCGGTGATGGATCCAAGCGTGTCGGTGAAGTTGGAACGGGTGCTGAAGCTTGAGCAGACGGTTCTGTGGATTCCTGAATGTCCTGCATTCGAGTGTCCTCCATCTTCGCTTTTTTTGGAGGCGGCTCGTAGTCATCGAAGCCCGTGAATCGGCTTGTAGTCTTCGCGCGATGTACACGTTTTCGCGGAACAGTTTTAGCTAGATCTTCCGTCGGGTGCGCTTGCGATTCGGTGGCCTGTGATGGAGTTCCAGACTGGGACGCTGGAGTGGACTCGCGCATTGAACGCCTCGTTGGGAGAACCTGGACTGCACTAGATGTAACTTCGTCGACTTCTGCGGGAGGCTTACGCAATGATGTTATGTCCTTTGTAACGATGACATCTAGAAACTCATTTTGAAGAATCGAACGCTGATTGAGAGCCTGGTCGACTCCAGTAACAAAGTTGGCAGCCCAGTCTTCCATACCATCAGGATATGATGCCAGACGAACTGTGACCACAGGAATTCTATTCCTACTGACATTGCTCGGCTTCTTCAGGCCTAACACACTCCATACATAGTCCACGTATTCTTGCACTGTTGTCTCGCCTGGTCGCACGTCGTAGAGTAGCGCTTTGCCGCCTCCATGAGAGATAGGCTGGTGTAGACTGTTGTACTGGCTCTCGTTCAGAAAGACGAAGGTCAATCCTGAGAACAGCTCCGAGCGCGAAACATCGGGTCTCAGCATCTCGTGAGGTTGCGCGACCGGCTCTGCACCAACAGGTGGAACATAGTCGTTTGCTTCGGGCCAGTGTGCATCAAAATCTTCCTCCAGCCTGGAGGGTGCGTAGTTCCCTGCTCCATCGACCGAGGCTGTGGCAGCATCCAAGACGGCGTCGAGGAAATCTCCGGTCACAACGTACTTCCCAGAGAGTAGACCCGACAAGACTTTTGGAAGGTTCCGTTTTTGGGACACAACGTGGGTAGTCTTGTCAAAAACGAACTCGGCCGTGGTCTTGATATCGAAAGTGTGTAGCTGCGTGCTGCGGATCTTGCTGTCTTTTGCCTCTTTCGATGCATACGTAAAGACGACGGGTCTCCATACAATTTTGAAGGGCGCATAGCCTTGCGCCAGTCTAATTGTATGTTCTGTTCCCTTGAGGACAGACTTGTCGTAGGCGATGGTCCCGTCATCCGCTTTCCGGCTCTTCAAAATTGTCTTTTCGTCGACCGTTGTTCCCTGGCGGCAGCTGAGATCGGTGACCTCGATCTGCGACCTCGCATGCAGGTTCGTGCCGTCTGCGGGCGACGGCTCCAGCACCTTCAGCATGACATGCTTCCGTGACACGGCCTTATTTTCGATCTTCCACGACTGCCCTTCCGTCGCATCCTTATCTGTCTTGGTCCGGCCAAACAGTTGCTGAGAGCCGGGGCGAAGCCACACGCGCTTGCCTCCGAAGAGGCTTTCGTGTTCGAGGAACCACATCGACGTGGATGGCGGCGGGCGACTACAGCAACTCAAACAGAGGCACAACAAGCCATTTACCTAGTGAGATGGCGCATGCGGGGTTGTCTACACGTGTGAGTTGATGAGGTATCTAGGCGGCATTCGATCGCCAGGTGTGGACGCGCTGTCATGTGATAGGCGGCTAGCGCACGACGTAGTTGGACTACAGACTGAACTTCACCATTACAATCATTACAACTACCTAGGCATGAAATTGAGTTGCAGAATACAATCATCGATTACTAAAATTCATGTCACAGCAAACTTTAACCTAGACGCCTACAGTTGTTTTTCATAAGGCAACTGTACTTCGACAAACCAGGGTGCATTCTCCAAACGCCCCTCTTCACCCTCCATCGCTGCATTGATACACAGCGTCTGTTTTCCGCCTCGAAACTCCTCGGCAGAACCTGGAGGCAGGCTGGCAAACCCCTTCCGCTTGGCCTGGTTCTTACCTACCCATTCTTTCGCGAGCGGAACAATCGAGTCCGAGTCTCCTCGAGTCTTCGAATTGTCGAACTCGAGCCTCTGTGCGCCGTAACCCCCATGTATGTGCCCGAAGCAGTGGAGCTTTGGCTTGACCCTCTCTATGGCTCGACGTAAGTGCTCACACCCCGCACTCTGTCCATCAGCTGTGGAGTCCAGAACGTATTTTGGTGGGCCGTGGGTCATGACAATATCAGTACCAGCGGGGATGATCGATGTTTCGGTACCGACATTCTTTGCCCACAATGGCGAAATGGCGGAAGGATTGTATCGGTCTTCGTCGGTACTGTATTGGAAGCCCGAAGCTCCGTATGCTGGTGTATATGGTGACGCATATACGGTAAAGCTAGCGCCAGAGGAAATAGTGAAGGTGTGAGTGCCTTCAGAGAGGAACGTGATTCCGAGCTTGCTGGCTTCGGAAACCTGATCGGGGGAGACCAGTGCTTGCGCTTTTTCAACATCGGCTTTCGATCCACCTTCGGACAGGTAGTATGCCTTGTCCAGGGCTATGTCGTGATTTCCAGCAATTACAAGCTTGAGTTCTGCCTTCACTTTCCCTAACTCTTGGAGTGAAGCAGATATACTATCCGGTGATCCATCTTCGGTCAGGTCGCCACAATGCAGGAGTACGTCGCATTCTGGCAGTGAAGATGGTAGCTCTGCACCATGTGTGTCAGACATAATGAGGAGTCGTACAGACGGGATCGGTAGCGGTGACTCCGCTCGCGAACGCTTCGAGGGGCATAGTGGCGGTGGAGATGAGGAGCGAGATCGCTTGTTGGAACGGAAAGACATGATGATTGTGATATGTGTGATAAAAGATGTTCCTGAAGAAAGTAAATCCAGGGGCGGAATTACCTTTTATACTTTCACTTCTAGTCCCTCAAAGGCAAACCATGGTACAACTCTGACAATAAGATGAACCCTGTTTTATTATTGACTAAATGAGCCGTTATATTCATTGGCATTGTCAACCAAAATAGCTCTGTCCAACCTAAAGGATGCCTATGGCCCACATCACCCACTACAATGACTGAGTAATGAGTGAGAATATATGGATGATCGGTTCCAAATAAGCCTCTAGTGGAGTATTTGACTTGGTTGAAAAATTTATAACAACATTATGAGTTTTTCATGACCCAAATTTGGGAAACCAAATAGACGTTCGAACACGTGTACTCGCATCAGTACATCAAGCAACCAGTCATATCATTAAGGGTCGATTGATGAGCTCTGCTTCTTAGTTACTGTTACTGTGAACTTCTACTGATAGTATTTATGTGTAAAGGGCTTCAGCTCTTATCCCATGTTGAAATCCTACCGTGTTTCTGTCTGGCGAGTATGAATAGAAAGATGACCAATAAGAACAATAACAACATTGTAGGCAGATATGTTCATCCAGAATATCTGTGGTGAAAGGTTTTCTTTGGACGTGACAGGAGAAACTGTGGTACGCTCCACCAACATGAGCCATTCATCAATTTTGGCGCATACCAAGCATTTTCAAACAGGCCAAACATATCCTATTGGTAGGGTTTGATAACACATTGACATACAACTTTCCGAATGTAGCAAGAATAGCATGTATTGCAGAGGAGGATTGCAGTCTGGAGAGTGCAAGGTTCGGCTAGCGCCCCACGTGAGAACGCGTTCGTTCGCTCGAACTTTCGAGGACCCCGCCGCGACTCTTGCACCGCAACAAAGCCATGGACTCTAAACCTCAAACACTGCCTTGCGTTGACACCTACTGGAATCAGGATGTCGTTGTTTGGTGGTGATGGCAGCATATACGACTCCGAGTCTGACTATGCACCACCCACCACGCAACCGCTGCTGTCTGTCGCCGCCCCAACCAGCCCTCCAAGTGCGCAGAATGCGCTAGGCCCTACCGTCCCACTAGAATCAGATGCAGATGATGATCCGTGGACCGACAGCGAACCAGAGATTGACCAATCGGCCGACGAGCAGCGAACACGTCCCAATCGCTACATTGGACACCCGCAAACATGGAAGGGCCACACGTTAGTGGATCGCGAGATCGCCGCGTCGCTCGACCACATGCAAGAAACGGATCTTGCCGCACACTTGTACAACGCACATGCTCTGAAACGTCGTGTACGGCGGCCTGCGCGAGAGACCGCGGCACTGAAGAGTTGGCAGGGCAAGCATCACTGGTCAAGGAAAACGCAGACGGAGCTGGTGCCATCGAAAGACTGGACAGCTTGGCCATTGCCCCCAGCAAGAACTCAACATTCAGGGGATGAGCTTCAAGAAGAAACATTGGCAACCTTCTTGCGATTAGCAAAAGAGCGTTGGAGTCTAAGGTGTACGGGTGATGACATGCCATCTGCTTCACGAGCAGATGTCAAAGTGAAGGATGACGATGTCCTCGTAACAGACAACGCAGAACCCCAGACCGACGACGAAGCGAAGGAGGCGAAGCGCAACCACGGCAAGAAGCGCGGCAGGAAGCCACAGACTGAGCCTACCACGGAACCGACTGTCCTTGCTGACGATGCGCAAGCATATAGGATTCTGCAGCCTACAATCCACTCGATTCTCAGTAGTGTGGACGAACTTGCACTAGCCGTGCGCCGAACTCGTCTCAACCACTACGGTCGAGGCGCGTACAGCGATAAGTCATCTCAAGGCGACTTCACGTCAGACGCAGAGCAAACAGAACCAGACTCTAGTCGTTCTTCAACACCAGGATCAAGAGGCACTCCGAACCGTAAACCAAGCGTTCATTCGGCATCTCGCAAGAACTCAGCAAGAACCAGATCTGTTTCAAGAAGTGGGCAGGAGTCTACCGACGACCATAGCGACCTTTTGGACAATGACTCCAATTCAGATGTGACTCAGAGCTCTCCACACGGACGCAAACGCAGCCGATCCGGAAGCGAGGATAGTGCTTCGGCCCCTCGCGACTATTCAGGAACAGCAGGACTCATGGATTGGAGCGAGGTGCTTGGAATTGCAGCCTTGAAATGCTGGAATGAGCAAGCGCTTATGAGGACGGCTCAGCGTTGCGCTGCCCTGTTTGGAGAAAGCATGTCATTCGTCCCCTTCGACGAAAGCCTCGCTACGAAGTCTGTCACAGAACCAGTACATTACACGCCTTCCAGCAATTTGGCGTCGGGTGACCTGTCTATTGCGCATACTGCCCCGCCCAAACGTCCTCTTTTCCAGGTTGGTACTCTGCGCTGCCCCCATACAGATTGCTGGGGTCATGCGCAGGCTTTCGCTATACCGTATCGTGTAATAGAGCATTGTATGAGGGTTCACGGATACGACCCCCGAGATAATGATTCAACCAACGAGGAACGGACAGTTGGCGGAGTACACATTGATGGATTTTTGCAACCCATTACTGTAAAACCTGGCTGGCTGGGTCATGGAAGGTCAAAAGCAGGTAGCGAGAAGGTTTTGGATTTCAAACAGGAAAGAGAGCAAAGTAGAACAGGACCATGACGAATGCTCATCTGAAACATAAAGCATGGATGATCCAGAGCCATGCGTTACAACTACTTTGACGACGACCTTGTCAAGTCTTCAAATCCAAGCACATTTTATATAACACTGTGTTGTAGTGTAAGATCGTTGCGTGAACCCCTTTCGTGCTCATTCTGCATTCTGCATAGCTAAGTCAAATGGAGAATTTCAAGCAACGGCGTCTTGCCGACCCCACATTTCCGGGATCTAATTCAGCGCGTGAATCCGCGTGCGCCGCGCGCCCGGTTCGCGAACGCGTATGTCGATCGCATCCCTGTGCACCCAACGTCTCGACTCGATGGCAATTGTGTGTCAAAACTATTTCTCACCACTTCACAACCAAACTACAAGAACACATACGCCATGGAAGCAGCCAATTCGGAAGCCCAGCAGGGCAATTCTAAGAAGAGAAAACACTCCAACGTGCAGCACGACATGGCAGACAAACATTATTACCCACATGCGCCACAGCCAACGGTCTATCACCCTTCTTCGACAACTCATGTCCCCGACGCAGTCGCTTACGGCCCGCAATCACACGTTGTTCAGCCCACAAACCACTTAGGTTACCCTCCCACTTTGCCATATCTACCCGGCGCAACTTGGTATCAGGAGAGACAGTCTGCATATGCTGTCCCGCCTACCTACGATGGCAGTTTCGAGACTAACATCCTGGATCCACAGCTGCATGCGCAAAGAACTGCAATTTCTTCGCATTACGGTCATCAACGCCTTCCTCTCCCGGCCGTAGCACCGTCGCGTGAAGTGATCAACCTAGTGGACGATGACATCAACCATCCATATATCCAGCCATCCGTTCAATCGCATGTCCCACAACGGCAATATTCTACAGACTACTCATTACCACCTCAGGGGACACATAATAATCCCCTTGACATACCATCGAGTCCAGAAGCGGATGCTAAGGCCTCTCTTCCTCGTAAAGTCCCAAATCTATCACGTTACGCGCACCAACCACAGCCTGCAGCTCCAAATCCAATACTACCCCCAAATGGAGCCAAGCCGGATGATCCAGCTGCAGATGTTGTGCCTATACTTGAACCAGTACTGTGCAAAGAGCAGGCTGATCTAGTGGATCTTATTTTGAGCAGACGTAATGTTTTCTACACAGGATCGGCAGGGTGCGGTAAATCCACAGTCCTGAAGGATTTTGTCAAGCGTTTCAGGGAAAGAGGCTTGAAGGTTGATATTGTCGCTCCAACAGGTCGAGCCGCCCTCGATATAAATGGATCTACAACGTGGACGTATGCAGGTTCGTATCCCCTTTTTGTCTTCTGGCGGTGCGATGCTGATCAAATTAGGATGGACACCTGATCATCATAAGAAACCTCTAAAAGAACTGAGAGCCGCCGGTCATGGCAAGTTTGTTCGAAAACGAATGAAGGAGACCGATGTTCTCGTGGTCGACGAGATTAGTATGGTCGAGAACCTCCATTTCGAGCGTCTCAATGCCGTTATGAAAGAAGCAAGAAACAACGAACAAGCGTTTGGTGGAGTTCAGCTTATTGTCACTGGAGACGTAAGTAAAGCTCCTCACATGAGTACTTTCCCAACTGATGTAATTAGTTCTGCCAACTACCTCCAGTCAAGCCCTTTGCACACTGTATTGAGTGTGGAAGAGAACTCGCGAAGTATAAAGACGGTGCAGAGTACAAGTGCCGTATGCATGGCACTTACTACGATATTGACAAATGGGCGTTTCGAAGCAAAGCATGGCAGGTATGGGTCAATGCTACCGCAATCTTGAAGCGTTGAATCTGACAACGTTACAGGAGTGTAATTTTGCACATGTGAATCTAACGAACATCCATCGTCAGAGCGATACTGTGTTCATCGACATTCTACAGAAACTTCGAATAGGTATGTTATCTACAGTCGTATGCTGTACCTAAGACCTGTCCATTCCATGAGAATTTGATTTATACTTCGATCCAATTTTGACCAATTCTTTATAGGCAACCCGCTCTTGCCAAAGGACAGAGACCTCTTGTTGAACCACACACATCAGACACGTAACGCCATCATGCTATTCTCCACTCGCGAGGAGGTCAAACGCGTCAACGACGACATGTTCAACAAACTGCGCACTCAGCCCCGAACCTATGCCTGTCTCGATCACTTCAAGTGGAACGAGAAGCACGGCAATCTACAGTCGAAGAAAAACACTGGACCCGACGGACGATCTCTGATGGCCTTGCGAGACCATCGATACGATACCCAGATCCAACTCAAGAAAGGCATGTTAGTAGTCTTGCTGCATAATCTCGACATAGCAGCAGGACTCGTCAATGGATCTCAAGGCACGATTCAGGGCTTTGAGGACTACGATCCGACTAAGATACCCAAGGCTGTGGGCAAAGGAAAAGATCGCGAGTCAGACCCAACGCACGTGGGACCGTTACTTGCTGGAGATTTCGCCGCATTTCGTGAACAGCAGATCAAAGCTTATATCGAGCAAGCCTCGTATAAGAAATGGCCGATTGTTACGTTCTTGAATGGTGTTACCCGGACAATATTTGCGGACTGCACAGTGAACGAGCTAGGCGATGAGCCGCCATATAGTCTGCTCTCACGAACTCAGATTCCCGTCATGGCAGCATGGGCCATGACTACACACAAGAGCCAGGTAAGCACCTCATATACGTTTATCGAAGCTGCCATACTAACTACCATGAAAGGGCATGACGCTGAACAGAGTAAGAGTCGATTTGGCAAAGGCTTTCGAAGAAGGCCAGGCGTACGTGGCATGTAAGTGATACATTCATATTTCTTCAGTAGGAACGTGCTGATATGTCTTCTAGTAAGCAGGGCCCGGTCTCTGAATGGACTTGAAGTCATATCTCTCCCGTCTCCGGAGAAGATGGGTTCCGGTAATCCGGAGGTGAAGGAGTTCTTGCGAGAAAAGTTTGGTATTTGATGAGAGGCTGTTGTTGGATAGTTGCTTCAAGCAAGACAAGAAATAAGGATATATATAATTCCGATTACTGGTTTACTAGGAAACCACAGGACCTACATCGATGATAGCTGCAAAAGGTATTCATACATATACTTCTAGCCCAATCTGATCAACGCCACGCTGTTACAATACAAATGAACAAGTCTGTCTACAGGTCACTGAGTCCCTTCGAGATCATACGCCACATCTGCTTCGCCCACCTCTTCACTCTCTTTCAGCCCCTTACCGGCAATGTTCCCAGCCACCTCCAAGCCCCCCTCAATACCTTGAACCAAAGAATCCAAAGCTTCAAAAACATCCCCCTGACTCTGTTCTCTCGCCTTGCTTAGTTTGTCATCACCAGGCTGACCCTTGTCCTTGCCTTTACTCCTGCCTGCTACCTCCACGCCTTCAATCCGAATCATATACCCCTGGTCTGGCTCGCTCTCGTCAAAAGAAGGAGTCGTCCGTGTACTGACAACGGTCGTCTGCCACTTTGACGACAGCGATTTTGCATCTACGATCGAGCGTCCATCGGCGCCAACGTCGACTATGAGGTAGTGTTCCCGGACGCCCGGTATGGGCGGCGGAAGGGGAGATTCGACCTGTGAATCTGGCTCATCGTGCTCTGCCACTTGCTGCCCATCTTCGCCTTCTGGCGTGATCTGGGGCAGGTACTTTGTATCATCCAAGCCCAGACTTCGCATGGATGCAGCGGTTACCATGACCGGATCGTCATCCGCGAAGACATAATGGACATATGGATGGTAGTACTCGCCCGACGATATGTCTTCTATGAGAGTGAAGAATGGTCTGAGGTTTGGAGGTGGTAAGAGGGTTTGTTCGGAACTGGGTTCTGGATATGGTATTTCGTCGTCGTCTGATGCTTCTTCAGGCTGCTGTTCTGCGGGTAGTTCATCTTGAGGCTGGGTTTGAAATTGTGGACGAGGCGATGAGCGTGGTGAGCGCGCTGGTTGGACTGTTGAAAATGACCGGAAGGAGCTGGGATCTGTGGACATGTTGAAAGGCTGGAGTTGATGTTGCAGGGTTGGAGCTTCGTGAGATGCATGAGGCTCATGCAAGACAGATCACGCTTAGCGCAATTGGAACTAGTCCGTGCATATGGATGCTGGATGTCTCTGGTGACTGGGAAAATGGAAACAGTTATTCAAAAGACATGATTTCCGATTTCATCGTACGGTAAACCTTCGTGGATATCATTCAAACGCCAGTGATGCTGTTATAGTTCAAGTACGATGCTCGAGACACCAGATATCAGATCCTGGTGAACCCGTCATAGAACCCCAACGTACATTCAAAACGCCAACTACACGTCCAAAAACACCATCGCGTCCTGTATTGAACGCATCGGACTCAGTTCGGGCTAGAATCCGGTTCCAGGACTAGTTCCTGGTTCTCGACAACAGGCGCCGCGTCTTGACTCTTCGACTTGAACGCTGAAAGAGCAGGTCAGTAAGGCGAAAGCAACTTCAGGAGAGATACCTTACGTTGTCGACACATGGGACACTTCTCTTGTGAGCTCTCTTGTTTCAGCCACGAGAAGATGCAGTGCTTGATCATTGTTAGTTAGGTGCTTGTTAGCTCAAGACTGAACTTGCCATATGGAAAGAGTGATTACACTCTCCGAGGACTGCAACACATTAGCACGTATTCAAGTGTAACAGACGGTCTGATATACGTAGCGGGCATTCGTCGCCTGGAAACTTGCACTTGGAGCAGGTGCTGTCGTAAGGATTTCGACAGATACCGCAGACGTCGTCTTCGGGCAAGTCCCAGCGCCAGGCGGCGACGGCGTTCCACTCTTTTATCGTGACCTTCATGATATCTATCGTGGTTGGCGATCTCGTCTGAGGTGGGGACAACCAAGTGAAAGAGTCGGCAGTTGAGAGCGGTGAGCAGGGCGGAGTTGAGCTTGAGCTTGAGCTTGAGCACAGGCGACCGGGAGCTCCCCACATGGCGCGGATGACGGAAGGCGGGCCCAATCTGATGCTATTCCATATGTCTACTCGCGCTCTGCATGCTATCTGTCAAACACTCTCAGCTAGGAATGTTGTCATAGACGTCAAGCAGGCGAGTGAGTACATTTTTTTTAGCTACAAGGACACAATGTTCGTATTCTTGAACTGCCTTTTGGTCAAGTGTAGAGTTGGAAGTACGTTGGGTTCTTCTTAACACCGAAGCTCAACAAAACAACAAGAACGAATTTTACCAATAAAACAAGTAAGGCGATAACTTCTAACAATTTAGGTACACAAGTCTCACACTAACTTTGAATGTAGTTGTCAAAATGGTGCAAGATTCCACTACAGCTCACTTCCAACTTCCACACTTGACCGAGAGACTGCAATCAACACACAAGACGACCCTGTAGACAAACAGCTCGTTGTCGCTAACAGCTCCCAGCATGTTGACCGCAAGCTTCCGCAACTCTCTACGATTATCCCCCTCCCTCCCATCTGCCCGACTTGTACCAGCGGGCAGACGCGCAATGTCTCAGTACACGCTCGACTCATACCTCGTCACGCCCGCAGAGCTCAACTCAGCACTGCAGAAGAACATCCAAAGCAAGCTCTCCACAGCGCCCCGGATAGTCCCCGTCTGCGCATCATGGTTCCTGCCCAACGACGGCCGAGTCGGTAAAGAGACGTTCATCGCCCAGCGCATCCCGCACGCGCGCTTTTTCGACTTGGATGCCGTCAAGGATCCTCACTCGCCGTACCCCCATATGCTTCCGTCGGCTAAGGACTTTGCTGGTGCTATGCGACGGATGGGCATACGACGGGAAGATAGCGTGGTTGTGTACGATAGTAAGGAGTTGGGTATTTTTTCGGCGCCGAGAGTCGGGTGGACGTTGAAAGTGTTCGGCCATCCGAGTGTGCATGTACTGAATAACTTCCGCAAGTGGGTCGAGGAGGGGTATCCGACTGAAACTGGGGAGCCAGGTGATGTTCAGCCCGTTGATTATGCTGTGCCCGAGCTCGATCAGAATAAGGTGGTGGCCTTTGAAGAGGTGCGGGAGATAGCGAAGCAGCTGGGCAAAGAAGGCGCAGAAGAAGTGCAAATCCTGGACGCTAGGAGCTTGGGACGCTGGAAGGGCGTTGATCCAGAACCTCGAGAAGGTATCTCTAACTCAGTCTTGCACACTTGTTGACCCTCTTGTACTAACCGCCAAAGGACTGTCTTCTGGACATATCCCGTATTCCATTTCCGTCCCAATCTCCGACCTCCTTGATCCGAACGACAAGACTCTGCTCCCAGCTTCTCAGCTACAAACAATTTTTAAATCAAAAGGCGTCGACTCTTCGAAGCCGATCATTAGTAGCTGCGGCACTGGCGTCACGGCGGCTGTCGTCGATGCCGCTCTCACAGAAGCTGGTTTCGCCACGGAGCAAAGGCGTCTATACGACGGCAGCTGGACGGAGTGGGCGCAAAGGGTGACACCAGGCGAGGGTCTGATTCGAAAGGACGACCAGTAGGGCATACAGAATTTCCAGCTGCATCTTCTTCCGAGTCATGTACAACTTGATACCCTATGTCTTCTTACCTAAGTAGTCAGTGACGACACCATATCATCAGGTTGGAGCCGTTTGGATAGGTTAATCGAAACATGTCAATACAATTCAAAATCAGAACTCCAAGTAGTATCACCTCTCTTCTATTACCTATGTGTCTCTGCCTATGGAAGGAGAAGAGCTCACAAACTACAAAGTATATAAACTGCAATGCAATTCAGCCAAAAAGCCACATTCCAGCAGCAGCATCTGGTGAAGCGGGACTGACGCCCGGTGAGAAGAAAGTGATCCCAAAGCGCCAGAAAACAAAGAAGACGACGACAGTCACAGTTTTGCTAACGAGAAGAAGGAAATGGAGGTGGGAGAGGTGCGTAGAAAAGTATGCACAAGGACAAGAAATGTGGACTACGGTACAGCATAGAAGGCCATCTTGAATGTTATAAAAGATACAAGAGTCAATGGTGAATATGAGGAATGCGGGTGCGCAGAGAATATGTAAAATCCTGAGCCAAGAAGATGATCAGCACCAAAGTCGAGTTCCAAGACTGCTGGTCCAGGTGTGGCAAAAACTCCTGAGCGCTCTGTCCAGATTGATTCGCTCTACGGAGTAGTCTTCTTGTTGATCTGGGTCACCACGACGGCAATGACAACAATGACGATGATGATGAGCAGGACAACAAGCAGGCACCACCACTTCTTGCGATTGCGGCTCCGTGCCTTGTCGATGGCACCACCCATCTCTACGTTGCCTTGTACGACGTTTTCGTGGATCTCCTCGCCCTTTGACTCTATATGGGCGACGAGCGGCTCCTGCTGCTGAACGATCTGGTCGAGGTCCTGGAACAGTTGAGCAAGCTCGACCATCTGGCGCTCGATGTTCTGGATAGCTTCATGGCGTTCCTTGACGTTGCGGAGACTGGATGAGGCTTGGCCGCGGCGGTCAGAGTTGAGGAGCTATTATTAGGGTAAGCAATATTCAGAAAGACGGCGGAGAGGGCAGAACCTACAGCTTGCTGGAAGATGGGCGCTTCTGGATCTGCGACTGCCTCTCGCACTTCCTCCTCGCTGGCATCGGGGCGCACAATACGGTACTGGCGCTCGGCAGCGGCCTGCGAGTCTTTCCTGAACTCGGCCTCGAGGGTCTGGTATCTGTTGATGGTCGTCTTGAGCCTGCGGTCTACCTTCCCAACCTGGGGCGCATTCCTCGGGCTGCCAGACTCGGGCTTCGATTTGATGTTCTTGACGCGCGTGACAAGGGCGCGGTAGCCTGTCATGATCTGGGAGCTGAGGCCTGTGATCTCGCCCGAGGGCATGTCTGGCCGCGCCAACACCTGTCTGAAGACGCGCTCCAGATCGTCGAGCTGGCCATCGAGCTCGTCGAGTGCGCGGTCAACATCTCGACATTGGTTGAGGATGGCGTTGGGGTCAGCGCCGCCTGCGGGCTGTCCGTACGACTGCATCTCTAGACCAGCTGGGGCGCGTTAGAGGCATACCACGGGTAGTAGCAAGGGTTCACGTACGGTCGTCATATCGTCCCTGTGCATAGTTGTTGAAGCGCCCGCCCTGAGGGTCATTGTCGCACTGCTCGTAGGGGTTGGCGCCTTGACCGTCGAGCTGGTTGTAGCCGCTGTTGCCGTACTGTTGGTCCACAGGATTCATCGTTAGTAGATGCAATTGGCAAGGGGGGAGTGCTAAAGGAAGAAGAGCAGTCTAGTGACAAGGAAGGTGACCTACACTCATGCTGAAACGGGTCCTACGTGGAACGTGTGTGCCGTGTGCCCGTGTCAGAACTCAACGTGTGCCAAATCTCCTGAAACAACAACAATCGCTGACACGCGCAACGTTGACTTGAGGTAGCTGGGATATTCGACCGGAGCAGTCAGTAAACTATGGCAGAGGAACACCGCGGGAAATCAATGCAGAGAGAAAAAGCTGATGTGGGCAAGATATGTAGAAGTTTCAGTTTCAGCGCTGAGCAGCCGTTTCCTGGGGCTGAGTGCTACGCCCCACAGCGCTGGGCAAAGGTGGGTCTGCATTTAGCCCAGGCGCGTCGTCCGTCCGCATACACATTGCACATCTCTAAATTTGGACCTTGCACCTTGCACAGTCAATGTGAGGAGGAATCCAAGCACACTTGGCCTGCTTTCTTGCGCATCTTATTCTACAGTATCCAACACTCAGTATCTTGCTCCACCCCCTCCACAGGTATCAAGAGACGCTGGCTTTCCGATCCAGGGTCCAGGCTAGAGTCAGCCTTGCAGGTTGCACTTCAGCTGGTCAAAGCCTCCACTCTTGCTGGTTGGCCATCTATCCCATCTACCATTCTTCTCTGGTTTGTACTTGTGTACAATGTAGACGTTCGCCCAGACTTCCTATCCTGTGGCTGGCTGATCTCCACTCCCCCATCGCGTCTTTTCGTCGCCGCCTGCCCACACCTTCTCTTTGTAGCCAAGTCGTTGCTTGACCTGATCGACTGTCGCGTTGTCACCCGTATTCTTGCCCATGTTGTCGCTGATCTTGACAGCGTGACGCCCCGAGGCCGAGGCAATCTTGATCACGATATTGAGAGGCACAGACTTGTTGCCGGTTGTTTTCTCAACGTAGTCGTCTGTTATTGTCAGTCATCCATCTGGAGAGCACACTAAAGAATACATACTAGTCAAAAACGTTCCAACACCAAAGGAAGGCTGGAACCCTTCAGCCTCAGCCGCAGCCTTGTATTTGAAGCAAAGGTCCAGGTTCAAAGAGTCGGAGAACACGATCGTCTTCTTGGCTTTAATACCCTCCCCATTGTAGAACTCACGCATCATCTTGATGAAATCCAATGGATCCCCAGAGTCTTGGCGCACGCCGGTGAATACTTCTGCGAACGTCTTCCGTGGTTTCGAGACGCCGTCGACAAATCCGGCTGTGGCTGCGGCCGAAGCCTGTTCCGTAGCGCTTCCGGGTGTCGTGGTCGCGACTTCAGAAATAGGTTGCTTGAAAGCCTTCAAGAATGTCGGTGTGCCAAACGTATCTGTGAGCGCAATGCTCAAAACACCTTCACCAAAGGTCGCTGTCCAGTAGTCCAACGCAATTTCGTTCGCACGTTCGTAGTTGTCTGTGATAGCCGCAACCCCCATGAACCACTCGTGGGCGACTGTGCCGATTGGCACGATGGCATACTTCATGGCGAAATGGACATTGCTTGTCCCGGTAAGCTTTCCCTTCCATCCTGCGCTACTTGCCTCGTCAGCAGCCCGACGTAAGCCTCGCAATACCAGGTCCTGTGTGTGGTAGTCGCGACGTCTCCGCGTGCCAAACTCGGAGAATATGCAGCCCTCCTCCAACAGTCTTCGTCCTTTCTCATGCGCTTTATCGACCTGACCCACGTGGCTCCAGTCTTTTTCGACAAACTTGAAGTACGCCTCGCTGACAAGCGCGAGCAACGGTATCTCGTATAGGATGGTGTCCAACCACAGGCCCTCGACGTGTATGCGGAAATCACCCAGATCATCTTCCGAACCGGTATCTTGTGTTGGGTTGAAAATCAACTTCAGTTGCTTCGAAGGTTCAAGGCGAAACGTAGAGAGGAATTCGAGGTACTGGGGGTTGAGGTATGGGCATGTTTTCTTGAGGAAGTTGAGCTCATCAGTAGAGACAGTGAGGTTCTCGAGCTCTGGCGCGAGAGATTAGCATGCCCATATGGAAGGCGCGACTTGACCTACTTTCGACCTGGGTTTGAAGCCATAGAAAGGCTGCGCGATTGAGCTTCTTGTCAGGAGTGCGGTTGGTGAAGCTGTATGTGACTGGAACACTGGGGAAAAATTTGAGGACGCAACATTGCATAGTAAGTTTGTAGAGATCGGTGTCTAACAGGGAGAAGACACCCTCTGGCAGGGTCGCTCCTTCCCCAGCCATGATTTGCAAGAGGTATCTGTAAGTTGGGTTGTAGATGTAGGATTAAATAGTTTGCGCGTCTGCTCGTGAGTAATGGGAGGGGAGGTGGGGCAGACCCAAGTTTCTACGGCAGAAGCTCAGCGGGCAAACCGTGGTGGAGAATTGCAGAGTCGCACCCTTTGTCGAGCCTATCGACTCGTTCAAGCTCTAATCGGGAGGCGTCTTGAGTGAGTGCAGCTCGGAATTCCGATCAGTGACGACATTCCGGTACATTCTTTATTTAGCGCATTATCCCTACCCCACAGTCCCTACATGGCGCGTTTACGCGTGGCCTGCATCTCGATCCGCCTCCCACATAACCCCCAAGAGATGCTCGTCGCAGTGTCCCTTCTCGCCATATCGCTCTCTCTCCTGATTTACCATCATCCGCTATCAACATGGCCGTCTTTGTTTGCGCAAGCGCCGCCTCCCAAACACGAACAAGATACCCAGGCTGAGCAGCCAGAGGCGGATTGCGACGCCGAAAACACCTCTCTGCATAGCCTGTCGCAGCAGAACACGCCCAGGGCTGCTGCAAACGATGCTCAGGATGCGCCCGCGATACCTACCTTCACGCTCGATGCGCACGACGACGACACCGACGATGATGATGAAGACAATCTTCCTCCGCCCTCCTTTCCAGCAATGAATTCGGCGCAACGAGCTTCAGCACAACCGCCATCTCTCTCTATGCCACCGCCCACCGTGCAAACGCATATGGCTCCACCACCAAAACTTCCAGGCGTCTCCCTCATGCCGCCACCACGAGTCGCGCCCTCAAATTTGCGCGCACTTCCAACCTCGTCTCAGTCAATGCGCGTACCTACCACCGGTCCTCTCCCCAACCGCGGACCGCTACCGAATCGAGGCCTGACTGCGTCGAACGGCTCTATGGCTGTTCCTTCCTCACTAGGTGCCAACCTGAAGACGCCCAACGCACGAGGCAAAGTACTTCTCTCGCCAGGCCATTCGCCACTCGACTGGGCGAATCTGCAAAAGTCAGGCAAGAACCTGTCGGGCGTGGGTTCACTTATGCGCGTCACTCCTTCGATGCTCAAGGAGAAGAACGGGCGGAAGGGGAAACCGGCATGGTCGAGCTACCAAGGGAAGGTGTACAATATTTCGCCCTATCTGCCGTATCATCCTGGAGGCGAGGGGGAATTGAGGCGGGTTGCGGGCAAGGATGGCAGCAAGCTGTTCATGGAGGTGCACCCGTGGGTGAACTGGGAGAACATGATGGGCGAATGCATGGTGGGTATCATGGTGGCCGAAGGGCAGACTCCAGTGGATGTGGGCAGTAACTTGGAGAACATGGATTAGCGATGATACCCCATACCGCGGTAATATGACTACAACTTGGCATGTATATATATGTTGATTACAGTTTAGATCGAAAGGCTAGATCGCAATTCTTAGACATACATGAACTACTTTAGATTTTACTCTCAATCATCCACGGCAAAGATAATAAAATTACACTACCAACTGTCCAACGTCTGCTATATCTTACAGCTTCATTCCCAACACCTTGTGTACCCGCAAAGCCTGCCTGATGCTCAAATCTAGCATGATCTCCTCGCTACCACCAGGAATAGCATAAGCCCTGACATCTCTGTACAGTCTCTCGACCTTGGCGCCTTGCCCTCCCCGGCTGTAGCTCAACCCACCGAATATCTGACTCGCTTCACGAGCGCAGAACTCGAATGTGGTAGTACTCTGCGCCTTCAAGCTAGCAATAGCGCCACCGAGCTTCAACATGGCTTCCATCTCGTCCATCTTCTGGCACTGGTAGACGAGGTTCTCGAGCCAATTGTACGACGCTTCGATCTGGCGAGCCATATGCGCAAGCTTGAGGCGAATAACTGGGTGTTCGATGAGTTTCTTGCCGAAAGTCTTTCGCTTGTGTGCGTATTTGACCGATTCTTCGTAGCAGACGCGGGCGAAGCGGACGGACTGGATGATGATGCCGATGCGCTCGTGGTTGAAGTTCGTCATGACGACTTTGAAGCCTTGGTTCGCCTTGCCGATCAGGTTCTCAACGGGGACCTTGACGTCTTCAAAGGTGATGTAGGTGGTGCCGCTGCTCCACACTCCCTGGCAGTCCATTTTGCGCGTCGAGACACCGCCCGCGCTGCGCTCGATCAGAAGGACTGACACGCCTGTGTTGCCGGCTCCGCCGGTGCGGACGACGGTCGTGAAGTAGTCAGACCAGATGCCGTTGGTAATCCACTTCTTCTCGCCGTTGACGATGTAGTGTTTGCCGTCCTCGGAGAGCTTGGCTTCGCAGTTTAGACCTGCGACGTCGCTGCCAGCATCTATTCACAGTTAACAAATTGCGCATGGTGGAAGGAGGGTGTCAGTCTTACCTGGCTCGGTAACGGCAAGACAAATGCGTTTCTCGCCGCTGAGCAGACCGGGACCGATGCGCTTTACAAGCTCTGGCTTGCCAAACTTGAAGAGTGGCGGTGCGCCGATTCCGTACCCACCGATCAGCCCCCAGACGAGACCTCCACTGCCAGTGCGAGACAGCTCGTCTGTGAGAATCATCTCGTGGAAATGATCCCATTTCTCAGCCGGCACGCACTTTACTCTTCGGTCCGTCAGCTCTACTGGGAAGTGTATCCCCAATAAGCCGGCCAAGTATCCTCGCTCTCCCATGTCGCGGTATATCTCGTCGGGGATCTTCCTCGCTTCGTCCCATTCGGTGACATAGGGCATGATCTTCTCCTCTACCCATTTCCTGACTTCCTCGCGGAGGGCGACGTGGGTCTCGTTAAAGTAAGGCGAGTGGTACTAGGTCCAGCGTCAGTCATGCTGTATGATCTTTCGAGGTTGGGATGAACTCACTGTTTGGTACCACGATGGATCAGCGTATGGGATCAAGTCGCCGTATGAATCGAAAGGTTCAGATTCCTCAGCGGCAGCCTCGGTTGGCATGGGCGCGACGACACCTGAGTTGAGCTCAGGCTCCACGATCTCCTTCTCCTCCTTTGCTGGCGCTGGAGCTGGAGTTGGCTCTACAGCCTTGGAGTCTAGCGATCCGACTTGGAGTTTCTTGTACTTCTTGAGGATGCCCTCATTGTGGTATTTCCAGAACTGCTTTGAAGCGTCTTTGCCTGCCACGCGTTGCAGGACTTGCGAGTATCAGCATTCAGCACGTAATACGCGTCTTTCTTACGAAAGACTCACTCTTCTTGCCTCCTGGATGATCCTCCTGGAAGTTTGTGAGGTCGTAAACATCCTCGTCTACAACAATCCACAGGTCCTTCGTTGTGTTGTGCTTTTGCACCTGCTCGGTCGAATAGCGTTGCGACATTTTGAAGGAAGGTAGAGAAAAAGAGGCACAAAGTGTTGGTACAAGAAGATGGTATCGTTACAAGGCAAAGCCGCTCGGAAATGAGCTATGATGTATGAGCCCCCATGTCTTCACATGCCAGCCGACTCCGCACCAAAAAGTCTGGGGATGTCGCTGCACATGTACCGAGAGTACCAAGTAATCTGATTGGGTGCATGAACCGTAGTCAAGTGATCTTGTGAGCGTTATACGTTCGACGCAATTGGCTGTTTGATCGAAAACAGCTGACATGCTGTGAAGGCCGCAAACAATGAGCGGCGTTATCCTGGAAAAGACCGAGGTACACCGCCTCATTGATCCAAGGGTTGTCACAAGCCAAATGCTGGCCGGTGTTAGCGTGCGTAGCATACGGAGTTGTCCCCGCATTGATTACTCCCCATTACGATAGGCGACCCCAGAACCTCCACAACAAACTTGCCAAGCGCTCAATAGCCTACAACACCGGAAACCGAGGATGACCATCTATCGCGGCCCTTCTATATCATGACTTGCCACACGAAAACGATAATCCCCCACAACCGTAATGGATTTTAGTTAAACTTCATTAAGCTGTGCAGCAGGGCCTTGCTGTTAGACTTTGTAAGAGAGGTATGTCTTTTTCCTTCTTGTGCAACGAGTTATATTGCTGTAGTGTTTTTACTTCGTATGAGCGCACAATCTTATTGTTCGACCCTCGCCCAGTGGTCGCCTTCGGTTTCCGGTCATGTAGTCTAAGATAACTGCTCGGTGAAAATACATTCCTTCACACCTGGTTTTCTGGTTCAAAGAGGCCGCGATTGGCTGCCAAGACATTGCATCATTGGTCGAATGATCTTGACTCGACATGACAATTGAACATGCGGACATGCACGCGCTTGCGGCGTTTCCAGACATCCTCCAGACGCCCTCTAGACGGTGAAGAAGACATGTTTGCCTGCAACCACCCCGTAAATATACAGCACGAGATCCTCTTTCCCTCCGTCACATGGGCACATTGTACATAACTTGCAACCCACACTCGCTAGCTTCAGAGGTTCAGAGATCACGTATCGCCTGGGCGCTGAGCTTACTGGCCTGGGCTTTGTTTTAAAGATCTTCTGTGCGACGTCCTTGCATTCTTTCTCTCCAGGGTCGAACCACCTCTTTTGCACAACCCTTGAAATCCGACCATTGACTTTAGAGTTCTGGAGTGACACTCAATCACAACCCCACCAGTTCACCAATGTCGTCCACAGTAGCGGCTGTGGCGAGTGCGTCGCCCACCGCGCCAATCAAGGCGCCCCCCCAGGCGGGTGTCCTGGATGGTGTCAATCCGGTGCATTTCGATGCGAAGAACCCGATTATCTTGTTCATCGTCCAGGTATGTCCTCGTCATGACTTCTAGAGGATATGCGTTGCCGGTTTGTGGTCAAGTGTCACGACTGCAGCAGTATCAAATGGATGTTGCTATCACCCTTGTCATATGTCTTCACACTCATTCCCTGATCAACACTATGTGTCAATTTGATGAGCTTCTTAACATTCTCGCTGAGTGTGATAGCAACATGCTAATTGTATATGTCACAGGCCTCTATTATCATTATATTTTGTCGAGCCCTTAACTGGCCTCTTTCCAAGATCCGCCAGCCACGAGTCATATCAGAAATTATCGGTGGCATCATCTTAGGCCCATCCGTCATGGGCCGCATACCAGGCTTCAGAGCATCGATATTCCCAGATGCGTCTATGACTAACCTCAACTTGGTCGCCAACTTGGGTCTTACGCTCTTTTTGTTCATCATAGGCTTGGAAGTAGACTTGCGCTTCTTGCTGGGCAACTGGAAAGTGGCCTTGAATGTCGGTCTCGCGAGTATGGCTATACCGTTTGGTCTAGGATGTGCCATTGCGGTGGGCCTGTACAATGAATTCAAGGATGAGCCCGGAACGGTCCAAGTCGAATTCCCAATTTTCATGCTTTTCATTGGTGTAGCTATGGCAATCACAGTGAGTTCGGAGTTCGAATCGTTAGTTTGGGTCAACGTGCTAACCTGTCTAGGCTTTTCCAGTGCTTTGCCGTATCCTTACCGAACTAAAGCTGCTCATGACCCCAGTCGGTGTGATCGTTCTGGCAGCTGGTGTTGGTAACGATGTAGTAGGTAAGTGCAATCTGTATATTCTTTCAAAGCCCAGGTCCGATATTAACTTTTCTTGTCAGGTTGGATTCTCCTTGCGCTCTGTGTCGCCCTCGTCAACGCCGGCTCTGGTCTATCGGCACTTTGGGTGCTTCTAACATGTGCCGGGTTCATGGTGTTCCTCGTCTATGCAGTTCGACCGGTCTTCGTATATGTCTTGCGTAGATCCGGCGCTCTCCAAGATGGACCCAGTCAAGGAATCATCAGTCTTACGCTCTTGATTGCATTGGGATCAGCTTTCTTCACCGGTATCATTGGAGTCCATCCAATTTTTGGAGCCTTTATGGCAGGCCTCATCTGTCCTCACGAGGGTGGATTTTCCATCAAGGTTGCTGAGAGGATTGAGGATCTGATAGGCGCCCTGTTTCTGCCTTTATACTTTACCCTCTCCGGCCTCAACACCAACATCGGCCTCCTTGACTCTGGTATCGTTTGGGCTTACGTTGTCGGCGTTGTCGCAGTGGCGTTCTTCTCCAAGTTTATAAGCGCTACACTTGCAGCTCGTGGAACGAAGATGTTGTGGCGCGAGTGCTTCACCATTGGGTCTCTGATGAGTTGTAAGGGTTTGGTCGAGCTGATCGTGTTGGTAAGCAAAACACTCTATAGAGTGCAGTGTATGGCAAGGGACTAACAACAAACAGAACATCGGGTTGAACGCAAAGATTCTTAGCACCCGCACATTCACCATTTTCGTCGTTATGGCTCTTGTTACCACATTCCTGTCATCGCCTCTCGCATCGTTCTTCTACCCTATATGGTATCAGAAAAAGGTCGAGGCTTGGCGTCGCGGTGAAATTGACTGGGATACCGGGAAGCCCTTGGATGGAGCCGAAAGCTCTCGAGACAGTATTCATTACAACAAACTGGAGGCCGAGAAGGTCAAACGACTAACTGTGTACCTGCGCCTGGACAGTATGCCAAACTTGCTGGCCTTTACTTCGCTCTTTGGTGGACATTCGGACAAGCCAGTGACCAAAGTCCACCCTACAAAAGCCACGAATTCAGAAAAGGAGACCGGAGGTCCATCAACTTCGATTGAGGCTACCCGACCAGTTGAGGCATATGGCCTACGTCTTCTCAACCTGACGGACCGTGGCTCTTCAGTCATGCAAGTCTCAGAGATAGAGTCCTACACTGCCTATGACCCCGTCGTCAACACGTTCCGAACGTTCGGAAGACTACATAACCTAGCCGTCAGCGGCGAGGTCCTCGTTGTACCGGAGTCATCTTTTGCTGAAACACTCAGCACGCGAGCCTCAGATTCCGACTTCCTTGTACTCCCTTGGAGCGAGACAGGCGGCATGAGTGAACAGGCCATCATCGAAGACAAGGGCACAAAGAACAAGCTCGCAGCCTCCTCTTACGTATCCTTCGTCAATTCGACACTGGAGCAATCCACCATCCCGGTAGCTGTTCTTATCAACAAGAACTTCGGAGGGAGTAAGAACAAGGACAAAAAGCATGGTTTGAGACTCACTCGCAAACTCAGCAGCGTCAGTCTGTCCAGTGCGCGCGACAAAACAGTCACAGCCCCCATCGCCGACCGCAGCCACCACATCTTCATGCCCTTCTTCGGCGGCGACGACGACCGCGCCGCGCTCCGCCTCGTCCTCCAACTCGCCGAGAACCCACAAGTCACCGCCACCCTCGTCCACTTCGATGTCCCCGACTCCTTCCTAGGCAGCCCATCGACATCGACATCCACCGCGACTAAAACCCCCAACACAACAGTAACCACAACATCGCCCTCCTCGCGGGAACGAGACGCAACCTTCTTCGCCTCGCTCAGCGCCTCTCTCCCCGCAGACCTCGCAAACCGCGTCGTCTTCGAGACAAGCACGAGCACAAATCCCATCAGCGACGTCGTGGCGCGTGCCAGCATCGAGGTCGGTCAAGCGCCCAAGAACGCCGGCGATCTCGTCGTCCTGGGCCGGAATATCGGCCGCAATGCCGCTTTGGATGTGCACGACGCAGAGGAGATCAGGAGCTCGCATTCTGCGGCCAGTACGCTGGGGTTCTTGGCTGAGAAGGTGTGGGAGGGGAAGCTGAGCGCTAGTGTTTTGGTTATCAAGGCTGGGGTGCGGTGACGGCGGGGTTCGTGGTTTGGTGTATCTGCTTTGATCTATGTCTTTGTTTAGAGTGTTGCGTGGATGTTATGCATTGAGGTGGGAGGGGATCTTGGGCATTGTTCTGGCGCAAGTTTGGGTAGCAGGTTGTTCAACATCTGAAGAGGATGTTAGCATGGATAGGACGTTGAAGAGTGTACAAACGACTATCGCCTTCAAGACTTTCTCTGCACGTTTCGGTGGTATGTCATGTCGGGAACTCGTCGTGCAATAATGTAAGGACTGGAATTCTTCTTCCAGAGGCACATTTCAATCCCATCGCACAGTCACGTTTCAAGCTTCAGAGCAATCCGCATGTCACGACATGACCGGAGACAAAGACAGAGTGAAAACCCGACAAAGTAAATAGTTATCTAACCTGCAAGCAAAAGAAGGACAATGTATATCAGACCCCCCAGTTGAGGATCCACACACAACGTCGTTGTTGCTTTACTATCCCTTGTCTCAACTCGGTCAGGTCGACAAATCAAGGCAAGCAATCCGCAGTATAAAGGGCGGCAGACAACGCTGTACGGTCCCGCAAAACATCTTTTCGGCCCTTTGATAAGGATGAAGCACCTCATTCCCAGCCACTAATCCCCTCCTCCCCCACGAAAGTATACAATTTAGCCAAAGCAGGCGCAAAGGAAAGGAAAATATCGAGAAACATGCCCAGCGTTCGAATCCATCTGTAGCAGGCATGATCGCGTGAAAGCCGGAGATCTTCTCCAAGGAACCGAAGTCGAAACCGAGCCCACGCTGGTATCATGGTATTAAGGCGACTACGACCCCCAAGCCGACAAGGTAGAGAAGCGTCAAACGCATAGATATCGCTGCCGATGGATGGTGGGCGCCGAATATAAACACGAGCTTGCCTGTTCAGCCGGCTTCTGCTCGGAAGCCTTTTTATCCGTTTACTAACTCTCGGTGTGTGTGGATCTATGCCACCCAACGTTTCGGACAAGCATGATCGTGAGTAGATAGTTGAACCAGTGCGTTGTTACTAACGCCATCGTCGTTGGCGTGTCTAATTCGGCTCCCACAACTTCCTCCTGCCGCCGCCACGTACGGGGCTCGCTCGCGGGTTGGGACGTGCGAAGGAGTTCGGATCGATGGGCTGGTTCGGGTCGAAGCGAGGGGCGGGCGGGGCGCGTACGGGCGGGGTTGGAGGAACGTAGGCTCCGCGCGGTGTGAAGGCGCCACGGCCTCGGATGGGTGATCCTCGAGGTGTTAGCTGTGCTCCACGACCGCCGCGCGGTGAATGATGCTGGTTGGCACGTGCGAAGTCGTTGGGGTCTAGTACGCGGTGGTCATTTGTGGCCTTTGCTGGGCCGCGAGGAGCGCGCTGGAGGAGTACGACGTCCTCGTCGTCGGAATTGGCCTGGGGCTTGGCTTCGGCGGAATGGGTGGACTTGGGTGACTTGGGTGACTCGGCTTGCTTGGGCGCAGCTGGACTGCCGCTCGCCTTTGCAGCAGTTGCTTCAGCCTCGAGCTTGTACATGGTCAAGTGGTTCCTGAACTCTCGGTCCTCGCGCGCAACAGCGTCGCGGAGCTGCTCCAGGCGCTTGGCCCGGATGCCGAATTTCTGAGCGATGATTTGTTTAGCGGGGTCGTTTGTCAAGAGGATGAATGACTCGAGGGCCGCGTCAGGGTTCGACTCCTTGTGGATGCGCCACAGGATATGGTTGAAGAGAGGCTGGAGATAGGCAGGTACGGCGGCTTTGGGCGTCTGGCAGCCGCGGGCAAGTTCGCTGCTGTTGCGGGCGGTGCGATCGGGCGACTGGACGAGCAGAGCAGCTGCATTCTCCTTGTGGGTGACGTCATGCGCAGTCTTGCTGTCGCTGCGCACAAACGACCGAGGGGACTCTGGCGTCTTGGGCGTGTCCTCGAGGCTGTGCGTGGAGCTCACCGACGTGTCGTCCGAGACCTCGAGCGCGGCGAAGGAGCTCTCCAGGTCGTCGTGGGCGCCGTCGTCGTCGGACTCGCTGTCGTCCATGGACAGCAGCGTCTCGGGCAGCTGGTGCTTCTCCACCTCGTCCCACGTCGTGTAGGCCTCCTCGGCGCCCTCGAGCTGGACGCCGTTAGTTGCCTCGACCGCGGGCAGCGACGTGACTTCGTCAAGCCACTTGACGGCTTCGCGGGCGTCGGCGTTGACGCGCTCGCTGCCGTTCTTGAGGCGCTGCAGCTGGGCGAGCGTGTGCAGCGGGACAAAGAGGCGGATGGCGCCCTGGGAAATCCACTTGCGGATTCCGTCGCGGGTGCTCTTCTTGACGCCCGCCATCAGCGCCGTGTCGTCGACGATGCAGTTGAAGGCCTTGCGCGTGGGTGGCGCGGGTGCGCGCATCGCGGCGTCAGGCTGGGGCCGTGGCGGGAATGCGCCGCGACGCATTGCTGGCGGGGTATATGGTGTTTTGGGTGGGATCGGTTGCGTGCTTCTTCGCAATATTGCCTGGCCTGGTTGTGTGTGCTACCGTGCGTTTACGAACCACGGGGCGTTGGGTGTTGGGTTTGTTGGGCGCCAGAACAATCCATGTGCGTCAACGCGGTGGCTCAGGGCGTGCGCATTGTGTGTGCCCAGATTAGCACGGGAGAGGGTGAAGAGGTCCTTTGCATGACGCAAACGCCGGTGGTCGGGGACGTGAGTGAACAGTGAGGTTGACGGTCGAAGCCCGCCCACAATGAGCCATCAATCATGGTGCTCAGACCAAGTGGGATGGATGACCAGCCTTCTTCCGCAAATTAGCTCACGTGAACACTAATCTATCACCCAGCGCTTGGCCGACCTGTTATCGCTGATTTTATGCTAAACGATAGGAGTGGCAGTATTTGTAATGATATCGAGGCAAGGGTTTGGTGTGATGATTTTGTACTTTATAATCATCGTCATTCGAAAAGATCGAATCAATCAATGCAAACCCCCGTTCCCCAGAGCCTTAGTAGCTCTCCACTTCGGCACGCCTTTCACCACCCATATCAGGCATCCACCCCTTGGGTCTCTCAGATCCTCGCACAGTGAGTCCATAGAGTGCCTTCTCCACCTTATCGACACACTCCCGCATCACCGGCATCTTCTTCGTCTCAAGCTCTTTCTCGAATTTGGATCCTCCTGGTGTTTCGAACATCTCAAGCTGAAGCCGGATGGCTCGCAAGTCGTCCAAGACAGTCCGTGGCTTCTGCGTCTCTTGCACAACAGGTGCTTGCTCATCAATGTCCATCTTGTCACCGAGGTCGTCCTGATCCTTCGTTTGCATGCTAGGTTTGCTGTGCTTTGCTCGTCCAGAGGGCAGTTTGCCGTGTGTAGCCATTGATGTGACCGAGAATCGCATGAGCTCGCCCGTCATGTCACAGATACCCAGGATATAATCCTCAGGCGTAAGTGATACAACGCCAGCCTCGCCACACATCGCAGCGATTTTGGATCCGGCCTCGTCATATGAGATGAGAGATTGCGTTTCAAGGTAGTACTGGAAGCTGAGCGCCTCCATGAACTCCTGGTTACCACCTGTGATGTTATGCGAGTAACGGTGGGCATTCAGTCCTTGAAGGTCGGCAGCGATGCTCTTGTACTGCTTTTCGATAGTCTCCCAGTATTGTGCATTACTTTTGGTGACGAATGGTGGAACAGCTTGACCAATAGCACGTACTCTGCCTGATATCAGCACGCAAAACTAGATAAATTCTGTTCAAAGCCAGACCTCTGTAGCGTGAAGATGCTGTACGCCTGTCAGCACTTGTCAAAGTATCTGAATCAACTTTCAATACATCTTCTTGCTCGACGCGGTAATATCGCGAGACGCTTTGATGATCCTCTCGCGGCGATCGTGGTGCTCATCCAGCTCTTTCCGGAAACCCTCAAACATGGTCACGAACGGCGACAAAGACTGTTCCGGCTTTTCATTCCCCATTGCTTCGTCTCTTGTGCGTTTGGATCCCATAAGTTTCGGTCGTTGAAAAGCGTGTTCGTGAGTGCAGACAGCAAACGAACGAGATTGGCTGCCCAGTCAGTGATGCACGAGCTCACGTGGGCGCTAAGCCGTTTTGGACCTTAGTTGTAGCAAGTTGGCATCTCGCGTCTTCTCACCCATCTTTATGTCCTCAGGCTTTCGTTGTTTGTGTTCGATTTTTCTGTTCAGTGCAGTTTCTCAGCTCCGAGTTCGTGAGCTCGCAGATCCCTTTCCTCAATGGCTTCCTTTTCCTTGTTTCAATCTCCCACATTAGTCTTTACTGCGGCCATCCTCTTACGAGTCTCTCTCCTGTTCTATGGACTCTTTCAAGATGCCCACTCGCCCATGAAGTACACGGATATTGATTACTACGTATTCACCGACGCTGCACGCTTCATCTCTTCTGGTCAATCACCATATGCACGGGATACATATCGCTATACCCCTTTACTCGCCTGGCTTATCTACCCGACAACATGGTCAGGCCCAGTTTGGTTTTCTTTCGGTAAAGTCTTGTTCGCAGTCGGCGATGTAGTGGCTGGTTGGATGATGTTTCGGATCTTACGGACGTATAGGGGTATGGGCCAGGAGAGAGCCTTGAAGTTTGCAAGCATCTGGCTGCTGAATCCGATGGTGGCTACGATCAGTACGAGGGGAAGCTCTGAAGGATTGCTGGGTGTCTTTGTCACGGCGCTGCTCTGGGCAGTATTGGCGAGGAGAATGGCAGTCGCAGGGTTTCTGCTGGGATTCGTGGTGCACTTCAAGATCTACCCATTTATCTATGCAGTGTCGATTGTGTGGTGGCTTGACGACAGCAAGATGGAGAAAGGGAAGGGTGGTGGATCGAAGTCTTCGACGTCGCTGATGAGTCAAGTGCTAGACTTCTGCAACCCGCAAAGAATAGCACTGGCCATGTACAGCATCATTACCTTCATAGCGTTGAACGCCGTTATGTACCTCGTGTACGTATATCACCTTCTACATATTTTCTTATGCATTGTTGACATGCGCTCCAGGTACGGATGGCCATTTCTTGAGCACAGCTATTTCTACCACCTGATTCGGATCGACCACAGGCACAACTTCTCGCCCTACAACACGCTCCTCTATCTCAATTCATCGCCAAACCCCGACTTACATTCCGCTACACCATCATTCGAACTCGAGCGCCTGGCATTCCTTCCCCAACTACTTCTCAGCGCTATCATGATCCCACTAGCACTGGCCAAAAAAGACCTCCCGAATACAATGTTAGCGCAGACCTTTGCATTCGTGACGTTCAACAAGGTCTGCACAAGTCAGGTAAGTACTCTTTCACACCGTCAGGAGTTACTGCTAACCAAGACGCAGTATTTCCTCTGGTACATGATGTTTCTTCCATACTATCTTCCCAATTCAACCCTCCTGCGGTCACCAGTAGTCGGCATAACAGCGCTTCTGTGCTGGATCGCTGGCCAGGTATGTGTTGCACCCTGTTTTGAGAGTATCACAGAGCTAATAGAAAATAGGCTGCTTGGCTACAGCAAGGCTTCCAACTCGAGTTCAACGGCCATTCCACCTTCGTACCTGGGTTGTGGGCATCTGCAATCCTGTTCTTTCTCATCAATGCCGGAATCTTGGGGATTATCATACACGATACTAAAGTGAACCCATATAAGAACGAGACAGGAAAGTTGAAGAAGAAGCTATGACAATTATGTTGAAGTAGAAGACTAGTTCGTTGAAAAATGAAAGAAAAAAGTATACATTGTCATATTCCAAGGATGATACTACAATTACTCAACCCTCCTACCGTTATCAGTCTTGTTCCTCCTTCTCCCCCCTCAACAGCCGCCCAAAAGCTCCACCCCGCTTCCTCTTCAACTCGCTAAACGTCCCCGTCTCAACCACACGCCCCTTATCCAACATAACAATGCGCTCCGCAATCGCCATCATATCGCGCGCATGCGTGATAACAATCACTGTCATCTGCTTGCGCGGCATTCCAGCTTTCGCGCCAGAACCACCACTTCCAAACCCAGCCTCCCAATCTTTGTCGTCCCACACACCGCCAGACCTCGACCGCGGCGAAACCCCAACACTCTCCGTCCCTCCCCCTTGCACCAGTCTCCGGATAGTCTCGCGCACAACACTCGCGGACGCGACGTCCAGCGCGCTCGTTGCCTCGTCGAGAATGAGGATATCAGGGTCCCTGACAAGTGCGCGAGCGATGGCGACGCGTTGTGCCTGGCCGCCTGAGAGGCTGGTTCCGCCCTCGCCGACAAGCGTTCGGTAGCCCTGGGGTAGACTGTCTATGAACTCGCTTATGCCTGCGGAGTCTGCGGCAGCCTTGATGCTTTCTGGTGAGGCTTGCGGTGACGATGGAGAGAGTCCGTATATGATGTTGTCGGCAATTGTGCCCGGGAAGAGGGTAGGTATTTGCGATACAATGGCCATGCGAGAGCGCAGCGTGCTGGTGTGCAGGGCTTTGATGTCGTGGTCTGATACTGTAAAGTTGGCAGCACTGGAGTCGGAGAGTATGTTTGAATCCGCCTGGTAGAGCTTTAGCAGTAAGGACGCAATGGTAGATTTGCCGGACCCGGACGAGCCAACAATGGCAGTGCAGCTTCCGCGAGGTATGCTGAAGGAAACACCATGTAAAACTGGATGCTCCTTTCGACTGGGGTAAGTGAAGCTAACGTTGTTCAGTGTGACGTCGCCTGCTGTCTGGATTCGGATAGTTCCAGTCGACTCGTGAGACGTTTCGGGTAGTCTCGCCAGGCGGAGAAGCCGCGATCCAGCCTCTCTCGAGATATTGATTTGCGTGATGTAGTTCCCAATGTAGTTGACATAGTTTACGCTTAGCATGAGCGTCAAGAATGTCTCTGTAATGGCCGAGACTGTGTATTCGCCTCGGGAGACAATATAAGCGCCGTACCAAAACAGTAGCACAGTGACAAACAGAACACCAGCGAAGTTGAGCCCAAATATGCAACCGGAGTATAGCGCTCGCTTTATGCCAACATTAGCTGCGGTGATGGTTGCCGCTTTGTACTTCTCGCGGAAGACATCTTCTAGCACGAGACAACGCACCGTCCGTATGTTGATGAAGGTTTCGTGGAGCAATTGCCCGACGTTATCGCTCGCTTCGTTTGAGAGTCCCTCCCAATGGGTGCTAACCATATTGTAGCCTTGTGTAATGGCATAGAGGATAGGCCCGGTTCCAAGTGCGACAAGTGCAAGCTTCCAGCAGATGAGCATGCTCCAGACGACAGAGATGACGACCATGAATACCATCACGACGACGATACCAGCAAAACGACCAGGAAGGTTCCGGGCTTCTTCAGCAAAGTGGTCTAGGGTCTCGGCGAGGCGCGACGTGCTATTTTCCTCTCGATCGAAGAACTCTCGGGGTTGTATGAGGATGCGCTTCATCGCTTCCATCTTGAGTGCATGCGTCCATGACTGTGCGACGATATCGAAGAGGAAGAAGACCAAGTAACTCGCGATCCCATCAGCAACCGCAATCCCCAGGATGGAAAGAGCCCATTTGAGCGCCTTCTGGGTCTGATCGGGCGTGTAGAATGTTTGCAGAAGTTGAGCGAAGACCCAGGCAAAGATTGGTGTGGCAGCCGCGTGAACCAATGCAGCTATGAGTGCTCCAAAGAGAATTAGACGTGAGCGCCAATTCAGTGTAGGCCACACAGACTTGAATATCTCCAGGAGAGGAAGTGAATCTGATGAAGAACCCTGCCCCTTAATACCTTTTCGTTGGCGTTGGGATCTCATCTTGGAGCGAAACCCCCGCCTCTTGGACGGTTTACTTTCGTTTTCAACCCGTGAGAAGTGGGCATCAGCGATAGAGAGTCGTCGGGGATAGGTGATATGACGTGAAGTTGGTCGAGATGAGTACGTGGAGGTTGGCCTAAGGCCAAACTCTTTTGATAGAGAACTGCGGCGCTTGTTCGAAGGCGTTCCAAGCTGAGGAGCACGATACGAAGCCATTGACGTCCGTTTCGAGGTGTGACCCATCGACTCATAGGCAGTGGGGGCTGACGAGAGGACATCTGAAGGAGCTCCAGAAGCCCTCGTAAGATCAATTGATTCAAGTGGTATCGCGTCCGCCGTCTCTCCACGTTCAGCTCTTGTAAGTCTTCGAACTGGGTCTGCCACCACGCTTCCTGCCCAGGAAGCACGCCCTTGGTTAAAGAAGGATGATAATATTGACTCCCCAAGGATTACCGCGGAGAGTGGACGGTTTCTTGGAGGGCGCACATCCCACAACTCGTCATAAACAGATTCGAGTTCATCTGTTTCGCCTTCTTCCCCGGAGGAGGCTTCGTTGGAAGTATCATCTTCTTCCTCCTCTCTGTGTGACGCTAGGAAGGCTTGGAAAGCTCCAAGCTTGTTCTCGAGGTCCTTTCGATATCCTTGTTGGACTAGCTGAGCTTTGTCGAGTAAGTAGAGAAAATCGGTCTGTCTGATTTGTGAGATGTCGTGCGTGATGACAATGGTAGTTTTCCCTCGCCTCCACTCTCGTATAGCTTGCAGAATTGTACCTCGTGTGATGTAGTCGAGGGCGCTGGTCGATTCGTCTAAGACAAGGACTGGAGCATCACGAACCCTGGCACGAGCCAATGCCATCCTTTGCTTTTGGCCTCCGCTCAGAGAGTCACCTTTCATGCCAAGATGGGTTTCTAAGCCGTCAGGTAGGTCCTGAACAACCTGATCCAGCATGGCAAAACTGACTGCATCTTTGACTTCATCGAGGCTGACCCTCCCATTCCGCTTCCCCAGTGAGATATTCTGCCGGATGGTGTCATTGAATAGAACACTGTGCTGTTCGACCAGCGTGACATGCTCTCGTAACCATTGAACGTCCAGGTCATTCAGCGCAACACCATCTAGAAGGACTTGACCGGAGGAAGGCTGGTAAAATCGGACGAGAAGTTGGCCCAGCGTACTCTTTCCAGACCCGCTTCTTCCAACAACAAAAGTAGTCTCACCAGCAGGGAATTTTAAGGAGACGTCGCGGATGGCGGTCTCGTCTGCACGTGTAGGGTAGGAGAAGGTTACCTGCTTGGTTAGCTCGTCAACGACATGACCTGTGAGGCAACGTACTTTTCGGAATTCTATATCGCCTGGACACTCTGCAGGCTTCACGTCTCCTTGTAGTTCCTGCTGCTGATCGCTATTCGAAATCTGCTTCAACAGCATTTGAAGTTTGGCGCCTGCAAGTTTGCCCTTCTGCAAGACGATGAACTGAGGTAGAAAACCCGTGATGCCCTGAATAGCCATCAACGCTGCCCAGAAAGTAGTGATAATCTGTCCAGTATCTTTGTTTTCCGAGTGTACAAGGTGGCTCCCGTACCAAAAGCCTTGGACAAACACACTGAGGGTGAAGAATTGCATGATGCCAATCTGTAGAGATCTTAGATTGGCCACGCGCTTGTATAGGCGAGCTGAAAGACTGGTAACTGTTCTGAAGTTTTGTAGCTCATGCCCTTCGCCGTTGAAGCACTTGACTATTTCAATGTTCTGTATCGCATTCGTGATGTGTTTCAGGGCTCGTTGCAGCTGGTCGGCTTGCTCATGTGCTCGAACCGATAGTCGACTCGATAAGACGGCTTGAACAAGGTATATCAGCGGAACAGTGCAAATGACGACAAGAGTGAGGTTCCAGGAGTAATAAAATGCAACTCCTAGAGCTCCTAAACTTTGTACAATGCATTGTATTCCTTCGCCGATCGGTGCGGACATCGATAATTGGAGGTCTCGGATATGCCTGAAATGGTCAGTGACAGAATACTGCAGTTGCGCAGTTCAATCCAGAAGATGTTTTTCTCACATTTGTACGGCTGGGAGAAATGCCACGATACCGCTCTCTCTTGTGTCGTACCATGCCATGTCCTTCCGAATGAGGGCATCGAAGATTTTCTTTCGAGCACTCTTCGCCTGCAACTCTCCAAATGTGAGGAAAAAGAAGAAGTAAACGCTGTTTGTGATCCAGTTGAGGGAAGCAATGCCCGTCAATATCAAGCAATATGTCGCAACATTGTCGAGAAACTGGGTGTTGTCCAACTTGCCGCCGCCATAGTCTGAGTAAACGTTGAAGATGAGGCCATAGACGACTGAAAAGACGGGCATCGTGGCAGCAGCGAGGGTTGCGCTCAAAATTGCAGCAAAGAGAACCGGCAGGTGCTCTTTTGTGGTGAAACTGAAGAGTACTTTCCAGCCCACCTGCAACACATACTTTTGCTCCTCGTCGACCTGAGTGACTGTTTTATCATGTTGTTCGGTATCGCTGGAAGCTGGTGTGGCCGCCATGTTGGCCGTACTGTTAGGTCAAACCCGTGGAAACAGTGGAAGAAGTTAAAGCTGCGGCTGTCGCAACGACAAATAAACAATGCATATAGTATAATCAAGTGAAAGTAAGGATCTTACGTATTCGGACTAGTGCACATACCGTGTTCGGTGTTAGTAGTGTAGAATCTGTTGACATTCGGTTACTTTATGAGGTCTTGATATTGTTCTTAACCACCAATGACAACGACCCGACAGTCCGTTCCCCCATCTAGCAACGCCATAACCCACCGAAATGCGTTCAAGAATTGCTCTCACGAAAGGGTTCTCTTCAAAGATTCAAAATCGGACATGACTGTTACCCGACGTGGTCTGTTGGATCTACGAATCTGTCTGCCAAAGTAGTCAGACCTTCTTCACTGCGCTATGCGTCTTGGAAACGTCTACTAACTGCTGTCCGCTCGGATTGATGCCACCGCGTGGCAACCTTGGGGATGGACAAGACGACTCGTATAGATCTTCGTAGGCAACCAAATGCATATTGCGCAGATAGGATCCTTACACCTGCACAGCCAGCCGCAGTCTCGAATCTTCGTTAGGACAACACCAACGGCTATTTCTTTTCAGATTGTGCCTTTTCGTATATCCAGTCGTTCAAGCCCTCGCGATTGCTGTAGTAGTTAGGAGCTGTAAATCCGCAGTCATGAGCCTGACGTACCGAACGATTTCGACGGCGTAGAACTGCATGCGCACTGCGAAGATAGTTCCCGTCTCGCTGTATTCGATGTCTGGGCTCGCTCTGAGCATCGCCCCGAAGTTGTAGTCCTCCACTTTCTTCTCGTACTCGCCTATGAACTTGCGCCATCGCTCCTTGCCCTCCTTGCTCTTCATCTCGTCCTCATTTATCGTGGCTTTCGGGTCAAACTCAGGAAACTCCTTCTTGAAGTGCTCGTGGATTTCGTCGTCGAGTTTGGTGAGGCGGAGCTTGGAGCCGGGTACTTTCTCGAGGATGTTCCAGTACGTTTCCATGTGCTGCACAACTGTTGTTTGTAGTTAGCGACCGCATGTGTGATCGTTGGAATTACCCACCCTTGACGGCGAACTGTTTTTCGATCTAGCAGCAAGTCAGCTGTATGCCACAGAGCTTAAGTGCCGCCATGCGACATACATCCTCGAAATTCTCCTGCTGCTCTGCAGTCAGGCCTTCAACTGGCGGGCCGAGCGACATCTTGAAGCTGGCGAAAGTATATACGTGAATAAATCGGGAGAGAGGATTCACAGTAAGTGTCAAAAGATGGGCGCAAAGCGTTCGACAGAATGACTTAAATCTCGGAGCTCCGTCATTGCCCCACCACTCCCAGCAGACGCGGGGCTGACTCAACACCAACTTTTTATCATCCAGGCGCTGGCCAGCTCTTGCCAATGTCAACAATCCTTCATGTGAGCACAAGCTTTTCCCTCTCAGCGCCGACAGAGCTCAACTAATGTTGATCAGCATGAGTGTACGCGTGTACCGGTGACGGCGTTGGCATCTTGTGGCGCGCTCCTCGTCGCTGCAGAAGGACCCTTTGTGCGGCTTTACCATAATAAAAACTCATGTTACATCTCGTCGCAGCGTGTTTTCAAGGCCCAAGCCGTGCATGGCGTATCTGTGTGTTCTGAAGAACCCGACCATGTCATCAGACTCATCATTTGGGGAGGACGGCTCTGCCGTGTTCTTGAGATCAGTTTCGCTTCGTCCGACATTGAGCACATGGTTCCTCGTTTGTACATGTCTGACGTCGCAAGAGCTCCCGACTGGATTCTTGATATGGCTCCTCGCCCGGCCAACCTGAAGAACCTTTCCGAGCGTGGAACAGATACGTGTGTTGCTATCACGGCTCACAATGCACTCTTGCAATTATCCATAGAACGTCAGACTGAGGGTGAAGTCTCTCACAAGTAAGCTGCCAGTCTGCTTGTATTCGCGTCCAAGGACTGGCCTTTGACGCTTGAACGCAGGTCTCTGTCACTCACTATCTTGGAACTTACTTCAAGTTTCCGGTCTATTTTGTACTCCGCTCATTTGCTGTGGGATTCTGTCGATCAAATTCTCATTGCTGCTGGTACCGCTTTTGGCGAGATCATGTACTGGTCATGGAACAGAGGGGCCGATACTGAACCAGTGTCTTGCATTCATCGTATTTTCCTTGGTCACGAAGGTTCTATCTTTGGTGTACAAATCTCCAAGGAGCTTGAACCGGGGTGCGATCAGAAGCTGAAGCGGATCATCGCAAGCTGTAGTGATGATCGTACGATTCGGATATGGGATGTTTCTGATGTGAACCCCAATCTCACTACGGAAGGGTTTACTGAAGAGGGCTCAGAGTCGCAAAGGACGCGTCACACCGGGCTTAGCAACGAACACGCTGATACAGAATCCGCTGCCAGTTCAAATTGCCTCGCCATTGGGTGGGGGCATACATCCCGTGTCTGGATGCTTCGTTTTCCTGAATCTTCGCCATCTGACAAAACGATATGCCTATTATCAGCCGGTGAAGACGCAACGACTCGCTCATGGATACTTGTCCCGAACGACGGCAAGGTATCGGTCTGGCCATATAAACTTTTAGAACTCGATAGTGCCGCTTATCATAGCGGTAAGAACATCTGGGCGGCAACAATGTCCTCGCAGTCTTCAGCACTACAACGAGTAGTTCGCGGTGCTGCAGATAGCAAGATCACGTCACACCCCCTGGTTCGTTCGTCTCAAAACACACCGGGGGGTATGGGTATCAGTGTTAACCAATATACTGTATTAGATGTGCTATCCATGGCACAGTCACAAGCCCCAAACCATAGCCAAGAAGCGGACTTCAACACACATACATCCTCGAAGAAAGCCGACATCTTCAGGAGCTATTGCTTCCTCGATGATGACTCTGTCTTACTTACAACCAACTCCGGAAAGGTCTTTCTCGAAAAACTGGAGTCTGATCCGCCTCTTCGTGAACAAAGGCTTATTACTAATTCGACTTTCATTGATCAGCTTGAAGACCTATCCGAGCACTCGGTATGTTCAAGCGCAACTTCGCTTGGCATAACGTTTGTCGCTGGCTCTCGAGGCAGCATCTACTCATTTTCCAAGAACGATCTTGTTCTGAAAAAGCTTCATGCAGCTAACGGGAAGGTTGCAGAAATGTTCGTTACAGACATCTCATGCTCATCATACCGTAGAGTAGCCCTGCTCATCACTCTGGCCGGGCCGAAGGAATCGCAACTCCTGTACATGGACCTTATTCCCACTCACGGACCTGAGATTCTCCGCATTGTGACTATACCTATGACTGGGTTAGTAAATGACTCAACAACTGCCAGTATGTCACATATCGAGGCCGCTGGAGGTACGTATGTTTGCCTTGGTTTCCGCCGTGGATCAGTGGCAGTGTATGCCATTCCCGAAGACCCACCTGAAGCTAGTTCTATCGCCTCGCCGTTCAAGGTCATTGAAAAACTCCATGGCAATGATACGGTGACTGCTTTGACTTGGGTTGGATCAGTCAGGAACTCTTCACAGGGTCATCTGTTCTCAGTAGGGAGGGACGGATCCCTCGCCGTGAGTTCTTTTGACTTTACCTTACAATCCATCAACCTAGTGCACAATCTCGCGCTTCCCATTGGACCCAAGATTGAGGGTCTATACTTCCATCAAGACCATCTTCTAGTGCATGGATTCTCGAGCAAGCAATGGGTGCTCTACGACGTCACAGCCGAAGAGGAGATCATGAGTATTGAGACTGGAGGTGCGCACAGAAGCTGGGCTTTCCAGCCAAGCTTGTCAGCAGAGCTTGGAGGAACTCTCGTTTGGACAAGAGCATCGAGCATGCATATATGTAGTCAGACGAGACCTACCCACGATGTTATTCGATCTGGCGGACATGGACGCGAGATCAAGGCGGTTGCAGTATCGTCACCGAAGGGTAGTGGAGAGGCTTTGTGTCATCTTATCGCCACTGGCGCTGAAGATACGGACATCAAAATCTTCCAGTACATTGGTGGAGATCTCATCTGCCGAAGAACACTACGAAGGCATACTACTGGCATTCAACATCTGCAATGGTCAGAAGACGGCGAGTATCTCTTCAGCGGCGGCGGGCGCGAAGAATTTTACATTTGGAGATTCCGCAAGTTACCATCGTTTATGGACATAGGCGTTGTCTGCGAATTTGTGTATGCTCCGGAAAGTGAGCATTCGGACCTGAGGATTATGTCTTTCGATGTGACGAGGCGCAATGCCGGATATGATGTTGCGATGGTGTTCTCGGATTCCAATATCAAGGTACAATGGCTCCAGCTTTGGAATCGACCTTATCACTGACAGATCCTAGGTGTACCATTACGATCCCACTTCTGCAACTAAGTGGCAGTCGATTGCTCAGGGAATATACTTTACATCCTGCCTCACACAGAGCATGTTTCTTTCGCCTCGCAGTATACTGACCGCTGGAACTGATGGACACGTCGCTGTATGGCCATTATCACTCGAAGCAAACCGATCTTCCGCAGTCACTCCAGTTCTCACTCCAAGCTGGCCGTCTTCTGCAAGAATTCATCAAAGTTCCTCGAAAACCATGATCTCACATACACTAAATGACGGTAGTATACTTGTCGTGTCTGGCGGCGACGACGGCGGCCTAGCTTTCCTGCGCGTGCAATCTGACCCGTCCTCGCCGGACATATCCTATACATCTCCACCAGTACTTGTTTGCCGCGCTCACGCTTCTGCAGTCACCGCATGCGCTATTCTCGGCCATGAGTCTCGAGTCTTTGTCCTAACATCAGGAAACGATGAGTGGGTCCGAGTGTGGGAAGTGTGCCAACGCCCCGTAGAGACAGACCGTTCGTATGGTACCGAAGACCAACTATCTATCAAGCGTCTCATGAAGGTCAAGACCAATGTTGCCGATGTGTCCAGTATGGCCGTTTTACCTACGGGTGCCGGTAGCTTGGACGCAAGGGTGCTGATTTGTGGTGTTGGGATGGAAGTCATACGCGTGGAATGGGATATGTAGTGGACACAGAAGCGACGTGTAGACCATGTTGAAACATATATATTCCAATGAACGCTCTGCAGGAGTGGTCGATCACTTTTGCATGTTCGACAGACCAGACAAGTCCCGAATAAAGACAGATCTTGGTGTGATCGTGGGTTCCATCTAATATGTAGTCTGATACGCACAATTGCATCTTAGTTCGCGATGTCTACAATGATTTACCTCAAATTCTCTCAAACACACGATGTTCGCGTACTGGAGTAGAAAGTCGTTTGATCTTAAAAGATGCACGGGCCGACTTTTCGCCGTATACAGTTTTCGTACCACAATTTTTCTAGAGGCTATTGCCCTACAGTCGCCTTGCAACCTAACACTGCTCAGGTCTACTCGTACGACACACGACGACTGCTATACCAACCCTGCTCTTTTCATAGCATGAGAAGCTAATACTGCGGTTGTCAAACGTTGCGCTTCACGTTACGCTCATCATCGCTGTACAGGGTTGTGGAAGCTGTCCAAGAGCTTGCAATTGCTCAAATGATGAGTAGACCACCGGCAGCATCAGCCAATAATGCCTCTTCCCCACCACCACCCCCAACTGCATACGAGGGCACGCCCGTCACATCGTCACGGTCGTTACGACAGTTGTCCGTATACTTCGTGGGAGCTACGTGCCTTCTTGCGTCGACCGCAATAACGCGACGGGCTATTTGGCGACGGAATCTGCGAGTCCAGCCCAAGTTCTACGAACCCAACACCAATCCCCACGAGTACTTCAGTCCCTTCCACGATGCTCTCCTAGCACTGAATTTGGCCACTATGCACTGCGCTAGCATTGGCATCATGGCACTGGGCGGCGCTATGTGGACATTGGATATCGCAAGCCTGAAAGAGGCGCAGGCGGTTCTGAGACGCCGCCTGAACTACGATAGCATATACCAATCAGAGGATGATATACCAACATCATTTTCACAATTGATCCTGGCATCGGGGGAAACGAAGATATTACCAGCGGAAGACGAGAGCGAAAGCTCAGAAAAACGGCAATGAAGGGGCGCATGTGTATTAGTAGAGGTGTAACAACAGTGCGTAAACTAGGTGGGCTGTAATTTTATTTGGCATTGTCGCCAGTGTGATTCTTGAATTGTGAGAATCGAGTATTCTCTACTTGTTTACGATGTATGTTCCTCAGTGCTACCTAGACGATGCGCGAGTGCCCATAGTGTGACGTGGGGTGTACTTCCCGTCTTCCCCAGCTTTGCTCACCATTAGGCGGATGCGCTAGCTGCATCAACAGATCAACAGGGAGAGCTGCATGAGGGGAAGCTCCACACCCAAGCATCGTCTCTCAGCATCCTCGTCTGTACCACTCCCGACTGCAGACGCGCATCTGCTTTCGCTCGACCTCTACAACGTCAAGCGCACTCCCAAATCCCATCTCCTCCACTGCCGCCATTATGTTCACACGCCAGACTTATGCCGGTGTTCGCAGTGCACTCGCCGTTCCGCATGCGACATCAGCTGCCCGCTCACGAGCCTTCGCAGCTGGCGCTGCTATGCAAAGCTCACCCCGCGCTCCTACGCTTGCAGATATCACACCCGACAGTGCTGCGAGCTTCCACAAGAAACAACAGGCCTTCCGCGATAGCTTAGTGGCTGCACAGAAGCAAAAGGAACAGCAAGAAAGTACGTCCCCCTCCAGTGGCATTTACTCCCGCCAGCTATACCAGCTGGCGTAGGCGCTGTAGTTTTGGCATTGATCTACAATCGCTAACGTTGCTATCACAGAAGAAGCGCGTGCTCGTGAGCAAGAAAACACCAAGAAGAAGGGTGGAGCACTGTCGTCGCTCATCTATGGCACACCCGAGGGCCGTGAGCTCGATATGGACATAGAGCGTAGCTTCTCTCAAGTGCTAGCTCGTGGCAAGTATGTTCACTCTATCGTCTTCCATGAAGTCAAGCCCGACAAGGTCGACGAGTATGTAGAGCTTGTGGGGAACTGGTATCCGAAGATGGCAGCCATTCCTGAGAATAAGGTACATCTTGTGGGAAGCTGGAGGACCGAAGTGGGCGACTGCAACACGTTTGGTAAGATAGATTTCATGCCCAAGCCTCTATGCTCTTGTCATGCTGATGGAATTTCGCAAAACAGTTCATATTTGGGAGTATCAGCGATACGAGGGTTATCACCAATCTCTGCACAACATCCAGAGCCACGCCGACTTCCCTGCGTTCAATGCCAAGCTCAAGGACCTGATTGAATCTAAGAAGACATCACTGATGCAAGAGTTCTCCTTTTGGCCAACAACCGCCCCGCGCCAATTGGGTGGGCTGTTTGAACTACGCTCCTACACGCTACACCCCGGTAACCTGCTCGAGTGGGAGACGCACTGGAGACGCGGCCTGAAAGCGCGTAGGGAGGTCATGGAAGGTGTCGGCGCGTGGTTCGTCCAGATTGGCGACTTGAACACGGTGCACCATCTTTGGCAGTTTGCCAACCTGGAAGAGCGCAAGATTCGCCGCGAACAGAGCTGGAGCGTCGAAGGCTGGGGCGAAACGGTGCACAAAACGGTACCGCTCATCCAGACCATGAAGAGCAACATTATGATTCCTTGCTCGTGGAGCCCCGTTTCGTGAGTTTCTGGCGCTAAGAATGGGATACACATTACACCACCGTTTGGAAACGATACCGAAACCATGCGACATGGGCATGTGTGATTGAGCAAGAGGTAGTTAAAGTTTCTCTAGTACATGATGGACGAAGTTCACGCTACCAAACATAAGCCATAAACAATTAAGAACGTAACCTGTTGGTTTTGCGTTTTACGATCGCGTTCCTGAGTGAAGCAATTGCAGTTCCCTGATTTCCTCCATCGCTTGCTACAGGTGTGGCTGAGAAGGCCGATTGGCAAATGAGCCCCGCACGTGGCTTGTACGTCATTGCGATCACAAGCTAGATTCACATTCCTGCCAACAAACCTGTCGTTTTGTTTTCTGATTCCAGACACAACACGCCAAAACACCAAAGGCACTGACTCTGGTTCAGTGAAAAAGCCTACAGCCATGGTGTACGTTCGACAAGACAAGCTACCCAAGCTCAAGGAGTACAAGTATCAGGCGGTTGATCACAGTTTGCTCTCCCGATATGTCCTCAAACCGTTCTACACTCATGTGGTGATCCATTGCTTTCCTATGTGGATGGCGTAAGTCTAGCAGTTCTATGGTCGTTTTTGCACGTTATGCTAATACACACAGCCCCAATCTTGTGAGTTTTCATAGACCCCCACCCGAGTCGCGAACACACCAAGCTGCATACTGGACACTCTTGCACGTGTATTTGGAACACTGATACTGATTTCCGCTCCAGATAACGCTCTCTGGATTTGGGTTCGTCATCATCAACTTCCTTACCATGCTATGGTACACACCGACGCTCGACCAAGATTGCCCACCCTGGGTGTATGCCAGTTGGGCCATTGGACTCTTTCTATACCAGACTTTCGACGCCGTTGATGGGAGCCAGGCTCGGAGAACACATCAGAGCGGGCCTCTGGGCGAGCTGTTCGACCATGGAGTGGATGCGATCAACACAACACTGGAAGTCGTGCTGTTCGCTGCCACACTGAATGCAGGCCAGGGATGGAAAACGGTTCTCATGCTTTTTGCTTGTGAGTGATGAAATGCACGACACACGCGGAATTGAAAGCTAACTGAAAGACAGCGCTCCTGACGTTCTACGTGCAGACCTGGGACGAGTATCACACACACACCCTGACGCTCGGTGTGGTATCTGGACCCGTGGAGGGTATTGTGACACTCTGCATTGTGTACGCTATGACTGCCGTTCTTGGTGGCGGTAGTTTCTGGGAGCGTGCCATGCTCAGCAGCCTCGGTGTCAAGAACTACGATTTCATCCCGGATATTGTGTACAACCTGGCATGGAACGAATGGTACATGGTGTACGGAGGTATCATGTTGGTTTTCAACACCATCTCCAGGTAAGTTCTGTTCGAAAAGCATATTGAGTTCTAAACTAACGAAATCACAGCGCGTTGAACGTTATGAAGGCGCGTCGTGCCCGCGGCCAGAAATCGCGGGAGGCGCTCCTTGGTCTTCTTACCTTTGCTGCCGCATGGGTGTTGATTCCTGCGTACTTGTACCTGCAACCTCTCATCTTGCACCACCATTTGGTACCGTTTATCTTTTACGCTGGCCTCATCAACGCGTACTCGGTGGGCCGCATGATTATCTCGCATCTTACAAAATCTCGCTTCCCACGAGGCAACGTGCTCATCTACCCACTGATCTACGGTGTTATCGACTCACTCGGTCCGTGGTTGCAAGAGCATATTGGTGTTGGCTGGCCAAGCGCTCTGGGCAACGACGTCTACCAGGTTGCTTTCGTCTTCATGTGCTTGGGTTTGGCCGTCGGTGTTCACGGAAGCTTTATCGTGGATGTCATCTGGACCATCTGTGATTACCTGGACATCTGGTGCCTCACCATCAAGTACCCACACAAGGAGGACGCAGAGACAGAGAAGAAAGGTCAATGAGTAGGGGTTGGCGGATAGATAAGTGATTTCGGAGTATCTAGCACACTAGAAGCAAGCAGTAGTTGTTTATATAGTTCAGCGAACATTTTCACCCCAAAATAATAGCTCTTCAGTCGGTTTGGAGTTGTCTCGCTCGAGCTAAAACTAAGCTAGTGCGGACCTCCGTGCGGCTCCGCTCTCCCTCTCCTTCTGTGCACCTCAAGCTGTTGCCATCTTACCTGCCCTCTACTACCACAATATGGCGGGACACGGCGTCAATCTCGCCGTTACAAAAGATGGCGGAAGCTACAATAAGTTGCAGCGACCCGGCGACTTCCTGGCTTCCATGTCGCGTCCACCGCCTGTGGAGGGTCTGATCACTGCAACGCTTCCTGCGACGCATGCCGGCAAGCGAAAGCGCAACCAGACAGCCAGCTCTAACGTGCACGACCTGGGCCAGGTACATGGAAGCAAGCGCACACGAGTGAACAACAGTGCCCCTCAGCCGAACGCTGTGCGGGGTCTAGTCGACGGCAACGAACGATCACGCGGATTTGGACCGACCAGGGACTGCGGCATGCGGACGACGTTGCCAGGACTGGATGACGATGAGCAGCTGTCAGACGAGTCTATGAGCGAAGCGCTAGCCTATCTTCGCAGCGTGAGGTATGTGCCCCTGTGGAGTTGTCTGCTGCCATCACTCGCGTTGACCAACGGACAATGTAGCTTATTTTTGTGAGGTAGATCAGAAGCGTCCACGATTCCGGATCTGCTTGTAGCATCAGCCGTTGATTCCACGCACGACAACTCCGACCGACGGACTAGCCTCGACGCGTTCGGCGGACAACAAGCACTATACAGGGACGGTACTTGGATCGCGGTTGACAGAGAATTTGTAGCATCCGACGACAGCGAGTATGACAGTGATTATCACGAGCTCGATGCGCAAGAAGAGTGTTACAAACAGCTACTCGGACGATTCCGCGCGCTCCGCAATACATACAACGAGGCCCACTCGCAAGACCCGGCTCAGAGAAAAGAGGCAGGCTTCGAACGATCGGACGCACAACCGCCGCAGAGCAGACACTGGTGGCTATATACCCTGGATCGTGAATACCCGACCCTTGCCCAAGTGTTCCAGATGGATGACAGGACTTTGTATCGAGGACTTGAGTACTGTACCCATGCTCTGGATCGATTCGACACCATCTCTGGTCAGAAGAGCTGTTGGATCTGGACTTTGCTAGCACTGGCGGGAGATGTTGGTACCCTGGACCATTGGAAAATAAGCAGAATAAGGGAACTGGGCCAGAAAGCAGGGCGGCTAAGTCGCAAGCTACATAGTGGGCAGCGTTTCAAGGATCGCCAGAACGAAGCTGTAGCTGAAAAGGGTAAGGAGGTAGATGTTGATGAGTCGACAGAGGTTCCTGAGGACAACGAGCAAGATGTGCAAGAGAAGGAGGACGAGCACCCCACGACAGACGCCAATGGCTCCGAAGTGGAGATGCCAGTATCCGAAGACGGGACTCACGTCGACACGAACGTGGAAGCCAATGACCTCGAAAAAGCCCGAGCGCGTTTACTTGCGCAGCTCGGCGACCGTCTAGTGCAAACCGGGCTACCATCATCAGAGGACAGAAAAGTGCCTTCTGACTCTAACCTGCCTGTGGTAGATTCGAACACGAGGGTCACTATTGATATGATCTTGACCGTAGTAGCAGAGTGCTATGGACAAAGGGATTTGCTGAGCTTCAGGGAGGTTTGGTTGTGAATATAATCTTGATACCCAGATGACACAATTGTGCTTCATCTATGGTCAGGTAGGTTTAGCTGAGGATCGGCTTTGATATACAGATAATACAATAATCTCCCACCATATGACAGTTACTGAGGCTTTTGGGGTTTGTGATTCACATGCAGTGGGTCCACGAACTAGCGCGACAGATCAAAGTGACGCGCTTGTCCCAGCGCTTGAGTCACTTTGCTCTCATGCGGCTCTTTTCACCCCACTTCGCCCGCCCCGCGCTCCTCCACCACGTCGTTCAGCAAACATTCACACCCGGGAAATTGACCCGTCTCTCTTCTGCCCGTCGGCTGCTCTGTACACCCTCTACGACACACGACATTGATGACGATATGGGCAAGGAAGACAAGTCCAAGAACTTCAACCTGAAGGTGCCTAAGGGCACACGCGACTGTGCGCCTCTGTTTCTCCTCCACTCCCACGCCGCCCGCTGACGTTCCCAGGGACCGGCGAGGATGCGGCCCTCCGCGATCGTCTCTTCGAGAAGGCGACTGCAGTCTTCAAACGCCACGGCGCCACGACGCTCGACACGCCCGTCTTCGAACTCCGGGACATCTTGAGCGGCAAATATGGAGAAGACTCGAAGTTGATCTACGACCTGCAAGACCAGGGTGGAGAGCTATGCTCGCTGCGCTACGATTTGACTGTCCCGCTGGCGCGTTGGCTCGCCATGAACCCCAGCGTGCAGAGCTTCAAACGCTACCAGATCGCCAAAGTGTACCGCCGGGATCAGCCTGCCATGACAAAGGGCCGCATGCGCGAGTTCTACCAGTGTGATTTTGACATTGCAGGCTCCTACGACGCTATGATTCCCGACGCTGAAGTCCTGAAGATTGCGACTGACGTCTTCGATACGCTTGGCTGGGAGTCATATACGATCAAGATCAACCACCGCAAAATTCTGGATGGAATTTTCAAGGCTGCCGGCGTGCCAGAAGACCTCATACGGCCAATCAGCTCCGCTGTGGACAAGCTAGACAAAGTACTACCCTCTCCCTCTGGCTCGTCTGGTATCTACTAACACATTATAGTTGCCTTGGGCCGAGGTGAAGACAGAGATGGAAACCAAGGGGTTAGCGGCAGATATCGCAGACAAGATTGGCGGTTGGGTACAGCGCAGGGGCGGCGACGATATCATCGAATTCCTCAAATCGGACGAAGCGCTTTCAAAGTCGGAAGATGTCATTGAGGGCGTCAAGGACATGGAACTACTGTTTGCCTACCTCGACGCTTTTGGCGCCAGAAAACACATATCGTTCGATCTCTCGCTGGCCAGAGGGTTGGACTACTACACAGGCGTCATCTACGAAATTGTCACAGAAGGCTCTGCCCCTCGCGTGCAGGGCAAGCAGCAAGAAATCGGCGTGGGAAGCGTGGCAGCCGGAGGTCGCTACGACAAGCTAGTGGGCATGTTCAGCGGCAAGCCGATTCCGTGCGTTGGCATTTCGTTTGGAATCGACCGAATCATCAGCATCATGAAGGCCAACGGGCAATCGACCGAGCGCGCAAAAGACGTCGATGCGTTTGTCATGGCGTTTGGCGGCAAGGGCTTCACGGGTATGCTGACGGAGCGCATGCAGGTTGCTCAGGAGCTGTGGGCTGCTGGCATCAAGGCGGAGTTCTCGTACAAGTTGAAGCCTAAGCTTCCTCAGCAGTTCAAGCAGGCGGAGTCGGCGGGTGTTCCGCTTGCTGTTATCCTTGGCGAGGAAGAGCTCAAGGACGGGAAGGTGAAAATTAAGGTCTTGGGTATCAAGGATGAGAACGATCCTGAGAAGGACGGCGTGTTGGTGGATAGGAGCAGCATGGTGGAGGAGATTAAAAAGAGGCTGCCAGAGGCCGTTTGATGGTCAAGCTGCTCTGGTCATATGACGTATGGATGGACAAAAAATAGAGATACCCATGGATGATGACCTTGCAATGATTTGCATCTGGCTTACGGTCGACAAGTTCATAGTGTGAAGAGTATCCATGGTTGTGAAGAGGTTTTGATATGAATTGCATTTAATGTCGAATTTGCAGCGATTGACAGCATCTTCCATTGTCGCAGCTTGATGTATCTACCAAAGAAAGAGAAGTTGAAACGGGGAGTTCAGTGATGTGTGATATAATGTGTTTGGACGAGCATGAGGGGGTTGGGTTTTGGCCAGCCACGGGAAACTCAGTATCCATCCTTACCCCACTTGTTGTAGGCCTCGTGAAGCTCCTGAGCCGAGTTAGCATGTCGGTGTTCGGCACGACCAAGTCCCAGCACGTCATACCTTGGGGAGCGTCACGTTGGGGATGATGACGACGTTCAATGCGGAAGGAGCGTCCTTCTTAATGCTGGTGTCACCGCCAGGGTGGTACTGGTACGGGCTGGAGCCACCCTGCTTCCAGGGCTCACTGTCATCAGCCTTGGCCACGGTTCGCTCGGAGGAAGCGCTGGTGGGCGAACGGGCTGCAAGAGGTGAGTAACATGCTGGAATTGGCGAGTAGCTGGATCAAGCCCGCAGCTCAACCCAGCCGTCTGGAGGAGGGCTTACAGAAATGCCACCCCGCAAGGCCAAAGACGCCGCTCATGATGGCAAACAGCACCTGTGCGCCCAATTAGCTCCGTGCACCATTGTGCGCATCGTGTGCGTGCCGGCTGCGTACGTAGAGTTCAGGGTCGCGCTTCGCTCCGGCCTTGAGCGCCTCCTTGCCGGCGGCCCTCTCTTCATGGCCGGCTTGACTGGCCCAGCGGCGGGGGACGGCGGAGACGCGCAGGCGCGGGGCGGCGCGGAAGGCGGAACGGGCTACGATCGAGGACATGGTGTCGCGGGTGGTGTGTGTCGGCCGAGGTGGTGCGTAGACGTAGAGGGCGTGCGGGACGTTGGACAAGAGTGGTTCGATGATGCCAAGGCCTTGCGAGGATGCCCAGGAGCTAGAAGCTGACTTTGTCAGCGGTTATGTCAGCATTACGACGTTCCGTGCAGGACGCAGCGAACATCGAGCACGCCCCTTTCGGCCGCCGCGAAGAGACCTCACTGCCAGTTCCATCGCCGTCGCCATCGCCCGGCCTCACGCTCCTTTGCACCCCGGCCGTCCCCTGCCATGCAGACAGCTGCGACGATACGCACCACACTCCGGCCATGACGACGCCTGTGCTGGGTGTTACGGGACCGGCGGGCGAGCCTGGCCTGCCGCCTTCCCGCCCATCGTCCATCGCGACGGCCACCTCGGGCGGCCAGAGCCAGACGCGGTGGTCGCAGACGACGTCGCTGCGCCGCGGCATCCACAGCGGGCTCAGCGGCGCCGGCAGCCGTCCGACGACGGCCGCGAGCAGGACACACGTCCCGTTGGCCGCCCACGGCTTCTTCCGGCCCATGAGCTCGCAGCGCCTGCAGCAGCAGCGCAACCAGCGCCCGACGTCGCTGCTCGGCCACAACGCCCTCTACGCCCACGACGGCGCCGCCCCCACCAACACGCACCGCCAGAGCACCGGCTCTATGCAGACGATCCGCGGCGCGCCCGCCCTCAGCCTGCACCTCGAGCTCGACCACCCGCCCCCCTCGCGCGGCACCGACGTGACGGACCGCGACCTGCCCGACCGCACCACGGCGAACACGACGCCCACGGGCGCAGAGACGGTGCGCAGCCGTGGCGAGAGCACCACGCCCCTGCACCGCCCGCGCCCCCAACACCTCAACCTCGCCGGCGCACCCGCCCACGACGCCGCCAAGCTGCCTCCGCCCAGCAAGTCGCCGGGCTCCTTTCGTTCCAGCTTCATGCTCTCCAGCCGCGATGGGCGCGCCACGCAGATGCGCCCGCAACAGGGCCACGAGAAGCTCACCTCAGCCGCATCTTCGCCCCGGCTCGCTCGCAGGGAGCTCACGCAGGAGGCCGTCAAGAAGGAGCTGGGCCGCAACTACCAATACTTCTCCGGCAACACTGCCTTCTGCTGGGGCGGCCGTCTGCAGAACACGCGCGACCGCCCTGTCAACGCTGCGACGGCCATGCTTATGGTCCTGCCTGCGGCTCTCTTCTTCGCTTTCTCGTCCGTGCTCCCCCCCCTTCGAATTTGTTTTGCGTGTCTAGGCTAACGACCGTGTCCAGTGCGCCCTGGCTGTGGCTTCATGTTTCTCCATCGATACCCATTCTCTTTGCCTACTTGTTTCTAATTTCTCTCTCGTCGTTTCTCCACGCGTCTGCGTCGGATCCGGGCGTAAGCATCGTCCATCGTCATAAACTCTGCTCACTGCTAACGTGCGCAGATTCTGCCCCGCAACCTGCACCCTTTCTCTCAATCTAATCCTAATCAAGACCCGCTGGATATCGGCCCTCCCACTACGGAGTGGACCATGGTTGTGTCGGCAACCGGCACTAATGCTGCGATGGAAGTACCGACAAAGTACTGCAAGAGCTGCAACATATGGCGCCCCCCACGCGCCCATCACTGCCGCGTCTGTGACAACTGCATCGAGACCCAAGACCACCACTGTGTCTGGCTCAACAACTGCGTTGGACGGCGCAACTACCGCTACTTTTTCGTTTTCGTTTGTGCCACCACATTGCTCAGCTTGTTTCTCATGGGCGCTAGTCTTGCACACATTCTAATCTGGCGGGCGCGCAACGGTGCGTCTTTTGGTCAAGCCATCAACAAGTGGCGTGTCCCGTTCGCCATGTGCGTATTTGGGCTTCTCGGTTGGACATATCCCTTTAGTCTCGGCATGTACCACTTATTCCTGGTAGGGCGTGGTGAGACGACACGCGAATACCTCAACTCGCACAAGTTCTTGAAAAAGGACAGACACAGGCCCTTCACGCAAGGGTCGGTCCTCAAGAACTGGATTGCTGTGTTACAACGCCCGCGCCCGCCCACATATCTGCATCTCAAACAGAAGTATGAAGAGGGTGACCAGAGATTTGGTCCGCGGAAGGGCAAGCGCACGGCACCCCTCGTGGCTGAGCAGCAGGGCGGGGGCTTGGAGATGCAGGATGTCAGCAACGCTGAGGGATTTCAAGGCCCAGTAGGCAGGGCGCGTCGCGACACAGGTGGTGTGGACGCAGCGTAGATAGATTTAATACGGAGCCGTTTTCCACTTGCACACCCCCTTCACGATACCTCGGCATGTTTAGATAGAAAGAATTAGACACTGCCCAGCGCAAGCATAACGCTCATCCTGTGACGATTGCGTGTTCGCCTGGAAAGGAAACGGGACGCGAGGGGTGATACTGCGCGGATCAGGAACGGGATGATTGGCTGACTAGCTAGCTTCAATGAATGTGTTTACCTCCATCGCTCCTCTCCGGCTTCCCACGCACCTCGATCTTGCTGTCGCCTGCTCTGTGCAGCTTTCTGTCGCCCGCCAACGCGTGTGTCCTGATTCGTGGAGGCTCGACGGACGCGTCGATACAAGTTGGGAGCGGCCGGCCAATTGTCACGCGTGGAGATTGGCAGTGTTCCTCGGTCAGCGCCGTGGATCCGTCAAACCATCGACCTCCTTTGCGCGCCACTGCCTCGCCCTCCACCACCACCTCCATCCCACGACCTGTCCGCCCGCCTGCCCGCCCGCCACCATGGCTGCAGACCGTCTGTCGCCGTCGTCGACGTCGTCCATGGCGTCTCACCCGACTAGCCCGACCGAGGAGCCGGCCTACGTCCACGCCACGCCCAGCGCGTCACCGCCCATTTCGACGCCTCCCACCAGCCTCGGCGATGCAGCGAGCGTCCTGTCCGAGACGACCAAGACGGAGCAGTATGTAGAGGCGCACGACGACACCCCAATGCAGCACGTTTCAGACGAGGCGCGTGCTGCACCCGACACTTCGACCAGCGAGACCCGCCGCCCAGCACGGAGCTCGCGCAAGTCGGTCACGACGTACAACGTGCAGATCCTCGCTGGCACGGCCATCCACACGCCGACAAAATACCTGGAGAAGCACCACAAGAACGTCGTTCACGGATCCCTGGAGGATGCGGCCAAGGGGGAGGTCGCCACACCCCCGAAGAAGAAGACACCCAGACTCAAGTCTGAGACATCGGCCGCCAGTGACCCGGCGGGGGAACAGCTTGCTGCTGAGGCTGCTCAAGCTGCACGTCGCCGCACTTCTACACGTGGAACTGATCTCCGTAAGGAGGCGCTCCGCAATCTCGCCGGAGCTGGCGACTCTTCAGTCGACACCCCGTCGAGATCGCACACTTTGGTCAAGAAGACACTGCGGAGGAGCGCATCGACGTCTACACTGCCATCTGCCACCGCGGCTACTTCGTCAAAACGTGACTCCGAACAGGGATATGACTCGGCTGAGGGGCAGGAGCAGAAGGAATTCCAGAAACCAAAGACGAAGCTCTGGATGAAGCAGGGCCTATATGTTGGCCAGCATCGTGATTTCGACGCCCGTCTGTCGGAAAGTCAAAACCGCGCCAAGAAGAGGGCGAAGAAGAACAAGGAGAGCGGCGTCCTTCCTCTCCCCTTATTCGCTGGTGACCGCCTGTTGACTGAAGATCCACGTGAAGCATTCCGCGACTTCAAACTGCCTTTCGATACATATAGTCCCCTGCCCAGGAAGGTCAAGGTGGACGGCTGGGTCAAACTGCACAGGAGTGAGGCACATTTTCTAACAGATATGACCAGACGCTAATCCATCGCAGACAGATTTATTGCTGATGCATCCGCCTTGTGGAAGCGCGACAAACAAGACTCCTCTCAATGCTATTGCGATCCAGAGGACGGATGCGGGGAAGCCTGCCATAACCGCATCATGGCTTACGAGTGCGACGGCACAAATTGCAGACTCACGGCAGAACAATGCGGAAACCGGCCCTTTGCAGAACTCAAGAAACGCGGAAAGGGAAATCGCTACGACTATGGTGTTGAAGTGTTGGAAACGGACGAACGCGGGTACGGTGTGCGCGCTATGAGGACGTTTGAGCCCCACCAGATCATTGTTGAGTATGCTGGGGAAATCATTACGCAACATGAATGCGAGAGGCGCATGAAGCATGTTTACAAGAAGGATAAGGTTGGTCTTGTCCCCTCCTTGACGCTGTTGCTTCGTTTTGGCTAACTGTGTCAGTGCTACTATCTCATGAGCTTTGACAACAAAATGATCATCGATGCGACGCGTGGCACGATTGCGCGTTTTGTCAATCACTCATGTGAGCCTAATTGCGAGATGATCAAGTGGACTGTCGGTGGCGAACCACGCATGGCGCTGTTTGCTGGCTCCCGAGGAATCATGACCGGCGAAGAGTTAACCTATGACTACAATTTTGAGTGAGTTGAAGATGTCTGATATTTTTCCAGTATTCACTCTAACTTTTCCAGCCCCTTTTCTCAAAAGAACATTCAGGCATGTCGCTGCGGTACGGAGTCCTGCCGTGGTGTACTAGGTCCCAAACCGAAGAAACTGGTGGAGGAGAGGTCTATGGCCTCTGCATTTATTGCCGGCACCAAGCGTAAGATTCAAGATGTATTAGGCTCCGGCAGAAGCACATCGGAGAGCTACGGCAACTCTCCCAAGAGGCTCAAGTCCTACACCGGAAACTCCGCCACGACAAAAGCGAAAAACGCATCCGCGCAGTCCGAAGCCGCCCGCGAGCGCTCAGAAAAAGAAGCAGTCGAACACTCGCGCCAAATCGCATCGCGCGAAAACCGCGCCATGAAACGCTCCGTCCCACCCTCCGGCTCCAGACGCTCCCAATCCGCTTTCCAACGCAAATCAGACCTGTCCTTCAAATCCACCCGCCTCACGACAGTCAGCTTCCAGCGCAAAGTCTCCAAGCCAGGCGCCCTCCGCGGCGCTACAACATCGACTCGCATGCACGCCGCGCTCCGACGCCCCACGCTGGCACTCAAGGGAAAGAAGGGTATCCGCCCTTATAAACGCCCCATCACGCCCATTAAGAGCTCGTTTGCCTCCGTGGATTCGGAGGATGATGCGTCGCCGAATATCACACCTGCTTCGCTGCGCAGCGCGTCGCATAGGAGGAAACAAATTACTGACGCCCGCGACGTGCTGAGGGATAAGAGTCCGTCGTGCATGTCGGAGAATGAACTTGAGGGCGGGAGGGAGGGCGCGAGGAGTAGGGCGAGGAAGGCGGGTGTGGGTGCGGGGGCGGGGGATGTGCCGGCGTTTCATCCCGCGCAGAAGAGGTCGAGGAGTATGAGGGGAAGGTGAGTTTGATGTTTTTTTTTTCTTTCTACGCTTTTCTTGGAGTTTGGCTGGGGGAGTTCTTGGGTGTAATCTTTTCTTTCATTTTTGGTAGAGCGACGCGCTGACGCGGTGTTTTTGTAGGTTTCTGCCTAGAGAATAGGAGGGGTTTCGAGAGTTGGAGGCGCGGGAGGGTGCGCTTCAACGCCCCCCCTCTTGTTTGTCGAAAGGAAAATACGCGCTTTGTTTTCATCGGTGTGGGGTTTCCGTTATACGTCACAGCACCCAGCCGCCTGGTCGCAGAATACATCATTTGCTTGCTTGCTTGCATGGATGCATGGGGTTCGGAGTTTTTTCACTCGAGGCGTTGTTGTAATTCTATTTTGTGTTGTTGTGGGGGTGCTTGTTATGATTTGCTATGGTATGGTATGGTATGGTATGGTTGGAATGAGTTGAGTTGTCTGTGTTTTTCTTGGAGGGCGGGGGAATGAGAGGGATGGATGGTAATGTTGGGTTTGGTTTGATTGGGATGGATGAGATGGATGGATGGATGGGAATGAATATCGAGGGTTGTGTCGTTGCTTTGTCTTGCTGAGTTGGTGTTGTGTGTGTGAGTGGGTGCGTGATGTCGTTGATTGATTGACATGCTGGCTGGCTGGGTTAAAGAGCTGGTCGCCCCCTTTTTTATGCGCGCGTTGTGTTGAGATGGGATGGGATGTGGAAGATAACAACTGCTATGCTGGGATATGATATCTTCTAGCTGACTAGTAGGTTATTCGATTCACTTCACTTTACTGCAAGACACCGCATATATTGGTGTCGAGACAAGACACGACAAGACCGCCCAATACCATGTAACGTATCCCATCAAACCATGTCTTTTTGCACGAAATCACTTCACATCACCAAAAGAACAAGTCATTTCATCTCCCCTTTTCAAATCTGGGATTCAGATACACAGGCTACACGAGTCCCAAGCTATGCATATGTGTGTATTTGTGTGTAACAGAAAAAAGCTCTATTTCCCTCCCCCATTCCCCCCTTTCCTTCTTTCGCTATGGAAGGTATTCCCAGAGCCGCGTGGATGTAGGTTTTGACATTGAGTTGGCAAATCCCACCGGCCCTATCGAAGAAACCATCCCCACACGTGCCGAAAGCCGTCATTTCGCAGTCCAAGGAAGAAGAGGTACAGGAAACAAAGCATCGGCTTCGAGCGGATTGCGCAGTCCTTAAGCTTGCCTCATGAGTGCAATCCCCCAATCAGCCCATTGGCGGAAACGTGGTTCAGAGAAACGAAGTGAAGTGTTCAAGCCGGTTGGTCGCGTCGTTGGTGTTCCATGGGTGGGTTTCCGGATTCCCCCTTCCCCATGCAGTGGGTCACTGGGAGTGACCTATTTGCGCTGGACGCTGCAGTTGGGGACTCGGGTGTAGTCGCGCTGAACGCTGCAGTTTGGCACGCGGGTGTAGTCGCGCTGGACGCTGCAGTTGGGGACGCGGGTGTAGTCGCGTTGGACGCTGCAGTTGGGAACACGAGTCCAGCCGGCCATTTTGGATGTTGGGGGGGTTTGAAAAGGGGGGAAAGAGTAGTGAGTGAGTGGAGAAGTTGATGTGAAGTGATTGTGATGGTTGGAAGATGATGGGATGGGAAGTGTTTGAGGGGAGAGGTTTGATCTACTTATACCTTTGGAAGAGACGGTGGGGGAGTTTACGGAGTGTGGGTTGAGGGTGAGGATTCGGTAAGGAGGGCGAGGCTGAAGTCGGCTTCTTAGTATTGTTCTTGCACAGGTGCCTCCTGTTTTACAAAGTGGTAGAGAGAGTTCTTGCTAATTCCGTAAGGATGGCTTGACGAGTGCAGCGTCGGACGTAGCTATGCGGTCTGGCCTTAGTATTGTTCTCATGTCTTCTAAGGGACGCCCTTGGTGGTTGTGCGCATCTGAACACTTGTGGCGGTTTTCGTGGCGCTTTGTTCGAGTATCTTCGCATTGAGCGAAGTAGTCTGTAAAGTGGGTCAAGATGATACAGATGTAGTAAAATAAGAAGCACGTCGGCACGTGACCTTTTCACATCATAGAATGAACAGAACAGACGTCAAGTTTAGACTCTGCATCGCAACAATGGCAGCCAAGACGTCTTGGAGGCACATGACGAGGCTGTCTCGCTGCAGCGGCTACGGCATCCCGCTCCGCCGTGCTCTGCAGACGACAAGCTCTCGCGTACCGGATTTTGCGTTCGCGTTCGAGTAAGACGGGCACGCCATTCCGACGACCAACACCACCGCTGACGGCTGTCAGTATCGACGGAGTACTTCTACGGAGCTCCGATGCGTTGCCACGTGCGCATAAGACCCTTTCGTATCTGCAATCGAACCGGATTCCCTTCATCTTGCTCACCAATGGTGGGGGCAAGCATGAGTCGCAGCGCGTGGCCGAGCTGAGTGCGAAGCTGGGCGTGGATATGGAGACTAGCATGTTCGTGCAGAGCCACACGCCCTTTGCGGACATGGACCACTACAAACAGAAGACCGTCATGGTCGTGGGCGGCGTGGAGGACAAGTGCCGGGCAGTCGCCGAGGCGTATGGGTCGGACAGCACATGGCCTCACACTCGGCTCTCCTGCTGACGGTGTGCAGCTTCAAGACGGTAGTGACGCCCGGTGACATCCTGACGGCCTACCCTGATGTGTGGCCCTTCTCCAAGCAGCTGCTCCCATACTACAAGACCTTCACGCGTCCGCTGCCGGCCCCCATCGACCCGGCCTCACCAGAGACGTCCCTGCGCATCGACGCCGTTTTCGTCTACAATGACCCCCGTGACTGGGGCTTGGATGCTCAGATCATCAAGGATGTCCTGCTCTCATCGCGTGGTGTGCTCGGTACCCTGTCTCAGAAGAACGGCGACAAGGCACTGCCGAACAAGGGCTACCAGCAAGACGGACAGCCGACTCTCTATTTCTCTAACCCAGACTTGCTGTGGGCTGCGAAATACCATCTGCCCAGGATGGGTCAGGGCGGCTTCCGCGAGGCGCTGGAAGGCATCTGGGCCGCAATCACAGGCGGCGCAGCGGAGGGCGTGCAACTGCAGAAAGTGGTCATGGGCAAGCCATACCAGCCCACCTATGAGTTTGCCGAGAAGCGGTTGATGTCACATCGGCAGCATCTGCTACGTAGTCACGACGGCAAGCTGGCACCGCTCAAACGCGTGTATATGGTTGGCGATAATCCTGCCAGTGACATTGCCGGCGGCAACAACTACAAGAGCCCTCATGGCACTGACTGGGCTAGTATTCTGGTTCAGACGGGTGTCTATGTGGAGGGGACTACGCCGGCGCATCGCCCGCGGAAGATTGTAGGCGATGTGTGGGATGCGGTTGCTTGGGCTGCTGAGCAAGAAAAGTGGACGGGTTGAGTGCGTGTAGACTTGTGCAAAAAGATAGAGAGGGTCAAGTATTAGCAGTACATTATATGTGAAATGTTGAAGAAGGTCTGTATGGATGTAAGCATCTGATTACCTTAGACGTAACATTATCGTCGACAAGTCCATCTCGTTCAACTTCGTCGCTTCAATCTGTACCGTCTCGCATTATCGATCTTCTGTTAGGTATCTCATTTTGTTTGCCTCCTGGCTTCTTTCGTTCTGCGATATCACAACCTTGTACTAGACGTCTGTATTTCACTATTTTAGAATTGCAACTCGTCAGTCTAGAGGGTTCATCTGGGAATGCTCGACCATCAGTACAACAGCGAGCGAAAAACGCCGGGGTTTGGTACAAACAAAGAGCAAGTGGCTGGTAGTCAAACTTCAGGTGCAGACGTAGACATGGCGTGTAAGCACAAACGTAGGTTGGAGATGGTTGTATGCCTTCGTTGTCGTTAGAAGTATTGTATCTCATTGGTTTCACTGTCCGCTTCCTCACCGTCGCTTCACCGTGACTTCCTAATCCGTCGACAGCCACGCGATTTCTCCTCATCACCGCTTCGTCAGGCAAGACAAGTATCGTGTGTACACCACCTTCGAGTACACGACTTCGCCGCATTCCGCTTCGTTATTTCACAATAATTCCCTCCCTCGTTTCTTCAGTCATAACCAACAAGCTGGCGACTACCAGGACTCGCAGTGGCCGGCGCAGTGAGTGCTCACCCCTTCCACGCAGTGCTCCTGCCCCTCACCTTTGACTGTCTGGCAACGTCCTGAAGTGCTGAGCATATCCTAGGTCGCCGCGCCCCTGCTGGTGCTCACACTTCGAGGGGAAGACTGCCCTTAGGCACTCCCAGACAGAGCAGTAATCTTCCGTACTCTCACATACAAATCGTACCGCGTCTCCGCGAGCCCAGCCAAGATCACGACCAAAGATACGATAGCGGAATTCCCACGTTTCGCTCATCTTCACTTCAATTCACATCGCCCTTCGACCAGCTGGTGCAACGCGTTGACGATACGACGGCTGAGCCGCACACAGAGTCGAAGACGTTTGCAGACATGGCACGTCGGTACCAGAGGAAAGACAACGAGATTGAGGGTGAGCAACCGACATACAGTTGCGTCTCCTTAGCTGGTATCATCAAACTCCAGCCCAATCGCAAGAAAGGAAACAAGTCCTGGCGGCCAATGAGAGCCAGCGATCTGGGCGAAAGTAGGAGTGCTGAGATCGATGCGAGCAACTCTACTGAAGATGTGAACAGCATACTGCCTATTGACACGCCTACAACCCAAGACTTTTTTACTCAGTCAACCATTCCAGGCACAACCCGTTCAACATCTGAGCTTCACGCTGCGTCGAGATATGTTGACAGCGATATTGCGTTCTTCAACCCTGGCGGCGAGGACAATCGTTTGACTGATACGCGATTTGCCTTTGGTGACAATTACGAAACGGTCTTTGGGAAACTTCCCGATCCAATTCGTCTCCATGAGCAGATGGGAAAGTTCGATGGACAGGTCGTCTTCATTGGACATCCGAATAGAGACGTCTCGGCTCACCAATGGTCTTCGTCATCTTTCCAATGGGTCAATATTGGTAGATATGCTCACTCTCGTGGAAGAGTCGAAGGATCCCTTGCATCCGATCGCCTGAAAACAGTCGACACATCCCACGACTCTCTTAGATCTTTCAAGGTCGCTGCCGAGAATCGTGAGAAACTTGCTGTGGAGAATGCTCTCCGACCTGCCCCTGACCGGATGGCTTCGTTTTCTTCTGTATCCAGTTTGGCTGGTGAGGCAACTCCTACTCTCCCTCAAGGAAATACTCTCTCTAGTCTCTCTTCTAGGAAAGTCAGGACGACACCCCCAACAGTTATGCCCGCTACGATTAGGAGAGGGTACTTAGAGGACCCTTTTGTGGCGTCTGCGAAACCATTTCATCCCGACCTCACTATCAACCCTGAACCCAGAAGCAGCACCATGGCTCCGACAGGCTCGTTGGATTTCGAGTATGAGTTTCCCTCCAAATCAAGCACTCCTCCAATACCGGCTTTTAGGAGTACTGCCAATCCTACTTTTAAGGATGCATACGTTCAGCGAGAACTACAACGTTTGGAGACATTGAACCTCACTACAAGGACACGCGAACACTTGTCTCAACCAACATTCCGCGAAGTCGACTTTGGCGAAGAGGCTGCGAGCAGATTCGTGACCTCAGCAGGATGTGACACTCCACTCCAACGACGTCCAATTCCTTCTCCGGAGGATATGCGTAATCGTCAGAAGGTTCGAAATAAGCTTGCTGAGTTTAGTGAGCAAGCGTCCAGATCGAGTTTGCTGGCACAGAGACACATCGCAATTCCAAACTTTGCAAGTCTGCAGACTTCGGCCCGCTCTTTGTTTCCCTCTCCCGGACTTACAGTTGCTAATCCACATCGAATTGTCCCGAGCCTCAACGCTACCGCTGCACCGTATTCGAACCTATCCACAGTCACCCCAACCTCTGAAGTTTCCGAATCAGAGGCTACAACCGTCAATGCTACTGCTGCTGCTCTGCAATTCAGCGACCCGGATGGCCTACGGCACACACAGGAGTATGAAATTGCGAACGGATTGAGCCAACAAGCACCGACGAAGCAGTCCTTCTACGGCCCTTTCTTTACCGAGTCCAAGCCGACCGCTCATGATCCTACCGTTTCATTGTCGATTCAAGTTGACGAAAAGGAGAAGCTTATCAATTGGTTTCGCGATGGACAACGACCTGCTCGACAGCGAGAGTACGCCAAAACTCTTGTATCCGCTGCAGCTACCAACAACAGAGGCCGAAGTGTTGGAACTATCGGCGAGACTTTCTATCCGCAGAAGAAGGATGATTACGAGAACACTCCTCCTTTTGTCCGTCTATACGAAGGCCTCTCCGAGTACGTGGAAGAACACCGGAATGGCAGCGGCCAGTCGTATTTCACCCGAGCGTGGAAGGCAGCTTCTCCACAATTGCGAGACTTTAGTGTAGACGGTAACAGCAGCTACTTCAGTAAGCCCAATGTCACTTCGTCTGGTGAGGCTCCGTATTCGAGAAGTAATTATCCGGGGTCAAGTAGTCATGCGTGGGATGGGTTTGGTTCCTTGGTGAGCTCAGCACGGGCTCGTTTCTCTTAGAAATTATTGTCAGATGAATCGCTCGGTAAGAGGAACTTAGCAAACTCTGGTCCTACTTCAAAGATTCGACATGGTGCGAGTCTTTACCCATTTTCTGGCGCAAAGACTCCAAGACAACTGACATGAATGATGGGTTCACAGGCGGGTTGTCAGGTGGAATGCTGGATAGCAAGATAACGGCGGTGATCAGGCTGGTCAATAGATAAATAGCAACGATATACTTTCATGATCTTTTTGATGCTTGAGTCAATCTCACATATACCTACGTCACACGGCCTTTACCGGAGATAAGTCCTAGCGTTAAACTCCCCTCCGACATCATTAGATTCCAACGCCACACAGTGAGCAACGAACATCTCGGGCCACACGCCATGGCTGAGTCTATGTCGGTATATGCGACGTACCTCCCCGACGAGTTGCTGCTTGAAATCCTGTCCTATGTGGAAGGCTGGCAAGTAAAAGAGAGGCAAGGATCGCTGGCGCGTTTCTGTGCTGTGAATCGGTATGTATGCCAGCGCCATCCTCGATGTTTCTGCTATTCCAGAGAACTGACAGCTCCAGACAATGGTATGATGTGGCCGTCCGACCGCTCTACGCATCCCCCTACCTCTACGGCGGCGCATACGAGCTCTTCATCCGCACAATCTGCCCATCAGTCCTCGCACACATCAAACCCACAGCGCTCTCCTCCCTCGTAAAAGTCCTCGACCTCTCGCACATCGTGCACAACGGCAACAAATCCGTCACAGCGCGGCTTCTCGGACGCACAAAAACCTCGCTCACAACCTTCATCGCGCCGCAAGCCAGCTTCGCAATCAACTGCTGGGCCAGCCTGTCCAAGTGCGCGCACCTGCGCGTCCTCGACCTCACGCTCGTCTCGGAAATGATCTCCTTCCAGAGCCTCAACCAGACGATTCGCCAGCTGGCTGATCTGCGGGAGCTGTACCTCCCGCGGTGCTCGACGAACTACGAGCGCGTCGCGCTGAGCATGAACGTGCGCTGGCCGCCACGCCTACAGCACCTCTCGCTCTCCGGCTCCGTAACCGGGAAATTCCTCTGGGACATGCTCCGCCAGCCGGACTCGTTCCCGCCTTCCCTCGCCTCCCTAAGTATCCTGCACAGCCCGGGCCTCGACCACCAGGGCATAAAGCCCCTGCTGTGCAATCTAGCACGCACACTAACCACCGTCGAGCTACGCGACCTCTCCACCGTTAAGCACGGCCGCTTCAACGCCGTGCTGGACTGGCTCCCGCGTCTGACCACCCTGACCATCGCACTAGACTACATCGACGCGCGCTTCGCTCACATGCCCCCCGCTTTCTCCCCAAGCCAATGGCGCGACGCAAAGCCGCTGCAGCGCCTCGTCCTCGTGACGTCAGGACAGACGAATATCGATCCGTCGCGCTGCTTTACGGCTGTGGATTTGTATGCGCTTATTGATGAGCGGTTCCTCGGCCGGTTGCGTTATTTGGATGTGGGGCTGAGTACGGAGTGGAGTCGTGAGCAGGATGGCGCGGAGCTGGGGGCGCTGGAGATGCTGATTGCGGATGATTTGGATCGGGAGAGTTGGGTGGAAAGGAGGTGGCATTATGAGGGTGTGGATGCGGGCGGGGCGGAGACGTATGAGGCGTTTTTGGAGACGGGGGTGGGGAAGAGGATGAGGCCGCGGTTGAGGATGTTGAGGAATCGGTGAGGTGTTGATGGATGGATGGGGGAATGGTAGTAATTCATAATTCTTTTCCAAAAATGAGCTTTTTCGACATGTATCGTGATGAATCGTTGTCCATTCCAAACATGCACGTCAACACTATCTAATCCATCCACCAACCCGTTTCTAGTTCGTCAAGTCAAGTCACACAAGTAAAAACGTCCATCTACGAACCGCCATTCTGCTGCGCCTTCTGGCCCTGCACAAGACCCCTGACACCACCCTTTGCGCCGACCTCGCGGAAGATAGCATTGATACTCAGATCGACGCCGACGTTGATCTGGACCTCTACCTTCCCGCCCTTCTTGACGTCGCGAATAGCCGCTTCACTAAGCGTCTTGCCGACCTTCCACGTCTTCTCGCGCAGCTCCTCGGCCTCATCCTCGCTGTCATCTTCATCACTATCGTCATCGTCCTTGGCGTCAGATTTTGGCTTTGGCTCAGGCTTGGTGACTTTGATGTGTCGTGAGCCCTCTGTGAGCTTGATGAGGACGTCGCCGCCCTTTTGCGGGGTGGAGATTGTGGCTGTGCGGCGGACGGGGAGGGGTGTTTCTGCGTCGATGATGGCGTGGAAGACGCCGGATGACTCGTCGCCTGAGATGCACAGCACGCCGATGGCGGTGGTGAGGTGCGGGGTTACCGTTACCATGGGGTGGGTGCTTTGCTCAATGTCCTCGAGCTCGAACTCCTGGATGAGGCTGGCCTGGATGGCGGCGCCGCGGACGGGCAGCTCAGATGGGTTGATGGCGGTCGGGGAGGTGGAGGGTGCGAGGACGGTGGTGCTGTCTGGGAAGGCTGAGCGGACGGCAGAGGCGACCTTGGGGGTGTGCGAGTTTCCACCAGCGAGGATGATTTCGGAGATGTCGAGGGGATCGAGGTCGGCCTTCTCGACGGCTTGTGTGACGAGGCGGGTGAAGGCAGAGAAGAGCTTGTTGCCAAGCAGGTCGTACCGCGTGCGGTTGATGGTTGCCGTGTAGTCGATGCCTCCAATCAAGCTCTCGACGGAAAAGTTGGCCGTGGTGCCTATCGAAAGGGCCTTCTTGACAGCCTCGCACTCAAGCCTCAGCTTAGCCAGCGATCGTGCATCCTCACGGGGGTCGCCGGCCGACTTGTGCTTCTTGATGAACTCCTTGGCGAAGTGGTCCATGAGAACCTGGTCGAGCTTGGAGCCGCTGACCTCGTAGTCGTGGACGGTAGCGAGCATGGTGTAGATGCCGCCGCGGGATGCGAGGACGGAGATGTCGGAGCGGGTGCCGCCCAGATCAGCGACGACGACAATCTTGTCTGCCTGCTGGGCGCCGGGACGGGCGTCGTAGGCCAGAACGGCGGCCGTGGGCTCGTTGATGAACTGCAGGACCTCGATGTTGGCGTTCTTTGCCGCCGCCCGCAACGCCTCCTTCTGCGCGTCCGAGAAGTTTGTGGGCACCGTCATGACGGCCGCGTTCACATCCTTGCCCAGGTAGTCGGACGCTGACGCACGGAGGCGCTTGAGGTGGCGTGTGGTGGCCTCGTCGACGGTGACTGTGCTAGGCGTCTCGTCCTCGGTGTCGCGGATGGAGAAGGCGACGCCGGACTCGTGCTGGACGGGGTGGGCCGACTGGTGGCACGGCGAGGGGTCGATGGCACTGAATCTGCGGGGGTCAGCGGCTTCTGGGGCAGGCGCGGGGCGGACACGGGGAGGCTACTCTTGGCCCAGGAAGTCGCGAAAGTAGGCGGCCGTGTTCTGGGGGTTGCGGACGAGCTGGCCCTTGGCCTGGCCGCCGTGCAGCTCCTCGCCGTCGACGTACGACAGGAGCGAGGGGATGTAGCGGTCGCCGTCCTCGTTGGCAATGACCTCTGCTTTGCCGTCCTGGGCCTGTCAGCACGCTCGTCCAGCAGCCCGTGGGGGGGATGCGCCTCTTACGCCTGTTGTGTAGGCAATGGAGCTGTACGAGTTGCCAAAGGCGATGCCGATGGCGACGCGCTGGGTGGGGTCGGCGGGCGCGCTCATGTCTGCGGTGTGTGTGGGCGTCTCGACGAGGGGAACGGGGGTCGAGGTGGTGGGTGAAGGGCCCGTCGACAGCCCACCACGACCAATATTTTCGTGCTCTGGACCCTGCCAAGTCTGGATCTGACGCAAGTGCAGCCTCGAACATCCTTCCCCGTCCGCCGTCCGCATTCTCTCCACACATTACTTTCTTCATGGCTGCCACACTCACCGCTGTCCTGCCCGGCGACGTGATCCCGTCCGACGCCCTGCCCCAGGGCACTGGCAAGAAGAAGACGCTCACCCTGGGCCCGGGCCTGCGCCACCTGCCGCCCAACACCGTCACGGCCACTGTAGCCGGCGCATTGGTCACAGACAGCAAGAAGAACGCCGCCATCGTCGAGTACAACAGCGGGAGGGTCAGTTCGCACTTAATCTTATCTCAACTTATGCTTCCCACTAACACGCATCGCAGTACCTTCCCTTCGCCGGCGACCTCGTCATAGCCACCGTGAGCGGCTCGGCCGCCGAGAACTTCAGCTGCTTCCTCACCCCCAACACACCGCCCGCCACCCTCCCCCACCTGGCCTTCGAAGGCGCCACCAAGAAAACCCGCCCCCAGCTCCCGCCGCGCTCACTGGTCTACTGTCGCGTTGCCAGCGCGGGCAGAGACTCGGCCCCAGAGCTGACCTGTGTCGACCCCTCGACTGGCAAGAGCGAGGGTCTTGGGCCGTTGAAGGGGGGCATGCTGTTCAGCATCAGCTTGGGCATGGCGAGGAGGCTGTTGGCTCCAAAGGGCGACTTGCCGCTCCTGGGCGCATTGGGTGCAAAAGTGGGCTTCGAGCTCACAGTAGGTAGAAATGGGTTTGCGCATGTGGATGGAGGCAATGTCAAGACTACCCTGGCAGTTGGGAGGGCGGTGCAAGAAGTTGATGAGCGGGCGCTCGGTGAAAGTGCGCAGAAAAAACTGGCTGCTGAGGTCTTGAAGAATTTGTGATGGCCTCGACCGCCCTGCTCTCGACAAGCCCGACGACACCATACGATGCGACAATGCACTCAGGACACACGACTGCAAAATTCACCAATCATCATCTTTTAGTATTCGAGCAACGTAACGGGTCAGTAGTCGCAGCACACCGCGTATGAGAAATCTTCAGGCTTGTATTTTCTTCCCTCTCTACTCATCGTAAGTACCCATGTTGGTCTTCGATTGATTCGCCAATCCCCGCATTCTCACCACCACCAGCCCCCCTTTTTTTGGTACAAATCTAAACCCCACACTACCACGCGAAAAACCTCTCCCACCCTCCTCACGGCACAACCCTCTGCGGATCCCTAGGAAACAAACTACACATACGAATATTCGGCAAGCCCAGCCAAAACTGCACGATACGCTCGAGCCCAAACCCACCTCCAGCATGCGGCGGGCACCCAAACTTGAAGCACTCGACGTAGTCCTTTGTGCCCGCGCCGGCGGGGTCGATCGGCGGGTCGTGTTCGCGCATCTGCTTGGCCAGCAGGGCGGAGTCGTGGATGCGCTGTGCGCCGGAGCAGATTTCCTGGCCGCGCATGAACATGTCGTAGGAGTTTGAGAGGAGGGGGTCGGCGGGCGAGGGCATGGTGTAGGCGGGGCGGATGGCGAGGGGGAACTGGTCCAGCGTGTAGAAATCCGAGTTGTATTTTTCTAGCACCAGGCGGCCGAGATGCTTTTCCTGTGGTGTTCTGTTTGTTGGGGGGGTTAGAGATGTTGCATGGTTTGTGTTTATTTGCGGGGGGGGGTTCACTTACGTCAAGTCGTCGTAGTCGCCTAGCTCCTCCCCGGCTTCTCGCAGCATTTTGATACCCTCTCGGAACGGGATTCTCGGCACCTTGCCCGACTCCGGGAGCTTGAAGTCGTCAATGTGATACACGCCCCTGACCAAGTCGGTTTCCTTCTTGTAGCGCGAGTTGAGCTCTCCGAAGATGAACAGCATGAGATCCTCCAGCACGCCCATGACCTCGTGGTAGTTCTCCTGAAACTCCATCTCCAGATCCAGCCCCGTGAACTCTGTCAAGTGGCGGGCCGTGTTGGAGTTCTCGGCGCGGAAGACGGGTCCAATCTCCATGACTTTCTGGAACCGCGAGGCGATCAGCATCTGCTTGTAGAATTGCGGTGATTGGGCTAGGTAGGCAGGGCGGCCAAAGTACTTGAGCTCGAAGACGTTGGCTCCGCCCTCGGACGCAGCGCCTAGGATCTTGGGCGTGTGGACTAGGATGAAACCCTTGTTGGACAGGAATTCTTGGAACAGCGCGCAGACACCGCTCTTGATCACGAAGATGGACTGATTGATCTTGGCCCTCAGGTCGAGCGTCCTGTTGTTCAGCCGCGTGTTGAGGCTGACCAGGGGCCGCTCCCCGCCTTCCTCTTGCTTCTGTTCCTCGTCCACTGCTGTGTCGGTAGGGAGAGGCCTCTCGGCATCCTCGACCTGCAGTGGCAGCGGCACCTCGGCCTTGGCCTCGATGAACAACTTCTGCACGTGGATCTCAAAGTCCTTGATCGAGGCGCTCTTGATGGGCTCCTGCACGCGCTTGACCAGTCCAGTAACGACAAGGGTGCTCTCGGTGCTGATACCACCACAGAACTTGACCATCTGCTTGCTCAGCTTCTCGCTGGCAGCAACAACAGCCTGCACCGTGTTGAGGTCCTGGCGCAGGTTCAGGAAGGCGAGCTTTGCCGACTGGACACGCGCGTTCTCGACCCAGCATCTGAATGTAATCTCCTTGTCCTCGTTCGAGGCAGCATCGGCGAGGTCTGCGCGGGGCGTGCCCGTGGGCTTGAAGTCGACGGATCCGCAGAGAGGCAGCTCGCCATAGGCTCCAGCAGACACATCGGCGGCGTCGGCGGCGTCCTTTTTGGCGCGTTCGGCGAGTTCACGAACTCTAGCTGCCTCCTTCTTCGCTGCCTTTTCCTTCTCCTTCTGTGCCTTCTTGAGCGCGTTCTTGGATGGGCCCTCGGCTTGCTCAGGCTGCTGAGGGGCGTCGCCCGCGGCGGGAGCTGCTGGAGCTGCGTCGGCCATGGTGAGTAGTTGTGAGTGTGGTGGTGTGACAGCTGTGGTGTTTTTGCAGTGGGGTTGTGAATCACAGTCGCAGCCCCACCATGACCACACCCGTGTAGCGTCATCGCCAAGATGAGACCTCGACCAAATTATATTTTATCATTAACATACCAACTACTATACTGCACGCCACGCATGGTCATGATGAAGCCCCCATGTGCAACCTAAGCACGCCATACGCCATGTCCCAATGCCCTGTCCGCTAGCTATGCCGTGGAACCAAAGTATCTGCACCGTTTACGCCATATCTTTCAATGCTCCTTCACCTACTAGCCTCCTCGTACCAAAGAAATAAGTCTACCTAACAAGATGATCACTCAAGTGAATGAGGGTGCTCGGCCAGAAGAAGTGGTACTACCCTCCCACAGCTTCACCGTCTTAAGCGTGGGATTCTTCGGCTCGTGGCAGGAGAAGATGTTGACGTGGTTATCATGCAAAGCTGCAGCCGCAATCATAAGACGATGGGGATGGAAAGCCGTAGCCGATATGGGCGCTGATCGATCGCGGAGGAAGCCCGAGTATGGCTCGAAGCACGACACAGGCTTACCATTGTTAATGTTGAAGATCTTGACCCGATGCTTCTGTGTTCCACTGTAACCATCAGTTTATTATCCGGGATTCTGGACTTCCAAGCACTTACGTTGCAAAGACGGGCGCATGCTCGTGAACGCTCAGCGTGCGAAGATGGTCAGTCGTCGCTTGTATGGTTCTCACACTCCGATCCATGCGAATGTCCCATAATTTGACCTCTCCACTTCGGCAACCACTGATGAGTTCACGTTGCCCGCCGCGTTGTAGGTGGACATTGGTCACCCATTGTTTGTGCTCTTTCCAAACTTTGACCATGGCACTTGCAGGTTTCTGACGCTGGTCGTAGACTCGTATAGCACCGTCACCGAAACCCGCAACAAACACATCACCTTCTACTTGATCTGAGGTTAACGAAGTGATACACGACCCTGATCGCGCGGGTATGTCCTGTCATCGTTAGTTTTCTTCCATCACGCCCAGAAATAGTCTATAACATACGCTTGTGCACACTTCTGTCCCCGCATTCCACACGCGGATAACCTTGACATCTCCAGCGACTAGCACCAGGCCTCTACCCTGCTGCCAGTCGAAAACGAGTCCAGCGTTTTTGTTGCTTGGAACAAGATCAGTCAAGGCTCGGAAAGCCGTCACTAGTTCCGTCTTCGCTTTTGTGTCGTAGTTGCGGAATATCTTGATGACACCATCCGATGACCCAATCATCAACAGAGCTTGGTCGTCCTCGTTGATGAAACGGACGTCGGTTATCTTCGAGTCTGGGGGGTTGCCGTTGGAGAAGCAATTGAGCCTGTTGACCGTTTTGGAGTAATCAATGATATTGACCGTGTCTCGATTGTCAGTGACTACGAGGTGATCCTCGAATTGATGAAAGCACATCTTCATGGGCTGACTGAGGTTATCAAAGTAACCACGGGGAACATCCCATCGATTCGAAACTGCAACATCTTTCAGTGGTTGTGTCTCGGCGATGATCTTGTCGTTGCGGTTTCTTCGCCAAAGTCTGCCATTGTAGTCTGTGCTGCCAGGCTCATCTGCCTCTGTCGGTTTCATTTGCGGCTCACGGAAATACTCCACAGACCATTCGAAAAACACGCTTTTGAGTGGTATTTCTGGCTTCTGACCCAAGGTCCTAGATTTGAGCCCTCTTGATTCTGGCTCTTCCTCGACGTGGTATTTTTCTGGAGTCTGAGGACGGGAATCTGTGGAGGAAGCTAGCAGATCATCCACTTTGCCCTTGCCCGGCGCCTTTTGAGAAGAATTTGACGACTCATGCCCCGTCCAAAGGCTCTTTAGAGAGGCACCAACGCTCGTTGATTTTCGCATGCCTCCAAAGAGAGACAGATAACCCGATTCTTTTGACGGCGTAGGTGGAGTCGAAGCCATCTGCTGGGCAGGTCTCTCTTCCTGCGTTCGGCGGACCGGGCGAGGAACGGAAGTCTTCTTCAGGCTGTCATCGAACTGCGATTGGACAAATTTGGCGAGTGGAGAATCAAGGAGTGCGATCAGAATGTAATCTACAACTACTCCAGCGTCCATGGCGATCTCGGGATGGGGATCGACAGACATGACCAAGATTTCTTTCCAGATAGCGGAGTAGATGGTGTTCTGCGAGCAGGGGCTTGATGAGGAAGAACCGTCACTTCCCGGCGCTCGGGGTTTCATGAAGAGGCCCTCGCTGTTCCTATCTTCCGCCTGCGTCGAGAGGTGGGCGTTTGTCTCTTCGGAGAACTGCTCGAATGCAGCGACGACGAATCGCGACTTGTAGCGAGCGACAAAAGTAGAGAAAAATATCAGCAACTCCCTCCGTACCATACTGTTGCCATCCGTGGTCATGACAAGCACCATGGATGCGATTGACTCCTCGATGTTAGCCACCTGAGCAGTGACGTCTCGAATGCCTAGAAAGGACGTCAATGCATGTAGCATTGCAGCCCTGACTTCGGCGACCGGGTCGATGACAAGCTCACACAATCGCTCGTGTGCCATGCAACGAATTCCAACCCACTTTGCTTCTTCGTAGTTGATCCAGAGCTTGCTCAAGCAGAGAGACGACCACTGTCGCAGCAGAGGGTTTTGCATGTCTTTCAGGTGGTCCAAACAACTCTCGACCAGCTCAGTGCTGAGTGATGCACGCTGCCCTTGGTTGTAGTCCTTGCAGAACATGGAGATGATGAATGCGCACATTGCTCGGTGCTCGCTGGCATTCTGAATAGGAATACCTGAATTGGGATTGAAGATGTTGATGAAATATTGATACCCGTTGTCTTTTAGGAGATCCGCCTGGCAAGACTGGTCAACGGCTAGGATGCGAGCCCATATAAAGACCATGACAGGTTTGAGTTCGTTTGCCTGCGACTGGAGTAACTTCAGCACGTATGGAAAGATGCCGATGCTGAGTGCGAGATTGACAGCCCACGGGCCATGATCCAGGAAGCTCGAGAGAAGGATCAACGCACGAAGGCGGTGAACTTGGCTAAGAAGAACCTGAAGCACTATGGGCAGCTGCTCCGGTATCTTCTGCTCCACGGCGCCCTGCGTCAAGTACACCTCAAAGGCCGTCAATTGCTCAGCAAAGAACTCGGAGTGCTTGTATTGATACTCCTTCTCGCCACGAGCCTCGGCTTGAAGGTCAGGAAGCTGGGCCAAGATCAGCTCGACAGCAAGATCCCAGCTTCGCCACAGTGGATGATCGTGCGTCTGAGGGATCTCGGGATGGGAGATGGGATTGCAGTGGTACACGCGCATGATGCGTTGTGCTAGGAGGTAGTTGCGGAAGAGAGCAGCAACCATGAGGTCCTGGCGAAACAGTTTCTTAAACAGGGGCTTCGACAGGGAGTTCCAGGCGATTGTGTCAGTAATGGCTGTGAAGATCCAGTTCAGCTCGCCAATGGGCGTTCTACGCTCAGAGACTTTTCCGGGGATGTTGTGAGCATCCCGCAGGCCGACCTTGCTGGGGAGAGGATTTTGCAGTATGAAAAATCGCACAGCCATGGTGATGGGATCTGTCAGGCAGGCAGTAAACATGTCTGCAGGCAGTTCCGGATTTGTGGGAAGAGACTCTTTTTCTCTACACGCCGCTAGATGGATGCAGTCGCTGAAATCTACATACTCGACACTGGAGTCCCTCCTACGCGCCTCCTCGAACTCGGTTTGATGCTTCTCGGCAAACCTGTTGAAGTTGCTGATGATGATACCGGCGTCGGAGCAGTCGTATACAAACAGACTCGGGGCCCCAATCCAGCTCTGCAGGTCGTATAGCGACAGAGGAATGTATTGGGTGTAGTTGCGGTTGAAGACCCAAATCTCGCCAGAAGAGGTTGGTTTCGGGACGCCGTGGCCGTTGTAGTGGAAGAGGACCCTCTCATTGCGAGCATTGCGTCGCAGTGTAGACGTGTATTTCCTTGTTTCCTCGGTCGTTGGGTCGAGCAGCAGCTTGTAGCGCGTGCGCATGCTCAGCTGCTCGTACTGCGTCTGCAGGGCCTTGCCGATCTGGTTCATGGGGGTGTGGCCAGGTGTCTGCGACGTGACGGTCGGGTCTATCCAGCACTCCTCCTTTGCGCAGGGATTTGTCTTGATGACATCGGGCGGGTCGACGCCAATGTTGAGGCACAGGGCGAGGACGGCAGAGACGGTCTTCAAGCGGTCGCGCATGCGCCACTCCTGGATGGGGAATGCGCTGGCCTCGCTCTTGGGGTGGCCGCCCGTCTCGTGCTTCTTGTCGGTGTAGTACATGAAGAAGTTCTGTCGCAAGCGGTCAGTGTCACGCGCAGGCCGGCGACTGGAGCGCTCAACGCACCGACGTCAGCATGTTGCTGTACTCCTCCGAGTTCAGCTGGTCGTCCCAGCCATGGCGGATCTTGAAGTGGCCGTCGGTGCTGGCCTCGTCGGCGCTCTCGGACGGCGCAGGATGGCGGGGCCCAAAGTCGCTCCTTGCGCGCACGAGGTCTGGGCGCAGCGAGGGCGTGCTGGGGCGGGTCGTCTGCTGCGACACGTTGGCGGTGGGCGTGGTGGGCGAGATGTGGGCGGGGGTGCCGGGCGAGGGCGAGGGTTGCGGGTCGTCCATGCTGGCGAGGGCCGAGGTGGGGGCGTGGGAAGCGAGCGGATTGGGGTGCGCGTGGCTGCTGGCGAGGGACGGCATGTTGGCTGTGCTCATGCGGAGCTGGGACGGGAGCAGAGAGGGCCAGAGCTCCTGGCAGCGCCCATGTCGCTGAGCCTGCTGTGTGCGGTGAGGGGCGTGTCGAGTAGGCGGAGGGGAGCTTCGGGCGTGCGGTGGAGCAGCGTGGAGAGGCACGGCGAGGGCGGAGGCAGAAGGTCACAGAGGCCGTCGGTCGCGACTTCCAGACGAGGTGTCGGGGCTAGGCCGCAATAGGCCCGGCGGTGAGGCATGTGACGACCGGGATACGCAGACCAATCGACGGCGACGGTTGTCAGGGGCATGCGCGGCAGCGTGAATGTTGTGAACGTCGTCGTCGACACCAACACCGGCTCCGACCCCGACACGCGCCCGCCCTGCCTCACCGCTGCCCTCCCGCGCCCAGCCCACGACATGCCCGTCCGCCCCCAGCCCTAAGAAGCCTTCCACCGCGCGCAGCCACCACTCCCGCCTCCACCGCAGCCCGGATGCGTGCGTGAGCCACCGGCCATGTCCTTCCTCTTCGGCAAGAAGAGCAAGCCGCCGACCAGCGCGCTGCCACCCGCCGTGCGCGAGATCTCGTCGTCCAACGGCCAGGGCGCGCCGCCGACGTCGCTCAATGGCGCCCTTCGCGAGCCTGACAAGAGCCGCCCCGGTCCCCAGAGCCAGCCGCCGCAGTCGCAGACACCTACGCCGGGCGGGAGCGTGAACACGTCGCTCAGCTCGCTGCAGGGCCCCACCAGCGCCACGCCGCCCGAGCCCAAGTCGTTGCTGCGCGAACGGGCAGAGTCGAACCTCCCGGCACACAACGCGCCCCAGACGGCCAGAATCACGGGCGCCGCGCAGGACTCGCCGTACCCGTGGTCGTCGCGCAGGCTCAACTTCACCGGCGGCAACCCCTTCCCCCGCTACGGCGCTGCTATCAATGCGACGGCCTCCAAGGATGGCACCATCTACCTCATGGGCGGCCTCGTTGGCGGCGCCACTGTCAAGGGTGACCTGTGGCTGACCGAGATGGGCAACGGGACCATGGCCTGCTACCCCATCTCCACCACAGGCGACGGCCCCGGGCCCCGCGTCGGCCACGCCAGTCTGCTCGTGGGCAACGCCTTCATCGTCTTCGGCGGCGACACCAAGCTGGCCGACAACGACGACCTCGACGACACGCTGTATCTCCTCAACACCTGTGAGTTGCCTGCCTGTCACCCCGTCCATCCCTCTGCTGACACGATGCAGCCACGAAGCACTGGTCGCGCGCATTGCCCCAGGGCCCGCGTCCCACTGGCCGCTACGGGCACACGCTGAACATCCTGGGCTCCAAGATCTACATCTTTGGCGGCCAGGTCGAGGGCTTCTTCTTCAACGACCTCGTCGCCTTCGACCTGAACTCACTCCAGTCGTCGGCCAGCCGCTGGGAGGTGCTGCTCCCAAACACAAAAGACCAGGTCTCTCCCCATGTCATCTCGCCGCCCGCCCGCACCAACCATTCTGTCGTCACGTGGAACGACAAGCTCTATCTGTAGGTGCACCACTTTCTGCCTGGCCCGCGCGCTCTGCTAACTGCGGCCTCAGCTTTGGCGGTACCGACGGCGTCACTTGGTTCAACGATGTCTGGACATACGAACCGCGATCCAATGCATGGACTGAGCTAGACTGCATTGGCTACATCCCAGTCGCCCGCGAGGGCCATTCTGCCGCACTTGTCAACGACACCATGTACATCTTTGGCGGACGCACACAGGACGGCGTCGACCTGGGCGATCTTGCTGCCTTCCGCATATCGTCCCGACGATGGTACATGTTCCAGAATATGGGGCACTCTCCCTCAGCGCGGTCAGGCCACAGTATGACTGCGTTTGGAAAGCACGTTGTTGTCCTGGCGGGCGAGCCGAGCTCTTCTGCCAGTGAGAGGAACGAACTCAGCCTCGCCTATGTCCTCGATACTTCCAAGATCAGATATCCCCCCAACGAGAGTGCACTTCCACAGCAGGCACTGAACACGCCACGGAAAATGAGTGGAGGGGACAGAAGCAACAATCCCCCAAACCCTCAAAATGGCCCAAACCTCCAAACCCCCCAAAACTTCCAAGGCAGAATAGGGTCGCCTCCAGCGCGTGAGAGCATGGTACCCGGGCCGCCGCACTCCCGAGCCCCGGATGCAGCAGGAAATGGCTTGGGCGGTAATGCTGGATCGCGGCTGCCTCGTGCAGCTGGGCCAGCTCCTGCGGGCCCTCCGATGCTTCAGCAGCCTCCCCACCCGAGATCTAATGAACCCAATCCCCAGATGGTTGCCAACTCCAGAAGCAAAACACCGACAAAAGTCGAACGCACGTACGGGCCTGTTGTAGACACGGGGGCTACATCTTCGCTCAACAGAGAAAACCTGTCACCAATAACCCGCGACAGCCCTTCCACGACTGAAATGCAACGAAACCCATCCGATGCGGTTAGTCCAGGCGCACAAAAAGAATCAATGGACACGTCTCGATCAGGTAGCATAGTATCGAGAAACACGTCAAGGTCACATCGGCAGCAGCAATCCCAGGACAGTGTCGATCAAACAGCGCCAAGACGATCAACTGAAGCTCAGCAGCAACACGCCACTAATCGCGACTTCGAGCCACCCATTATGGAAAAGCCAGCCAATATGTCGCCTGCAATCAGCCAACGGAACAACGAACTAGTCCAAGAACTCGAGACAGTCAAGGGTCGGAATGCCTGGTATGCATCGGAACTTGCCCTCGCCCGTAAAGCAGGATACCACCCCGGGCCTTCGACGAGTCCTGTTTTCGATGAGCGATCGGCCGATTCGTTCCGTGATGAAGACAGACCTTTGGTCGAGGCTCTTCTAAAGATGAAAACCGAGCTCGACCGTGTGCAAACATCGATCAAGTCTCAGGGCAACGACGCGGCTAAAAAGATTGCGGAAATCGAAAGGCAACGGGACGCCGCCGTCAGTGAGGCCATCTACGCCAAGACTAAATTGGCTGCTCATGGTGGTGGTAGTCAGAATGGAACTCCCCAGTTGGATGGAGCTCGGAATATAGGTACACCCGACATGGATCGTTTGAACGATACCAATCGCCGTCTGGCCGTGTCTTTGGCCTCACAAAGTGAACTCTCTGCAAAGGTGGAGAGGTTGACACATGAGATCCAATCTGAACGAAGAGCCAAGCAGCTCGCTGAGGAAACCGCAGAAGCCGCTCAGAAGCGCATGCAAGAGCTAAACTCGACACGACAGCAAGCGTCCGCTGAGTTTGAGAGCCTACGCGCCGAATTACATGAAGCCGAACGCGTAGCTAGAGAAGTCTCTGCTAACGCGGCCGCAGCAGAATCGTCATCCAAGCTGTTGGCGATTGACAAACAAGAGCTGGGTGCCAAGGTCGTCCGATTGTCTGAGGAGTCGAAAAACCACACTGTCTCGCTTGTGTCTTTGCGCGATGCAATGGTCGCATCTTCGGAGAGGTCTATATTGTTAGAGAAGCAACTTGAGGAGGATAGACAGCAGGGTGACAGTCTCCGACAGAAGCTAGCACAGCTTCGTGCTGAACATGAAGCTCGCACGACTGAGCTCGAGACGGCAAATCAGAAGCTTCACGACGCTGAAGAGCTCGCGGAAAGATACGCCGAAGAAGCACGCTTCCATCGACAGGCGGTACTTTCTGGGCTTGGAAACCTGGCCGACCATCGTGATATCGATCAAGACGTCGTGGATGAGCGCGTCACGATACTCCAACAGCAGGCCGAGGCCGCACATACCATAGCCCGCAAGAACCAGGCAGCCGCCGACCAAGCTTCTGAGAAGCTCCGCCGTGCAGAGGAGCGGATAGCCGGCCTCGAGGCATACCAAGAACAGTCAAGTCGCGAAGGCCTCACCATCAGAAAGCAGCTGCAACATGCAATGCGCGACATGCAAACTTGCGAAGCCGAGAAGGTGGAGTTGCGTCAGCAATACGAGCGTCTGCGCCTTGAGAGCAACGCCTTCGAAGTGCAGCTCAGGACTCTCAAGAACCTCTTAGATGAACGGGGAGTCAACCATGCTGATGCTCGACGGTCACGAGTCTTGGAAAGCCCCAACTCGAGATTCGGAACGCCCGAGCTCAACCGTGTACGGGAACTAGAGCAACAGATCGATTCCATGAACAAGGCACACGAAGAACTTCGAACCATTTTCGAACAACGAGAGCACGACGTCAGCAAGGACTGGGAGGAGAAGTTGCAAGCCCTGCACAACGACCACCAGGCTGCTGTCAAGTACCTCCGAGGAACGGAGAAGATGCTCACGAAGATGAAGCAGGAGCTTGACCGTTACAAGACCTCGAACACCAAGCTCGAGGAGGAGCTCACACAGACCAGGGGCCTTGCGCAAAACTCCACAGAACCGCCGGAATGGGAAGCAGAGCGAGAGGCGCTCGAAACCGAGTTGTCAAACGTACAGGAGAACATGAAGAGATCCGTCGCTCGTCTCGAAGGCCAGATCGCCGCGCTACAGGCCGAGTTGACAGGCGCCCGCAACGCCGTCGAAGTCACCACACACAACGCAAGACAAGCCACCTCCGCAGCCGAGCAGCACCGCACCGATCTCGAGGCGCTCCGCCGCCAGTACGCGCTCGTCGAAGAGCGCGCCCGCGAAGCCGAACACCGCGTACAGATGTTCCTCGACCAGTTCGAGACATCCGTAGACAACTACCGGCGCCAATCCCACGTGCCCGTCGAGAGCGTAAACGGCGAACACATGCGGCACCGCACGCACGACAGCGTCGCGTCCGTCGAGTCGCTCTACAGCCGCAACGACGGGTCCAGCACCCCCGAAGCCGCCATCAACAACCGCCCCGCCTCGTCCGCAACGCGCAACTCAATGGCCCTCGATAACCTCGCGTCTGAACTCGACGCCCTGCGCAGCCACTGGGAGACTACAAATAAGGCGTATCGCTTGAGTGATCACTTTAACTTCGATCGCACGCCCACTAATGATCGCGATGAGCATAATGAGTCTCTCGCCCAGTGGAGACAGCGCATTGGTTCCGATGCGCCGGAAGACCACAAAGGAGATAGAGAGGCGCCGCAGCAGTGGACAAATGCCGCGCCGTCGTCGTCGTCGACGCTGCCTGGTTCGTTGTCATGACATATCTGACCGGGGACGTGGAATCGCAAGTCAAATACCGTTTTTCTTATAACCCCCCCTCAGCTGGCTTTGGGTTGAGTGAGCGAATGAGTCATTCAGTCAGTGAGCTTGGTTGGAATGGAGTCTTTGATTATAGCTGTGTAGTTTCCCCCCCTCCCAACCGCCTTTTTTCCCGTCCCGTCCTGTCCTGTCCTGTCCCTTTATATACCACCTTTTTTGAATCGTCTAGTCTAGTCTGTGGGGAGGTCGGCTGGGTTCTTGTTTATACATATCAAGTGGTAATTCTAAACTTTTTTTGTCTTGTCTTGTCTTGTCTTGCTTTTGTTGTTGTTGAGGCGGTGATGGGCTTTGCTGTGCTGTGCTTTGCTGAAGTACTGCGTTGTACAGCCTACTCTACCATCTACCACTTCGTCGTGCTTTACTGGCACAATTCGATGCATGATGTGTTTTCTTATATCTGATTCGCCGTGTTGATACGCATCGAAGAGGTAGGTATGGCTTGGCTTAGTTTTTCATCTTCTTATGTTCCATCTACTTATCCCGCACCTACATCTCCATCCCTATCCCCATCCCATACCCCAGAAAACTCACCGACACGTTCCCAGCACCCCCAGGCCCTAACCAAGACTCGACATACTCGCTATCTCGTACGTAGAACACAGTCCTCGCTGTTTCGAATACCCGTGCGTTGGAAGGTTTTCATGCTTTCACTTTCCCTTTCACTTTCACTGATAGACCCACGTACTAGCGCTGCTGTGCGACAATAGATACCCCGCCCAACTATCACGTTCAATAGCACGCAAGTACTACCGCGACCTCCTATAGGATTAGGGTACAATAAACAAGTAGCAAGCGAGCAACGTGTGTGGTGGGGGTTGACCACATGAGCGACCAGGGACCAGGGATCAGGGATTAGGGATCAGGACGCGCCATTGTTCGAGGGCGGGACAATAGGGACTTGGTTTTTGGAGTGGAAAGGGTTGTGTATATAATCATCCCCCAGCAAGAACTCTGCGGATTATTATATCCACATCTATCTTTTCCCCATTCCTTGCTTCATTTTCTGCGATTTATTTCGATTCCATATACTTGACGCTGGTCGTCATTGCAATCTTTGCCATATATTTCCATATACACATACACGATTTCATACACGCAAGCCTCAATCCTCAAATCCAAGATCCAATGGCACCACTCCAACGCCCCAGCAGCGATACGTCAAAGCAATCCAAGCCCAGCATCGCCGGCACACTACTCACCCTCATCCACTCGTCCACGCTCAGCAACGAGCAGAAGATCTCCGCCATGTGCCGGTACCCGCACGCGTTCCTCAACAGCCTGTACGAGCAGCACATAGGTCGCAAAAGCGGTGCGGATGCAAGTCTGCCTCCAGTCTCAACCGCCAATTCATCCAACGAGCTAGACGGAGCAAGCTACCACCCGCTCATCGAAGAGGAACCCTCCATCCCACCGGACAGCAACGCGTCCCCGCCCATCTACCCAGCCTACACGGGCTACTTCCAGACCTCCGCCGACGCGAAGCGACACCGCAAGCGCACACGCATAGCCCCCAAGTCGGATGCGCCGGACATCCAGCGCGTGCGACAGCACGGCCGCGCATACTGGGTGCGACGCATCTACGAGGCCATGATCGACGTATCATGCATCAGCGACGGGGCGTCCTCGATCCACCGGCAGCGATTCGTCGAGACGGCGGTGTTCGACGGCGCGGATCTCGAAGCCACGGCGCATCATGTCTTCGATGCGGCGGTTGCTGTGCACGTGCGGGGCTGGAACCGGCCTGTCGTGTACCATAAGAAGGTTGTGCGGGGCAAGTTGACGGATGTTAGTCGGCGGAGTTTGGAGAGGCGGCTTGCGCGTGTTTGTCTGTGTTTGAGGCATAGGAAGGCGACGGTGGATGATGCGCTGAGGGGGGGAGTGACGCTGGCGCTTCTGTGTGATAATCCTGAGGCGAGGGGGTTTACGAAGTTGTCTAATAATGTGGGGAATATGAAGCGTGGTGAGAGGCTGAAGCTTTCGAGAGAGCGGACTGCGCTGGAGTTGGAGATGGAAGGGGGCGGGGAGGATGAGCAGGAAGACGAAGAGGAGATGGATGAGGATGAAGACGGGATGGAAGACCAGGAGGTGCTGGAGGTGCCGCTTTCAGGGGAAAGGTGATAGCTTAGTAGAATTTCGAGCCTCCGATGCTTTCCACTTGGAAGTTTCCATTCTTTCCCACGACGACTTGCTGCCGTGGCTTGATGTCCTCACTCGTGGTGGTGTCGGCCTCCTTTGCGGCAGCCTGCCTCAGGGCCTTTCTCCGCTTCTTACTCTGGAAGAGTGCTTCCTCGTCCTGGATGTCTTTAACAACTACATCACGTCAGCACTCTCTCTGACTTGTCTCGCTAGCGGTCCAACTCACCCTCAGCCCACTCTCTCTCCCCCTCTGCATCCCCAGTCCCCAGCTCCTTCTCGACCTCAACATGCTCGCCTCTCTGTACGCGCTCAATAACCTCTTTCAGCATACCAATCTTGGTCTCGGCCCTGCGAATAGTGTGGCTTCGCTCCTGTTTCAGCCATAGGATTTGGATGGCCTGGCTACCAACGAGCAGACTGAGAATGATATAGGGCGTCGCAGGATTCCACCCGCGCCTGGGTGACTGTTCCGAGCGGGTCTTGAACGGCTTGGGTACCATGGAAGCCCAGAAGCTGGGCTGGAGGACGCGCGGGAGAGACAGGAAGCGCGGGTGCGCGAGCGACGGCGGGGCCAGCAGCGCAAAGGTGCGCGCGTGTGGGCGCAGCGGCGGAAGCATTACGTAGCGGTGGCAGGCTGGCGTACGGAGCAGCTGGCGAAAAAGGGTTGTGGCGTCCATGGCGGGGTTGCGGGGCTCTCGTGTGCAGCGTGTCGAGGTTGAAAGTTTTGGCGCGTGGGCTAGATTGGGGTTAGTGGCGCGGTTGCTGCCGAGGTCCATATAGTTATCTCGAGCAGTGCTGTTCATCGTTGTTCGCAGCATTCACCATGGGCAACGATTTATCGCCTTTTGAAATAGTCCAGAAATGGGTTGGTCAGTCCCAGTTCTCAATAAACCCTCGCTGACCGTCTGGAACAGTTTGAGATTGCGAGCTCCGATGGCTATGATGCTTGTCCACCTATCCTCGATGCGCTGAAGTATCTCTAATGTGTTGCGTCTAGGGCCATGATGCTGTGCTACCCAAGATCTTGAAGCTGGAGTCGGCCACGTACGAGCCCACGAGTGCTGATCCTCACGATGCGCGCACCGTCTTCAGCTTCACCGTGCCTCGCCAGCTCTGTAACATGGGTGGTAATCTTCATGGTGGAGCAGTCGCGTTGATCTTCGATATCACGACATCGACTACCATCGCAGCCTGCAGCCGTGAAGGCTTCTGGGACACAGGCCACGTGAGCCGCAATCGGTACTGAACCCCGTCAAGCGCTATCACACTCTCCATACATCTTGCTAACGTTCTTGTAGTAAGTGACATTCTGATTTGAGCCTCGCGTCTTCTGGACATGTGTTGATTGTACAAGTTAATTGCACCTACTTGCGACCTGCACCCGAGGGCGCAACGGTCTTCGTTGAAAGCAGGGTGGTGCATCTGGGTAAACGGATGGGGTTGACGACGGGGGTAATGAGGCTAGGCTCAATGGAAGGAAAAGTGTGCTATACATGTGAACACGGGAAGGCAACGTTGGGATCCTCGAACCTGTAGTGTGGGGTCTGATTTCACACTTGTGAGGTAGTAGAATGCATGTCAGATAGATAGATGTTGTCGAGTTCCAAGCGATGTAGAGTAGTCGGGCATGTCGGAGGACGGATGTCGTAATGCGCCGTCGATGCGACCATACACCTCAATACCTAGCTGCAAGCTGCACCACCTAAACGCCAAATAAGCCCAAAGTCCCACTGACAGCCTGCAATGGATCTTGGAGACGAAGACAGCTCTCCGTGGGGGGGTAAGACGGCCCTTCCCCGCTGCTGCGCCTGTTCGCGACGCTGACGCTGTGCCAGACGTGCCCTCGCAATCGAGCCCAGCGCAGAAGCCACCCCAAGTGAACCCGGAAGACCACCCGGATGGCGACGGCGACAATGAAGCGGCCTCCTCGGAGAAGCCGGCGCCCAATGCTGCAGCTACACAGCGCTCGTCTGCTGCCCGCGGTCCTCGACGACGGCAGCACGGCGTCCAGTCGACAAAGCTCGAGGCTGTCGACGACCCTCTGGGACCTCTGGGGGCCCCCACGCCGACTACTGGGTCTGACGCTGCTCCCGCGCCGCCTCAGAAGGAACTTGCTGCATCCCGCGGCTCCCGTCCTGCGCCTGGCGCCTCTGCTCCTTCGCTGGGCGGTATGATGGACTCGGTCAACCTTGACGACGACGACAACGACGACGAACTGCCGCGTTCGCAGGCCGCACGTGTACCACCGCCCGTCCAGGCGCCCGCGGGCACGCAGCAACAGCGCCAGACTCAGCCCAGCGTCAGCGTCGAGCAAGCTGCGAAGCCAACGTTCTCCATCTATGTGGGCGACCCACACAAGGTTGGCGACCTGACCAGCTCGCACACCGAGTACTCGGTCACCACCAAGACAACGTCCAAAGGCTACCGCAACCCCGAATTTTCCGTCTCTCGGCGATACCGCGATTTCCTCTGGCTGTACACGCAGATGCACAGCAACAACCCTGGTGTCATCATTCCCCCGCCGCCAGAGAAACAAGCCGTGGGCCGTTTCGAGACTGATTTTGTCGAGTCCCGGCGCGCGGCTCTGGAGCGCATGTTGAACAAGACAGCAACCCACCCCATATTGCAGCATGACGGCGATCTCAAGCTCTTCCTCGAGAGCGACGCCTTCAACGTCGACATCAAGAACAAAGAACGCAAGGACCCTGGCTTGGGCGAGAGCAAGGGCATGTTTGGCTCCATGCTTTCTGGCAGCAGCGGCAAGTTCGTCGAACACGATGATGTACGTGCCCTCTCTGGACTTCTTCGACCCAGTTACTGATGCGAAACAGTGGTTTCATGACCGGAAAATCTACCTCGATGCGCTCGAGAACCAACTAAAGGCGCTGCTCAAGGCAACAGACACTGTAGTGACCCAGCGCAAGGGGCTTGCCGAGGCTTGCGGCGACTTTTCAGCTTCGTTGCATTCGCTGTCAGCTGTAGAGCTGTCACCCTCCCTATCTACCCCGCTTGACAGCCTATCAGACATACAGATCCGCATTCGAGAACTGTACGAGCGTCAGGCTCAACAGGATGTGCTTACGATGGGCATTGTCATTGACGAATACATTCGCCTCATAGGTTCCGTCAAAACAGCGTTTCTACAACGTCAAAAAGCCTACCACTCTTGGCACGCTGCTGAGCAGGAGCTCCAGAAGCGCAAAACAACTCAAGACAAGCTCCTCAGACAGGGCAGGTCACAACAAGACCGTCTGAACCAACTCGGCGCTGACGTTGCGGATGCTGAGCGAAGGGTACACCAGGCGAGGCTGCTGTTCGACGACATGGGCAGGCTCATGCGCAGCGAGTTGGAGCGTTTTGAAAGAGAAAAAGTCGAGGACTTCAAATCGGGCGTGGAGACATATTTGGAGAGCGCAGTAGAGGCGCAGAAAGAGGTGAGAAATCCGTCATCTTCGTAGTAGCTCTGCTAACATATATACCAGTTGATTGAAATATGGGAAACGTTCCTGATGCAACTCGACACCGAGGAAGGAGAGACGTTTATCCCGCCCGCGGGAGTCGTCGCCTCGCCTACTGCTGAGCCACCCACATCAGCTAACGAACCTACTGATGCTCGGAATTCGGAGGAATCCGTCAGAAGTGGGAACGAGCCACATGCTGAGAGTTGAGAGATCAGCTTAAGCACTTGTGTGTTTTTGTTGAAATCGTTCATGGGAATTGGTGTTTTCGTCTCACGTCAGATTAGACATGGGAACTTACAGCTGTATCTTGTAAGATAAGGCTTGAGCGGCCTTGAAGACATTTCTAGTATCTTTGAAGTACGCGCAGACGAACTTCTTGGTGCAGTCAAATGGTATGTAAGAGGAGCAATTAGGCTTCACGCCTAAATGTGCATCCTCTGTTATGAACAAAATTCACTAGTGCTCCATCCTTTCATTCGCTGCTGAATAGGTACTATCTAGCGTATACCGTTGATAGACAATAGTATTGTTCGCGCCGTGACGGTTCTAGACTACACCAAAACCCATCTGCTAGGCGCCCCCTTGCTTCTGTCGACGATAGACTACATGGTCCTCCTAACCTCATTTCCTTCGTATTGTTCTCATGTACCATGATCAAGAGCCTCCCACTCCCCAACCCCTAGTAAACACCCACCACCTCCTCACTACCCTTCAATCACTTCACACCCGTCCAGCAACCCATCCTCAGAATGCCCATCCCCTCCACTACCACCATGACCACCCCAGCAGCGCACGCCGCCCAAGTCTCCCAAATCTCCACCGCAGTAAAAGCCTTCCACGCCCAAAACACGCCCTTCCGCATCTACCACGGCTCCTCAAACTCAACCCGCGCCGCCTCCCGCACCCACATTGTCGACATCTCGCACCTAACCCACATCCTCCGCATCGACGCGGAGAAAAAAACCGCCCTAATCGAGCCAGGCATCGCCATGGACGAGCTAATCAAAGCACTGCTCCCGCTCAACCTCGCGCCCGCCGTCGTGCCCGAGTTCCCCGGCATCACGGCGGGCGGCGCATTTGCAGGCACGGCAGCCGAGAGCTCGTCGTTCCGGCATGGGTATTTTGACAGCACGGTTAGCGGGGTGGAGATTGTGCTTGGGGATGGGGAGGTGGTGTGGGCGTCTGCGGGGGAGAGGGCGGACTTGTTCTACGGCAGTGCGGGCGCGATGGGGACGATGGGGATTACGACGTTATTGGAGGTGCGGCTTGTGGGCTGCGGGCCGTATGTCGAGGTCGTGTATCATGCTGTTACGTCGTATGATGGGGCGTTGGCGAGGTTTGCGGATGTGGGTGAGGATGTGGATTTTTTGGATTGTATTATGTTTTCTGACCGACATGGTGTGGTGGTCGAGGGGAGGTTTGTGCAGAAGCGTGATCCTGGGATGAAGGTTGTGCGGTTTACACGAGCGAGGGATCCGTGGTTCTTCACGCATGTGCATGGGAAGATACGCTGTGCGCCTGCGGGGGATGGGTATATGTGTCTGACGTGCCACTGGACGCAGCACTCGCGTGCGTACCGCCAGGATGGCACTCCAGCCATGGTCGAGCTAGTCCCCGTGGCAGACTACTTCTTCCGATATGATCGAGGTGTGTTCTGGATGGCGGCCTACGGATGGGCGCCTAAGCTGTGGAACCGCTTCACGCGCTTCTTCTTCGACACCATGTGGCGCACGAGGTTTCAGTACCGCGTGCTACACATCCTAGGCGGCACGCCACACATCATCCAAGACCTGGCCATCCCGGAGCAGAACGCGCCAAAGTTCCTGGCCTTCATGCACGACACGTTCAAGATCTACCCGCTCTGGCTATGTCCCATCAAGCACGATGCCGCCCCGCCCATGCACACGGCGCGCACAAACACAGAGCCCACGCGTCAGATCGTTAACATAGGCGTCTGGGGCTCTCCGCAGTACGGCACCGAGTTCCTGCGCGGCGACAACTTCGAGCAGTTTGTAGAGAACAATCGGATCATAGAAGGTAAAGTGGCGGAGGCCGGTGGGCTCAAGTGGCTGTATGCGTGCAACTACTACCGCGAAGAAGAGTTTTGGAGTGTCTATGATAAGCTGCGGTATGATCGGTTGCGGACGCTGTGGAAGGCGGATAGGCTGCCCAATTTGTGGGAAAAAGTTAGGAGGAGTCAGCAGGAGTTGAGGGAAGTCCGGCTTTTTAGCTTTTTGGCGGCGCTTTTTTATGCTTGGATTGGTGTTGATCGGCTTGTTTCGTGAGGCTGTGGTTGGGGAATGGTGGTTTGTGTGTTGTGGTTGTGGATATCTCTTCTTGTAGTTTATGTAAACTGGGGTGTTCGGGTTAGGTATGATGGCATGATCCGGAAGATACGGAGCAATTCAACGCGAGGGTGACTAGTAGTTCCAATATCGCGTTGCCGGTCGCCTTTTGCCTGATGATGTTCGAGTGCGGGGTGTTGCCAGGTTGGGTTGTTCCTTACCCGTTCCCCGCCTGTTACCCTATCAAGGAATATAAGGCAACGTTTTAGCTCATCATCTGTCCAAAATCACCTTTGTCAAGCTTTTTGCACAATTTCGCCATGCCTTTAGTTCGCAATCCTATCTTGCCAGGCTTCAACGCGTAAGTAAAATTCCCCACATGCATTATATGTAGAATGAATGCTGATTATGTCCGCTCGCCGAAGGGATCCTTCCATTGTCCGAGTTGGAGATGACGGTAAGTAGATTCATTGAATTAAGAGATGTTAGAAACCATACTGATATGTTGGCAGTAAGTCGTTATTATGCGTTGAACCATTTCGGCGCTAGAAATACATACTAGCCTTGTGAATGTTATGTGAGCCTAGAACTTCAGGATCTATGCTGACTGTGGCGTTGCTTGTAGTATTATATTGCTAACTCGACGTTTGAATGGTATCCTGGTGTGCAAAGTATGTGATGCATTTCGATACCATATTTTTCTGTCTTCGGAGCGAACTTGAGAGACCAAGTACACACAAATACTGACCCTTGACTGATATGTAGTTCACCACTCCAAAGATCTGGCGAATTGGAAACTTGTTGTTCGTCCATTGAGCAGGAAAAGTCAGTTGGATATGCGAGGCGTCCCTGATAGCTGTGGTACGTCAGTCATACATTGGCATTCGAGCTCTTACTAAAATAATATCAGGTATATGGGCACCGTGTTTGAGTTACGACAGCCAAAAGTTCTGGTTGGTGTACACCAATGTCCAGCGCAAGGACGGCTCTTTCAAAGACACGCCCAACTACATCGTCACTGCCGATCGCATCGAGGGTCCCTGGTCGGATCCGATCTACGTCAACTCTTCCGGATTTGACCCATCTCTGTTCCATGATGACGATGGTAAGAAATGGTTTGTTAACATGCTGCAAGACCACCGGAGACGCCCAAGAGCTTTCGCAGGCATAAGACTGCAGGAGTTTGATCCAGAGGCAGGAAAACTCGTGGGTCCAAGTAAAACCATTTTCTACGGGACAGAGCTAGACCTGGTGGAAGGCCCACATCTGTACAAACGCAATGGATGGTACTACCTATTGACGGCGGAGGGTGGTACCTCGTATAGCCACGCTTGCACTCTGGCACGATCTTCAAACATCTGGGGTCCATACGAACTGCACCCGCAGAAGCATATACTCACATCAAAGGATGCCCCTACAGCACCCTTACAGAAGGCTGGCCATGGAGATCTGGTGGAGACATCAGATGGCAAAGCCTACCTTGTGCACCTCGGCGGTCGTCCCAGGACGCAGGCCCGTCGCTGCGTGCTCGGACGCGAAACATCTATACAAGAGGCATACTGGAGTGACGACGGATGGCTGTATATCAAGAATGGACCTGTCCCATCTCATCAGGTCGAATTGCCAGCAGCTCGGGACGAAACGAAGTACTGGGCGGAACAACGATATGTGTTTGATAATACCAACGGCTTACACGAAGACTTTCAATGGCTTCGTACGCCAGAACCCGAACGAATCTTTTCTGTCAAGGACGGCCTCCAACTGGTTGGCCGCGAGTCCGTTGGTTCTTGGTTTGAGCAAGCGCTCGTTGCGCGCCGCCAAACACACTTCTCGTACGATGCCGAAACTGTGATCGACTTCTCCCCGACGGATGAGAGGCAGTTTGCAGGCCTGATTGCGTACTACTGTCGCTACAATTTCTTCTATCTTACTGTGACAGCCGACGCCGATGGCCAGCGCGAGCTACTCATTCAGAGCTCTGAAGCTTCCTGGCCCGAGGGTTGTCTGCAACTCCCATTCGCAGATCCAGTCCAGATTCCAAACGAGGGGAAAGTCAAATTGGCCCTCAGTATTCGAGGCAGCCATCTGCAATTCTCCTATGCGCTTGGAGAGGAGGCGCGCTTGGAAGAGGTTGGGCCTGTTTACGATGCTTCCGTTTTGAGCGATGAGTGTGGCGGGCATCAGGCGCACGGCAGTTTCACGGGAGCATTTGTTGGGGTAGCGGCTTCTGATTTGAACGGAACGGAAAAGACGGCGTCGTTTGGGTACTTCGTGTACAGGCCGGTGAGCCACGAGTCAGACGGATATGACAGCTAGCTTTGTGATGTCATACGTCCTTCGTATAATTAAAGGGTCGACTGAGATGTCGGAGCGTCGACGTGTTGAACGTGAAAAGTGTGCATGCAGAAGAGTGATCAGTGCCTGCCGAGCCAGTGACGCAACCCAGCTTGGAGTGCTTAGTCTAGCCCTTCACTTTCGTCTGCATTCGTGTTATTGAATCCTCTTGTTTGGTGAACAAGGTTTGTGTTCGGGGCATATAATGATCTAAGCATTCTTGGCAGAGGCTTGTACCTTGCCACATCCGAGATGATCGTCATAACAACCGCGACACTGGCATCTAGTGTTTAGTGTGTAGCAAAAAACGTCAAAATCAGGTTTGAATTGCGGGCCGTGTCTCCCGCTTGTGTCCATGGCATGATGTGCTTCCCAGTGCCACGCTTCAAAAGGCAGGCGTGCCCGCGTCGTGTAGACTGTAGAAAGACGTCCGCAAGATGATTTCCAGCCCCCTCCTTTCCCTCGCCCTCGCTGGCACCGCCCAAGCAGCATACTCCTTTAATCCCCTCGAGCATCTCGCCGGCATTGCCCCATATTTCGAGAGTCCGGTGCTCGACCCCAAGCCGCCGCAAGGCTGCAATGTTAGCCGCGCCGCCTATCTTGTACGCCATGCTGCCATCTACGCGAACGACTTTGATTACGAGGAGTACATTGAGCCTTTCACCGACAAGCTCGTGAACACAACTGCAGACTGGCGCAGGGCGGGTCCTTTGGATTTCCTGGCGACATGGCAGTCGCCTATCACCGAAGAGGAACTGGAGGATCTGACGACTGTTGGCAGACTTGAGGCGTACAAGCTGGGCGTGGATGTTCGCCTGCGCTATCCGTCCTTCAAGGCGCCTAAGCAGGTGTGGACGTCGACGGCAGAGCGGACTGAGCTCAGCACATCTTCGTTTATCGACGGATTGTCTGGATCAAGCAACAAGACGGAGCAAGTTTCGGTGCCCGAGAGTGAAGCACGTGGTGCCGATTCGTTGACGCCTTACAAGGGCTGCCCGAAATACAGCTCTTCCTATGGAAGCGACCAGTCATCAGTACGTGATATTTGCAGCACTGGTGCTTTCTGAAACTAACTTGCCTAGGAATACAAGGAGGTCTACACAGCACCCATCATCGCGCGTCTGCACGACCTCGCCCCTGGCTTCAACTTCACTGCGGATGACATCGTGGGCATGCAAGAGCTTTGCGGATATGAGACGGTCATCAGAGGATCGTCGCCCTTCTGCTCCCCAGAGCTCTTCTCTCCAAACGAGTGGCTTGCCTTCGAGTACATGAACGATATCCAGTACCACTACAACGTCGGATACGGCAACCAGATCTCAGGCGTCCTCGGCTTCCCATGGTTGGACGCCACGACTGAAACTCTCTTCAACGAGAGCGCCGAGCAAGACATTCACGTGTCGTTCACCCACCGAGAGTTGCCACCCACGGTTATTGTCGCCCTTGGTATTTTCAACAACTCTGCCTTCTCTGGAGCCAACGACGTAAACGCCACTATGCCGCTTAAAATGCAAAACTACGGACGCGCCTGGAGGTCTTCGCTGATCATTCCCTTCTTGACAAACATCGCTATTGAGAGGATGACATGCGACTCTTATGGTTTCGCCGACGGCGATTACGTCCGAGTGCTAGTCAACCAGAGCCCTCAACCGCTGCCTTGCGCTGACGGGCCGGGTGAGAGCTGCTCGCAAGCTGCATACCAGAAGTACATCCAGGGTAGAGGCGAGCTCTTCGGCGGTTACACCGAGAAGTGCCAGCCTGATTACACAAACTCGACCGACACACTGAGCATTTACAGCTCTTAATGATAATACGTTAAATAGTTTAATATTATACCCCTTTCCTCGCTCGACTTTGCTCGTTCTGTTTGACAAAATACGTGTGCTTTGGTGTAAGTGATTCTTGTGAGACCGAATTGTAAACGAGTGTAAAGGACGGTGTTGATTCAAGCTCATCTGGATTGGGTGGTTGAATGATAATGATATTTCATGTTTTGTGATCCGTCGGAAAGACTGAGCTTGATAGCTACAGACACATCGAATTGTCTTATATCAGTACTCAGCCTTTCAACCACGCTGATACCTATCTATTATGAAGTTCCAAGGAGTTTTTGTCTATGATTTTATGCACATTCCTATTTATGTTTGTTCACGTGATTTATTGCAGCCTACAATTTCATATATGAAACTTGCATTTCAAGACTCCAAAAGTCGAATACAAACCTCTTGGAATAGCAGGGAACGGTAGTGTGCACACGATGAATGTGCAACACAATCAGGTCCAACTTTCGAAGACGTCATGACTATGAGCGCCGAATACGATAACCTGACGCTCCGAGTACTTCCTCGAACCGCCGATCGCAACCATAACACTGCACGAACAGGTAAATCTTGCGATGGGAGGAGACACCAAAGACACTCGCCCTAGTGTCATAATTGTCGGCGCTGGTGTTGGAGGCGTCGCCACCGCAGCGCGTCTGGCAGCAGCAGGGTGCAAAGTCACGGTAGTCGAGAAGAATGCCTTTTCTGGTGGAAGGTGTAGTTTGATACATCGTCAGGGATACGTATGATTTCCCGTGCTGTACATACGGCCAACAAGACTGATTGGCTGACTTTTGCACAGAGATTCGATCAAGGCCCGAGTTTACTTCTACTACCTCAACTTTTCCACGAGACATTCCAGGAACTCGGGACCTCGCTCGAAGACGAAGGCGTTAAATTGGTCAAATGCGAACCCAATTACAACGTTCATTTTCACGATGGCACCTCTTTCAGACTCTCGACAGACCTCGCTGACATGAAGGCTGAGGTGGAGCGTTTCGAGGGCAAGGACGGGTTTGAGCGCTATCTTGGCTTTCTTCAAGAGTCGCATCGCCACTACGAATTGGCTGTCACTCATGTACTGAAGAAAAACTTTTACTCGTTGCTGAGCATGATGCGTCCAAGTTTCTTGAAACATCTTCTCGAATTACATCCTTTTGAAAGCATCTACAGCAGGGCGAGCAAGTATTTTTGGACGGAGAGATTGAGAAGAGTATTCACGTTTGCGAGCATGTACATGGGCATGAGTCCCTTTGATGCTCCTGGAACATACAGCTTGCTGCAATATACGGAGCTGGCTGAGGGGATATGGTATCCACTTGGTGGTTTCCACAAGGTATGTATGTACGCACGCATTAATTACTCACGCTGACTGGGCCAGGTGGTAGAAGCCCTCGTCAACATTGGGGAGCGTCTGGGCGTTGAGTACATGTTTGATAGTCCTATTGCCGAGATCAAAATCTCAGATGACGGGAAGCGCGCAACAGGCATTGTTTTCGAAGACGAAGGGAAGAAACCACTGCACGCGGACGTGGTCATCTGCAACGCAGACTTATCATATGCGTACAACCAACTCCTACCTACGACATCCTTCGCGAAGTCACTTCTGAAACGCAAAGCTTCATGTTCGAGTATATCCTTCTACTGGGCGCTCGACAAGCAGTTCCCCGAACTAACGGCACACAACATCTTCCTCGCCGAGGACTTCAAGGAGAGCTTCGACAGCATCTTCAAGAAGCACTTGATTCCCGACCAGCCAAGCTTCTACGTAAACGTTCCGTCTCGCGTGGACCCTTCTGCCGCTCCTAAGGGATGCGATTCCATCGTCGTACTCGTTCCTGTGGGACACTTGCACGACTCGGCAACAGACTCCCACAAAGGGCTTGCGAGCTCAGCAGGCACATCGCAAGATTGGGATGCCATGGTCGCTACAGCACGCAGCATGGTTCTCAAGACTATCGAAACGCGGCTCGCCATTTCCCTCGGCGCGCATATCACAGAGGAGGTAGTCAACACACCACCAAGCTGGAAATCCACGTTCAACCTTGATCGAGGCGCGATCCTCGGACTGAGCCATTCGTTCTTCAACGTCCTGAGCTTTCGTCCGAAGACTAAACATCGGAGTATCGAGAGTCTGTACTTTGTCGGCGCGAGTACGCATCCAGGGACTGGTGTGCCGATTGTTCTTGCTGGTGCGAAGTTGGTCAGCGAGCAGGTTATGGACTCGTTGCGAGCGGAGAAGCGGATCCCGAGGTTGAGCTCAGGAGACAAGACACAGAAGAAGAGTGTTAATCCTCTAGATGTCACGCAGGGACTAGCATTTGGCGGGTTGCTTCAGATGGGTCTGCTGGCGTTCTTCGTCATGTTCGTCTTGAGATCTATGGGTGTGTGGAATTAGAAGGTAATGGGCATAGACAATGGTATGCGAAGTTTAGTTTCTTTCTCGCCCTTCTGAGGGAAATACGGTGTATTCGTATCATGCCATGCTCGTGGTATGGCTGTTGTTGCATACTATCTGCTGTTAGTCATAAGCACTATTTCTATTATCTCTCGATCAGAGTCCGAAATATTGGCATATGTTCACATAACACGTGCACAATCATCGTCAACATGGGAGATCACACATGGGGTATCGCATGAGAAAAGCAACAAGTGTTCAAAGAGGTATGCCAGTCTTGAGTGTTCAGATGTCATATTGAAATTAAGCTGATCATACGTGATCAGCGAGTATACTATTATTGTAAAGAAAAGCTCTGTAACTATCAGCCTAGGAGGCTTATCAACTTTTGTTTGCCTCGACTTTGACCAGTTTCGTGGCTTGTCTTTGTTACCGTTCTCACGGACTCAAAACCCCGTTGCCTTCTGATTTGCTCTTCAGTAAACCAATTTCCATGTAGGCCATAGGGGATCCTCGTGGGTAGCTGGATCTTGCAGACAACTCTATCCATTGTGCTAGCATCCAAGACCCACAACTCGCTCTTTGCGCCCACTCTGCACTCACCTTGTTCGTCCAGTTGGTTTTCGTCAAAGACATAAAATAGTAGGTAGCCCTCTTCTTCAAGAACTTCAGAGTCGTGGCGCACGCGAGGAACGAACCTGGCTTCCTGAGCAAAATGACGAGGGGGAAGTTCAAATGCTTTGATGGAATCCGTGGGGTCTCGGGAAGCGAGAATCTGCTGAATGGTGCGATTATCAACACAGCCTGTAATTTCTTCTGGTTTCGAAGTTTGTGCACGAGCAAGGAGGGCTTTGACATCCATTCTGACGATCACGTCGATCTTTGTGGCCTTGCCCAGTGCGGCGCCAAAGGATTCGACGGACGTACTGCAACCATAAACATAGCGCGCGTGATCCATGTCGGTAAATGGGGACACTGCGGGAAATTCGAAAGGTATGGCCGACAATGCAAATTGGTGCGAGATGGTGTTGGATGCCATGGAATTCAATGGAAAGCGATAGTAGTAGAGTCGACATTGCTCTTGATCGTCGTGCGTCATCGGTATGCTTGTGGACATACTCGCCTCTCCGTCACCTACAGGTGAGTGTACCTGACCTAAAAGCGGCGAGGTTTCGTCGACGGGTCCCTTTTCAAGATCCTGTGTTGCACCAACGCGATCATATCTAGTCAACAAAGGTACGGGCTTGCGACGCGTTGGGTTCTCGCTATTCGGATGGGGCGGAGGCGCGATATTGCCAGCACTAAATACTAGAGACGCAGACGTAAGGCGACAAGCAAGAAGGTTGACAGCAACAGTGTTACCCTCGCTATCGAGCTCATCCCACGTGTTGGCCGTGTGGAAAATACAGCAACCACTGGTCTCGAACCATCGTACCGCCTGTGGACAGTGACGAGGGAAAACACCAAATCGAGCGGGCTTTTTAGGCTCATACGAGACGACAGGCCTGTTTTTCGCAAGGTTCAGGGGAGACAGGGTAAGCGGAAGATCGAGGATAACGGTGTGATGCCTTGACACGCCAAAGTCGTGCATTAGTTTTCCGCCAGAACACCCGGGAACCGGAGCATTGAGTAGTCTCGTGGATTCTGGGACTGGTGTGATGGTTTTGGTGGCTGTTGTTGGTATGAGGGAATAGTGTACGTAGGGTGGGATAAAACTGCAGTGAAAAAGGATCATTTCCCCAGTTACAGGATCCACCTTGGGATGGCCCGTCGTCCATTCCCGAATCCAGCTCAACGGTCCTGATCCCCCAAGCCCAGGCTGTTGCTTGCCGTGCGGCATCCGGGGAGAGGGTTCGCCTTCCGCCCTGATTCCGTCGAACCAGCCAACAGTCTCAAGCTCCGGCAATGTGACACGAATTGGTGGTCCGCTCTCGCACGCCGCCAGGGCTCGTCCGTCATGATAGAGAACGCTGGTGTTTGCGACACTGATTCTCTTTATGGCATATTGTGACCCGGGAAGACGAGATAACAAAACGATAAAAACACTACGCAGGATTCTCCACACGATGAAAATCAGGCTGGAAATTGGATTGACCAGTGTTGCGATGCTTGGCAGTATGGGCGTCCGCAAAGAGCTGTTCTCAACGGCGGAGAGGTACACATCAGTGAGAATGAATTGGTTGACAAAGTGCACGACGGGCTTGTTTGTGCCAATGGGCGAGCGTTCGAACCACACGCCTGAAAGCATCCCATCGCCATCGAACCAGTGGGCTTCACGTCCAAGATCGGAATTGGTGACGGGGTTGCCTCCGTTTCGAACATACATGCCGCCATGCAGCTCTTCAGGAAGGTCTCCAGTCCAAGTGACGGGTGTCGGAGGCCAGGTCTTTGCCACGGGCGCAAAGTTGCCAGTGAGGTATCTGTGACATTGTCAGGCACGCGTAAGTCGAAGACGACGAGAAGACAACATACGGGTGTTTCGACGCTCCATCCCGGCTCCTCTTTGGAGTGGACATTGCGAATGAAGAGAGATGGTGCTCTCGACATTGCGAGTTCTCCGGTTACAATGGCCGAACAGCGAACATACGATTGAACGACGCGTCGTTGCAGGCATTAGATGACATGTGCTAACGATGCAAGTCACTGAGGAATAATGATGTCACAGCCCGGCGCTCGGACTATGCACCAGGCTGCATGCGGCAGGGCTCGTTCATGGTGGGAGCCGCGTTTCCAACGACACCCCAACACACCATGGCCGTCTCAAATCGACATAGATCGCAATCCCAGGGCACATCAGACGGAGCGCTCCAACGCCATCAGCTGTGACAATGGGAACTGACTATGCGCTTGTGTACGTTGACATGCGGGTGCTGGCAACATCAATAGACTGACGGAGAGCGGCCAGCCATGTCAAGTACACCATTCCACCGGCCGTGTTGCTCACTCTGCTGTACCGACCTCTGTTTACCAAGCTGGACGCCTACAAAGTCGGATTCCTCGTGACGGTACGTACAGCGACTCTCGCTGCGAAGGCGCTGCCCTGACACTGGAAGGTCGCCGTCGTCTCAACCATCCCCTGGGACTCGTACCTCATTCGCACCCGCATCTGGAGCTACCCTAGCCATGTCATTATTGGCCCGACGCTACTCGATATTCCCCTCGAGGAGGTTTTCTTCTTCATCATCCAGACTTACAACACGTCACTCTTGTACCTCATTCTCACCCGCCCCACCTTCCAGCCAGCCTATCTACACGCTGGGCGCCTCGCGTCACGAGCACAAGGGTCCTACCAGAAGCTCGCTGGACAGGTGGTTCTCCTTGGAGCAATTGCGTGGGGATGGTGCCGTGTTAGTGAGAATGGGTTGGGGACTTACACCGGGCTCATACTGGTCTGGTCGGGTCCCTTTTTGCTGCTGCTGTGGTAAGATATGGTTCCTACACGTGTGAGACTGTGACACTAATGAGGATATAGGAGCCTTGCGCACCAGTTCATCCTTGGCCTCCCGTTGACGAACACTCTGCTGCCCATTATACTTCCGACTCTCTACCTCTGGGTCGTTGACACCCTGGCCTTGCGTAGGGGAACTTGGGTCATCAGCAAAGGCACCAAATATAGCGTGCACCTGTGGGACGGATTGGAGATTGAGGAAGCTCTTTTCTTCCTTGTGACAAACACACTCATCGTTTTTGGTCAACTCGCCTTTGACAACGCCCTCGCCGTATTGCATACATTTCCGACACTGTTCCCAGACCCGCCACTGTTACCGTCACCAGTAGTTCTCATGCGTGCCCTTCTGACTCCGCGCTCACAATACGATGACGCACGCCTTACGGGTCTTCAGGAGGCCGTGCACCGCTTGAAAAAGAAGAGCCGTAGCTTTTACCTCGCTTCTTCGACTTTCCCGGGACTTTTGCGGGCTGATCTATTACTGCTTTACTCCTTCTGCCGCGTCGCTGATGATTTAGTGGATAACGCTACTACAGCTCAAGAAGCCAAAGACTGGATAACCAAACTGCACAGATTTTTGGGCATTGCGTACAGTGAGAACGGATCAAAGACTTCAATGTTGAATCACATTCATAATGATTTTCCACTCGACGCCCAATCCGCCCTACAGCAACTTCCAGTCACTAAGATGTCGCGTCAGCCTTTAGAAGATTTGCTTCGCGGGTTTGAGATGGATCTTGCTTTCAATACTGCGCCTCCGATTAGAACTGAAGCAGACCTACGGTTGTACTCTGAAAGGGTGGCTGGCACTGTAGCTCAAATGTGCATTGAGTTGATCTTCAACTTATACCCCAGTAACATGACATCCAAAGAGCAATGTAAGATTGTCAGCGCTGGAAATCGCGCGGGCATTGCACTGCAGTACGTCAACATTGCACGAGACATAGGTGTTGATGCCAAGATTGGTCGTGTGTATCTACCATCAACCTGGCTACAGGAAGTTGGGATGAATTACGACGACGTCCTGAAGGCCCCCAACGACCCGCGGATAGAAAGGCTGCGCACGCGACTGTTGGACAATGCTTTCTCCCTCTATACAGAGGCCAAGGGCGCCATTGAGCATTTGCCAATTGAAGCTAGAGGGCCAATCAGGGTCGCCATTGAAAGCTACATGGAGATTGGCAGGGCATTGAGACAAGACGGTTATATAGTGAAAGCTGGACGGGCCACTGTGCCAAAATGGAGGCGGTTGGTGGTCGCGTGGAAGACTTTACATCTGTAGCGAGCAATGGTGGCCTTATGCGGCAAAAAAAAGATCGATTACATGTACGGAATACTTCAAAATACCATATACATCATGACAGCCTGATTAAATTATCGTTGAGTCGCTCTTTGTAGCCAAATACATGACTAGCAGATAGTTCCGACGTTCCGAAGAATTCGCGTGGCTCACTCTCTACAACTTCACCCTGATTGATTTGACCATCACGTTAGCCATCCGTCGCATCCGATATTTGTATTGCCTGATATGGATCCCGGTCGGCTACTCAACCCTGCAGATGCATTTTACAACTCCCCAGCAGTGACTAGAAAGAGAAGGGATGGGCCACGCAGCGTAGGTCGCCGGCCAAAAGGTCACTACAAGAAGCTCCTATGGTTCAAACAGCCATGTCAGTTACGACGGCGCGAATCGAGTAGCAATGTCTGATGAGCACAGTCCCCGACAACTACACCGACGAAAAGACATTTCTCGATCATCTCCAACGCAATCCACGTCTGCAGCCTTATGAATTCTGGTCACTCATGGCCGATGTGTCCGTCATTGTGCAGCATCTTGCGTCAGTCGCCATCTTCTGCTGTTGTTTCGTTGCCATCATTCAAGGCAGAGTGTCATCTGTTTCAGTAGTAGGCTGGGCAAGCCTGTGTACCGTCTTGGGTTGGGTGTTGTGGGATCATTGGATGGGGCAAGAGTTGGGTGCACCGCCAGAACCGTCTTCAACACATACACCTACCAATGACACGAGCGAGACTTCTTTTCCCGGCGCGTCAACTCTCTCACCGCGCGCTCAGCAGCGGCTAGCAACTGCAAAGTCTGCTGTGCTGATCTATGCTGCTCTGCTTGGTCTCAGCCCCATCCTCAAGTCGTTGACACGCTCGACAACCAGTGATTCCATTTGGGCTATCAGCTCATGGTTACTGATGATGAATGTTGCTTTCTTCGACTACAGCGGCGGTTCAGGTGCACAGTAAGATAGCTTGTATCGTACTCATAGGTTGTTCGCTAATCAACTGTGTAGACTACCAGCTTCTATATCAACTAATTCTGCAATGATGGCATCTGCTGTTCTTGCCTCGCGTCTTCCCTCCACCACACACGTGTTTTCCTTGACCCTCTTCTCCATTGAGGTATTCGGTCTTTTCCCAATCTTCCGACGACAACTTCGTGCGCAGTCTGGGCAAGGCCATCTGGTTCTTACGATCGCGCTGATCATCGCTGCGTGGGGCGGTGTGTTCGTTATCTTGACTGGTGGTGGCCAGGGCGCCTTTATCGCTGGTGTGATTTTGGGGGGCATAGTCACTTTCCTTTGTATGGGCATTTGCAGCTGGTGGTTGATCGGGCTGCAGAAATACAAGAACGAGATTCGTGGTCCATGGGATCCTGCAAGACCAATCATTCGGCGGCGCTGGGATTGATGTCTCGTGGGTGAAAGATGTATACTTTTTTCCCTCACATATGCTACAATAACAACTGCACAAATTCTCCGGGACCTCGGTATGGCTTCTGCTAAGTCAATTAATAGATTGTGAGACAGTTTGGCGGCTCGAGAAGGCGTTATTAGCGGCATGCGCCTCTGTCCTACATAACCGCCGGCGGTGGTAATTTCCACTACAACGGCAGAACCCTCTTGGGGCCGATTGTCAAACTTTAAGGGACATGTATCTAATGGCCTCTTCCCCGCCTGAAGATTGACATCTCAGCTTCCATGCCTTCGTTTCCAAACTACTCTCGTTCCTAGACCATGTCTCTGCGTCCTAAGGACAAGCGGTCGCGGTCCAAGTCGCCGGGACGCGGTCGCACACGCTCTCACTCCAGCAGCCAGGCACACCACAGCTCAGCTGCAGCCCCGCAGTACGAGGTTAGGCAACCAGGAGGACAGCCGTACGCGACGTGAGTAATATAATAAGACTGAGCAAGGGAGAGCCTCTGCGCCCTTTCCCATTCTCTCCATCAGTGTTTGTTTTTGTGAAAGAGTAGAGAAAAGAGAGCTGAGACATGGCCTTTAGAACACCGCAGAACAACGTCCAATACGCGCCCATCCCACCGCAGTTCGCATACACTGCTACGCCTGCCTCTCATGCCGCGCACGCGAGGACTCCGTCGACGGGCGGGAACGCGCCGCAGTATGCGCAACCGCAGCCGCAGCCGCACAATTCTAATGCTTTCAACGCGTCGCAGGCCCAGTATGCTGCCGTGCAGCCAAGTGTAGCCCAGCCCGTGTATGCGCCTCAACCTCCAGTCCAGCAACCTATGCGTGCGCCGCCTCCAATGGCTCCGCAACCTATGCGCGCGCCGCCCCAGACAGCCCAGCAACCCGTGTATGCGCCGCAACCACCGGCCCAGCCCACGTATGCGCAGCAACCACAAGCTCAGCAACCGGCGTATGCGCAACAACCAGCGCAGCAACAGACGTATGCGCAACAGCCGGTGCAGCAAACTAGGCATGCGCCATCGCCAACAGCTCAGCAGCCCATGTATGCGCAGCCTCCAATGGGATCGCGCTCTCCGCGCCCAGAACACCACCGCGCAATGTCGCAACCAATAGGCTCGTATGACGGTCGCAAGCTGGTCGAGATCGTCCCAGGCGGCGGCGGCGGTGGGGGAAACCTCAACATTGCGACTGCAGGCAGGTCGGGAGGGTTCCAAGACGGGGCTCTACCGCCGCCGAGTCCATTACTGGAGGCATACCACGGCACATATCAATCCATAAGTCCCATGCCCCAAGCCATGATGCTCGACGACGACTTATCTCATCTGTCGGTGCTCGACAGCCACTCCCCACGATCCTCCAGTCGCTCCAGGCATGGCCGCCATCGCTCACTCTCACCCTTACCACCACCATCAAATGCCTTGTCGCGGCCGGCACACAACGACAAGCTCGCTATGGAAGCATCCGGCCGTGGCGGGCGACCCCAAGAGAACGAAAAGCGGAGGGTAAAGGCCTACGACGCAACCGAGGACGCCTTTGCGCTCGTCGACGCCATGGCTGGTCGAGCTCCTAATCCAGACCCCATGATCGACATCCTACCAGCGTTATCGCACGACGAGATGCTGGAGCTGAGGTCCGAGTACAAGCGCCACTGCAAAGTCCAAGGCCGCGGCATCAACATCGCCAAACATATCAAGTTGAAAACGACTGGTAGCTTCGGCAAAGTCGCCTACGTCACCGCACTGGGCAAGTACGAGGGCGAAGGCTACTGGGCAAACTACTGGTACCAGTCGCATTCTGCGCGCCGCGAGCTGCTCATCGAAGCGCTCATGGGCCGCCAGAACCACGAAATGCGCGAGATCAAGGCAGCCTTCAAGGACAAGCGCTATGGCGACTCGCTCACGCGCTGCATGGACAAGGAGCTCAAGGCGGACAAGTTCCGCAAAGCCGTTCTCATGACCCTCGAAGGCGAGCGCCAGGAGGAAACAGATGTGTGGCCGCCTGAATACGTACATCGTGACGTTGACACGCTGTATAAAGCGATCAAGGCACGCGAGGGCGGCGAAAGCACTATTCTGAGCATCGTCCTTATGCGGAGCGATGCGCATCTGCGCGAGGTGCTGCGCACGTACGAGAGAGTGTACCAGGGTAGCTTTGCTCGAGACGCCCTGCGCAAGAGCAACAACCTAGTCGTAAGCACAATATCTCCCCTATCCAGCGAGACAAACAAGTAACTAACACTCTCCCCAGGGCGAAGTCGTAGCCCACATCCTCAACGGCGTCATCAACCGCCCTGCACGAGACGCAATGCTCCTCCACCACGCGCTCATGGACCTCATCGAGCCCACGCCCGATGGGCCCCGCACATCCTCCAACCGCGTGTCCGCCCGCGAAACGTCGTCCAGCAAGCATGAGCGCCAGCAGCGCGTCGAGTTGCTCATCTCGCGCCTCGTGCGCTTGCATTGGGATCGTGCGCATCTCATGCGCGTGCAGACGGAGTATGAGGAGAAGTACGGACGTGTGGTGGAGGAGGATTTGGAGGAGGCGACGAAGGGGGATTTCAGGGAGTTTTGCATCGCTATCTGTCAGTCGGCGAGGTAGGTGGGAGGGAGGGGGGTGATTAGGGTGGAGCTTCAGTGTATAGTATGATGAGAGGCTGAGTGCCTAGAATGTTGTGTTTCGATACCTAGCTTGGAATTAAGCCGTTTACTGCATATGAGCGAGAAACTTGAGTTCAGCGAGATCCCCATATGTCAGTGCAAAAGATCTGAACACAATCACACTCCTCACAAGCCTTGATCCTCCCGGCCAACCTCTAACAGGTACACCACTCTTACAACCTCTTAATCTGCTTCTGCACCCTCCCAACCTCCATCTCCAGCCCTCTCAGCTCCCGAGCCAACGTAGCCAAGTCCGGTATCGATCTGTCGACGGCCGAGATGAACGACGCTTGGGCGGAGCGCAGGGCTTGGGGGACCAAGATGCCGAACCAGCGGAGGGGGTCGGAGGCTGGGTTAGGGGATGGTTTTTTGGACTCCTCTGGGGATGGCTTCTCGGACTCCTCTGGGGTTGGAGAATTGGTTTCTTTTTCTGGGCCGTTGGGGGAGGGCTGCGTGGAGGAGGTTGAGAAGGCGATCTGATCTGTGGCGGGTGCGGTTATGGTGCTGGGAGTGTTGGTTAGTTTGTTGGAGTAGGTATTTGCTGGTAGAAAGTGCATGTATGTTGATTTGAGAGTGAGAAAATGAGATAACAGACAATGTTCAACATGAACAACATATGGACTTGAAGAATGAACGGCCTCGATAAGGAATTCTGTCAAATAAACATACATCTTCCGTATCACCTGCATACGCTCATCATAGCAGTCCTGTCCATACCGAGTCGATGTTGATTGATTGTGGAAGTTGGCTTGTGCCAGCGACAAGTAGCCCTGGAAACCCTTTTGTCAGCTCCTATAAATACTAATACCAGGGCAGATATTAAACTCACAGAAGACAACTGTTTCGACAATTGCTCTCTGGCTTTCTGATATTCATCGAGTGTGTTCAGGTACTCTTCCAATAAATCATCCAGCCGAATGAGGAGAGCTTTCTTCTCGTCTTCTGAATTGTCGACGTTCGGTATGCTTTCTGGAGCGAGTACAGGAGATGCTTGAATCTCTGCCATGGCAATTGTTTGGGAGTGAATATACGTGTTATGGATCAAGAGCTCAAGCTTAAGCTCAAGCTCGAGCTGTAGGTACGGTATTGCGGGGCCATCATCCACTAGCGCAATGCACCTCCAGGAAATCCGACATCGACTTTCAACACGCCCAGCGCCAGCAATCGCTCACCACCAACCGCCACAATGCCGAAACCAAACCCATTCCTCACCCTCTTCCGGCGCCACTACTCTATCCACGCCCCAAACCTCACACTCTCGACGCGCCCGCGCCCACAATGCCTGCGCCAACCGCCCTCCCCACGCTCCACACCACGCGTGCTCGTCTTCCGGCGCAGCGTCGGCGGCGGCCCCGGCCTGGACCCGAATTTTGTATCTGTCCTCGACCGGCCGGCGAAAATGGCACGCGTGGGGAAACAACACGGCCCGGGCCTGATCATCCTCGCCATCATCCCGCTCACAGCCTTCGTGCTCGGCTGCTGGCAAGTCAAGCGCCTGGGCTGGAAGACGGAGCTAGTCGCGCGCTTCGAGGACCGGCTCACGTTCCCGCCGCTCGAGCTCCCGCTGCGAATCGACCCTGAGGCTATCGATGCGTTTGACTACCGGCGCGTGTATGCTCGGGGGCGGTTACGGCACGATCAGGAGATGTTGATTGGGCCGCGGATGCTGGATGGGGAGGAGGGGTATACGGTTGTGACGCCGTTGGAGAGGGAGGATGGGAAGGGCGGGAAGCACAAGATCCTGTGTTGTCGCGGGTGGATTAAGAAGGATGCTGCGCCGCAGTGGTTTAGGAAGAAAAATGGTGCGTTGCCCGAGGGGGAGGTCACTGTCGAGGGGCTGTTGAGAGCCCCGCCAAAGGGGAACATGTTTACGCCAAGCAATCTGCCAGAGCAAGGAAAGTGGTTTTTCCCTGATGTCAAGGGCATGGCGGAGTGGAGTGAGAGTCAGGCTGTGTGGGTTGAGGAGACGATGGGTGAGTTCTTCCTGATTGCATGGTAAAATGGATTGGGGTATCTGACTATGGACAGTACCGGACTTGCTCACAAACTATGAGCGCGAACCCAAGGGTGTACCGATTGGGAGGGCGCCGACTGTGAACCTGAGGAACAACCACACGCAGTACATCTTTACTTGGTGCGTAACTTCCACCTTTGCGACTGAAACAACAGCTAATCATCGTCAGGTACGCGTTGAGTTTCGCCACATCCATCATGTTCTGGATGGTTGTCAAGAAGCCTATATCAGGGACCCAGCGGCGGGTACGACACAGCGTCGATTGGTCATAACAGCATAACGCATCTTCATCATTCGTCTTCCTCTTCGATGATGTCCAGCTTCCTCTTCTGCGCCCTCCGCTTGGGCAGCGGCTCCATTCTGAGCTGCTGCAACAGTTCCCTGGGGAGTATCTTCTGCGCAAGCGAGAACACCGTACTGTTCTTGGTAGTTTTGCGAGTTCTGCCGGTCACGATCAGCATATGCACGAGTGTACAGTAGGTGGAATGTAACATACCTTTTCATGAGCGCAATGACGTCGCTCTCTTCAATCACCTTGCGTCCACCGTGCTGCGCATACGCTGCGAGATCCTCGCCAATCTGTTCGAAGAAATCGTCTGTTGTACGTACGAGGGCGGCGAGTGTGTCTTTGCTCAGTTGCGCTTTACTTCCTTGTGACTTCATGAATCCTAGTGCAAGTTTCTTGACGGGTGCTGTTGGGAAGGAAGGGTATTCGAGTCCACGCTTCGAGATCCTCACTTCTTTGGTTTTTCGGCCCGCGCGTTGTTTGGATTCGGCAGCAGAGCGTTCGGGCGACTGTGTTTGCAGACTTCGATCTAGTGCTGGTTCTTCTTCGCGGTATGCGACGAGATCTGCGTCGTTGTCGAAGCCGTCGTCAGATTCCCAGTCAATTACGCCGAGTGCTTCTGCGGGCTCGTCCACGTCCAGTGCTGCAGTCTCCTCCAGCTGTGTGTCCTCCACTTCTTCCTCCAGTTCGTCATCTGGAAGCCCTGGGAGTTCGTTATCCGAGTTTTGCTCGTCTTGCGCTTCTGCAGGCTCTTCTTGCACAGGTATTTGCATGCGCTCTGGAATGTGAAATCTGAACGTGGGATCATCTATGTCGTCCTCTGCGTCGCCAAACACGCCCAGGTCAACATCGCTCGGTCTTCCATCCCTTCGACCTGTCAGTGCTCGAATCTGAGTCGTAGTGTTATCCTCGTCTAGCGCCTCGTCGATGGTCTGGTCAAGTAGCCGGTCGCCGCCAGGCGTACGCTGGTTGATGAACGTTCCGTCGATCTCATATTCCTCTTCAACCGCCCCCAATTCGCTGAAGTCAGCAAATCGCTCGCTGACCCTTCCTGCAAGCCGGGGGTCTTCGCTCAGCGCCCGTCGCCCGAATTCGAGGGATTGGATGGTCCCGCCGTCCACATCATCCGGTAGATCAGGCAGTAATGATTGTCGCGGCGGACGTTCGTGGATACTATCCTCGTCGTACATGTCATCGAGCGCCATGGAAAGGCGGGGCGCAGCGGGGTCAGGGCCATCGTCTACGTCTGGGAGATCCAGTGCGGAATGTCGAGAGCGCCGTGGTAGAGTCTGGGGGGATGGTTCGACCGGGTGACTATCGCGGGCGAGCGCTGTACCGATCAATGACTTGTCGTATAGCAACGCAGACTTGAAATCCTACCTCTGCTCAAATCTCGCAAGATGTCTCGTGGAGTTTCCCTCTGCACTCTCCCACTCCGTCTGCGGTTGTTTCCTGGAGTCCTGGCCGCATTGGCGCGTTCTCGCAGTGCTCTGATCGCATGGGGAGTGGTTGGAGCTACTCGACGCCCTGTAAGAGGCCGTGTCGCTGGTCCGCCTCGGGGCGTCCGCCCAGTGCCTGGAGTATGGAAGGCTGGCGTGTGCCTGCTTCCTGGCGTGGGTCCTGCGCTGATGGCACGACGGAAGGGAGTGGTAGGTTGGATGCGCGGACCAGCGTGCTGTGCCTCTTCTGCCGGCTGCTCCGGGGAGAGGCGCTGTTTCTTACGCGCCGATTCCGCCATGGCTAGGATTGTCCAGATGTGATGTGGGTAGTGGTTTCGTTGGTAGACGTCAGACAGGGAAGTCGCGTTCGGCTTGGAACGCGACAAGACTAGTCTCAAATTAGATTAGACTTATCGATAGGAAGCCGTCTTAAACATTTTCTTCGACTCTCAACATTCACCGTTACATATCCTCACACAAAACACTAGCCACGCCATGTCAGATTCCGAAGAAGATGGCGGCGTGCCCCTGATTGAGGCTGAGTTTGATCCTACATCGACATCGAAGAAGCGGAAGCGGGAGGCAGAACCCGAGGCTGGCAAAGACAGCAAAAAGGCAGCCAAGAAGGCAAAGCGGAAAGAGAAGAAAAAGCTAAAGGTCAAGGATATCGATGAAGATGATCTAGACCAAGAGCTGAGCGTAAACCATGCTTTTGAGAGGATGGACGGCCAGCTGCTTGCAGATTATGTCAATTCACGAACACGACTATATGGCAAGGACCTGAGTAGTGTTGAGCTCGAGGACAAGTTCATTGCTGGTAAGTCGGTCTATCTTCTCTGCTTCACTACTTTACTATGATTATCCGCTTTATACATGCATGGCTTTCAGAGTGTTAGACGAGCTTCTGTTCGTCGACGCGCCTTGTTGACAGTAGGCAACACGTATGAGTATCTGCACTCTTCGCATTCTGATTGATCACTCGGAAGCGTACACGCACTGACCGATCACAGCACGAACTGTTCAGGACAGCGTCAGTTGGACTGAGCCTCGCACAACCGATAACCTCTCCGCTTTCTTGAAAGCGCAGTGCGGCAAATTGGAATCCACGCCTCCAAAACCAGCTGGAGCACCACATACTATCGTTGTCACAGCTTCTGGCATCCGAGCCGCCGACATATGCAGATCTCTCAAGTCTGGACTACCCAAGCAAGGTGTCAAAAACCCGAGTGTGGCCAAGCTGTTTGCGAAACACTTGAAGCTAGCCGATCAGGTAGCACATCTCAAGAAGACAAAGTACGTATGCTAAATTTACGAGAGAAGTGCGGTGTTGACAGTCCTTGCAGAGTCGATTATGGAGTAGGAACACCTGACCGACTATTTGCGTTGTTGGAAGAGAAGGCTCTGTCGACGGCGAATCTCAAACGGGTGGTGATTGATGTGTCGTATATCGACCAGAAGAAGCGCGGCATTCTCGACATGAGGGAGCTTCACGAATCGCTCAACAAGCTTCTTACGAGAAAAGTTTTTGTTAATGAGAGGAAGGACGGCGGCGATGGCATTTTTCTGTTTTACTAGGTTGGAGGTGGTTTACGAAGAGGATGGTGTGCTGCACAATGATACCCAAGATAAATTCGCAATGAAACTACAAGCCGGCTTGAAGACGGCGTTGATCAGAAGTCCAGCGTTCACCATGTCTAGCGAGGTCCATAATGGCGGCTGTCTCAGAGGTCCGCAGTCAAGTTGCACACCAGCGATTTCGAAACAGCGGCCGAAGTTCCGTTGACACAAGCTTTCACCCGCCCATACATGCCGGTTTGTGGGACCGTGATGCAAGCGCAGGCATGGAAGGTCGCGACATAGATGCCAGTGCGGGCCGGATCAATAGGAAAGTGTCGCGGACCGGCTGGCGAGTGGAAGTATGCAGCAAGGCAGGTCGATCACGACGCTAAAAAAGGATGAATGGTGCAGTTTGCGGCGATGCTGTGAATGACATGCCGCGCGAGTGTCTACGAAGAACAGAACAATGATACGGCACGAGCACCTGGCAACTGCGTGTGGTGTCGCTGCCACTCGACAGAGGGCGTGTCGCAGATAGCAGGGAAGCGCGGCGACGGGCTGCGAATCGGGACGCTGGTCGACCGTGGGAAAGCTCCGTGCGCGTGCCTATCAGGCTTCGTAGAGGCGTGCATTGGTGGTGAGAGGTCGTGTGAGGGCGTCGCATATTGGTTTGAGGACGCCGCGCCCATACGCGCCTGCCTGAGCCAGAAAAGGCCGCTGCATCGCTCCCCCATTGATCGGCCGCCTGTATTTGCACAACCTCAGCAGTGCTGCTCTCCCCAGCGACTCGACCCCCACCGGTGTGACCCGTCCGTCGACTCGTGCATCCTGCATCCATCGACCAAAGCTCGCTTCTCCCGCCGCCGCCAAGCGATAAACGCCCCCCTACGCTGCAGAAGCTCCTGCGCAGCTGCCAGGAACTCGAACGATCTCTCCGGTGCGTCCTCCACTCTCTCTGCGCCCCGTACAGCAACTTGCATCTGATCCGCCCGTATTGCAGACCTTTGACCAGCCCCGTCTCGCCTCGTCGTCGTCCACCGCCCTTCCATCTCCGCTGCACAGGGCTCCCGCGCAGACTGCCCTAACTAGACGGCAATCATACAACACCTCTCCACCATGGCTGCTCCCGCGACCCAGTCTTTGAAGGTCCGTCCCTGCTGCATCTGCACGCCCCAGACACCCCGTATCGGCCGCTGACAGCTCGATAGTGCGTCGTGACAGGCGATGGTGCCGTTGGCAAAGTGAGCCACCGCTTTCTGCTGTATCGCATTCCTCGTCGCTAACAACGCAGACATGTCTGCTTATCTCGTACACAACGAATGCCTTCCCCGGAGAATACATTCCCACTGTGTGAGTGCGACACACCGCCGTATGCAGACCCGGGGAGCTAATTGGAGCTCAGGTTCGACAACTACTCGGCAAATGTCATGGTTGACGGGAAGCCCATAAGCCTTGGGTTGTGGGATACCGCCGGCCAGGAAGACTACGACAGACTGCGACCTCTTTCATACCCGCAGACGGATGTATTCCTCATCTGCTTCTCCATCGTCAGCCCGCCTTCGTTTGACAACGTAAAGGCAAAAGTAAGGCTTCATGTCCCCCCCAAACAAACTACCCACGCTGAACTACTCGTAGTGGTATCCCGAGATCGACCACCACGCGCCGGGTGTGCCAATCATCCTCGTCGGCACAAAGCTTGACTTGAGGGATCACGAGCAAACCAAAGAGTCTCTGAGGCAGAAGAAGATGGCACCAATTCAATACGAGCAGGCGGTCATGGTTGCCAAGGAGATCAAGGCACAAAAGTACCTGGAGTGCTCTGCGTTGACACAACGCAACCTGAAGAGCGTTTTCGACGAGGCTATTCGGTACGTATGGTGAAGTCGACGAAGCAATGGTGACTAACTCTACAAAGCGCTGTACTCAGCCCTCGTCCCGCGCAATCTGCCCAGAAGAAGAAGAAGAACTGCACCATCTTATAAATAACACAACAAACAAGCGCATATGGGGTGGCAGCTTGGTGTAATCGAAGACGAGTTGGGAGCTTGAATATAATGCGTCGATGCAGCATCAGACCACATTCAACCCAGCACTGCGAGAAGGACCACATCTTCACTTCGAGGCACGAACGATGCGCCCCCAGAAACCCATGGCCATATGGGTGGACAATATTTTCACCATTTTACTCATGAACTAGCATTGCTCTGCAGCATCGTGCATCTTCGTAATACACAGTATATCTGGCAGAAGGGACATGGACAAAGACGGCTATGGCTCTTCGCTGCATTACTCTCTCTTTTGGCGCGATGGACTCATGTAACTTTGGATTTAGCATGCTCGATAGACTCTGGCCTTTGCATCATAATTTCTTGTCTACACCTCCTTGCAGCGAGTTTGTGAACGCGTGATCGTGAATCTGTGACTAGACTCTATCGGCCTCGGCATCCTGTGTTCGGCATCCCCGCTGGTGAGTGGGGAGCTCAGCCTGGCGTGCATCCCACATCCTTGTTGCAGCTGCATCCTAAGCTTCCATCGGAGTAGCCCCGCGCATGTCCACCACTCAACTACAACATAAACAACATGTTCCACCAAGGAACCTTGCAGAGTGGCATTGCGCTTGCTATCCAGCAACAGAAACTAGTGGCCTGCTTTGTGCGAGGCAAGTTCGCGCTCGAACACCTACGAAGACAAAGAGCTTACGCGTGATAGATGAAGGCGCAACAAGTAAGGAATGGGAGGACGAGTGGCTGACGAGCGGGTGGGTATGCATCTTCCTCCTGACCACGCAGCTGGTATTCCCAACCCATCCATGCAGCTGTTGACAACTGCCAGATAGCAAACCTCCTCGCTCAGAAAGCCGTCCTCTTACGCCTCGAAGCTGGATCGACCGAAGCCGGGTTCTTGGCAGCCTTCTGCGAGATCAAGAATGCGCCTACGTTTATCGTCATACAGAATGGGAAGCTGCAGCTACAGCTTGGGAGTGAGGCGGGCAAAGACCAGTTCGTGAATGAGATTAGGAGAGTTTGCGGTGCTGGCGAGATTCCTGGCGCGAGCTCGACATCTGCATCCCAGGTCCCGGCGGCTGTGGCTGAGGATGATCTTTATGGATCAACAGAACCTTCTGCGCCTGCAGTACATACACCAACGACAGTACCTACTTCTACACCGTCAGCGAAAGCCAAAGGCAAACAGAAGGCCGCCTCAACTTCAGAATCTCAGCCTCGCACCTCAACACCGTCCACAACCCCGAGCGCCGCACAACTAGCCGCCCGTGAGGCACTCCGGAAGAAGAAACGGCAAGAGGCAGACGAGCTGGCACGTATAAAAGGCCGGATAGAGGCAGACAAGGCAGCACGCAAAGCGCACGCAGAGGCCAGGAAAGCTGAAAGAGAAAGAGAGCGAGATGGAGCCACACACACAGAAGCGCAATCACAATCAACAACATCTTCTTCTTCCCGGGGCTCCCAAGCAAAGATTGTCCACCTCAACGTCAGGCTGTTCGACGGACGAATAATGCGATCCACGTTCCCACGAACAGCCACACTACAGGACGACGTGCGCTCTTGGGTTGATAAAGAGTTTTCGAAACTCGGTGCAGACGATCCGAATATCAACAACAAATCACTTCCACCGTATTTCTTCAGACATATACTAGCTCCACAACCGAGTCGCGAACTCTCCGCTGGCGACGAGAATCAAACGCTCGGTGATATCGATTTAGCTCCCAGCGCGACATTAGTTCTTGTTCCGGTGAAGGGATACACAGAAGCCTATACCGACTCAGGGAACGGTATCGTGGGGACAGCGAGTCGTATGCTGCCTGGCGCGTTTAGTCTTGTGTCATCGGCTATGGGGTATGTGGGTAATGCTTTGGGGTCGGTGACTGGATATGGTTCAGGAACACAGGCGCAGGGAGAAGGACAGAGACAGGGACAGACTGTTGGAGGCGCACAGCGACAGCAACAACCACAACCTGAGTCAACAGATACGCCGGGCGTCAGGGTACGGACACTTGCTGATCAGAGGGCGGGAGAACCAAGACAGCAGTTCTACAACGGGAACCAGGTATATAGATCCGATCTTGGACTTTGAATGGTGTATTTGACTGACAGTTAATAGCTGAGCTTCGAGCCGAGGAACGACGATAGCGACCGACGATGAGAGATGGGTTTGCTTGGGTGGTCATGGAGGTAGATATCTTGATACGTTTTTTCATCTTGAGAAGCTAGGGATATGGCTGTCCGTTGGGAATAATACGGGGTTGTCTCTTACTCAAGGCTGCAAAAGAGAGGTTACCTATGGTAAGCAGACGAGTTTTCTGCACTGCTATCAATAAGCCTATGATGGTAAATCATAGTCTCAATGAACTTGTAAACTTGCTCGCAAGTCTACCCGTTTTAATTTCCACCCTGACCTCAAGATGCCACAATCTATGCCAACTAGACATGAAAACGTTGTAATTTATAGAGAAATTCTACCACAAAATCTCGTCACACATGATACCAGGCTGCACAGATTCGACAAGTTCTTCTCTTCACATTGCCCCTCCCCTCATCACATCGGACCTCCGAGTCTCCCCACCCATCATAACTTCTACCCCACCCCGCACATAATAAACAACACAGACTGCCCCACCCAAACCAAGCCAAACTAAACCAACCCACCACATCCTCATCCACGCCAATAAAATCCCACGCGCCATGGCCGACGCCGACCTCGAAGACCTGCGCCGCGCGCGCCTACAGCAACTACAGCAGCAAGGCGGTGGCGGCGGCGGTGGTGGAGGAGGAGACAGCTCAGAGCAAGACGGAAAGCAGTGCGCGCCCTACACCCACCCATTCCAAACCCCAAACTAAACCCTAACCCTCCACAGACAACGCGAAGGTACCTCACGCCCCGCCCCCCGCTCTCTCCCATCACCCAACTAACCCCCACCTCCCAGCCGATCAACGCACGCACATCCTCTCGCAGATCCTGCTCCCCGACGCCGCCGACCGCCTGGGCCGCATCCGGCTCGTGAAGGAGTCGCGCGCAACCGACATCGAGAACCGACTCATTGCGCTCGCGCGCTCGGGCCAGATCCGGCAGAAGGTTACCGAGGAGCAGTTGAAGGATATTCTGGGCGCCGTGGCCGAGAAGGAAGAGGAGAGCAAGGGGCGGATTGTGGTGAATCGGCGGGGGGGAGGGGGCTGGGACGATGATGACGAGTTGGAGGAACTTATGAAGGATGTTTGATGGGTGGGCTTGGGACGGGGATGAAGGCAGGAGGTGGCATGCATTGGTAGGCGTTTTCTTTTTTCTTTCGAGTGAGCGAGTTGTAACTTGTAGGTCTCGAGAAAGACTCGTTTCGAACGTGTGGAATTCTAAACAGACTGAATTTATATCGTCTACATGCAAACGAGTCCCAAAACTACTACTGTTATACACCCGTCCTCTTCTAGCCTGCTAATCGCCACGCCCGCAACGGGAGGGCTTGTATCCGCATAACAGCGGGCTTGATGTAGAGCCAGAAGGTCACCACACCGATGATGATACAGAGAATATTGACTATGTAGTAGCCGTCCGTCGTGATCTTGCAAGCTCCCCCACCATTCAGGCAGCGGTGCTTCTCCGCCTCCAGGGCGCATGAGAAAGGCTTTGTGATGAGGTCGCCCTTGAGAAGGCCGGCTTTGGGTGGGATAGCAGGAGGCTGGCAGGTGGCCTGGGTGAACATATCGACAGCCTTGAGGACGAAGAAACGGGGGAATGTACCGCCCAAATTTGACACGCTGTGGATTTGTTAGTGTACTGATAGAGGAAAAGGGTCGAGATGAGGAACTTACGTAGCCAAAAGCGTCATGTACGTCCCTCCAATGACGGGATCACTGATTTTTGCGTGGAATGCGCTGACCGAGACAAACATGACCGTGTTCATGAATGTGCTCAGCACATGCTCGGCAATCACCAGCAGCAGAGTGCCGGTTGTCGCTCCACCTGCAGGGAAAATGGAGACAACGAATTGCGCAAATCCTGCTGCAACCAGTCGGCCCATGAAAGACCAACACCAGATATGCATTGGAGGATATGTCTGGCACCATTTTCCGATGTAGTACCCGAGGAAAACCTCAACTGGGAAATCGATCAAGATCACGAGGGAGAGCTCTTCCTGCTTGAGGCCTTTGTCCAGGAGCTTCAGGCTGGTAACCGCGTCGTTGGCCTGGAAGCCAATCTTGGCAATCAAGTGGATGATGATGAAGCTCTGGATGTTCTTCAACTTCAGAATTCCCCACATGGTCTTGTAAACCTCGGAGATGCCGTCTGTGTTCTTGTCGCGGTCCTCACGCTTCATGAACGCCAGACCGAAGGTTACAATGAGGTATGTCCAGCCCCAGAAGGCGAGGTAGCCGTCGAGTTCCATAAGTCCAGTCTCGGCAGGCGCGGAGGCTGGACGAAACCATTTGTTTGCAAAGTCCTTGCTGTTGAAGGCAAGGAAGACAGTGTAGGAGAGGAACTGGCCGGCTGTAAGGCCGACAGTCTGCGCGGTGGAGGCGTATGCGAGGTTGTTTTTGGAGAGCAGGGTAAGGGCCCAGCCTGGTCATTGTTAGCATGGTGAAGATGAGCTTATATGGGACGGTTTACTTGCCATCAACAGCAATGTCCTGAGTAGCACACAGGAACACAAGCGCGAACCACCACCATGTGAAATTCCAAACACCGCTCTCTGTCTCGCCGGCGTCTGTCATCATCTTATTGATGTGCCTCCCCAGCCATATCATGGAGAAGCCGGAAATGGTCTGGATAGGGAGAATCCAACTCTTGCGGCGGCCGATCGAGGGCGACCACATGGCGTCTACGATGGGGCTCCAGAGCAGCTTCAGCGAATAGGGATAGGCGGCCAGAGAAAAGATGCCAATGGCCGAGTACGAGACTTTGTTCTTCAGGATAAAGGGCACCGAGCCATGCGCCAGGCCCATGGGAATGCCCTGGAGGAAGTAGAGCAGCACGAGGAGGAGGAAGTTGCTCTGGTCCTTCTTGGACAGGTCAAAGAAGCCCTGCGACGGGCCCTCGTCCTTGTCCCCCAGCTGCGGCACTTCATCGTCCAAGGAAAAGGACGATCTGCCCATCAGCGACGCGGCCTGGCTCGAGGGCGAGGTGCTGTCGATCGAGGCGTGCTTGCGCCGGTGTTCCAAGACGAGGCCGTTCATGGCGGGGCCAGTCGCATGTCCGTTTTCCGGGCGCAGCGAGTCGTGGGAGCTCTTGTGTGGTAGCGAGCCGCGGTTCTTGGATCGCGAGGCTCGTTTGCTCATTGGGGTGCGTGTGGACAAGTTCCGGCGGGGCTGTCGGAATGCTCGCGGAGGTAGGAAAGGTTGATCGGAGTGGTCAGGGATCAGGCGGCAGGGGCATCAACGAGGGAAGGAGCAACAAAGACGAATAGAGAGCGACTGGTGAATTAGAGAATGTCTTCGTGTTCGTGTTCGTGTCCGTGTTACTAGGGAGCGGGAAGGGAAATACTATGATGCGGACACGGGCATGCAGCGATGAATGCACCAGGCCCCGACTTGCTGGTCCCTGGATCTTGCATGGCACAGATGTGGCCTCTCCCCTGTGGAGGCCAGAGCCCGTTTCACGCTACGCCTGCAGAACACGTGCCACCGCGATGGACGCGCCTCGGCACCAGCACCCGCTATCCACATCGACACCATCGGCTAGCTGTCGACAACAACACCAACCATGGACACGGCGGAACAACTGGACTCGGACATCAGCGACCTGCACACCCGCATCGCCACACTCCATGCACACCGTGCAAACCTCGCCTCAGTCCTCCTCTCGCAACCCCACCTTGCAGCGCGTCTCGCCCACGGTAGCAGCTCCGACCAACTCCCAAAGCGCGTTATAGAACAACAATCAAGACGCAATATCGAGAACATATACCGCGCCTGCGCCGGCGTGACAGCGTACAAAGTCAAGGACCCCGACCCCCACGCAGTAAACAATGGAAATGTGCTTGGTGTCAGCATCGACGTCTCCATCAGCGGGAAATTCGTCGAGACGTACCATGTTTTGTTTACCTTTCAGCAGAGCGACGGCGCAAAAGTGTTGAAGATACACCGTCATACTGTCCCGACATGCATCCCTCTACAGCAGCTGGCGCACAAGTGGATACCGGTGGGCTCAAAAGATGCAGAAAGCATCAAGGAACCAGAGCAGGATCTGGTGCGATTTGGACGGTCGCTGAGGAAAGAGCTCGTCAGCTGGCATATGCGGACTCGGGCAGTCGAAGTTCTGAGGAAAGAAGCAGGCCTCCCAGACGCCAAGCCATCCAAAGACAACGGACATGCAAGCTTCACATCCACGGGGAACATTCTCAATGCTTTCGTGAGCGACGACGATAACTCGGATGCTGAGGAAGATGTGACTGCTGACGCATCTCTACGCATCACCGATCTTGAATCCGATGCAGCGGTCAGACAGATCACTGTCACCTGGTCCGATGGCCGGACAGGAGTCATGGGCATCACAAAGGATGGAAGGGTTGACAAAGCTATCTGTAGAACGAGGGGGGGAGGACGGGATGCTGCTCTAAGCAGAAAGGCGATTGGACCTATCAGAGGCCTGGTAAGGAGATCGATGACACAGTAAGAAATCTGAGGGCTTGAAAGCAAAGAGATGAGGTGACGAAGCTGTACAAGAAGCGCAGGTGTACACCCAGATATGTGGGGGATGGGCTCTTCGTGGAGGCGTTGGTGGACTATCATGATACCCATATTTTGTAACTTTTGAGGGTCGAAATAGGACTGAGCAGGATTCGTGAATCTTGTGTAGCCTGCAGCGACACCGTCTTCACTCATGAGGTTCTCGATTCCAATGTTCGGTCAGCAAAAAGATTGTTAGTTGTGCGAGCTGAACTACAGCTTTTGAGTTACATGCCGTGTATGACTCGAGTCACTGGAACGGGGTCAGATAGCAGTCCGATGACGGCATTCAAGGTTTGATATGCACGACCGATGCACGACACCACGTGCGATAACGCCCTTAGATCAAGCCACCCGTTAGGATGGCATGCAGGTACAAGGGAGGACGACTCAAGACTTTGATGTACTCTTTCTTTCCCTCGGCTGGAAAATGGGCTGAGTATATCATGTCACATGTCATGCACAACAAATAACGGTTCCACAATACTATTGCATTGTGAAAATGTGACGTTTGATCGCGCGAAGTCTACGGCATCTTGTAAGCAGACGAGCCTCGAACATGATGCCGAAGACGCCGATGACGGAAGGCTTTGCAGCGGCCCGCATGCTTTGGAATCTTCTATCAGGCCTAACATATAACCGCTTGAGGCTCCGCAACGTTCCACGTCTGCCAGAGCCGACCCACAGCGAAGATCCTAGTACGCTTATCTTGACGTGAGGTTAGTCGCGGTGTGACTTATTGTTGCGAATTATCTGCTGATATTTCGTGCTAGACCTCCAAACATAATTTCATACACACATCTGTCAATTAGAGATAGTCGCCCATTTCTACCTACTTTCACATATATTTGTCCCACTGTTGACCTCGAGATTTACCATTGATACGTTCAACCGGTCCCCTAACTCCGCCTTGTACTACCTTCTGAAACTCAACCCTATCATGGCCTTCCCTGCATATACACCAAAGGCGCGCGTGCAAAAGCCTGCGCCACACTTCTCCGGCACCGCGGTCGTCGATGGAACCTTCGAAGGTACACCCACAGAATCAAGATACACCACATCACACGCACCATCGAGGCTAATCCGCACCAGAGCTCAATCTCACAGCCTACACATCGACCAAGCAATGGCTAGTCCTCGGTTTCGTCCCCATGGCCTGGACTTTTGTGTGCCCGACCGAGATCCTCGCATTCAGCGACCGGGCCGCCGACTTCGAGGCCCGTGGTGCCCGCGTCGTCTTCGCGAGCACAGATAGCGAATACAGCCTCCTCGCATGGACGAATGCAAGCAAGAGGGACGGCGGGCTGGGCAAAATCAACATCCCGCTGCTGAGCGACAAGAACCATAGCATCAGCAGAGACTACGGCGTGCTGATTGAGGAGGAGGGTATTGCGCTGCGGGGCCTGTTTCTGATCGACCCGCATGGGATTGTGCGACAGGTGCGTGTCTTGACATGGAGAGGCATACATGCTTGAATAGGACGTGGCTAATGCTGTGCTGTCGTAGATCACTATTAACGACCTCCCTGTGGGTCGCAGTGTCGACGAGACACTCCGCTTGATCGACGCCTTCCAGTTCACCGACAAGTACGGCGAGGTGTGCCCCGCGAACTGGAGCCCAGGCGACGACACTATCAAGGCGACTCCCGAGGGCAACAAGGCCTACCTCGACAAAGTGCACGCCGACACTAAGATGTCGGATGCTACTATCAAGACAAACGGTACGTCCTTTTTACCTAGTCAACACCTGTCCATGTCAGACCACACATACTGATGATGTATAGGAACGTCCTAAGTCTTCTCTGTAACATGCCGTATTTCAGCACACCGCATCATCATTCATTCATCGCGTTAGACACCCAGCATTGCTCAGGCGCTAGATAAACAGGATTGGGTTGCTTATTTGTTCCAATTCCTCAACCAGCAGACAGACTCTTGAAAGCGCTGTATCCTCTTTGCTGTTGTATCATATCCTAAACCGACTTCATTCAATCCTATATCAATACACCGTACATTACCTCAAATCCAAGCCTTGTGCCAACTCAGAGATATACCCTGTACCAGTAAATTGCATCTTGAGTAGACAGACATGTGGTTTCTCGCAGTGCCGTGAATAGTGATGGGATTGTGTCGACTTGTGGCGCAGTAACCGAGCCATGGTTTCTGCGCAGGATGCGCACATACAATGCTTGGTTTAGCAATCCAAGGTTGAATGAACTCCAGGCACGCGCATTTGAAGCCTCGTTCAGACAGTAGCGTTCTTCGGAGAAGACTAGTAAAAGGGTGTAGTAAGGACGGCGCTGACATGGGCCTATTGGTGGGTTTCAGAGTGTCTTGGCCAATGGCTAGAACAACGCCTTCCGTGACCCAACATTCCGAAACTCAACACTCCAATCTGGATATATGACGACCAAGAATGATTTTCGGAGCGGTTCATAATGGAATTCCGAGCCGCTTCACGACCTGGCGATTCTCTTCACGAGAAAAATACACCTGCTCTGATCTCCCCGTTCGCATCACCGCCTAATGCCTGGAGAAGGTCGGGCCCGGTCGAGCGTGTTGCCCCCAACAAACATACCCATCTGAATTCGACCCCATATCCTGGCGATACCGTGGTCAACGTTCATCAAGAAGCAAAACAACTTCAATTTCACGCGACTTTACCTCGGCAAGAACCAGGTGCTCCACTTGCACAGGTGCTGAACAATGGAGAACCAACGCTTCACGTTCCACAGGATGCGTCTGCTACTCTGACGTCCTTGACTACGCCTTTCAACGGAAGACTCCGTGATCTGTTACTGAACTCGCCGGAGGTTCTGCACGATGAACGAAAACCCCAAGATCACCATATCCAGCCTTCTTTAGTTGTATACGAAAACTCGTTGATAAAACTGCCCGAGTTGCCTCAGCTACCTAGGAAGGCAACGAGAAGAGCCAGAATACCACCACTATTGCAAGGTCTCCACCAACCGCCCCCGCTTCCGCCTGAAGGCAAGCTGTTTCCTCCCATTATTGGCGAAAGCAACAGGTTTCGAAAAGATGTTGGAGTGAAGGTGGGCTCGGAGAATCGACCGACGGAAAGAGCTAGTAAACAAGATGAGACGGAAACTGCTAGTAGAGCGCACAGGGCTGATACGTGTCAGCAACATCAAGAGGAAAAAGATGCGAGGACGACCAAAGCAGTACCTTTCGTACAAATCTCAGACACCGGGCAAGGCCAGACGCTCGAACTACCCTCAAGCGATACGGCCGTTCATAGCAACATAGCCCGACGGGGCCGGAAGCGGAATCCGTGGTCCGAACAGGAGACCAAAGATCTGCTTATTGGAGTCAGCAAATTCGGTATTGGCAACTGGAAAAAGATTTTGCATTTTCCAGACTTTGTGTTCCATCGACGGACTGCCGTAGACTTGAAAGACCGGTTCCGTGTGTGTTGTCCTGGTGAAGGCCTGAGACTCAGAAAGACAAGATCAAAAAAGCATTCCCGGGAGGAGGTTTCTACGGTCTCTGTCGACAAAACAACTATGCTCGGCAGTTCCAATATTCTCAACCACGACGATGTTGGCGTGAAGCATACAATGGAGCAGGAGACTATCGGCAAACAACGAAAACACAAGCATGTAATGGAATCAACAAGTTTAGCCTTGATCGGTATCCAAAGACCGTTCGTCAGAAACAAGCGTCGGAAACGACATGAGTTCACCGCTCAAGACGACACGAACCTACTGAAAGGGTTCGAAAGATACGGCGCAACGTGGCATTCGATGCGCGACGACAACGAGCTGGGATTCAGCGCACGCCATCCAACAGACCTGCGTGATCGATTCCGTATAAGATACCCGGAAATGTATGCTCGGGCCGGTTACAAGCTGAAGCCGAAAGACGAGCAAAAGATGAGAGAGCGAGAAAAACTGATGGAAGCACGGCCAGGTTTAACACATCCACAGCCACCCACAAACCAAGGGCCGACCGCAGGTATTAGCGGGCAACCTCAGGATAACTCGCGAGAGTTACTGAACTTGAATACCCATTTAGACACCAGGTCTTTCATCCTCACGTCTACGAACAAGTCTCATGCACCGGTCCCGTCTATCTTCGCTCCACCATCCGCTCCCCTAGAGGAGGCTACGTATCTCTTCTCCGAAGGAGACGACGACGAAAGTCAGATCGTACTAAACAGGAACATCCTACAATGGGCCGACGCAAAGTCCTCCTCTTCCCTCGCAACCTCTTCAATGTTGGCGAACACCCAGAGACCAGGCCACAGCGCGGGAGACCTGCCCTTCCACTTCTTCACAGCTAATGACGGAACGCAGCTCAATCTCTCGTCAGTTACACCCCGATTCCAACCAACAGCCCCAGCTAGTAGCAATCCGCCGGCATATCCTTTCCTGCCAAGTTTTACTCCGTACAACCCCATGCGACCAGTGCACCAGCATTCAGACTCAACTCCTGTGCAAGCCTGGCCTCACGCTTCCGACGAATGAATGTGAATAACTTCAGAGCATCGTTTGTTTAGCAATGTGTCACTTCGTGATGGCAGTTTTCTTTACGAAAAGCTTAATGGGCTTTACGCGCACGGTAATGAGACCCGATGATACAATATGGGTACTGGACGATGCGGATGCTCCATTCATATTCCGGAAAGAGGACCAGCATTATGTTTTGGTCAGCGGATGCTACTTGCGTAGAGCCGCGCAACGACCTTATGTGTTTGCTGTGGACGAGAGGCCCAACATTGGCCGATGGTTACAGAGATCATCGACATTTGGTGATTTCGCTGGAGTGTTCACTTCGGAGATCAGAGCAGGCTCTTGGTGTCAAGATTCGAGTGATGATCTATCAAAATGGTTCTGCTGTTACTTGTTATGGTAGAAATAATTTATAAGCTTTGACACAACTGCACTTTACCCATATTCTACTTTACCAAATTCATACTCGATACAAACGTCGATCCTTATTGAAAAAATTGTTCGTTCAAATCAAAGTTATTGTGGATTGATTGGCTACATGCATTGAACAGTAACGTACGAAGCGGTCGAAATGTCGAAGTCGACATTACCCCCACATCACGTAGATGGATGACACAGTATAGAGCAAGTAGTTCTACTATTATCTCGATGAGACTGTTACATTCAAATAGATGACCAGCCTGCAACGTCGTGAACTCGTTAAAACAAAGAATTATGTACGCAAGATCCGATTGAGGTCTGAGTCCGCCGTAAATAAAAAGTAGTCGTCCAAAGCCATCATCCAACGCATTCATCAAATAGCCAAGCCTAAGTGGCACTGATAGGTCGAACATAGATCCGCTGCGCCGTCAAACGCTCCGTCAGGGGTATACATCGTGTGTCGCGGAGACGCAGACGCACTATTAGAAGACAAAGAGCCGATCGCTGCACAGGTCGTCAACAAGACGTTTATGCGAGGGCCCTCTCATCCTCTCTGCCACGATGCTCGCTGGTGATAGTGGAGTGAATGTCATCCTCGTCATCGTAGCCATTACCTTGGTGCTGGGTGGCAGGGATCCAAAGACCAGACTCCCTGTTGTCAAGATCCTGGTCCTGACCGGAAAGGTCGATGCCCTCGCCCTGAACGCGGTTACGGCGGCGCTGGGAAAGTGTGCGGGAGCGTTGCGACAACTTGGAGGATACGGAAGCGTTCTGAGTAACCCAGTTGGTGAGGGCATCTTCGCAGTCTTGGATGATACTGGAACAAATTAGTAGTTGATAACCAACGTATCACCTTCAACATACGCTTTGCTAGTCTCATATCCGTCATACGCCTGTCGCGTCTCTCCGGGAGTCACCGGGGTATCGTCAACGAGCTCGAGGAGGTGCTTGCCATAGCCTGCGATAATGGCCAGCTTCTCGGAGTGCTCGCGCATAGCATCGAACTGGTAGGTGAAAGCAGCCTTGAGTTTCTCACGAGTGATGTTCGACAGCTGGGCTTCAGCGACCAGAGATTCGGCCTCAGCGCGTACGAGTTCCTGCTCGAGAACGACAATCTTAGGTGAATTAGGCTCCTTGTACTTGAGCTGTGCGATCTGGTCGGTAATCTTCTGCTTGCCTACAGATGTGTCAGCTTGGAATAGATGCAGAAAATGGAAGAAACCCACGATCACGGCTAGGCTGTACCGAAGCTTCAATGTTGCGGATGCTCTTGATGGTAACGCGGTACTGATCATAGCGGTCGACGAATTGATCCTCAAGCTCGCCGATTTCATAGATCAATACACCAAGCTTGTCCGTGACGTCAGACACGTCGTCGTCGCAAGCCTCGCCCCAAATAGAAAGTTGTTGCTAAGAGGACAGTTAGTACATGTCGGAGTTGCATCCGAAATTGCATCAACTTACGGCCACTTCCATACGTTCCCTGGAAACAAGCTCCATGCTGCGCATCACGTTCTTCTCCATCTTCACTAGAGAAGAAAGCTTCTTGGCGAGATCAGGTCCCATGGCGCCCGCGGCCTTGTGGCGGAAAGTATGGCCTGCAACAAGGATCATGAATTAGCGTCAATCACCCTATCATGGCGGCGTAGAGTTGAGAGTAATGCATCCGAGCGTATACGAGGCGTAGGCCAAAGGTGTAACTGCGCAACGAAACAACAAGTGCTGACGGTAAGGCCAAAGCATGCGTACTGCGCCGAACTCAAAAGACAGCATACTGAGTATGCAGATGACGCAAAAGAATGATGTGTAACGTACCGATGTTGGCCTTGCCAAAGAAGCGCCCGCTCTTCGTCGAGGACGACGGAGGCGGGGGGTTCTGAATCTGCGACGCCGTGGGCGCGCGAGATTGGCGCATGCTGTACGTGCGATGCATGATGTCGGTAGAGTGAAGAGTATGGAGTGTAGAGTTTGGGATGTGTATAAGTTGTGGGTTTGGAGAAATGTGAGCCGTGGAGTCGTGTTCGCGCCCCCGGCATGGACGGATCGAGGTAATATAGTCGCGCGAGGATCTCAGGGATGACGTAGTATTGGGTCAGTGCATGGCGATCATCCGCTCTCCGCTAAATCCACACCATTGCGCAGCCCAACCCGAGGGACCTTGGCTGTCAATTTCGATCGGCAGTACAGGTCCTCGTGTGCTGCCCAATCAGTCCCGTTACAGTAGCCAGCCCTACGTAAGCCTTTGCCTGTGCAAAAGAGTCTGCGAACACCTTTTGTACAAGTCATGCACAACGTGCTCACACAAACACGCACCTGTGGCAAAGTCTAATCTGTTTGTAGTAACGAAGGCTTAAGCTAGCACCCCAGCGCCCAGCCTGTCACAGTATAGTCACGCCTAGGTGACGTTGCTATGCGCCCAAGTGCACATTGGTTTTGTGACAATGACACCGTTGGAAGTACATGGCACCAAACCCGGCAGATTGCGGCACGGGATCGCAGAGCCTTCCTCGACAGTGCAAGGAGACTTCGAACATTGCAATTGGGTATCGTTAGAAGCTACGCCACCAGAGTCCAAATCATACACCCGAATTTATGACAATGAGGCCTACAATTGAGCAAACCCTCCGCTGGGTAGTTGGTTGAGAACGCTCAATATGTTTCCAGCCTCCCCCAAACCAACACTCGGGCGCAAAGACCAGAAAATGAGCTCTCCATCGCGAGGAGAGCGGCGATGACGAATGGAAAGCGACGCTAGTCCTACAACAAAAGCAGCCGTGAAGCACAATAGAGTATTGACAAATAGGGGAGGTGGAAGAGCTGATCGTACATGTCTCAAGTCGGTTAATGACCCCGAGGGCAGGACTACATCTCGTCGCAAGACTGAAGAGACCCAAGGAAGGCTTCCAAAAAACTCTCGTACCCCAGCCAGCGCGTGTGAAGAGAACGGTTGGAGCCTCGACCGCCACGGCAAGAACATATCTTTCTGTGTAATTCTTACTTGAGAATCCGTGTCTATCGCGCGGGTCGAAATGGACCACACGTCGTCGGCTTTGATCTCTTCGGCGCAGAAGAGCTTCTGCCGTAACTTGCGAATGTATGCGGCAATGCGGGGGTGTTTCGTCTCAATTGTCTCTTTTAGCCATGCTTGGGGCATTGCTGGATAGAACATCAGTGACAGGTAGCCAAAGGCGAGACAGTCCAGACTGGAGGGCTGATTTCCTCCGAGAAGGTAGCCATTCTCTCCCAAGAGCTCCGATAGTGGCTCCAGAAGCTCATTCGATAAAGCGTCGAGCCTGATCCGCGCTGCATGTATTGGAGCACCCAAGAAACCTCCAATACCTCTACCACGACCCATACTTAGAGTGCTGGGCTTGCTGTCTGTTGGTAGCCCAGCAGCCCGTTTTGCAGCCTCAAATTCTGCCGACGCGGTCCCTCGACCTGGCGCATATCCTCCCTCAGCTGTTGTGTCCACATCCAAGCTGTCCAGACCCAAATGGGCTGTCCGTGTTCTCGCTAGATTTCGCCGTTTCGGTGGAACGGTGTAATTGGCGTACCAAGGGAGAATCGCAGTATAGGCAGCAGAAGTGGCGGTGTTATAGTTCTCTGCAGAGACGTAGAGCAAGAGATCGAGTAGAGGAGTCGCGGTGGATTGGAGAAATGTAATGAAACTGTGAACTCGTCAGATGACAGCCCCTGAATATACCAAAACACCACTAACGCAGTCCTGTCGGTCTGTTGCTGTGTTGTAAGTCTAGCATCGAGATCGTTGGTGGCTGCCGGGTAATTGCGTAGATATGCGACAATATCCTCAAAACCGGTTGCTGTTGCAACTCCATCATCATATAGTATTGGTAAGCTTTCTAGTGCTGTATGAGTATGGACTCAGACAAAGAACGTAACGAGTAACTGTACCTGTAAAGCCAATTGATGTGTCATGGCCAGCAACGAGAGACCATTCTCCCTTGGGGATGGCACGTTGACAGTACGCTATTGTCCCTACACACTCGGCATCTATAGAGGGAAGTCCAAAGGCGGGACCCCATACATGAAGTTCTAAAACCATCGTCTTTCTTGTGCTGCAGCATGAAATGGTGCTTGTTTGCGCGCGAGCAAGGTATGCTGCAAAACGGATTACTAGTCATAACTCGCCAATCGGAAACTAGCTTGGCGATTATAGTCGCACGTGATAGCGCATCTCGTCAGTCCTCTTTCAGCCCTTGCAATAACACGTCAGCATTGCGATTCAACGAATATGGCTCCCATCAGACGATACCTGCGAATTACAAAGCACTCTGTTCTTGAAGTACGCATCTATCTCGATCGACCCGCTGATGCGGAGGCATGGTTATTGAAACGCGACGACCCAGCGCTACCACGCGTCATCCAAGCCATACGACCACTTGTACTTCCCAAACTTCGAGAAGAGAACGAACGAGCCAAAGGAAAGGGCGGGGGCAAATCGAAGAAGAAAGGAGTGAAAGATGTTGTGATTGAGGGCATGTCCAAAGCGATGTGCGTATCCATAGACGGCTGACTTTGTTCCAGACGACTTCGAAGTCTCTATCTTCTTGACAGAGCTTTCCTCCCGCCACTCTGTTCTAACAAAGAAGAAGATCTTCAAAGACAAGCCTCGCATACAAAGTAATTCGGGGAAACTCACCAATTGGCTGACGACCGGGACAAGTGATCAGCCGGTGATCATCAATGAGGGTACTATGGAACCCCTTACAATCCGGGATGAAGAAGAAGAGACCGTAATCCATCTTGCCGACATACCCGAATCGGATGCACAGTTGCAACAGTCGGCCCGATCAACGCGAAACAGCCGCCGAGAAGCAACTTCTAATCAAGATCATGCCGACGATAGTGACGATTCGAATTTGTTTGTATCAGGATCGACTACCAAAACACGTAAAGCCAATGGACGATCGGATAATGCAGATGAGGAAGTCGATGAGGGATTGCAAGACGACAAAAAGAAACTTGGTCTTAACACGTCGTATGATGGCTTCAGCATTTACGGGCGCATTCTTTGCCTCGTTGTGAAGCGCCGTGGCGTGAGGACTCAAGCAGGAGTCAGCGTGGTACCTGCATCTAGCCAGGCAATGCTGGAGAATTGGGTATCGACACAAGCCGCATTGGAACAGGTCGGCGGAGACGAGGACAACGGATAAATGCGAAGAGGCAGGTCTCCCTTATCAAAATGAAAAAAATACGGCAAAATCTACGACGAGACTATACGGGGACTTACCAGAAGGAACAACAGACGTTTGTCACGCAGGACCCCATCGGCCAAACTGACGCGGGGTGGCTTCATCGTCAGGTTCATTGACACGTGGATGTCCACAGTGACACATTTCCCGATCGTCTGGATGAATACGCGGTCCTCGATGAGCACCCTGCACTCCGGAGGCCACCACAGTCCTTTGAAGCTACACATTACGACATCTCGACTCGATACATCATGACCATGACTCAATACATCATGACTACGACCTAATTCGCCTCATATATCCTCCCGTCGCTTTGGAAAAGGCATCGAGAGAGAGGCTTCACCAAATACATGAAGATGATGCATTGTCCCGAGAGTGGTGGTAGGATAACAGAACATTGTTGGGGGAATGGCTTGTTTCTAGAACAGTGTGGCTGATAGTTCAACATGTTCTCTCAAAAATGTGGAATGACTCGAGCAAGCGGCTCCGAACGAGTCAGAGTGACATTCCGCTACTCGAAGTGTCTAGAATTCCTTTGGGCAAAGATAGCGAAGCTGATCAACTATCCGAGACATGCTCATGATACACACGCCTTCACAGCGACACAATCGACCCAAAAATACACTCATGTTTGCTTCTTGACCAAACCTTATTCTACCGAAAAGAAAAAAAAGTGTCGGCGTGTCTTCGGGTATGCCGAGTTCAACATCTCGTCGCGCTACAGTGGTCAACTGTTCTAGAGAGCGGACGCAAGCCACACCTAGCGCACGGTCTATACTGTACCTGCAGGTAGAAGCGTACTCTGAGCCATCAAAGGTTTCTTCGGCGGGGCAATGACATGTGTGACGACGAACACTCTTCGTCTACTACATTTATTACCATAATTATCTAGCCGTACCAGCTTGATCTTCAGTGCAGGCAGTGCTTGGTATCAGAAACTAAGTGCTGGAGTCCATGAATCGATGGGGTTCTACTATGTTAAGACTACGGTTGATTGCTCGAACGCTTGCGTGATGCAAGACCACGAGTTTGATACGCAATCACGCAATTGATTCAGCTGGGTAAAGCGCTTTGGCCCTCAAGACGCGAGCCTGTCAGTAAACGGTGTACCAAGGCAGTCTCGGCCTTTGCTCGCTCCTCTCCGCACCGTCCAATCTGCCGGGACTTTAAACGTTCTCTTGGTACCATTTTTCCGTTCGCGCTGCAGGAACTCAATCTGTTATGTGACGGCAGCTGAAGTTCTTCTCCACCAACATGAAACAGTATCAGCAGAGGTTCGGTGGATCAGCCCGAGGTGTGGCGAGAGTATTTCCGTGTGCGGAAAAGGTGATGGACATTGGAGACAAATTTCCGCTTTGAGCATCACAGTGGCTGGCCCCTGAAGATCAGCCTCGGAGCAAAGAAAACTTTTCTCCGCCAAAATAGAGGCCGTCCTGTTATTACAACGCGCATTAAACCGGCCAAGCACTGCAACAATCTTACCTGCGTCTACATTCCGCAGAAGAAAGGAGAGAAAGCAAGCGAACGCAAATGCAAACGCAAGCGCCATCCTGACGCTGCAAGTGTGGTGGCCATGTGGCATCTTAGCCCTAGCGCTGTCCGCCCTTTCCTATCCTCCGGGAGCTGTCGTTGGCGAAGGGCCCGGTGGCTTGCATTCCGCAGTTGTGTCTCTTTCTGGCGCCGCCGACCGTCTAGAATATGTTTCCCACGTAGGGCTCAAATGCCAGCCAGTTGTGCCCGCCGGAGGCTTGCTGTGAGAAGCTGGTAAGGGATGCAAGGTGCCGACGTCTGCCCTCAGCTTGATTACGTGCATGCTGATGATTACGAGTCGCACAAGCACAGCAAGCTGTTTGCCGAAAGACAAAAATAAAAGCTGACAGGTTCATCGTCTGCTCCCTTGCCTCTGATTCGGCTTTCCAGGATAAACGAGGCGAGTAGGCTGGGAAATTTGCAAGCATCATCCGCAAAGCTCACTCTCGGGTTCGAGCATACACCGTGGGGCAGAAAATTCCAGGGGCCGTGCGAAATTGGATGGAAGACTGGAAGAAGCACGGGAGAAGACGTCGCATACGCTAGATCGTCAAGCAATCCTACCAAGATACGGTGGAGGCTGCCACCCGTGCTCATGCCTGCGATCTCGCAAATTGGGTATCGAAATGTCCGTCACCACACTTGTGTAGCTGTCACAGTGTCAGAACTAGGGTCTTGATACGGGATTAGAAGCCAGCCTTGTCCTGTTCCTGAATCTTGGCAAGCAATTCCGTTTTTCACGCGATCCCCAGGTGGCCGTTTGAGACGACCATTCTTGGAAAGGAAGGCTACGTTTCAATTTATCGTGACCGTTCGCACTAGTAAGGCTTCCAAGATCAGGTAGATTGCCTCAATGGATGATGTCAGAGTTGGGTATGCTTCCCGCTCGTGTGAATCATCCTTCTGCCTTGCCTGGGAAGTTGCTAAGGCCACAAGCCGGCGACAATACCATGTCAGGATTGGATCAACGCGATTTTCACACTGTCACGAGGGCGATGAAACGACGAGCAGTAGGACGTTTTCGTGTTTCTTCTCGCCCGTGCTCAGGAATTGACGGGGGTGGGCGAAGTTTCGGCATGGGTTAGCTCATGCACAAGCCAGGAGCCACCCCTTTCGTGTCCATCAGCCCAATGCCTGCTTCACCGCTTGGGCCGTGCCATGTGGTGCCTAGTATGATTACACACATCATCAAAAGTACGTAGCTGACCGACTCTTGTAATCTGAGCACAAACATAAATATCCCAAGCCCCCACGGTGTGGTATTCTTGTTTCATCACACAGCCGAACGCACACCACCAAAGCTACCTATCTCCAATAATCCACCACTACCAACAACAACACTTCGAGTCACTGTCTGCCTCACTCATCATCCAATCCATCCAACACTCTCGCCTTACATCAGCTTCGCACTCCATCTCCAACACAATCCCATACAATGGCCGCCATGATCTACGAGGAGTCCAACATGTCATCGCAAAACCTTCCTCCCTGCCCTGGACCGCCACCAACGCGCCCTCTGCCCCCGGTCCCTTCGAAATAAGCACGGCCTCCGCTCAATCATTCTTACCATGTTTGTTCCTTGCGACTCGCGAATGGCTTTGGCGTATCTCTCTCGATGTACATCCGCATCATTACCCGAGACCCACTCCACGTTACCTTAATACGCCCCACCCGACATCGAAATGCACACTGTTCTTCACCTGTCGTGCCGCCGCGATGCAGAGCATTTGCAGCATTCAGCACCATCTGATTTTCCATGCATCTGGTGCATCAGAACTCCGGTCATCCGGGCAACTAAATGCCCAATACACCCTCGGGTAACGCTGCTCTCTCGTGCCTTGCGATTGAGCCTTGCACTCTGCAAGCCATCCACACCCAAGCGTCGCACTCTCTGCGCCTTGCCACTCGCGGCTCAAGGACACCGCATATAGTGCGCTTTTTCTTCTTCGACTGTACACACGCGCTGGCTCGGGTGGAGGATACTATCGATCTCTTACTCTTTACGCTTGCCTGTTTCCAGCTACGGAACGGCATAGCTAGTTTTAATATCGAGCGATTGACGTTTTTGTTTTGTTTTTCGCGCTGCATCAGTTGGCGCTTGGCTCGCTGAGGCGGCCACGGTTGTGTACTATTATTGGGAGTTCCTATTAGCCTGGAGGCTACCATCGTATACCCAATTTGACTTTTAGCTAGTATTAATTGCATAATCACTCGTTCATCATATTCATGTGTCTCGATGCTCAATCTGAAACGTGCGCAATTGCATTGATAGATGTCTTCGCTTACAACCGTCTACAAACTGCGCGTACCTTGAATAACGTTCAACAAAAAACAAACTTTCGTATTTTCCCCGCATCCACGTTAACTTGCTGTGTGCCTGCGTCTCGGCCAGTCGCGTACCAGACTCCTACACCCTCTTCCCTGCCAAGTCAGGGCAGGCCGCTTTGATGATGTCGTCCTTCAGCCCGGTAAGACGAAGGACCTTTTCGTCCGCCCTAGCCTCTGTAGATAGCTGCTTTTAGTTCGAGTTGCCTCAACCCTGTTCGGTTTTGTCCCGCTCATTCCGCATGAGTGAATATACACTCCACCCCAAGAGACTTTCTTTGTTTTCCCCTCACCAGTCGACCGGCGCCGCGTACACGACATTTGCCCCGTATCGCAAGGCAGTACAGTGGGTATCGTTTCATATCGTCCGGGTCGTGTAGTAGGAATTGCAGACACGATGGATTGCGGCTCGGTTGCAATTGCCTGTGCGCAACCTTTCGCTATGTTGGACTCGAAGCATCGCCTGTAAGTATGACTGTACTAGAGGCCTTATTCTTGTCATACCATCTGCTTTCACTACTAGTACCTCAAGGAGTACTGTTTGCGGATGCAGCCACCCCCTCTTTGGCGCTCCAACTTGAAAGACAATTCCTTTGTTGTACCCACATTTTGGTCGGCAGGGCATTCACGGAGCCCTCGTCGGACTCTCACTCCACTCAACCAAATCTAAGCGCGTGTCTTTGTCAATGCATGCTCTGGCGTTGTGTAGCCAAAACCTTTCTCAGTGGGCATGAATGCCGAGCATTCAATTGGGATGATGGGCAGCTCCACCGTAAGTCACCCATCTGCCAATCAATCCAGAGCCTTGTGTCCAAACCGCGCCGCGGCCTTACCTGTCTATTGAGTATGTTGCATTACGAAGGTTACATCACCATAGTTAGGTCTATATTTTGAGGTGGTCGACTGAATCGCATCTGAGTTTCTGAATGGGCAGGGTTGCCCACGGGCCCCCGGTTCGTTCATCACTTCTACAGTGTTGGCATCGATATTGAAAGAGCTGGGAGTTGAAATCTTGGCGAGAGATACCAATTGGGTTTTCTTGGATACTTGCAGGCCATTTGACGCCATCGCCTGATACCTGCACTGCTGCCGCCACAACACATGGGTTCCTGCAATCAACCGTTCAGGCACACCATCACATGTGCATGCGCCACGTTGCATCATCGTCCTTCCAACCCCTGCCAGCAGATCTTCATGGCGTTCTGCAATCCATAAACCACGTTCCACCAAGGTACCTGTGGATTGGAGATGGGCCTCGACACTTTTGACGCCGCGACATCAGTGCGTCACCATCGGTTAGGCGGCCAGCAGCCTTCTGTGAGTCACATTCTCATGCATCAGCAAAAACGCCAAAACTCGATACAGACAGCGAGCCTGTCAGCAGACCAAACGACTAGGTTCCTGGGTCCTTGCGCACACCGGTTTGCCGTTCAAGGATGATGCATTTGCCGACTCTTGCACACCGATGATATGCTGAACAACATCCGCTGGTAAATTCCAGGCTGTTCCTCCCAACGGTAGCTGTTTGCGATAAGCTGCTGCTATTTGTGCTTGTCGCCCTGGTCATCGGTGTCACCCTCGCCTCAAGCCACACATCACGAAATCATCAAGTCATCAACACGCATGAAACGGGCCAGGACGAAGCACAGCCTTCCCAGGCTCATGATGTCGCAGAAGTCTTACAAATCCGTCTATCCACCATGCGGTTGTCAGACTCTGCTTATCTTACACTCCACCTTCACGCAGCGCCACAAGTGCTCGTACGACCGGATTCCGGATATCCTAGCACCTAGTCAAATCGCAATTCCCATAACGACGTTGCACAGGCTGAATGCCAGCACCCATGCCTTCGGGCACCTGATATGCTTCGTATCGAAGCATTGGTACCGCCACGAACATTACTCATAAATACGTCGTTTGCACCCAGGCTGCTCGTCGTTGAAACAAGCAGTCGGGAGAACCATGCACTTCATGCACGACGCCCGTCTGAAACGCGGAGTGCTTACGTGCGATTGCGTGTACTCCTCATACTTGAAACTAGACCTGTGGTATCGACATTATAAGGGCACTGACACGTGGAGCGGTCCTTATCCCCAGACGCAATGTCCTTTACATCGGAGATAGAGAGAGTTTACCGCGCTTAATGCGCGTTCACCTCGTTCTTGGACCCTGACTCAACCCCGGTAGCCTTTATCCTGGAGGGTAATGATCCTAGCAACTCTGAAAATACTTATCCTAGCTCTTATTACTAGCCCAGGGTGTTGTGGCTTTGGCGACTGGAATGATCATAAGCTGATATTCATCATGTAAATTGTCGCAGGTTACATCACTACTATAATCACACCATCGACATCCGTCTGGCAGTGTATAGGCGATGAGGCGTGATGATTTATTTCGTCATTGATCGTGACATCCACAGTTCCAGTCGAGTTCTGTTAAAGGACTTTAACAGTATGAATTGCATCCAAAGAGTCGATCTTACGCTCGTGTGAGAACCGTGACTAATCTCCATGACAGAACTTTCGCTTCGTGTATATCGAGACAAACTTGTTTTTATGCCTTCATAATAACTCAATCTCATTGGGAGTTCAACGAAGTGTCGCAGCCACTTTTCACCCACAAGCATTTTTGAGCAACTATGGAAACAGAACTTCCTCGTCAAGCGTAACTCAGCTACCCCATATTATAGCATCCCATAAACTCTCAACCATGCCATCTGATCTGCAGTTTTCCCCGCTTGAAGCATCAAGTTCAGCGCTGCACTCCCGAGATGAATAGGACATTTGATAGTCTGCGCCTCTTCCACTGCTCCTCTCAATTTTCTGACCAGCTCCGAAGAAACTGATACGCTATCTTGTGTCGCCCCATTCAGAAGTGGTATCAACTTGCCCCCGAAGGACTTGAACATGACGCTGCCTCCTGCGGCGTCACATGCTAACTCGTAGAATTGAGATAATGGAATGCCAACCCGTTGTGCGAGTAGAATCGCTTCTACTGCCGCGCAGATGTGAATCCCGATTAGTAGGTCCGAGACGAGCTGGAGTTTGGACTTCTTTTCGTCGGCGGAAAGTGTGCTTTGGATACTGGAGACGGGCTCTGATGTCCACAGGCGAACTACCCCGGCATCGTCGTTTGCACCCCATCCGCGATCAAGCGCCGAGAAGTAAACCTGCTCTGCTACGGAACAGAGTGTTACAGGGAAGTCTACACTCCGTGCTGTAGAGGTGATGATTCCCTGTGATTATTCTTCAGCGCACGATCTTTTGCCATGTATAGAAAAGTCAACGACTCACCGTGTCCTTCAAGATAATCGTCAACGCACTCGCCCCAGGAAAGTAATCCTCCTTCAACGTCCTCTGACTTCGATTCTCAAACATCCAACTCCACGCCTCACCCCCCACAACCGCCTCATACACATCCTGCCCATTCAAGCCCAATCGCGCTGCAAACCCATACGCCTCGCTGACAGCCAGAATCTGCACTGCAGCAAGTACCTGATGCACCATTTTCATATTACTCCCTGCGCCAATGCCGCCCTGCACGATGAACAGCTTCGTCGGCGCAGACAGCTCGTCGAGCAGCCATTTGCCCTTGTGCAGCGCCGCTTCCGACGCTCCAGCCATAATACTCAGCGTGCCGTCGGCTGCACGCCCTGCACCTCCGGACACGGGCGCGTCAACGAAGTAGATATCGTCCCGTCCGGCGTCTACCAACGCCTTCTCCACGCTTTTTGCGTATGCGCTCGGCACCGTCGAGCATAAAAGCAGCGTTGCGCCGTGCGGTAGCGCCTGAACTATCCCTTCGGCGGCGAACAGAGCAGGTTGTGCCTGGTAAGCCGCGGCGACCATGACGATGTAGAATGGCTTGTCTTTTGCCGACTCGGAGAGCGAAGTCGAGGGTATGCCGCCTGCTGTAGCGAACCTTTCTAGGGACGGTGCGTATAGGTCGAAGCCTGTTACCGCGTATCCTGCTTTGACGAGATGCGTCGCCATTCCGATGCCCATGGCACCGAGGCCGCAAAAGCCGATCGCGGGTTTGGCTGTCATTGTGTGGTGGGATGAGATGCTATGTGTGGGAGTGATGTTATGTGGTGTTGTATTCCAGAGTCGAAGTGATTGCCAATGTCAAGTTACTCTCAAGATTCAACTCATGCGAGTGGAGGGCATAATCCACTACCCTAATGTCAACGACATATGAAGGTCATCATTCGGGACATCTGGGTCCGGTATGATCTTCACGCAAATTCAACATGGCGATTACCGACACAACTTCCGAGTCCCCTAGTTAGGACGGGACATGTCTCCTCCCAAATACAAACACGCCGATATTCTCCACCCAGGCCAGCTCAGTGAGACCATTCAATGGTTGTGTTGTACAACGTTGGCTAGGGTTGCCGTCGAATAGCTACCCCGCCGATGTCATTCGCCGCGTGCGGGGTAATGTTAACTTTTGTCGGCGAATGCCCGTGGACCATCGGCGTTTGACCGACAGCATGTACGCAGTGAATCTGCTCAACATGGTACAGGCTTTCGTGAGTCGATTGGTTGGTTCTACATGTTCGATATTCCGACTCTCTGAGCCTTCAAGAAATGGTAAATGGGCAGGTATGTTTCAAGATAGTTCGTACATGATAATAAGTAGACCTTTAAGTGTGCTTGGAATATCTATCTGATCTGGGCAAGGATGACGATTTGTTATTGTTATCATGACCATACTTGCTGACAATCCAGGTCTACTTTGTGTCATTTTACATATACAATACCTGTTGGCCTCGAGAAATATGTGCCCGCTGAGTGCATCCTGATTCTTCATATTACAAAGAATGCGCCTTTCCACCCAATTCTTCAACCTCGACCCACCCGCAATCCTCTCAACCCTTTTAGCCGCTCAGGTAGTCCCTCAATAATCCAGTCTCGTGCTACAAACACACCAGCAAGCGCCCCGATGGTCAATGCCCATACGACCATCCTCCCCTTTACATCCGGCCTGATTACCTCTCCAGTCTTTTCATCTCGATATGCAAAATCGTTCCTCTTCCAGAACACGCTTCTGAGCCAGTACGTAAACTGATAGCCAGGATACATCATGTTGTTGATGCCCGTCTTGGGATCCACAGCCCAATTCGTGCATCCGCTGGCCCAAACCAGTTTCTTGGCTTCACGTTGAATCCATGCCGAGTCTGCGAGTGCAGCTTCCGCTTGGACTTCGACCGTTGTGGGGGTTGGAGCGAGGAAGGCGGGGAGCCAGGAGCGGGAACGGTAGGAGGGCAGGGATTTCAATACAGGATCGAGGACTCGCAGCGTGAAGTTGATTTGGCATTCAACTGTATAGATGACGCTGAGATGGCCCGTGACGGTGTTGGGGCCCATGAGGGTGAAAAAGTTGGGGAAGTGGGGAATGACGGTGCCGAAGTAGGCTTGTGCGATGCCTTGAGAAGTGTTCTCCCACTGTTGTTTTCGAAGTTAGTTCAACTTTCCCAAATGACAAGACGTGTAAGAGAAAACAGCTACTCACGTGCTCGCGCAAGCCTAGTCCATCCCGTCCAATAATTTCCATGGGAAAAAGCATTTGCTGTGTCGCGAACCCAATCGCCAACACTACCGCATCTGCCCTCACCTCCCTCCCAGATCTCGTCAGAACCCCATCTTCCACAAATCTCTCCACAGGATCGTCACAGACAAGCTCTACATGGTCTTTCCACAAACTAGCCAAATACTCTGTATCCAGTATCTTCCTCTTGCAACCAATCTCTGTCTTCGGAATCAATGCATCCCAATACTTTTGTGGCGCCATCTTTTTCACATAGGCCTCATTTTCCTTTGCTAAAGCGTCGCGAATAGGGCGGCCGTGCTCGATACTGAAGCCGGAATAGTCACGCTCCATGTCGTAGTAGAACTTTGCGCGATAAAGACGCATGGCCAAGGGAACGTAACGCATCACGGCTTTGAAAGTTGGTGTATAGTAAGGATTTGTGCGCTCGGAGAGGTATTGGGCTTGTCGGGCAAATTGGGTGATGCTGCGGACGGGGTTTGGTGGAGAGGCCATTATGGGGAGGAACTGCGTTGCCTGGACATGGTCAGTTTGGGTTGTGAAGCCTACGAGGTCGAGAAGACCGGGTTGGAATGTATACCGAACAACCATTGCCTGATGTTGGTCAGTATGGATTGCATAGAACACAGTGACGAAACGAGAGCAGCATACCGAGAACAACAACATCTTTACCTCCCCAATCGAAACTGTGGTCCCATTGCGCCGAATGAAAAACCTTCCCATCGAACGTTTCCATGCCACGAATGTCACATCTCTTAGGCACGGATAGAGAACCCACGCCAGAGATCAATATCTTCGCTCTCCGAACGATCTTCTCTTTGCTCTCAACATTCAAAACCGTGACTTTCCACACCTTGTCCATGTCATCCCACTCAGCCTTCTCCACCACAGAATGGAACCTCACATGCTCCACAATACGATACTGCTCAGCCACCGAGCGAAAGTACTCCTGAATCTCCTCACGTAGCGAGTATTTACGGCTCCACTCAGGGTTCAGGGCGAAGCTGTAGGAATAGAAATGTGAAGCTACCTAGTCGCCGTCAATCACCCCTGCAATACACTACAAATGAATGAGAGACTCACATCGCATCCACACCCGGGGTATGAGTTTGCTAACCACGTCCCCCCCACGTCATTACTCTTCTCCACGAGCTCAAAGTTCCTGATGCCATATTGCCTGATGATCTGGATTGCGAGACCAAGGCCGCTGCACCCAGCGCCGATGATTAGGACTTCGGTATCAAAGGACATGGCGTAGTTCTGAACGATAGTACAATGGTACAAGATGCGGGGATCTCGAAATAAGAAGAAGACGAAGCTGCCCTTATCTACGACCAACAATGACTCCGTATTCCCTCCTATATCGTCTGCTTTGTGTGATACGATTATACTCCCACACCTCATCGGGCATGGTTTACCGAGTGGGCGGGGAAGAAAGTGAGGAGAAGAACCCAATCACAACACCCCGGACTGACGTCGCCCGGCGGGGTCCCCGCATTTCACCCAAATGGGTATCCCGTAGTTTTGTTGAAGTGGTTCGCGAGATAAGTTACTCCCTGACGATATGAGAAGTTGATAGATGATAAGTGATTATAAAAATTATTTTTTCATACTGTGTTCCTTAACTCGCCCCCTTTACATACTGATAAGTACGTCGCAAGTCAACTCTTGAGATACAATTACCTCCCCACTCACTCAGTCAGTCCAGCGAACCGACTGGGTGTACGCAACAGTGTTGGCTCTTTGGGGTTCTTGCTCTGCTGCCCATTAGGTAGAGCCAAGTCCTTGTTCCACTTCTCCTTGACAAATTCCAGCGTCCGGGCGAAAACCAGTTGCCTTTCCTTTCTTTCGTGCTTACCGACGAAGGTATCTGGGAACTGCGTCCAACCATGTTGGCACAGAGGAGCATGCCACACCTCAAGACCACCGTTCTGGTCGTTGACGGGATATGGCTGGCCACCCGTGTGACCGTCCCAATCCGCCTCTCTTTGGTCACCGAACCTGACGGGGCCGTGCCAACCACCGATGTTCATCTTATCGACCCAGACGTCGCTTTGCACCGCTAGAGAGTCACTTTCTGGAAGGACGAGGAAGATGGCGGCGTTTTTCTGCACACAGTCCGGGTCGTTCAAGCCGGGACTGGCCCTGGGATGGGGACGCAGCTTCTTAGAGAGGTATGTCGGGCCCATGATGGAGAACAGACCAGGTGCTTTTGGCTTCTCGGGCCTTTTATCATCACCCTTGAGCGCGTTTGGCAGAGGTTTCATGGGGCGCTCGTGGGGTAGTAATCGGGCGTCTAGCGAGGGATAGAACAGGAGCAGAGGTAGCATTCGTGGTTGGGCGTGAGGCGGGGGCAATACGGTAGGCCATGGCTGGTGAGGATCGTCGAGGATGGTGGCTGCTCGATTTCGCGGCAAGAGGGACGGCATGGTCTCGGCAGGCGTGGGGCCCCGTGTCGTTGAACTGTCGACCGGGATGGGTGCTTGTGTCATTGAACTGTCGACATGGGGTAATGAGCCGGCTAGTGCTGTAGGCGACATTGTGAGCTCCGGACATGGGGGCACCGACATGGCCATGTTCAGGGCGATGTTCCCCCCAGCCGAGAAGCCGCTGATGGCGAGGCGGGTAGGGTCCAGGGTGATGGTGGTGACTTGCTCGACGTGCCGAACCGGGGCCGTCCCGTTCTTTTTAAGCAGATCCGCGCGTAGCAGAGAGTAGTAGCGCTGTATCTCGGTCCTGAGGACGTTTGCGGCTTTTGATACGCCCGACGTGTCCAGGATGGCGGACAGGACATCTTCTGCGTCGTGGATGGCGGCGGGGAACTGGTGAAAAGGGCCGATGCGGTAGGAGACGCTGACGACGACGGCTCCAAGTTCGCGCGCCATCATGGCAGCGTAGGGGGCCTGCTCGAGCGGAGAACCCATGATAAAGCCGCCGCCGTGGAAGTCCAGTACAACAGGCACCTTCCATTCTCCCGTCTGGGCTCTCTGTGCGTCGCCATCGCCGTCGCCGGGCAAGTCGACGGGGTTGGGCGGCACGAAGACATATATGGCGATGTTGTTGTCTTTTCTACTGGGCAGGGCGACCAGGAACGGCTGGGGGCCCTCGGGCGAGGTGATGCGCAGGACCGACAGCGGGACGAAGCGGGGCAGGTGGACGAGACAGGTGCGCCATTGGATGTGGAAGGGGAGGCGGAAGAAGTAGGCGACGGAGTGCCAGTAATCGCTCATGGTAGCGAGGCTGGGCAGGGGAGTGTCGTGACGATGGAGACGCAGGGACTAGCCCGCCGTCATTGAGCCCGACGCGACGTCACGTCCCTCTCCAGCACCGTCCTCGATCATACGGTGCTATACAATACGGTACTATACAATACACCCCGACAACACCCACACAGCTCCGTCGAGGGCAATGCTCGGCCTCTGCTTCACCGCGTCGCGCGCGCAGGTGGCGGCGTACCTGCTGGGCGTGGCCCTCTTCAGCATCTCGTTCCTCGTCTTCCTCAACAGCTCCATCTCGTTTGTCATCACGCAGCGCATCGGGCAGGCGCGCCACGTCGGCGACGCCGTGGGCACGCTGGGCTTTGCCGACGAGCTGGTGGCCCTGGTCGCGTGTCCGGCGTGGGGGCTGCTCAGCGACCGCGTCGGCGTGAGGAGCGTGGCAGTCATGGGCTACGTGATCGTGGGCGCGGCGCTGTGGACGCTGGTGCAGGCGACCAACGTGTACCCGCAGCTGCTGCTGGCGCGCATCCTGTTCAGCGTGGGCGGCAGCGCGACGTGAGTGCTGGGGCCGACGTCTGGACATGCAATGCAGTGCTGACCCACGCAGTGCGACCATGGTGACGGCCATCCTGCCCACCATGACGCTCGTCGCGCCCGCCGCACACGATGCCCCCGCCTCGCCGCCCCGCCCCGAACGAAGCTCTCACGCCGTCACGCCCTCGATCTCGTCGGAGCTGACCATCACGCCCGCCCGCTTCCGCTCGACGTCGCCCGAGGGAGCGCCCGAGCCAGCGCCCAAGACGGACACGACGGCCTCGACGTCGCAGCTGGCAGGCCTCGTCGGCACCTTCACGGGCTGCGGCGCCCTCGTCGCCCTGGGCGCATTCCTGCCCCTGCCCACGCGGTTCCAACACGCGGGGCACACTCCCGCCGCAGCTGTGGCCGACGCCTTCTATGTCGTCGGCGCCATCGCCATGCTGGTCGCCCTGGCCTGCTTCTTCGGCCTGCGCAACCTGCCCGGCGAGGAGGCCAAGGGCTGGGGGCGTCGACAGCACGCATTCGACACGCGCCGCGTCCTGTCCTACCCGCGCCTGTTTCTCGCGAGCCTGCGTCTGGGCCTCACGTCGCCCACCATTGGACTCGGCTACGTCGGCGGCTTCGTTGCGCGCGCCTCGTCCGTCGCCATCTCGCTCTTCATCCCGCTCTTCGCCAACCACTACTTCCTGCGCACGGGCGAATGCGCCGTCGACCCCTCCAACCCCTCGGACATCAAACACGCCTGCCCGCAAGCCTACCAGCTCGCCGCCATGCTCACGGGCGTCAGCCAGCTCATTGCGCTCATGTGCGCGCCTCTCTTCGGATACCTGTCTGGACGCTACCCCAGATACAACCTCCCGCTGCTAGTGGCAGCCGCGGCAGGCATCGCTGGCTACTCTGCCTTTGCGTCCCTTGCGAGCCCCGACCCACGAAGCGAGGACGGGACAGGCGCGATATTCGCCATTGTTGCACTCCTCGGCATCAGCCAGATTGGAGCTATCGTCTGCTCTCTGGCTCTGCTGGGCCGTGGTATCAACAACGACGACGCCCGCCCCTCGGAGGCTGCAGGCTCGGCGTTTGGGTCAGCCTCACACCCGTCGGCAGGCGCAACCCCACCCTCGAGCACGCCGTGCACGCCCTTGGACGAAGACGCGCCCTTGTTGGGAGGCGGCAGTGTCTCGCGGCCGACTGCATCGCTGGACTCGCACTCGCACAACCACATCAAGGGCTTGATTGCAGGGACATACAGCCTAATAGGCGGGTTCGGGATCCTGCTGCTGACAAAGGCAGGGGGTGCGCTGTTTGACAGCAGCGGGCCTGGGGCGCCGTTCTACATGATGGCTGGGTTTAATGCGCTGTTGCTCGTGGTGGGCATTGCTGTGAGCGTGAGGCAGGCCGTGCGGTGATTTGTAGACATTCGCAGATGTATGATGTATGACGTATAACACGGACCTGCTGCTACTTCTCGCCTGATGGAGACGTGATGTGAAGCGACGTACGACCTGGCTGGCTCCGATACCGCAGCCAGCCGCCGACTCACCGATGGCGCGCGAGAATAATTTATAGACGGCCGACGTGCCCATGCGCAGTCGAGCACCCCCACCACCTCCCACCCCCAAGCCACCCCAATGGCCGCCGTCGACGACTACTCGCGCCCCACGACGCCAGACGGCAGCGGCAATGCCCTCCCCAACGGCGTCGTGTCGCCGCGCACGCCCCGGCCGACGGGCCTGGCGCTCACAGAGTACACGGCCAACGCCAGCCCGGGCAGCTCCTCCCCCCGGCCAGACCACGGGGTGCCCGACGAGTTCCTGCTGCCGACGGGCTACCCCGACTACCTGCGGCTGATCCTCACGTCGCGCGTGTACGAGGTGGTGACGGAGACGCCGCTCACGCACGCGACCAACCTCAGCAACCGGCTCGAGTGCAACGTGCTGCTCAAGCGCGAGGACCTGCAGCCCGTCTTCAGCTTCAAGCTGCGCGGCGCCTACAACAAGATGGCCCACCTGGACCCCAAGCACCGCTGGCGGGGCGTCGTCGCGTGCAGTGCCGGTACGCTGAGCCCGCCTCCGTAGACGTCGACGCTGCCACGGCTCATCGTGTCGCAGGAAACCACGCCCAGGGAGTCGCCTACTCGGCCCGCCGCCTCAAGATCCCCGCCACCATTGTCATGCCCAGCGGCACCCCCGACATCAAGCACAAGAACGTCTCGCGCCTCGGCGGCGCCGTCATCCTGCACGGCCAGGACTTCGACGCCGCCAAGCAGGAGGCCGCCCGCCTCGAGAAGCTGCACGGCCTCGTCTCCATCCCGCCCTTTGACGACCCCTACGTCATCGCCGGCCAGGGCACCGTCGGCATGGAGCTGCTGCGCCAGACCAACCTGCAGCACCTGCAGGCCGTCTTCTGCTGCGTCGGCGGCGGCGGCCTGATTGCCGGCGTCGGCGTCTACATCAAGCGCATCGCGCCCCACGTCAAGATCATCGGCGTCGAGCAGTACGACGCCAACGCCATGGTCGAGTCGCTCAAGGCCGGCAAGCGCGTCGTCCTCAGCGAGGTCGGCCTCTTCGCCGATGGCGCCGCCGTCAAGACCGTCGGCGAGGAGACGTTCCGCATCTGCCAGGACGTCGTCGACGAGGTCGTCCAGGTCACCACCGACGAGACCTGCGCCGCCATCAAAGACATGTTTGAAGACACGCGCTCCATTGTCGAGCCCGCCGGCGCCCTCGCCCTCGCCGGCCTGAAGAAGTGGGTGAGCCGCAACCCCTCGCCCAACCGTGACCGCGGCCTCATCGCCATTGCAAGCGGCGCCAACATGAACTTTGACCGCCTGCGCTTCGTCGCCGAACGCGCTGCCCTCGGTGAGAACAAGGAGGCCCTCTTATCTGTCACCATCCCCGAAACACCCGGCGCCTTTGCCAGACTCGTCTCCATCATCCACCCCATGGCCGTTACCGAATTTAGCTACCGCTACTCCGGCCCCAATTCAGCCAGCATCCTCGTTGGTGTTGAGCTAAAGGCCGCAACACGCTCGCGCGACCTGCCAGACCTCATTGCACGTCTAGGTGCGGAAGGCATGGCCGCCCACGACCTCTCGCAGGATGAGTTGGCCAAATCACACATCAGATACCTCGTTGGAGGTCGTAGCAACGCCGCTGACGAGCACCTGTACATGTTCGAGTTTCCCGAACGGGGCGGCGCCTTGAACAAATTCTTGAACACGCTGCAGCCGGGCATGAACATCAGCCTCTTCCATTATAGGAACTATGGAGGAGATGTCGCCAAGATCCTGGCGGGCATCCAGTGCAAGCAGGAGGACGACGCCAAGTTGGAAGCGTTTCTCAAGGAGATTGGCTACCCGTATAAAGAAGTCACGGACAGCGGGAGCTACAAGATGTTTTTACGGGATTAGGGGTTAAGTGTCTTGCATGCATCAGGTGTGTGTATATGAAAATAGACGTCAAATAAATTAGAGTAAAATCATACCACATACGGGGAGAGCATTCGCTCAATAACTAACCTTTTAATATGCCTTCACTGATCTCTCATTTCACTTTCGCGGACCATCATCATAAGATATTGATTTGTTCGACTAGAACGGGCTGCATGTTGACATCTACACGTTTATAGATCCATACATAAATGTTACGACGTCATTCGAGCTACTAACTGGTGATTGAAAGCGTTTAAAGCGACTAATAAATTACTTTTGTAGCATTCTTTTCGAATGTCATACTACTCACTGATTACAGGAGTTAAGTAAACGTCTCTGTTAGTCTTTGCTTCGCATGGAATATGTTGATATAAACATTCTAAGTATAAGGACTATACTCTGGTCGTTTGAAGCCCAAACTTCCCGGTTGGTGATTTCTTCTGATGAACTTTGGCCATGATAGAGACAAATGCATCCACATTGGGTAGTTCATCATTCATACAGCAGAAAGATGGGAGGAACCTCTCTGGATCCGAGGCAAAAGATCCATACGCTCACGGCTGCAAGCGCGCTTGAGCATCATCTGTTCAATCCGAAGAAATCCCTGGTCGAGCAGATGACAGTATGATGTTGATTTGCACAGTTTGGCAATCTGATGCGGGGTGGGGGGAACGGCATATCAGCTCACAGCCAACCATTTAACGCTCTGCGGTCAAGTACACCAGTTAACATGCACCTTGCCATCATTGCTAGATATCAAAGGGCAGGTATTGTTATCTTCATAGTCCCTGCGTATAAAACGACAGTCACCTTCCCGCCTCCCATTCCATAAAGCACTCTCTGCGCCAGATACGATGTGTTGAGCAAAAGAAATGGCAGTTGAGGTAAGCCTTTCCCCCGTCCCGTTCGTACAAGCTGACTCAATCGTAGTCTACCCCGCCAGACGGATGCCTGAAAAATGACAGGCACCGTTCAAATGGAGCCTTGTTGCGACTCACCAACAGAAGTGGTTTGTCGGTCCAGAAGTCTCTAAGCATCCTCACACGCAACAAATCCGACCATGGCACATCAACATCGACCAACTCATTTGGCCCCTATGGCCTTACTCTTCTGCACGATCCGCCAGAACCCCTTATTGATGTGATATTTGTGCATGGACTTCGAGGTGGCTCTGTCAAAACCTGGAGCAAAAACGACGACAGTCAGTACTTCTGGCCACAAGCCTGGCTGCCCCAAGAACCAGACTTGCAACATGTTCGCATCCATACATTTGGCTACAACAGCGATTGGGCTGAGCGTAAAGAGAGTATCTTGAATGTACATGACTTTGGAAAGGATTTGCTGGGAGAAATAAGGACAAACCCGTATCTGAGAGCTTCGAAAGTATCGCCTATCATACTCATTGGGCACAGTATGGGGGGCCTGGGTAAGGATGACTTTTTGTTTCTATGTTGGTCACGATATCCAATGGTTTGGTTGTCAAGCTGATATTAGTGTGCAGTTATCAAAAAGACTTACATCCTCGCCCGTAGAGATAGCGCGACTCAGGATCTTGCAGCCCGCATCCAATGCCTCATATTCCTTGCGACACCACACCGAGGTGCTAGTCTAGCATCTGCACTGGGCAACATGCTTCGAGCTGCAGGCATGTTCAGTGTAAAACCCTTTCTCTCGGACCTCGAGAAGAATTCGCCAGGGCTCGACATGATAAACGATGACTTCAGACACTATGCAGACGAGGTTCGTCTCTTGTCTTTCTACGAAACGCTAAGACTCAATCTGGGTGTTCAATCTGCATTGATCGTTGAAAAAGACTCCGCGTCGATTGGTTTGAAACACGAGCGCATACAACCGCTCAACGCCGACCACCGTACGGTTTGCAAGTTCAGCAGCACGCACGATCCGAACTACATCAAGGTCAAAAACGCCCTCGCTAGTATCGTTGAGGACATATTGGGCGACACGTTGGTGAGGCAAGGTGATGAGGAACAGTTCCAAATCTCGACTTTACAGACTTACCTTGGCGTAACGGACAAGCCTACAGATGAACTCAACAATGAACAAGATAGCCAGACTAGAGGTTCTTGCTCCTGGATCGAGAAGCGAAGTGGCTTCCAATCATGGGTAGAGATATCTACGCCTGCAGTTCCACTATATTGGATCCACGCACAACCAGGAACGGGCAAGACCGTCCTGGCTGGGCATGTCATCACGCACCTTCAGACTATCGGCCACGATTGCAGCTACTACTTCTTTAAGCACGGACAGGAGGGAATGAACACTTTGAGCGCAATGTTACGATCGTTCGCTTTCCAGATGGCTGTCATGCACCCATTAGTCCGACAAGAGCTGCTAAACCTGCACCAGCGCAGCGCTGCCTTTGACAAAGACGACGAAAGAGTTGTTTGGAGGACGTTATTTACGGGAGCGCTTCTCAAAGTCATGCTTGGAAGACCCCAGTATTGGGTCATTGACGCACTTGATGAATGTGTTGACCCTTTGAATCTGTTTCCTTTCCTTTCTCGGTTAGAGAGCCAATACATCATTCAAGTCTTCATCACAAGTAGGCCGTGGCCTGAGTTTGAGCGACACTTTTCACGGCTGGGTCGTCGAGTCTTGATTGATAGTATCCCTGTGGAGAATACCATCAAGGACATCAGAATGTTTTTCGATGAGAACGTTGACACTCTCCTTGTTGAAGATGAAATGGATAGACTGCATCTTGTGGAGAAGCTGGTCAAGAAATCGACAGGTTGTTTCCTTTGGGCTCGCTTGGTCCTGCAAGAGCTCCAATCTGTTTATAGTGAAGAGCACATTGAAGACGTCATTGATGAGCTGCCTACAGAGATGGGCCCTTTTTACGAAAGGATCCTGGATGAGATGTCCCGGAATGTACGCGAAGCGCAGCTGACTAAAGCATTGCTCGTTTGGGCAATCTGTGCAGTACGTCCGCTACAAACCTCCGAGCTTATCAACGCTATCAAGATTGATAACGGTCTAAGCGTGCTGAATATGGAAAAATCAATTCAAGGTCTTTGTGGTCAACTTCTCCATGTCGATAAGATCGGATGCGTTCAAGTTATGCACATGACTACACGCACCTTTCTTACAGACGGATCCCTCGAATCAGAATTCGCTGTCTCAAGAGTACAAGGAAATCAGCGCCTCGCTCTCGCTTGTCTCGACTATCTTTCTGGAGAGGAAATGAGGCCTCCTCGCAACAGAGGAGGTCGTAATATCTTACAAAGAGTCAAAAGTCCAATTGCAGACTATGCTTGCGTCTCTTTTTCTGAGCATTTAGTTACTGCCTCATCATCTGATGACATCCTTTTCCTTGCACTTGAGAAGTTTCTGAGATCGAACGTTTTGACTTGGGTGGAGTACATCGCAGAGACCAAAAAGAGCCTATACCATCTGAAAAGAACAGCCAAGAACTTGCACAGATATCTCAGTCGGAGGGCAATGCATACACCACCGCTTGGGGAGGCCCACCGCTACATCAATCAATGGGTGTTGGACTTGGTACGACTTGCGGCCAAGTTTGGGCAGAATCTTCTGGATCGCCCGGATTCAATTCACAGTCTAATTGCGCCCTTTTGTCCTCGGAATTCTGCAATCAATCAGCAGTTCGCCCACTCTCACGGTGGCTTGACCGTCGTTGGTCTGGGCAATGATGCTTGGGAAGATTCCATATCTTGCATTGACTTTCGAAATAACCGAGCAATGTCTGTTGCTGCAGGCGATAACACGTTTGCCATTGGCACAAAGTCTGGACAGATCTTGTTGTATTGGCAGACAACTTGTCAGCAAAGGATGTCCTTGTGGCATGAGGAATCCGCAAAGGTTTTGCGTTTTGACAACAGTCATCGACTTGCTTGTGCTGGACCCCATAAGATCTGTCTTTGGAATCTTGACAGTCACGCTCTGTTGTGGACATATGATACCAAAGACTCACCAGTTCTGCTTCAATTCTCGCCTAACGACAAGTTTCTCCTCGCGGTGACAAGGAGTAGTCATGCTATCACAATAGACTGCAAACACGGGACCATTCTTCGAGATCAATCCTTTCATAGCCGGCAGGCGCCATTGGACGTGGCCATTTCCCCTGACTGCAAGATGGTCGCCTTTGCTTACCGTGGTAAAGCCGTACTCTTATGGAGTTTGGACGACGATCAATTATTAGGAGCATGCGGTGGCGAGCCAGGATCATCAGCAATGATCAGTAATCTATCCCCCCAGCAGGTTCTCTTCAACTCCAATCCTGCTGTTGAGTTGATGGTAGTAACGTTTCAAAACGGGAACATGATACTCTATGAGACTTGGAACCAACGGGCCTTGAAGGCTGTCCAACAGGACATCCATTACCTAGCTTGCTCGCCAGACGGACGTAAACTTGCTACTGGTTCAAGCTGGGGTATAATCGGACTGTGGGACTTTGAGACCTTGACGCTGCTGTACCAGATCAATACTCGCGAAACCTTGGGCAAGGCTTTATCATTCACTGCGTGTGGTACTCGCATTGTTGAACTAAGGGATCGCAAAACGAAGGTATGGGAGCCTGATGTTCTCATTCGCAAAGCAAGTGAGGAGGATTCAAGCATAGGTGGGTCGGTGGCTATGCCTGCGCTGATTATTGGTGAGGGGGAACAAGATATCATACCTATTACCTCCGTTTCTGTTCATCCGACACTAGAGATCGTTCTTGTAGGCAAGGATGATGGCACGATGAACATCTACTCTGGCTATTCAGGAGAGTGGCAGGCTGTTCTCTATAGCCATAGGCAAGACGTATTCGTAAGGAAAATTGTGGTAAGCGCTGGCAATGTGGTTGTGTCAGAGGATGCCAGTAACACAGCCATGGCGTACGATATGAATTTCGAACAGCCTGCAACCTTGACCGTATTGAGACAACTCCTCAACCATCGGTTTGACGAACCTGTTCAGCAGCTCTTGTTAAATAGCAAGGGAGACAGGCTTCTTGTTTCTACCGCCACCTACGATTACTTTTGGAGCCGAGCTGAAGATGAGAGGTTCAAGCAAGAAAAGGTCCTCGAGACTCCATCTCGTTCTATCTGGAAATGGGTGTCGTCGGCCAGAGTACCAGGAACATTGGTCTTGGTCGTCGATCAGACCATCCGGTCGTTCAGTTGGGACAAGATGGAAGAAATGAACACAACAAGTCCGACCCAAAGGATCAGTCTCGGTCCAGCAGACCTAAGTGGATCCGACCTCACACTCAAGGCCCTTGTCACAGATGTCTCTGGTACCAATCTCATAGCAGAAATTGCACACAAACTCGGTTCGAAAGCTACTGAACGCTTCGCCATCTGGCGAGCTGATGACATCGAATCACAGAACAAAGGTGCAAGTACAGAACCCACTCTACTACTTTCGTCGCAAGAGATCAAACATTTCCTTGGTATGTTCGGGCACAAGGTCGTGTTCTTGGATCACCATCTCTGGGTCTGCTCGATAGATCTCACGAGTCTGCGACCGGAACACAAAGGCACGTACGAAGGGACGGTGAAAAAGCATTTCTTCGTTCCGTTGGAGTTTGTAGGCGGCAACGAAGGTAACACAGGCTTAGTAACACAAAAAGGTTGTGTTGTGTTCCCTAAAGAGGGAGAGATTGCGGTAGTAAGAGATGGATTGAAATAGACAATATAGAGGTTTAGACAACCTTTAGTTGTATAAAGGCGGTATGTAGTAGTACACATATTTAAGTAAACAGGACAGACAATTAGTAGAAGTATAACAGTAAGCAGTTCCTATTTCTTCTTACTCTTTTGCTTGCCGCTACCTATTGTTTTTACTATTACTACTGCAGTAGCTATAGCCTCTATGTTATTTCTACTTACTTGCTATAAAGTCTAGACACTAATTAAGAATTAAACGATAATATTTTAGACAAATATTATAAAAAAAATAATATTAGAGAGAAAGTAGAGTTATAGATTTCGACCTTAGTGTATAGATACTAAAATTCTATTCTAGGCTTTAAGTGTATTAATAATTCTCTTAAAGGTAAAAATACATAAGTTAATAAGAGTCTAGTGTAGTACTTAGATCTAGAAGCAAATACCTAGCTATATTAAGTATTAAAGAAATACGTAAAACAGTATAATAATTATTTAAGAAAGCTATATTATTATACTATAGTAGCGTACTACTAAAATAGACTAAGCTATACTTTCTATTTATAGCTAAAGAGAGTTTTAATAAATAAGTAGTTTTCTACTAAGTTTTAAGCTAGAAAGAAGATAAAGAAATCTTATATAATATTATATCTTATAAGTAAATAAAAGTATTAGCAAAGCTAGTGTTAGAAAAAGGATTATATTAATAAGCTTTTAAACCTATAGATTTAAATCTGTATTTAAGGCTTATAGGTATACTAATTAATTTTATAAATTTTTATATTTAGAAATATAGCTAAAAGTTTCTAATAGTATATAATTATACTTATAGGATCTTAGAGCTATATATATAAAAAAACTATCTAGAAATATAGTTTATAAGAGTAGTAATTAATACTAGTTTAATTCTTTTAAAACCTAAAGAAGAGTTTCTAAAAGACTTATAAGATTATACATATATTTAAAGGCTTAACGTAATATTGTAATTATACTTTTTACTTCGTTAAAACTAATATAGATATACTCTATTTCTTAATAGTTATATAATAGGTTTTTTCTATAACGTCTAGAAAGCTAATAGAGTTTATATTATTACCTAGCTTTTTTAAGATAAAAAGCTATTTATAATGTAGTATAATAATAGTTCTTAAATTAAGTATAAATACTATATATATAAAGGTATTATAAAACTTATACTTATCTATATTATTAAAGCACTATATACAGGTAACTAAGATACAGAATATATAGTTATTTATTTAGATTCTAGATATATTCTCAAAGTTAAAGCTATAAGAATTAATAAGTACTATATACTAGAGCTTTAGGTTCTTATCTTATTAACTTAACTTCTAGAGAGAAGAGATTAATAAATTATATTACTATTTACTTCTAGTTACTTACCTGTTTTTATTACTTATTAGTTCTTTCTATATATTTATACTAACTAAAGTAGCTAAAGTTTAACTTAGTTACTACTCTTTAATTTTTATTACTATTACTATTACTATTACTATTACTATTACTACTACCTTCTAATAAGATTAGCAGGCTCTATTTTTATCTTATATTAATTTTAGATTTTTATAGTAAGGTTTCATTACTTTTAAATTACTCTTATAAGTATCTTCCTTAAGTAGTATTTCTAGGTTTTATAAAAGCTTACTTAAAATATCTTATATTCTTTATTAAAAGATTATTATTATACTACTTAGTAAAAAAGGTATTAAGTTAGAGAAGTAATATATTAAAGAAAGCTTTATTAGTTTTTAAGACCTATATAAAAAAGCTCTAAACTTTAATATTATAAAGCTATACTATAAGTCTTTTATTAAGCTTAAGGTGCTATAATATATATATTTTTACTAGGTAGAAAGTATTATAATTAAATTAAGTTTTACTTTTTAATTTCTTTTACTACTTAACTTAGTCGTTAAATCCTACTAAAGATATTTAGAGTATTTTACTTATACTAGTATTTACTTATATTAACTCCTTAATTATTAGTTTATTATAAATATAGTATAGAAACTTCTAAGCTATATTAATAAGATTATATTATTAGTTTGGTATACACTAGTAAATATGTTAAAGTTAGGTAGAAGATAGGTCTAATATAAGTTAAAGCTAACTCTTATCTAACTCTATTCTAATATAAGGTCTACTTTAACTTAACTATAACCTAATATTCTAATACTAGTATAAGGTTAGAGTTAGGTTAGAGTTACATTAACCTAAAGTAAACGTTTAGTTATATTATATTTACTTTTAAATATCTTTAGGAACTAGTATTTAATATTATATAACTTAGTATTTAAGTAAGTATTAGATTGAAAATAGTAGTTTTTATAATTATCTATTATAGCTTTTAAAAGGTTTAATTAAACTATAAATTTAAGTATTTTTCTTTTAAAAAAGTAAATAATATAAGCTTATTTATTTACCTAATAATTTAGTACTCTTAACTTACTATAGTACTATTTTACTAATACTTAGTCTTTTTACTAAAGAGTAACCTATTTAGCGTATATATTATTAATATAATAATTTTTAATAGTAAGTATAGTACTAGTAGTAGTAGAATAAAATTAACTATAGCTTTAAAATTACTTATAAGAAATATCTTAGTTACCTCTTAAAAAGCTTTAAGTATAGTTTTCTAATAGTATATACTTATACTCCGTCGGCAAAAGTTAATTTTAATAGGCAGTGCTAGGCAGGGCCTTCCTAGCGTTAGCCCGCTAAATTTTCTACCGTTAAGCTCCTTTACAAGACTAAAGGCTACCTACTAGTCTCCTACTGCTCCTAACAGTCCCCTGCCGCTCCTAACGCTCCTAACCCTTAGCAGCTACTAGTACTACAATAATTAGCTAATAGGAAAGACAGGGGTAGTAGAGAGGCACCTAACTTATAATAAAAAGCTAGCCTAGATCTTAGCTGGTATACCCGGCAAATTAAAACTTCTCTTTTGCCGACGTCTTTTATAAAGCCTTAGTTATTTTATAAAAAAAGTAAAAAAGTAGTAACTTAAAAATAAAAAGCTTAGTAAATTTCTAACACTTTTAAATATTTCTTATAGTTATAACTAAGTATATTAGTATTACTCTTTAACTAAAGAATCTAATAATATTTAACTTTACTTAATTTAGTACTTCTTTCTAAATAGTATCTACTTTATACTAATTACTTTTCTTATAGTAGTCTTATATATAGCTTTAGTAGCTAACTTCTTCTTTAGTTATATAGTAGTAGTAGTATATAACTTTAGTTTTTAAGTTCTAGCTGTACTAGTAAATTAAACTTTACATAGTATAAATAAAATAGAAAGTTATTAAGTATCTATATAGGTATATTAATAGTAAAAAAAGCTTATTAAAGCTTTAAAAATATTAAAAAGTAAAAATAAGTAAAGATTTACTATTTATCTTAATTAAGTAATATATATATATAAGCTACTTATCTCTAGAGGACAGAAAGTAATATATTACGTTACTATTATATTTTAGTTACTTACGCGTTTTAATTACTTAATAGTTTTTATTATTTACACTAACTATAGTAGCTAAAGTTTAACCTAGTTATAAGTTATTAGCCCTTTACTTTCTATTACTATTACTATTACTATTACCCTTACTACTACCTATTAGCTAGCTTTGTTTTTAGTTTATCTTAATCTTATAGTTTTATAGTAAGGTTTTATACCTTCTAAATTACGTCTATAAGTTTTCTTTTTTAGGTAGTATATTTATAGTTTATAAAAGCTTACTTAAAATACTTTTTATTTTTATTTAAAATAGTATTATTATACTACTTAGTAGTAAAGCTGTTAAGTTTAAAAAGCTAAATATTAAATAAAGCTTTATTAGCCTTATAAACTTTTATAAAAGGAAGTTAAACTCTAACTTTATAAAGCTTTACCTTAAGCCTCTTATTAAGTATAAGGTACTACTTAATATTTAGATTACTTAAGTAGAATATATTACTATTATACTAAGTAATTTCTTTTATTTCCTTTTACTACCTAACTAGGTCTTTAGAGATTCTATTAGAGATATCTAAAGTACTATACTAGTACTAGTAATTACTTACTTTAATTTTTTTAATTATTAGTTTACTATAAGATATAGTGCAGAAACTCTTAGGCTATACTAATAGAATTATATTATTAGTTAAATATAATCTTAGTTATAAAGACAAATAAGACAAAATAGATAAATAAATAAATAAATAGATAAAGTATTTAGATCTTAGCTCTTAAGATATAAAGAATATTTCTATACTAGCTTACTTATATAAACTATTATTACCTATACTTCTTCTAAAGCTGCCTTAGTTATATTTTTAAGATTACTAGTTAATTAAAGAGTTTTTATAACCTAGCTATAGTTTATAATATAATCTAAAGTTTATAACTAAACTAAACTTTAACTAATAGCTACTTAGGCTCTTAAATATATATTTATACTAGTATATTAAGTAGCTAGTTATTTCTATACAGCTAATTAGCTTACTATTACTATTACTATATACTTTTACTAGTTTTTACTATATAAAAAGGGGCTAGGTATTAGCTTATATACTAAATTACTATACTAGATTTTTACTATATTATATTTATTTACTTATACTTTAAGTATAAATATGTTATAAACTAAAGATAATAAGCTACTTATACTTTTTAACTTTAACTTTTTAACTAAAGTCTTTTTTTTATTTTAACCTAATAACTATACTTATACTATATTACTAAAGATATTTATTATATACTTTATAAAAGGAACTTTTATCCTATAGAATAGAGGTTAATAAATTATACTACTATTATATTATAGTTATATACTTATTTTAGTTAACTATTAGTTTCTATTATATATTTATACTAACTAGAGCAGCTAAAGTTTAACTTAGTTATAAGTTATTAGCCTTTTACTTTCTATTATTATTACTATTACTATTACCCTTTCTACTACTTTTTAATAAGATTAGCTATCTTTATCTTTAATTTATATTAATTTTATAGTTTTATATTTAGGTTTTATACCTTCTAAATTACTTCTAAAAGTCTTTATTCCTAAGTAGTATACCTAAGGTCTATAAAAGCCTACTTAAAATACCTTTTATTTTTAGTTAAAACAGTATTATTATACTACTTAGTAGTAATGCTATTAAGCTAAAAAGGCTAGGTATTAAAAGACTTTTTATTAGCCTTATAAAGT